ATTTAATTGATGTGGGTGGCATTGCCTTGCATGTGGGTTTATACCATAGTAGTTTATTTTACTTTATCCTAAAAGAAATAAGAGAAGTTGTAAACAGGAAATATATAAATTATAAATAGAAACTAAATTACTAATTAAAACGATGACCCCCACTATACAATGAAATTAATTAATTAATTACGTCAATTGAAAATGAATGATTTTATCGAAATGGTATTTTTCTTCTTCTTCTTCCCGTTCAATTCCGTAGGAAGGAATTGACAACAATAATTCAAATGAAACGTGACACAAACAAAAAATAAAATTGTTTTCTGGTTTAGTACGAGATTCTCGTACTGATTTCCCGTACTGCAACATTTTTATTTCGTGTGAATCAACTAACCAATTGGATAGAGAAATCAACATAAATGCCTTACGCTTTTTCGTTTTCATACTAAATTGACAATTGTGCAAGACTGTATATATGTTATATATGTTATATATATATATGTGTATAAGTGTATATGGCTATTGTATATATATTTACAAGGAAGTAACAAAATGAATCAATTCTCTAAAGGAACAGGACATTCATTTTTAGTATTCAATACATATTTTCTTAATATATTCTTTACAATATGTTTTTCATCTTTATTATTACCATTATTCTTACCCTTAGCATTTAATACTTTATGTCTAAATGAAGCATATTTATCATTATTCATTAATTCTGACAATATGAATTGAATATTTTGACTTCTTTTAAGGAATTCATCCCCCTTAATACTTTTATCTAATTGATTAATTTCCAATTTAACAATTTCTTGTGGAGTTGGATATGAAGTGATATTATACTTTACTTTAATAGCTTCAATCTCTTTTAATAACTTCTCTTGGTCTTCTCCAGTGGTAGAAGAAGCACCTTCTTCAAATTGTTTATTAGCAATTTCTTGAGCTTTACTAACAAGTTGATCCAATTTCCTTAAATCTTCTAATTGATTTACTGTCTTTTGGAATACTTCCTTTTGTTTAACGAAATCTTGTACTTTTGATTTATTCTCTTGTTGTAATCTTGTCTTTGCCATAGAATCATATAATTCAAATTGTTGCCCCTTATTGACTTTAATCTCGGCAATAGCATATGCTTTACGTTTGGAGATTTTGGGTATTAAATGTTCAATACGAACAATATCTCCTTCTTTACAAATCTCACCTTCATCATGAACTAAGAAATCTTTTCTGGTTATAACTTCTTTATCAATTCTACGATCATAGATTTTTCCTTGAACTCTGACCTTAACGGTCTTGGACATTTTACCTTGGGAAACGACTAACCCTACGAAGTTCTGTCTGGCCATTCTGATCTTAGCTTTCTATGGATACTGTCTTTGTTCTAGATCAATCTATTGATAGTCTTGATGGTTACAAGTTTAACCAAAAGACAGTGAAGAAAAAATTTTTTTTTTTCATTTGCTAAAATCAAAATAGACATGTTACCCGGATTTTCTGGTGCCTAATACCAAGACATAGCAACATGTAAACTTGAAGTAAGAACTCAATAACTAATTGTATTTAATACTATGTATATATATATAGACATGCATACCCTACTCATTCACCTGTTCCAAAACTTGTTTAAACTTCTGTACCAAAGTAACATTCTCCGCCTCAGTCCCCACCGAAATTCTTAAACATCCAAAACAATTCAATTCATTTCCTCTAAATCTAACAACCACACTATTATCAACAGCTAATTTATTATACACCTTATATGCCACTTCATTGGATGGCTTACCTTGTTTATCCAAAACTTCAATCAACAAGAAATTCGAATCCAATCCACCAATATTCCTTCCGATATATTTCAAATTTGTCAATTGGTTCAATAACCAGTCTCGTTGTTTGTTGATTCGGGATACATAATCATTCATAACTTTTAAACCAGTTTCGGAACCAGTTGCACGGATGGCGATGTCGGAAGTTAAGGACGAGATATTATATGGATATTTCATGGCATTCAAATAGCTGGCAAGAGTTTCATTGGAATAAGTTATACCTAATCTGATACCTGCGAGTCCGAATGCTTTGGATAAAGTTTGACAGACTACTAGGTTTGGATATTGGTTGACTAGGGTGGACATTGATTGGGAGTGTTGGGAATTTGGAGACTCGGTGAAATCGATATATGCTTCATCAACGACTATTAATCCATTCCATTTCGATTGGGCTTGGGTTAATAATTGAATAATATCATCAACATTCAAGAGTTTCCCCGTAGGGTTACCAGGGGAAGTTAAATAGATTAATTTAATTAATGGGTCTTGAGTAATGGTGGATAAGATTCCCGGAACATCAATTTGAAAACCAGGATATAATAATGGGACTTTTACAATCTCAACATCATTAACAGTAGCACATATGGAATACATTCCATACGTGGGTGGACAAATCAACATCTTATCTTTTCCAGGAATACAAACACATCTAAGTAATAAATCAATACTTTCATCTGATCCAACCCCTAAACATAAATTACCAGGATAAATCCCTTCATTTCCCGATAAATGAATATTTGGGGTTGAATTCCTAAATTGAACAATCTGTTTCTTAAGTTCTAATTGATGAGGATCAGGATATCTATTTAATTCCAATTGAGATTCTGATTCTGAAATGGTGGTTAATGCTGGTCCATGAGTATTTTCATTGGCATCTAATAAGATACCAACTTTAAAATCATCACGGGCACATCTATATGGTTCTAATGAAAGAATGTTTGGTCTGACTATTGATTTGATATCAAACATGACTAATTGGATACAATTGAAATAAAAAAGAAGAAGAGAGAAGTGATAAGAAGAAATTTGGGGGTGAGGACAGTGGAAATTGAAAATAATTTATATCTTCCAATTTCTAAATATTTTTTATCGCGGTTAATGAAAATTTTAAATTTCGCGTTAAAATTTTACGAAAATGAGTCAGAATCTCACATGGTAGCACCATTGTTATACAATTAACTTACTATGAAATGTTATTAAACTTGTATAGAAGTTATTGTACTTTGATCAGTAATTTGAGATTGTGAATATAATTTCACATTTCTAACAGCACCATCATTAAAAAAACTCCCATTCCAAAAACTTAATAAACTTGAACTTCTATGTTGATGTTTTTCAGTATTATTAACAATTCTCAGAGTTTTAAACCAATGGTTTTGATCTTTATTTTCTTCTACGACTGTCTTATTCTGATCGTCGGATATATCTTGTCTAGAATTGTTAATGTGTGAAAATATGCCTTCTTCTTCTTCCATGTCTTCAGACACATGACGAGGGATAATCATAGATTGTGGAGATATTGGAAAAAATGGACTATTGATATTCATATTATTATTATTGATATTAATAGGTCTTGCTGTTCGAAAAAGTCGGTCCCATTTCTTACCTAATGAAGAATATGATAATCTTGCATGATTCAATGTTTTTGAAGAAGTTGGAATTCTAGGAGTGCTCACTGTTCTTCTTATCTTTTTAGGTTTTGGAAGTTGGTTAGTACTAGTGGTAGAAGTCTGGTGTTTCTTGATTGATTTAAAGCTTTTCATTCTGGTAACGAATTTATGAAATTTGGATACCTTTGTAATTGATACTTGTTCTGTAACTGGCGGCGGTGGTATGTCATTTATTAGTATACCATTAAGTAAAGGTGGATGAAAATGAGATGGTAATCTTGTCTTGGTTCTCTTTCTAAATTTATGAAATATTGATCTATTTGATGTATTTAAATCATTATTGATAGAATTGGTTGTAGTAAAATCAAACTTATCATTATCAATGAATGGAATCTCTTTGATAATATTGGTATTATTATTCATTATATATGATTGTTCATAGTTAGTTGACTGTTTGTAAATTAAATTTACGTAAACTTAACATAAAAATGATTGCAAAAAATTGTAATTGTAATTTTTCTCTTATTGTTGCACAAAGAAAATAAAATATGAGCCAATTGTCGCGACATACAAAATATGCGACACAAATTATTTAGAATCAATATGCCAAACGAAAAATGAACAACTCATAAATATTTATCTCCATCCAACAATCTATAGAAACACACAGCGATAGAATATATTTATACAAAAAACAGAAGACCCAATAAGAAAATATGGACGGCACAGTAAACTATGATTCTAAGACTAAGAAGTTATCATTACCAACCGAATTCGAACAAGAATTACCAGAATTAAAATTAGAAATTGATCAATTAAATAATTTAACTACTGAAATTATAAATAATGGTAATGATGTTCCACCAACAGAAACTTTTAATAAAGATTTAAGTAAAATTATTAAGAAATTATATGAAAGTGGAGTACAATCATTTAAATTAAATAAATTTCAAGAATCTGCTAAACAATTTCTGATTGCTATTGAAATGATTTCTAGAAGACCAAAATTTGAAAGTTTTCAAGGAACGATACAAGAATTAAGTTTATTATTAATGAGTAGAGCTGATGCTTATTTAAAATGTAAAGAATATTTGAAAGCTTTCAATGATGCTGACTTATTAATTGGAATGATGATGAATACTCCAGATAATTTCTTAAGAAGAGGTGTTGCTAATTATTTCTTGGGTAATTATGAAGCAGCAAGAGCTGACTATCAAAGAGGTTTAGCGTTTAATGAAAATGATGCAAGGTTAAACAAGGAGTTGACGGTTGTTTTAGATAAAATATTAGAAGAAAATGGTGATACTCTTTAATTGCTTTGGTTTTGTATAGATATGTATATGGGAAGATGAAGGAATGTTAACATTTTGCTTAGATCATAGTATTACTATTTATCGGCGACTACTCTCACTTTAGTATGTTCTTATATGTTAATATCATTCATTCGTAGATAGACCCTGATATTGACTAAATATAATTATATCGCTACCAAATGTAACATCTGTGTTTGTGGATTTCTTTTTTTTCTTTGCGAATTCTTATTCTTCATCTTCTTCTTCTGGTTTCATCTTCTGATTAACAACATTGAATAAACATAAAGGATAACGGTTAAGTAAAGATGTCACTGTATGGCGATTCAGGAATAATAATACTATCAGATTCAGATGATGAAGATGAAACTCCTCAAATTAATAACCACACGTCCGATATTCAAAAACAACAACAACAACCACAACCGCCACAACAACAACAAATACCATTAGACATACCGTCAGCTTCTGTATCACCTACTTCAACCCCACCAACACAGGGAAACGGTCCTAGTATTCTCCATTCAAGGCCAACAAGTATGACATCCAATTCAATACAACAACCAGCACCAAAAAGATTACGATTAGATTCATTAAATTCCACAAAAAGAATTGGAAGATTAGATTCCTTAAATACAACAAGAAGAAGTAACAACAACGCGCCTTCTTTATTTGTGAATAGAAATCAAACCCCTTCAGTTGTTCTGCTTACAAGTTCAAATAGTGATACCCCTGCAAATGGAAGTAGTAGATCTACGACCCAAAGCGTGACACCATTAACGCTGGGAATCAACACACGTGTGCCACCAACAGCAACAGGCAGTCGTGATAGAGTTGAGGTTATATCCTTAAGTTCAGATGATGAAGATGGTAATGATCTTAGTTTTAATCAATCATTTGTGGACACCCCTCCATCTCATGTCATCTCACCTGATAATGCTAATGACGCAGATGGTGATGATGAATTAATGATTTTAAGTCCAGATATTGCAAAAGTAGGCAAATTCAAACCTAGTTCTTTTGAACAGAGAGGATATCAGGAAATACAATATCCCCAACAACATCAACAACAACAACCATATCAATGGGGTGATTTTTCATACGCGACTGACGCGTCTGGACAACAACAACAAACGTATAATAATCCTCGCCTAGCCAATGGATTATATAATCAACCAGCACCAGTTCCACATGCTGATCAAAACCTAAATCTAATAAGACAACAAGAATTTCTGAATCGACAATCGAGAATGGCTCAAGATATTTTTAAACTACAACAAGATAAACGTACTCTCCAGCAAAAACTCCAATCTATAAAGACCACAATAGATAATTACAAGAATCAGTTAATTACTCATAAACGGAAATTATCAGAAGCGGTCAGGACTGGGGATGAACATACTAGACTAGCTACTAGACGATTAGTTGAGTTTCTAATGAGTGGAATATCGAAATTACAATCATCAATTCCATCATATGCTACGAAAATCCAAGCTATTAATAGTCATTTAACGCACTTAGGTAGAATGGGAGCATTACCACCGGGAGTAAATCCAGTTGATTTAACAACAACAATCGCTTATGAACAACCACCAATCCAGCCAGTAATCCAACAACCAATTGGATATCAAAGTAATATCTATGCCGATGATTCCGATATTCGAAACTTGATGGATAATATCAAACCACCAGAAGATTTAATCGAAGGTATGGAATCCACCCCAGAAGAATTAAATATCAGTTTATTAAAGCATCAAAGAATCGGAGTCGCTTGGATGAAACGTATGGAAGATTCACGACATCATGGAGGAATCCTAGCTGATGATATGGGTCTCGGGAAAACCGTCCAAACTATTGCATTAATGATGGCACATAAGCCCCTGGATGAACTTGAATGTAAGACGACTTTGATTGTGGGACCTGTTTCGTTGTTAAGACAATGGGCGGCAGAGATTGAATCGAAGATAAAACCAACTTATCCCTTGCATGTTGGGATATATCATGGATTAGAACGGAAATCGATGTCGAGCTATGAGAGTTTGAGAGAATATGATGTTTTGTTAACGAGTTATCATACGTTGAGTAATGAGTGGAAACGACATTTTGCCGAAGAATTGGCGGAATTAAAAGCAAGCAAAGATCCAAATTTACCGGATAGCAATAGTGGTGGTCGAAGTTATGATTCACCTTTCTATGGGAACAATTCAAGATTTTATAGAATTGTATTAGATGAAGCACAAGCTATTAAGAATAGGAATGCATTTGCAAGTAAAGCAGTCATATATCTAAAAGCTAAGTATCGTTTTTGTTTATCTGGTACACCCATGCAGAATAATGTTGAAGAATTATATCCAATTATAAGATTTTTACAAATTAAACCATATAATAATCTTCAAAAGTTCCGGGCAGATATAATTGTTCCCTTGAAATCGAAATCAGGAAACTATGATAAACGAGATCAAAATGACTCAATGAGAAAGCTTCGAGCAATCTTAAGTGCGATCCTATTACGCCGTACCAAAACTTCTGAAATTGATGGCAAACCAATCTTGGAGCTACCTGAAAAAGTCCTTCATTCTGATTTCGTTGAAATGGATGAACAAGAAATGAAATTCTATAAGGAGTTAGAAACTGGAATCCAAAAGAAAGCTGAAAAGATGTTAGATGAACGGAAAATGACCGGTGTATTGGTATTGTTACTTAGATTGAGACAAGCTTGTTGTCATCAATATTTGGTTGAGATTGGGGAGATGAAGGCGGCTCAGAGATCAAATAACGAGAATTTATTGAATGATTGGAAAAAGATGTATTATATGAATACTTGTTTAGAAGAGAAAGTTTTGTTGAATGTTAAGAGATTAACATCTTCAAGTCTGTTACCTGCACCTGGAGCCGATGTCAAGTTAGATGAAAGTGATAATGAGGAAATGTTGACTTGTCCTGTCTGTTTTGATGTATTGAGTGAAGATTCTTCTATGGTTTTATTTGCAGAATGTGGGCATTTAATTTGTCAATCATGTATTGAAGCCTTTTTTGAAAAGAATACTGCTGATGAAGATAATTCCGGTAATAGAATAGCGACTTGTTCAGAATGTAATACTCCAGTCAAAGAAACCAATTTAATCGATTATATAATATTCAAGAAAACCCATCAAGAAAACCTCCCAGAGCAAGAAGTCAAACGATTCTGCGAACAATACTACAACACGTCCAACAAAAAAGACAATCTCGCCATCATCCACGACTTAGTCCGTCGAGATGAAGGATTCACACCCTCCGCCAAAATGGAAAAAGCAATCGAATTGATCAAAAACGTCTTCCTCACGAAACCGGGAGAGAAAATCATCATATTTTCCCAATTCGTCACCTTATTCGACTTGATGAAATTGGTATTACGTCGAGAAAAAATCGATTTCTTAAGATATGACGGTTCAATGAATATGGATCATAAAAATACTGTCATCAAACAATTCTATCAAACCGATACAAAGGTCTTGTTGCTTTCTTTACGATCCGGAAATGTTGGGTTAACATTAACATGTGCCTCGCATGTGATTATAATGGATCCATTTTGGAATCCATATGTGGAGGAACAAGCTATGGATAGGGCCCATCGTATTGGACAACAGCGGGAAGTTAATGTGCATAGAATATTGATTAGTGGGACCGTTGAAAAGAGAATTATGGAATTGCAAGACCTGAAGAAGGAATTGGTTGAGAGCGCATTGAATGAGAAGGAAATGAAATCAGTTTCGAGATTGGGACAGAGAGAACTTGGATTCTTATTCGGATTGAATGATTTACGAGCACCATAAATAAACTATGTATTATGTATCATGTAATTATTAATGTCTATGTCTTTTTACTTTTTGTGAGTTTCGTAACCAATCTGATTCTGATATTAATGGTGTGGGCGTGGTATAACATAATTCATTTAGGATTATTGGTTCGAAATCTACTTGGAAATTGGATAATGATTTACATAGATATATTATTTGTAATATGAGACCATCAATTTGGCTTGATAAATCAATTTCAGCTTCCAAGTCGTCTGTATTGGTGTTTTGTAGTTTGATATCAGGTAAATATGCGGATAATTCTCTACATAATAATCCAGCTAGACTTCTTATGAATTGATTAATTAATAAACTGTTCTCATTATCGTCTTCACTAGTCGCTGTTGTTGGTTTGAAGATGATATTAAATATTGATAAAGAATTAAATATGAATTCACGATATGTTTCAATGAATCTCTTTAAATAACTTAATTTATTAAATTTAATCAAAGGTTTCAAACTTTCAATTTCATTTATAATGAATTTATATCGAGAATTTAAATAAATTAATTTCAAGAATTTATCCTTTTGATATTTAGTATCTTTTCCATTATGACTATTATTAAACAACAATGAGCCACCAGATAAATCCAATTTATTCAATATTTGAAAAATCTTCAAGATGTTATTTTGTTTAAGATTTGTATTTAATAATTTCACCAAACCATTCACCATTAATTTCAATTCATATTCAATTTTTTCATGAATCTTGATAAAGATTGATAATTTTGGAAATCGAATAATTAATGCTTGAATCAACATTGAGATTTCTAAACTTTCTTGATAATTCCCTTGAAGGATACATAATCTACATAATGTAGGTAATTCAAGTATATCCAATACAGAATCAATTTTATCCAAGATTGAATTATTAAGATTAACTAAATATTTATAATTATCATTATGATGATGATGGCTATGAAAGGATGAATTTTTTTCATTATCTATAAGTTTCATCAATGAATCTATTTGTGATTGATATTCTTGATTGAGTTTTGAATGAACCAGTTGCAAATCATTACTTATATCAATAATTAAATCACGATTTGAATCGGTTAATGAACTTAATTTAAGATTAACTGCTCGTTGATTCATATCTAATTCGGCAATTTCTTCAATGAGGGTTCTTTTGGTGGTTGCCGTACTCTCTGATTGAGTCATTGTAGTGTTGCTAGTCTGTTGCAGTTCAGACGATGCCATGAAAGCTTCTGTTGATAATAAATCATCATTAATCAATAATTCTGATAGATATTGTTCTGCTTGTTTCAGGAATTGAGGATTGTTTTGTAAGAGCACTTGATACTCTGAATCAAGACCATCTTTAAGGGTATCTAATAGGATTTGCGACATCCGTCCTTTCTTTTTCTCTCTCTCTCTGTATGTGTCTATTCAATGGTAGTTGAAGTGTAGTACGTGGTTGTAAATAAATTGAAAGAAGATGGAAAGTATTTTGTGAACAAGTACACGACTTGTGTCGTAGATGCCCCCTTGTGTCGCATTTATTTATTTATTGCGACAATCGGCACACTGAGGTTCAAAAACTCTCAATGAAAATTACAATTCCAATTAATCTCCTACAAATGAGTTAGAAGTTGATAACGACAGCAAGATACAATGGAAGGGCTTTACTTCAATGTTAACTATGGATATATTGAAGGAGTAGTTAGAGGCTACAAGAGTGGATTATTAACCTCCAATCAATATGTTAATTTAACTCAATGTGATAATTTAGAAGATTTAAAATTACAATTATCATCAACCGATTATGGAAATTTCATGGCAAATGTTGGTTCTGGATTAAGTACTGGTATAATTCAAGATAATTTATCTAAGAAATTATATCAACAATTTCAATATATTAAATTACAATCACTGGGGAAATTAACTAAATTTCTAGATTTTATAAGTTATGGATATATGATTGATAATGTAATTTTAATGATTACTGGTACATTACATGAAAGAGATAAATCGGAGATCTTAAGTAAATGTAACCCATTGGGATGGTTTGATACATTACCTACATTATCAATTGCTACTGATATTGAAAGTTTATATTCAACAGTATTAATTGATACTCCTTTAGCCCCATTTTTTAAGAATTGTATTAATGCTGATGATTTAGATGATTTAAATATTGAAATTATTAGAAATAAATTATATGCTAATTATTTGGATTCATTTGTTGAATTTATTCAATTAGAATTTGATAATCCTGATAAAGAAATTATGGAAAGATTATTAACTTTAGAAGCTGACAAGAGAGTTATTAATATTTCATTGAATTCATTAAATAATCCTGATTTATCAAGTGAAGATAAATTAGATTTATTCCCAAATTATGGGAAATTATATCCAACTTATCATTATCAATTAAGTCAAGTTGATGATATTGAACAATTGAAATCAATTGTTGAAAATATTGGTGAATATAAAGATATCTTTAATGAAAGTGGAGATGCTACCACTAGTGGTAGTAATATTAGAGGATTAGGTGATTGGTTTTATCTTTTAGAAATGCAATTATGTAGGAATGCTTTTACTCAACAATTTACTTTAAGTACAATTTATGCTTGGTTAAAATCAAAAGAACAAGAAATTAGAAATATTACTTGGATTGCTGAATGTATTGCTCAAAATCAAAAGAATAGAATTGATAGTTATATTAGTGTATACTAGGATAACTGCGAACATAGCTGCGATTTAGTTTCAAGTTGTTTATAAGTCATTAATTCATATACATTTCATTTTTCTATAAAAACAATGGAATTTCTACTGCTCCTCCTACATTCTTAATCAGTTCATCCTTATCTTCCTCTTCTTCATCTCGTCTTCTCTTTTTATTGTGATCATAGACAGTGGCTGTTACTTGTACTCCTGCATTTTGTATATGTACAGGAGGTTGAGAAATCCCTTGAGTTCTAAATGAATCCAATGAAAGTGGATTTCTCAATTGTGGAATAACTTGAGTAGGTAAAATAACCAGTTGTTGTTGTGGTGGTGGTAGTGGTGGGTGACCTAAATTCGATCTACTTCTTGTTAATTGGCTTTCATAATCTTCCGGTTGTTGTTGTAATTCGTCCAAGATATATTCCAACATATATTCATTATTATCTTGATCCAATTCTAACATATTAAAACTTATTAAACTTCCATTACTATTTGCTAATCTCGCTGGATTTTTAATTAATAATTGAATATTAAAATTCCCCATTGAATCTTTTAATATTTTTGCTTTTGAACTTAATTTAACTGCTTTTGCAATCTTGTAGAAGGTTATATAATTAAATTTTGAAATTATGAATGATTGACCTTGATGAATTAATAATTTTTCAATTATGGTTTTTTCATTGGGGAATATTAATTTGGATGTTCCAATTGGTCCATTACTTATAAAATGTAATTGTGGATGGGTAGATGTAGTGGTTGCACTAGCGGCATATATGAATAAATCTTGAGTTTGAATTTGATTTAAATCAGTTAATAAATTATACAAGATATCTGATTTAACTAATAATTCCATTGCCAAATTTTGATAATTAATTGAAATATCAGAATTGATAATATCATCATCATCAATATAAAATGTATAAAATTCTAACTTTTCAGATATTAAATTATCTTCAAATTCAATAATTAATGGTGAACCAAGTCCATTATATGAAATGTAACAATTTATATTACTCCCACCAGTGGAACCATCATTCATGTCATCTTTCTTAGTCAAGTTATTGGCAACTGAATTAAAACATTGTGAAATGATATTTAAATCAACTCCTAATTGTAATTCTTCTTCATCACCAATTAATTTATATAGCGAAAAGATATTAGGATCTAAAGTAGCCAGTACATTCGTTATATGATTATAAGTAGCATGTATCGATATACCATCTTTCTTTATTATTATTATAGCATTATTATGTATGGTTGTAATACTGGTTAATATATCTGCTAAATGAATAATCTGATTTGTTGATGCTGTAAATGATGTTGTTCTATTTGTTTGATTATTGGATCTGGAACTAGGAGGTATCCTATCTGATACTATATTATTTCTGACGTTGTCATTATTGTTATCATCTGATTCATCATCATTTACAAATAGATTCATTTGTTATATAAAATAATGGAAAGAGTGGTTGTTAGTGTAAGTTTTAATTTACAACATCGGAATGAGGATTTGATGAAGATACTAGAACGACATTTTATGTTTTCAAGAATTATACGACATTATTCTTGCACGACATTATTTGCAACAATTTTGTTGATTGCTCATTTTATAATCTTTACTTATATAAGAACAACTAGTTTTAATACTAAATTGTATGGGGATTTATCTAATATATGGCTGTTTAGATTATTTGTTTTACCTATACATAAAATAGAATACTTTGGTTAGTGACTAAATTTTTAGTTAAAATATTGTAAAAATAATTTTAATCTAGCCTTTGTATCCATTTAATCCATTCAAGGGATGACCAGATTGATTGAATATATTTATGTATAACTCTCCATGTTTTGGACAAGATAACAAAAGGCTATGAAAAAGTTTACTATATTGAATGACAACTTGCAGTATATCTATTTTCCGAATAATGATTGTTTATAGATCATTTTTTTTAAAAAAGAATGATCATCCAGCCTTAGACTTGAACTCTAAGTCTCTAGAGAGACACAATTCTTTAGAAGCTATTCTTAGTATAGTATACCACTAGTCCTAGGTAATAGTCTTGGTGAGATGTAAGTGGAACCAATCAGGTTACAAGAATGTATGTTGAGTTAAAACAGAACAACAATAGAATTGATTCCATTGATTCAATGGATTGATTTCAAGTTCTGATTAAGTGACACAATTAAAGTTTTCTTGGCAGAAGAGAAGGTGAGATGCATGGATCTTTCTATGGATCTACCAATTTCCTCTTTACTTGATAGGTTTGGCCCTCTGTATAGAGATATACGATACTGCAAGTTATTGATTTTATCAAATTGAAATGAAATTTATTAATAGAAAAAATGATTTCCGTATGATGTTTTAAATTACGTAAAATTATTTTTTAATTTAATTTAATCTGATTACATAATCATTTTATAATAATCACAAAAATTTAAAAAATTCCTTTTTTATTGATATTTTCAATTTTAAACTTATTGTTCTACTTCTTCTATTTTCTACTTCTTTCTTCTTCTTCTTCTCTTTAAGATAGTAGAGTATATATACTTACACACACCCCCTGTATAACCATCGTATGAACAACATAGTATGGTATGGGCACAATTAGAATTAGAAGCACCTCATATAGCTTATGCTTGTATTGGTATTTTTAGTACCTTATTTTCATTAGTATCTTTATTTGTTAAAGAAAGATTATATATTGGTGAAGCAACAGTTGCAACTATCGCTGGCCTTATAATTGGTCCTCATTGTCTAAATTGGTTTGATCCTATTAATTGGGGTAATTCGGATTTCATTACTTTAGAAATATGTCGTATAGTATTATGTATACAAATTGTTGCAGTTGCAGTCGAATTACCAAGAAAATATATGAAAAAACATTGGTTATCAGTTGCAATCTTTTTATTACCAGTTATGACTTTTGGTTGGTTAACTGTAGGATTATTCATTTGGGCTTTAATTCCACATTATAATTTTAGTGATGGATTATTAGTTGCTGCATGTGTAACTGCAACTGACCCTATTTTAGCTGCTGCTGTTGTTGGTAAGGGGAAATTTGCTCAAAGAGTTCCTGGTCATTTAAGAAATTTATTAACTGCAGAATCTGGTTGTAATGATGGTATGGCATTCCCATTTATATTTTTAGCTTTAAATATAATTATTCATCCTCATAATCCAGGAAAAATTATTCAAGATTGGTTTACTTTAACTATTTTATGGGAATGTATATTTGGATGTATTTTGGGATTTGTTTTAGGATTTGTTTTAAGAAAATTAGTAACATTTGCAGAAATGAAAAATTTAATTGATCGTGAATCATTTTTGGCAATTTTTGTATTTTTAGCATTTAATTCTGCTGGGATTGGATCTATGTTAGGAGTAGATGATTTATTAGTATCATTCGTTGCAGGTACTGCATTTGGTTGGAATGGTGATTTTGCTAAAAAAACTGAAGAATCTCATGTTTCTACTGTTATTGATTTATTATTAAATTTATCATTTTTTGTTTATTTTGGAGCAATTATCCCTTGGCCACAATTTAATAATCTGGCATTAGGTTTAGATGTATGGAGATTAGTAGTTCTTGCATTTGTTATTATATTTTTACGTCGTCTTCCTGCTGTTATTGCCTTTAAACCACTTACACCCGATGTCAAAACTTGGAGAGAAGCTTTATTTTGTGGACATTTTGGACCAATTGGAGTTGGTGCTATATTTGCAGCCATCTTAGCCAGAAAAGATTTAGAACAACACTATACCACAGAGGAAACTCCTTTGGCTCATTTACCAGGAGAATCATTTCCTCATTATCAATTATTAGCCACCATATGGCCAATTGTTTGTTTTATTGTTATAACTAGTATAATTGTTCATGGATCTTCAGTGGCTGTATTAACATTGGGTAAAAGATTAAATAGAATGGCAATTACAATGTCATTTACAACAACTACAGGAGAACAAACACCAAGTTGGATGTCAAGATTACAAAAATTAGATAAAGTTAGTACATCATTTAGTTTACATCGAGTAGATACAGAAATGACTGAAAAGAAAGATAGTCCATATGCTGAAAAATTAGCAACAGCACCTTCAATTGAAACAAGTGGAATTAAAGTTCGTCCAGCCGGTGGAGCTAAAAGAAAACTGCATAAAAAGAGAAAAAGAAGATCAGGAGCTCATGTCATTAAGAAAACCCTATCAAGAGTCACGACCAAGGAACCAGAAGATGGATACGAATCCCCCGATCAACAACGTCGACAACAACCAGCCACAGAGTTCCTACAACTCGGACTTCGTCCGCCTCCATCCATAGACCAACAACCACCTATCCAACGAGAAGGCATCCCCACACCACTAGAAGACGCCTCCTCATCCGAACAAACCCATATCATCACCCAGACGGTCTCACCGCCCGATAAAACCTCAGGATTGTCAGCATATGGACAACAACCGCCCACAGAAGCCGAGAAACAAAGTCGACCAACTGTGGCATATCAAGATGGTGATCAGATTATTATTGAGGATCAATATGGAGAAATTATGGATAATTTGAAGTTGACCATCAAACCTGGGAAAATCCCCTTGAAAGGACACGTGCCTGTCAGTCCCGTCAAGGCAACCACCCCAATAGGGGGTCCATTCGAGGATGGCGGGGATCAGCAAGATAGTATACATTCCATCGAATCCCTTCAACGACGCCTTACGCAATATTCAACCGCCGATGAAGAAGGAGAAGAAAGGGTAGATGATCATCTGCCAGAAGTAGAAGGAGATAGTTCAAGTGGTGGAAGCATGGTCCCTCTTCGAAAACGAATCAGTCGAACACTATCAAAGAAGGCATTTGTACATAAATCAGACCCAAGACGTAAAAAAGTGTTTGCTCATCAAGTGGATGATTTAATCTTGATTGAGAATGACGAAGGGGAAATTATTAGAAGATATAAAGTGAATAGACATATATATCCCCCAGGTGTCAAGAAGACACATGTTGATGATGAAAATACAAGCACAGGAGGAACCCGGACTAGGTCGGGCACGATTGTGGATCGGATGAGATCATTGGTTGGATTGAAGACAAAGTCAGGAATAGTGGAAGAGAAAGAAAATAAACGAGGTATGTCGACTCCTGATATTCGAATTTCGCACTATGATCACGATTTAGAGGATCAGACACGCGTGCTTACACCGCATGAAGATGCGGAAGATGTTGTGGATGGGGGAATAGGATCTAGTTCGAAACTAGAAGAGAAGTTGACTGATTTGTTGACACAACAAAAGAAGAAGGGGAAACGGAAACAATCCCCGCCTCCTTCAAATAGGATAACTGATCTGGAAGAAGAGGAGGAAGATAGTGAATTATCTGAAGATTCGGAGGAAGAGGAAACTGAGATTGAAAAGAGGAGGAGATTGTTAGCATTAGGGCAATTAAGGAGTGATAATAGGGATGAAGATGATGAAGAAGAGTAGAGAGGGTTTTTTGCTAGAGAATTATTCATTTCATATAAATTAATTCGTTTTGTAATTTTGATTTAGAGATTTATTAGTAATGTTTATATATTATGTTTATAGAAATGACATTTTTGCATGTGGCATTTGGTGATTGAATTCTTGTAGTTAAAATATAGTCAGTAAATCGTGTGTATTGCCGTCCCGATTGATGGGCTGTTCCAACTATTTCGTGTTCAACAACAATAGAAATTGTAGAAAATAATCGAGAACAATTAGACAAGGGAGCCTCAACAAAAAAGATTTTCACCACATTACCCGGCTGCGAAGGTGAACTGCAGAGAGAATTAATAAAATTATAGGCAATTGGTCGGACCTATAGTCAATATGGAAAACACGTTCTGTAAGAATCATCCGTATCTGCTACTAATAGGACTTAATTCATGCAAATTTCAAAAAGAGTAAAAGATCTTAATAAAAGATTTAGAGGCAAAATAGTTGATGAACAACCTCACCAATCTGACCAAAGACAGTTGAAGAAACGAAGAACGCGTCTTGAAATTTTTCATCTTCCTAAAGACGTCATAGATATTATAATCTTCTTTATACCAGATGGATATTTGGAAACTTACCTCGACATTCCCTTTATTGGAGAATATGCAGCAAATAGATTTTATCGATATATCGAAATCCTCCCTTTAGTTGCTAACACTTATCCTTTAGAATCACCGTATATGGCGAATGATTCTGTTGAACCAAACAAGTATCAGACTATGTCGATAAGAAAAACATACACCTCAAACTTACCAAACTTCCTTATTCATCCTAATGAAGATGGAGGTAGTGGAAATACCTACTATAGACAATTAAGTGTAAATGAATTTGTTCAATTGAGTAAAACCTATCCCAGATTTCAACCCAAGGTTGTTCATTTTATGACATTGAACAGATTTGTTTGGATGCATGAACGGTATCCCACCATCTTGAAACGTTTACCACACATAGATATTTCATTTGAAGATCGTTTCATATTTACAGGAGACACCTTCTTTAATCTGCAATACAATATCTATCGGGTTTTTAATATTCCAGAAGAATTCATAAATAAGAATGTCTTTTCCAGGATTTCGTGTATGTGTTCTAGAGGGGTTCCAAGAGGCATTGGTAAGCGCTGGACTGAGAATCTTGAAGAACTTTACTTCGGTGGCGACATGTCCGGCGGGATGGATCCCACAATCGGCCAACTTTACCGCTTGTTTCCTAGGTTGAAAAGGTTATGCTTGGGTGCTCGGATATGGTACGTACCGGAGGGAATGCCTCGTTTCCCACCCATGTTAGAGTTTTTACAAATACGCGGCCTATCACGGAGAACGATAGCAAGGAATGGATGGAATTTTTCATATTTGGCATATTTAAAAGAAATTATCGTCGAAACTGACTTCTGCTTGGATACATTGAGAAGGTTCAAGTTTCCCCCGGGTATTGAAAGGGTTCTTGTCTCATGCGAGAGTTACCCAGAGTTGACTCCACGGTTATTAAATTTGGATGGTGTGGAAAGGTACCCCAATTTGAAAGAGTTCCGGGTTCGCTTTCCCGTCGACGGACAGAAGGTGTTCTCTCATAACGCTCACTTCCCACCCAACCTACAAAAGCTTGATATAGCAGTGGAGCGCTACTCAGGTAACCATCCACTTCCTTTAGTCGATTTGGGTGATAACTTGAAGCTTCCAGATAATTTAAAAGTTCTTCAACTTTACACTAATAATGGATTTTACCATCCTGAAGAATTGTTCTTTCCGCCTTCCTTAGAGATATTATCTCTTTATAATGAAATGATTGATGGATGGGCGGAACCATATGATTGGCATGATGTATTGTTTCCAGATTCTCTTGTCCAGCTAAATCTTCACGTTACAACAACAGAAGGACTTGCGCTTCCCAAATCGTTGCGTTCGTTGAATCTATCTTCAATTCGTCCAAGTAGTTACATTGACTTTTTTAATTTGGAGAATTTAGTTCAACTTATTTATTCATACGTAGGTATGGAGGACTTCGTTTATAAATTGCCTTTCACTTTAAAAACATTGGATTTGTCTTCGTCTAAATCCCTCCATACAATACACATTGACGCACCAAATTTAAAGCTGGTTTTATTAAACGAAACTGGATTTGCGTCTCTAGATAGACGCAACTTTCGGTTACCAGATTCTGTTGAACGACTTTCATTAAATAACTCGGGCCTTAAAAGCACGGCAGCCAACTCATTGCCAAGAATGTTGAAGCAACTATGTTTACAGAAATGCAGTTTAACTTCCGATTTATTAGATAACCTTCAATTACAAGACTATCAGAATCTTGTCAAGTTAGATTTGCTGGAGAACAGGATTTCGCGATTGGGAAGCAATACTCTTCCGCCGTCATTAGAATGGCTACGTCTTGATAAAAATCCAGTTTCCACGTTCTCCAATTCAAGTATATTCTCGGATCTTACACGCTTACGTGAATTAAATATCTCACGTACCAACATCAACAACTATTTACAAACAAATGAGTTGAAGTTCCCATCATCGTTGATTAGCTTGAATCTCGCAGAGAATGGTTTACAAAAGGGTGCAGTAGGTCATTTAATCTTGCTGTCATGTACTCAATTGCAAGAGTTGTGTTTGGTTGGGAACGTAGACATTGAGGATATTCAAGAGATTGTGGATGTAATTAAGTCTACTTGCCCAGACATGGTTGACTTGATGTTGAATAGCTCGCTTGACGATTGTGTTTTGAAAGAAGATTTCCTATCATTCCATGCTTCACCGATTGTAGAGGTGAGATTCGGAATGTGAACAACTTTAATATAAACATATGGATTAAAGATCAGTAAGTACATAAACCTAAATATAGGCACCAAGTTCGTAGATGAGCTGAGTAAAAACAACGAGCTTTGTTTCAGCGCTTTATCCTTCCCCTCTACGTCTAGCCCACAAGAATGCATATACTGAAGTAAAATACTTCATAAAGAGGGAAATAGGACCTGGTAACAAAGTTCAGGTTACATCCATCTGAATACTAAATTGAACAAAAAGACAAAAGTGGACAACGTCCATAGAATTGACCGATGTATAGTCTTATATAGTTAACGAATGTAATTAATACAACAAGTGAACAAGGTTTTATAATATTGATTATTCCAGTGAATTATATTAATCAAACATCTTAACTTATTTGTAGTGTTTCTGGTCTCGAATTTCAATATTGTTTGTGTGCGTTCATTTATCTTTAGTCTAATCAGTTAAGGTAGTGATTGTTACGCATCAAATCTCACATAGAAAGTTGATAAGGTGTTTCTTCTCAGAGGAATATTTTGATTCCAACCTCAAAATATGTAACTTTAGTAATATAGCTTTATAATACTTTTGCTTATAATCTTTGCGGGGATTCTCCCATCTCCTTAAATATTCAGAAGCAATAATGGTAGGTATAGCCAAAATTTCCAAATTTCTTGAAGGAGGCGGAATCCCGTTAGAACAAGAAGTTTGTAATGCCAACTATTAATCTCAATAATTGGAAATTCGTATCCTCATATTATCGAGCTGGAACTGGCTTTGTGAAATCAAACCAAGCTCTCATAGCAATTTCTTTCAACGGAATAAATAAAATTGGCAAACTACAGTTGCTTCTCATCGAAGCTAGTTATATTAACAATCTCGTGTTTTTGATAATTATGGTGAGGATTTTGAAAATTGTACCAACAGTGATGGTTTGGTATTCGAGAAAATTAAAACGCAGTATACATCTTCTCAAATTTCCTGATGGACTACTTGACAGAGTCCTCGAGTATTTGGAAACAGAAGAACTACTTCAGATCAATACGGTATGTAGGCGATTTAATCTTCTTGCTGGAAAACATTTATGGCATTCCATTTTCGTTTCTACTCCCATCAATGACGTAGCTATAGGAACACCCTGGGCAAACTATAGGAAAATTCCAAAGGAAAAATTTATGGAATTATTAGAGTTTAAGAAACATAAAACTAAGTTTATGAAAAGACTAGTACTCGGACATATGAGTGTTAACTCTTTTGATTGGTTTCGAAATTTGTTTTTTCCAGCTTAAGAGGTGTCATATAGCTATTAGTGAGGTTTTTGACTTGAAGCTTGTCAAGAAATTAAATCTTTTCAACCGTTCTTCACTGATGGGAGTTGGTGTTTGGTGGAAGGAATTCGGCTTCCTTGACTTGGCAATGATTCCTTACCCAGTGTATGGTTTCACTGAACCCCATCTAATTAAAAGTCTCCGCATGGGTTCAGTTGGCCACGACTTTTTAAATAATTGGGTGCCTACACTTAGTCTGTTGGAATCCCTTTCCATTAAATTGCTGGAGAGGTTCAGTGTCCAGAAAAAGATTCGTTTATCGACGCATGAGATAGTTTATAATCGGGAATATATTGACTTTTCTGAGATTTTTGAGGTTCTGCGCTTGAAATCGTTGAACCTCGAGGCGCACCAGGTGCGTTGGACTGGTGCATTTCATGGTTAGTATCAGTCACGTTGCTCAAAATGCATGGTACAATACGCAATTTGTCAAATTATTCTCTCATAGAACTTCATTACCTTGGTGACATACCCGAGGGGACTTCGATCACATACTCCGCTATCCAATAACTTATTTGACTTTGGATAGTTTGGGTCGGAATAGATGGCTGTGGCGGAAAGTAAAGAAGATAAAGCACAAATTCAAAGGGATGTCCTCTTTAAAAACTTTGTGGATTCGAAATACGAAATATCGTGTTGTTCATTCTTCTTGGGGTAATAAATATATCAGAATTCCTTGATCTCAGTGGAAATATCTCAAATTGAAGAGTATCAAAACGGTCTATTACATCCTGAAATATCAATCGGTTGAATAAACACATATTTGGGATCAGGATTTGCGTTTTATGCTTATCTCGTCAGGCCATTGCATATTATTTGGACTTGTTTAGCTAGACCCGCACAAATACCACAACTATTCAAACATTTTGAACGTAACATTTCAAATAAGAAGTTAAACAAAGAACTCATTGAATTTGCACTTCGAATATAATACGTAGTCAATGTAGTAAACATGAATTTAAAATAGAAGTAACTCTAGTGTGCATTTGCAGCCAAAAAAAATATTATTTAGAGAAAATACATTTAACAAATCAACTAATGGCTTAGAAAAACAGACTCAAATGGATAAGTTCAAACTTTGTGAAACCGGAATTTTCAAAACAATTCTGCCCATTGCCAAAGGTTTCTCTGATGAGGACCAAAGCAAGCAGATGTATTACATTCTTTCCCAAGAAATAATTACTTTCTGTATAATTTATGGATTGTCATTTTCATGACATAGAACCCTTTTAAAACCACCCCTCTCATCAGGACAGCTTTACACCTTGGTGAACGCAAAAACCGACCAAGCATAAATCCGTAATTCTTGTTTATAAAAGAGTGGCATGTTGAGGGTAATGAAGGGTATATTGCATTGGGGTCTTATTGTAGTTGCAACTTTGACCAAAATTGGAATTGTCAAAAAAAAAAAAATTAAATCGTTCTGCATAAAAAATAATTTTGTTTAAAAAAATATTTAAAGTAATATTGGAAAGCTCATATAATACAATAATCTAATTGGAGTAAATCTAAACAAAGGGAGTTACACCACCTGTTTCTGCTTTATGAAAAATTCAAGAAACTAACTTCTCCTTCATTAATGTACTCTTGAAGCTCACGATCCAAGAATAGCTCAACCATGTTTGGGCTCGACGATTTGAGCTGGTCCACAATAATTTGTATATCTGTCATTTCTCGATTTCCACCTAAGCAGACTTCCTGTAGTTGACAACAGTTCAGAAGGCCGAGCTTCAGAGCTACTCCCTTTTGTAGATGGTTATTAGAGAGATTCAAGCTAATCAAAGATGATGGGAAATTTAACATGTTCGCCTGGTCTGACTGGAGATAATTCGCGATGTCCTTCTGTCTAGAAACCAGGCTGTTTGGTTTTGGAAGATCTCTCGACTGGCGTACCAAACCTAACGTGCCTGACATTATTAACTTACGCAAGTTTTTTAGTTCTGAAAACACATTTGGAGTGGAAACTGCGGAAATCGGATTCTCATCAAGACGTAAATATTGTAAGGACAATGGAAATATATTGTTCTCTAATCGTGAGATTTTGTTATTCAGTAAATCCAAAGCCTCAAGGTTCTTATAAGCTCTTAAATGAAGTTCCTCAAAAGTATCAGATGTAACCTTGCACCGTTTTAAATATAATTCCTTAATTAGTGGAGGGAATGCATTTGCAGCTATACTTAAGGAACCACCAGAATCGTGTCGGTAACGAGGGCCAGAAATAGAAAGCACCTCAACAGAAGCAGGAAGCAGAAAACAAGAATTATCCAAGCTTTCAAAGTAAGATTCTGAAAATTGCACCAGTTTCAAATTTGGTGCGTCAATCTTGACTTTTTTTAAGCTTCCAATATTGGTTTACTTCGAAAATCTTCAAAGTTGATGGAAATATACATACAAGTTCTTCTGTGTCTGACCAATCAAGTTTAAGTTGAACTAAATTTCCAAGTTCAAGGAAATTCACCGATTTAAGAGAAACCCTATTCTTTAAAGTCATTTTTTGTAACGATTTGGGGAATGTGATTCCGTCTATTGTATCAAGCAATAGGTGCAATTCAACAAGAGAAGAAGGAAATCTTGTAACCGACCAATCTTCTTTCGCGTAGCCTTTCCGCTGCCAAATTTTCTCCATTCCAGTCCGTTCATTTACAATTGACAATGCCCTTAATGATTCGGGAAATATCAAAAGCTTAGGAGTATAGTGAATTTGAAAAGTTCTAAGTAGGAGAGCCCGTAGGTTGTTAGGAAGACTCAAATTGCCACGCACAGTTCCAAGTGGCTCCCAAGGTTCCGCGTTGGTGCAAAGATGAAAGAAAGTTATTTCAAGGTTTTGTAAGTTATCAGGGAAGTTCGTTCTCTTTGAAAAGATCTTGGTCTTTTCACATAGCTCACCATGTTCGATCCGGAACTCTTTTAGATTAGTGTATTGTTCTATACTATCCAAGCTTTCAATGTTTATTTTAAAATCATCACCGATTGAACCCATCATACGTACTCGTTCGATTCCAAGAGGAAATTTGAACCTGTCCAATCTATTCAAGGGATTGAAACAGTCAAAAACAATTTCTTTCAAATTTTCTAGATAGGAAACATCCAATTTGTCGAAATCATCAGTAAATAGTTGCAAAAACTCTAAACTTAATGGTAAAGGAGGCAACGGGCTCTCGGATAAGTCTATACGCACAAATCTTAATCTTTGCAAGTTTGGAAACAAACTGGGGAGATTCTCCAAACTGGGCCCCAGTAATTCAAGCACTTTGACATTTTCACCCCAACCTTGCTTGATAAGGTTAACAAGGAAATCATCAGTGATTTTATTGTCCAAAATCTTCCTGACATATTCTTTTGGGATGTCGCAAACTCTTTGAATAGTTAGTCCGAATGAAAGATCAATCCGTGGTAATTGATTTAACAAGTGAGGATAACGTTTATAAAGCCAACCCAACTGTTCCACCAGGACAAAATGAACAACCTTAGGTCTAAATTCAGTTCTTGATTTTGTAAATTGGACAAAATCATTGACTCGCCATGCCTTATATGAACAGTTGTTAACTTGAAAAAGGAAGCTTGGTAGTGACTGGTACCTTTTCAAACTTGAAAACGATTCGTAACCTTTTGGGCCCATATCCTCCCAACACAGTGTATATGAAGAGATAATCTCAATATATGCATAAAGTCTATTTAGAGCATAATTTCCTATGAGTGGTAAGTCAATACAATTTTCCAAACAATCATCAGGTAAATAGTAAATTATACGATCAATTACTTCTGAGGGAAGATTAAATAGTTTACTACTAATCCTTCGTTTCTTTGATTGTGGTTGTCCATATTCTTTAACCATATTGTATAATATATGTATTTCGAAATGGGGACTCGATTGATTTGTAAAAATGTTGATTATGAAACAATTTGAAAACAAAAATTAAGTGAAGGTTATTTTTCAATTTGTTTCTTTCTTTCCCGTTATTGTTAAATTTTCAGCCACAATTTTAGACGAAAACATTTCAATAGGGTGCATAAATAATAAAATATTTTTTAATGTCTAAGTAAAAAATATTTAATTAATGTAATGAAATTACTGATTTGAAGAAAGTTGATTGATTGGTGAATACATTCTAATAACGAAGTTTAAAGAACGATATACAAATCATAATTTGGTACAAGTTTCATATGGCTACTTATTATTTTCACAAAACAAGTTATTTTTCCGTAATACTATTTGCCAGCATCAATCATACAATTAGTCCATAATTCTAGCTAAATAAATTCAATATAGTAGGTAATCTCCAATGCTTCTCGTATGGGTGTATGTCTATTCCAGTCCAGAGGAACCAGGAAACCACCCGGCGAGTCAATTCATCTTTAGTAAGAAGGACCAACATGCAAAATGAATATGGAGATAGTAATTAACTACCAAAAAATCAATTGTTGGAATTAATAAATATAATCCTGCAAAACCATTGGCTGATAAATATTGTCTTATTATTCTTAAAACGTATTAACTATGTCTGAATACATATGAAATTGCTACTTGTAGTATACTATGTGCTTGGCTAATGATCAACTGATTTTTATCCACAATTACACTACCCTCGTTATTTCATTTGCTCCGGTGATGACGACGCGTCAATCTCTCGTAGTAGGGTAGTGTACCCATTAACAATCTAACATCACTGATTGCTTCTATTGAACATATTATATACCCTTGGCAACCCTCGTATATAAATAGATAGATAAATAGACACAGTGTCACAAGAAACACAACAAGATATAGATATCCCATTAGAGGACATGACTATTAATCACAAGTCAACCGACAATAATCATACTACAGCACAAGATGATGATGATCGACCAGGTCATCATCATCACCACCATCACCATCATTCAGGACATGATCCAATTATATTCAAACTAGGTAATCTCGTCACATTCAAATTATCCCAACTCAAGTACTTCACATTCACAATGATTGGTATTGCATTATTATGGCCTTGGAATTGTTTCTTATCAGCATCAGAATATTATGCGGAAAGATTTTTAAATACGCCATCATTAATAAAAGTATATAGTTCAACAATGATGTCAGTATCTACAATTACTTCAATGGTTTATAATTTCTATTTATCACAAACTCAAAGTAATGTTAATTATAATTATAGAGTAAATACGGGATTATCTATAACAATTGGTATTTTCCTTATAATGGCATTTTCATGTATTTCTGATTGGTTTATCAAGATGAATGATACGGCGTTTTTCACAATATTAATGTTTATGGTATTATTATCCGCTATGGCTACTTGCTTAGCTCAGAATGGTACTATGGCTATTGTTAATGTTATGGGTGGGATTTATGCTAATGCAGTTATGGTTGGACAAGCCGTTGCTGGAGTATTACCTGCTACTGCATTAATTATTTCAGTATTAACATTAGGTGATAAAACAGTTACTCCTCAAGAATATATTGAAAAGAATTTTGGTGTCTTTGCATATTATATTACCGCAAGTTTGGTTTCAATTTGTTCAATATTGTTATTATATTGGACTTCTTATCATAAAAATGAAATTGCATATGAAACTTTAAATAGATTAATGGAAGAGGGAAGTGCTCAGGCTGAGGCTGAAGAAAGTGAAAGTATTGATGATGATGAATATATTGAACCAATTCATAAACAAAAGAAATACGTTTCATTTGCATTATTATGGTCAAAATTAAATTATATTGTAATGACAATCTTTTTAACATTTTCAATCACATTAATATTCCCAGTATTTGCAGCTACAGTTGAATCAACTCATACTAATTCTAATTTCAAATTATTCCACAAAAGCATCTTTATTCCATTTATTTATTTAGTATGGAATATGGGGGATTTATTAGGTAGAATATTATGTGGATATCCAACCCTAAAAATGTTAATTAAAGACCCAAAAGTATTAATAGTATATTCAATATCAAGATTAATATTCATTCCATTGTTTCTTACATGTAACGTCCATCCCAAGAATGCAAGAGCATTAATTAATTCTGATTTATGGTATATTACTTTGCAATTCTTATTTGGCTTGTCAAATGGACAATTATGTACTTCTAGTTTTATGATTATTGGAGAGTATTGTGATAATGATGATGAAAAGGAAGCCGCTGGTGGGTTTTCGGTTGTCTTTTTGAGTGTTGGTTTAGCATTTGGAAGTATATTTAGTTATTTATTAGTATTATTCATTGCATAACACTACGGTGGTGCTACCATGTGTTACCCATGATTTCCTAATTGGGATTTCGTCAATTTACGGACAGAAAAAATAAATTTATAATTTGACACATAATTTAAATCAATCACAATTATTCTTCTTCTTCTTCGTCTATCTAATTGTAATAAAGCCAAAGAGGGTAGAATGTCATTTTGGGATAACAATAAAGATAAGTTCAAGTCAGCAGGTAAATCAATTGGCCATGGTGCAAAATCAATTGGAAAAGCAGGTGTAAACACATACAAAAAACATGATGCTAAACGTAAAGGTGTAGAATACGTTGATCCATCAACTCAACAACAATCTCAACCAGTAGACAATACACCACAACCAATGCAACCACTACAACCACCTAGTCAGATGCAGTTGCCCCCAAGTGATCAGTTACGCTCTTTACCTCCACCACCAAAGAGAAATGTCCCCGCACTTAAAGTAGGAGAAGCTTTGCAGTACGTTGCCCCTTCTGGTGCCGTGCCACAATATCAACAACAACAACAACAACAACAACAACAACAACAACAACAACAACAACAATTTCAGCAACAACAACAACAACCTACTCCACCAGCTTATGATGGTACCCAACAACAACAACAACAACTCCAACAACCGGGATATGAACAACCTCAACCAGGCTATGGACAACCTCAACAGCCTACGTATCAGCAGCCGCAACAACCTGCATATCAGCAACTTCAACAGCCTACGTATCAGCAGCCTCAACAACCTGCATATCAGCAACCTCAACAGGCTTATCAACAACCTGAACAACCTCAACAGCCAGTATATCAGCCACCTCAGCAACCTCAACAGCCAGTATATCAGCCACCTCAGCAACCTCAACAGCCAGTATATCAGCCACCTCAGCAACCTCAACAGCCAGTATATCAGCCACCTCAGCAACCTCAACAGCCAGTATATCAGCCACCTCAGCAACCTCAACAGCCAGCATATCAACTGCCACTGCCTGGGTTTCAACAACAACAAGCGCAACCAAACTATCAAAGACCATCCCCACCAGTCCCAGCTGTTGGTATGCAAGAACCAGCAGCACAACCCCAACCACCACAATCATTTCAAGATCGATTTTCTCAACAGTTGGCTAATTCAGTGGCACAGCAAGCAACTCAACAAATCGGTCTGCAAATCAGTCAGAAATATAATCAAATCGCCCACCCAAATCAACAACAACAACCAGTACAACAACCTCAACCAGCTATTCAACAGCAACAACCTGGAGTAGAAGGACAGCCACAGTCGTTTCAACTGCAATTTAGTCAGAAATTGGCGGATTCAGTGGCAAAGCAGGCAACTCAACAGATTGGTCTGCAGATCAGTCAGAAGTATATTCTGGTTGTGCATCCTAATCAACCACCAGTGGATCAACAGCAGCAACAGCAGGTACAGCAGGTACAGCAACCAGTGCAACAGCAATATGGACAGCCAGCCCAGCAACTGCAACAATACGGACAGCCTCAACAACAGCAATATGGACAACCGGTTCAACAACCTCAACCAGTACAATATGGACAAACGGTTCAACAACCTCAACCACAACAACCAGTACAATATGGACAGCCGGTTCAACAACCACAACAAAATGGGCAACCAGTTCAACAGCAATATGGACAAACACCAGTACAAACTGCTGCTCCGCTTCCTCAAAGATCAGTTCCACCTGTTCCTCCAGTCCGTAATCCTAGTGGCCAATTACCAGCTCAAGTCCAGCCTACACCTCCTGCAGTTAGTTATGATAATCCGTACCATACTCCACCTGTCAGTCAACCAGTTCAACCAGTAGCGCAATATGAACAAGCAGTAGAGCCACAACAACCAGTATTTCAAGAACCTCACCATATACCAAAACCAGCACCGGATCCAACTCAATTTATCCCACCACCAGTTCGTAGAGATAGGGATGCAAGTTCCAAACCACCAACTTTAAGTAGAACTGATACTACTACAACTACTTCACTGCAATCAGTTTCACCAAATCCGGCAGTTCGAGTAGCAGCAGCACGACCTCCTCAACCGGCCAGATCAAGTGCTCCAACAGTTGATTCGATCAAATTTGCCCCACCTCCAAGCATATATCGTGGTCCTAATGATGCCCCAGGAGGACATCCACGTCCAGATAAGACTGTATCCCCAGCAGTGGCAGTATTATCTGACAGACATGAATCAGTTTCTCCACCTGTGGTGAAGGCTAAACCACCAAAGCCAAAGAAATTACAAGTTGAAAATACTAGTCATTCGCCAAGTCCAGTCGCAGCTGCAAATATGGGGTTGAATTTAAATGCGTTCCCTCCAGCACCACCAAGATATTCAGCCACTCCTGAAAAGGAAGAAGAAAAGGTTGAAGTTTCACATAAGAAAGCACCGCCTCCTAAGCCGATGAAGAAGGTGACTACTGGTGATACCAAACCGACCAAGCCAATGAAGAAACCAAGTATTGTTGCTACGACTCAGCAGAGCGATGTTTCTGATGAGTTGAATAATATTCTTAGTAGAAGGAAAGTCAAACTGGAATCGCCACAAGAAGTGTCCAGTCCCGAAGTTAAGCCAAAACCTACAGTTCCGGCTTATCATCATACTGTTCCAAAACCACCTCCTGCGAGAGCTATCAGTCCTGCAATTTCAAAGTCGCCATCGCCGCCTCCACCACCTCCGAGGAGTTATACCCGTGCTGCTGTCGCGGTCCCACCTCCACCACAACCACAACCAATACAACCTACTGGTCCACCACAGCTTGATTTAGAACTTCATACAGCATGGTATGCCAACACATCCGGTTCGTTAGAATTACCAAAGTCCCTCCGAGGACTCAATTACAACACCAGTTATTCGATGCGAGGAACTTCTCATTCAAGAACCGTCACCGCCAGACTCAAAGACCTTTCAATCATCTCATATACATTCACATGGAACACTAATGATATAGTTAACGTCCAAACCTCCATATCCAAATATGTTCCATCTCCAATCACAAGTCGAATCCCAACTCAGGAAGAACTTATTGAGAATAATAATCGATTTGATGAATATGTCGCCTCTTGGGCCCAACATAATTATGGACAAACCGTTGGCAGAGGGGAATGTTGGGATCTTGCCAAAGAGGCCTTGGAAAAGGGATGTGGGAAGCATGCTTTCGTGCTGAGCTATACACATCACGGATATCCTATCTTGCAGCTCAAAAATAATGGAAATGGCATTGAGAATATAGATGGAAGAGGACAGTTGGATGAAGTGAGAAGAGGTGATATTATTCAGTTTAAGTCTTGTCTGTTTTATAATCCCGCTTTGAGGAGGACTCAGACTGTAGGTGCGCCTGATCATACTAGTGTGGTTGTGGGCAGAGATGGGGAGAAGGTCTTGGTGTTGGAACAGAATGTAAATGGGGTTAGGAAGGTTATGGATGGGGAGTATGTTTTGGGTGATTTGACGGGGGGTGAGGTTGTGGTGTATAGAGTCATGCCTGCTGAATGGGCTGGTGAGTTATAGAGGTGTTGTTAATTAACTTTAGATGTTTGTATATTAGAGATCTTATAAATTAAATTGTGCGTATAATTCTTTGAATGTAAATTTGTAGATATTATTTTGTGAGATGAGGTTTTGAAATATTTTTTTTTTTGGTTTATATAAATGGATCAATCAATTGATAAATATTACTAATACTGGAAGATACGCCATGGCAACAAGTGAAGAGATAGTAGCACCTTCATTATCAACATATCAAGATGAATCTACCTTCATCACTTTTGATGAAATTAAATCAACCAAAAAGGAAAGACCTTATCTCGGATTACAGAACCCTGATGACCCCGAAGAATTAAAATCAAAAATATATGAATATTATTCTCTAACTGAGCTTATCAAATTCTTAAATCAGAAGCAAGAAGATGGAGAAGTTAGATATAAGCGAATAACCCTTCAGTTTCCAGACAGTTTGATTCCTGATTCAGCTACTATTGTCTATGAACTTCAACGGGAATTACGACTTGAAGTAACCCCTTCATCATCAACACCAGTTGAATCCAATGAGTCATGCGGATGCGGAAATCAGAGTCAATGTGATAATAAAAGTAGCAGAGAATCAGGACAAAGGTTGTGGATATTAGCAGACACATCATATTCTTCTTGTTGTGTAGATGAAGTTGCTGCCGAGCATGTCCATAGTGATTTGGTTGTTCATTTCGGTGATGCTTGTTTGAATGATATTGACAAATTACCAGCGGTTTATATATTAGGAAAACCCAAGGTTGATCTAGACAAGTTGTTGGAACAATTTAAGTCGAGATATGAGGATAAACAAGGGAAGATTGTTCTTATGGCCGATGCTCCACATACTTGGATCTTTCATGATTTGTATAATTGTTTAAAAGATGAATATCCAAATGTTGTAATTGCAGATCTATACATCAACCCAAACTCAAAAGCCAACATAATTGGCTATACTCCATCCACCACTACCACCTCCACTGGACTCCAAAAATTCAACCGTCAATTCCTGATCGACAACAACGAAGTCGACTTCTCAGAATATGACCTCTTCCACATTACCCAACCAGCCACACCACGTCTTCTCCAACTCACAACCACCTTCTCATCTGTCACAATATTTCACCCAACCACCAACACCACCACCCAGGGACCCTATCCGAACCTCATGCGTCGATACAAGTTCATGCATATCGCTCGATCAGCAGGCACAGTCGGACTCCTAGTCAACACCCTTTCGCTAACCCATACCAAAACTCTAATCCAATCCATTGCTCAAAAAGTGAAATCAGCGGGGAAGAAACATTATGTATTCGTGGTTGGAAAACCGAATGTAGCAAAATTGGCCAATTTTGAAAGTGTGGATATTTGGTGTGTTGTAGGATGTGATCAAGGAGGGATTGTTGTAGATGAGACAAATGAGTATTTTAGACCGATTGTCACGCCATATGAGTTGGTGTTGGCCTTGAGTGACGAATTAACCTGGACTGGGAAGTGGATTGTCGATTATAAGAGTGTATTGGAGAATTTACAGGAGGTTCAAGAGGAGGAAGGGGATGAGGGTGATGAAGGTGATGAGGATGAGGACGCTCCGCCGGAGTTTGATGCTGTTACCGGAAGAATGGTGAGTACTTCTAGACCATTGAGACAGATTAATCATTTAATGATATCTGCAACTGAAGAAGAGGAAGATGGCAATAGTAATACCAAGCAATTGGTAGAGAAGTTTTCTAATGTCGTTGCAATTAAGAATACTATATCTACTTCTGCTATTCATTTACAAAATAGACACTGGAGTGGATTAGGAAGTGATTTTCAAGAGAACAATAATGAAAGCGATGAGGAAGGTGAAGGTGATGAGGGTACATTGGTAGAAGAAGGTAGAGGTGGTATAGCTAGAGGATATGACTTTGATAGAGATGTACATCTGTAGATATATAGTTAATAGATAATATTATCACATGCTTATAATATTTTTTTCTTTCAATTCCTCGAGGTACTGTACTTTCAAAATTGAGATGATGATCAAATGATGATACAAACAACTTTACTCTTCTTAAGTTTTTATTATTGCTATAACAGTATTAGCTATCCAACACAAAGAGAAATGTTAAATTAAATGACATTCATATCAATAGATAATATTCTAAACATATTAGCTTCAAATGCTAAGTTTATTATGCTAATAGAATGTATAATTGCGTATGTGTCACCCAACAAACCAATCCATAAGGAAGTATACTAACAACAAAAACATGAGTATAGATTCCTTGCTAGAAAGACTAGTCTAATACCATTGTATATATTCCTCATTACTATTAAGATTATTATACTTGGACATTTCTGTGCTAATTATAACTTGCCATTAAAAGATTGGAATCATATAAATAATAAAGATATTGCATTAATAACGGGTGGATCAAATGGATTGGGTTTAGAAATAGTAAAAGCATTACTTATGAAAAGGGTGACCGTTTATGTATTTGATGTTACTCCGCCCTCATTGGTTAAAGAAGATGAGAAGTTAATTTATATCAAATGTGATATTGGAAATGAAGATGAATTACAATATCAAACACAACGAATAATTCAAGATTTAAATAGCACCCATAGACATATTTCAATCTTGATTAATAATGCAGGAATAAGAGATAACAAATCATTATTAAACCTAAAAGAATCAAGAATTAAATCGATGTTTAATGTGAATATAATGTCACAAATATGGATCCTTAGAAATGTGGTTAATAATCATCTTGAATATGTTCAATTGCAAGACCCTACAGCAAGATTATTCGTTGTGACAGTTTCGTCAATATTGGGGACATTAGCTCCAAAGAATTTATCAGTATATGCAGCAACTAAAGCAGCTTCAATACTGTTACATGAAGCATTTGTACAAGAATTAAAAGAATACCAAAACACGATTAGATTATTATTGGTAACTACAGGACAATTAGATACTGGGATGTTTAAAGATGTTATACCTTCAAAAGAATTTTTTGCACCAATTGTTAATCATATTAAATTAGCAAATCAAATTGTTGAATATATTGATATTGGATATAGTGGAACTTTATGTCAACCATTTTACGCCAATTTCTTACCAATGGTTAGAACTTTCCCTACAAATTTACAAGAATTTTGTAGAAGGATATCTGAAATGGATGAAAAGATTAAAGATAGTTGAAATATTCTATTGACAGTGTACATCTTCTATAGACAATAGTATGGACTTTTATTGACTCTTTTTTTGTAAATCTTGTTCAATTAATTTCATGAAGGCATTTGAATTGAAATAACCTAATTGATCATAAAACTCTTTAAATTGATATTCATTAGTTACGGTTGTAATATCATTAAAAGTAATTGAAATATTATAAATTGGATCATACTTGGTAGACCAAGTAGTAATAGTCACTTTGTCTTTATTCTTCTTATAACCAATATATTTAACATTCTTATATTTATAATTAACCAATGTCAATATAATATTAATTAAACCATATAATACCACCCCAATCACGGTAATTGAATACATTTCAAATAATTTCAATTTATAAACCTTTTCAATTCCAAATAAACCACCAGCAATTATTACAGTAGCTAATCCTAATCCTAACTTAAGATCAATTAACCCAAATGATTCTTTATAATCAAATTGACTCATTATATATCCTAATTGTTCATCAGTATGTTGACGTAAATCATGAACGGAACTATAGCAGGTTTGTTAGTATGGAATATTGTTACTACGATTGATTAATATGGAATACATACTTTAAGTTGACTTTCTTATTCTGTGACATTGCGTGTTTCTCTTTTGTTGTTTGTGTGTGTCTAATGGAATTGGTTAATAGATTGGGAAGTAGTATCTGTTTATGGTTGTAAAAACCTATGAGTTGGAGGTTTTTGAAAAATTATGGCAAGTTTACAGTTTAATAACTTAACATGCAAATATATTAAAAACATGTAAAAGTGTAAAATCTAGTTATATTTACAGGTTAAGGGTTTCCTTTTTTCTCTTTCGATTTTTTATCACAACTTTTCTAACAACCACTTATTTAAGTACAGACCCTTTTACTGTCTCTCTTTGTCTGTCTCTCTCTAAAGAAATAAGAGAGAAAGAAGAAGAAAGAGGAAGAAAGAAAGAAGAAGAAGAGGTTAACCACACACACTTATTATTTGCACATTCAATAAGTTCTTTATCCATCACTCATTGAAACAAGACTTTGAACACCCTTTGTCAAAGAGTGTGATATTGAACATCCTAATATGAATATAAGCTGATACAAATCTACTTGTATAACATTATTAATAGACACATATATATAAATGATAAGCACTCATACACCTACATCTAATCCCACTACACCTACGACTACAATGGCTAAAGACGATTCTAATCTGCTGTCGTATAATAATAACAACGTGGGATCATCATCCTCCTCATCTCAACAACAACAACAACAAAACCAGCAAGGTAAACAAATTAAACAACAGAGAAGATCAAGACATCATAAATCTAAATATCCTCCTCGTAATGATATTAACTTACAAATTGAAACTCAATTAAAACAGCAATCCGTTGTTAAAAGACCAAATGGTGGTAATTCACGTAAGAATCAAATTTCAATTAATCATTTATTGGATTTCCAATCTTATAAAGATCTGGAAGAATACCAATCTAATAAATCAAAAAGACGTGGCAGTGGAACTAGAAATAATTACAATAACAAATTTTATCAACCTCCAAAAATTCAATTAACTGGAATGAAATTTATAAATGTAAATTATAAATTTGTAATTGATAATAGAAAACAATATCGTATTCAACAATTAGATCCAAATATTCCAGTAGATATTGAAGATATCATTCGTATAATTGTTCCCAAGGGAAATGCTTGTCCTATTTGTTTAGCTGATGATCCAATTGCTCCCCGGATGATTACTTCATGTGGTCATATAATTTGTTTAAAATGTGTTTTGTCATTATTAGAAAGTGAAGTTCCCAAGGCTAAAAAAACAGAATCTTCGGCAATTATTGAAAAATATCGTGATTGTCCATTATGTTCTTGTGTTATTCGAAAGAAAGAATTAAAACCAGTATTAATAAATACTCATATTGATGAACGATTTGAAACCCCCAAAGTTAATAATGATGTTATATTAACATTAATGAATAGACAACAAAATAAAATATTGGCAATCCCTCGTGCATTATCTCAAGAATTTAGTACTGATGATTTCCCTGATATTATGAGTCATGAATTAATGCAATATTCTCGAATTTTTAAAGGTGATTCACAATATTTATTAAATATGTATCAACAAGAAAAACTTGACATTCAAAAAGCTTATGAAGAAGAGAAATTAATGTATGGAGATGATAATCCTATTCTTTTGAAAAAGGCAATCGATCATATCGATGATGAAATTGATCATTGGATGGCAAAATTATCAGCCCCAATACCTTCCACCCCGTCCCATTCACAAGAGGAAGACTCTAAGATCCATCATCATTCAGGTACTTTCTATTTCTACCAAACCGGTTTTAACGCCAATTGTATCTATGTCCTAGCTCCACTTGACATGAAACTACTCAAGACAACCTATGCATCCTATGAAAACCTTCCTTCAACAATCATAGCCAAGATTGAAAATATCAGATATGAAGAATTAAATTCCGAAACTTGTTCAAGTAAATATAAATATTTAAGTCATTTACCTTTGGGTACTCAAATTGGATTTTTGGAATGTAATTGGAATAAAAATGAATATATTAATCAAGAATCTTGGGAGACATATAAAGTTGATTTAATCAAACGGACTCAAAAATCTTTAAAGAAATTTAAGAAAGAAGAAAGGGATAAGAAGCGGGCGATGGATCAAGAAGAAATTAAGACTCGGAATTTTTATAATCGAGAGAATGGATTGGAGGATCATATGGATGATTATACGGGATATGTCACCGGAGGAGTTGGGGGACTTTCGATTATAGATAATCGAGATTTATTGCCTAGTTTAGAACGAGGTGAATCCAGTGCCGGTGATGGAACGGGTGGTTCGGCAATTACTGATTCGGAAATTGAGTATCAGACAACAGTATGGGGTACAAAGATACCAAAAGGAGATGCACCCCAAACCCCAGAAGAAGATATTGATGATGAGGATGATTGGGATGCTGAAGAGATGATACGAAAGGCAAAAGAGGAAATGAACAGACAACAACAACAAGGAAAGAAGAAAAAGAAAAAGAAGTTGATTCTTCTATCTTCATGATTACATAATTACACTTACCAAAAAAAAATGCATAAACTATATAATTACTTATTTATATTATTATTATTATTAGTACATACCCTTTATAAATATTTATAATCATCTTCGTATCTAATTTCTGAATCTTCATAAATCAAAGGTCTTATGAAATAAAATACGGCTCCTAATATCAATACTCCAGTTCCTATAACTGGGAACATCCAATATGGAATATCTAATGATTTATAATTTGGTGGAGGTACAAATGGAAATAATGCCAAAAAGATATTTGCAATCAAAAAGATCGCCACTCCAATAAATGGTACAGAAATTACCTTCTTAGGTATAGTTGCTTCCGATAAATCTGCAGTACTTACTCTTAATAAATGATCATGTTCAGAATGTCTCCTTCTAGGAGTATATTCTCTCACTTCTTCATCACCCATATATGATTCAATAGAATTTATATCTGAATCCTCTTCCAAATCCTCCAATAATGATTTCGAATGATCAATTGGATTAAATTCCCCCCATTCTTCTTTTCGTTTGTTTAATTTAAGATAGATTAATCCAAGGGTTAACAAAATATTAATCCAAGTTCCAGGATAAATATATAAATTAACAATAAATTCATAAATCTCAGTTGATGGCGGGAGGACCAATATCAACACGGTGATTATCCAATGTAATAATAATGCATGATTTAGGTTTTGGAAATAGGATGAAAATGGGATATAATTATTATATGCCAATTCTTGATTAACTACACTATGAGCATATGAAACTACCAATACATTACCTAGATTTGAAAATGAAATTAATATTGGTAATAATCGACTTGTAATACTTTCTCCAAAGACTTTATTGAAAAATATCCCGGCGATTAGGACTCCACTTGATAAGATTTCTTCCTTTGGTATGACTATAAGATATGCGATAAGGACCAAAAAATATAATGAAGTAGTTAGAAGAACCGCTAATGGAGCAGCAATGGTTAGGATATGATAAGGATTATCCACTTCATTTAAAACATAATTAACATTTTCCCATCCTTTGAATGAATATATAACTTCCAACAACGCCACCGAAATTGAATAACTATTTGGTTTCATATCCTCATGAAACTTCCACACATCGGTGAAATTATCCGTCTTGGCCACACCCTTCAACCCACCAATGGCAACCAACCCACCAATCCCAATAATCAATACCAATATCAATATCTTAAACACCCCTAAAAAATTAAACAACCGAGTCCCCTGATTAGGATATCGTATATGTAAAAAGATACAAAATGAAATACACCCCACCCCAATCAATTTCACCAATCTATCATCAATCGAATCCCCATCATGTCTACCAGTGTAGGCATACATCATATATTTCCCAAATGCATAACTATTCCCCGACGAAAATCCCAACAACACAATCAGAAACGAATAAACACATCCCATTAATCCTTTGGGGAATTTAAATACTCGTAGTAAATAATTCAATTCTCCACCATTTTTAAATGGAAGATTGAGGGCGAATTCTAAATAGATTAATAATCCACAAAATATAATAATCCCACCCAAAAGGAATAATGAAAGGAATAGACCGACATTCCCGTTGGTGTATTGGAAGATTGGAGATGGGTTCAGAAATATACCTGTCCCGATGATTTTATTGACAATTAGGGATATACATGATAAAGTACCAAGTTTTTCTTTAGGTGTTTTGCCGAAGATTGATGAATGGATGGATGTAGTGTCTCCCATTGGAATGTCATTTGATAGAAAAAGAAACTGAAATAAAGTGTGGAAAGTTTTGGTTGGAAAGAAGTGTTTTTGAATGTAATTGAATGATTGAATTTTTATTGCTGCTGATAAGAATGTTGCATTATCACGTGAGACCGGCTTTTTTTCTCCGAGGTTGGAATTCATTTAGTGTAACTTACAACAAAGTGGTGGGGATACTCCTCAAAGCCACACAATGTTCAACCGCTGCCGAGATCCTCGCGTCGCAAGTATCCCTAGGGGGTAAATATTGTAAGGATACCCATACAATCCATTTTAGTAGTGTAGATAGTAACATGATTATGAATAATATGGAGCTTGAAAATGAAAAGAATACAGTCGATCCTGAGGATGCATAACAAACGAAAAATATGATCCCAGCAGTAACAAAACGGAGAAACATAATTAGTCTATTGCACACATTATAGATATGCTTCATTTATACAATGTATAATAACTTTGATTACTCTTTTAGGTATCTTCCAAATCGTAATAAAAATGGTTGCAAGAATTGTGTCTATGCAAAGATATGCATATTCATGCAAAAAGTCTCTCTCTCTCTCTTAGTACAGATGTAAAGTTATAAGCATAAGATATCAATTAGTAGTATTATTAATTTATGTACACATTGTATATATATAAAAGCAAATTCTATTAAAGCAAACGTAAATTAACAATTGTAATAATGTTAATAAGCAAGAAGAAGTGAAAACGAATAATCATAATATAAACAAAGAAAACAAAGCAAAGAAAACCCACAAACCAAAATAACATCAACACATACATAAACTACCAACACTGGATATAAAATCAACTACCCTTTCATTTCTGAAAGAGCTTATTTCTGATTAAAAAATCTAATCAAACTTCAACACATCGTTTAAATCAACAACATCTCCCTTAATTTCAGTGGATTCCTTTTGTACAATACTTACGGCAATATGACAACTACCCAAAACTTGTTCAACAATAGTTTGTTTTCTTCTTAAATAATGACCTGGACCTTCTTCAAAATGTTTTTCTTCAGGAAGTGAAACTATAAATTGATAATAATAACTTGAAACATCTACAAAAGTAGATTTATGTTCCACATCATTTTCTTCAACAACAACAGTAGGACCATCTTCTTGTTTAGTATCTCTTTTAGAAATATTTTTAGATACGGTACTGATATGAAGTGTATCATCAATTTCAAATTTCTTTGTAGGAATTTTATTAAAATTTGGTAATACAACTTGTTGATATTCCAATTGACTATGCTTTGAAGTCATACAATGGGATTCAGCATGGTTTATAGATGGAATCATAACATTTAAACCAATAGCAGCACTATTGTTAGTCTTCTTCATTTGAGTTATATTATCAATTAAAGAATCAACTTGTTTATTTATAAATTTAATATTTTTACCAAATATATTATGTTTTAATAAATGTTGAGTATTGGATGGATTTATTTGAAAATATTTTTCATCATGATAATAAACTGCATGACTATCTTGAGTAGATATACCAATAACAGGTATGCCATAATTATCAATACTTGATTCAATCATATTACCAACTGTAGCTAAAGATTCTAATCCTTCATTTGGACCAACAATTATTAAATCAGGTTTAAAATCAGGATAATATTTAGGTAATAAAATATCCATTCCAATAGTTAAAGAATCCATTGGAGATGAATTTATATACCAAGCATCCTTTTCTAAAGGATCTTGACCAAATTGTGATGTTTTCACTGGAATAAATATATCTTGTCTTGGAATTACATGTTTAGCTTTTCTCAGATTTAATAATTTAATATTTTTAAAATATGTTTGATGAACAGGTAATAAATGACCATATTCTCCTCCATCTTCAATGGCGGAGGGGTCATCGGTAATAGCATCATCATCCTCAATAGTTTGATATAATGGTGCTACTAATATTACATTATGATTATGATGTTTTAAATGAGAATACAACATTCGTATATTCTTTGCAACCCAATTATCTGTGGTTGTTAAAACTATATTTAATGTTAATACTTGTGATATAAATGTTGTAGTTAATAGTATTAATGATGATCTCATTGTGCTGTGTGTATGTGTGTATATATATCTATATGTATTGGGTATTTTGTAGTTGTTGTAGAAAAGAGTTTTGTAAGTTTAATTGATGTGTCTTTATATTTATAAGAATTGTTTGTTTTATTTTGAGATCATAACAAAATAAGATTTTGGTATATAAATTTATAAATTTTTTTTAGTCAACGTGGGTTCATTTAAATGGGGGGATAGAGAGGGTTCTTTATATCTTTATATAAATAATCATGATCAAAAGTTGCAAGTGTCCATATAATAAAATAAAATAAGACAATGTGCATATACACATGGGAAGTCCCCCCTCTAACTCCTGAAACAATGAAATCAGATTCCCAATTAGGAAGAAGATTAAAAAATAATCAATTTTGCAGCCACGTTTCTCTTGCTATTTTTTTTTTTTTTTTTTTTTCATCTGTTCAAATAAAAATCGCTCAAAAGTTTATTTTTAATATTTAATATTTTTTTTATTATTAATAGCTATTACAATTTTTACCTGTTTATATTTTATATTTATTATTAATTAATTATACAAACCTACTACCATTCTCTATCTATATCTACACGCGTTAATTGTCTCATTCCATATTTCAAGTTTACTTTGTAGTATATCAAAAGTTAAACTATAAATGTACATTATAGATTGAATTTCACTCCCTTTTTTCTCATTGAGCAAGGCTTAGCTTACTTGTACACTTTAAGATGTATGTCTATTTTGCAAACGGTTACAGTTACCCAACCCGTCTCCCTATTCGCTTCATTACCCACTAAGTCACAAGATATAAAAAAAGTTTAACAAGAAGAAAAAGCCTTCAGGCTTATTGATTTCTATTTTTGTCATTGTTGTTGTTGTTTTTGGTTTATTTTGAGAATTCGTCGAAATTAGGCTTTCTCTTTCATCCACTCAAACGATCATTATTGCTAAAGCATAGTACGAGCAATTATTCGAATCGATATTACTTTTAATTTAAGATATGACATCAGATTGACGTATGACATACATCTCAGATCTCGTATTTTTGTAGATTGTTCTAGACAATATCGTATAATTTTTTTATAGAATGATTTGTTTTTTTTCTTAACCGCGGAGAAGACGCAGATTTACGAACAGTCACATGACTCAAGTTTCTATAAATAGATTCAGAAAGGGCATTTTTTTATTAATGAAGCCGCGAGAGACTAGTCACGCTAGTACTTGTCGATTAAAGTAATAGATTCTCGACGCAGCATCTGATGATATCGGAAATCATTGAGAATAACCCAGCCCCCTATAGAATTTAAGGTATGACGCATTGTTGCAATTTCGTTTGTTGAAATATTTAGGGTTTTGGTTTTTGGGCTTTGAATCGATTTCGCGCTTTGCAGAAAACTTTAAATTTCAGAGTTTCTCATATGTTTGCCATTGCTCAGCCTGGTTTGAGCGAGTATCCTTTGAAATAGACTTCATCTCGCTTCATTCGCAAAAATCGCGTATTGTTTCGCACGTCACTAACCTTTGAAATTGCGCACAAAAAAGATCATGAGACCGCGCCTTTATTTTGCAGCCGTTTGTTGAAACAAGAACCGAGAACAAAAAAAAAGCTGAAACTTTCTCCGACCGTAGAAAACCTTCTCTTTGTTAAGTATTTGTCATAACTGGTTACCTTAAGTCAAATTAATTAATTTTCGATCATCTAAGTAATCTTATATTTGTCTTCGCGCTCTGTTTAATACAAATACATCTGTTAGAAAAGTCTCATTAGAATGTTTTTCAAGCATTAAATCCTATGCTTGTCGGGTCTTTTTTACAAAAAAAAATTTTCAAACTTTATTATTAAAAGAGAAAAAGCCATATCTAGACTGATGGAATAAAGCAGCCCACCCGGATCATCAGACTCCTTGAAAAAGCCAACCCGGCTAATAGCACTTTTTTGAAACCTTACACCTACAGTGTGTAGTTTATCTTTTTCTCGATAAGTCATTATTTCTCCTAAATTCATTCACACCTTTGTGTGATTTCATTTTGGTTTTGATTAATTGATATACCGTAAAACTGAAAGATAATATCCAATCAGAATTGTTATTCTTTGGCCTGTTGGACCGTTCGTCCTTGTTGGTTTTACTCAGCGTCTCGTGATACAATCGATGTATCCGATTTTAAGTTGTGACTAATTTGGTAGTAATTATTTAGGAAGGATTTGGTTGGAGCTGTATGCACTAGATACTTCCAATCTATGTTTCATCAGGAAGACCAACTGCGGGCCTGATTTGTTGATCGATTCGAAATAATAGACATGTTTCTAGTTCTTCTCTTGTTATTTGGTTCTAAACATAGAATACAGTTTTATTATGTTTTGTGGTTGATTATGTTTCTTCTGTTATTTTTAGCCCCCCTCCCCGGGTTAAATTGCCAAATTTCATCTATAGTATTAGGATCTTGTATTCGGATTTCATTGAATTTCATTGAAGTTTTTTCAATGTCTGTGAATCCTTAATTTCAAAGGCTCTCGTCAAGGGATTTCAGACAGTTTGCAGGTCCTTTTGCAGTTGTGTTGCAAAGTCGAACCCTTATTCTAGAATGGGTTTTCCCTGAATTTGTAGTAGGGATATGGTTAATGGTTTTATTTTGACTAAACACAAATGAAAATCTCCTTGGGACTTGAAATTCTAAGACGCGCAAGGTCTAATATAACGGTTGAATTAATCTTTGCGAAGCACGCTTGTGAATAGCTTTTGTCGTTTGGTTGAAAGACGTGTGAGTTCAACGGGACAGATTTGAGACTCTGTCTTCGACCTTTTTCATCTCGTTGATTAGATTTCAACTTTGCTACACATAGAAATTGGCATCCATAAGACGTTGTTAGGACCCGCGTGTCAGAATAAAAATTGTTGCATTTTATCCTTCCCTCAAAGAAACAGCAAATCAACTTTCATATTCTTCAAATAACAAGAAAATTCGTCTTGCTCTTTTCCCTTTCAAAATTGATGCTCTATATTAGCTAAATCAAGTCCTCCTTTTCGAGGTGAATATCTAAACCAAGTGGGTTCATCCGGGTTAGATCTCCCTTGGTCTCTTGGTCAAGACCGGGTATTTCTGAAGACATGAAAGAATGGTGTTTATCAAGAAGGACGATTTTTGAAAATACAAAGAAGTTGACTAGAAGTGCCCTGGCTTGTAATGGAAATCTCTTGTACTGCTGTCGGTTTTAAAAGTTTAATTACGCCTACGATTTGCCTGAATTGTGAGTTACGTCTTTTTTTTTCCTTGTAATATTAAGGAAAAGCTATATAATTATTTAAAAACTACATAGAAAACCAGTCTTTGACCATAAAAATTATCTAGTTGGTCTTTCTTTTTTTTTTCTTTTTACATAATAGGCATTGTCCTGTCTGTTGCCAAGAAATTTCTTGCTTCTTAAAAAAGAAACGAAGGGACAATTTTTTGCAACTAAAAATACAGCAGTACCTTCAGCCATTATTATTAACCAAACGAAATGACATGATATTGATATTAGAGATGACCACATTAGGAATTTATTTTCTAATTGTCATATTGTAGTTTTCTTCAGTCAATAAATCTAAATCTGTTTGTTTCAAGAAAAGATAATGAAACCGGAAAATTTTCCACTGTAATGTGAAGCCGTTTAATTGAACTCAAATTTACGAGATTAATCCGATACCATCAGATTCTTCCAGATGACGTATGGTTTTAGCCTTACTGTTTTTCACGTCATAGATCGAAAGTATCGAAACTTTCTTCTATTACATCACACGATATATTTTTTTAACCACCCCACAATATTTTTTAGTCTAACTTTATCTAACGTGTTTGAAAAAATAATACTAAATTTCTAAACATCTTTTAGAATAAATTGTGAAGATATAGAACCAGCTGCAAATAACTAACAAACTGGGCAAATTGCAGTGAGTTAATTCAACTCGGAACTTATAACGAAAGTTTTGCCCGTGTTCGTTTCCAAGATAATTGAAAACTTCCAACCTCATTCTATCCCAGGTTCGTGTTCTATAATTAGATATTTTCAGTACATGATCAATGGGTCATCAACAAATTATTTCGTAAGGCATTCGCGATATCTTAAATTAGAACCCAAAAAATATCATAATATGACCCGTCATATATTCGGGTAATTTGCAAACGAAAATGACGTAGATTGACAGGTCTAACGTAATATAAATAGGAAGCAATTTCTCTCTTTTAAAGGAGGTATGTTGTTTCTACTTATTATTACAACAGCAAACATAAAACATTAAAAATGTATAGAAACACTTTTATCAAACTTTTGTTTGTATTTTTCCTTTGTGGAATCCTGAGAGCTACTGCTTTATATAACAAAAGAGAAGCTGAGATGGACAAGGAAGAATACGAATCAGAAATCAATATTTTCAATTGCAAATTAGGAGCTACCGACAAAGACTCATGGTTAGAACGAATGGATGGTGTCATTGCTGCTATGAAATCAAATCTGATTAGGATGAATACATTCTTCACTCTTCAAGGCGCTCTGGCTGATCAAGCTGAAGATATTCTGGTCCGCCTTAATGGCGATGACAAGACTTCTCCTTGGACTTATGTTGGTGCTGATGCTGGTGTTCCAATTTTTTATAATTCTAGTGAATGGGGATTTGTAAATGGAACTAGCCAAACATTCCGTTCACCACATCCTCCACCCTGGGCAGCAGCTTTTTCAACAGGTTTATTTATCAACAAAATGGATGAGTCAGAAATAATTATAGTCAATGCCCATGCTGATGCGGAATCTGAAGAAGAACAAAAAATGGCTACTAAATATATTCTAGGAAAAGTCTCTCCTCTTAAGCCATACCCTCCATGGATGATAGCTGGAAATCTCGATTATTCTACTATTAGTAAAATTCTTCCCAGTATTAGGACTGACGGCAGCATTAGGGCTGATAACAGCATTAGGACTGACGGCAGCATTAGGGCTGATAACAGCATTACGGCTGGGAATATCGTTTTTGCAGTTGGAGATGGTATTGCGGTATCTGCATATGAATCAGTCGATAATAAGCTGGATGACGGTATTGTGTTTAGCGAAGATAAACCTTCCATAGTTACCATAAAAATTCGAAGAGACTGGTGAAAAAAGCCAACCAAGTAAGGATTAATGCCTATCCCATTTTGTAATCACCTGTCTCGAACAGACTGATTAATTTAAAGGATCACCACAACAACTACGCCTATGCTCACGTTCATTCTTAGTTAGGTTTTTTCTATATAGGCTTTTAAATACTTTGTAGATTTTCCTTAATGTTATAAGAAAAAAAAAACTATCACATTATTTTTATGCATGCTTCTAAGTATATAAATATTGTTTATAGAAAATGCTACAAATTTATGTTTTATTAATCCTCCAGTATTTTCAGCTAAGGATATTCCTGCCTTGAGATGTCTTAAATAAATTTGCTGGCTTTCTTTTCTGCTTGGTTGCAAGGTTCCAAAACCTCTTTTTCGAAACTATAAAGGATGGGTCACGTGCTTTGTCCTTGTATTTCCATTCAGGAAACGATTTCCAACGTATTTTACAGCGAAGCTTTACATCTGAAAACCTTTTATATAAATATACTTTATTCTTCAGTTATCCTCTATAGTAGCTCAAATAAATACACGTATTATTACCTAGAAGACTTTGTCTCCTTATTTGTAAACGCTACAAAACCCATTCAAAGTACAATATTAAAAATTAAGAACATCTAAGAAAAATCAAATTGAAGGATTTTCTATAAACAGTCTATATATTTAAAAAGCGAAATAAAAATAGTGTGCTAGACATTAATCCTTAATTGGTTGACTTTTTACTTTTGTAACGTTTTAGGGTAACTATGGAAGGTTTATATTCACTAGACAAAATATTGTCATGCAGCGTAGTATCCATTGATTCATATCCAGAAACAGCAATACCGTCTCCATCTGCAAAAACGATATTTCCAGTCCCAATGCTGCCATCGGTGCTAATACCGCCACCTTCCGGCCCAATGTTGCCACCACTATTAATGCTGCCATCAGTGCTAATACTTCCACCAGTGCTGCCATCAATGCTGCCACCGGGCCCAATGTTGCCACCACTATTAATGCTGCCATCAGTGCTAATACTGCCACCAGTGGTACCATCAATGCTGCCACCGGGCCCAATGTTGCCACCACTATTAATGCTGCCATCAGTGCTAATACTGCCACCAGTGGTACCATCAATGCTGCCACCGGGCCCAATGTTGCCACCACTATTAATGCTGCCATCGTTGCTAATACTGCCACCAGTCTCAATGCTGCCATCAGTCCTCATGTTGGCAAGGATTTCGTAGGAACCCCCAATAGTAGAATAATCGAGATTACTAGTCACGATTATTGGATATCCATTTGCACTTCTCCAAGGATTGATTTTTTCCACAAGAAATTTGGTAGCCAGTTGTAGCTCTTCTTCAGATTTGCAATCGAAATGGGCATTAACTATATTTATTCCTGACCCACCAGTTTTGTGGATAAATAAACCTGCTGAGAGAGTTACTCTAGTCTTTGGGGTGATTGGCTTGATGTACGGTCCCTGACAACGGAATAGCAGTTCAGGACCATTTATAAATCCCCAATCACTCGAATCGTAAATAATTGGAACACCACCTACTTCACATTCAGCACCATTAGAAGTCCAAGGAGAAGTCTCGTTATCTCCATTAAGACCAGCCTCAATATCTTTGACTTGATCAGCCAGAGCTCCTTGAAGAGCGAAGAATGTATTCTTCTTCAATGAATGTGAATGCATCGCAGCAATGGGAACATCCTTACCTCGGAACCAGGAGTCTTTGTCCCTAACTCCAATGTTTCCACTGAAAAGAATGATTTCTGGTTCGTCCTGTTCCTTATCCGTCGGCGCTTCTCTTTTGTGATATAAGGCAGTGGCTCTCAGGATTCCACAAAGGAAGAAAACGAAAAAAAGTTTGATAAAAGTGTTTCTATACATTTGTATGTTGTTTGTTTGTCTGTTGTTGTAATGATGAATAGAACCAACATACGTCATTTAAAAGAGAGAGTTTGGACTCTATTTATATTACGGTAGATCTGACAAGTCATCCACGTCATTTATGTTTGTAAAGCACGGGACTATGGGAATGGTCATACTAAGGTATTTTTTTTTTTTTTTGATGCTAGCTTAAGACGTCGCTAAATGCCTTACAAAATATGGCACAAAAAAAATAAAAATATTTTTTTCATGACCCATTGCTCATCCTCACAGAATATTTAATTATAGAATACAATGCTGGAATAGAATGAGGTGGAAACTTTCGATTGTCTTGGAAGCAAACTGAAAGTTTCTTTATAAGTTCTGGGTTGAATTATCTCACTGGGATTTGCCCTATTTGATAGTCACTTGCAGTTTGTTGTATATCTTCACAATTTGTTTTAAAAGAGGTTTGAAACATGTTAGATAAAGTTAGACTAAAAAATATGGGGTTGATTAAAAATATATCAAGCTTATTATTAGAAGCATGTGTTGATGATTTCTATTTATGTCAAATAATAATTTATTATTCCAAAAAAGAAACGACGTAAAAGCCCTTTTCCGAAACAAAAGATTTTCCGAGGATGTACTGTTAATCCGAAGTGATACTGATATTTCGGATAATTCTGATAAGAAATTGGTTTTGAGCTTTTGCGTTAATGGGAGAATTGCAAGCAAAATATTCATAAATATTCCTACAAGTATCTCTTTCTAGTAGTATATTGATACTGGAAGAATGATAGCTTAATATCAATTCATGTCAAGTCCTCTTTTGAAGGATCATTGGTTTTTTAGAATTAGACTTGCAGGGTCTTTCCCGCTTGTCCGACGTTGGAAAAACCGGAAATGTTGCGTCATCTTCAGTATTTATTTTTTAACCCCAATATTTTTTCGGTAAGCAGAATTAAATCTGCTTAAAAAATGCTCCGAATTTCCGCTAAGAAAAGTTTGAATATGCAATCAACCTGAAACTACCTGACTATTGTTTCAGGAGCGTCATTTATCTAAGATATGAAGTGTTTTCTACTAACCCCTAGGGAACTTATACTTTTCCGTCTATGCTGATTGGTTCCCGTTTTGTACTTTATAGGCATTTTTGCATGGAGGTATGTGATAAATACTTACAACCTAAAACCAAAAATAATCGGTTTGGAGATTTTTCCGAAGGACAATCACTGGTACCAGATCAAACAATTTAAGTTGTATCATTGAAATTTGGCATCCGACCGGGTATTCTATAATAAAAATTTCCTTTGCGGATTCAGTTGCTTCCACAATCGTCATCAAAGCACTATTTTTAACTCTAACAATATTTTTTTCAGATGTTGCATAAAAAAATAATTCAATCTTTAGGTCAAAATATAAATAAAGAGTTCGGATATTCTCGATAAAGTAGATGGGTAGTTTATTCTGTTCATCAATACACATACAAAAAACAACAAGCATATAATATTCAAATGTACAGGAACATTTATTTAACACTTTATTTCATTAGTTGGCTTTTCAATCTACTGAATGCCGCTTACTTATATCCCCAGAAATCAAAGAGAGGAGAGGGTTCGTTCAAGTTTAGGATTTTTGACCTTAATATAAAGGCAGATAAAAACTACGATTATGGTCAAAGAGTCTGGTCTGAACGTAAGAATGCGACTATTGAAGCCATCCTAGCAAGCTCTCTGGAATATGCAACAATTATCACACTACAAGAAGCCCTTGTAACCCAAGTTAAAGATATTGAAGATGGTCTTAATAAAAATGGAGGTTCATCTTGGACCTATTTTGGGGCTGGGGCAGACGATGGTGTAGAGGCCGGTCAATTTAATCCAATATTCTACGATGAAAAAAGGTGGAAGTTAGACAGAGGAATTCAAAAATGGATGAGTTTTACTCCGGATGTGCCTTCGGTCTACGGAGGTACAGAGAAGAGGATATTCGTAGTAGCCACACTTGTCCACAAAGAATCGGGCCATGCTGTCAACGTAGTTAATACGCAACTTGACGACAAAGAGGTGATATTAAGAAACTTTTGGTGTATAGATATTGTGGATTATATTAGGGAACAAGACGAAATTCATAGAATTTTACCAGTAATTGTGAGTGGTGACCTCAACTCTGGTGAAGAGAATATTCCCTATAGGATTCTTTCACGTTATTTTTTTGATTCCTCCAAGGTTGCGAAAGAGCAGATTATACCCTTCTCCACCGTTTCTGGTTTTTCGGGTTATGAAGGAAAAACGTCTGATTTTGTTTTCATGAACCCGTCAGCTTCTAAACTTTCTACTACACGATACGAAGTAATGGATAACAAGGATGGAAAATATAGATTTAGTAGCCATAGACCGGTCGTTGTTGACTTTTCTACGTAAGCCAAGGGATAGAAACAAATAGACTATTTATAGATTTTAGATTTGATTTTTTAGTTTTAAATAGAAATGACATATGTGTGTATTGATTGTGTAAAAACTGTTATAGCCTGCCGCGGCTTAAGTAGAATGTTCAAATCCGAACAAAGATTATTTTTTCACCAAAAGAGAAATTTGCGGCAAGCTAGAAAATATTCCAACAAAAAATAACTTTTAGAGGCATATGTACATATGACTAAACGCACCATTGTATACTAAAAATAATTATTTATTATTCCAAAAAAGAAACTCCGGAAGCTGCGTGGGACTAGTACCTGTTCGGGTAAGTTAAATTCAGGGATCAAGCAGTTAATCCGAAGTTATTCCGAGAATCCCGGGGTACAATATTAAATTTCATTTGCGTTAACCCCAGCATTGTATGAGAAAGATTTGTGATTTGTAACTAGATCCTTATAAGCCTATATGTTAGCAAATTAAGAATTAACTAACCGTTGAGTTATTGTAAATTGTGTCTGATTCTCTCAATGTAGTTGCAAATTGTTTACATTACTGTACCCGTATCTAAAAGTACATTTCTATAAATAAATTTTTCCGGGTGTTCCCTCTTTTTTTCCCTCTTATCACATGTTTGTCTCCCGAGGTCATCAATATTTTGTATGGCATTAGCGATATTTTTTATCGAACCTAATAAAAAATAATTCAATATGTCTTATCAAATGTAGTATAAATAGAAGCTATTATTCACTATGAAGGGGAATGCTGCTGGTTCTGTTCATCATTACACAGAACAAATAACAACAAACATTCAAATTCATAATGTATAGAAATATTTACATCGCAATATATTTTATTTGCTGGTTTTTCAATCTTCTGAACGCCGCTTGCTTATATAACAAGGAAACGCAGAACGTAAAGAGAGAAAAAGAATCATTCAAGTTCAGGATTTATAACAATAATATAAGGGCTGAGAGAACCAACTTGGAGCCGTTTGAACGTCCTTGGTCAGAGCGCAAGGACGCCGCCATTGCCGCCATGCTGGAAAACTGCTTGAAAGTTCCAACAATTATTACCCTTCAAGACGCTCTTCTCAGTCAGGTTAATGATATTAAAAATGGCCTTAATGAAAATAAGGGTACCTCGTGGACTTATTTTGGTTACGGGGCAGACGACGGGGCCCAAGCTGGTAAATTCAATCCAATATTTTACGATTCAACCCAATGGACACTAGATTCTGGAAGACAAAGATGGTTTAGCATGTCCCCTTCTGAACCTTCACGCTATCCCCCGGCAACCAACAATACAACAATTATTGAGGCTACCTTGATTCACAAAGCAACCGGGAATGCAGTGAATATACTTAATACCCAGCTTGATGACAAACATGAAGATACGAGACAGTTGGGAGCATTGGATCTTCGAGTTTATGCTGAAAAATCGATGCTAATAGGACATCCGACTGTTGTTACCGGTGATTTCAACTCTAACAAGAGCGACCGTCCTTACAAATACATTTCCAACCCACGCTGGTTAGTTGATTGTTCTAGGTACGAAAAACCGGAATCTAAAAATTTCTTCTCCACGTTTTCTGGTTTTTCAGGTCCAGAAGGAGAGACAACCGATTTCATTTTTGCTGATATACAAACTGTTCTTGGTTCCAACTACGAAATCATTGATAATAAATCTAAAGATGGAACCTACAGATTTAGTAATCATAGGCCAGTCATTGTTGACTTTTTATACTTAAATCAGGAGAGAGACGTATAGACTATTTATAGAATATAAACTTGATTTCTTTTTAAAGTTAAATGCATGTAACATCTTTAACATAGTATTGTAAAACTATATTGCGTTGAATTTATTGCTGATGTTCAAGTTTGTGCATTGATTTTTTTTTTCTTATTGATTATTTTTTGCACCCAGACAGAAATTTTCTTTTCCAGAAGTAGAAAATAATCTCTCACAGAAAATAACTTTTAGCCGAACACACGTGCATGACGAAATGTGTCATCGTATACTAAAAATAATCATTTATTATTCCAAAAAAAGAAACTCCAGAAATTGTGCGGGACGGGTTGGGATGAACTGGTTTGAGTGATCAACCAGTTAATCCGAAGTTATTCCGAGAGTCCGTGTGAACAATATTAAATTTCATTTGCTTTTATCCCAGTATTGTATGGGACGTTGTGCTTTGTAAATAGATCCTTGCAACGCTTTGTATTAGCCAATTAATTGGAATTAACTAACCGTTGAGTAATTGTATATTCGATTTTCTCAATTTAATTGCCATTTCCTTTTACGTTATTATACTTGCTTCTAAAAGCACATTTCTATAATTAGATTTTTCCGGATGGTTCCTTCTGTCATACATTTGTCTTCAGAGGTCATGGCATCAGGGATTTTTTATCACACCAGAAAAAAATAACTCAATATGTCTTATCAAATTTGGTATAAATAGAGATAAATTATTCCCTATGAAGGCGGATGTTGTTGGTTCTGTTCACCAATACCTAGAACAATAGCAACAAGTATACAAATTCATGATGAATAGAAACATTTACTTCGCAATATATTTTATTTGCTGGTTTTTCAATCTCCTGAATGCAGCTTGCTTATATAACAAGGAGACTCAGAACGTAAAGAGATTAGCACCATACCATTTCAGGATTTATAACAATAATATAAGGGTTGCCGGAACCAACTTGGAGCCGTTTGAACTTCCTTGGTCGGAACGTAAGGACGCCGCGATTGCCGCCATGCTGGAAAATTGCATGGAGATTCCAACAATAATTACCCTTCAAGGCGCTCTTCTTAGTCAGGTCAATGACATCAAAAAGGCTCTTAATGAAAATGAGGGTACCGCCTGGACTTATTTTGGTTATGGAGCAGACGATGGGGCAGAAGCTGGTGAACTTAATCCAATTTTCTACGATTCAAACGAATGGACACTAGAAACCGGAAGTCAAATCTGGATTAGCATGACTCCAAATGTGCCCTCACTCTTTCCAATGGAAACTCAAAAAAGAATAATTACTATGGCTACATTCAAGCACAACTCAAGACGCTTAAGCATACTCAATACCCAGTTTGATGACAAGCGTGGTGCATTAGCAGTGTTTGGAGCCCAGTCTATTGAGCAATGGACTAGGGAATTGATGAAAGATGGACATTTGACGGTTGTCACTGGTGGTATCAACTGTCGCAAGGAACACCAACCATACGAAGTTATTACCGAAACTTTATCTGATTGCTCTAAAAAATTCCTGCCACGCTATTCTACCTATTCTAGTTTTTCAGTTCCAGAAGGAGACACGTCAGATTTTGAAACGATAGATTTTGTCTTTGTTGATGCAGGAAATATTGCAACTACGAACTACCAAGTGATTGAAAATAAATCTAAAGATGGAACCTTTAGATTCAGTGATCATAGACCAGTCATCGCTGACGTGTTTATCTAAGTCAAGAGAACGAGACATATAGAATATTTAGAGAATAATTACTTTAAAGTTATATATATATGTATGCAACATTTTTAACATAGTAATGTAAAATTGTTATAGCTTGTTGCTTCCTGAATTTATTGCTGATGTTCAAGTTTGTGCATTGATTATTTTTCCACCGGACGAGAAATTTGTTTTTGCAGCCACCTATCGCGAGAATATATGATTCTTGAGTCTCAGTTACGGGATCATTTCAAATTACTTTTATTAGTTAAGTTAGTTAAGAAGAATACTACATATAAGTTAATTATTAGTTTTTGGATCTAAGACCATTTTTATATTATTGGATTACCAAATTTACTTAATAATTTATTGCATTTTGGGTTCATTCATTTTGTATTATAAATTCATTTGCTGGTAGTTACCAGATCCGACATTTCTGTGGATTTGATAGTTAATTAATTTATTTGTTGATCTGCAGGACGTTGCCAGATCCGAACTTGCTGTGGATTTTGATAGTTAGTTAATTTGCTGGACGTTGCCGATCCTCTTCACTGTGTATATTAATAATTAGTTAATTTGTTCACTTGCTATACAAGTTATTCACTTCTGTTTAATATAATTGCTAGTAATTTACTCTTCTCATAAGATACATCCTTGTCCATAATAGTCATTTCAACAATATTCTTATTTGGTGATACAAATTCTATTTCCGCAAAAATAACCTCTGACAAAAAATAACTTTTAACTGTTGAAGGTTGGGCTCTCTTGATGCAGTTTCTTGTTGGTTTTGTGGTTGTTGTTATCTATTCATTTGTGATAAAAATTTAATAATAGTCTAGTTGAGTTAATAAGTTATACTTAACGTAGTAGAGTATGATATATATATTGGTTAGATTCCACAAAGAGAGATATTTAGTTTTAAGTGGACTCTGTCCTATAAATTTGTATTTGTCTGCGAGCACTGCTCGGGCGGTCTGACTATGTCGACATCATCTTTCATCTATTTGGTCGATGACCATGTAAGTGATCTCTGATCATGTGTTTTCTTAATATTGAATGATCTTTGATTGCATCTCATCAAGTCTCTGACTTGTTCATAATATTCTCGTTTCTTTTCTGTACGTTTTCACATTCCTTTTTCTCGTCTTAATTATTCATATATTTCAGTTATTCTGTTTACTATGTTCATCTTATTCAGCTTGTATTGTTCATATTCTTATATCAAATATTGTGGTCTTTATGGTATGTCGTCTATTTTATATCTTATGTTGTCTATATTAAAGTAATGTTATGTTAGTATATTTTCTCATATTCTAAATAGGTACTAGTGATTTAATATTACCAAGTATATTTTCTAATGGAATTAATATGATCACGATTATTTTATAAACGGATCTCAGAGAATTTGGATTACATCCTACAACAATCAATATTTTGCACGGCTTTAACGATATTTTTTTATCACACCGATAAAAAAATAATTCGATACGTCTTATCAAACTTAGTATAAATAGAAGATATTATTCCCTATGAAGGGGGATGTTGTTGGTTCTGTTCACCAATATATAGAACAAAAGTACAACAATCATACAAATTCATGATGTATAGAAACATTTACTTCGCAATATATTTTATTTGCTGGTTTTTCAATCTCCTGAATGCAGCTTGCTTATATAACAAGGAGACTCAGAACGTAAAGAGATTAGCACCATATCATTTCAGGATTTATAACAATAACGTAGGGGTTTTGCGAAACAAGTTGGAGCCGTTTGAAATTTGTTGGGTAGGGCGTAAGAACGCCGTCATCGCTGCCATGCAGGAAAATTGCTTGGAAAAACCAACAATAATTACTGTTCAAGGTGCTCTTGTTAATCAAGTCAATGACATTATAAATGGCCTTAATAAAAATAAGGACACCGACTGGAAATATTTTGGTTATGGAGCGGACGATGGTGCCGAAGCTGGTGAATTTAATCCAATTATCTACGATTCAAACGAATGGACACTAGAAAGCGGAAGTCAAGTCTGGATTAGCCCGACTCCAGATGAGCCTTCACTCTTTCCAGGGGCAACTCAAAAAAGAACATTTACTATGGCTACATTCAAGCACAACTCAAGACGCATAAGAATAATCAATGGCCAATTTGATGACGAGATCGACGAAGCAAGAGACTTTGGAGCCCGCTTTATTGAGTTGTACGCTAGGAAACTGATGCAAGATGGATATTTGACGATTGTCACTGGTGGTATTAACTCTGCCAAGGGAAGCTATCCTCACGAACTTTTTACCAAAAATTTATCTGATTGCTCTAAAAAATTCCTGCCACGCTATTCTACCTATTCTAGTTTTTCAATTATACGAGGAGAAACAATGGATTTAGAAACGATCGATTTTGTCTTTGTTGATGCAAGAAGTATTGCGACTATGAACTACCAAGTGATTGATAATATAAGTGATGGACTCTTTAGATTCAGTGATCATAGACCAGTCATCGCTGACTTGTTTATTTGAGTCAAGAGAACGACACGTATATTCTATTTATAGAATATAGACTTTATGTTGAGATATGTACTAATGCAAGACTTCTTGAATGGATAGTTATGTGTGTTGGGAATGCGAGAATCCTTTTAATAATGGCTAAAAAATGTGAATATTCACTTTAATTTTAATAAAAAATAAAAAATAAAAAAAATTAAATCCAAAGTTATGAACCAAACAAATGAATCTGATATCTTCATTATTTTTTTTTTGAAGATGTCTGGTGGCTTTATTTCTATATGTAGGAGTGTATATATAGTTTGTTTTAAATTTGAATCATTTTTTGTAAAAACATCGACCTCACCTTATTTCCATTCCATCTGGATAATAAACTAACATGTGAGATCTATAGCTTTCAAATACATTCTGGATGTCGTTGCAGACCTTGATATGTTTCCTCATTCCTATTTCTTATAATATTTAATAAATTATAATATTTATTATGCAAAGAAAACGTAAAATCTATATACTATACGAATGATAAACTAATTGACCTCCATAATATCAATAAGTATCTTTTGATCATCTTCATTCAAATCACCAAACATTAAATTAAATCTATTTCCATTATTATTCTTCAACCCATTGACATATCCTTGAACAGTAAGGAAAATATTCAAACTATCCAATGCAGTAGCAACCAAGGGATCTTCAAATAATTCTTCATCAGCTTCATCGAAATATCCATTCGATTTCAACTTCAAATCTTCATTAGTTAAGAAATTGATGTATTTTTCAGTTTCTTCAGGTTGCTGGTCGGCATTGGTCACGTCGTCATCTTCATCTTCTTCCCCTAATTCATATTGCCAAATACCTTCATAATCCGCGTCTGCTTGTGCTGACGAGTCTAATTCGTCGAATTTCTTTCTCTTCTTTTCTAAATTATCAATGGCAACTGGTAATTTCTTTAACAATATGATTAAATTTTGAGAAACTTGTTTGATGGTAGCATCATCAAATTCAAGCATGGATAAATTCATCAATCCTAAAACTGACAACTTCAAGTCAAATACTCTTTCTAATTCCGGAATTGACAAGAACCAATTGTGTAAGAATGTGATAAACTTGTCCAGCTGTTGCAATAACATAGTTGTCGTCATGGAATCATAAATCAAAGATGAAATCAAAACATTATTACAATTGATAAACAATGATGATTTAGAATTATGTTCATCTTGAGTATTGTAGTGTTCAAGAACAGTTTTAACAAATGCGGGAATGTAAGGAATTGACTTTTGTTCTAAACAAAGAATAAAAGTTTGTGCCAATTCAAATGCATCAATTAATTCATTATACGCCATATCTTCTGATCCAACAATCAATTCAAAAATCTTAAAGAACATTTCTGCTAACTCATCATGATTTTTTAAATCTTCTTTACCATAAATCAAAAAATTCAATAAACATGGTTTTAATTCTTCAACATACATCAATGAAAGTCCCTTTTCAAATGATAAATATAACAATCTAAAATTCTTCCACATAACTTCACTTACACTTCTCATCAAAAATGTCGAATTTTCAATCAACTCCCCAATCTCAGCTAAGAAATCATCTTGTTCATTAACCAAAACAAATTCAATCACTTCAGAAAAGATTTCTTCCAATTTCAAACAAATATCACGCGAGTTCTCAAATGATAACAACACGGTAATCATAGTATTCAAAATCCCTAATGCGGCCATTACTTTATCACCTTGATCATCAATTCCATCAAAATTATCAACATCAACCAATGACGCCTCATTAATCTCACGAGCTAATCTCATAACTTGTGATACTAATTTTGTCATCAAATCAACTCCAAATGGTTGTAATTGTTCCGAGAAATTCTCAACACATTCTTGCATGACGGTAGAAATGGCATCATTGTCAATTTCATTAGATAATTCAAGTAATTTAGACATGGTTGGAAGAATTATACCACTAAGGACTTTCTTAAATTCGTCATGGATCATGAAAGATTGGATTGCAATTGCACTTTCGAATAATACGACAATACTGACATCTTCATTTTCTGGTTTATCGAAATTCTTTAAGATTCCATGAAAGATAGCAGAAAGGGTTTGTTCATCCTTGAATTCAATATCGGCAAATTGACCCAAAATTTCAATAGCTCTAGCTTGTAAGAATTCAAATTTAGAGTTTAAACTTGGAATAACAAGTGCTTGAATAAATGGTTCCATCTGATCACGGTATTCAGATTGCACATTGATTAAATCGGTTGAAATCGAGCCTAACATTCTAAATACACCTTCTTTCTTTTTGGCAATATCCAAGTTTTCTTCTTGTGATTGCAATGCAGTTAATTGTTGATGAATAAAAGTGATGATGGGAGTTAAAGTAGTCTTTTTTCTTTTGTATACAAGTGTGGCTAACAATGCCAATGCTGCTGCTTCAGGTGAATCATATTCTTGAGTTGGATCAAAACATAAATTAATATATTCCACTGGATCAATTTCAAAAGTTTCCAATAATTCATCATTAGGACATAACAATGGGAAAATTAAATGAGTTAATAAAGTCTCATAATAAGGCTTGATTAATAGCCAGGTGGATTTCTCAACAATACAATGACTCAAGAATTCAAGGAGTTGATACAAAGCAGTGGTACTTAACCATCTTGTACCTTGACAATATTGTTCAATTATATTCAAAAAGTTGTTAATGAAATGAGGGATAAATTCATTCAAAAACAAATCATGAAATTCGGTATATCGGAATTTCTGACTGATGGTTCGACTAGCATATCTTGTGAATAATCGATATAAATTTGCAATTGACCATTTATAACACTTCGAAATTTGTAAAAATGATTTTTCTTGTTCTGACATGCTCGAATTGGTGACGTATGATGGAGGTGGCATGTTTATAACTGATGCATGGAATTCTCCCCAGGCTAAAACGCTTGGTTTGGATTGTAAACTTTGGGGCAAATCATGATAAGTAACGAATTTATAAGCCTTTAAAATCAACTTAACAATCTCGGCATCAAATTCAGTCATCTCTTCGGGACTCAGAATAATCGAATTTCCAATGGTTAATAAATGAGGAAATACTGTACTTATAATTGAATCTAAATTCTTTCTATCCAGATTTGGAACCCATTTAAATTTTCTAGCAATTTCAGAAAAGCACAACATACCAGTATATACGCCTTCTTTATTATTACTTTGTAACAATTCTCCAGTAGTATTCAATAATCCATCCCATTTTTCAAATTCGCAAGCAATCAAAATTCTCAACACTGGAATTAATTGTTGCTTAACACTATATTCAACTGAGATTATCACTGGAATGATTCGATCTTTAATTATTGGACGTTCATCATTATCAATTCCATCCTTAGCATTCCAAAATCTGATGATTCTGTTCTTGAAATAAACAGCAGTGGCTTTCTTTAATTCAGGAGCAATGTCAGATATAAGGATATCTAAACATGCACCTAAGAATCCAGGTGTTTGACAGAATTCTCGAAGTTTAGTCTCTGCTTGTACTCGGATCTCATGGGAAGGTTGTAATGTTCCTGCTAAACATTGAATGATTAGATTAGCATCCATGATGATTTACTTCTTTCTATTGCAGACAATCCAAAATCAATTGATCTTAATGCTTCTTTATAGAAGAAGAACAACAAAGAAGAAGAAGAAGGTTTTACAACCACTAAGAAGGAAAAAAAAAATTCTTTCTCAAGATGAAGGGATGATGAGTTTTTCCAAGTAACCATACAAAATTTAAACAATTGACAAAATAGACTACAGAATACACAAAATCAACCTTTCAATGTTAGTAAATAAACTTCTATTGACTTCAATTAGTTCGTTTAACACGTTTAATTAAATTGTTAATTAAGAGTTGCAAAAAAACAAAATCTCACTTGCGAGAGCCGGGAATCGAACCCGGGGCCCAACAATGGGAATGTTGGATTTTACCACTAAACTACTCACGCAAATTTCCAAAATTTTGAGGAAAAATAGCGCTACCAATTTTGTAATTTTTGATCACATGACCAAAATTGATTTTAGAAATTACGAATGATCATAAATAACTAACAAGTCATATCAATACTGATGGGTAAGCTTTGAGAAGGAGGTATCATCCTATGACAATCTAATAGTATTTTTGTGTCTCCAATATGGTTTAAAAGTTTTGGGAAGTTTTGGTAATTTTTTTGGAAAAATCGATTATGTCCCAAATAGTTGCAAAAAATTGAAATTCATATAAATTTGTATAAAACTATTTATGATTCTCTATATAGAGTGAATTAACAGTTTGGGGATTATAGAGTCTTCATTTCAGAATAATACTTGACCACTTGGCATTTTTTAAATTTTATCTAAGAATATAAATTTGCTATCGAAAGTTGCGACCAATAAACCTTTTCATATTTTGCAACATAGCATCTTCACTTGAGACTATAACCAAATCATTCAAGGGTTCGAGTTATATTTCGTTTGTATTTAGAGAACAAACAAGAAAAAACTTGAAGTTTCTAAGCGTGGTCAATATATCAGGCAATTAGATTTACACACTTTATGATAAAAGCTCAGTGTAGTGTCGGAGGAAACTGTCGCTGCTCTCAGACTCATTAAAGAGATAAGTTGGGTATATTCTGGACGACCCAGGTCGTTTGCCTCCTTCAATTTTGACATATTCAGACATGATATCTACTGTATTACAATACTTCATAATATATACATACAACCCCCCGCCCCTCGCCACCACCACTTCAATGAGCACTTGAAAAATCATCAGAAGTCTCCAATTTAGTCTTAACCGGTTCTCTAGTATTCTTACTCCTCGGCCATAATGAAGGCAATCTTACAACTTGAAACCTAGGCTCAACACAACGTTCAATAAACCAAGTACGTAATTTACTTTCAATCAATGCCGATATTTTCGGCACATCTTGTAATTTTGCCCTTGATCCAATCAATGATTTCACGACAAATTCGAGTCTATAATCAGGGGAAAATGAAAACATGAGTGCTGTGCCCGCTCCTTCCTTGGAATTGTCTTGTTTGGATGATTTCTTGGATGAAGTTGGATCTTCTGAATTTGCACCTTGTGCAGCTGCTGCTGAGGATGATGTTCGAGACATTGATCGGGAAGACGTAGATGAGGACGGAAGATCCCGGTCTTCAGATTCGGGAGTGGACCTTCCTGATAATTCATATCTTTTCAAATCGACAAATTCTTGATCGTTTGTGTTTATGAGTGATACCGTCAAACAACCCGAGAAGCGAACAATTGATACGGTTAATTCAACCGGTAAAATTGCTGTTAAAGGTCGTGGATGATTAAGTAATAATTTAGTATCTATTGCCAATGTTAATGTGTCTGAAAGGTCAACATCTATTTTTGCTTCCAATCTTCCTGAACCTTCTTTACTTTGTTTGATTCTACAATTTGAAAATATTGGAAAATCATCACCAATATCAATTTCAGTTAAATTTATCTTATCTATGAAATCTGGCATCTTAGTCTTTTCTAAGAAATCATTTAATGAATGATATATATTATCACTTAATAAAGCTTCACTTCTAAGTTGAGAAATAGTCTGTGCCACTAAAACATTAAACCAATCAAGTGATTCTGGTGAATGATTATCAACATCATAATAAGTCTTTTCAAGAATCGTGGTAACTTTTGATCTAATTTCATTTAAACTTTCATCTCCTTGACCAGTTTTGGAATCAGATTGACCACTACCTTTTTTTGCATCTCGCTTAACTATTACACCACTTGCATCTCTAATTATACTTGTTTTGGTATTTATCGAAGTAGAATCAGCAAATACAAAAAATTTAACAAAGACAATAATGACAAATAGGACACTCAATTGTCCAACTATAAGTCCATGAGTAAATCCCCAAGCCAGCAGCAGCAGCAGCAGGGATTGTAATTGTTGTGATATTTCTGGTGTTGATAATTGTATTCCTTCTTGAAGTAATAACTCTCGTTGATGTTGTAATAATTCTTCTTGTTGGATTTTTAATTGTGCTTGCAATTGTTCTAATAATTCCGATCTATCAATGACATTGGTAGTTGCACTTGTAGCTGCATCGCTTACTACTGATAGTTCACTGCTCATTGTTGACTCCGGTAGGGATGGGGATGTTCAATAGAGTTTAGAAATTATTTTTTATTTTTCCGTTGCTCTCATAACGAGAGAGAGAGAGAGAGAGAGAGAGAGATCTAAAGTTTGAATGAAAGAGTTAAATGTTTAATTAGAAAAACACTGTATAAGATTATATGTTTGTATGCATGTATGTAGGTATGCCTATATATAGAAACAAGAATTGAAACTAACTAGCTTCAGATGTAGAAGCTATTTTAGATGCCTTGGGGGTTGTACTACTAGTCTTCCTTACTGGCTTTGTAGGAGTAGTGAAAGAGCTATTGTTCTTTGGTTTTCTTGGTGGTGTATCAACCGATTTATTTGGAGAATTAATCTTTATAGGTTTAATTTCATCATCGTCACCATCACCATTAAAATCATCAGAATCATTATCATCATCATCTCCGGTAAAAAAATCTCTAACATTTGCAATAATTGTTTTTTTGGCCAGATTTAATTCTTTATTTGCATTACCAATATATTTTGCTGCAAATTCACTTAATGGAGAATTCATTAATTTGACAGATCCATTATCTTCTGAATCACTATTATTATTTGAAGTATTTGAACTTGCACTATTTGAATTTTCTAAATATTGGGAAACATCAAATTTTTTACCTCTCATATATTCTCTAACTTCAAAATATAAATCACGAGAAACATTATTTAAATTCTCTTTATTCTTCATCCAATAACTTCTAAAATCATTTAATTGTTTCTTAATATCCAATTCATTCTTTTTAAACCAACTAACATTCAATTCTTTTCTAGTTGCACCACGAGCAAAATTTCTCATTAAATATTTATCATAATCTCGAATAATTTTAGTAATAATATCAGAAGTAGAAATCCCTTCTGTTCTTTGCGTAGCCAAAAACATCCCCTTTTCCTTAATTTCTTTATAAATATCATCAGTATCATCAGCTGCATAAGGTAAATCATCATGAGCAGCATAATCAATATTATGTTTCTTTAAAAAATCAGAATTTACACACCAGGGGGCATTGGGGATAACATCATCAACCCATTTACAATGCCTTAAAGTTTCACATCTTTGTTCATCAGTTAATACTGTCAATCCTTTACGGGCATGAGTTTCAACATCTGAAGGAATTCCACATATTAATTCAACATTCTCAAATGCTTTTTTAGCTTGTTCTAATTGTTTCATATGTCCAATATGAAATAAATCAAATACACCATCGGCATATATTCTAATAGGTCTATCTTTAGGTGGTAAATTGAATTTATAACCTTTTGGTCTAAATTTTCGATATTCTGGCGGTAACATTTCATCATATTCTTTTTCCCGTTTCTCAAATTCTTCTTCTTCAAGAGTTTTTACTTTTCTTCTTTTATGAGCAGGTTCTGAATCTTTAAGTATTGGTTCTTTAGTTACATCGACATCTTCTGAAGGTGATGGTTCTTTATCATTATTGGGGCTATGATTTCTTTTCCTTTTAAATAAGGAGGAAATTGTAGGAGCAATTGAATCTACTGAAAGAGTTCTTCTAATTGGTGGGAAATCCTTTTTGGATATTGCTGTTGCTGCTGCTGTCTTATTAACAGAGGATGGAAACAACTTTCTCTTGTTTTCCTTTTTAACCATTCTTTGTTCTTATAATTTAAAGGGGGAGGGGGTTAAGGCAAAGCCTAACAAACTTGTTCGGCTATTCAAATAAATCTGGTCGTGAAAAAAAAAAAATTGAATGGAAAGGAGAGAATCTTTTTTTTTATTCGATTGCCCTAGGAAATTTGCTGTTGTTGTAAAAATTATTTAAGGTTTCATTTTTTCTCTTACATTTTAACTTCTACTGGGATGTTTCATTTTGATAGCCCTGTGCTTTGACTTATTGATACTGTAACATTGCAATATCAAAGTAAGAAACAGCTCTACCAATTGTATAATTCTATTAAACCTAACTAAAGATTCACATCTAATAAACTTTAGACCCTAATTAATAGATAAGAGAAAATACCCGAGATGACTAGAATATATTCCTTATCAGATTTACGATACATAAAACCAATAACATTACGATCTTGGTTCAAAGGAGGTTCACCTCACGGAAATGGGAAATTCGCAATCATAGATGTCAGAGAATCAGATTTTGTAGGAGGCCATATAAAAGGATGTTATCATTATCCAGCCGCAAATTTCCATTATACCCTCCGAGAATTACATCAAAGATTATATGATAATAAAATCGATGATATTATATTCCATTGTGCTTTGTCACAAGTTAGAGGTCCTTCTTCTACTCTTAAATTCCTTCGATCTTTAAATGAAATAACTGATCCAAAATTAAAGGAATATTTTGATTCGGTGCATGTTTATGTACTTAAAGGAGGTTTTACAAGATGGCAAAGGGAATATGGAGAAGATTCTGAAGTGACAGAACATTATGATAAAGAAATATGGCAATTTGGAAGTATTTAATAGCTCATTTGTATACAGATATATGTAATCCATTGTTTATAGAAAATTCCCATGTAAATTAATAATGAATCATGTTTTAATTATTAGATCTAAACGGACTATACGAACTATAGTATGATAAAATCAGCTCTAAAATTCCAGGTATTATAATATATACTTCCTCTATTCTCAGATCAAACTTGGACCATCATATCCAGTATGGTATTGTGGGGATGCTTGTACAACCTGCTGGGGGAACTGCTGTTGTTGTGGGAACATTTGTTGTTGAGGAAACATCTGTTGTTGTTGTTGTTGCTGTCCTTGTTGGGCGAATTGTGCTTGAGCAGTCATCATCGCCGTCTGGTGTTGTACCCCCGCAAATGCATTCGCAAGATATTGTTGCTTCTGGGCTTCTTTTTGAGTTTCCGGGAATACTGGAATCGTGGGCAACATCTCCAATCCACCAGCAGTAACTTGTCTCTTTATTTGCGCTGCTTGTTGTGCTTGCGCTTGCGCTTGTTGTTGTTGTTGATTGGCGACATTATTGAATAAATTTTGAGTGTTTGCGGATACTTTAAATGGATTACTTCCGGTAGCATTTGCTTGAATTGGTTTTTCTCCTCCTCCATTGGCATCTGCTCCAAAACTTAAAGCAGTGGTTGTGCTATTAGATGAAAACCTAGTATTGACAAATGGATTTGTTTGTTGAGTTTGTAATGGTTGAACTCCAGGAGCGGTAGTTGTTACTACTTTTGAAAATGGATTTGTATTTGATCTTTGCAATCCAAAACTATTCTGATCTTGTGAAGTTGGTAAAAATTGTTGAGGTTGCTGTTGTTGAATGAAAGGTTGTTGTTGTATTGGCTGTTGTTGTTGTTGCATTGGTTGCTGCTGCGACATAAATGGATTGGTATGTTGAGCTTGAAGCTGAGGACCATATCCTCCGAATCCAGCTCCAGTATATGCAGATGTTAAATTAGTCTGAGGTGGCATTTGTAATGGTTCTCCTTGAACAATAATTGGCAATGGATTAAGACCAGTTGCATGCATTTGCATTTGCTGTTGTTGTTGTTGTTGTTGCTGCTGTTGCTGAAGCTGGAATTGTTGCTGTTGCAATTGTGCTTGAGCTTGTGCTTGTTGTTGTGCTTGAATTGTAGGGTCTTGGGTTTGGAGGACTTGTTGGCCAGATGCAGCAAGTGTGGCAGCACCCCAAGGATTGAATGTAGATTGTTGAACAATCAATGAATTGTGTCTATTCATATTAGTATTATTAGTAGTTTCTGCCGGCTGTTGATTTTGAGACTGGGCAGATTCTGATCTTGAAGTATCAAAAAATTGTTTCTTAGTTGGTTCACCATTTGATTTATTTTGCTTTTCAGCCAAATATTGTCTTCTATTGATTTCAAAGTTTGGATCTTGTAAATATTCTTCCAAAGAACTCGTCAATGCGGTAGGGGCATGTTTAATAGTTGGAACATGAAGTTTGGTAGCATATTCAAGATGTTTAGCTACTCTAAGATAATCAATGACAAATTTAGTTTGATCAACGAATTTCTTATATATTTTTAAAGATCTTGTAGCATCAACTTTTGACATTTCAAAATAATGTTCCAAGATATTAATAACACCTTCATTTAATTCTTGAAATAATGCTAATAAATCATTAACTAACATTCTAAATGCAGTCAATACAATATCATTATTAATTTCACTTTCCATGAAATTATTCTTTAATAAAGATTCAATTTGTTTTTGAACACTTTCAACTTCTCTTAATAAACCTTTATCAACTGATAAAGTTCTTAATCTTCCACCACCACTACCTGTATTAGTAGATCTTTGATCTCTAACATAATCAATTCCAGTAGCATCGAATTGTTTAACTCGATTATAAAGATATTTAGCATATTTCATTATGAATCTAATATCAGAATTAAAATTACTATTTCTTGAAATACTAGTCAGGGATAAATTTAACATATTTGGAGTTTTCGTTAAATATTCTAAAGTAACATCTTTATCACCTTCTCTAATCATAATATGAAGTACAATCAATGCCTTATAAACCACTGACCAAGAACTATCTTGTAATCTATGATGTAAGGTTCTCATAATTGTATTGAAGTTCTCGGAGGAATGTTCGGTTGATGTGGCCATTAATATTGGTTCAATATATTTTGGTTTAGGGGCTGCCACTTTAACTTTAGTGGCACCCTTGACGATCTTTTCATAAGTCGACATTGAGTTGGATGTGTTGTGTTTAATTGAATTGGTGTAACAAATGGATTCAATAGGGGTAGATGAAGTGAAATATAAATCTTGTCGGTTAATCTTTTTATCGTAAGTGTGGAAAATGAGCAACCGAGAGACAGACAGAGAGAGGCAGAGTGAGTGGGAGAACACGGAAAGCCAGCAGAAAAAAAAAAGATTTGATAATTTTTCAGACAGTGAGCTACCAAGACTGATAAAGAGACTACTCGTGGGAACGAGAGACAAAGAGAATAGGAGTGGGCTTTTGTGAAGCTTAGTTTGAATCAAATGTGAATGTACAACAAATACAGCCAATGTAATTAAATAAATAATCTTCTTTTTTATTAAAAGTGTTCTATATGAGTATTTAATAAACACCCACACACTACCCTAATATTTCTCTATATACAAAACAAAAGATCAATGGACTCTATCTGGTTGCCTCCCTCCACCAAGCAAAGAGAACAGGCCACAAAAGTATTGATTATTGATTATTGTTGTTGTTGCTTGCATGTAACAAGTAAAATTCTAATATTATTAACTATGGCCGATACACACTTACTTTGCTTTTAAACCACCTCTCTTTTCTAAGAAATCCTTTGCTTCATTTACTTTAGTAGCTAAAAAGGATGAACCACCTTTATCAGGATGATTAGCCATCATTAATTTTCTATGTTGTTCTTTTAATTTTAATTTTGATAAATTAGTTTCTTTTAAATTCAATATTTGTAAAGCTTCCTTTGCAGTCATTTTTTGTCCAAATCCTCCTTTAATAAATGCTTTACCATTTATACCTGGTTGATTAGATTTCTTAAATCCAGCTGCAAAATATACAAGACCAAAAACACCTAAACCAGTTATAATAGGATGTTCTCCCATCCAATCACATGTCTTATCAAAATACCATTCAGCTGAACCTTCTGGTGCTTGTTTCTTTTGTAAATATCCAGTATATTGTGGTTGTTGTTGTTGAAGTTGTTGTGGTTGGTTGTCACCTGGTATAGCTAATGTTGGAGCTTGCATCTTTCTATTATTATTTGTTATCTATTTACAAGGGGTGTGTGGTTTACTATCTATATGGGTTAAAGGAGAAGAGGGTAGTGTTCTGCTCCAGTTTCTTTCAACTCGCCTTTCGGTAATTAAATTTAATAAAAAAATTTTCAGAAATATTACAAGTCACATGATTAAAATAGTATGCGGCTCATATTTCTTTTTTTTTTTTCTCGCTTTGATGGGCATCTCTCATTTGGGAAACCAAAAAAAAAAATTATTCAATTAATAAGATCAATCTTCTTTCTATCTATCAGCTTCCTTTTTGGTGTTTTCCTTGACCCTATTTCCTATACATATATATCATAATACACATTCACAATGAGAATATATCAATGTCATTTCTGTTCATCTCCAGTATATCCATTACATGGGATTATGTTTGTTAGAAATGATGCTAAAGAATTTAGATTCTGTCGTTCTAAATGTCATAAAAATTTTAAACAACGTCGTAATCCACGTAAATTAAGATGGACTAAAGCTTTTAGAAAGGCTGCTGGTAAAGAATTAGTTGTTGATTCTACTTTAACTTTTGCTGCTAGAAGAAATGTTCCTGTCAGATATAATAGAGATTTAGTTGCCACTACTCTTAAAGCCATGTCTAGAATAGAAGAAATTAGACAAAAGAGAGAAAGAGCCTTCTATAAGAATAGAATGAAGGGTAATAAGGAAAAACAATTGGCTGCTGATAAGAAATTAGTAGAAGAAAACCCAGAATTATTAAGAATGAGAGAAGTTGAGTTAAGAAGAAAGGCTGAAAGAAAGGCCGCTAAAGAAAATGCCATGGAAGAAGATATTGAACTAGAAGAACAAGAAGAACAAGAAAGTGAAATCGCAGATATGAGTGTAGATGAAGAAATGGAAAGTGAATCTGAATCTGAAGCTGAACAAGTTAAACAAAAGGTATTGTTAAAGAACAAGAGAAAGGTAAGACGTTAAGAATAATCCAAGACTACAAACACAACCACTACCACCACTACAGTTACTATATATTAGACGCCTTTTATATTTTTAGTTATTTCTTTGTATTTTAGTATCTCCACGTTTCTAATAAAATGTATTTAAGATAGATCAAATCCTGACTCGGTATTAATCGCATATAAAAGTTTCTCTCTCATGATTTTCTTATTTCGATAATCAGGTAATTTAAGTAGATTGACACATGTCGAAGCAGTTGGTAATCGTGTAGCTTCACTACCAGAGTTCCGAATCCCAAATCTCGGGGACAAAGAACCAAATCCAAGTAATGGTGCTCGACTAACTGATGTTACAAACTTTATTAACTTAAATCTTTCCTCGGCAGTCATTTCTCCAACAATTTCCCAGAAATATTGTACACTCAAATCATTTTCTAAATATCCACCGTACTCTACATTGTCTTTCCAATCCTCAATATTCACATCACTTTCACCTCCAGAAATCAACATTTGTAATTCAAACCCATCAAACATACTCAACCAATTAGCATTAATCATCAGAAATAAACCCTCTAAGAAATACTTAGTCTGAATACGTAATGATTGATTCAACTTAAAATTTGAAAGCTGATGAATATAATTCAAAACATTCGAAGAAGTAACTTGTACATCATGACCATGAGGGGGCATTAAATCAAATACAAATGTCTTACCAGATACTTTTTCATCAATTGTAAAATTCAAATCTAATGCTTCTAATTCTTCATCACTCATTCTAGTTAATTTCATCAAATTAACAAATAATTCATTATCTAAATAACTTAAATCATTGATTGAATTTTTCATATTGTCACTACACCATTTATTCAAAAAGAAGGGGGCGAATGATATATCAACCAATACATTCTCAAAGAAACATTTCCCAATTACCATCCCCAAGAACCTCAAATATGCCAATTTTATTTGTTGTAATTCACTATTCACCCCAAGCTTAAGATTTTGATATATATTCTCATTAGGATATACTTGATTATGTGAATACGTTTCCTTAAATAGTCTCAATTCATTATCTGGCGAAAACCCTTCCTTCACCACACTTGTTAAAAACTCTTTGGTTATCCCCCCTCCATCAATCCCTGCCTCTTGTCCCCATTCATTGAAGAATACAACCAGAATCTTTTTCTTAAACGCAGAAGCCGATTTCGAGAATTGTTCAAATGCATCCACGAGTAAATGATCTCTTCGTATATTTGCCGATATTCTTGATTCGTATTCAAATGCAAACGGATTCCGATTGGAAAATCTTTTTCGGTCCAACTCAATCAAGGCTTGGAAAATCCGTACTCGATCCTTGAATGCTATAAAATATGGTAATTTCTTAAGAATTTCAACCTTGGCTAATATATCTGGAGTTGCAATCAATTTTTTGGTATGTCTTAATTGTAAATCATCTTCAAACATGTAGTCAACTTCGTCATCTTGTTGTGCTTCTTCTTCAAATTTTCGTTCTTCATCAGCAGAGACATATCTGATTAATATCTCAATACTAAAGACTAATTCTTTAGGTATCCAATAATCTTTCGCCAAGAAGTTCATTCTTAAATTCTTCAAATATAATTGATTCAATAATGCCAATGAAATCCTCTTTAATTTAGAATATGATGGGAAATATTTCCCATCATTAATGAATATCAATGTCAAGCAAAGAATTTTCAAAAAATCAAGAAATTGTTTCGTTTCTTCAATACTTAATTTATCATCACTAAAACTTTCTAAATCATTCGACACTATAAGCCAATATGAATACAGTTCTTCAAATAAGAAAACTGTATTCCAGAATGATTCTACTGAACTTTCTCCCAATTTAGAACTCAATTGTTGTAATTGATCTCTCTTGACATAATCAATCCCTTTGCTAGTGAATAACTTAAATAATGGATCTCGTCTAATCGAATCAAAAAACCAAGTGTAGCTATTAGGTGTGATTGAAATCAACATGCATATCTTCCCCTTAAGAGGAGGATACATGCTAACTAATTTCGCCAATATTTTAAGTGCCAAATCCCTAAATTGAATATCATAATCAGTAAGTAAATCAATCACATTTCTGACAAATTTAGATGAATACAAGATTTCCAATTGTGAAGAAATTTCCAGTTCAACATAGACATATCGTCTCCATTTCCCAGTTTCTACTTCTTCAGTATCTTCTTCCATATCTGTTTCTCCTTGAACCCCAATTACACATTTAATATTCTCAAGTAGACTATTGATGATTCTGAAGTCTTCCGGTGAAAACTCTATTTCTCCACCATGTATAACCAAGAAATTGGAAAGCATCTTCACATACAGGATTTGTTCAAACTCAGGTAATTGGAAATCATTCCTACTCATTAAAGTTTGTATTATTTGAAGATATGAGAAATTGCTGCTATGATATTTTGCTATCTCTAACACCTTGATGAAGTTGTCAAACCTGTCAGAGTAAGCAAATGTAAACACTAAATCGACGGCTTGATTTTGTTCCGATTCAGATATGTCAAACCTCTCAATGTAATCACATAGCGCAGAGGATATGCCAGGAACATCTAGATTGTACCCATTGGGGTTGAATTTATGTAATAACAACGTTATGCAACCTATGATTTGATTATTAATAACTACCTTTTCTTCAATATTGAACTTTTGCCGTTCCTGGGAATATCTCTCAAGCAACCACCCAAGCGTTTGCATGACCGAGTTAAATAAGACCTCAAGTATTGGCCAATTTGAATCCTCCAAATGATTGCGAAAAGCTCGTAGTAATTGTGAAACAGTTATGAAATCCTGTCTTGGGAAATACCACTTCGCCACCATCTTAAATCTTCGTAACCAATCGATCCATTGTCTCTCAGTCTTAATAACATTATTATCTGACCATTCAACAACAATTGAATCAGCATAGCGTGTTAATTCTAAGTATCTCCTAATATGACATTGTAAAACCTCTGTTGCTCGTATTCGATTACGTAGTTCCTCTTTTTCTAATCTTTGCAAACGAGATCGTTCAAGAAAGTTTCCAGATGCTAATGTTCCAGATCTACGATTGCCTAGATTGACTACCCTCTTCTTTGTCAGTCCGGAAAAGTTTATCATGACTGGTATGTTCCTGTAGTGTTCTATATGTACAATATCTAAGAAAGGAGCCTTGTTGTAGTTTATAGTATGATGTATGATATATCAAACGAGTAATAGAGACAATTAAGATTACTAAACTGTGGGAATCTCGGATATAGATAATATCACGTGATAAACGACCGGAACTCGGATGGTATCCGGCTATTCCAATCTACATGAAGATAGGAATCACCCAAGATATGGACGTCAATTGCAAGAGAAAATCATTCTATCGTGTCTATTTCTATATATCAGCTATTTCATTTATTCCAACAAATCTATCAATGCACCTAAAGATTCAGTATAAAACAGCGGCATCAAAGTTTCAGCTTCTTCAAACAAGTGAGGTTCGTCAATAACCTTCTTCAAATCAGTAAATTTCGTGCCTCCTGAAAGAACTAATAATGATCCATGTCCGTCACCCAATTTTCCGTCATTTCCAAATTTAATATCTGTATATAATGTATCCCCAACCATTAAAGTTTTTGATCTTTCAAAGTTACAATCTTCCAAAATTATATCCAAAAATTCTCTACTTGGTTTACCAGCATTTATGAATGTTCTATGAGAAGTGTAAGACATATAGTTAACCATACTTCCACCAGCTGGTAAAATCATTCCTCCTGGGCCTGGGAAACTCCTATCAATATTTGCACCAATAAATGGGATTGACTTGTCGTTATACAAAAGATATTGCAAAGTCAGACTGATTCTCATATAGTTGAAATCCTTGGTTGATCCAACCACAACGGCTTTGACTTCGGGGTCGACCTTTAATAATGGGTGTTCCGGATCAAATGGAGTATCCAAACGAGGATCAGTTCCCCCAAGTGGGATATATCCCATCTCTCTGACTTCCTCTTCAATTCCCAGATCACCTAATATCCAAACTTTTGATCCCTTTTCTATTCCCAATTTTCTTAATTCCAATGCGGATGAATAACATGTTGGATAGATTTGTTCTTTGGCGATGTTTGGAATACCCAACCTTTTAAATTTCGTGACATACGTGTCCCTAGATTTGGATGAGTTGTTACTCACAAATGTGAATGTTTTATTTAATTCAACAAGACGGGCTAAGAAGGCAGCTACTCCTGGTATTAACTTTTCATCTAACCAAATGACTCCATCACAATCAAATAGGAAATGATCATATTTGTCAAGGATTACCTCGGCGGTTTCTCGAGAAGAAATGTATACTGGTTTACTCTTAATTGTCATTATACCCTTTGCACAATAACTGTATAGTAAAATAAACTGTGTATAAAGTAGACAGTTGGATAATGAATATGAAAAATTAATGAAACTTGTAAAGATTGAAATTATTAATGAGTCAAAAGAAATTCAAATTGAGGTAAGCGCAATTTCCGCGCAAAAAAAGAATAATAATTGCAAATAATTTACTAAAAACTATACCTTAACTTTTATTTAATTACTTATCAGACTTACAACTATTAATTCGATCGATATCCAAATCATCATCTTGTCCTGGCTTAGATGGCAAATACACATCATCAAATCTTTGCATTCTCTTTTTCCACCACTTCCTTGTATCTTGACGATTGACCTCTTCCAACCATGAATCATCTTCATCTTCATCTTCGTCATCATTCCGAGAAACTTCCTTATTAAAATCTTCAAAATCTCCATGCAAATTGAATTGTTTGGCAGACTTAACAATGTTAAACTTGTACTTGTCTTTGTCTTTCTTTATCAATTCATAATAACTTCCCAAATTCAAATCCTTAAGCACAATCTCTCTTGTTCTTTCCAATGCCTCAATATCAGCAACCCTATCAAGAGTATCTTCCAACAATTCGTCAAAATGTGGCTGTGAAGCAATCTCATGGAATGCTCTCATCATAGGCACAGAATCAGCTCGTACGCGTGACTCGGAGTCAATTGTGAAAATATTCAAATTATCATATCCTTGAATATAATCCGGTCTCGTCATTATTTGACGAGCTCTCCATAAGGGCAATTCAGGCAATTGATGATCACGAAATTGTGAATGGTGCTTAGCAGAAACATTATCTTCATTTCCAGTAAATAACGTATTCATTCTTTTTCTATCCATTTCAACAAATTCTCTCATTAATAACATGGCACTGCTTGAGAATTTCCCACTTTCCATCACATCATCATCCATATCCATTCCTAATAATCCACATTGATTCAAAAACCAGGTTTTCTCTCTATCGATGATTTCATGACATGCCTTGATGACATTATGATGACGAGCAACTTGGCTTATATGTTGTGGTCTTCCACCAATTAAGTCATATACGGTATGACATATTTCATCACTTAATACTTGGTCATCGCGAGGGAAATAACGATGACGAACAAATTTCAATGCATTTACAGTTTCATTTCTATTGAAATCTCGAACATTGATTAGTTCTAACCTTGTACCTAATTGTTTCAACTTTTCATAAACCCAATAATCATCACTATTGAAGATCATAGTCAATAACCCAGATCCACTTAAATGTTCTGCTTTTTGCTGTAAAAGTTCGAGTAATTTAACTCCCTCTTCATTTTCTTTAATTAAATGGGCATTATTAATGATCATAATCAATGGCTTTTGTAACTTCCCAACCCTGGTAATAGCCAATTCTTCCAATTTGCTGAATGCCCTTTCGATATCCAATAATGCAGTTGTATCTCTAGGACCACGAATAGAAAACAACGATCCAATATAATCTTCACTGAAAGTAAAATTAAGTGCCTTACCTAATCTAATTCTAAAAATTTCGGGATCAGCATGAGCATCAAACATAGTCACATTAAACCCATTAACCTTCTTCATTGATTCAAGAATCAAAGAAGTTTTCCCAGTTCCCTTTTCACCAATAATCAAAAAATATCTTCCAATAATCTTCCCCGCGATAATATCATCTAATAACAGTTGTTGGGGTCTTTCAACCCAATGCTGGTTCACTTTTCTATCATCCGACTCGTCATGAGTTCGTTTATGTACTGCCAATTGCGCAGCAGGATCCCCTTCCTCGAATGATTTATCCATTTTGGAAAGAACATGCATTGCATAGAATTTATGATATAAAAACCCGGCAAATCCCAATATTCCAACTGAAGAAACCGTTATTCCGATAGTTTCTAAGCATTTCATAAGGAACGATTTGAATTTCTCGTAGTTAGATTCTTTTTCATCTTGGTTCCTTTTCTTTTTATCTTCCGGTTCTTCGTCTTTTAAGTCTTGAACGAAATTTTCAACAATTGGATTAAATCTTCGTGTGGCTGTGCAATGAAGATATCTCTTTGGATAGGTATTGAAGATTAACGGATGGTATGTTGCAGGATGAGTAAATCGGACCCTTGAAATTGAACTCCTTAGTATTAATGACATTTACAAGTTGTCAAAATTGCCAATATCTAAGCCAAGGTGGAATTGGCCAAAACAAAAAATACGGCTGTGTGAAATTTTCTGGGTGCCACAGAGGTGGTGCGCGTATTTGGAACGAGGACGCTGAAACGGACGGGTTTTTTCAAAACGCGTGTTGCTGCCAGCCTGACAGCTTCCCCAACCCTAATGAAATCGAATCACCAATAAGGACGCTGATAATATGTAGAATGCATTCGTGAATCATCCGCAGTGGAATCTTGAGATTCATGATCACATTGAATGTCAGTCGATTGGGAATTATCTTTCAATTGCTTCTGCAATTCCAATTGAGCCTTCATCATCATCTGAATAGTCTTAGTATGAACTTCTGTATGGATCTTGTGTGTCTGAAATCTCTTTTCTTTATGATAAGTATCATTTGAAAGAATCTGCTGACTTTCTGGTTGCCAGATTTGGTCGACGCGTGTGTCTTCAAGTGTCCGTTTTCTAGAAATCATGGTATGTGTTCTTAGGAAGTAGGATTGTTTTCAATCGGGTTTAATGTCTAATTGTCTCGGTAGTTTAGATAAGATATATACCCTTGGTAATCTTCAATGAGGTTGATTAAAGGTGACTAATGTCTTTGATGAATTTAGTTCTATTTGGTAATGAAGAAATGAATCTACTTTAAGTCCATTTAATTTTTTTGTTTTCGTTCGACCCGAGCAAATATACCACGAAGGATTTTTTTGCGCGTTCCACCAACATCGCGAAGAAAAAAAAATAGTACGGATAAAATTAGATTTACCCTCTAAGATCATCGCTCACATCAAATAGATCAGTCACATACAAAGAATGGGAAAGAGATTGCAAGCAAAACACCTAAAGCATAGTCCGAATTTAATCCCCCAGACTGAAACTCAAAAAGCATCCACATTTCTCGTTAAATCTAGAACACCATATGTTTCTGCTCTAAAAACCATAACTAAGCAACTTGAAAAGTTTGAGAAGACATCAAATATCAAAAAATTCCAAAATTTACAATATAAACGAGTGAAATATATAACTGTGAAAGGAATGGGGAAATCTATTGAGAAGACATTGAGTATTTTATTGAATTTTCAGGAACGGTATAAAGTTGATATTTTGACTGGTAGTGTTGAAGTGCTCGATGAGTTTGAAATGGAGAAAAAAGAAGGCGAAGATGTGGATGACGATGAGGAAGGGGAAAAAGTGTATAAGAAACGAATGGTAAGTTCTGTAGAAGGAAGAATATGGTTGAAAAGAGATTGAGGACGCAGACGGTTAATGATAGATAATGGCACACTTGTATAATAGGATAATATATATAATTGATACACGTAGATGTAACATGCACAATAGAGAACGTCAGTTGGACGCAGGGTATATGACCTAGGAGCGATGGAATACGCTTGAGAGGTATACCGAGCGCTACTTCACAAATGTGAATGCTGCCACGGAGTGAATATGCACCAGCCAGTCAATCATGGACCTGCTTGTCCGCCTTACTGTCTGAAAGAGAAATGTCTCAGGGGCAATCAATATACATTCTTATTGTTCACTTTCTTGCATCCGTTCGAGACACCTTGTTTTGATATTGTATAAATCCACAACATGTCTTTCTAACTTTGCACTCTTTCTAACCCGCTTTCTTTGTTTATCCAACCCCTCCTTTAATTCTTGCCCAACTTCATCCAAATCCACCTCAAAGACCTTTTCACCAATCTCTATCAATTCCAAACATCGCTTCCAATTTGATTCATAATACATCCGTTCACATGCATGTAATATCTTAACTCGATCAATTTTCTTATTTGAATCTAATAAATCTAGATCTTTAAACAACCAAGTGTCATCATTTATAGTTGGTCCTGATTTCTCCCATAGCTCTAGTTGTTGGGCATATTCTTCTTCTGTTTGTGGTTTCCTTTGTTTCTTTGATTTTTTAGGCTGAGGCGTTGTTTTGGTTCTGGGAGGTGCATTATCAGATGGTGCTTGAGTCTCCTGAGGGGAAGATGGGCCAGCCAGTCCATTGTTGTCTCCTTCATGGTTTATTTCTGACATTGTTTATATGATTTACGAATATCAGGGGTAACTTTCGATGAGGTTATATGTAAGAGAGATGAGCTTGAAATAATGAGTAACAAAAAAATAAATAATGAAAAATTGACCTGCATGCTTCAACTGCAAATGTGTGCGTGGTTTGTTTGAATAATGTGAAGGCATATTCAACCGATGAAAAATATCTTTACGCAGAAAAAAGCGCATTTTTTGCAGGGTGCATAAAACTTAATTGTAGTACGACGACATCCCGTAAATGAAAAGAAACGAATAGGAAATCTGTGAATGAATGTCTTTTTTTTATTATTTGTCATTGTCGTCACCTTGCGATAAATATACGTAAATTGCATTCTATTTTGATGTAAAAATATGTTTGAATTTACATTTTATTCGAAAAGTAAAAAAAATAAATTATTCTTTTAGGCAAAGGCTAAAAAATAGCTTAATTGTGATTTTATTTTTAATTAAATCAAAAAGGGGCGAAGTTCTTAGTTCATTTCATTATTGTATATGAAAAAGTAAAGCGATTTTGAATGAGAAAAAAAAACGGGGTTGTTGCCCCTGAATATTACGAAGCGATCCAAAAAAAAAAAATTGAATGACAAATTGAATGACAAATTGAAAAAAGACGGAGAAATTTTTTAAAAAAGGAATACGACGACTAAAAAGCACAGTACGAGGACTGTCCACTTCGCTTCAGCTTCAACATACCGAATGGGAAACTACTACGGCACCGGTGATGCCAGCTGTCCAGGTATGCAGCTTCCTGCTTAGATCTAATTCATCATAGTAGGAGAATGCCGTACTAAAACAAAAAGTTTTCATAAAGACGTTTATATTATTGTCATTTCAGAATAAAGGGGGTCAAATATAACCCCCCTTCCCTTCCCCTTGGTAGACAATTATTCTTTGTTTCATTGATGTTTTTCTGAACAAAAAACTTCCAGAATATCCATTGAGACTTTGTGTCTCATTGTTGAATGTACTCTTTGTTTTCTTATCTGATTAATATGGGGCGTACAGGGTTATTATCCTTTGTTTTAGGTTAAAACTTGTCTATATACCTAGCAAGTCAAACAATTGTCTTTGAATGTGTAATTCTCAAATTCAGTGATTTCTTTTTAAGAGGAAGTGGAGGATGAATAATAATTGTCATTAATTAAAAAGATAAATGACGCCTTGCATAAGAAAATATTAATATTTTTTTTCTGATGCATTTTGGTACCTACTTTCACTTGAACAATGGGGAAAGTTATTTTTTTGTTCGTAATTAAATCTTAAGTTATTGCGAAAATTCAACCTCAAAATAAAAAAAACCTCATAAAAACATTTCTCTAATTTTAAACTCTGAAATTGCAAAAGTGAAATATCGGAAAGATTGCAAATTAGGGAAGTTGATATTAATTAATGGTTTCATTCAGGGGGTTTCTTGGTCTCTCTATTTATTTGCAGTAGTTCGATTAAATCGTTTTTGACGAAATGCAAGTAATTAATTACAGGACACTTTAAGGAACTACGGATCTTCTTAACAACAACCGAAATGTCGCATTTGATAATGTATAGCAGTGTTTTTGCCTTCCATCTAGGCGAAAAAATATCAATGAGGAGAAGGGCAGAGCCACAATTCATTATTGACAATTCACTTTGATCTAGTGTCGTCGGGTTCCATTGAAATGTCTCCGTATCGTAAAAGGTGGAGGGTCGTAATAGTTTATTTTATTTTTTAACCTTGGTGGGGGCGCAGGATGAATCGGAAAGAAAATTTGCGGGATTGATTGTTTGGATCAGCGCAGAAAATAAATTCACAGCTCAAGCACAAAATGATAGCTTTATCAGTATCTTCCAAACTGTACAAAAAGTGTTCATGTGGAATGACCTTTCCACAAAAAAACTTGTTTCTTATCTCTACAGTCAGTTGTATTTTGTATCTTTTTCTAAAGAAATTATTTAAGTAAGAACTTACAATAAACTTGCATGATGAAAATAAAATAAAACCTGACACACGTTTCAATTTTATTATTTTTCCAAATTAGTTTTTAGGTACAAGTTGGTAAAAATAATACTGCTTATGCCGAATATATGCATGAATACGAGTCTTTGAGAAACTAACAAAAGATTGCTTGAAAGGGTGGGGCAATCAACAAAAAAGTTTTTTTAAAACAATGGGGGAACGTTCTACAAATATTCCATGACACTACAGTGTAAGCCAATTCACTTATGATTGCTGTGACACAATAATACCATATTTCATTTCATGAAATGAATCATGGATTTTTCATTCATTATTATGAAACTTACTTAAAAAAAAAGTAGTGAGAGAGTTATTTTCTAGTTGTCGTAAATTCCAGAATCATTGATTTCATCTATTATTTTGTTTGGGCTCAGATACAGTGACAAGCTCTACAAGCCTTTTAATGGGTTTAGAGCTAAAATCTCGCAAAGATTAAAAAACCTTAGTTTTAATACGGTGTAAGTCAAGAAAATATAGTGAATTCTCGTAAACCAAGGGTTAAATCCAAGTGTATGACGAACGAACAAAAAAGTTGTCCCTAGAAAAGATGAGTTTTTTGCTTGGGGGGCCAAAAAAAAAAAAGAACAATCAAGAAGTTGTCCTGTGCCCAGTTCCAAGCGCAATTTTTTTACCTTGCAGGTTAACCAACAATCCTTACATTTCTTGCTTTGGATGCTGAATATATTTGTCCGGGATGTTACAGTTTATGGTTTTTAGTCATGGGCTTTTTTTGATGTGTCGTCAGTTTCGGTGTCCGAATCGTATTTACAATTTATTGGATGCAAGATTCTGCTTCTTCAAAACGTTATTTCTGAAGAAAAAAATAATAATAAAATTAATAAAATAAAATAAAATATCATCAGCTATATCATGTTACTTTTTAGATAAATGTTTCTTTTATGTTGACTAATTTGGTTTCGGTAAATTCGATTCGGAATTTCACATTTTAGATGTGGTTTGCCAATGTGTTGCTCTTGTATATTACTATCCAAGTTGCAACACATGAAAGTTTCACAAATCCTTAAGTCCGCAAATAATAAAAAAAAGACACATTTTGCCTAAACTCGTATTTATAACAAGGTTACGGGTGCCGTACTGATACCTAAAAAATTCTATTAATTAAACTTTTTTTTAGGCCTCGATCGTATTTTAATGGTTTTGGTTTTTTTTTTTTACGCAATTTTTTTTTTTAAAATTTTACTACTATAAATATTTTTAAAGGGAGTAAAAGAGAAAATAAAACAAAGATGTAATGACTCTATTGTTAATTAATAATATTTTTTAATGATTTTGTTCTATTTTTCTTCCTCGTTTTTATTATTATTTGTAAAAAATGTCTTTATTGTTCAAAAGAACTGTCTATTATTGCGTAAAAAATAAAAGATTCTTTCAGGTTCAAATTTTCTTTTAAAAAAAAAAAAATAAAAGAATTGTCACTCGTTTTTTTTTATTTATTTATTTATATTTTTTGGGCAGTTCCTTGTTTTTCTTCGTTCTTTCTTGACAGTTTTCTTCTTTCCCTTTTTTTTTTCTTTCTGTTCAACTTGTTTCTTACGTTCAAATTTCTTACTTGTTTTTAAAGAAAAAGATTTGAAAATCACAAGTCTCCTAGATTGTTAATAAAATAGGGGTTTGAAAAATATATTATTAAAATAAAACGATAGAAAAAGGACCCGAAAAGTTCAAGTTGCAAAACTCATAGCCTAAATCTTTATTTTTGTTTTTTTTTTGGTTGTTTCTGATAACATAAACAAAAACCTTTTCCATCATCCATACATTTGATCAACTTTTTTTATTTGGGAAGTTAAGATCGATACACATACACCCCCCTCCAGTAATTGGAACGACTACTACTACTACTACTACTACACGCGCGCTTAGACGCCTAAGTCTCCCCCAAACTTGCCACATCAGCACACGAAAAAGCAGTGCCTGATCGCCCTGGTTTATTTTTAGACCAGAGTAACATTATAATCTCATACGATTATTTCATTTCAAAAGATCCACATTTTTTTTAATTAGAAAATCATCATAAACGAAGGTTTACACCAAGAGATCTTATTAATCCAACCCTTCCTGCTTCCTGTTTTTAAAAAGACTTTTTAGTTCATTTCAGAGGAAGAAATTTTGCAACCCTACCTTTACTCACATAGGTTCGTATATTTTGAGTATTATTTCCTTAAATAAAGTTTATAAATTAAGTGGACATTTTCCTCCTTCGCCCATTTCAATATATTTATTACGGGGATTCTTAGTTACATTTACGAGTAACTTCTTTTTATTAATATTTCCAAAAGATATTAGAACTCCATTGATTTCAATTTAGAAATTTTTTGAAAACCCTTAATCAAAGATTCATTGTACATTTTCATTAAGTATCATAAATGATGGACATATATCACAAAGCTTTAAAGAATCCAGACCCCCCCAAAAAGTCTGACAAACCAAAAGATCCAGATCCAATACCATTGACAGGACAACAGCAGTACTCAATAAGTAATATATACCCCTCCCAACAACCCCCACAACAATTGGCTCAAACAACAGCTTATACTACAGCGGCACGTCCACCCTTACCTCCAATAAGTCAGTCAATTCCTACATCCATTCTCATAGATAAATCTTCTTCCTCACCTCCAGAATTAAAAGACAATAATATTTCAAAGAAAAAGAAGAATTCCAGAAGAAAACATAGAAATTCTCATTTGGGTTGTGGAACCTGTAAGCGTAGAAGGATTAAATGTGATGAAACTTTACCGGCATGTTTAAATTGTTTAAAGGGGAAACTACATTGTGCATACCTTAACCTAGATGGAAGTGCAAGAAATGCGCTTCGGATGGCACAATATAACCAAAATTTACGACAAGAAAAATTTGATGTCTATAAACAAGATGATGAAACTAATAATGTCACTATATCCAATACAAATACGATGAACCCTGGAAATCCCCCGGCACCAACAATCGCACAACAGCAGCAACAACAACTGCAACTGCAACTGCCAAATGTATTCCCGTTAAATCCTATAATATCAAATCAAGGAAATACGCAATTTATTGCAGCACAAGCTTCGACGGCTGGCACAACCCTTCAGTCTGTTCCACCACCAGGAATGCCGCTCAATACTGCAACTGCGCCACAGGCTCCACCAACTGGCGGGGCTACTGCTCCATCAGGAATAGTGCAGTCCCCTTATGGACCACTAGTGCCACTCCTCACTAACTCTGGCTCGGTGGTATACGCTCCAACTTCCGGCTTTGCTCCATCTGGACATACAATGCCCATACAGATCGTAGCTACATTGCCAACTCAATCTCAACTTATGTCGGGCCCACCTCAATTAGCTACCACATCTATGCAACCCATGATGCCTGGGGCAACACAAGAACAATACCAACAGCAGTTACAACAACAACAGCAGCAACAGCAGCAGCAAAGTGAGCAACAACAACATGAGCATAGACAACAATATCAACAACAATTGCAACCATCACCACCGCAACAACTTCAATCTCAACAACAGCATCCTTCATTAGTACCCATAACATCAACGGCTGCATCTACTGCCGCAATGGCATCCCAATCAATCCCAGTCAAACTGGAAGAACAATCCAGTTCTCTTCTTCCTCCCATCCCATCAAATTCATCGAGTATTTCCTCAAATACGGAATTAAAACTCCCACCATTAAAATCGGCTCAGTCTTCATATACCGACTTAAAGAACTTTACCAATAATAATGAGACCTCCCCGGATAGATCGCCACTCTTGCCTAGCTTATCGGCACAATTTAGACCAGAGGCGGAAGTTAGAGATATGGAACCTAGTGTGGTTAAGTTGCCCAGTATTTCGAATTTGTCTAAGGATGTCTCGACTTCGCCTAGGACGTCTGGAGTGGCTGGTGTTGCTGGGAATGGTGGTGCAGCAACAAGTCAGGAGAAGGTGCCTATATCGAAATTGATTTCATAATGTGGATATTATTTTTTTTTGGGGTTTGTATTTTTATTAATTATTTAAGTGTTTATTTTTCTATAATATATTTATCTGTAGTGTATAGTTATAGAGGGAAGATTTGTATTTATTTATCAAAGGGAAATATGCGCCGCGAAGATTGCTTTGCCGGTAAACTTGTTGAAGAGATAAGTTTCAATGGTATATAAGAATCCACGATGTATATTACTACCTAGTTAAAAATCATATATGTACATACTACCCACTTAGTTTGCTGGTGCACCAGGTACTGGAGCAGCCTTCTTCTTCTTCGCCTTATCATCAATTTGTTCCACCTTGACTTCATTCAATCCTTGTTCTTCCAACAATTTTTCAATATATACCTTAGCTTCATCACTCACATCACCTTGAATCAAAATTTCATCCTTCTTTTCAGCATTCTTGGTGACAGAAGCACCAGTGGCAAATTTGGATGCAAAAGTCTTAGCTAACTTCTTACTATCTAAATTAAACACCTCCAATCCGGAAATAGATATGATATGTTTTCTCTTATTTCTTTCAATACGTTTAATCACAACTTTTGAACTCAATTTTTTCTGCAATTCACGTTCTTGTTTTAATTCTTCTTTATGTTGTTTCTTAGCCAATTCTTCATTTAACTTCTCTTGCTTTTCTAATGAAAGTGTTGAAGTAGCATTGGCTAATGCATCTGCTGAATATAATTTTTCATAAAGAGCTTGGTCATTTTCATGAAGCCATGCTTGACATTTTTTTAAAGTGACTCCGAATTCACAGTATTCTGGTGGCCAGCTACATACACCACAGTAGGTAATTGATTGAGGAGCTAATTCGGACATTATGTATGAAGTACTTAGTTTATATCAAAGTTGTTGAGAGATGTGGTTGACTCTCTCTATAGGAACTGAAACTGAAATTTTTTATGGTGTAGCTCGGAGGTCGTGTACTTTTTACAATACGTTTACCAAATTGGTTGCAAAACTTTTTCAGGAAGGGCAACAACTATTGATACTAAGGAGTAGAGAATATTCCTACGATATGAGAGTATGCATGCTAAACTCATATTATTATCTAAAAGCCTAATGCTAAACTAATGAATGATCACAAATCTCGAATTGTCTTACAGGTCTAAAATCTTCCAATTCAACACATTTCCATAAACTCTTGGTCAACATTATCTTATCATCAATGATTTCATAAATCTTGGATAAATAGAACCATACTTCTGAATTCGTATATCCATATGGCCAAGACAACGAATACATTTCAAGCATATTCTTCAATCTGATAATAGCTGAATTCAAATCCTTTTCAGAAATAAATAATGAATTATCCTTCTCATCATCAAGTAAAAATAATTTGGCAAGTCCCAATAATGTCGTTCCATAATCAACTTTATTATATTTATTTTGATTCAATATCTCCAATGAACGTTCAAATTCTTGTAATGACAAGAATTTTCGTGTCTTACTAGTCAAATACCCCAATGCAGTGAATGTCTTCATGTTTGGTTCATATATAGTTTCAGCCTCAAGTATACATTGTTCAGCTTCATCAAATAATCCAACCTTGAAAAAGAGTCTACCAGTCCAAAGCCAGATTTCCTGCAAGATCCTACGTTCAACAGTATTTTGCTGGGGGGATTTCACAATTGCTTGTGTCGTTGCTGGTGCCGTCTTATCCGTTGGCGATTGTACAATTGAGTCTCTCCTTCCCTCGGATGAATTCTTGTTAATCTTGGAGATTCTCTTAAGTCTATCAACTGTGGCTGCTTTGATATTACTGGAATTAGATACTACTGGCTCCAATCCTGGTTGTCCCGGAGGTTGAATCTTGGTTTGAGATCTCTTTATAGGCGTTGGAGGAAGCATCTTCATTGGAGAAGGGTCAATAAAACTTGGACGATGGGACCATCTTTCAGAAGTCCCAAACTGCCGGGATGAATCACGTTGCTTCATAGCTGGAGGAGCCGATTTCAAATCGACATCAAATAATTCATGATATAATACAAACACATCCGACAAATAATCCAAAATGTATTGTACCCCATGAATGGATTCTAACACGGCTAGTTGGGTTAATTTCAATTGCAAAATTTCATATTTGGCTTCATTTGTTAATTTGATATCACGTTGAACATGCTTTGCCACAAATAATCCGGCAATATTCAAGGCTTTGTTAATGAACTTTTCTGATTCACGAACAGATGGTTTTTCATCTTCAATTTGTCCATCCACAGTGCCATTAATACTAGAATTTGCTAAATCTGGTCTATCCCCATTTGTAGTTAATCCATTTTGTGGAGGTTGGGGATCATTGGTTGCTAAAGGCTTTGTTGTAGACGGACTATTTGTTTCAAATGAAGTTAATAATAACACTAACAAATTCCAAGTTACAAATGATTCTGGATATTTTTTCAAAATAAATTTACACAATTTAATAGCAGACTTCAATTCTCGCTGATGTGCTAATGCCATAACATAACTTGACAAATAAAGTACATTACCAGTTGAATTCACTATCAAACTATTCTTATATGTTCTGAGAACTTGATTTACATTATACTCCAATGCCGTTTGATCTGGTGATTCATACATTGACAAATAATAGTAGGTATATCCCATCGAATACCATGCTTTTGAAATTAATTCAATGAATTGTGAATGGTCTGAAAGTAAAACACTTGGATTGTATCTGCGGTATAAGAAAGATAATGGATTTTTATCAGCAGCATCATTTTCATCATCATAAGTCAAATCCGCAAATTCTTGCAATGTATTTAAATATCCCATTAAACTATTCACAAATCGTTTCAAATATTCTACAACAATAGTATCGTCATTGTATTTAAATTTCTGTAATTCTTTGTTCTTGAATGATTTTAAAGGATTGAAATGAATAATACAAGTACTATAAGTGTCAATAATTGCCAAGATATCTTCAATTTTGCCGTCATTCAATTCCTGTTCGTGTTCAATATATTCAATATAAGTCTTGAACGCGGCTAAGGCTTCATCATATTCACCCAAGTCGATTAATGTATAGATTAGATTGGATAATACTACCGTGCTTTGATATGTCTTTGCTGAAGCATCAACTAAAAATTTCTTAGATAAAGTTGGTTTTAAAATAGCAAGATTGAAAGGAACATAACTTAATGATTCATAAAGGTTATAAATATAATTATTGATAGTTGCATCTTTACTGAATGCATCTGGAAATGGTGTCTTTGTTTGAATTTTATCTTCAATTTCCTGGGTCAAGAAACTTGAGTATTCAGTCTTGAAATTAACATTAATGAGATCGGAATTATCAGGCCTTAATAAATAATTACAATATGCAATGAACACATTTCGATTAGGGAAAAATGACACATGCTTGATATTATTTATGAATGATAAGGGCCCATCACTACCTTCACTTAATGCGAAGGTTAATCTTCCCATAAGGAGATCTAACCAATGACTTGCAATAACATGAGATTTCGTAAAGGGGATGCGAATTTGAGATAAATAATCCAGCCAAATAGATACACTATTCTTACTTGCACATCCAAGCAACACATAATATCTACATGTCAAATATTTAATGAATAAAAGCTGTTCAGGTGTTGTGGAAAAATTAGGATTTACTACCGAAATTGCAGATAAGGATTTTGCCATTTCTTGAACGTTGTTATCAAGCCAATATAAATGTGCCATTATCACTGCGAAATACAACTCTTCGGTATAGCTCTTTTCTCTATTTTCATAATTCAAGGATACAGATAATCCATAACTGATCAACAGTGTTAACTTTTCACGAGTTTCTTCGGTCACCTGAGGCATGTATACCACGGGCAATAATTCATCACTTTTGAATTCATGTTCAATGAGGAGTTGTAATTGGTAGTCTACAAATGTTAATTGTTGGAAATAGTCTTGTGAGTCTTGGAATAATAATATGTTCTTGGGGAAACATCCGAAATTAAGAGTACGAATGTACTTTTCGTTGATTGAGTTCTCTATATGCATTATCTACAGCCTAATCAAAATGAACGTTTTTTTTTAAGATGATTACTTTCCTGATTACCGAAAAAAAAACCACTACTTTGACACTTTCGGTAAGTGATATATAAATACGAAAGAACGAATGGGAAAGGTTGAAAGGAGATCAACTATTAACTAAAATTTTAGCTTATGAAAAAAAAAATGACAACAATAAAGAACAACGAGAAAAAAACAGTGAAGTTTTTTTTGGGTGGGAAATTTAATTGACAATCCAATTTCCAGATTGAGGCATAAGTTCTCCACCCAAAATTTTTACAGTGTCGTTTATAAAGAGAGCTGTGATATTTTTAAGTGAGAATATTGATTATTAATCACATGATGTATATAATGCCGTCTGTATTGAGGTAGGGAATTATACAAAATACAAACCAATGATTAATTTTGAGGATCCGCCCCACTACAACGGTTCAGATTTCGCAACTGGATATTTTATTTTTCTTACAATGTTAGCCAATTTGCTACTACGTGCGGCGCGAGGCTTTTCCTTTTGTTAGCAAAGAACTCAATCTCCGTATTTGATTACGCGTCTTAACATCTCTCAAACACTTTGTATAACCCAGGTAAATCTGCAATCTGAACTACATCTCTTAGTAAATTCCTTGGAGCCAACAATTGTTTCTTTATTTCCGGAAATAAGATATTCTCCAATTGCAACTCCAATGCACACCTTTTTGACTCATCATCAGAAGGTTCAGGAAGGTATAGTAAGGCTATTTGTCTTAGAATTCCTTTCAAACATTCCTTTTCGTTTTCATAGTTGATTCGGGTACCTAAACGATATAAGAAATATGGCAACTTATTGAAATCGGGTTCTATTCCCGGTAATATCATAGGAAGGGTAGTTAAACAACTATCAGCAATTCCTATTTGAAAATACTCCCAAAACATGTCTTTCATCCTGACGATATTTTCAATTATTTCTTCCATCGGTTTAAGATCGCTCTTTCTTTCTTCATTATATAATGGAGCCAACAATGTCGACAATGGAATTGGCTCATCTAGTTGAATTTCTCCAAAGTTGCAAAATTCATGTAAACCAATCTGATAATAAAGCTCTAGTAGCATCGCAGCATAATCGCACATAAATAACTTAACATCGTATTGAAAACAACAAATCCGCTTAATTGGATCAATAATACCTACATACACTGCATGATTGAAGATATTGGTGAGTGGCTTATCAATAAATTCGGTTAATTCCTGTTTTAATGAGGTTATTGATTCTAAATTAACTTGCACTCGTGGCCTATCATTAGTTTCAATGGTAGTATTCTGGGTTGGTTGTATTAGTGACGAGTCGTCTGGGTCTTCGCCTTCAATTATTGAATCTTCTCGGAATGTAAATTCTCGTTTTATCAGTTCTTGATAACTTTGGGATGGTTGCAGCGCTAAAAATGAACTTAATTTAGCTTGACTTGCATCCACTCTCATCAATTTGTTTTCTTGTCGATATTTCTTGATTTGGGTTGATGATGTCACGTCTTCCATTTCCTCTTGTGGTCTTTTCGAAACTATAGTTTGGGTCTTAAACTTACGTGACGTATCCACACTTGATAACGTAGCATGCACTTTATCAACAAGTAACTCTATAATTTCATCTTCATGCAAAAATCTTACCTCTCGTTTAGTCGGATGCACATTGACATCCAAGTTTTCTGACTTGATTTCTAGACTTATATAAAAGAATGGATGAGACCCCTTTGGTAAGAAAAATTGGAATACCGAATTAATGGCACGCTTCAAAGGTTCGCATGAAACTAAACGATGATTTATGAAGAAAATCGGTTGAATCTTCTTCCTATTGTTAAAATTTGCATTGGTAATAGCAGCAACCACTTTTCCTAATCCCAATTCCTCACTGGTATTATCACTTTCAATAAACATTAATTCATTTGCAACTTCCGAACCATACACTATTCGTATCCTTTCTTTTAACGGTAAATCAGGACGCGTATTCAATTGTTGAATTGGGTCACCAAATTTCTTGCAACTAAACCCTACATGTCCAGTATGAATCGAATATCTCCCCACGATATCTAAAACCTTGGCATACTCTTCACTTTTCGATTTCAATCCTCGTAGTCTTGATGGAATATTATAAAACAAATCTTCGACAATAATTTGTGTCCCGTCACGGCCCGCAGTTGGTTTCGGTTCAACATTTGAACTTGAGGGCTTGAAATTAGATCCACATAACTTCCCATTAATATAAAACGCCTTATATGCCAATTTTGAATCCTGGGTCTTTGTAATTACTGATAATCGAGATATATGAGAAATACTAGCAAGTGCTTCCCCTCTAAATCCATAAGTTGCAATTGATTCCAAATCTTCAAATTTTCTTAATTTCGAAGTCGCAAATCTTTCACATAACAAAGGTAAGTCATCCTTATGAATACCATTACCATTATCGGTTATTTTTAATAGTTTGAGCCCTCCGTCTTTTACTAAGATATCGATCATGGTTGCTTTTGCATCAATGGAATTCTCTAACATTTCTTTTAAGGCATTAGCTGGTTGGATGATAATTTCACCAGCTGCTATTTTGTTTACAACTGATGTATCTAGCTTCTGGATTCTTCTGGTACTGTCATCTGTAGTGTCACTCATAGTCCATGAAGGGTTACACCTTTGAACTCCTAAGGAAATCGTACTGTGGTTGTAAAAAAACGCGTCCTCATTTTTCCCTGACCAAAGAAAAAAATTCCCCGTTGTAAAAATTTCGGAAATCAGTGTTGTTTTCTTTATCAAACAGGAAAGGACAAAGAATCTTAATGACACCTATTGCAATGGACCCATCTGACCTGGAAACTCCCAGAACGAGAAAGAGAAGACTAAGCCGTGAAGAATATCTCACCAGTTATGAAAGACTTCGTCTACGAATGAAAATGGATTTATCTGATGCAGCCAAGGGAGCTGCATCAACCAAGATGTTAGAGAATATAGATGAACTTACTAGATTGTATGGATATGTTCAAAGAGATAGAGTCAAAGATACGATTGTCCATTTAGAGGATTCTACTGTATTTAGAGAAGCTTCTAATTTCGCAGCTATTAATGCTAGAAATATGAAGTTTGATGATAGTCTCGCTATTGATGAAAAAGATTTCTTAAAGAAGTTGAGAGTGTTTGCTGCTACTGATAGATCAGTCATATCTCGTGACTCTGATGATGAGGAGGAAGATGAGGATGGCTTCGAGATCAACGATGAATTTACATTTAATAAGACAAATTGGTTAAAGCTTGGTATACTATATCATCATGTTAGTAAAAAGCCAGTAGTATCTGGTTTTTTGAATGGTCCTTTGGAGACTGAAAGAAAGAAACAAGCACCGAGAACTAGAATCGCAAATGATTCCAAAAATAATACATTAGCTACTGCTCAACAAGTTGATGCCGAAGATATTGCCACCAATGAAGAACAAAATACGGCATATATGGTCAAACTGGTATATCAAACATATTTAAACAAAGACGAAGGTAATGGAGTTAACTTTTTTAAATTATTCATTAATCCGAAATCGTTTGGTCAATCAGTTGAGAACTTGTTTTATATAAGTTTCTTAATTAAAGATGGGAAATTAAAATTATATCTTGATGAAAGTGGAACTCCGTGTGTCCGACGCGTGTCTCAAAACGAATTAGCTGAGGCAACATTGGATAGTAGTGATTTGAAATCTAGTCATCATATTGCTACTTTTAATTATCATGCTTGGAAAACATATATCGAGAATTTTAAAATCACGGAACCATTCTTAGGACATCGTGATGAAGTAGAGGATCAAATGCCTGTTGAGGATATGATTGATGATTCCGATGATGAGTCAGGTCCAACTGAAAGTTCAGCCCCTACTCCGGCTGCGTCTGCTTCTACTTCTAATGGGGTTGGTGTGTCAGTGAAGAATGAGTATTAGTCCTTTTATAGATCAGTTTTTTGAAATTATATTTACAGGTGTAATCTATATATGCATCTACTTTTAATACTTACAAACTCTATTATATTCTTCCTCGTCAACCTTTATCCAACTATCTACACTCATTAATTTATCCAATGGCCACTTCCGTATTGGAATAAATCTAAGATCCGTTTTTAGTTTTAATTCTTCAAAGATGTCTATTCCTGCAACACCGATCATAATTGCATTATCGGTACATAATGATAAATCAGGGAAATGAAATGTGAATTTTTCCTTCATACCTAAAGTCTCTTGATTCTTTAAATCCAATTCTAACTTCTCACGTAATCTTCTATTTGCCGCCACTCCTCCTGAACATACAAAATCTTTGACTCCTAATAACTTCCCAGTATTCTGGAAACCCGTCCCGTGTCTCTTTAATGCGACATTAACTCGATCTATTATATGATCAAAGACCTTTTCTTGTAATTGATATGCAATCATCCTTTTTGTCTTTTCATCTAGTGTTTTCCCCTGTTTTTCCAACCTAATTTTATATCCATGTATACAACTTAGAAACAGGGCGAATGAGAATGATAAATCCGTTGAATGTCCTGGACGTTTAGATTTCCCAAATGGTAAAGTTATTTGGAAATCATATTCATTATTCTCTCTATTTTCAATATCCAAATTAGCAAATTCATTCTTTTCCTCTTCCGAAAACAGATCTATATATTTTTCTAATTCCTTTCCTAACATATTTCCATACATTCCCAATTCTCTTGCACATTTATCCAAAGAATCTCCAACTGCAATATCTATCCCATCTACTATTATTTCATGATCTGTTAATGATTTCAGTAATACTAACATAGTATGACCTCCACTACATAATAAACTTAAAAATGGATATTCAGGAGCTCCAAGTTCTGGTTGTTCCGTCTTGGGAAGTTTTGCAGTCAATAAATGTCCCAACATATGATGCACACCAACTAAAGGAATACCCCATGCAACTGAAAGTCCCTTAGCGAACTCAGTACTCGTACTTAACGACCCTGCCATTCCAGGACCTCGTGTGACACAAAGTAAATCAGGAGGATTCTTGGATGATAGATTATGTTTTGAACAGAATTCTTGAACCATAGTGGCAATAGTAGATAAATGAAATAAATATGCTGCTGTGGGCATTATTCCTCCCAAGTCGGCAGAATGGAGGGTTTTCTTGACATGATCTATAACTTTTGGAGGTTTATCAGGGTGATATTTATCAAGTAATGCAACACAAGAATCATCACACGATGATTCTATAGCCAAAACTTTATAGAATCTTTTAGAGATTATTGATCGTTTTGTGATGTTGAAGTACCTGCTAGTTATATTTCTTCCAATCATATCATATCCATATCCTTGTCCTTTATCTTGTAGAGATCTTAGCCCTATATATTGATGGCCCTTCTGGAGTAGTGGAGATGCTCATCAGACTTGAGAAGGAAAAAAATTCAACGGGAGAACGAAGCGAGATTTTTTTCAGGTCGACGCCATAATCACCCAGTGGGTCTGTAATTACGATGCGTTGTAGACGTTGAAGGATTCCCTAATGAGAATTGATAGTTGACGTAGTAGTCAGACTGGGTTGTGTAGATTGTCAGTGAGGCTGCGTAGGGGGGTTGGCTATTCGGTGTTAATTCCCTCCGTCTCCGCCAACTCCGGGTCTATGTCTCGGGGATCAAATTTCTGGTTATAGCATTGTGGACTGCATATAAATTCAACTGCAAAATTTTCTTAGTAAAACAAAACACCGAGAATTCTAAGCATTTGACTTTAAGGCGAGCGTTTAGTTAGTTAGTCAATGAGAAAAAAAAAATTTCCATCGAATTAAAGAAGTTGGAAAATTTTGGAAATTTTCTTTTGATCTTTAACGGCAAACTTACTATTATTATTGTTTATTGTGTGATTCTATTAAAGCAATTATTTTACGTAGTTTTAAATCTTTTATTATATTTGTCTATATATAATATATATATGAGAAGTATTTAAAGAAAAAGGGAGGGAAAAACTACAATCGTTTATCAAAAATTTTCTTCCACTTAATTTCTACGCCTGGGGCTTGCTTACACATCCACAAATCAGTGTTTACAACCTTTTTCAGTGTGCTTCCAGAGTTATTTATATGACAATATTCATACAAATAGACCTATAGACTTAATATCATCTGGAAATTTTAAGAAAAAAGCAAACAAACAAAACAAAAACCCAACTATAAAACCATTGACAAGACTTTCTATATGCGATGGCACAAGTGTTTACATCTTCCACTATACCGCTAAGTTTAGAACGTCATGAACCACACGGACACCCACATATAGAGACAGGATCATTGCCACCGCCGCCAAAAGAACCAATAGAAGAAACAGGCTATATATCTCCAATTTTCCATTGTATGTTAGCAGGTGGGTTTGGTGGAATGGTTGGTGATACCGCAATGCATTCATTAGATACAGTGAAAACTAGACAGCAAGGTTTCCCTCATAATGTCAAATATAAAAATATGATACCTGCTTATAGAACAATACTAAGAGAAGAAGGATTTTTCCGAGGATTGTATGGAGGTTATACTCCTGCTATACTTGGATCATTCCCTTCAACTGCTGCATTTTTTGGTACTTATGAATATACCAAACGAAAAATGATTAATGATCTTCATATGAATGAAACAGTAGCGTATTTTATTGCCGGGGTATTGGGTGATTTAGCATCAAGTGTATTTTATGTTCCTTCAGAAGTATTAAAAACAAGATTACAATTACAAGGGAAACATAATAATCCTTTCACAAAAGAATGTGGTTATAATTATAAAAATTTAAGAAATGCTGTATCAACAATAGCGAAAGTTGAAGGAGCCAAAACATTTGCATTTGGATATAAAGAAACTTTATTTAGAGATTTACCATTTAGTGCATTACAATTTGCATTTTATGAAAAATTCCGTCAATTAGCAATTTATTATAATGGATCAGATGATGATTTACCTGTATCCCTTGAACTCTTAACTGGGTTCTGTGCCGGTTCATTAGCAGGATCAATGACTACACCTTTGGATGTCATTAAGACTCGTATTCAAACAGCTACCAATACCAGAGAATTATCGGAATCAATATCTCAAAAATCAAATAGTTTGGTTAATTTATTGAATAAGAATGCAACATTAAGAGCACTTGTATCGATATATAAACATGATGGGATATTTGGGGCATTTTCAGGAGTTGGTCCAAGATTTATTTGGACTGGTATTCAAAGTTCAATTATGCTTTTATTATATCAAGTTTCTCTTAGGAAATTAGACGTGTATTTAGATGATGATAGGGCATTACAAGCATAGAAATAAGTGCTCGTATGTAAATAGGTGCTCTGTATAATAGAATTTAATTTAATTTAATTTTAATAATGTGATGATTTAGCCTCATCGACTTGTCCCTTCTATTTAAGCAAGAGATTCACATATGGGGTCTCTTGTGACAATACTTTGACATCGCATGTTCCACTTAATTAGACCTTAACAGATAGTGCATAGGTTTGTTATCATCGCACGATACATCTGTAGGCTCGTTATTGTTCTACTACTAGTAGCCACATCAAGAGACCTTGAAAATTGACTAAAGATTTTCATTGTATATCACAAGAGTTCCATAGAGCTAATACTTCTAGCTAGAGTGGATATCGAATTGCTATTTGGTATGAAGTAGAACAGAAGATCTGGTAATACAGAAATAAGGAATATAAGTATACATATGACAATGCAATTGCGAGCAATACTGGAAAGTGCTCCCACACTGCTTGGGGTATGAGTATTGGAAAGAGGATCAGTTTTTGAGCTCTTCCGAAACAGCATGAGCGATAACGATGGGGATCGAAGTGCGAGTAATCTATCGTGTTCCTTCAAAGGGTTACGATTTGAAACACCTAGTTTTGAATTTCAAACACAAGAATATTAAGTTATTCTTGTTTTGAAAATATTCATAAATAATAATTCCACTGTATAAAGAAAATGAAGAGAGGAAGCAAAATCATATTATTTGGCAATCAGGAAACTGAAACATAAGTGGCCAACACCAGACACCCAAACTAGGTTAACTGATTTAGAATTTGATCATGGAAATGAAACACAAATAAACTCAATTAATGAATATTGGACAAGCACGCACGTTTCAATTAATGCTACCAATAAGTTTGAAAAAGGTTTCCGCATGTGACCAAAATCAGAATCCTTTTACATCAGAGTATTATTACTTCCACAACAGAAACTATTCAAGTGTCTCTTCTTTCTTCTACAATACTTTCTTGGCATAGGTTTAACTCTACCAAGAAGTCAATCTTTTGCAGATGATGACAAAACAAAAATCTAAGAAATAAACTTAAATAACCTTTTGACACCTGAATTGCTTCCGAATCCACACATGCTTTAGAAAGAAAAGAAAATCCGTCGACAAAGTTCTAATCATGTATGTTGTCGATCAGCATGTTAGGTTTTGCATCAAGTTTTATTTCCTAATTTGGTTGCGACAATGGCTGCAAAAAATACAGACAAGAAAAATAAAAACAAGAAAAATAAATTCATGTCTAAAATCCACTCTAAATAACATAAAAGAATAGCACTAAAGAAGAAGAGAAATTCTTTCTATTGGGAAATTCCTTGAAACCAACAATCAGGAGTTTCTTTTAATTTTAACATACTTGGGAGCTTACCGGTATCTGCAATAATAAACAACAGATGCAATAGCTGGCCACAACGTGACGACCAACCCCGGAAACTTAGGTTGTTTAAACTAAAATAAGTTTAAACCTGTATATGATACTTGACAATCATGCTAATATTGAAGTATATCTTTTGGCAGTTACCAAAGAATATCAACAGCACTACTCTTCAGGGCACACTATTCCAATTAGCAGACAATTTCATTGTTTATTGGAAAACCAAAAAAGAATGCGATTTCGTTATTGGAACCATTTCCTTTTTTTTTGAAGCAAGTACTTTTTAGGTCATGTAAAAATGCAACTCTCCTGTTCACTCCTGGACACTTTCAAGAAACTATTCCTTTCTTAATACGACATCTACAATATCAAACTCTTAAATTTATTGGCACAAATACATATACTCTAGAGTAGTACTAGCCATTTACTAAAGCCCAGTCACTCCTCTAGTTACTCCCTAATACTTGCATGTTTTTTCAACATTTCTCCAGAAAGTGGACAGCTTTCTGTTTGTTTTTTGTGCAGAAGAAACTTGAGTTGGGCCATTGGTCATGTTCCAGGAAATGGACTTTTAAAAAATAAAATATTTTTTTGTGTCAGGTTGCAACAAATTAGTTCTGTCAAAAAAAACAAGACCGTTGATACAAAAAATAACTCTCATAATTATTGACGCTTCGATTTGTTTCAATATAAAAGCACCAGGTTCGCCCCCCTTGGTTTTTCATGCCTGATAATATTATATTTTACTTCTTTTAAATACATTAAAAATGCAACTCAAAATGATTTTTAAGATATTATGGCTATTTTTTGTAGCTGCATGTGTTCAAGCAGATCTTCTCCACGGAATTTTCTATGATTTCGAATCTATAAAATGGAGCAAGCAGGGCATCTATGGTTTCCAAGCTCCTATGAGTCACAGTTGGATTGTAAGTTTGAAATGGTGGTTGAAATCAGATGCAAAAGCAGGTGACACGTTTGGTTTGCAATTGCCTTGTGTGTACGAGTTCACAGCTGTTCAGGAATCCCTCATTTTAAATGTTGGAGAAACAGTTTATGCCACTTGTAATTTTGTCAGTGGTAGAACTACTGCTGATTACTCAGAATTAAAATGTACTGTTGTAACTAGTCCTCAATTGTTTGTTTATGGAGTTGTGAGTTTCCCTATAGTATTCAATGCAGGTGGTTCTTCTTCAGAAATTGACACGACATGTGCTCAAATGTATAGAGAAGGTTTAAATACAATTCACTTTTATGATGGGTATCTTATTATCTCAACATATGTAATGTTTGAAGCTACTAAAGTAGATATGGAGGGCTTTTACCCCAATGTTCGGGTTGATGAAACGGCAAAGATTTTTCAAGCTTTCCTTTTATCGGATGTATGCGAAGATGCTTATGAAGTTAAATTTGAGTTCAATATATTTGCTAACTCCTTCCGTTCAGTTTGTCCTATTAAGTTTTTTTTAGCGTCATCAGTGAATGATTGGGGTTACCCGAAAGATGTAAAACAAATAAACGACGATGATATAGAAGTCGGGAATTGTGGGGAAGGTGCAGCTGTAACACTCAGGATCACGGACACTGACTATACTCCATTTATGGAAGTAAACCTAGAAACAACTAAACCGACCATACAAACTTCTGCAACTGGGTATTCTTTTGCAAACACCCTCACTTGCAAAGATGGAAGGACTATAAAACATTCGACCGTTTTATCTTATGCCCCATACACTTCAATAAGCGCAAGTGGCCATGGCAGAGCCGTGGAATTTGTCAGCACCATAACTGAAAAAGATATACTGGTAACACATCCTTCAATTGCTACCTATGGCCTGACTGATGGAACACTTTCAGCTTTTGTTTTGGTTCCAATTCCAACAATTACCACGACAATTACCTGGGATAGCTCTTTTACCGAAACAGAAACTAGTACAGCAGAACCAGGAGGTACTGCTGTTGTCAATATTTTGGTTCCCAATCCCCACAACAAGTAGAAGGTATAGCTAACACAGAAGCTATTTCTGCAGATTCAGGAGGAATTGTTATTGTAAGTGTTTTGGTTCCAATTCCAATAATTACCACCACAAGTACCTGGGTCTCATATTGCTTACTACACTTATGATGTTTGCCTATAATTTATAAAAGTCAGTTCTGCGACATCACGACACGGATGTCGTTACTTTAGAATCTGATCGATTTGAGTCAAGTGTAATCAAGTGTCATTGTTAGAGTTTTATATAAATAATAGCGTGGTATCATAATTGTATCGCAAATACGGTAATTTGGGGTTAATTGTTTAAAGTGTGCTTGGTATTTAACAAGCTACATTTCTTCTGTTTTTATATGTTTTTATAATTTTTAGAGTGTCAATAAATTACGAACGATTTAATAAGAGAGCAAATATCAAAAGTCTTAAGTCTGACCATCGCTATGGTTAGGCCATTAGTGGCGAATTAACTAGTTCGACATCGTCTACATTTACCACATATCCCCCAATATCAGTACCATTACATATAAGCTATCAGAGAGTAAAGATTAAGTGAAGCAATTTCCCTCTACGCCTGCCTACACATTTAAATCTTTGTGGTTTAAACTGTGACACTGGGATAGCTCTTTTACCAAAACAGTAACTAATACTACAGAACCAGGATATACTGCTGTTGTCAGTATTTTGCTTCCAATTCCAAAAAGTAGATTTAGATACAAAAAAAAGCAATTAACTATTAAAACAAGGATTAACAGAAACTGTTTGATTCAATGCCATAAGTTCAATTTTTCATATGCAATTCTACGCATATACAGTCCCGCGGTACAGAACTAAATATCCCCCACATCTGTCAAACAAAAGAATCTGGAGGGAACGAAAATTCTTTAAATAAATTGATGAATCCACTTTCTCTAATTTCTTAAATAGCTTTCACTTCTTCTTAAATCAATAGTAGATAATATAATTATACAGGACAAATGGGAAATACATTAGATCAATTTTGGGTTGCAAGAAATGTTTGGAAACCAGACTTATACAAAGATAAAGTTGTCTTTGCAACCGGTGGTAGTGGAACGATTGTTAGAGTGCAAGTAGAAGCATTAGTCTTGTTAGGTGCCAATGCTGTCATTATTGGTAGAAATGCTGCAAAAGCAGAAGCAGCCGCCAAAGAAATAGAATCCTTAAGACCAGGTGCTAAAGTTTTAGGACTTGGAAATGTTGATGTTCGTAGTGTTCAAAGTTTGAAACAAGCTGCTGATACCACAGTTGAAAAACTTGGAAGAATTGATTTTGTTATCTGTGGTGCTGCTGGGAATTTCATCTCAAGTATTAATGCCCTTTCTGCTAATGCCTTCAAATCAGTCATTGATATTGATTTATTAGGTTCTTTCAACACCGTTAAAGCCTGTTATGATCAATTAACAAAAAATAAAGGATCAATTATATTCGTAAGTGCAACCTTACACTATTATGGTGTCCCCTTCCAAGCCCACGTTGGTGCTGCCAAAGCTGGTGTTGATGCCTTATCAAATGCCCTTGCAGTAGAATTAGGACCAGCTTGTGGTATTAGATCCAATTGTATCGCACCCGGTGCCATTGCTAATACTGAAGGAATGGCAAGATTGGCACCTCCAACTGCAGTTCCAATTGAAAAGAAGGTCCCATTACAAAGATTGGGAACTACTGAAGATATCGCTGATGCTACTGTGTTTTTGTTTTCTCCTGCTGCCTCATATATCACCGGTGAGGTTTTGGTGGTTGATGGGGGGCTTTGGCAAGTTGGATCACCTGTCTCGGAGCTTTATCCAAAAGCTGTTGTGCAAATGCATAAAAATATTGAAAGTAAGTTGTAGTTGTAATTAATTTTTAGATGTAATTAGTTTTATATTTTAATACTTTAATTGAGAATTTCCGAGCATAATTTGTATGAATTGTTACTTAGAAGCAGAAACCCTGTGAAATACAAACTTCCAGTAGGCAATCAAGAGGAAACGTACAGCTTCTGCTCGATTCGTTGTAAAATTTAGGCAACTCCCCAAGTAGCTATCTTTTTTAAAAAAAAACCTATGTCGTGTATGTTTTCCTTTCAACTACTTAACTCTGAGGGCAGTCAACTAATCAAATAAACTAATCTGAGTCGGGCAAAATACCCAACATGATTCATAACGGAATGCTTATGGTTCAAAGAGAAACTTGCAACCGTTGTGTGGAATGAAGATGCCAACGACATTTCTTGAAGTTATTTGCGACATTATTCATATGCGACATCTCCCAAAAGTGATCTGACAACCCAATAAGGTTTGAAATTGAACATGAAACAAACATCCTCTATCCTTCTCCTTTCAAACAGTAATTACTTCAATCAATAGAATGTTCCCTGGTAATTACAATAATCGACCTCCTCCACAACAAGGAGGGGGGTATAGTTACAACTACAATTATAACTATAACTATGGACCACCACCAGGAACTCCACCAGGATACCCACCCTATAACAACTATGCTCCACCACCAGGAACTCCACCAGGATACCCACCCTATAACAACTATGCTCCACCACCTGGTCCTCCTCCACCTCAAGGTGGCTATTATTCTCGCCCACCTGGTCCACCCCCCTCTGGAGATTATTCACGTCCTCCAGGCCCACCACCTTCCGGAGGATATTCTAGTCCACCTGGCCCGCCACCTTCTGGTGACTATGCACGTCCACCTGGCCCGCCACCCACTGCATCATATCAATCAAACTATTCCCGTCCTCCAGGTCCACCACCTGGAACACCCCAAAGGACAACCTTGTACGAACCATCGCAAAATGATTATCATAATCTTCCATCAGGGCCCCAAAGTTTTGGTCAAAATACCAATTTTTCTTTCCAATATTCCCGTTGTAATGGACGTAAGAAGGCATTACTTATAGGTATAAACTACTTTGGAACCAAACAAGAATTAAAAGGATGTATTAATGACGTGAAAAATATGAGTCAATTCTTGGTTTCTCGATGGGGATATAAATGGGATGATATAGTTATCTTAACTGATGATCAACGAGAAATGGCCCGAGTCCCAACTAAGGCCAATATAATCCGAGCAATGCAATGGTTGGTCAAGGATGCTAGACCTAATGATTCGCTTGTTTTCCATTATTCCGGGCATGGTGGGGTGACTGAAGATTTAGATGGTGATGAAGAGAGTGGATATGATGACGTGATATATCCTTTGGATTTCGAACAGAATGGACATATTGTGGATGATGATATGCATGCTATTATGGTGATGCCCTTGCCCGCTGGTTGTCGTTTGACTGCTTTGTATGATTCTTGTCATTCGGGAACGGCATTGGATTTACCATATGTTTATTCTACTAAGGGTTTAATTAAAGAACCTAATATGTTGAAAGATGCTGGTTCTGGAACTCTTAATGCGTTTATGCAATATCAAAGAGGTAATATTGGAGGAGCAATTTCTTCAATCAGTAGTGTTATCAAAAGAGCTACAAAACTGGGAAGTGTAGATAGAAATAGGGTTATACAAATGAAAGCATCTCCTGCTGATGTCATTTCAATTTCAGGATGTAAAGATGATCAAACATCTGCAGATTCTAAAGAAGGTGGACAATCTACCGGTGCAATGTCATGGTCTTTTATTAAAGTGTTAAATGATTATCCTCATCAAACATATTTATCATTATTGAATAATATGAGAACACTTTTAAGTGAGAAATATTCTCAAAAACCTCAATTGAGTTGTTCACATCCTCAAGATATGAACATTGAGTTTATTATGTAGTTTATTTAGAGAAATTGTTAGATAGTTTGTATTTAGTAAGAGATTTAGAAAAAGATTCATTAATTATGACGTCACTAAACATTTTTGGTGATTCGCGTTAAATCAGTCAATGTCAACCAGTCGATCAGTCAAAAAAAAATCTTAGCCCAACTGTTACTTCGGCAAAAAAAGAAAATTCTTATGATCTGATTTACAACACTTTGCTTCTTGTTTGTTAAAACATATTAAAAAAGATCAATCAATAGAGAATCAATGGCCGATAACGTTGAAAGACAGAAATCCACGAGATGGGTTAAATCGGTTCCAACTTATGGAGATTGGGGAGATGATGAATATGGCTATGGCTATGAAGAAGACGAATATGATACTAATGATGATGGTAGTTATCAACAACAACCACAACCTAATCAGAAGGAAGATCATCTTGAAATTGGCCATAGTAAACTTCCCCCACTACCACTGAATTTGCGAGACGAATATTTGAGTCACCAACAGGAGCAACAGCAACAACACGAAAAGAGCAAATCGCCTGAACAGGAACACAATGTGGAACCTGATTTTCAGCATGAAGCAGCACCAACCAAAAAAGAGGAACCAACCAATGCATCTGAAAATGACTTCATTTTGTCAGTTGATAGAATGAAAGAGGTCGATTCTGATAGCAGCGAAGAAGACGACGACGAGGAAGAGAAGGATGAAGTAGCTCATACCGACACCGGACCTGAAGTTATTGATGATTCACACCTTTCCCTTCAGAACAGTGAGTATTCGCTGTCCAACAAGAATTTTTCTTCTTCACAAATTGCTAGCGGTTACGACTCTGGACAGAGGTCACGCTCTCATTTGGATAGTCAATCGTTCCACTTTGATCCATCTCCAGCATTACCTGGTTCAAACTCGCGTGCGGGGTCCAAACTGCCATTGAAGATTGATGTTGGTCAACCCCCAAAAGACATCGCTGCACCTCCAGACACTCCGATATCTGAATATAGTTTCCAATCAGACTATTCATATCTGAAAGAACCAGTTGAGTTATCAGTTAAAGGTAAAAGTGGTGCTGGACATCCACATTCCGAGGATGAAACCAAATCAAGCCCATTACATGAAGAAGAATCCAACTCTTCAAACCCTCCAATTGATCAGTTTGTCCTTTCGGTTGATAAAAAAGGTTTCAACCAATTGAATGGAGATGAAGATGAAGACGATGATGATGATGATGATGATTGGGGATATCACAGCCAGGCCAGTAGTAATGACGAGATGAATACTAGTGAAATCGAAGCTTTAAACATAAACAAAGCACCCAAACCTGCTACAACAGAATCATTCCCTGATCAATCAGATGTTAAACCTGAAACTATAGACAATTTAATTAATGATTTAGCAAGTGGATCTATTGGTGAAATGGATGGAGACAGTGGTAATCAGGAAGTATCTCCAGAAGAAGAATCATTCAGTTATAGCACCTACGCCAATATTCTTGATTTGAATGCGGAAGACGATGAGGAATTGCCTTCTCCGGTTGAACCTTTATGGGTCCAAAGACAAAAAGAGGCACATGATCAATACTTGAGTGAATTCTCAGGTAGGAAGGCTTCAGTAAGAAAAGCCCCTTCCTCAGGTCTAAATGACAACAAGGATTTAATGCGTGTTGAGACAGGTAAAGAGATAGAAAAGCAACCAAATGAATCTGGCAACTATGTGACCCCAACTAGTGCATATCCTGATAGTGCTGTCAGTAAGGAAGCTGATTTATATGGATTAACTACTGATTCTTTGAGCAAGCTACCTGAACAAACTTCTGGAAAGCGAGCAGAGGATGATACTAATAGCTTGGAACAAGAATATCTGGAGGATGAAACAACTCCGGACCATTTGAATATTGCTCCACCTCAATTAGAACCAGTTGCGTCAACAGGATCATTATCTACTGGCAAACTTTCAGCAGTTGATGATATTAGGAGTCATAAAGAAGATATTGAGGAGGATGATAAGAACCTTTTCATGAAACCCAGAGCCCCAAATGCGGAAGGCATTGACAAGAGAGTTTCTACAGTGAGTAATGCTAGTTTTAATCTTGGAGGATGGGCTCCAAACACTGACAATTTCCGTAATCAATTCATTAGTGAGAATGATAATGAATCTACAGTTAATTATAGTCCGGATGATTTTCTGTTTACAAAAGGTGAAACCCCTAGTAGTTTGAATGAAGAAATACATAATAGAAGTACTGATTCTATTCCTGAAACTGTGGATGTTGCATTACCTAGCATACATGAAGGGCCAGATTTAGATGAGGATGATGATAATGAGAATAGGATTGGTAAATATTCCGGTCCAACTAATGATGTCCAATCTCTTACTAAAACCATTCAAACTTCAGCCACTATTGATTCGGTGTTTAAAGATCATAAATACACTAGTCCATTATTTAAAGAAGATATGTCAACTCCATCAGCTTCGAGAGAAAATTTGAACCAAAAATATACAAGTTTATTAGGTCCCGAAAGTGCTCAAGTTGATGAAAGGCAGAATGATGAAAGCTCTGTAGGAACTAGTGTCAAGCGTTTATCATCCCTATCGGCGGGTTCAACGGAATTATCACCTGGAGATAAGAACTTTGTTCCAGATAAATACCCCGTATCTGACTGGAAGAGTATTGTGACCATTTCTCAACCAATTGATAGAATTGCCGCGTTTAAATCAGCACTTATCAGAGAAGCAGAATATGATACTGGATTACAAAATTGGTTACATATTACATTAAAACTGGCTCCTGATACAAATAAGAATATTCATATTGGTAAGATTGCAACCGAGGCTTACCTGAATGCACAACATAGTGAATTAAGAAGACATGGAACTCTTTTAAGTAAAGTTTCGATTGTTAAAGATACTGGGGCTCATGCTTCTAGTTTTGGGAAGAAACTTTTCAGTAGAAGTAAGAAATTTATTAAATCTTCATCACATGGGGATTCAAAGTAGTGTAGGATTTTTTTTCTTGATAGGGACTTGAAAGATATTTTTATATTTAAATGCGTTTATATGGGAGTAATAAATATTATAAGTACATTTGTAAACTATTGTTTATTAAGATCTCTTAACTCTTCTCGGGAAAGCTTTGGTTTTTATCACATGCATTGATTACAAAGGAGACATTTATGGTTAGACATTTTACTTTGTGATTTTTGTTAATGCCCCGCGAAAAAACTGATTGTAAAATTAATTTCACAGCCAATTCCTTTAATTCCCAACAAACTGGTTGTTACCTTCTCCTTGTAAGTTTCTTTCAATTTTGCTATAAATCTGTTGGCAGACGGTAATAAGGTTGTTAAGTGTATATTTAGTGACTGATTAGAAAATGGTAAGGAGATTAATAAATAGGTTTATTCTCCCTGAGATTGCATTTATTATAAACAACACCCCTAGTTTCATTTGGGCTATTATTGATTTCATTATGGATATTTGCTTCTTTTGGGTTAAGAGATTATATCGTATGTATACGAGAAAAGACCCCTTGAATGAATATCTTAAAGTTATGAATAATGTAGAAAGTTATAAAGAATGGAAAGTAACTGCTATGGCAATTGATAAACTTACAAATATGGATATTTGGAGACAAAATTTCATATCTAAACATTATGATTATTATTTGATTAATGAACGAATTAAATTATTAAAGGAAGCTCGAGAAAATCAAGACTATCAACAAATTATGTCCTTGTTGAGATCAGGATTGATTAGAAACTTTGGTGGTATCTCACAAAAAAGTCTTTATCTTAAAGCTTATATGGGAACCAAATATAAAATTGAAGAATATATTAATGAAGTCTTAAGCTGCTTGGATTATCTTAATGAGACATTGGCTAATGATGACGATGAATTCATCATGAATAGTAAACAATTGAAATTGGATTTCTTCCATGACGCAAGGCAATCATTTGGTTGTACTGCATTATTGTTGCAAGGAGGCTCATTGTTTGGTTTGTGTCACTTGGGTGTAGTTAAGGCATTGTATTTCAAAGGTTTACTTCCAAGAATTATTGCTGGTAGTGCTGTTGGAGCGGCTGTTGCCTCGCTTGTATGTACGCTTAGTGATGAAGAGCTTGTTCCTATTTTATTGAATACTGGTGAAGTTATGAAAGATATTGATAGCTTGAACCATGATGTTGATGAAAGGTATGGCAACGTGATTGAGAATGTTGTCAAGAAAGGTTACTCCCAAGATATCTTGGTCTTCCTTAAATTTGTACGTGATACAATTGGGGATGTCACTTTTGAAGAAGCATACATGAAGACCGAAAAGATTTTGAATATTGTGGTTCATCCAACGAGTCAAGCTGTCCCATCTTTGCTCAACTACATCACTGCTCCAAATGTGATCATTTGGACTGCAATTTATGCCTCAATTGGAACTGGGGTTTTATCTGATAACGTTCAATTGTATGTTAAGGATTTTAATAATGAAATCGTGTTGCAAAATCCATTAATTAATGTCAAATTCATGAAGCCTCAAGATGTGACCTATCAACAACAATATTTCAAATTTAAAGACACTGAAAATGGAGAAGAGAAAGAAACAGTAATACTGCATCGTGACTCCCCTTATACTAGATTAACTGAATTATTCAATGTCAACCATTTTGTAATCAGTTTGGCAAGGCCTTATCTTGCGCCGTTAATCAATAACGATTTGAAACATTACCATTCATATGGAAAGATCAAATATGAAAAGACAAGCAAGGGTAAGAGTCTCAAAGTAGGTGGTAGCGAACCAAGCAAGAATATTAAAGTTCAAACTACAAAGGCTACAGGTTATAATTTTACCAAAAGGCTTAGAAATCTTGCCTCAATGGAAATTAACCATAGATTGAATGTGATGAATAAACTCGGAATGTTGAATGATGTAATGAAGAGGTTCTTTATTGATGAGAAACCGCCTACTTTGCAATCATTTGCTTCAATTCGTGAAGTTACAATTGTTCCTGAATTGAGATATTTGATGAAAGATTTTGGTAGAGTATTTGATGTACATAAAATGCTGGAAAATATCCCATATTGGGTCTTGGTTGGAGAAAGATCAGTTTGGCCTTTATTTCCTTTGTTACATTCTAGATGTGCTATAGAATTTGCCTTAGATGATTTATATAACTTCCATAGAAAGAGAGGTATTTAAAGTAAGTACCTCTTAACGGAAATATAATTTGACATTTGAATCTTTTGTGATGTTGTAAATGTACTCTTTCTCGTTTATATGTATTTGCGGAATATCAAATGGAATTGATCCTTGAGAAACCACAAGACTTCCAGTTATATCTTTTGCTCTTCCTGTAGCCAATGGTTGTAAACTAATATTCAATTGTGAACGATGGAATAATTTAATTAAGAAATCCGTGATTTTATAAGTAGCATCTTTTGGATTTCGACTATCAAAATCAACATATTGAGGATAATCTTTTGAACTTATTACAAATAATTGACGACAAAGTTTATTCAATTTAATCAAATTAAATAATAAATCATTACTTGTTATATCTGTACAATACAATAATATTTCTGGAGCCTCTATGAATACAATTGTCTTTGGATCAATTATTGATTTGGATATCTTATCAAATAAACCATTGACTTCTTTAATTGCATTTTCTGGTGTTTTAATCTGTTCAATAAATAAATCACTAAAACAATCAATAAATTTAAAATTCGAATCATTCGAAAGATCCAATCCATTCTTACGACAATTCTTAATATAATAATCCTGTGAATGTAAAAATGATATCAACACCACTTTCGATCTATTTGAAACCTTCTTAAGATCATTATTTATTAAACTTGCCGTTCCAGTTATGGCATTTTCAATTAATGAATTGACTAACCAATTGGGAGATGTACCTTGGACATGAGATATTATTGATAAGTATGATGATTTTGATTCTAGTGCCTTGTCGTGAATCAAAGAGTTATCTCTGAAGAATACTAAGTCTTGATTTGGAGTGGATGATGCCATTGTCTAATGGAGAAAGAAATGTTAAGGGTGGTGGTGGAAATGAGATTTATTGAGATGAGATTTTTTTTCTGGAACCCTTTTGATGAATTGATGCAAAAAATGATAATGCAAACAAGATACACCACACAGACTATTTAATGTTGTTTATGATGTTGTCAGAGACATGAGACGCATAGTTTGGGTACATACCTAAGCAGGGCATTCATCTGAGTTTCCCTTGATTGGATTTCATCGCAAACTCTACCGCTAAAAAATCACGTCAAAAAATTTTTGAAATTGTACTTCCAACCTCCCCAATTCTTTCAAATATGCCCTTTTGATGACTTCAGTGAACTCTATTGCCATTTACATGTCCAAATATCACCCCAAAAAGCAAAAAATGCGCAAACCCGGAATCGAACCGGGGGCCCAACGATGGCAACGTTGGATTTTACCACTAAACCATTTGCGCTGTGAAAATGCTCCGCGACGGGGAATTGAACCCCGGTCTACCATGCGACAAACGGTAATTCTAGCCACTAAACTATCACGGAATTTCGTGAAATTTTGAACAAAAATGTTTTTGCGCCAAATTTTTACCCACGTGATTTCTGCGTGATTTTCACGCGATTTTCACGTGAATTTGCGACATTATTACCCATTTAGGAAGGTGGGACAGGGTGGAAACAAGATTCTATGAGGGAGTCCTACTCGTTTTCCTCATTCAATATACTCCTAATGTAACTCTTCAAGCACAATTCTGAATGAAATAGTAATGAATTAAATCTGTATTAAGGCTTCTCTTTGAATATTTTGTTTAAGACAGATTCTCGAGGTTTGAAATACATTCAAATTCTTCTCCGAGACTAAAGAAGAAGGAAGATAAATAAGCTTTGTCTTGTTGTTGACGCAGTCCCCTCAATACCACCACGTTTATTGTTTATTATATATGTTTTATTTGAACTTTTCTCGAGGTTTGAAATACATTGCTTTCTCCCCTACCATTTGAATATTCTTGCTCTCATCTCCAGGCTCAGAAAAAGGGACAAAATAAAATGCAATTGATGTGATACAGTCTATATATGAAAGAAGAGGAATTGTTAACTTGTCTTTATATATAATTAGTTGGTGAATGGAGTGAATGGGTTTCCTTTGTGTGCGGGCCGATTGAATTTTTTTGTGAATATTTCTTCAAAAATGAATGAGCTTGGAATGTGTCCTCAAAATAAAGCAAATATCAGAGAACATTTCACTAACAAGCACCATATCAGGACTGCCAAAGTTAAATTTTCAAGACACGGGATTTCAATTCCTTTAAGATCAAGCTGTATATTAGGGCAGAAAAGTAAGTTGGGAGATGCCAAATTCATAGAACCTCATAGCAATTCTAGTTTTTAAAATTCATACTAAATGCTGCCTGTTTCCATATAGAGGTTTAATATTTTAGATATGGAAATCAATCTATTTTCTTGATTGTGGACCCGATGGTGGCTTCTGCCGAATATGTATCCAGCCTTTAGTCTACACCTCATAATTTTTTTGCAACCATTTTTTTCGCAACCAGAATTTTCTGACTTAACCCACTTAGTGCTTTAGTTCATCCATAAAAATTATAGTGCTCAAAGGTGTCTGATTTCTATAACCATAGATATTATAGATCAAGAATCTAAGATGTTGGTCAGAAATTGACTATACATGCTTGATTTAATTCACCTTCATTGGTTTACACTTTGTGAGAAGAAATTTGCACTTCTCCAGAAGAGTTTTGGTTAACTTCGCAAAATAATTTCTCAGATACTTAAAGAAATTATTTCATAAGCTACTACTAACAACAAAGTAAACTTTTTCCTGGATTGGCATTTAATCTTATAAAGTTTATGTTTACATTGGAAAGTTCGATATCTCGTTCTTGTCCGCAATGCGGGACTCATTTCTGTCCAAGATTATTTCACCTTGTTGTCATAAAATACAATCATTAAATATTCATAGATTAAAGGCATTGACCTTGTAAGTCCAAGGTCCCTGAGCTGATAGTTATTTCCTAACAGTAAGAAGTTAGAATACCTTTTCATTTCAGCAAATCAAATCTGTACTAAGTACGAAACAATAGCCAAGTTACCCCACCAGACGACATTTTTCACGCACGACTCTTTCTCCCAGTTAATGACGTAGTGCGGGTCTGGTCAGCCATTGAAGAGAATTCTTGGCTAAGATAATGGCAACAACTGATATTGAGCCAGCAGTTAGAGAGAGCACTGATTACAAGAAGCGGTAAACTGTCATCAATCACAATTTCCAAATCTACAAAATAATATGTCTTCAGTAATAACAATTTCTATAGAAACAACTAATATACACCGTAAAAATATACACCGAAAATCTGACTACCTATATCCTCTATAAGAATTGGCATTTGAATCGCCAAATGGAGTATCGTCATTATATGACTTTGAGTAAGGATCTGAAGAATAAACTGGTTCGTAGCCTCTATTAGCAGTAGTATATCCTGGACCATCATTTACAAAATGAGCCTGTTGTGGAGCACTATTATATAATGATGGAGGGGATTGAGGTTGTTGAGGTTGATAAGCATATGGTGATGGCGATGGTGGTGATAATGGTTTTTCAGCTTGATAAGTAAATTGAGGTGATGGTGATGGTGGTGATGGAGGTGGTTGTGGTTGATAAGCATATCGAGGTTGAGTAGTTGGGGGATACATATTTGGATTGACATATGTGGTTTGAGCAGGTTCTCTTTGAAGTCTATTAGCTTTCCGACAACAACAACAACATAATGCATCAAGACATTTTGCTCCCATAAATATACATTGGAAAAGGGTTGTTAATATCCAGATAACAAATAAGGATCCTACAACAATTAAAACAATTGCAACGATCTTACATGTTCTATTGGCCATACACGTATCCCAACTCTTGAATGCTTCTGCTGTTGATTTAGCAGATTCAAATATGTCTCTCTTGTATTCGTTATATAGATACATTCTTAAGGGTTTTTTTCTTTAGTTTTGAAGTTTGATGATGCTTCAATGATGAACTTTTTTAAAGAAAAAGATTGAAATTATTAAAATAAAAAAAACCAGACGACTCCTTTTTTTTTTTCCAGAATTTTGAAAGGAGTTTTAATCTTTTTTATTTGTGATTTTTATTTCGATTCTTGTGTGAAACAAAATAATAAAATAAATTTATGCACGAAGTGCGGTTTAAATTTCTTATTCTAAAAATAGCGAGAAAAAATAATTGTCTAGGTGATAAAAAATATTTTGATTTCTTTTTGATTGCAAAATTATTTTATTTTTGAATGTCTAGTAAAAAAAAATGATTCAAAGTGGCGCATTCAACATTATATTTCGCCTGCTTTTAACCACATCGAATGTCGAGGATGACTAATTGACCATATCGCTCATGGAAGAACTGGTCATGGTCACTCACGGAAGAATTGATCATTCATACTTAGCCCGATAGAAGATAGAATGATTTATTCAAAGGGCAAGGCTGCGAGTGGTGTCGAGAATGTAGGGGGCAATTCAGCCAAACGCACTCACCACACATGAAACCCAACATGACTTTATTTTTCTTTGTATCAATCAATTCCTTGACTCTCGTAAAATTATGCAATTATTTTGTTGGACTACACATGAAGCTTGCCCCATATTTCCATTCTGCTTCTATGAAGATAAACTGCCGCGTGAACTAAAGTTTTGGCAGACATCAAAAAAATAACAAAACGCGTCATAAAAATACCATGACAACCTGAACTCTTTGTCTCACAAGTTAAAAAACGTATACTATGGAAACAAGGAACAGTTACATGTGACATATTATTATTTCCAAATAGAGATAATGAACGAACTTTCTATTGATAGGAACTTAATAGATTTTAAAATTTGTTTCTTTTCTGCAAGTGTGACATTGGAGTCGCGCTAATCTATTTGAATGGTTGCAAAAAAAAAACTATATTAAACGGGATCCACGAAATGTCAATCTCTTGAGCAATTGCCAACGGTTATACCACCCCACTTAGGATTTCTCATCATTCATGGATATTGCGTCTTTTCTAAAAGTGGTACTATCCAGGGAATACGAATGATACGAGACGCAGACCCATGGAATGTGGGGGGGATAACTTGCACGGAATAACTTGCACGTCAAATCCTAATTCTAATTTTTTCTACATATATTGCAACAGAAACTTGTCCAGATTGAGATTAACATAAACGTACTATACTGAGCCCAGGAATTCGATTGATGAGTCGAATACATAGTTTGCCAAGGTAAAAATGACTGTTAGGCAGGAAAGTTCTTGAGCTCCAATTTTTTGCAGCAATTCTCATGTATACTCTGTAAAGCGGTCTCTCTAAAGCATGACCAGAATCAAGAAAAATCCTTTCTCATATCACTGCTCCGCAAAAAATTCAAGTGCTTCCCATTAGATGAAAAAAGTACATTAATCAAGATATAGTTGCAGTTGATGGTCCAGTAGAAGTGTTTTTTGATTACATTCGGTTTATTTAGTTACCATATTCTGTGAGGTCATTATTTGAAACGTTCGAGTGAATTGATACTCAGCCAATATGGTCAATGGAATAAAATATAGTTATATGTATATGTAAAAAAAATAGCGAAGAGAACAGGACGAGACAGAATAAGGATTTCTTGTATTTTTTTTTGGCGTTACAATTTTATTTTGGCACTTTTAAATTTGTTTCTAAGCATAAACAATTCTATTTTTAAAAGGGAAGTGAATCGAATCTCACTCAGCTTTGCAGGGCCCTATAGACTGTCCCATATTTACTTACATTCTACACGAAGAAGCTGCGGTTTATACTCAGGAAAACCATCTATTTGTCATGCCTTGATACCAGACCAATTATGTACACCATAAATCCTCCTTTTACTAAGATATTCCTATAGGTAGATTCTCCATGTCTTTCACATAATAGCTGTCCATGAAAAGCTATATTTACCCGGGGTAAACGCTGCTTATGTACACCAGACTGATTCGACACAAAGAGACATTTCCTTGAGTAACGAGAACCTCTACTTCTTAAGTTCATCTTCCGCATTATTATTCAGTCCAATATCTATACAAACACACTATATTGAGTGAGTCTTCTAGTTCTGATGGCTGAATATATCCATTTTAATCGATTTGAAAATCATCTGGTCGACATCTTGTCATATGACGAAAAAGTCGCAAACTTGTGAAAACGGGCGGTTGGTGTAGTGGTTAACATATCTGCCTTCCAAGCAGGTGTCACGGGTTCGATTCCCGTACCGCTCATTCTTTTTTTGGACGGGGATGCACGAGCCTTAAATGACTGAAAAATGAATCTCATCGACTGGAGAATAATTATCAGACTGTTCTTCTTTTTTATTCTTTTGAAAAACCACACATATACTAAGAAGAAAACCGGTCTGCCATTGGGTGAATGATTAGACGATTAATGACAATTATAAGACCATCACCAATTGTAAACAATAATACCAGGTGCATTAGTTATAAAACAACCACATCAATGAAACGTCCAGTAAATGATTCTATTGTATTAACAGAACCAGAAGCTAATATACGAGAAGTGTTAGTTGATTATTGCAATTATTATAACACACGAGATGGAGTTGAAGAGCCTTTAGAATTAAGAATTACTGGTGGATGGGTTAGAGATAAATTATTGGGGAATGAAAGTCATGATATCGATATTGCAGTTAATCATTTGACTGGAGAAGAATTTGCTCATAATTTACATGATTATTTATTAGAGCGTGAACCAGAATTATCTATGAAAGCTATTCACACTATAAAGAAGAACCCGGAAAAGTCTAAGCATTTAGAAACATGTACTACTAAATTATTTGGAGTTGATATTGATTTTGTTAATTTAAGATCGGAAGAATATACTCATGAAAGTAGAGTTCCTGTAATTGAATTTGGATCACCTGAAGAAGACGCGTTGAGAAGAGATGCTACATTGAATGCATTGTTTTATAATTTGAATCAAAATAAAATTGAAGATTTTACTGGGAAGGGGTTAGAAGATTTACATCATGGACTTTTAAGAACTCCATTGCCTCCATTACAAACATTTTTGGATGATCCATTGAGAATTATTAGATTGATTAGATTTGCTAGTAAATATAATTTCATTCTTGAACCAAGGACACTTAGTGCAATGAAGGATAAACAAAGCCAAGTTGCCTTGCTGACTAAGATTAGTAAGGAAAGAATTGAAATTGAATTACGCAAGGTTTTAACTAGTAAGAATGCAGGATATGGATTACAATTGATCAATTATACAGGTTTAGCTCCTTTTATATTCCATGTTGCCTCTATGGAAAAGATTTTCAATAAAGAACAAATTGATGCATGTCGTGCCAAAATACCTGATCAAATTACATTAGCTACAATTGCATATAGCAATTTAAAACATTTTATATTGGGAGAGACTAGGAAATTAAAACATGCGTTGGCAGATTTAATAATAAGTGAAGATCATATGAATATTTTTTGGCTTGCCATTATTTTACAACCATATGCTGCCATTCGTCCATCTAGATTAATCACTGCAATTGGTACATTTATGAAGGATGGGCTTAAATCGAAGAGATTAGATATTGTCCGAGTTCAGACAATAGCTACAGCATACAGCCATGAAACCGATGTACTTTCACGATTCTTCAAGGATCCTGAATCGATAAAAAGATCAGAATTAGGACTTTATCTTAGACAATTTGGTGATTACACTGAAGTGAATCTTATGGCATGTTGTATGCTTGATTGCATCTATGAATTGAAATCAGTTTTCCATATACCAGAAGAATTACCCGTTCCATACCCTGAGCATAGTAAAGATTTGTACGAAAATAAGGAGATAAATGAAGTTATACATAAAATAGTACTAAACTATGAAAAATTATTTAAAAGAATTGAAGAATTAGAATTGAAGGATGTTCATTTAGTTAAACCATTAATCGATGGAACTACATTATCAAAATATTTAGGATTAAAACCAGGACCTTGGTTAAAAGATATTACTGATGATATATTGATATGGCAATTGGATAATAAAGAAGCAGGAAAAGATGAATGTTTAGAGTATGTAGATAGTGTTGCCCAGACATATAACCCTTTATAGGTGTTCTTCTTTAGTTCATAATAATAAGTGCATATATGTAAATACCACCATACTTTTAGACCTACCTCTACAAATACTAATAGTCGTAGAACCAGACAGTTGATTTGGAGGATGCACGCTTAGATGCTTGGCCACTTGAAAACAGAGTTGGAAGAATTTCTTTGAAGGATTCCTATTCGTGTAGTCGTTTTTTGGTGGCTGGCACCAGACAGAAGCTGTTGCCCTTGTAGTACTTTCTTGCGTCTTCCTGAAATCATGGTGGGAGTAACCACTACAATACCTCTTTCCTCCTCCAACGTGCTACCAAATATTCATTCACGTGACTTGTATACTATTTTATTTTTTTTCTTTCCATCGGGCCTGAAAAATTCCTTCAACGGCTTTCTTTCATTTTTCAATTGACTCATACCAGTTTGACAATTGAAATTTTTTTTCTTATCTTCGCTTTCATTTTTTTTTACAACCACTTTTTCAAATTCAACCAATTATAAACTTATATAGTAATAATAGAAGATGTCAACAGTGGAGAAAGTTCCTATTTTAGGTAAGGAATCCATTCATGTTGGTTATGGAATACAAGATCATATAGTTGAAGAAACAATTACCAATTTAAAATCATCAACGTATGTTATTATTACTGATACAAATTTATCAAGAACTCAACCTTTTATTAAATTAAAACAAGATTTCGAATCTCAATTACAATCGAAAAGACCAGAATCAAGATTACTTTCTTATTATGTCTCCCCTGGTGAAAATAACAAAAATAGAGCTACTAAAGCTGCTGTGGAAGATTTCTTATTACAACAAGGTTGTACTAGAGATACTGTCATTATTGCAGTTGGTGGAGGTGTTATTGGTGATATGATTGGTTTTGTAGCAGCTACTTTTATGAGAGGTGTTAGAGTGATACAAGTTCCAACCAGTTTATTAGCAATGGTTGATTCTTCAGTTGGTGGTAAAACTGCGATTGATACTCCATTGGGTAAAAATTTCATTGGTGCTTTCCATCAACCAGAATATGTTTTTATTGATGTATCTTTCTTGGAAACTTTACCAGCTAGACAATTCATTAATGGTATGGCAGAAGTTATCAAAACTGCAGCAATTTGGAATGAAGAAGAATTTGTTCGTTTAGAAAAATTTTCAAATGAATTCCTTTCTGTAGTTACATCTCCAAAACCAGATTTATTATCAATTAAACAAGAGTTAGTCAAAACTGTATTGGAATCAGTTAGAGTTAAAGCATCTGTTGTTTCTTCTGATGAAAAAGAATCAGGATTAAGAAATTTACTTAATTTCGGTCATACCATTGGTCATGCAATTGAAGCAGTCTTAACCCCAGAAGCCTTACATGGAGAATGTGTCTCCATTGGAATGATAAAAGAAGCTGAATTATCTAGATATTTGGGAATTTTACCTCCAGTTGCAGTTGCAAGATTATCTAAATGTCTTGATGATTATGGTTTACCTATTTCAATTGATGATAAGTCATTTTTGAAAAAAGTTGGAATAAAACGTCATTATGTTGAAATTGATATTCTTTTGAAAAAAATGGCAATTGATAAAAAAAATGATGGATCTAAAATTAGATGCGTATTATTGGAAAAAATCGGTAGATGTTATCAATTAAAAGCTCATGAAATTTCTAAACGTGATTTAAGTTTTGTTTTAACTGATGAAGTATTAGTCCATCCTTTTAGTGAACAGGAAATCCCTCAAACCAATGTTATTATCCCACCAGGATCTAAATCTATTTCCAATAGAGCATTAATCTTAGCTGCCTTAGGAAGTGGAACAGTTAGAATTAAGAATTTATTACATTCAGATGATACCAGACATATGTTGGATGCAGTTGCTGCTTTGAAAGGAGCCACTATCAGTACTGAAGATAATGGTGAAACTATTGTAGTTACCGGTAATGGAGGTAAATTAATTACTTGTGATGAAGAATTGTATTTAGGTAATGCCGGTACTGCATCCAGATTCTTAACTACTGTTGCTTCATTAGTTGGAATTAACCCAGAATCGACTGAAAATGTTATTTTAACCGGTAATGCCAGAATGCAAGAAAGACCAATTGGACCATTAGTTGATGCCTTAAGATCAAATGGATCAGAAATTGAATACTTAAACAAACAAGGTTCATTACCATTGAAAATCAAGGCCGGGAAAGGTTTAAAAGGAGGAAGAATTGAATTAGCCGCTACTATTTCATCCCAATATGTTTCTTCTATACTTATGTGTGCCCCATATGCCAATGAACCAGTTACGTTAGCTTTAGTTGGAGGAAAACCAATTTCTCAATTATATATCGACATGACCTGTGCCATGATGAAATCATTCGGGATTGAAGTAACAAAATCGACAACTGAAGAATACACCTATCATATCCCCCAAGGATCATACACCAACCCGGTCGAATATGTTATTGAATCAGATGCTTCTTCTGCAACTTATCCATTAGCATTTGCGGCTATGACAGGTACATCATGTACGATCCCCAATATTGGTTCTAGTTCCTTACAAGGAGATGCCAGATTCGCGGTTGATGTTCTCAAACCTATGGGATGTCAAGTTGAACAAACCGCAACCTCAACCACCGTTGTCGGACCTCCAAAAGGGACATTAAAACCATTGTCTCATGTGGATATGGAACCTATGACTGATGCATTCTTGACTGCATCAGTAGTAGCTGCTGTTGCTACCAATGGGACCGGAACTACTTCAATCACCGGTATCGCCAATCAAAGAGTGAAAGAATGTGATCGTATTGCAGCAATGGTGACAGAATTAGCTAAATTTGGAGTGCATGCTCATGAATTACCTGATGGGATTGAGATTCAAGGAGTTGATATTTCGGAATTACATACTCCAGAAACTGAGAAGAGAGGAATTAGTTCATATGATGATCATCGTGTTGCGATGTCGTTTTCATTATTGGCGGGATTATGTAAAGAACCGGTATTGATTTTGGAAAGATCGACCACGGGAAAGACTTGGCCTGGATGGTGGGATACTCTTCATTCGAAATTTAATGTTGTTTTAGATGGTCATGAATTAGGATATGGTGTTGAAGATGCCAGTGTGATTGGTGAACGTGGGAATGGAAATAAGAGTATTGTGGTTATTGGAATGAGAGGAGCCGGAAAGAGTACTTTATCTAAATGGATGGCTGATTTCTTGGGATTTAAATCTTTGGATTTAGATGAATATTTAGAAGCTAAATTAGGCGTGGATATTAAATCATTGATTAAAGATAAAGGATGGGAATATTTCCGTGAACAAGAAACTATCGTTGCTAAAGAAGTCATTGGAGGTAGTCAATATTCCCAAGGATATGTTTTATCCACCGGGGGAGGAATTGTTGAAGGTGAACAATCTCGAGAATTATTGAAATCTTATGTGAATAAAGGTGGGATTGTCTTACATTTACATCGTGATTTAGATGAAACCGTGACATTCTTATCTGCAGATACTACCAGACCAGCATATGCTAATGAAGTTAGAGATGTTTGGTTAAGAAGAGAAAAATGGTATTCTGAATGTTCAAATTATCATTTCTATTCAAGTCATTGTAGTACTGATGATGAATTTAGACATTTAAGAAATTCATTCACTACTTATATCAAAACCATCACCGGTATTCAATCAGTACCTATCCCACAAGATAGATCAGCATTTGTTACATTAACTTTCCCTGACCTTAATAGTGTTTCTAGTGCCGATTTAGAAGAGATTGCAATTGGATCCAATGCTGTTGAATTAAGAGTTGATTTATTACATGATTATTCACCTTCTGTTGTGGCTGAACAAACTGCAATTTTGAGAAAAGTACTTGATGAAGATATTTCAATTGTCTACACCATCAGAACCCAATCTCAAGGTGGCCAATTCCCGGATGACAACGTTGATCAATTACGTGAATTATTATTATTGGGGATTAAATTAGGTGTCGGATATATTGATGTTGAATTAACCACCCCAAATGAAATCATTGAAGAAATCTTATCCAAACGTGGTTCTACTCGAATTATTGGTTCCCATCATGATTTTTCCGGAAAATTGAAATGGAATAATGTCGAATGGAAGAATAGATATAATCAAGCCGTGGCAATCAATGCCGATATTGTGAAATTGGTGGGTAAAGCAACTTCATTCGAAGATAATTTGGAATTAGAAACTTTCAGACATGAAAATACTTTAAAACCTTTGATTGCTATTAATATGGGTGAATTTGGGAAATTATCTCGAGTATTGAATAAAGTATTAACACCAGTAACTCATGATTTAATCCCTAATAAACCAACCGGAACTGGACAATTAACTATATTGGAAATAAATCTGACATTTGCCAAGATTGGTGGATTTACTTCGAAGAAGTTTTGGGTAGTTGGATCACCAATTCAACATTCTCGTTCTCCAAATTTACATAATGCAGGATATAAGAAATTAGGATTACCTTATGTATTTGATAGATTTGAAGCTAGTGATGCCGATAGTGTCTACAAGAATTTAATCCACGGCAAGGAAGAGCACTTTGGAGGATTGGCAATCACGATGCCATTAAAATTGGATATCATGAAATATTGTAATGAATTATCCGATGCTGCTAAGACTATTGGTGCTGTGAATACTTTGATTCCAGTATCTGGACATGGGAAATATTTCGGGGATAATACTGATTGGGTCGGGATTGTGAATTCATTTGTTAGAAGTGGTGGCGGTGTTCCTAGTAAAGTATCCAATGTTAATGGGTTAGTTGTAGGTGGAGGTGGTACTTCCCGTGCCGCAATTTATGCATTGAATCAAATGGGATGTAAGAAGATTTATTTAATTAATCGTACAACTTCAAAATTATATGATATTAGAGACTCAATCCCTTATGATAATCTTGAAATTTTGGAAACTAATGAAGAAATCACCAGTGCTGATCCAGTATCATTGATTGTATCTTGTGTTCCTGCTGATCGTGAATTAGATTCTAGTTTGGTTGCAAAGGTTGAAACTATTTTATCTAAAGGTATTGAAGTTAAACAAGGTGGATTTGTACCTACTTTATTGGAAGCAAGTTATAAACCTAGATTGACACCAATTATGAAGATATCTCAAGATAAATATAAATGGAATGTTATTCCTGGGGTTGAAATGTTGGTTAATCAAGGTGATAGACAATTTCAATTACATACTGGATTTAAGGCTCCATATAAGGTGATTCATGAAGCTGTTGTGTCTGATGAATAGAGATGTTGCCGGTAAAGATGTTTGCGTTTTGTTTTTCTATATTATATAAAGTAAATAAAAGTATAAAATGAATATAAAATTATTATTAATTATAAGTGTACCTTTCTAACAAGGCAGTTGTAGATGTGCATTGAGATATTATAAAACGCCTTAGTTGTTTGTAGATACTCTATTGCAACATTTCCATATTTAAAAGTAAGAAATTTTTCAGTAAAAACGTATGATTACGTAATACGGAAAAAACGTTCCATGCATATTGACATAAAAGAAGATCTCGATTTATGGGTTATATTGTCAGATCAAGAATTATTATTAATTATAACCAAATTCGGAAGATCCACTTGGCAGATAAATAGTTCAGATATGATTGGTTAGATCTGGAAATATGTTATTATACAGCATTGAATTGGTAGTCACTTATTGATTTGAGAGCTAACGGTATAATTACTCTAACTAATTGTAAGGAAGATATTTCCTTCGGATTAGTAATAGGGAAATGCAATAAGGGTAATTGTATGTTTACTGTAGAGGACAGTAATGTCATCAAACGTTTGCAAATTGTCAGAATCAACACTCATAGAAGGAATATTTAAATATAGTGTACCATTGGCTATTATTCGAACGAATGAGGAATTCTGAGACCTTTACATAAAGAATAATTACACAATTCTATAGTTAACTGGCAATAATAAGATGAGCATCCCAATTGGGAAATGGAAGAATCGCTTTAGTACACCAAAAAAAAAGCGCATCTGTCTCTCTTCATCTTTCAATTTATTTTTTTCTTTTTTGTTTTGTATGTTAAATTGAATTTGAAATTGATGAGGCGAATAAAATATATGCGGATATATGCAGGAACGTCTACTTACCAATGTAATACTCTTATTATGGAAATGTAATTATATGTAATTGCTATAGAGAGAATGTATGTCTTACTCGAATTTGTCTGTCCTTTTTGAAACTATTTGTCTATTAAATCAATAGACACGTAATCAATAGAAACAAACAATCCTTATTAACAGAGGGAGGGGAGTAAATAATGGGACAAGACGACTAACTAACAAATCGAGATGGCTTAGACGGAAAAGAACGACATTAAACTCCGAACGGAAAAGAAAACTAGGAACAATTAATAATTAGACTAAATCCTGCATATAGAACAATTATTAAAAAATTTCTTTTTCTCCTCTTTTAATTAAAAATTTTTAAATTTAAATTACAAATAGACTCAAATTGTCAGTTAGATTTCACTTCTTCTTCTTCTTCTTCTTCTTCTTACCAATTCTATATTTCTATATTCCTTTTTGCTATTTAATAATAATCCTCTTATCAAAAGATGTTGAGGACGACGACGACGGGTACGATGAAGACGACAACATCAATTATGATGAAGAGGCTGATCCCATCACACTACAACCAATTGCTAGCTACACCTATTGCTAAATCAATACTATCAACTACTAATTATAACAACAACACCACCCAGACAACAATCACAAGACAATTTTCAGCATCAACCAGACAATATTCAGCAACAACAATGTTTCAAGGAGCAAGAAATTTCTTTCTTAGTTTCAACAATAACAATCAAGTAGCCACGGAAGAATATTCACCAGCTGAACATAATCCTTATATGACATATCCTTTATTAACAAGAGAACAATTAAAATCAATTTCCAGTAATGATAAATTTAAATTTGAATTTGGTTTTGCATCATTTGGTTATCATTCAACTTCTGGTTTACCTTCTGTTAATTCCCTTAGTGATTTAACTGATCCAACTGATTTAAATTCATTATTGCCAAGAAGAAGACCAGTTGGATCTCCTCAAGATACATTATCTATCAAAGCAGGTGATGATACAATGTTAGTCTCCCCTACAGTATTAGCAGTTGCAGATGGAGTATCAGGATGGGAAAGTGATGAAAAACATACAAGTTCAGGAATTTGGTCAAGAGCAATGTTGGAAACTTTTTCAAGATTAATGACTGAATATAAATTAAAGCATCTGCCATATCATTTAAAACAAAGAGATATTCATCAAATATTGGATGATTCTTATTTGCATACTTCCCATTTAATGGATTTACAGCATTTAAGTGGACTGTCTACATTAGTATTAGGAATGCTTTCGGGAGATTTATTAATGATGGTTAGTATTGGTGATTCAAAAATATATATTATTCGTAATGGAGAATTAATTAAAACAAATCCAACTCAAATGATGTCTGAATTATGTCCACAACAAATTGGTACTCAAACTTTAAAAGTATTACCTTCAGAAATTGCTTGGGTTGATTCAATTAAATTACAACAAGATGATATTATAGTAATGTGTTCCGATGGAATCAGTGATAATTTATTTGAATCGGAATTAATTAAATATCTTAATGAATTCCTTAATAATAAAAAGAATTATAATATGAAAAGAATTGCTGGTAGTTTATTAATTAAAGCTAAAGAAGTTGCATTTGATGATTATTCTTATACTCCTTATAATGAAATGGTTAATAATTTACCAATTGAAAAATTTGGTAAACATAATGAAGTTGGAGGGAAAGTTGATGATATGTCAATTGTTGTTGCAAAAGTTGTTGCTAAATAGTAATAGAAGCTTACACAACCAAGCGAAGCTTGCACTTATAAGCGAAGCTTGCTTAGATTTGCTTTAATAAAGTAAGCTTTGCTTACTTTGGTTATTTATGTAATTTTATATATAGAGATACAAACATTTTTTTTTTGGGTGGGTGCAAAATATTTAATATAAATACTTATGGGATATAGAGATAAATACAATTATTGGGTTATATAATAAAAACAAACATAAAATTTAATACTAATATACAATATATATACAAACAAAAACAATTAAAAACAATCTAAAAACAATCTCTCTCTAAATATTAGAAACTTCTGAAAAGTATTGTCTTAAAATTAATGATAACATTTCTGGTAATTCATTAATATCTCTAACAACAACATAAAATTCAAATGGGAAACTATCCAAATATTTATCAACTTTCAATGTCATTGCTCCAGTATTTGGATCTGGAATATAACTAACTTGACTCATATCCAAGATAGATTCTTTACTATTAATCCCATCAATAACAACAAATACCATCATAATCTTCTCTTCTCTCGCCTTTCTCACCATTCTTAAAATACTTTCATGATCTTCACAAACACCATCACTTAAAATGATCTGCAATTGCCATAAATCAGCACTACTACTCAGTCTAGCATCATCAAAGATCTTCAACGATCTATCACATAACAACTTCATATCAGTTCTAGTCTGTTGGAAATCAAACCATTGGAATATTTGAGAACCAGTTTCTTGATTATTAAATGGTTTATCAAATGGATGAACAACTCTAACATCTTCACCAAATCTAACAATCGATAATCCACCACTTTCCAATTGTGTCAAAGCTTTAGAAACTAATGCAATACTATGGAATGCCAATTCTGTTGCATTACTCTCACTCATCGATTTCGAATCATCAACAGCAATCATAATTTGATATTGTCTTTTGGATGGTTTGGTACGACGTAACCAAATCTTATCCTTCTTGAATTCAGATGCAATATATGGAATAATACGTTTCATATTCAATCTCTTCCCGGTTTTATAATCTCCTCTGAGTTTGGTTGCAAGTGTAGGTTCAAGAATTAAACGAAGTTGTTCACATAATCCCGATGCAAGTTCTTGAGTGGCCAATTCACTATGTTTCCATAATTTACGAGCTTCATCCAATGGAATTGGTGCAATTTCTTCTTCTTTAGGTTTGATTTCATCAATATCCATCATATCTTCATCTTGTTCTTCTTCATCAAGTTCAAGTTCTCGACTAAGCATCATTTCATCTTCTTCTTTAATGGTCTTACGTTCTCCAATAAATGCATTCTTGGCCTTTCCTTCAAAATCACCATCTGGATTCTCTTCCGATTGTGGAACTTCTTCAACATCATCCTTGGCTTCTTCTCCTTCCATCACTTCTTCCTCTTCTTTAACACCAACTTCTTTTTCTTCTTCCTCTACCATTTCTTGTTCATCATCAATGGCTTTATCTTCATCAATAGATTGGATTTGGTCTTTATCAGCAGCTCCCAAAGCCTGAGTATCAAAATCAGCATTCTCACCCTCCACATGCTCAAATTCATCCGGACGTTCATTCACACCATCATCCTTCTTCTCATCTTCTTCCTTCTTGGTTGCTTCCAAAATCTCCTGTCTACGACGATGGAACTCCTTCATGGCATCACCTAATTGTTTCAACGATTCATTCGCCTTTTCACGAGCATCATCTTGTTCTTGAACAGAATTCTCTTCTTTTGGTTGTTGTGGTTGATCTTGTTGTTGGAGAGATGCAGTACCTGCAGCACCCACATCTTCATTCTCTTCTATGATTTGAGTATCAGCACCTTCTCCCTTCTCACCTGATTCTTGTTTGACTGCAGAATCCATATCTACGTCTTCATCGTTATTATCGTCAAGACCATCAGCACCTTCTTCTGCGGTTTGTTGTTCTTCTTGATTTTGATCATTTCCGCCTTCTTCTTCATCTTGGTCCTTGGTGTTGTCTTCTCCGATTAATTCTTCATCTGATTCGATTGCTTCTTCATTGATTTCATTCTCACCAGTTGCACCTTCTTCTTCTTCTGGTTGTTCTTCTTCGTTTTCTTCTTCTTCTTCTGCACCTTCTTCGCCTTCAACTTCTTGCATATCATGATCTTCTTCCCCTTCTTCACCTTCCTCTTCTTGTTTGGTATCCTCTTGATGATCATCCACATCCATATTATCATCTAATTTATCATCAAACTTCTCATCATCAACTTCTTCCTCATCCTTCCCTTCTTCTTCATCATCATCACCATCAAGATCCATATTTTCGGGTAAATCCAATGTTTCAGTCTCAGGAACATGTTCTTCTAATTGTTCATTCTCTTGATTCTTCACTTCATCTTCTTGTTCACCCACATCTTGTTCATCACCTTCTTCATCTTCCTCATTCTTCTCATTCTCATCATCTTGAGCATTCTCTTTACTCTTATCATTGTTATCACCATTCTCATTCTCATCATCTTCATTGGCTTCCATATCATCATCATTATTAGAATTCTCCGGCAATTTATCTCTATCCTTCTCCTTCTTATCCTCCTTCACTTCCTCATCCCACATTTTTTCATCAATAGCATTCGGATCTAAATCATCAATATCATCAATCTCCTCATCCAACTCTTCATCTTCTTTATCTTCATCTCCCTCATCATCACCTTCTTGATCTGATGCTTCTTCCAATTCTCCAGCCATATCCCCTTCAATATCAACCGCATCATCATTCTCCTCTTCTTCATCTCCTTGATCTTTATCCTTCTTTTCTTGATTTGGTTGCTGGGCTTCCTCACTCAAATCCTCATCATCACCCACGTCATTAGATGCATTATTTTCTCCTTCTCCTTCTCCGAGTCCAGTACCTTCTTGTAATCTATCATCTTGTTTTTGTTCACTTGGTGGTTCTGGACTACAGAACCCTTGGGTGGCTAAGTTGTATAAAGCCCCAGATAATATAAAGGTGGCTTTTGAAGTTTGATGATAATTCTCACGAGTCTTGTGGAATATTTGGACAACTAGGTTGAAATAATGGTTGAGGAGCGGATATGTGAATGAAACTAATGCTGATGTAATTTCTGATGATTGTTGGTTGTGTTCAATTGATGAGATGGTTGAAAGAACACGTTGTAATTTTGTGATGATTGTATTGAGATGGAGTGATTTGATATATGTCTTGAGACGTTGTTGTGAAGTAGTGAACCATCCGTCATCATCAATTGTTGTGGTAGCGGTTTGTGATTCAATGACTTTCTGAACTGCAATAATGATTGTGTTGGTAAGGTTACGCAATTCCTGTTCAAGATTTTCCAAAGTTTGCAATTCTGTTAATGAAGTGTTTGATTGAATAAATCCGATTGGTTTAGTTGTAGTTGTTCTTTTGATCCAATCTAATATAACAGTGACAATGAATGCATAGTTTGGATTCTTGATTGTCCAATCTCCTAAAGTGGTTGATAATTCAATATAATATTGTGAAAATTTATGAATGAAATCCTTGACTCTAGTAGTTAAAACTCTTCTATTAGCATCTAATTCTTGGAATAATCTGATTAATTCAGATAATTTCAACTTCAAGTTATAAATAACCTCAGCATTCACATCTTCAAATCCAAATGAAACAACTGATCCAATAGTCTCAATTGCATAGTCCAATAACCTAGGCAACCAATAAATCACCCTCTTAATTTGTTCAAGGTTCCATTTAGATGAATCAACAATACTAACAGGCAATAACCCATCACCACCACTTACATTATGCAAAGCACCATATAATTCATTCAACTTCTCCATATTCTTCTCCAACATAGCCAATGGAACACGATTAACAACAAGTGTATGAATCAAATTCTCAGTTGCACTCAATCCCTTTTCAACATCCACTTGTGGAACATCTTCAGCCACATTTGCAACTGAAGCTCTCAATCTTGGTAAAATATCCAAAATCCTAAAGAAATATCCATCAACGCCTTGTGCTTGTCCCAGAAAACTAACCGAATTAGCAAGAATTTGACTCACAGATCCTTGAGTCGCTAAAATATCTGCTCTCAAACTGGTTTTTAATCCACTTCTTCTAATTTCACGAATTGTATCACTTAATAATTTCCTCTTTTGGGTTTTTAATGCCGCCACAAGTTTCTTATTGTCATCTTTAAGAGTGCTTGGAGTTTCTTGTTTGAGTCTATCCATTTCAGCAATGATTTCTTTGGCATATTCATATAATGTTGGAATTTCTTCATTGGTGATTCTATCCACATAAATCTTCATATTTTTTTCAATTAAAGAAATGTTTTGCAATCTCTTTGGTCTTTCATTCCAACTGGATACTGATTCACATAATTCTAATTCATTAGATAAATGGACTGATCCTTGAATTCTTGGTAATGGAGATAATGTGATATTTGGTTTCACTTCAGATGAAATTCCCAGTTCGATAATTGGTTGAACTGGCATAGCTAATAAGGAACGATACTTTCTTACTATCTTATAAAGATTATTATGAGAACGACGAGCACTTTGTTTCAAAGCATCAATATTGACATCTTTCCAACTGGCCAACAAAATCACTTCATTCACATCTTTGGATAATTTCTTCTTGGATTCTTCAATCTTGGTAACAATGGTAGATTCAAATTGAGCATAGAAATCAATAAAATTGGAAAGTGAATCAATTATTGGATTGGCTGAATCAAGTTGATTAACATGGTTTCTAAAAGCCTTTAATAAATTCAATCTACTTCTATATTCCCCATATGTTACTTTACTCATGAATATATTCAATGCTGATAATATTTTAGTTGCTGATTCTTCATCCTCTTCATCACCACCAGATAATACAGGCATAATTATGACTTCAAATAAATAAAACCACCATTTTCCAATATTCAGTTCAACAGCTTCTTCTTCAAATTTAAACAATGCTTTCCAAGTAGATAATTCTAATTTTCTCCATGACACAATCAATCCAGTTAATAAATCAAATTGTTCACTCATTGAAACTTGTTTAGATGCATATTTATTCCATTCAGCAATAAAAGTATAAATCTGTTCCACTTTTTGTAAATATCTTCCTAAAGGTAATCCAATTGGATAAGTCAAGAATTCATTGGATGCAAATGCAATATTCTTTAATGTGGCATGTTCCGGCCATTGTTCTAATAATTTCAATGTAAATCTATGAACTGATCTCATGGTAATACTAGCTTTCTTGATTTCTGCTGGATTACTATCTTGATAGAAATTAAATTCACTAATTGGTTGGTTGAATTTATTAAAACATTTCGACATGGTATTGACTAATGTTGATAAAATTGACGCATTATTTTCACCATGGTCTAACTTTCCACTATATTTGGATAATATAGTAATCAATTCAGCACCTTCATTAAGAATATCACCAGCATTTTCCTTTTCATTAACATCGGCAAATTCCTTGACATAAGAAGAAGCAATTCTTTCATAGATAGATTCGAAACTTTGATTAGTCTTCTTGATTCCTGCGCCTTCATCAATATTCATAACATCTTCAAAATCAGGGAACAATTTCATGAAATCACCTTCAATATCTTCATCTGGATCGGTATATTTGTATAAACTACCCTTTTGAATATTGTCCTTTTCTTCTTTAATACGACGAAGTGACCATCTGTAATACAAAGATTGCAATGCTTGAACCAATATCTCTTGTGAATTTCCTTTATCGATTGTACCATGGGCAAATGCCAATTTAACAAAATATAACATAGTGAATTCAGCAGCTGGTGAATCAACTCCAATATCTTTAACAAAGTCTTTTGCTTTAGGGAACATTGATAAAATTGAATCCATATTGGTTATTTCTGCAAGATTGATTGACCAACTTTCATTATATTTGTGTTTACCAATTAATTGATCGCCACCAATTGAAACTAAATCAAATCCCAACTTCAATCCAAATATATATCCTTGTAAAATATCATTCAAATCAGAATAAACCATATAATTTTGATTCAATCTCATTATGAATTGTGATGCATTGTTTTGGAACATCCCCATTCTACTCTTACTCAATGATGAAAATTCTAAAGCAGATTCTAATAATTTCTCAATTGGTGCAATATCAATCGAAGATTCCATAAATGATTTCCATTCTTCAAATAATCCATCAATTCTAGAAGATCCACCACGATATACTTTTGGTTTATTAGGAGCTTCCAAATCATCAATATTGGTCAATGTAGATTCAATAAATATCTTTTCGTTACCACTTATGACTTCTCTGGTATTCTTCCAAGCTGATATAAGTTGTTCAGCAAATTTCTTTTGATCATCATAGACTTGGAAAACAACATATTCTCTAATAGCTGGATCATATGGAGAACTTGGAACATATAACTGAATTAAACCACAAGAAAACAATACCCATGCTTTACCAATTGATTGCAAAGATGTTTCATTATCAATTAATATCAATGCAGGAATCATAAATGTTTCAAAAATCTTCCCCACTTCAATTTCTTGGAATGCGAATAACAATTTTTCAATTGCCCTTGTAAAGTCAATTTCAACCAATTCAACAAATTCATCAACTACTTCATCTCCAATAGAAGGTCTATGCGCTTCCAATACTTTCATAAACCAAGCAAATAATAATTTCTTAAATACTTGCTTTTGATCTTTCAAAATCGATGAAGAATGGACAACCATGGCACGAGAAATTTCCTTCATATCAGCATTAGTTTGATCCAACAATTTTCCAGAAACAGATTCAGGTGACATTGATTTATTTAATAATGATGTGATTAAATTACAGCTGAACAAACCAGGAACTCTTGATTCTGAACTTCCACCTTCACTATTATCCCATAAACTTTCAAATATTGATGGATAAGGTTCAAATGCATTGTTGGCATTCTTAACTAATGACAAAGCAGATTTCTTGGAAAAGTAATATAATTCAAATAAATTATCATTCTTTTTGGTTGATTCAAGTTGTTGAGATGATTCAATAAAGTTACAAATTGTCGTGAATTCTTCTTGGAAGTTATTCTGACGTTGATCAACAAATGTTTGAGAAACTTTTTTCAATTCAGCAATACCTTGTTGTAATTTTCCAAAGATGGCCATTAATTCTTCTTGATCCTCATATTCATCTTTGACAATAGATTGATGTAACTCAACAATAAATTTAGCCAATTCAGCGACAACTTCTTTAGATTCATGGAATTGTTCGGTAGCTACTTTGTCAAATTCATTAATTAAATCATATAATACCTTCAAGTTTTCCCAAGATTGTTCCGATTGTGGATATACTCCTCTACTTGACTCCCAAAGATCATTCATAGAAATACCTGACTTTAATACAAGTTCACTAGCAAATGAACTAATTGAAGATTGCAATTGATTCAAATTCTTGATAATAATCAAACTTGATTCTCCATACTTTTCACACCATTTGGAAATTAATTCTTGATAGACTCTTAATTTTGATTCATTTTGTGCTTGAGAAGTGACAATCAATCCTTTCCAAAGTAAGATAAGTTCATGAAGTGGTAAATAAACTGGTTCTGAAAATAAGTTGTATCCACCAACAAAAGATTCATTGAAAGTAGCTAAAATATAACCATAAATGTTCTTGGAAAATTCATAAATCTCTAATCTTGGTGGAGTTTTGATATTTCTTCCTAATGCAAATGCTGCTGATTTTTCTAAATATGTCAAATCATGGATCTTCTTATTCATGGCATCTGATTCCAACTTGTTGATACTATCATTCATTTCAAGAATTGACCACATAACTTCACTTAACATTGTTGGTTCTTCACTTGCAATAGATTTATGATTGGCAAGAATTGATGAAATTAAGTAAACATTAATCAATGGATGCAATGATTGGAATTTGGCAAATTGAACATTCTTCTTCAAAATCTCACTAGCAATAACTTCTGATTCTTGATACATTTCAGAAAATTTAGCAAATAATGAATCATCTTCTCCAAACAGATTCAATGTCTTAGCAATAACTTCTCCACATTTCTTATCAGCTTCATTAAATTCTGGACTGGATTGAATAAATTCTTTCCATTTATTAACCATTGAAATATCAGCCAAAGGAATCACACTTAAAATTGCACTAATTGATTGACAGTCATCTCCTTTTTCTTCAGAATTCAACATATCATTAATCAATCCAAATGGTCTCATACTAGTATCTCTACTAAAATCAAATGATGATGCTGGAACATTTCCTTCTTTCGTAATACCAAGAACTTGAGAATCAAACTTTGTAACCCTGACATCCAATGATTCCATATATACTTCAATTCCTCTGTTTCTCATAGCACGGGATAATTCACCATATCTTGGATCCATAGTCAAGAATAATCTAAAATTAGGATGTGGTTTCAATATTCTTGGTTGACCATCAGCCAAACTGCATTCGTTGATAATCAAGCTTCCATTGGTTTCTAATAACGAATTCAATCTATCCAATACTGAAGGACTACATAAATTGGCATTATCCAAAACTAACCAATTTCCCTTTTCAACTGCTTGCACCAACAAACCATCAAACCATTCAAATCTGGCACTTCTTTCTTCACTAAGCTTTTCAATTAATTTATTGGATGATTCTAATAATGGATTAATTTCATTCAGGATATAAAGTTGAGTAAACTCAACGAATAATTTATGGAATTTATCATATGATTCAGTATCAATAGCTGACTTTTCAATATATTCAACTAATTCTAATGATTTAGATAATACACTAGTTTCAGTAGACTCTTGAGATCTTAAATTAAGCACTGCTAAATCAGAAACCACCGCATAAATTCTATCAACCAAAGAATTAATTTCTCTGGAAAGATCAACTTGTTCATAACCACCCAAAATATCCATAGAATCAACATCACTATTCATGGAAAATTCATCAAGCTTCACACCTAAAGTAGTAGCCAAAAATCTAATTAAATTGGTCTTACCTGAATTAGTTGGACCAGTAAGAATTAATGGAATATTATGGGTAATACATCTTAATGAAGTTTCAATGAGTTTAAAATTACATTGTAAAGGTAAAAGACAATCACCACTAATATATTGAATAACATCCTGTTTAGCCACCAAAGAACCATTAGATTGAACAAATGAATCAGACATAAAGAAATAATTATCCCTTTTATTAGATTCACCAAATATAGATTCAAATAATTTCTGAGCCTTAAGTTTATCATCACCATTTCTAAATCTTTGACAAATAATCATTTCCAAAAAATCATCAATTGCAATATCTTGACTAATATTTCCACTAGTATAAAGACTCAACCATCTTAACGAATCACGCAAGTTAAATTCCCATGGACTTCCAGCCATACCCCATAATTTCTTCACAACAACTTCATCTTCCAACTCCGACATAAATTCAATCAATTTCCCACAATTCTCTGGATCTACTTCAGGATACAAATGTTGTGAGATCATATTAAGATCTCCTGACTTCAAAGTATCAACATAAACAACTGTAAAACGATTCACAAACGATTTAGGTAATCCTTTTCTTCCACCACCTTGATATTGAGGATTTTGAGCTGCAAATACAGTAAATTTAGGATGTCTCTTAAATGCTTTATCCAATTCTGGAATATATGCTTCACCACGATGATCCAAACATGCATTCAACCCTTCCAATACTGATTGTGATGCTAAATTCATTTCATCCAATAAAACCCATTCACCTCTTTGCATTGCTCTCAAGAATGGAGCATCTCTCCATACAAATTCACCTGCTTTCCCACCTTCTGCTGGTGCATCTGATCCGAATAAATCTACTAAATCAGTTTGTTCTGATAAATTGATACGAACCAATGGATTTCCTGTTGCATTTGCCAATGCAGTGATTAAACTGGTTTTACCTACACCGGGACTACCTTCTAACAAAATTGGTTTCTTGACTTGCATAGCTCTGATAACTCTCATGGCGTTGGCTGCTGTGGTTGGTGCTTCAAGATTGAATGATTTATTATGTCCAGTATTTTCAATGACTGGAATTGAAAATAATCCAGCTGCAAGTTTATCGCTTGTGTATGAAACTTGGAAATTACTTGTAATATATTCAGATAAATCAGATTCAGCAAATTGATATAATTGAGCCAAGCATTCATTCTTGACAGTTTTCAATCTTGATTCATTTTCAGCCAAATATGCAGTATTATTAGTACCCAAAGCATCAATGAAAACCATACTTGCACCATGAACTAATGCTGCTAAAGGATCCAATTCATCACCACAAGAATTAATAAAATCAACCCAGGCTAAAATATCACGTAATGAAATAACCCCATTATTTGTATGTCCACCACCAAATTGTTTAGCATACCATTCAGAAAATCCAACAATTGCAGATGTAAGTTCTTTATGTTTAATTCTTGCTTCCACAATTTGACTCACATCATTAAAATCTTCCATCAGAGGTACCCAAATTTCAGTAAATCTATTTCTCAATGCAGGCGAAAGTTCTTTCTTCCCATAATCACCTCCTGGATTCATAGTAGCCAAGAATTGGAAATCATTGGTGGCAGTAATGAATGCATCTTCAGTTGATCCTTTTTCGGCTAATAATAAACTACGTTCAGGTTCCAATACCGAATTCAATCTTTCTAAAACAGAATCATCAGCTAATGAAATTTCATCCAATAAAAAGAAATCACCTTGTTTCATGGCACGAATCAAAGGACCATCATTCCATTCAAAAAGCAGGGATAAGTTTTTCCTTCCTTGTTCAATTCTAGTCACAATTTCATCATGTTCTTCAGGAATAACTTTAAGTTGTTTAAATTGATTCAAAAGATTATCCAACGTAAATTCAACAGGAACTTCCACTTTCATCTTATCAAACAATCCAACTAAATCATTAATCAAATTCCCTTGAGTTTCAAATTTATTTCTTACTGGTCTTTGAGCACCTAATAAATCTCCAGTTTCAGTATTTTGATGAGCATTCACCGTCACCAATTCTTTCAGCAAGAAATTTGCAATAACTTGACATACAGTAGTTTTCCCACATCCAGTTTCACCTACCAATAACAAAGGTTCTTTATATTTAATTGAAGTAAACACCAAAACTGCAAGTCTTCTCATTGCCTTCGTCCAAACAATCGAACTATCACTCTCAAACACTTCTGGAATCTCCAAACTTCTATAATACTCATCCATATCCAATTTCACCTTCATCACTTTTTCAATCACCTGCTGGACCACTTTCTTCTCATCTTCCTTTCTGACACGTTCAGCTAAGATCATATATCCATTCGCAGCCAATTGTTCATATCCAACCGCATCTCTCATCGCCCATCTAAACAAATCTCTCAATGTTGCAAATGAATTCTTCTGTTCCATGAATCTTGTCGATTGTCTTTGAATAGATAATTGTCGATATACTTCCACAATCTTTTTAGCATAACTTGGAGCGATCTGACATCTTTGTTTCAAAATAACTTCAAGTTCATCTTGGGGGATATCATCGAAATGCAATTCCATAAATCTATTTCTAAAAGCTCTTGATAATTGTTTTCTGCCTCCATATAATCCTGGGGGGTTTTGGGTGGCGAATAACATGAAATCAGGATGTGGACGGATGATTTCTTGGGTTTCTGGAATGAATAATTCTCGATTGTCATCTAATAATCTATTCAAAGCTTCTAATACATCAGTGGGAGCTAAATTTAATTCATCCAATACGATCCAATGACCTTTTCTTAATGCTTCAACTAAAATCCCTTCTTTGAATACTAATTTCCCAGTACTATCGGAGATATAAGTCCCTAAATATTCTTGCAAATCTGTATGTTCATGATTATTAATTCTGACGAATTTATGTCCCGTGATATTGGCTAAATAATTAATCATTGATGTTTTACCAGTTGATGTTGGACCTTGAATCAATACCGGAAATCTTCTACCAGAAGTAGCTCTAACTAAATTCAACATATTCTTTTCAACAAATGGAGTAATGATATATTGTGGTTGTGGGACTACTTGTTCAGGACCATGTTTCATCCAATAGTGTCTAAATTGAACATATTCACCCTCATTCCCTGGTGTAGGTGGGATCTGCTTCATGACCGAATTAGCATTCTTTAATCTTGCAATAGTATACTTCTCAATCAAAGGACGTAACAATTCTTCAGATTTCCCATCCAATAAAGTCAAAAACGACATTGAAAACCCTTCATATAACGATCTTCTCAATCCATAAATCCCAACAATATCACACACATAAACTAATGTTCTGGTCAAGGTTCTAATACTAAAATGTGGTCTTTGATTAGCTCCATCAACAATTTTATTCTCCTCAGCTAATTGTTTTGCATGTAAATATAATTCCGCAATATCATTACCAACCCATTCATCACCAACGGCATATCTTCCAATATATTTATCTATAATTGATAATAAATCTTCAATATCTCTATCGGGGGAATGGACATATATTTCCGTAAATCTTGATCTAATTGACATTGGTAAATCACGTTTTCCAACATCGGTACTTGGATTCATACATCCAAAAATTCTAAAATCAGGATGAGCCACAATTGATTCCACATCTCCACGTTCAGTTAATAAGATAGATCTATTACTTTCAGCTAATAAATCGGCAATACTTTCCAATGTATCAGATGTTGCGAGATTTAATTCATCTAATAAGAGCCATTCACCATTTCTGACTGCTTTCACTAATGAACCTTCCTCGAAATTAAATACAAATGATGAATCTAAAGTAGTTGCTTGGAGTTCAAATTCGGCAATTTTGGTTTCAAATTCATGCCAATGATCTAATAATGTTGTCTTTTCAATATTGTTCAATTTTCTCTTCTTTCTTGGTGCTTCATCATCAGGAGTTTCTGGTTGGGATAAAATATCTTTTGCCATACGTAATGCTTCTCTCCATAATTTAATCACATTCTTCCATTGAGATTTGTTGAAACATTTGGATAAGATTCTTGAAAATTTTTCATTCTTCTTTTCGGAAAAAGTTGCAGTAAAGATAGTTTCAAAAGATTCTTGAATTGGAATTGCAACTGTCTTAGTATTCACTGGTTTATATCCACCTAATAAATCCCCTACTTCAGTTTGTTGTGAGACATTAATGACGGTTAATTTCTTATTCATGAGTTTTGCAACTTGTTGAACAACAGTGGTTTTACCAGTACCTGTTTCACCAACCAAAAGAACTGGTTCTGTCATATCAATAGCCACACCAATTTGTTCCATTAAACGAAGTGAATGATTAGTTCTTGCAAATGTTCCACCACTAGAAGATGTTGATCTTTTGTTTAATGTTTTGTCAGTGATTGTCTTTTTGAGTACACTTCTTCCAATTTTCAATTTCTCATCATCATTAATAAGCATTGGAATATGTTTAGTTAAGAATAAATTGATTCTAGAAGTTGGGATTTCTAAAGTTTCACCAATTGCATTGATCAAAGGTTTTAAAGCCGCTGGTTCAGTAATTGCACTTCCAAAACAATCAACTGCTTCAGCAAAGATATTATCGTAGATTGAAGATTCTAATAATTGATCAGGACTTGTAATACCTTCACTTAAGAACATATTGTTACATCTTGCACAAAATTTCATTAAATCACGGAATGAAATAACTCTTGGATGAGACCCTTTATTCAATGAAACAAATGAAGTTAATGAATAAATTTTCATGATTTCTTGATAACATTTAATAAAACCAATAATCAAATTCTTTAATAATGGGAATTTCGTTATTAAAATGTTCTTTAAATCCATTTCATTAGGTACATCCACCTTAATTAATTCCCATAATCTCATTCCAATCAAATCAGGCATAGTTTGAGATTCATCCATTCTAATAGTTGAAAATAATTGGAAACCATTCTTGGCCTTAATAACTTCTCCACGACTTGGAATACTTAATTCTCTCTTTTCTAATAATGTCAATAATACCGACAAGACTTCAGTTGGAGCCTTATCAATATCTTCAATGAATACCCATTTCCCTTGTTGAACAGCAGAAGTTAAAACCCCAGTTCTCCATTCAAAAGTTCCTGGTTTATCACCACTTGCATAAGTACCCAATAATAATTTTGCATCAGTTTGTTCACCTAAATGGATTTTAACAATTGAATCAGTATATGACATATAATTGGCTAATTGATTGATTAAGAAAGTTTTTCCTGACCCTGCTTTTCCATATAACATTACTGGTTTGTTGATTTGGATGTTGTGGGCAAGTTTACGTAAGACTTCAACTGCGCTTTTAGTTGGTACAAATCCAGTATCTTCAATTGGTTGAGTAGTGGCGGTGGTGGTTGTAACAGCATGTAAGTTAGGGATTAAGATTCCACAGATTGAAGTGATAAGTGGAGATAAGTCTGTAGTTTCAATAGTTATGCTATTTTTTGAAATGGTGGTGGGTTGAGTTATTTCGGGTAAACTTAAAAAGTTTGAAATACGTTTAGCTTCTAATAATGCAATGAATGTATAATCAATAGATTCTCCATCTTCAGTTGTAGTTGTTAAATTATTGATATTGACATGGGTATTAATCATTTTATTTTTAGAAGATTCAGAAGCTTGTAAATAGATTGAAATGATTTGAATTGCAAGATATTTACAAATATCATTGGCTTGATTATTGGATGTAATTAATTGATATAATAAATGAGGTTTAATTAATGATTTAAATCTATGATGATCATATTTAATGATTCTATAATAACTTAATAATGCAGATTCCAATTCTTTAGTATTCAACAGGGATATCTTATTGAATATATCATTAGTTGTATTCAAATAATATTCTAATAAATTTAATATTTGATGAGATATATTAATCAATTTAGTTAATGATGATACTACTTTAATACTATTGTTGTTGTTGTTGGTAGTAGTATTATTAATTAATCTTGCTATTAATTCTAAGTATATTGGTTGATAACAATAATAACAAACTAATGGATATTTTAAAGCATATTGACTCAAATTATTTAAATTATCATTAATTGATAAATCTTTATTAAATTTAAATGATGGTACCTTATTACTGGTAGTAGTAGTAGTACTAATATATGTATTGTACAATACATTACAATGATCTAAACTGAGTACTATTTGGTTATTCATAATGAACGTATACACTCTAATAGTATTGTCAGTAGTAGTAGTTATAGTAACTTTATAGTAGTAATAATTGATAGGATCAAAATTGGTTGTAAAAAATCAAAATTGGTTGTAAAAAAAAATGAACCCTAAGACAAAACAATAAGAGAGAGAGATGAGATGAGATGCGAAGAGAAGACTGCACACAAACAAGCGAAGAAATAAAATAAATTTGTACGTTTGGTAGCTCTCTTTAGATTTTAAAAAAAAATCTGATATCTCATTTGGTAGCACTTGGTGGTTGTGTTTACCAGATTATCATCACTGACTAAAACGTCGCGACACTTTGGAGTCGCATCTTGTTTGTCATTATATAATCTCTCTTGTCTGAGTAAACCATAACTTATTTAAACATATGTTGGCTGTCTCTTTTAATTGATAATTCATTTATTTCGTTTATTTACAGCTATAGATAAACTATATAAATAAATCTAATCAATCATCAAATTTGACTACTACCCACACTATGTAATCAAAGTGCTGCAACAGCAAATTTTCCAGGCAACACCTCATATTATTTGATTAATCACTACATTTACTGTTTACAATAATAGCATTTCTTATGTCAATACTTGCTTAGAGAACAACATACCTATATACCTATTTAACTAACTAAAGTTTTTTTGCAATTAAATAATTATTAGTTGTTTTTTTTTTTTTAACAAAAATGGTTCAAACTTTATTTTTAATACAAACTATATAAATAAATACATACACTACTACATATAGAAATAAAGAAAACCGACAGACATTTCAAAAAAGATATCGGATTGTTTGGTTCATAACATTGGGTTTAATTTTTTTTTATATTTTTATATTTTTCATAACATTGGGTATAAATATTTTTTTTTTCATAACATTAGGGTTTAATTTTTTTTTTTTATATTAAGTATACAATAAATATCCATCCATCAAACAAAATAAGCAAGGATTGACAAACCAACGACCAAGGCACTTCCAATCTTCCTAGAACCTAACCCTTCTACTGGAGGAACAGAGTATGGAATTGGGTGGTCTGTATCTGAGGAACTTGAAACAGGATAGCTTGGTGGTACAACTGATAAGTCTGTTGAAAAAGCTGGGACATTTGTTGAAGCAGCAGGAGCATTTGGGGACACTGGCGCAGAAGATTCACTTCCTGAAGGAACAACTGTAACAGTAGTGACCAATATAGCCTCAGAAGTATAGACCACAACAGTTTCAACTGGAACGTATGTAGCAATAGCAACTGTTTCACAATCAAATGGTGGAACAACAGTGACCTTCTCTGTAGTATAAGTTTTACCAGCACTCGACATAGTTACGACATTTGTTTCGGTGATTGCTGGTAGACAAACAGTTGTAGTTGAAATCGTAGTTTGGACATATATAGTGGACTGAGTAGTAATCACAGCCTTGGATGTCTGGGTAATGACTGAGGTGATTGTTTTAGCTGGTGATTGAACTGGATAATTTGTGTTAACTGGTGATTGAACAGGGTGATTTGTTGTGGGAACAGCAACTGTAGCAATTGGTACATCGGTTGTGATGGTGATCGTTTCAGTAATTGTGGTAGGAATGACAGTTATGATTTCTGTAGTATATGTTTTTGTTCCAGTAGTTACAGTAATGGCAGTAGTAAGGGTAGTTTCTCTTGAACACACAGTTACAGTTTCGATAGTAGTTTTAGTAAAAATAATAGTTTGAATCTCGGTTTGGACTGGCGTGATTTCTGTTGCAAACTGGGTTTTAGCCGGTGATTGAACAGGGTTATTTGTTGTAGGAACAGAAACTGTAGCAATTGGTACATCGGTTGTGATGGTAATCGTTTCAGTAATTGTGGTAGGAATGACAGTTATGATTTCTGTAGTATATGTTTTTGTTCCGGTGGTTACAGTAATGGCAGTAGTAAGGGTAGTTTCTTTTGTACACACAGTTACAGTTTCGATAGTAGTTTCAGTAAAAATAATAGTTTGAGTAGTAATCTCAGTTTGGCCGGGGGGGGTTGAAGGTTCTGTTGAAGTTTCTGGTTCTGCTGAACTTAAAACTAGTGGCGCAGTTGAAGATTCTGGTTTTGCTGATGATTCGGGTTCAGTTGAAGGTTCAGCAGTTGAAGTTTCAACAGTTGAAGTATCATCAGTTGTAATTTCTGGTTCTGTTGAAGTTTCTGATTCTGCTGAACTTAAAACTAGTGGTGCCGTTGAAGATTCGGGTTTTGCTGATGATTCGGGTTCAGTTGTACTCTCGTCAGTTGAAGTTTCTGATTCTGCTGAACTTAAAACTAATGGCTCAGTTGAAGTTTCTGGTTTTGCTGATGATTCGGGTTCAGTTGAAGGTTCAGCAGTTGAAGTTTCAACAGTTGAAGTATCATCAGTTGTAATTTCTGGTTCTGTTGAAGTTTCTGATTCTGCTGAACTTAAAACTAGTGGTGCCGTTGAAGATTCGGGTTTTGCTGATGATTCGGGTTCAGTTGTACTCTCGTCAGTTGAAGTTTCTGATTCTGCTGAACTTAAAACTAATGGCTCAGTTGAAGTTTCTGGTTCTGTTGATGATTCAGGTTCAGTTGTACTCTCGTCAGTTGAAGTTTCTGATTCTGCTGAACTTAAAACTAATGGCGCAGTTGAAGATTCGGGTTTTGCTGATGATTCGGGTTCAGTTTTACTCTCGTCAGTTGAAGTTTCTGATTCTGCTGAACTTAAAACTAATGGCTCAGTTGAAGTTTCTGGTTTTGTTGATGATTCGGGTTCAGTTGAAGTTTCAGCAGTCGAAGTCTCATCAGTTGAAGACTCTGGTTCAGTTAAAGTTTCAGCAGTTGAAGTCTCATCAGTTGAAGACTCTAGTTCAGTAGAAGTTTCAGCAGTTGAAGTTTCTGGTTCAGTTGAAGCTTCAGCAGTTGAAGTTTCTGGTTCAGTTGAAGTTTCTGGTTCAGTCGAAGTTTCAGCAGTTGAAGTTTCCGGTTCAGTTGAAGTTTCAGCAGTTGCAGTTGAAGTTTCTGGTTCAGTTGAGCTTTCTGGTTCAGTTGAGCTTTCTTGTTCAGTTGAAGTATCTGGTTCTGTTGAAGATTCAGCAGTTGAAGTTTCTGGTTCAGTTGAAGTTTCTAGTTCAGTTGAAGTTTCTGGTTCAGTTGAAGTATCTGGTTCAGTTGAAGTTTCTGGTTCAGTTGAGCTTTCTGGTTCAGTTGAGCTTTCTTGTTCAGTTGAAGTATCTGGTTCTGTTGAAGATTCAGCAGTTGAAGTTTCTGGTTCAGTTGAAGTTTCTAGTTCAGTTGAAGTTTCTGGTTCAGTTGAAGTATCTGGTTCAGTTGAAGTTTCTGGTTCAGTTGAGCTTTCTGGTTCAGTTGAGCTTTCTTGTTCAGTTGAAGTATCTGGTTCTGTTGAAGATTCAGCAGTTGAAGTTTCTGGTTCAGTTGAAGTTTCTAGTTCAGTTGAAGTTTCTGGTTCAGTTGAAGTTTCCGCAGTTGAAGTTTCTGGTTCAGTTGAACTTTCTGGTTCAGTTGATGTTTCTGGTTCAGTTGATGTTTCTGGTTCAGTTGAGGTTTCAACAGTTGAAGTTTCTGGTTCAGTTGAAGTTTCTGGTTCAGTTGAAGTTTCAGCAGTTGATGTAGTTTCTTCGGTAGGAACCACGACAAGTGGTTCGTTACAAACACAATTGCAGGCATTGGCTCCATCTGGGATATCAGGGTTTGTTATAACATATCCAACCCCAGGTTCTACCTCAACACTAACGTCATCATAGCCAGTACCAATATTGAGAACAAAAGTTATACCACCTCCATCAGTAATACTCAAGAATCTCCCTGAATAGACAGGAGTTGTCTCGACGGCATTATCTGTGTCAATATAAATTACGTTATTTCCTCCAAACTGGGCAATTAAGGTTGCAGTGCCACGCGTAGTTGACATATAAAAAGCAGCACCGTTACCAAGACATATCGTCGAAGCTATATCTCCTGTTTGACGGAGGCTAGAGTTTTCTAACAAGCTAAGGCATGAAGTATCCTCAAGTGCCCTAAATCTTAAGTACCCTGCAAATGTCTCAGTTGAATCTAAGGTCAAATCAACGTTGGAAAGACATATTGCACCAATATTGTTGAGTGGACTCTGTTGAAACATTTTAGTCTGGGCACCTTCCTCTCCATGAAGGAAAATGGTTCCGTCAGCGGAATTTGTGAGCCCAACGAAATTAACAGTCGAACCAGAATTCACGATCAATGTAGCATAATTATAAACATTGGTTAACAGAATGGTATCAGCATTGCCAGACAACGTGTTTATGTATGCTAGTCCATGGTTCTCAAAGTTCCCAATTTGTAATGAAGAAGTTGTTGATTTTGTTGTTGTGAAATAGAACTCCCCATCAGGATTAATGAGCATTTCCCCAACGTTGGCATTGTCAATATCAACAAGAGACAAGGCTCCATTAATCTCGTACGTATCAACATCTAAGCTTCCTCCGGTTTTGATGACCAAGCCATCTATTGTAATAGCTTGGGAGAAGGAGTGAAATAGTAGTAAAAGTGAAAATAAAAGTAAACTATTCATCGTTATAGTAAATAGTGTTTAATGGCTGCGAAAAAAAATAAACTAGAGGATTGCAAAATACTAAGATTGGCAATTTTACCCTGTATTTATACTTGATATTAATGGGAAAGGAGGTTCATCTAATTCGGGGCGACCCTAAGCCAATCTCTAATATCCCTTACTTTGATGTTGTACAAAACAATATGTCCAGAGCCAAACGCTTCTTCTATCTAACAATGGTATAATTCTAATAGTACATGTATGTATTAATTAGAAAATATTCTGAATACGCCGTATGATAGAGTGATAATTTTCCCATTGGTCATTCATAGGCTGATTTTATCTTAATTTTTTAAGTAATCATAGTTACTAATTAACATTGCAATTACTCTAAAAATATTTTGACACGCCTGAACTACTCATCATCATCCATAGATGCACTAGTTTTAACAGCCCTACCGGAAAATCACAAATCCGCAGAATAAGTCCGATCATGCACGTTACTTGGATTATTTTGCAAAATGTGGTTCTTTAATCTCAATGGACATTAAACTTCTAGAAATAGAAGTTATATTGCACGCAGGTGTATGCATGATCCAGTAAGATGTAAAATTTACCACGGCACCTGTGATATGGGAAAACTTACAGCTTGACTTATCACTATTAGATCTGGTCAGCAGAATTCTGATTACAATCGTGAAATTAATGAAATACTTAATAACGGCTACATGGTCTCAATGCTAGTACATTAGCGACTAAAATTGACACCCATATCAACTGGTTATTACTCTTTTTTACAAACGAGACATTTTTTTTTCATAAACGAGACATTTACTGAAATATATAAAACTGTACAAAACGCGTGTACATATTGGGATTTTTTGTATTGGGATTGTAATTTCGCAAAAAAGGCAAAACAAAAAAGAAACGGTTGAAGGGGCTTGTCGTATCTTGAAGTTTAAATTATAAATTAATTATTTTTACAGATCCCTCAATCAGGTGACATTCATGATCCTGCAATGTAATGCAATTTGCTACGACGTCTTGGATATATTGGCCGACGCTACATACTAAGGCATATTCGTGCATTCACCCGAGTATTATATTTTACTATTTCCGCAGAAGTCATTGGCCATGCTTGCGTTGAATGACATATTCGGTGTTGCAGCAAAATTAGATTCTATTTTTTTAAATTTCAGATTATAGAATTCTTTTGGTGTAAATTAAAGACCCTTTTTCTTTCTCTTAACAGTCGAAAGTTCACTATACCAAGCAATTGTTAACTAATAATTTAATGGAAATGAACAATCCCTAAGATAGATGAATGACCTCGACTCAACTGACGGTTTAGTTTTGAAATACTCGCGTAATTGAATTAATAATAAACTTCTATTGTTATAAGAAAAAAAAGCATTGTTCTGTACACTAAAAAATAAAAATGAGTTATCGCTGTCCTCCAGCATTTATCATCCACCAAATATTCTATAGTTTTGTGGCTTTATCTACATTTTTAAAATAACCCTAGGGCGTTTTGAAAGTCATTCAGAAGAGTGAACTATTTTGTCTTTATCAGGCCATATGTACGATTCTGTAGCATATACAAGATATTCCCGTTTAGATAGATGGTGTTGAACTAAATAAAGAATTGGTACAACCCAATATACCAAAAATATGTTGGGTGGATTCCAAGCCTAGAGGCGGACTCGATGTTGGTCATGTTAGAATCAACGGGTTAACGGGTATAGGCTTGTTACCTGCACATATGGCATAACTTTCCTATTTATCAGAGATATTTTATTTGCCTTAAATAGTCATTCTTGATAGATTTCTAGTATTTCAAGAAGTTGATGAGAAGGATACGATATTGTCCATACATTTTCTAGCATTCAGTCTCTAAAGGATCACTTCCATTTCTATATACACTGACACAAATAGAACTACCTAGACTTTGCTAAATCTATAATTATACATCCAAGTAACAATATTATTAACACCAAAATAGGAGCAATAAACAAGTTTGCATAAGCAGGTACATCCTGTTCACGACTATCCCTGGACATCAAGAAAGAAATGGACTCGTCATCGCTAATATTCGTTTCATTTCTTTGTTGTCGATTTGCAATAGCTTCATATCCAGGAACTGCAGCGGTTGTTTGTGTAAAATGAAAGTCAAAACCGCATGTTTTTCGTCCCTTGAAGGAGAAACATCTATCGGGATGTAACCCTTCTGAAATTTCCTTCACACTACTTGAACTAATTGCAGTCTTACTTCCAGATCCATTGTTGGAAATTTCGGTTCCATCTGAACCATTATTTTTGATTACAGTACTGCTTGAACTTGGACGATATCTTCCAGTGGTGGTACTATATCTGTCACTACTTCTATGAGTGTTGTCATGTCTTTTTTCAAATGAATCTATTGGATGCAAAGAAATTATTTCTTGAACAGCTTTTTTTCCCAGCATTTGTCTGTTGCTACTCGCCTCAACCGATTTCTTGGCCAATTTAATTGGACTACCTTGAATGATTTCGGTTAATGATAAAATGAAGATGGCTAAAACGGATGGCTGCATTTCGGTTTATTATATTTGTATATATTCAATCATATGACTGTCATGAGTGGATATTGACTAATCTTATATAGTCAAATGGGTTCTAATAGTAACATAAAAAGAAAGTAGAAGGGCTATGTGTTGGTTGCAAAATCCAAAGAAAAACAATAAAGGGTCCAACTTAAAAAATATTATTTTTTCGATTAAACTTGTGGCTGATGAAAATGGGATTTTTTCTTTGTCAGTACATTCAATACAATTTTCATTTCAATCAATCTAGATTGACAAACAATGAATTGAGGTAGACGTAGCAAGAGCATAGTACTCTATTGCTTAACTTGATGATTGTGATTGTCTTATTTTTGCGTTCCCCAGCATCTCGTAATTTCTGTGCCACTTTTTTAGTCTGATGCACACTGCGCCTTTGAACCCCAAGCTTGAAATTTTCCAGAACGCAAATTTAGGGGAAACAAAAAGTCAGAAGAAATGGAGGCAGCCAATCTATTCGCTAAATATTTCATCAATTACATTATGTAATTCGAATTATACATCCCAATATCAAATTGCCATGTATGTTTACTGCACGTACTGGTAAGAGAATTTTAAGCGACTCCGGCTTTAGCACCAAGGTTGACCTACACACCACAATTATGGTAGACGGCTATATCCTCTTTTAAAAATTCCTGTGCAAATATTGTACTTTGTCCATCAAAGACCATTAAAGATTGGATCCAAGCTACCTAAGTACCGTTTAAGGGGTGAATGTTGATCACGTGAAAATCACACGATAGTCATGCTAAATCCACGTGATCAAATTCGTGCGGCTGCAAAAAAATTTTGCAACCAATACTAACACTTTTCTTGTTTGTCCTTTTCCAATGTTTTATTGGGAGAAGGCTTTCTTGGACTTCTTAAAATACAACTTGTATTAGTTGAAAATGTGGTATGGAGGTCAATATTCTTTCTATACATCCGTTTTCTTTTTTGGATACGGTTGCTAATTTTTGGTAAAATTCTTCCGGATAATTAAATGCAGAGAACAACTGACAATATTTGATACCATAAAGTCCAGTTAGTTATAGTGCAGATCTTGCTCTCAAGAGACTGCTCAATCTAACCAGATATAGTAAGCAACCTTGTTACCTAATTTATAATAATAATTCTATTCGTTTAATTAGAAATACTAAACTCTCTCTATAAAAGTACTAAAGAAGAAACGATAAATAAACTTAGACGAGAAGGTATATTCCTTCGCGGACTTGCCCCACTGGTACTAGTATCATTTTCTAGCAAGAAATTGCTACATGGCTGTCTCAAGGCAAATGTACTCGCAACTATGAAATTTCGTGTTTAGGCAAACATTCGGATAGAAACAGAACAAATTTCAAGGAAAACGGACGGAGCTACGCGGTGTACTGAGTTCTCATTCATAAAGAATTAACTTACCCTATCGAATTATACGATACCGATCATTTGTGAGCAAACCTTTAACAAGGCCCCAGTTTAAACAATTGGGGCGCATTTGCTCAAAGGGTCATCTTATTCAAAAGTAAATTAATCTACATTCAGTTAGGGGTTTTCCCGAAAGGCTCGAAATGGACACGTCCTGTCATATTCAAATCAAATATACACGAAAAAAGTATTTATCAACTGAGTTACATCGAATGCTCGTTTGCAACTGTTGATTCCATTAAAGAAACAAATACACGTAAAAACAAGGTTCTAATCTAGATCTCTATATAAATGCCAAAGCGGACATTACGAATAAACTCCCATGAGAAGGAATAAAAATCCCGACACCACCAGCTTTTGAACTAGTCGCTGATGAAATCTCACCACTTGCCAACGAGGAAGATGATTCTCCATGACTGGTACTAGTAACATTTGTTGATCCATGGTATCTAGCAGTCCCATACCCAGCGGCGGCGGCAGCAGCAGTTGGGGCATAATAAGAACCATATCCACAAGTTCGTCTACCTTGAAAAAGTCCACATCTATAAGTATATGAATTCACTGAACTTCCAGCTCTCAGACCACTGCTTGAACCACTTCCAGTATTGCTTCCACTGGAACTTCCACCTTTCTTACCTGTGCTTCCACTACTACTACTATCAGTGTTGTCTCCACTTGAGGGATTTCCTTTGGTGCTACTTCCACTGCCACCGCCTGAACTGTAATGGCTACTGCTACCACCTGAACTGTAATGGCTACTGCTACCACTTGAACTGCGCCCACCACTGCTTCTACCTCCTGAACTACTCCCAATGCGCCTTTTTCCCAAGGGATCGATTATTTCTGAATAGGCTATTTCCTGATTGGAATCGATTTCTTGGCATTCATTGTCAAGAGATTTTTGTGGTGAGACTACCTTAATTGGACTAGCTGCAATTTCTGTGATGCATAGTATAAATAAGATTAATAAGGATGCTTGCATGTGGTCTACTGAGAATGTTTGTAATATTCTGATTGATCCAAGGTTGATATCTTGCGATATAGGTTCATTTTATATTTACTGCGATAATACCTAATAGATGATATTGGTCATTAAATTGAATATGGGGCAACGGCTATGAATTGTTAAATCAAAAAAATAAGGGTTTAAAAAATAAATATTTTTTTGTCAGCAATTTTCATCAGTTTGCGGCTGTAACTCAATTTTCATGATTCATTAATCCAATTGGTGAAATGTTTGACCTTATACAGGCGAATTTATGTCTAATTCTGTATTTTTTCAGAATATTTCTTTTATTCGTATATTTTCAGAGTAGCTGGGCTTCCTCTTCACCTTACGGTAAATAGTCTTCCCATATTTAGATATGGAAGCCTGCCTCTCCTAATGCCACAACTAATACTAGTCCTTGAAAATCATTTCAGCAATAAGACAGTATCGCAGGTGACACAGTTAGATGGTAATAGAGAATGTCATTACAAAGATACACAATTACTTTAAGATGTATTTCATTGTTATCATGCTTCGCCATCTTAAGCAATGCCTGACGGGTACATGAATTATACAAACGGTTTCACAATTAGTGTCTAACAATAGCTATTGTAATCTTCGTAGATTGCAAACTGTAGTGATGACCTGTTTTTGGTATGATTCATACTGTTAGTTCGTAAATTCTGTGCCCCTTTTTTTTAAAATTTTTTTTCACGCTCAGCCTCACCTATTGCATATCTTAAAAATAACTCTCCTGTTGTAATCTGGCTATATCTACTATCAACTATGAAATTTCGAATGACACAAACATTCGGTAATAGAAATAAAACAAATTTCAAGGAGAGCGGACCGAGTTGCACCATATACGGAGTTCTCATTCATACAGAATAGTTTGCACTATGGAATAATAACACTGCCGAACGAAAGTCATTTACAAACAAATCTGTGGCGAGGGCTCAGCTTAAATAATTGGGAGGCTTTAAACATCTTATTCAAGAGTGGATTGATCTACATACAGTTAGAGGTTCACCGGATAAGCTTCAAATAGACACGTCCTGTTGTATTCAAATCAAATCTACGTGTAGAAAGTAAATTCTCAGCTGAGTTACATCGGATTCTTGTTTGCAACTGATGATTCCATTAAAGAAAAAGTATACCTAAAAACAACCTTCTAATCTAACCTAGATCTCTATATAATTGCCAAAGCCGACATTACAATCAAGCTTCCATAAGAGGGAATAAAAATCCCCACACCACCAGCTTTTGAACTAACCGAACTAATCACCGAGGAACTCGAAGAACTAGCCTGTTGAGTAGCAGTAGAAACAATGCCACTTGCTAACGAGGACGATGATTCTTCATCATTCGTACTAGTCCCATTTCTTATTCCATGATATCTAGCAGTCCCATAACCAGCGGCTGCAGCTGCAGCACTTGGGGCATAATAATTACCATATCCACATGTTTGTCTTCCATTTACAGTTCCACATCTCCATGTGCTTGACGTTATGACTCCCGAATTACCGGTTTTCAGACCAGTAGAAGAACTTCCACTGGAAGAGGAACCAGACTTGCCACTGCTGCTAGAAGAGGAGGAGGAACTGAATCCACCACCACGACTACCTCCACCTTTTCTCTTCTCTAGAAATTGTCCATCTACTAGTTCAAAATATACTATATCTGGCTTTTTAGTCTTCCGTTTTTGTTTCGGCTTCTTTTTTAGTTGTGTGTGTTGCTTTTCTTGGCTTCTTTGTTTGGCGTGTAAGGGTGAAACTGATTTTTTATTATCGACTATTATTATTGGATTTGATAATATTAGTCCCGTGAATGAAACTAGGAATATAAATATGAAGGATGGTTGCATTTTGAAGTGTTGATTACTCTTTTGTTGATACGTGAATGTGTGTGAAAAGGCTGTGGGTTTTGTATCAAAAATCAACCAAAAGAAAAAAAAGCAAGAAAAAAAAAAGTTGATTTAAGTTTCGGGAATCTTATTTATTTTCCGATATACGACGCTTAATCCAAAAACGAAAGTTTACCGCGCCCCCCCTTTCATTCTCTACACTAATATTCTTCATTCATAAATTCAACTAAATATCAATATAGCCAAACTACAAAGAGCAATCAATTTCAACACACATGAAATAACTAACGCACTACCACCACTTGTAGTGATATTTATTGTTGTGTGGTATAATAAAATAAATTGATATCGTGAATGTGGAATACTCTCATAAACTTCTACTTCTTTAGTTACTCCATCCATTGTTGTTACCTCTTGACTTGAATAGTCTCTTCAAGTTCTATGATAGCTTGCAATACCGGTATTCTCTAACTTTTGTTTATTGATCTGTGGTATAGATATTGATCGTGCTCTATTTGTTAGGAATAGTGAATCGACGAATACTTAAGAAAACTGCATAGCCTTTATTGAAAACTTGAATGAGAATTGAAGCTGACCCTTCATTTATTTTATATTCTATTATATTTGTGGGGGAATGTAGTCATATATTTATTACTTGATAAGGCTGTAATTTAATGATTGCAAATCTACTTGTCTCTAAAGTTAAGTACTTTTTTTAGCTTGACAAGGTTAATTTTTTTTCGCTAACTTGATTTTACCTGAAGCTAACAAAAGAAGCACACCAGCGCGTTATAGGAACCATTTTAGTCAATTATCTCTTAGTAAAAGCACTTATATTATTGAATATTCATTAATAATTGGCACTGAGCAGTATAATGTTTGCTCTAATGGACTCCCTTTCAATCTCTTGTACAATAAAAAATTCCTTTCAACTTTTCATTTACTACACCAACCAAAAAATTCCGAATACCTATAATAAACCCAGTATTTATACCTTACAGATACATATCAAGCCCAAGGATATCATAAATGCAAAAAGAAAGCCCGACGCGGGGGTCGAACCCGCAACCTTTTGATAACCTCTTAAACAACAGTAGAGAACCAACATAACAATAGAATGTTGATTTTGTGCTTAAAAGTCAAACGCTCTAGCCATTGAGCTAGCCAGGCTCTCGAAGTCGCGTTTTCGGATTTTCGAAATCACCAAGTCATACAGAATCACCGAGGGGATCGGGTTAGAAGGAGTTTTTTGTAGGTGTTACTAGTTGAAAGAAATCGGTTTGTTGGATTTAATGAAGAATATTACTTCTTGACACAAAAAGTAAAGATCTGAAAATTTTACTTTCCAGATCTGACAGTCGGTGGGTGGGGAAATCTTCAGATTTAAACTTTTCAAATAAACATGAATGGATGTATAAACCAACATAATTATCTTACCAAATAGAATAGAATGGGGTTTTATGGAATTAAATATACATTTGTATGTAATTATAATTTGTTAGTGTATAATTATAATTCATATGCATAAGTAATTATAAATTGTGGCTCGTGGAAATGTTAAGAATTATACAATCAACAAGAAATTTGAAATTAAAGAATTTCTTCTTCTTCTACAACCCCGCCTCTTCTTTTGATAGAAGATTCTATAGTATTACCAATATTACCGAGATGACCAACCAAAGATTATACATAGAAAAGAAAGATACAATTGTCAACTTATCAATTGATAATAATAACAACCACTATAAGTTCAACATTGAACAACAAAACCAACAAGACAGTGCCAAAGATGACGTAATCACAATTCCTTCACAACTTCCCAATTATTTAACTTCACCCAATCAAGTGTTTATTATAGACTCAATTAAATCAGGTACTGGTAGATCCTCATCATCACTGAATGATATTTATCATACAATTATAAATCCATTATTCAAATTATTAGATATCAATTATCAATACTTCAAAACAATTTCATCTAAATCCATATCTAAATTTGCCAATCAATTCAATCCCCAGTATGCATCAACTATCATATTTATAAGTGGAGATACTTCAATAAACGAATTCATAAATGGATTACCCACTGGTACCACCAATGACAACAACAAAATCTCCATATTCCCAATCCCGAATGGAACAGGAAACAGTCTTGCATTATCCTTAAACCTCCAAGATCAATTACTGGCACTCACAACATTATTAACCTCCACTAATCCTCCTCACCCACTCCATCTCTACACCATACAATTCCCTACTGGTTCATACCTTTCGCTTCACAATGAAAAGCACTCAGAAATCACTCATAAACTAAACTTCCTCGTGGTATTCTCATGGGCATTTCATGCTTCATTGGTAGCAGATAGTGATACTCCAGAACTTCGAAAGCATGGATTGGAAAGATTTAAGATCGCTGCCGCGAATAACTTAAATCAGGAACAGAAATATGATGCTGAATGTTATATTAACTCCAAAAAGATTGATGGCCCATTTGCGTATTGGTTAGTAACTGGTTCTGATAGGTTTGAACCTACGTTTGAAATATCTCCACATAGTGACATTTTAGAAAATGGATTTTATTTGGTTGCATTTAAGACTGGACAAGATATAATGAAAATAATGTATCAGGTGTATGATAAAGGAAATCATATCAATAATCCAGATGTGATTTATGAAAAACTTATACCGGGAGATGAAATTATTTTAAAGACCAAGAATTCAAGTTCGATAAGAAAGAGAAGGTTTTGTTTAGATGGAAGTATAATTGTCTTACCTGAACAAGAAGAACATGAGATAAAAATACAAATTGGAGATTATATTCATAATAATTGGCAATTTTTTATTATACACTAGAAATAACATAGAAATATCTTATAATACAAAGTAAATACACATTTATTGTCTGTAGCTGTTTCTTCCATTCTTGTTTCCACTGCCTGGTGGAGGTGGAATATATCCTGACCTCAGACTGTTTCTTTGAGGATTATTCTGATTGTAGCCTTGCTGTCTATTATATCCTCCCTGTTGTTGATAGTTCTGATTATAGCCCTGTTGTTGATAGTTCTGGTTGTAGCCACCTTGTTGTTGATAGCCTTGATTGTAACCTTGTTGTTGATAGTTTTGATTATAACCCTGTTGCTGGTAGTTTTGTTGATATCCTTGTTGTTGGTAATTCTGATTATATCCCCCTTGTTGATAGTTCTGATTATATCCCCCCTGCTGATAACCTCCCTGCTGTTGTTGTCTATAATTCTGATTATATCCCCCACGATTATTATCATAATTTCCTTGATATCCTCCACGACTCTGAAATCCACCGGTTCTTTGTTGTTGCGGTCTTGTCTCATCAGGATGAACACCATCTTTCAAATATTGCAAATATGCCCTATATCCACCTCTTCTCATACTATAAGTTAAATACAATTCTTTACCCGATGGACCATGGTTGATATAATCACTATTATCCAATGGAGAATTAAACCTACCACCACCACCATTGTTTCCTCTATATCCGTACATAATCTTATTCTTATCATCATCAGTCAAGGCTGGAGTATGTGCGATATATCCATTCAACAACATCGATTTCCCCGGTATTTTTGGTGGCATTTCGTAAATAACTTGGAAATATTCTTTATTATCAATATTTGGCATATTTCCTTGTTTTAATGGAAACTTAAATATCGCTTTCGGATCAAACACCTCATTCTTCATCGCCAGACCTGCCAAAGAACTCTTGGAAAACTTAAACTTGACACAATTCTCTTTATTCTCATACAAACCCTCCTTAAACCGTTTATAATTCTTATTCTTGGTTGAAATAAACAAAACAGCTTCTTTATTAGTATTCCTCTCAACTTCTTCAGGAGTCAATAATCCATATTTTCCCTGCACAGCACCCAACAACCTCTTCTCATCTATAAATGGCAATAATGGAATCCCCTGCCAACTCATCTTGGCCCCATTCATATCAATCTGGAAATCCTCAGGATAAAAATCAATAATCTCACTATCAGGTTCAGACATCAATCCTCGGAAAACTTCAGGCAAAGTATGTCCAGAAGCAGCAGGCAACACAGACATTAATTGCTCATATGGTCTAAATGGTTGTCCTAATTCAAATTCAATCCTGCCACTAGGTACTAATTCCATAATATTGGTGAAATCAGCAGCGAAGGGGGCGTAGTGATATGGGAAATACCATTGCCAAGATGGACATCCTTGATAATAATACAAGAGAACCCATGCAACTCCTTCTAAATAATGACGTACTAATGCTCGACGCATCTCGTTAATTTCTTCATCGTTTCGGAGATGGAATTTGACTTCGTAATAACGTTTTCTATATCCGGGTTCCCATAATTTGACATCATCATTATCTTCATCCTCGTCGGCGTCAGGAGTGTGGATTCTCTTTTTGGGAAGTTCTATGTCGGATGGGACATCGGATGGTTCTTCTGATGTTGTTGTGTCTTGGTCTGCCACTACTGCATCTCGGGCCTGGACGGCACTGACCGGAGTTTTCTTCGAATCGATCAATTTCTTCAATGCAGCAGCAGCATCAGCATTAGCTAAATTGGCTTGGGTTATCACGTCTCGGTTTTGTACAATATCTTTATTAGATAATTGTGCATATCCCTCCACCAACTCCCCACTGGTGGTCATTAATGGCATATTAACATCAGCAGTAATTGGTGCTTTATCTTTACCCTTTGTGACTTGAGGTAAATAAACTTCTTTGAGTGCTTGTTCTTGTTCATCGGTAATTTTTCTTCTTTTACGATTTTCTTCTCGACGCTGCTCTTGTTCTCTCCTACGTCTAAAGATCTCATCTTCTTTATATGCTAAATTGGACATTAATTTTTCAACACTTTCAATATTTAATTTCCCATCACAGGTGACATAATCACGTAATCGAGGTAAACATCTTTTCCAACAATTTACTAATATATCAATACCATTGTCTCTAACATCCAAACTTGGTAAATGAGGTAAAAAATCATTACCGACGAAAAAACACATAAAAACCCAATCATCAATTGCACGTTCTAAATCAAACGCAAAGGGTAATTGAGGATTATATAATTCAACAGCAAGATATTCTCTTAATACATTCACATGCAACCATAAAAATGGTTTCTTTTTATCCTTTTCCTGAATGGAATCCGATTGTTCTTGAGTTAATGATAATTGATCAGAAATAGTCATCCGTTTATTTTGATTAGCAAACACATCTTCTCTCAACACTCTAAAATGTGGTTCATGAGTTGCCAAACCCAAAAAAATCAAATCAGCATCCAATCCATAAATACAATGTTTAGTATTTGGATTATATTCCGGATCACTTCTTTGTGATCTAATAAAACTCATTAATTTATGTTCACCCTCTCCAGGAACAGTAGCATCACTAATAATAACCTGTAAATCCTTCCAACCAGGATCACTACTCAATTTATACGCTACCCAATACCTCAACGCCTCGGCCAATCGGTCCATAAATGGAGTACCAGGGGTAATAGCATTCGAATCCCATTGTTTCTTCCCCTTAACTGCATCATCAATAACTTCTCCTCTCAATTCACGATCTCTCATTTCTCGATCCATTTCTTCTTGTTTTATTTTTGCATCCTGAGCAGATCTGAACCTTCTAGCACGCTGTTGATTCATTTTGGCACGAGGTGCAACCCCATCCACGGCGATCATTAATACTTTTCTAGGTCTAGCCATCATTAAAACACGATCAGTATATGTGAACACATCCAAGAACATTTCGTCTTCTGTTTCTGGGGCGGGCTTGTGTTCTGGATGCGAACAAGGATGGACAATCCCATTCATGTCTAGATAAAGATTATCAATTTCTCCATTTGGGTTAGGGTCGGAATAGTTGGCGGTTATGCCTAATGTTGGATCTTCATCTTCTTCGACGACGGGCGAGATGATTTTGGGATATTTTCTGGATAGCCAGCGGAATAATGCTGGAACACCCATGTTTGATTTTTTTGTATGTGTTTAGTAGGTAGTAAGGTGAGTTATAATTGGTGATAGACTCTTAAGCTTGAATAACGGGAATCTGCGATGGATTGGAACTCAGTGAGGAAAAAAAAAAAATATGTCTACGATTTCCGACCACTTTTGCACGTGTGATTGATTTACGGGGTACTGCATTTAACCAACTCCTATGAACGATATGCAAGGACGATAGAATCGAGTTCATTACATACGTCAAAGCAACTATCAATCTATAAATGGATAGGCATTCAAAAGGTACAGGATACATTCTCAGCAATTAAAGACTTGCAGTCTTTACCATAGAAACAGGTAGAGTTTGGTGCAAGCGTGCGAGTCTGGTATTGTGTAACATCTTATTGTCTAATTTAGAATGCATATTGACATAACTCTTCTTATTGTAAGCATATATACAGAATCGCAAACTAGGCGCATAATTATCTCAAGAAAACACTCCTATTTGAGAGATAGACTACCTTTGTAACTTTAAGAGTTTCTATTAGTATAAACAATGGATAAGACGTGAATTTCCTTTCCAAACGAAGCAAATTTGGGTACTAAATTTGCATTCGTGCTGCATACAAAAAAGTTGCAACCGTGAATGTTCATTCAACGCCAAAAAAACTACAGTTGCTATCTATTGTTGCCAATACGCATCATTACATTTAACAATCATCGAGGCAGTGATGGACTGAATGCCACCTAACAACGCGTTCCGCGATGCTTGGTATCACATTTCAATTTGCATAAGTGTATAAATACATAGTAGAATTCCAAAAGTTACAGAGGAAAGTTTTCGTTTCAAAACCATCATAAAATCAAACACACTACCATGAAATTATCTACCCAATTATTATTAACTAGTGTTTCCTTATCAACTGTTTTGGCAGCTGGCACCGAGAAAGCTTCTATGCCTGCTGTTACTGCAGCAGGAGCTACCCAAACTAAAGGAGCTGATTCAGAAGTTGCAACCACGGCTCCTGGGGGCGGCTTACCTGCAGCTGGTGTTGCTGCTGCCGCGCCAGGAGTTGGATCAACAGCTGCCGCCAGTGCTCCAGGAGGCGATTCAGCTGCCGCTTCGAAAGCTCCTAATGGTGCTTCCGCTGCTGCTTCTAAAGCTACTGGGGGAGATTCAACATCATCCAAAGCAGCTGGAGGAGCTTCTGCCGCGGCTTCTAAGGTTTCAGCGGATTCTTCTGGAGCAGGTGGTTCTAATACTTTAGAGACCGACTCCAATCTACCATCAGTTACACAGAATGGAAAGTCGGATGAGCCTTCTTTAAAGACAGCACTGCCTTCCGAATTATCAGGAGGAGATTCACTTATGTCCATGGAAGGAGGTTCTGGAGGATCTAGTTCAAAATCTAGTTCAAAATCTCTTGCTAAAAGCTCTGGAGGTGCCATGAGTGGAGCAAGTTCCGACTCCCAAGGTGGTGCGGTTGGACTTGACACTGGACTTGTTGGTGCTGGTGGTTTGGCTGCAATGGCTGGAATTTTATTATTATAGGCGTGATTAGATAGCATATAGACTTAAATATGTTAAGTATATAAATTTTATGAATAAAACTTCTGTTTTAAGTATAATTAAAGGATTTCTACAAAAGAATTGAGAGTTCATCCCATGCTTTGTTTGTTTCGTGATTCTTAGTTCTGTTGTCCGTTGTTATGTTCAAAATATTTTCTATTAATTAATTACTGTATTATGCTGTCCTGTTGGAGAATTCTTAGTTTAATGGAATCATTAAACACTATTAAGATTCCTAATTTTATAATAACGTTTGTACCTATACAATAAATTATTTTTTAACATTTCTTAGAGAAATATTATTTTTTTAAATTCGTGGCAAATTACAAAATAAAAAGCGCAATTTGCACCCATTTGTGTTTTGGCTGTACATGATGAAGATTTCACCAGCCCCAAAATGTCGTCAATTATGAACGGGTGATTTATGCACGATTGGAAAGTTCATGTCCTGATAAGAGAGGGATTTAATTTAACTAAAAGACAGGAAATACATATATTAAACTACTTACTGTATCTACTTCCAACTTCACATTCTTCATCCACAATATTCTTCTTCTTTTCTATAAAGATCTCTTCGGGTTTGTTAGAATCCAAATTATTAGTAACAACACTCCTTCTGGTAATAACATTAACAATATGAACTTGAGAATGGTCAGGAACGAGTGTAGTTGAATGTCTTAACTTGTACCAAGGTAATGTAAAGATTTCTTCAATAGATTCCAAACTTCTGCCATGTAATTCAGGCAAGAAGAATGCAAACACAAGACCAAGAACCATCACGGCAACAAAGAAATAAAATGCGCCATATGGTTTCAAGGCAAGAATAAGACTTGGAAGTGCCCTGGAATTACCATATTGATTAGCAAAATGTAAAACCATAACTAAAGATTGAGCAAACGAACGAATGTCCAATGGGAAGATTTCAGAACCAATCAAGTATTGAATAGAATTAAAACCAATAGTCCAACCTGCACCAGACAAGATAATAGCAGCAAGGGCACCTTTTGAAGCACTAGCTTCTGAGGGAGATAAGACACCCTTTGGATCAGCAGCTTGTGGGACAATAGTTAAGAAAATAGCAAAGTATAAAATACACACCATTTGCAATGTAAGACCAGTATACAAAGCCTTTCTTCTACCAAGAACATCAATAATAAAGAATGCACCAGCATAGGCTGCAACAAGTTTCACTGTACCCAAGACGCAAGACATTTGTAATGTAGCAATGGAACCCTTGATACCAGCAAGAGCAAATAATTCGTTGGAATAGATTGTAACGGCATTAGCACCACTCCATTGACCAAGAACTTGTGCAGCACCAGCAATGCAGAAGAAACGATAAGCAATACTCTTGACTGTCACAAGTCTCTTTAACATGTTGAAGATATTAGAGTTAGCAGTAGCATTCTTCTCACTCAATACTTGTTCATGAATATCACTTAATTCAGCAACGGTATATGCATGGTCTTGAGGTAAGTTTCTCAACTTGGATAAATTTTCCACTGCTTGCTCAGGTTTGTTCACTTTCAATAACCATCTTGGAGATTCAAGACAGAAAAAGAATGACATGATGAAGATTAAACCAGCAAGAATAATCTTTGGAGCAAGGGTATATCTCCATTGGTTATCGTTAATATTTCCATCAATGGTAGCTGGAACTGTTGCTATACAACCATAGTTTGCCAAGTATCCAATCAAGATACCAAAATAAACAGCACCAGCAAAGATACAACTGGCTAAACCACGAATAGGACTTGGAGCAACTTCAGAAAGGTAGACAGGTCCAATAGATGTTGTGTGTCCAATAGCAAGACCTTCTATAGCTCTCCCAGCATATAATTGACCAACCAGGCTAGATGTTATTTGAATAATGACAGCAGCAACCCATAAAATACAAATCATTTGAAGGGCACGAACTCTACCCAAGTAGTCAACAGTTTTTGCGGCAATTATGGCACCACCGATACAACCTAACTGAACCATAGACGTAATGTTCGACTTAAGATTAGCTATGTAATCCGGTGATTTTGATTCGTCATTCAAACCAAATCTTGTTTGGAATGATGGAAGAGCAATGTTTCCTGCAATATTACCTTCATCATACCCTCTAGCAGCACCTAAGATACCAAATACAAAGATGGATAAATATAAAGTCCAGTTAAACACTTGAGGTGGATGTTCCGATGTATCAACAGTCCATCTGAATTTCTTTTTCTTTGGTTCAGATTGGACATCAGTGTTGTGTTGGGGTTGTGTGTATTTCTCTTCGATTGAATTTTGCTTAGTCATTGCTATCAGCTGCTTGTTTAATCTAAAGAGTGAAAAACTAACAAGTCCGAATTTTAGTGATGATTTTTGTCAGAATAAATAGTTTGAAAATGATTTACATTTAACCCCACAAGTTTAATAATTTAACAATGAGGGAATTATTGATTCCATTTGTTATGATAAGAGGAGTTAAATTTAGTAAAAATCTACGACGTAGGTATTTGTCAGTATTCGATAAAAATAGACTATGCATTGCAGCAAATAAAATAATTAGTCCAGGCCGGCCCCCCAATCCCAATATTTTTAATCGTTGCGCAGTTGCGCATAAAATTTATTCCGTAGAATGGCTTTTGTACTATTGTTTTTCCCATAAACAATGTTACATCATAATCAGCAGGGTTTCTTATTTTGCAGGGGCTTTGATTTTCTAGTGGAGAATTTTGAGTGAGTTTGAAATTATGAGTAAATTCAAATGATTTTACTGCAAAGTTTCAAACGATGAAGCGGGGCGAAATAGTTTTAGTTCATTAAAATAATCCAAAAGAAATTTTTCGGAAAAATTATTTGAATTTCTAACTGGAAAGTACGCCAAGAAACTGCTTCTACCTACATAAAAAATATGCCAAACCTAATTCTAGATTCTCCTTTTAAACTTCGACCTTGGAACGTAATGGTTGTAGAAACTACGTTGTACTTAGCAGAAAGTATATAGAACAATTCTACTTTCTTATTTTAGCATGGTCTGGAATTAATTTCTTTTATTCTCGAAAAAATTATCGTGATGGATCATCTTGCAATTTATTTTTTAATGTGAGGAGTTTGCCGTGCGCAATTCAATCCCCCACTCTGGTGTCCTCCACGAAATTTCAATGGTGGCTTATAGGAGGCAAAAAGAAAGAAACCTTCGATTGTTTCCTCTCATCTCCATCCAACTAACGGTCGCAACGGAATCTGGCTTTGAATGTTTCGGAGCCGGGTTTCCTCTTGACCAATGAGAAAATTCGTCAACAAAATCAACAATAAGCTCCCCTCCTTTAGAGATGAATTTGCAACCGGTTTTCGCCTGATTTTATTACCAGAAACCTCCGGAGGGGATCAAGGTAGCGAGATCTCGGTTCCGAATAATTATAAAATCAAGATGTTGATGTTATAATTGGATAGGAAAATGTAATTGCTGCATCATCTATTGTATTGAATCGATACCCCAATTCCATTCCAACAAATGTTGGGACAAAATGAGTAAATATCTCTCCAACTCGACTTTACTAATCGTTGGCAAACCTCCGGGCCATTTCTACGAGCAAGAGGGTCAAGATGTTCACTTCTCCTCACTACCCCCCTGGATCAAGACCTCGTCGTTTAGCTTCTGCTATAAACCTGATTTTCTTGAATTCGCTATCCCTTGAAATCGAAGACAGAGGGGAAGCAGCATCAAAAAATTTGAAGCAAACTGGATGTAAATATCCCTTTACGATCGATTTCTAACTAAAACAAATCATTTTATTCAAAAAAAATGCTAATAATACATGCAAATATAACTATAGAAAAGGCTCTAAACACCATTAAACAGCACGAGAAAGAGCCACATCACATTAGGCATCCTTCTGCTTCTTATTTTTGGGTTGAGGTTGACCCGTAATGAACCTCTTCCTGTTCTGCAGGGTTGTATTTGGAGTAGGATTGAACTTTGGAGCTTCTTGTTTGGCAGGAGCACGATGAACTGTCAATGTACTTTCGGTAAAAGGATTTCCTGGTGGATTTGGAGTAAACGCTTGTTTCTGACCTACACCCGCAGGGTTTGGAGTGGGCGACATTGAAGGATTTTGACTTGGGACTGGTTTTACCGGTGCTGTGCCTTGTTGACTGAAACCAGTTGGGGCAGGAGAGTTACCAGTAGAAGGACGTCCGAAGCTTGTAGCAGTTGAACCTTGATTGAGTGCTCCGGTGGTTGGTCTAGAAGTAGTACTTGGGGATTCATTGGGAGTCGATGTGGCAGTTTTACCTAGTTTTTCAATCTTTTTATTCAACATTTTAATCTTCTGCTCACTCGCCTTCTCTCTTGCTTCAAGAGCTTTTTCATGCTCTGCCTTCAACTTCTTTAAGGTTTGTTCGTGTTCGGAATTCAATGCAGCTAGCTTTTGCTGGTATTCTTTATTCAATTCTTCCTTCAAAGCTTCTTGTGACTCCTTCAACTTCTTTTCAAGATCCGCAGTCGATTGATTAGAACCACCTGCTTCAGAAAGTTTCTTTTCAAACTCCTGTTCTAAAGACTTGCGAAGTTCATCCTTTTCTTTATTAAATTGCTGCTTCAAATCTGCTTGTTTGTTGGTGAATTGGATAACCAAATTGTTTTTCTCAGCAATGTACTTGCTTGACTCTTCTTTGGAAACTTTCAATTTCTTATTCAATTGGTCAACCTCCTCCTTAGATTTCGCAAGATCTTCTTTAGCCTTTTCCATTTCTTTCTTTGAAACTTCGACCTCCGTACTAGCAGAAGCCGTTGATTCTTCCGGTGTCTTCGCCTTCAAGGCTTCTAGCTCCTCTTGTAAAGTACCAATCCTTATATTCTGTGCTTGTAGTTTTGCATTGGCTTGAGTTGTGATATCCTTTAATTTATCCTTTAACCGGATGACCTCTCCAGATTCATTTTCAGTCACAGTTTCGCTTGACAACTTTGTCTTCAAATGTTCGTTTTCCTCCTTTGCTAAATTAACAAATTGTTCTTTCATAGCCACTTCGTCAGCAAGCTCATTGATTCTAGCCTTTGCTGATGCCAATTCTTCATTGAAGGTTTCTACTTGATTAGCTAACTTCAGAATTTGTTCTGATTTCTTGGTATTCTCTTGTCTTAAAGTAGTGTTGCTTTCCTTAAGAATGCTTAATTGTTCTAATTGAGATGAAACTTCTTCATGATCCCTTATAGATGTATCCAAGTTAATCATGTTAGCATTGCTCAATGCAGATTTGGTGATATTGAGCTCATTTTGAAGCCGTTCTACCCTAACCCTCAATTCTTGGTTTTCTTCAGTAGCAACCACCAATTTAGCATCGCTTGATTCCTTTTCATGACGAAGGTAATGAATCACTTGACTGAAATCGCCACTTTCTTGCTCATCTATATTTGCAGAAGCCTTGGTTAATTCCATTTGGTTTAATAATAAATCATTTTGTTCTTTCAATTCAGTAATCTTATTATTAGAGATCGACAATTCTGTCTCGAGTTGAGATTTCTCAGCAGCCAACATTTCTTGCTTCGCCAATAAAGCTCCCTTAACTGATTCTAACTCTTTCTTCAATTGTTCAATTTCACTAGCTCTTTCTTTCAAATCATTCTTCAATGAATTAATTTGTTCATTCAATTTATTATTTTGATTCATTTCCAATTGATATTTATTCTGAGCATCATTGTAGATTTGAATTTGATGTTCAAGATCCTTACGAATAGAATCAATCTTATTTTGATAATCACGATCCAAATTATCATATTCATCAGCCTTTAATTTATATTCACTTAATTTCAGTCTCAATTCATTGGTTTCTTCCATATGAGTCAGTTGAGCAGTTTGTAATTCTTGAGCAGTAGTGTTACATAAATCTTGCAATCTCTTTACTTCATCATCAACATATTGCTTCTCTTTAATTAATGCTTCACATTTTGCATCAGAATCAATCTTATACTGTTCAAATGAATTGGTGGCATTAACTAATGCAGATTCACTAGCATTGGCAAGACTGGTCAATTCCTCAATTTGCATCTCAGCATTACGCAAATCTTCCTTCAATTGATTAATTTCGAATGATTGGGTAGTGGCAGAAGATGTTGAACTAGACATTGCAGCTGCTGGAACTGGTTGAGATACAACTGAAATAGGAGCCTTTGCGCTTTCAACTTTTCTTCTTAACTCGTCAACCAAACGTTCCTTTTCGGATAACTTAGTTCTCGTCTCTAATAATTGACGACTTATTTCATTCACTTGTTCTAACTTGGTATTTTGAGCCTTGAGTGATAATTCTGTTTGACTAGATAAAATTTGGATACGTTCTTCCTTTTCAGCAAGTTTGGTTTGTAAGTTTTGATAGTTTTCAATGGATGAGTTAAGCTTGTCGGATAATTCCTTAGATGACTCTTCACGAGCTTTCAAGAGTGATTGTAAGTTCAATACAAATTCATTAAGCTTGATCTTATCATTCTTAAGAGTATCAACTTCATTTTGTAATGACTTCTGTAATGTAACACTAAATTCTTTCTCACGTTCAAGAGTGTTGATAGCAATTCTATTCTTAGAAACAACCGATTCTAAAGTACGTAATTCTTGAGCTTTTTCAACTATCAAAGATTCTTGCTTAGATGCTTGTTGTTGCCAGAAATCTATTTCTTTTCTGACTTGCGACATTTCTTGTCTAGAATCCTCTAATGACCTTTGACAATTCATCAATCTAGATTCGGCCAATTCTGCTGATTTCTGCACCATGGATACCTTCAACGATAATTCATTCTTAGCATCAGTAACATCTCTTAATTTTTCATTCAAATCACGAATAGTCTTTGATGATTGGTCACTTAAACTCTTCATTATCTTATCACCGTCATCAATTCTCTTTCTTAAGTCTTCATTCACTTGAGTAAGGTACTTTACTTCTGCATTTGACGAAGTTGGCTGATCACTGATTATCTTGAGTGCATCTCTTTCCTTTGTAGCGGCATCCAATTTTAATGTTAAACTATCAACTTCACGTTCTAAAGTAAGAATAGCATCCTTAGCTTCTTCAATAGCGACACTTTCAAAATTATTATTTTCTTCTTCATGGCTTTCCAATTGTTTAGATAATTGTCTAATAGCTACTAATAATTCTTGATTCTTTTGTCTCAATTCAATAATATTTCTAAATTCAACCAATCTTTCAGAAATTAATCTGTCGGAATCAGTTTCCAGTGTTTCATCCAAATTACCAGTTTTGGCCAAGATCTTTTCAATAGCATTCTTTTCACTAACTGTTAATGGATCACCTTGATTTTCTCTAATTCTAGAATGAATCAAATAGAAACATAATTGTCTACCTAAATCATTAAGCAATTTCTTCATACCTACCATTTCATTCTCATCTTCAAGTATTCTGGTTCTTAATCTTTTAACATCCTTTTCAACTTCAGCTTTTTCAGAACGAATAATTTCAACTTTTCCAATCATTTCTTTAAGTGAAGTTTCATAGAATTTAACTTGATCACGATAATTTGCCAATGCAGGTTTCTTAGATTCAAATTCATTAACGAATTGTTCTAACTGAGCGGCCATTTTTTGCTTCTGGGCTTTCTCAGAGACTAATTGCTTCTTTAAATGATTATATTCAGTATATATCTTAGATAATGAAATACCATTAGCAGCAATTAATGCAGAAGATTCAGTCCATTTTGGTAAATCAGTCTCCTTGTGTAATTCGGCATCCAAAACTTCTTCGGTTCTCTTGAGTCTTTCTTCTAATTCAATCACCTTCTCGGTCTTTTCGGCTAACTTGCTTTCAAGGTTGGAAATTTGATCACCTAATGTTGACTTTATTTCATCACTATATGATTCTAACTGCTGTATTCTAGTTGCACGTTGTTCCGATTGTAATTTTGTCAATTCAATCAATTCTTCCTTAGCAGACAATTCCTTCAAGAAACGAGATTTCTCTAATTCAAATTCAGTATGATGCTTTGAAGTCTTGGTTATTTCTTGTTCAAGTTTAGACGATAAAGATGCTATGGTTTCTTGAGATTGCTTTTCTAATGATTCTAAAGTTTCATTTCTAGCAGTTAATTTTGAAATCTTGGAATTAGTCATAAGATATTCCTTTTCATGTTGGATGATCAAATTGGTGAATCTTTCTTGTACCAGTTTTAATTCATTATCATACCATTCCTTTTGATCCTTGAGATATGAAAGCTCGTTTTGTGATTTTTGTAATTGCAATTGCATTGAAAATTTATCATTTCTTGTTTCATTAATTTCTTTGACTAATTCGTTTAATTTTCTACTTTGTTCTATATTTGTGGAAGACAATTGATTCACTTGTTGTTGGAATTGAAGCTCCTTATGATTTTCTGATTCTCTTATCTTGTCCAATTCTTTATTTGTTACTTCAGATGATTCCTTAAGACGATCATATTGATTCCTAAGTGACGAATTCAGGTCTTCTAATTCTTTGATTCGATTTTCTTGTGTCTTACATTGTGATGTCAATTGTTCATTCTCTTGAAGTAAAGAGGTTGATAAATTATCAGCTTTGGTGAACTTCTCTTGTAATACTTCCACTTGTTTGACACTACGATTACTAATTTGTTCCAATTGAAGTTTAAGAAAATCATTTTGAGAAGCAATTTCTTGAAATTCACTAGACTTGGATAATAAAGCCTTAAACAATTCCAGATGATTTGCAACTTCGCGAACCTTCGATTCATCAATTGATAAATATCCTGCTACGGCTTTAACTGCATCATCGCTGATATCTTTCATTTCTTCATCGATCGCATCAAGTTCCTCTTGTTGTTCGTTTATCCCGCCTAAAATATTCTTAAAAGGTGAACTAGTCACATTCAGTACTGTTACATCAGCGACATCATCCACATCCTTGGCCACATCGAATTGCTTGGGTGTGGTTATTTGATCGATATCTTTAAGGGGAGGTAATGATTTTGAAGGAGTGGTGTATTGATACTTATCCGATTGCGGAATTTGTAAAAATGAAGTATGCGGTTCTTCTGGTTCTTGTATTATCAGATCATTTCCAACTTCTTCCTGGACTGGAGAAAATCCCACTTCCGCAGTTGGTTCGTTGGACTCAATTGGTGCTTCTTCAGTTTCCATCACTTGGTCATCAACATCATCTTCCGGAACTTGTTGTTGTTGTTGTTGTTGCTGTTGTTGTTGTTCTTCAGTTGGTTGCTCTTCCGATACTTCCTGCTCTTTATTTTCAACAGATGTTATATCTTCCGAGGTATTGTCTTCATTCATATTGAATGGATGGTTGAATGAATTGATTCTATGATTAATTCCATAAATTGGTGGTGATGTATTATTTGGCAGCACTTTTTCTGGTCCTGGTTGAATTTGTTCAATTTCAAAACATCACGACATTTCCCCCAACGACATTGTAAAATGTCTCACTAAACGATCGATATTGAAAGGCTGCAAAAGAGAGGTTTCCTTCCCAATATCAATGTAAAGCGAAGATGGTAGGCAAGAGCATCAAATACTGACAATACAAGCATATTCAAGCATAGTATACTTTAAAATATTCCTTATCATGGAAAATTGTTTAGTTGCAGAATTAGCCTTCCTACCAAGTGGTTGAGGATCTGATTGAGTAGTAAAGAGACAGAGAAAAACCATACTTTTATTTCACCTTCGATGATCACCCACATCTCTTTCCGATGTCATGTCCATCACTACAACTGAAAAGCTGACATGGCCTGCTGTCTAACGCTCAAGATTTGAAACATTGATACTTAACGACTTCATCAATATTTTCGGAATTGACAGAATCAACAACATTGTATTCACACTGTAATAACTTCTCTTCACAGATCTGGGACTCCATTAGTTGGAATCGTATTACATTCCAATTATTCGGCAATGACGAACACTCCAGAAAAATAATGTTGATGTCTTTAAGTATCAATGTTTCAACTCCCAGAATGCGATGGCATGGGCCCAATATCTACTTAGTTCACAGACGTTCGAGAATCATATTTTAAATCCCAAACATCTGATTCCTTTGTGTTCTGCGTCCACTATTCCTTTTCTAAGCAAGCTGTATTCGAAATAGTCTTCACTCTTTGGTAAAAACAGTCGCGCTTCCAAATGCAACAATACTTGTCGCGACGAAATTCATCTAGGGTTGAAGCCCTATCCATCACGTGCTAAATAATTTCATTGAATTTTCAGTTTTTTTCTTTCTCTCATGGCCATTTTTTCGCTCTGTTAACAAATTTCGCACAAATTTTTTCTTACGCTCTCACAATAAACCCTCCCATGATCGATTACATAATCAGAACGAAGTTCACTATGCAGTACAGTTTTTCGCTTGACTAGTGAGGGAGCATTGATGCTACCACCAGGAGTCAGTCACTAAAAATTTTTTCGCATACAATCGACTTAATTGAAAAAACCCATTTGGATTCTTCTCTCCTTTTTACAATATTTCACTAAGTAACTAAAGATGATTGAACCATCCTTAAAGGCCTTAGCTTCCAAATATAACTGTGAAAAGTCCATCTGTCGTAAATGTTACGCTAGATTACCACCAAGAGCCACTAACTGTCGTAAGAGAAAGTGTGGTCACACTAATCAATTAAGACCAAAGAAGAAGTTGAAGTAATCCATATGCCCCCCAGAGATTTATTACTTTTTGGATTTTTTTATATGGGTTTATCTTTTCCTTTCATTTGTTTAATGTCATAGAATCAGGTATTTGTTTTATATGAAAGAAGGAGATGCTTTTCAATTTTGGTCATTTTTGGGTTTTCATGTTTTTATGAATGTTTGAGAATTAAAATGGAAGTCAAGAAGAAGAGTACTCTCTCCCCTATTATGTTGAAATAGAATTTGTTGGAAATTATTTAAAGGAATGAAGTGAGATGGATTTTTTGTAAAGAATGAAAAGAAGGAGGATAGCATTACGATTAACTTATAATTTTTGTATGGTAATTTAATATAAAATTTTTCACGTTTAATAATTGCAAACCATTAAGGGGATCCAAGACATTTAAGTTCTTGTATTATATGGCTTTAGAAGAAAAGACTTTCAACCTCAGAGAACATACCTGTGTTCGTACTATTATGAAATTCAATTTTATCAAGATACTATGGATACTAGGGAACGAACCTTGAAGATTGAAGTCGAGCTTCCTTAAAGTTAACTGTAGCCTATTTTCATCTCTGTATATCTCTTGGACAGCTTAAAAATTAAGGGATTGTGAAAACAAATAGCAACCTTTGACGTTATTGAGTCCATTCCTTTGACGTTATTGAGTCCATTCTCAGGAGAGAATTTCAAAGAGTAAAATAAAATGCACCATCTTTCGGATATCTGTATGTCTTTTGTACACAAGCCTTAGTAAAAGAAGATATTCTCCCGGCCGAAAGTGGCGAGTTAGTATCTATAATCCGTCTTCTAAAACCCTTATCCCTGTTCATTTTGCTTGTACTTTTACGGGTTTATGTATCAAGCGAAACGGTTATCGGTGTATGCATTGTTTAACCGTCGGAACATTGAACCTATTGTCTTTGTCTTGACATATTAGTAATTATGAAACTCATTTTGTATCTACGTGCAAAAAACTCGTGGATATATCAGTTAGATATTTTGGGTTTTCGGCTTTCTCGCAACAAAACCCTAATTCGGATACCATACCGAGAAAAAACGACGAAGATTAGTTACAAAAAATTACTAAAAACCCACACCATTCCGGGGGTTGCCCGCAAAATTCAGCAATAAGGTTATCTCCAAACTCCCGAGATAAACCTTTCTCTATTATCACCCCAAATATTCCCAAGTTCTTTTATTTCCATCACTAAAATTCAAATATAGATCTCTCTAAATTCCGTTTTAAGTTACGATGCATATTTGATAGTGAGGCATTTTTTTTGGCTGCAACATCACGATTTCACTTTCCCCATAGCCCAGGTTTCAGATTACAATAATTTGGGATTGTCATTATGGCCCAAATAGAGAAAATATGACTAGTTAAGAAGGATATACGGAGTGTTCGGACTATTAGCGAAATGTCAATTTCGTGCGTTTCGGTGCATGGTAGAAAATAGATCTAAAATCTTGCATCCATTTGTTGTCGATTTCAAAGTCCATTGTCGCATTTCAATACCGTTGGAGTATTGCACAATTAATCTATATTTAAACCCATCAAAACATAACGTACTGCAGTATGACCATCGAGTACTCATTTGGCTATCACACCTTATCTAATAGGGTTAATAGGAGATTCTTTCGGTTTGCAGTGATTGTAGGGATTTGGATTGCAAATTTCCGAGAAAGTCGTGTGATTGAGGGGCAGAGGGTAAAAAAAAATAGCCGTGGCATTCATGCGTTGTAGTAGTAGCACCACCAATAAATGTCGTAAAAGAAAGAATTGAGTAGATGGTATACTGTCCTAAATTCTTCTATTGAAATTGAGTTGTGGTAACATTGCTGAGTGTGAACGTTTAAACTACAATGATTTCTTCTTTGTAATTCTCGCAAAAATGACATTGTACATTGTTGTTTGGAAATGACACCCGAAATTTCATTGATTAATCATCCATCATCAGCAAAAAAAAAAATGGAAGATTTTAATACGCAGTAAATTTGATTGAACGTTGACTGATAAAAAAAAGTGGAAGACTGAGAAAGAAATAAGCAATAATAAAACAAATATAAAGAATTTCAATTCATTCTCTCTTTTACAGAAATACTTTTTATTAATAGATAGCATAAATTCATTGCACCTTCACTACACTGTATACTAATCAACACACCACTTATAAATATACTTTGTATTTGTTACTTTTCAAATTGGTTTTGATTGATTGATCTTTACAACAAAAAAAGGCAGCCAATAGAAGAAGACGAAGTAGCATAAAGAATACCGAAAACTACAAACACAACAAGGGAATTAATCAAGACGCTATAAACATCTACATTGACAACACTTTACTACTGTTCCAATAGAAAAAGCTGTCTTGCTATACTTTTTTTTATTTTTATTTAAATCCCACATTTGGAATTGTTGGCCATTAGCTATTTAATTATTTTCTATTTTTTTTAGCCATTCGTGTATTGGTCATGAATAATTCATTTGATAGAATACCACATACAGACCAACAGCAACAACAGCTGCAACAGCAAACACAGCATTTCCAACAGTATCTGCAACTGCCGGGGCATCATCCAATTGATCTTCCTATGATCCCATCAGCTCAACAAAAAAGACAGAATAGTATGTCAACTTATATGTCACATACATCTGCCAACAAAAGAACACCTAATCCATTACAAACTCCATTGGGCATGCAAAGTGCTTCTAAGAAATATGCATTTACTCAGAATCCAAATACATCAAATATAGCTAATCCTCCAACTAGTCCAAGAATACCATCCCCGCGATTTAACACGCGATCAACATCGGCCGCACGAAAGAATATCGTCCAACAACAACAACAGCACATAAAGACACCTGCACCATCTGCCTATGAAGTACCTTCTAGTCCTAACATAAACCAATTATCTCATTTATCGGTACAAAATCATTCTGATCTGTCAGACTCAAACCCGGTGTTAGATCTGAGACAGAATCAAGACCAAATGTCGGCATCTCAACAAACTTCTAGAAGACATTCAGAGTATCTGCAATACCAACAGCAACAGCAACAACAACAACCTCAACGGGCATCTCCTCAAGAACTGCAACAACAATTACAACAACAGCAGACTCAACAATCACAACAACAGCAGCAGCAGCAGCAACGGACAATGTCAGATGAGGAGCAACAGCTTGCCACTAAATTAAAGGAAACTTACAAGAACATTGTCAATTTTGAAGAAATCGTACAAAAAAATTGCATTGAAATAACACTTAAAATTAATCAAATTACAAGTAATACTAATAATCCTGGAAGTACAGTATATGGAAACACATCATTATTACAACAATCCAATCCTTCAACAATGGGAGGGAGTGTAGGAGGTGCGATATCTGCTACTACACGAACATCTGAATTACTGAATGATTTATGGACAGTATATCATCATAATATTACATTATTGGACAATTATTACGATTTCTTAGTAACATCATTAAAACCATCTTCAAATCAAACTCAATTCAAAACTGGGAAAAATATTGTTGAATTATATAAAATTCCAAGAAGAATGTGGGTATATGGAATAGTTGGATTTTTAGAAGTATTAAAGAATATAATGGGTATTTTCCAAGATCATGAAATTTGTCTGTGTTATATTTCATATTGTTTTAATATCATTTCAAATCTAACTGATCCCATTTTAGAAATGGAAGGATGGTGGCTGGAAAAATTAGGAGATTTATCAAGGATGGCTATTGCATTATATGCTTCCAAATTTATTGATTGGAAAATCAGCGCTGAATACTGGTATTCAATTGCCATGAAAACTTTATATGGACACGGAAAGATTTATTATCATATGTGTACTGTTCAACAAGATAATTTGGATGCATTGGTGAATATTGGGAAATCAGTCATTTGTAGAGATCCTTTTGTTCCAACTCAACATTATTTACGTTTAGTAGTGGAAAATATATGTACCCAAAGAAATATTTTATCATTGTTAGAATTACCAATTATTGATTTTATTAAAATTCATAAAGTTTTACTTAGCATTTATACCAATCGTACTACCAACGATTCTAATGGAGTTGGTGATACAATTGGAAACAATAGTGGTAGAGAAGTTATTCAAGATTCACAATTACAATATGGAATTGAATTAGTCACGAGATATGGATTAACTTTTGGATCTGATTCCAATGGATATAATTTCTTTACTAGAGAAATGTATACCCCATCTACAAGTGGAAACGGTGGTGGCAGTGGTGGAGATGGTGGATCTGATCAAATGCATCACAATCAACCTTATTATCAACATCATCAAGACCTGCCAAGTGTAACCAACACAATCGAAAAGATGAACTTTTGGTTCAACAAGGGGTCATTATTCGCCGTTGCCAATATTAATCATTTGATTGGGTTTGGGGATGCAAAGAATCCATTTGCAAAAATATTCCAATTACCTGAAGCTCTTAAGGAACGCAAAGATAAGAAAGATCGCAAACGCAAAACTAGAACAACTTCACAATCACAAATTGAAGAACCTCCATCATCATCTACAGGTCCAAACACGACTACTAGCGCCAGTACTGCTTCCGGTGGAGGTGGTGTTGATGGACAATCTATCACCGCGGGAGATCTTTCAGTCACAGATTGGTTCTATTGTCTTCAATTCATAAATAAATCAGTGTTGGAACTTTCAATCCGGATCTTGAATCATTATTTAATCGGTCCTAAACAAGCATCTACGGGTCATGTTATTGTCTGGCTTTATTTCTTAATTAGTACAGGTGAAGCAATCAAGAAATATCCAAATTCACAACCAATGTTTCGTTGGCTTTTGAGAAAATTATTTCCTTGGGAACTGTTGATTACATATTTGAATTCCTTACTTTCATTCGTGAAGAATAGTCCCAAATTATGTGCATTATTGACTCATTATCTTCAATTGAATGATTATATTCGTCATTTTAATGAGAATGAATTCTTACCGGAAGTATGGAAATGTTGGGGGACATTATGGTTTGATTATGTGGATGAAAAAGGGGATTATCGTGATTTATATGAACTGGGGGTTAAAAATCCGAATATGTTCGATTTACCAGTTTGTGGAACATATCCTGTCATCAATAATACCACTACAAATTTAGATGGAGATCAAAGATCAAGAAATCAAATGGAGAATGATAATGATGAACGTATTATCAGAATTATTTTATTAGCTAGAACAATAGCCAATGAATATGAATTTGGATTGGTTAGAACTAATGAAGAATTCAAATTTGATGAAAAGATTTATAATTCACGAGATTCTGTCTTGATGGATAGTGGAGGAACTAATAGAAATGAGAATTTTGCATATATTGAAGAATTCTTATTGGGTGATGGAAGATTTGTTCAAAACAATTTCTTACAACCTATTTCAGCTGATAATTTAACCATGAACACCAATAATAATTTAAGTTCGGCACAAAAGGATGAATTATGGTTTGGTGGCTTTGATGCACACTTGTACGATGATGAGAATATTGAAATTGGCGATGAAATAATCGACGATGATGAAGAGGAAGAAGAACTGGAAGATCTCGAGGATGAAGATGTCGGTGATGAAGATGAGGATCTTGGCGAAGGTCAACATGGACCATATCTTACTGGTTCCACCACCACCCCACATCAATATCAAGACTACTATCAGGACAGTTTTATAGGTACACCTACTGATCCACTATCATTGGGTGATATGATTCATACTGATGACTCGAATATCGAAGGAAATTTTGGAGATAAGATAGATTCAAATATTACTTATATCACATTAGATACTAATATTTGGTTAAGACATTGTGGACGTATTTTCAAATGTGTTAGAAATGGGGTTGTAAAAGTTCTGATCCCCTTAATTGTTTTCCAAGAATTACGAGCATTAAGAAAATCCACCGAAGCAACCATATCTGATGCAGCTACACGTTCTGTCATAATCATTAGAGAATTATATTTTTCAAGAGAGATTTTACCTTTGAGATTTGATGGAACAATAGCCAGTGATATCAATGAAACTACCGAATTTGAAAATAATTCCAATTGGAGATCGAATGTAGATGAAACTATTTTGAATTGCGTAAATGAACACGATCAAATTGGAAAGAGATTAATGAAGGGGTTGAATTTACGCTTATCCGGTGTCGGAACCAATAGGAAATCCAGTGGAAATCTTTATTATCATAATGATAATTCATCCCGTGAGAATTCCGTGGTTTTGAATTCCAAAATGGCAAAGCTCTTCAAGTACTGTATATTGATTACGGATGATAGAAATATGAGATTACGAGCCAAAACAATAGGGTTGACTTCCTTTCAGAGTAAATGGTTATTCAGCCAATTAGAAACGGTGTTCCCTAATAGATGCATAGATTAGGGGGTAATGTGAATAAATTGAAAGCAAATAAAGACTTCGCCACTAATATCCACACACACACACACACATACACACAGTAAATAAAAAAATGTATAGTCATTAATTACATAAGCATTCTTGATATTTTTTTAATAGATATTACTTCTTTGAGTTAAATTAATTCGTTCGATATTATTTCTAAAATGAAATAGGGGGTTAGATCCCGAGAGATTTTAGGGAAACTGTTGGAAAGGCATTTTGCCCATGAATGAGATAATCTTGAGCTGATTAAATGGGCTTAAACACGACTGATATTTTCCTGAGGATTTTATGCATAAACGTCGACTATTGGATAGGCTGTGACTGTACGTCGATTTCCGTTAGTAGTGCTATGCAACCAATAAGCTGTCGAAACGAGAATATATTATTTAAATATTACGTGCCGTTGAAGTGCCGTTGGCAGAGGATGAAATCAATTTATTTAAAAAAGAAATGAATTTATTATATTGCAAATTATTATATTGAATATTTTATAAAATAAATTAATTACTATTCCGGTTTAGGAAATTAAAATATTCCGGTGCACACCCTCATCTGGAATCTCCGGTCTAGAATCGGGATCTTGGATGATTTTTTCGGCATGATGAGTTCAAATCGAGATTAAGATTTCACAAAACAGGAAATGGTCTATAGCAAAAAGAAATTTCAAACAGTGCTCGCTTCAGAAGTATTTCGTAAAAAAAAAAAAGTTGAGATATAGTAGAACGGATCATTCATGTTTGTGGAAAAATATAACAGAAGTTCTAGATCTAGACCGATGGGTCACACTTGATTTATTAGGATGTCGTACCAAAGTGATTAGGCAGACCTGCCATAGTCAACTTTACCGTAGGTTCACGAATATTTAGCTTGCGCTTAACAGGAGTTACGAGTCTGTTATTATTGTTATTACTGTTACAGGGGATTGTCAAGAGGTAACGACATCAGCTGGATACTAGCGAAGGTTTCAAGGGTAAATCCTTTGAAGGGGGAAGAAACGAAAGGATTAAAATTACACTCTTAATTGCATTTTTCCCTATTGTAAATCTGCGTTTTGTACGACTCTCAGATCAATAAGGAAGTAATGTATTTTAATAAAACAATGGACTAGGACAATATACACTACTATCCCCCCTTTCATACAAATGTGTGCGTGTGTGGGTACCAATAATTAATGAATTTTGAATGGAATGCACGACCTTTGGGCACTATATTCCTAATTGGGATTATTTTCTGTCAATGGAACGTAAACACAAAATCATTTTTAACGTGTGAAAATTTTTTTCAATCTAAACTTTAAACTCTGATGTGCCACATTTTGTTCTATACAGATCCCCCTTTCACAAAAATTATTCTTCTACCATCTTACCATATCTTGATACACAAAATGAAGTTAGTTTCTTTTTTTCTAACATTACTATCCTCTTCTGTTACGTCATTGGTTTCTACTGTGCAGGTTCTGAAACGGAAAAATATTAATAAAAACTAAAAAAATAAGTAAAACAATCTTAAATATTTTTTAGAGGTTCCATGGAACAAAAAAAATAAACCACGGGACTTTTTTTTCCTTTTTTCTCGAGGGAAGAATAAACAAACTTCTGGGCCCCAGGGTCTTGAAAATTTTGCATATAAAAGGTTTCATGAATCCGCTCCATTGATCAATCAAAATCTTAATCTCTTTCTTATCATCAAATAATTACATTCATTCATTTGACATAGTACAAACAGCCACTCTTTTATCTGTTTTACAAATTTCTTACTTTATTCATTCTTTTGAAAACTCAACTAACTAACTAACTACATTCATTCATTATGAGATTATCTACCGTCGCTTTAAGTTCATTCTTATTAAGTGCTATCAGTGCTGCTCCAGCTTTACACACTGTCTATGTCACTGCTTACACTACTGTTTTAGTTAACCAACAAGGTCAAACCATCACTCAAGCTGTTGCTCCAGTTGAATCTACTTCATCTACTTCATCATCTGAAGATCCAGTTCCAACTACTTCTTCTACTGAAGAACAAGTAACTACCAGTTCCCAACCAACCACCAGTGCCCAACCAGACACTACCACTTCTAGCACTGAACAAGCTACCACCTCCACCGTCGCCACTGCAAGCAATGCTTCTGCTGATCCTAATGCTGAAGAAACTGGTGTAATTTACCACGGTCAAGGTACTTACTACGCCCCTGCTATGGGTGCTTGTGGTATCGTTTCCCAAGATACTGACTACATCATTGCTATTTCCCATACTATGTTCGACGCAGCTATGATTGATGCTAACCCAAACCACAACCCTCTCTGTGGTAAGAAGATCAGAGCTTTCTATGGTGATAACTCTGTTGAAGTTACTATTGTTGACAGATGTGTCGGTTGTGCTGTCGATGATTTAGATTTCTCCCCAACTGCTTTCCAAGCAATTGCTGATCCAGCTTTAGGTAGAATCGATATCACTTGGGAATGGGCTTAAATTATTGGGTTTGAAATAGAATTTTTTCATTAACGTTATTTTTTTTTATGTTATTATTATCGGGGCTAAAAATTTTTACTTAAGTGTATATATATAGATATCTGTATTTTTTTTTGTATAAGATATGTACTATTGGTAAAGGACAAATATAAATTTATAAATATCTTCATTAAATGAATAGTAGAAACTGTAGTTCGATACTTATTTCGTTTCTCATTTTTTGCGTTTGCCAGTATTTTACATGATTTCACTTGGTTTAGAGAGGTGGGCAGCGTATTCTTCTAGCAGATGTCTGTACTCCTCTAACGATATACATACGACATCCAGCTGTGCTCGTCACAGCTAATCTCAAGTCAAATTTTGTGTTCTAAATCTTAGATCCCCTAATAAGTCCCCCCAAGGTTCTCGAGAAAAAAAATTGCAGCAATTAGATCCAAGTGTCAAAACCGGAATTTTTGGGATTCCTTGGCAAGTTTAAAATTTTCTTATGACCTGAATCGTATGTCATAGCTTATTCATAAGATGTATTCGTCATTAATGTAACATAAAATACACGTACTTGAGAGACGGTTTAGATTTAGATCCAAACTAAGCATACACGTACTCTCATTCGATCTCGTAGCGCAAAGGTTTTCTCACATTTGTAAACATGTTTTCCATTAGGAACAATACATATATCTACAAACTCATATCAAACGGGTGATCCATTTCCCCTATTAAGAATGGACACAGTTTTGTGCACACGATACTCGGAAATATGTGGGTTACCCTGCCCCAAGCATAAAGAGCTTTTCAACTTTTGTTCTCTCAAACTGACTATTGAAATATGATGATATCATAGCTGTTTGAGAAACTGTTGTAAAATGTCACCTTAGATCTTGTTGCCCACCTATTTTTATTTGTTTTTGTTTTAAGCAAAACTGGAAATTCGAAGTGTAAATTTATTTTATTGTTGAAAAGGTTGCAAAATATTTTTCGCTCTCTCGCTTAATATAGTGAAAAATAAAATATTATTATGATGAAACATGTGATACCCCACAGCCTATCCCCAAATTGAATACCTGTTCTGGGTCATGTTCAATTCTCCATCAACGTCATAATTCTATGTTTCAAGACACTGATTGAACAAAAACTCATGTTACATTTCTAAAGGTGGCATATTTCAAAAACTCTTGGCGTCAGTACAAACTTTTGACGAGCATCAACAACAATTAATGTGACAAAGTCGTTCCACACATTTAAGAAGAGACAAAAGAACGAATAATTATAAATAATTGGTTTGAAAATGTATACGATTAATCTTATACAGAATGAATTTATGGATGTACGATTGGTAAGTGGTGTGTCAACTGTAACTGACTTTTGCTCAGAGGAGAGAATGGAAAGGGATATGTTCTTACACAAGCGCCTCTTTCTCTTAGCAAATGAATGAGAGTTAGAAAATACATCTGAAACATTAGATAAGATATTTTCTTGTTCTAGCCCCTTAGGTTATTGGTCTTAGAAACCGGGGTAGCACAACCACTTTCTACTATCAAATTATATAACATACTCAAAACCCATGAACTTTCATTGGTTAATAATTTTCAATTCTAATTAAATTTCTCTACAACCATAGTTTGGTAGCCCATGCCTCATCGTACATGTACATTTTAGGACACAAAGCTTCCATTTAAAATTTGGAAATAGTCCAAAATGGAATTTAAGTATAAAAGCCAAGAATCCGTTTCATAAAAAAACTTAAAAAAATCTTGTGTGTTTTGTCGTTTTGTTCATCCCACATTCATTCACTCATTCCACTCACACAGTTATAAGAATCCTTCACCTTTCTGGTTATATTTAATCATTCACTCCCTTTGATTTTCTAACTCCATAACCAACTACATTCATTCTTTAAATATGAAGTTATCTTCGATTATAGCCAGCTCAATCTTATTAAGTGCCATTAGTGCCGCTCCTTTACACACTGTCTACAGTACTACATATGTTACTGTTATCGTTAATTTGAAAGGTGAAACCCTCGTTCCAGCTCCTACTCCAGAACCAACGGTGGCCCCAGAAGCTCCAGCACCAGCTCCTGAACCGGTTGCAGAAGCTCCAGTTCCAGTAAACGATCCAGCTCCAAAAGCAGTAGATACTCCACGCCCACCAATCGTCATTGATGCTACTGAAACTCCAGCTCCACCACCACCTGCTCCAACTCCTGAACCAACTGTCGCTGCTCCTGTTCCTGAACCAACTGTAGCTGCTGCTCCTGCAGCAAGTAGCAATTTGAACCATGGTGAAGGTACTTTCTATGACGCAGGTTTAGGTGCTTGTGGTATTGTCAATAGTGGCTCTGACTATGTCATTGCCGTTTCTCATGGTATGTTTGATGCTAACATGATTGATGGGAATCCAAACAATAACCCACTCTGTGGAAAGAGAATTAGAGCTTATTATGAAGGGAAATCAGTTGATGTTACTATTGTTGATAGATGTGAAGCTTGTGCTTATAATGATTTAGATTTCTCATCAAGTGCGTTCTCACAGTTGGGAAGCTTTGGGTTAGGCAGAATTCCTATTACTTGGGAATGGCTCTAAAGCGGTATCATTTGATTTTCTTTTTACGTTGTATTTTTTGGGTTTCGGCTGGTATTACTAGTATTATTTGGACTATGATTTCATAAAATTTGCCTTCTCGCATATGTTCCTCTAATTTTGAGTATGTGTATCTATTATAAAATGATAATTATTCCTCAAATTTCTGGAAATGTAGAACAAAAGCTTTATAATAGTAAACCTCTTTTAGGACTGGGGGAGTATTCTGGTTGGATTAAAGCTCAACTTTTGTAATTGCTTATGGATCTCTAGAAGATGGCACTACAAGTTTGCGAATACGGTGGTTCAGTTTGAATACTTTTCACAAAATCATTTATCAATTCATTTGTTTATCTTCTCAAAAGAAGAAGGACAATGAAAGAGCCAAAGAAGTTAGGTTTTATGGGGCTTTTTGGGATTATCCCGTACGAGAGCCGTCTGATTCTTTTCAAGATAAATTATGTCAAGAGTAGACGAAAAAGCTTAACCGTTTCTATTGAACCTTTTATGGACGTCCAAATTATACTTCTAGTAGCGATTCCTGCTCAACTTTAAGTTCTTGGCGACAGCGTTCGTCCATCCTTTTGCCTAATTATTGTAATTCATTCATTGCAATGGATACTCAATAAAATTTTAACCTGAATACATACAATCTACAGAGCCACAAAATTAGAAATGCGTATATCTCTTATCTTTTCCATCCTGTTAAATAGCCCCCCATCTTTTGGATGACAAACCAACTATATTTGCTTGCATCTAGAACCAATTGGTTTGTCCGAGGAAACGAAAGCAAAATTTGACTCAGTGCGCGTAACCAATATTTTTTAGACTATAAATTATTTTTTTAATTTTTTGCGAAAGGGGGAGTTTCGTATTTTGATTTTCGCTTATGACAAGAAAAAACACAATGAACACAATTCGATGCGAATCTGAAACTTTCGTTGACAATCCAACAACAATTAATTTCCTTTCCTATTCTGTCTTTAATTGAAGTCTAAAATTCGTAAAAAAAGTATAGATCATAGCATTGGGTTATATATGATGTTCAATATGGCTCGTTCTCCGTATAACATACCCTTGGGTCATTGAGAGACACATATGGAGTGAATACAATGCCACTTCCCCTATGTCCTTGTAGTATTCTCTCATAGTAAGATCTGTTACAGGAACACTCACACCCTTAACCCTTGAAAAGTAGATTTTGCAGCCCGCGTATTTTTTAGTTTCATATTTTTTATTTTCCAGTAGCCCTTCAAGCATCATTATTCAACTCCTTTCGATTTAGTTTATGATGATACAAATCTCAAACTATAATCATATAGCGATTTGGAAACTTCGACAAAACTTAAAAATGTAAGCCTAAAAGTTAAATTCCAGAGCTTAATACGCGAAGATCAAATACAGGACACCATTCCTCGTCGTGTAAGGTTGTAACAGTCACCTTATTGCTGATGACTGGAAAAAGGTCGTACTTAATAAATTAAGTTTATGCAACCTTGGAATTTTGCGACGTCGAGCGGTTTTCTTACCAAGATAATTTAACAAACTTCACTTATTTTGAAACCTTCTCCTTTGAAAATTACCAAGAAATTGAAACAGAATTGGAATATAAAAGGTATCTGATAATCCTCAATCAAAAATTTTTGAATCCTTACTTCTTATTTCTTTAACTCATACTCATTCATTTTAGAGATTATAACAGTCCTTCATTTATCTGTTTTATTTTATAACTTACTTTCCCTTCATTAAACAAGTATATACCAACTATTTTCCTTCCTTCGATATGAAATTTTCTTCAATTATATTTAGTTTATGTGCATTGAAGCTCATAAACGCTGCTCCAGCAATTCACACCGTATTTAGCACCACTTTTACTACTGTGGTAGTTAACGTAGCTGGAGAAACCATTTGGCCAATTCCAACACCTGAACCGATAGTCCCAGAAGATGAAGATACCACAACTTCCACTCTGACAACAACTATCACCATAACATCTGAAACTACAATCGGAGTGGAGCCTGCTGCCCCAACACCGGAACCGGCAAACTTGCGATATGGAGATGGTACTTACTATGACCCTGGCATGGGAGCCTGTGGGTTTGTTTCTTATGAATCTGAATTTGTAGTTGCTGTGTCTCCTGCTATTTGGGATCCTGAAATGATCGATGCTAATCCAAACCATAACCCAATCTGTGGTAGAAAGGTTAGAGCTTACTACCAAGGTAATTCTGTCGAAGTTACTATTGTTGATAAATGTATGGGATGTGCCCCACATGATTTGGATTTCTCTCCAGCTGCTTTCAGACAGATTGCTGATCAAGATTTAGGTAGAATTAAGATTTCCTGGGAATGGATTTAAACGAACCCACACGTTCTATTTATGTCTGATTTTTCAAAACGGTTTCTCCAAATTAAATCATTTTATAGCTATTATAATATAGATATGTAAAAACAAAATGTATTAGTAAATTTCGATAAATTGTTGTAACAGTAGAAATTTGTATGGCTGCAAAATTTGCGCGTTTCCCCCATAAAATGGAATATAACAATGGTCGTGGCAAAATGCACAAAATATATTATAAAATAAACTAAACACCTTCACCTAAAAAAATATTCTACATCCATTAAACTTAAATAACACCAGATTTTGGATTCATCATCTTTTATGTTGCTTGGTTATTACAAGTTATGCAAAAATATATAAAAAAAGCTCCGCGACGGGGAATTGAACCCCGGTCTACCATGCGACAAACGGTAATTCTAGCCACTAAACTATCACGGATTCGTTGTTTTCAACCAAGGTTAAAAGTATTCATTGGTCACGTGACAAGTCGTTTTCTCAACTATTGCGGTATGGATGTTTAAAACCCTGAACCCACAGTTTTTCAATTCTTAATGCTGATGGCGGATCGAATTTATTATCATTCCTCCACAACAACCATGCATTTAAGAACCGGGATAAGATGGATATCATATTCACATAGACTCCTCAATACCAATGCATATAAGATTGCAATTATAGGAACTGGACCTGGTGGGTTCTATACTGCTCATCATTTGTTAAATAAGTCATCACCAGATATGAAATTATCAATTGATTTCTTTGAACGTTTACCAACACCATTTGGATTGAGTAGGTATGGAGTAGCTCCTGACCATCCTGAAGTTAAGAATTGTGAAGAATATTTAGTCGATATCATGAATGATTTCGGAAATGGGGATAACCAACGTCATTCTGTGAGATTTTTGGGAAATGTGGATGTAGGTAAGGATATTTCACTTGATATGCTCCAAAAACATTATAACTCTGTAGTACTTGCTTACGGATGTACAGCAGCAGATAATAAATTGAATATCCCAGGAGGTGATAATTTGCCAGGAGTTATGCCGGCACGTCAATTCGTCAACTGGTACAATGGACATCCTGATTATTACGAAACTGGAAGTAAATTCATTCCACCAAGTTTGGATAAGATTGAAGACGTGAGTATTATCGGAAATGGGAATGTTGCACTTGACGTCGCCAGGATATTGTTGGCTGATCCAAAAGAACATTGGGCCAGGACTGATATATCCACCGAAGCCCAGGCATTACTTGAAAAATCTACAGTTAAGAATGTCCGAATTGTTGGTAGAAGAGGTGTTTTAGAATCTGCATTTTCGAATAAAGAAATTCGTGAATTATTTGAATTAGAAAATGCAAGTTTTATCCCAATGGACGATTCATTGTTATCTTCAATTGATAGACTGAATCTCGGGAGAGTAAATAAAAGAAAATTGTCAATTATTGAGAAATTCAACGTATCTCCTAAGGAAGATAAAACACCCAAGAGCCACACTTGGTCATTAGAGTATCTCAAATCTCCAATAAAATTCACTCTTAATCCTCAAGATCCTACCTTACTTGCATCAACCACATTTGTCGAAAACGAACTAGTTCACGACCCACTCATCCCATATGTCAAATGCAAACCAACATCAAAACAAACCGAACTTAAAAACGAGTTGGTGATTGTTTCAATAGGATACCAGGGCACACCATTAACGGGTTTCGAAGAATTAGGTATCTGGTTTGAAAATAATAAACTCCAGAATAAACAAGGGAGAGTATTATCCGTAGAATCTAAAGACAATGAACACAATGCAGTCTTCAAGACTGGGTTCTACACTGCCGGATGGATTAAGACTGGTCCAAAGGGGGTAATTGCCACCACTATGATGGACTCCTTTGACACTGCTGATAAGATGTTGGAGGACTTAACCAATAATCACGCATTGAAAATTGAGGATGAAAGAGATATAACCCAAGTGTTGAATAAGGATATCGTTCATTGGAAGAATTGGGGGAAATTAGATGCATACGAATTGGAGAAGGGAAAAGAGTTAGGTAAAGTCAGATACAAGGTATGTAATAAACAAGAAATGCTCGAAAGGGCATTGTAAAATGTCGTCGACGAGTACAGGTACAAAAACGGAAGTATAGCATAACTGTTCTGTATTAAAAGTCTATGTAACATGTCTATAGAAAAGATACAACTATTCATCCTCATCCTTACAATTTGTAATTTTTCTAAAATAATGGGTATGTTCATACTTCCCCATCTGATCTGGCCATAATCTACTAGGTTTAAAGTCTAAACTTCTTTTGGTTAACAAATTCGAATAATCAAGTCCTCTCCTGTCCAAATCTTTTTCAGTATGAGGTAATTCTTTGTTTTCAATAAAATATTCAAACCCAGCATGCGCAAACAAAATAGAAGGCGGTAATACAGGGACAATATCATGTTTATGGACAACTCTAATATATCCTCTTGAAAAATTCTTCTTTTCATTAATCTCCTTCTCTACTTCTTCAGTATCAAATAAATTATCAACAAAATTGGCAAATTCTTGATTTCCAACCTTTGGACCACCAAATGTAACCACCAAAGGATCATATCCTAATAATTGAAATTCAATTCCACTCAAGACCGTCAAGGCTGCACCCAAGGAATGTCCGAGGATTACAAATCGGAAATCTGGATATTTATCTTTAAGCTTCACCCCAGCACTAACAATTGAACCTGAATTATCCCTCAAGGAATGTCCAAATCCTCTATGTACACGACAGCCATTACATTCGGTCTGGATATAGGGTTCTTTAGCAAAATCTTCGTCATATACAATAGGTGTATATTTCACTGGGATAAAATTTATATCAGTAAACCAATCTCGCCTTGACGAGGTGCCTCTAAATGCCAATATTATAGCTTTTCGTTTTCTATCAATTGCAAAATAACCAGTTCCAACTTCACCACGATTATTCAAATCAAAGATTTTGACAATTTCCACATTTTTGAGAATCGGATTTTTGCATGCAGATAAAGGACAACCAGTTTCTTGATTTCCCAACGAACCTTTCAGTAATCCTTTATTAACACAATATGCCACAGCCGCTAGATTGGCAAATTCTACTAGTTTCAAATAATCTTGAGATGCAACTGGTTTTGGTTTTGGTTTTGTCAGTTTTATTTTCGAGTCGTATAAATTATTGCTGGATCCTGAAAATTTTGGGTATTCTCCCGTTATAACGTAATCGGCTAGGATTAAAAGAATGGAAAATATAAGGGATTTCTTCATATCTCATTTGGATAAACAAAAGAGACAACGTAAACTCAGGAAAAAACGAAACGGGTCCCAGCTTTTGTGAAAGTTTTTATGGATCTAATAAAACAATGGTTAGGGATATATGGAAATCTTTATAGTATCATCCTTGTACTCTACCACACAAAAATTTTAGGAAAATGCATTTGCAAAAAATTACCCCAAAAAAAATATTAAAAATAAATGCAACCAAAAAAGTCAAGGCAAGTGGCAAAGAATCATGCATGGTTCTTCCAAGGGCATTACAATTAAAGGTAGTTCTGGATAGATTGTATATATATCTCATCAACTGCATCTCAGTTGTTGATGCAAGTTATTACACTTGACACAACAAAAATATAAACCACAAAGACGACATCTTGAATAATTCGATTTCGATCCACATATACAACACAATCGTAATTTGGGACGATAGATCCTTGAATCTATTCTTGCTTTTTTTGATTTCCTTTCAACATCAGCAAAATCAACAAATTGATAATTTAAAGCAAGAATAGTATTTACTGACATCAAGTTTCTTTCCTCTTCAAAATACAGATTTAAATTTCTTCTTGCACTCAAGATTCTCTTTGTAGTTGGTGTATTCCCTAATTTTGACTTATGTGATTTCTTATGAGTAGAAGATGAATGTATAGTGTTATATGTGAAATTTTTAGGTAATTCAAACCCTTTAGAACTTGATTCTTGATTTAATTCACTTAATCTTTTTGACACGAGTCTTTCTAGTTGAAGTTGTTGAGTGGTTTTGAGAGGACCAGCACCAGAACCACCTCTCAGGGATGTCTCTTGATTCAGTTGGACTTGGGCATTCATAAGTTGAGTCACATTGTAATTGACTTTGGCTCTACCCTTTTTGTTTACGACAGCGGGAGCATCGCCTTGAGATGTTGCATCTTCTTTCGGAATAATCAGTCTTGCTGTGAGATTGATTGATGAACTGAAATAAATGGTCGATGAATTCGAATTAGATCCTTTCGGTATTTCCTCTACTAACATCTTTGAGAATTGGATTGTCTGTCTGTAAGTTACCAGAAGAAGAAGGTCAATCACCAAAAAGAAAAACAATCAAATATTTTCAATGGATTTTTTTCTGGAGCTTTAGAAGAGAACAGAACAATCAGAGTTGAGACTCCAGTGTTATAAATAATCGACTGATTATTACAAGGATCAGTACCCTCATGCACAAATATCAACTCTGTCATACAATTGAAGAGATCTTCCATGTAAGCGTATGCTTAAGAAAATTGGAAATCATAAGTTTCTTCAGATCTGAAGGATCCAGATTAACAAATATTTTCAGTATTTTCAATATTTAGATGTCCCAAAGGGGACTAACCTAAACTATATATATATGTATATATGTATGTACAAGCGTGACGTCATTATCATTAATTTAATGGGGGTACGATGGATATAGATTCTCAGCTCTAGGTGAACTTAATTCTAGGAAAATTGTATGGTTGGGAAATCCCAGTATAAATTCCAACCCTTTTTCACTTGCCTTTTGGAGGCAGAATTCCTGCACTTTCCCTCAATTCCTCAGAAGTAAACGGTTGATCTTCTCTAGCTTTATCCAATGTTTGCTTAATGCCTTTGGTAGCTAAATTTGCATTAATACAAGTAATGTATGTATCCCAAAACTCACTACATTCATTCTCAACTGATTTACCCTTTAAGAATTTTTCAGTATACCATTTGTTAAAACAATCATCATACTTTGTCTTAGCATCTGTACATTCTGGAGCAAATGAAACTGACATTATATTACCCATTGGATGTTCTTCTTCGGCTTTCTATTGCTTTCTCTTTTCTCCTTGTTGGAAGGTTTCGCGAAGGGTATGAAGAAGAACAAGATGATGATCAGAGAACCCTTTTGTCTTCCAACCAGTAAGTTTTAAAGTGGAAAAAATGGATCACCTAGATTTACAGGTTAATCACGCTCAATCTGTAATTTTTATTTCACTCTAAAAAAAGACAAAAACAACAACAAAAGAGGATCAACAACTTTTCATTATTTTCAGAATACAGAGATCCAAAGAATCAACAGGCAATTCATAATGAAAAGAGTCTCTATAGCACCATCCTCTTTAAGGAGGAAGTCCACTGTGAATCAAGACAGATTATCCACGGAAAGAGAGGAGTCCGAAAGGCTTGACCAAGAGACCACCCTCGTTTTACAACAAATTGACCGCAGTATCTCACGTGTCAATTTTATAATCAATGATCGAATTATACCTGCAATTCGTGGTTACAATGAAGGATGTGATAAGGTTTGGGCAAATTCGGGATTTTGGAAACGATTTTTTGAGAATGCTGCAAATGTTGCTTTAGATACTTTTGAGGAGCCAATAAATCCACAAGTTGCTACACCCAACTCTAGAGCCAGCTTTGGAAATAATAACGAGAAAGTGGCTGGTGCTGAACAATCTAGTCAGGCTGATAGACGTACTGTTGCTGGGCTGAGGACCGAAGAATTGAGACGTACAAATTTGGATGAGGAGGATTCTCTTACATGGTCAGTTCAAGGCAGCCAACCTCGAAACAAAGTTCAATCGTCTACACCACAGAGAACAAAAGCAAGAGATCGGATTAGTGAACTTGCACAATTAACGGATAGCAACTCTCTTATTCCTCCAACGTTAATATCTGAAACACCAGGAAATTTGCAATCACCATCAAAAGTGCTAACAATAAGACAATCAGGCGATAATTATCATAGGATGTCAATCTCTCCAAGAAAAGATTCAGCCAAAAGAAAGCGAAGCTCATTGATCGATCAGTACATAAATTCATCCCCTACGATCCCTCAGCCGCCAGTATTGTTGTCGGAAATAGGAAACGAAACTCCCAGACTGATCCTACGCACCTCAGGGCAACAAGAAAATATTGGAAGTCTGCTGCAAAGGAGGAACACTCCTGGAAATAGGACAAATGATATTAGCTCCAGCGCTCGTCGTACACCATCACGAAGACTCCAAATTGCACCGCTTAGCTATGCAAATGGTTTGGAACCACCGATTTCCAACGATTCGCAATCAGAAATACCAACGAGCCAGCATGTGGATGATGCGCCACCTCCTTTGCCCCAACTAAGCACAATGGAAATGAGTTCTACCAGATCAGTAGAAGAAGTACCAAACAAAAGAAGAAGAGTTTCACAGGCAGGAGAAAGTTTTGATGTTGAGAATGTATTCTTGGAGAAGAATGGGGAAGGGAGAAGGTCAAACACAGGAACCTTATTTTCAAATATTGTTGAGCCTGAACTTAGAATTCCTAATACAAATGAATATAGATCTCCAGATCTGAATGTAGAAGCTGCCGAGAAGGCAACTGGTGCTGATGAACAAGTGACGCGTGCAACTGAAGAACCGGTCGTCACTGATAGAACGAATCATGTATCGCCAAAAGTGACATCTAAACCAATCGAACCAAGCGATGATGATTTTGAAGATCTTAGTGAATTGGGACCATTGCGTGCAAGATTAGAAAGGCTTAGAGAAAAAGCACGCTTCTTTGGAAACAAGTAGAGTTTATTTTGCTGCGAAAATAATGCTGCTTAGCGGTTGTCAATACTATATTTTCCGTGTTAAAGAACAGGAGGGGAAGGGTACTTGTCAGAGTAAAAAGTATGAAGTTGCACCTATACAATAGCCTATCCAATACTCCTTATGGTACTTGTCATTGGTCATTTAGATATGTATTGGCTCCATTCTGTCAACGGAAATCCATGTCACGTGCTGAAGAGTAAGCAGACCCAGTCGATGACAAATCCTGACAATTTTATTGGTCGAGCGGATTTGAAAATATATCCACGTGACCAAACGTCCTGTATATAACCCTCCGTGCAACTCCGCAGGTATGGTACGACTAAGATCAAAAAAAAGTATAAATATCACTAAATATCTTTACAGAATTATTCCATCTAATATTTGTTTTATTATCATCAACTTAGATCCTTTTATTCTAAATACTACCACAACTAATAATAAATAATAATAATGACCTGTTCTGCTGCTGAATGTATCTGTGCAAAGAAATCCACTTGTTCCTGTGGTGCCAGACCTGCTTTACATTGTGACTGTGATAAGGCTAACGTTGAAAATGTTGCTCCAGCCGCTACCAACGCTTGCTCATGTGGTTTAAGAGCCAAGAATGCTTGTACTTGCGGTGCTAACTCCCACTGTGATGGTCATAGAGAAGGTGAAACTGACTTCACCAACATGCAATAGAGGACTGTTGGTGTGCTTTTAAATCTTGGGGAGGTAATTAGATATTTATTTCGTGTATAGGACTGTTTGATACATTGCCTTAGGTACGATAAGTAGAATTGTAATATAGTTTCGTTTTTAATATTGGGGAATTGCCTGGACTACTCTTCTTAATTGTTGACATGATGATCAAATCGAATGATAAGAATGTCGGTGATCTGTTCTCCTCATCTCGCGACATTATTCAAATTGTAATTTTGGACGACATTTCCAGCAGGAAACTTGAGTGCGAAACGTCAAATCTCATTTTCTCCGGGCCCGGGGAAAGAACATCTTCCTTCTAGAAACTACCACAGAGAACTACCATCTTAATCTAGATAAGAAAGATGGCCAGATTGTCAGGACTCCAAAGAGAGGTGCTAAAGTTATACAGGGCATGCATACGATCCTCATATAAGAAGCCTGCTGAGTTTAGGTTACATTGGAGAAATTATATTCGATCCGAGTTCGAAAAATATCATCACATTTCTAAGAAACAGTTTAGCACTATTGAACATTTGCTAAGAGTTGGTCACAGAAGATGGGAGATGTATCTGGATCCACAAATTAAGGATATTCATTAAGGAAAGTGATAGAGATTTGGATGCACTTAGGGAGCGTAGGTTGAACAACTGACAAATGAACTAACGCCCAAACCTACCTTCAGTTGGAACTCAAAACAGATGGTTTACCTTATTAATTATTTTATTTATTTATCAACTTGCTTGTATATAGACTAATAGATGTGACAGTGCAGGACATTCTAAATAATTGCAACACCTTAATCTGGGGGGTCATTTCATTGTTTTTGATAGAATTACTAATTATGAACTGAAAATTTAAATTAAATCTATTCGTTAAAAAAAAGTGTCCTATAAATCAAATTCTACACATGCTAATATAAACAACAAAAAATAACTACTCTAAGTTTCCCAAAACCAAACTAAAGCTAAGAAAATATCTTATCAGATTCTGATAATAATATCTCCGTAGTCTCGTTTCTATATGCCATATCCAGCATTTCTCGATCACCAACTTCATCTCTAGCCAAAGTAGGAGCAAAAACCACTGACAAGTTCTTGAAATTCATTTTATTCATTCCCTTCATCGAATCCACCAACCTCAAATGACGACACAATAACGACAAAGTCTCTCTATTAGCTTGTGGCAATTTCTCAACAACTTGTTTCTTCAAATGTTCAATCTTAACAGAACGATCTGCTTCCATCTTCGAAATATCAATAAACGCGTCATATAAATCATAACTGATTATCGGGTCAGGCAATTTCCTTAAATATCTCTTGAGAGCCAGAGTGACGGAGTTAATATCTCCAGAACCCAACACTTCATTCAATTTATTCAAACTCTTTGAATCTGGCTTCGGGTTAAGATTGGCAAATGTACCTTCAATTACTGTAATAGACGAGTTCCCACCAGAAATACGATATATACCCTCGAAATCCAACCCACGTTTTTCAACTTCAGTCAAACATTTGCGGATAATCAATGGGACAGCAGCACCCTCAGATTCGGCTCTTCTCGCAATGGTGGTAGAGAACAATGGAGCAGAATTTACGAGTCCATTTGCGTGATTGTTATTATGTGAATCACCAATGAATGAATCTAGGATGTTTGTGGATATGGATCTAGTGAATTTTCCTTTCCCAGTAGAAGCTGGGGTTGCTCTGGTTGTCTGTGAATTGGAATTTGTCATTAATGATAGATTGGAGCCTGATTTGCTGTTATTGGATGCGACAGCACTATTGTCATTCCTTCCTCTACGCCAGAACATTAATCTGGTAGACTTATGTTGATCAGGAGCTTCCTCATTTATCGTAGTGGCTTCAGTCATAGACATGGCGATATCATCTGATGATCCTTTGTAAAGTGGTCCTGAATATACAGCACTATTAGTTGGAGTCAAATTATTGTCACCAGCTTCAATGTTAGTCATAGTTCTAGTTAATGCAGCATGCTTGGATTCTTCTTTTAGTTTCATCTTTTGTAAATTCAATGCATTAATCTCCGTTATCAAATTATCATATTTCAGACCTTCAGCCGTAATCTTAACCTGCAAAGCCTTCAACTCTGCCAATAATCTATTCTTCTCAGTCGATAAACCCTTCACATCTTCCTCCAAATTTCTCTTCTTCTTTTCCCATCCAACGACTTCATCCTTTAACGCATTCAATCTATCTTCTTCCTCCTCAATCTCAGCAGAAAGATTATGAGCTGGGAATTGTCTCATAGGTGGACTAATCATAGGACTAGTTACCATAAGGCTCGTCGACCCATCAGAAACACGACGAATATGAGTCTTGTCATCTTTCTTTCCACTAAAGAAACCAGCTATAGAATTGGAAATACTGCCCAGTGAGGACCTATTATGTTTAAGACCACGAAGCAAAGATGACTTCCTGCCTATGCCATTACTGGAAACAGCTTCATTTCTGTCAGGTTGCATACTCATTGGAGACGATAAAGATTTCTTGGGCGACCCGGAATGTAATTCCTGTAACAGCTGCTGAATCACGTCTGATTCTCCCGTCAATAATCCAAGACCTTTCAATTCTGCTTGTGGGTCACTTGGTTTGGCTGTCTTATGTTCTGATTCTCTAGTGTCGGGAGTCAGATGAATGTGGAAAGGTATAGAAACCGGAGGTGTACTTGGGACTGGCATTCTGGGAGGTGGGGAAGATAATTGAAATGGACTTTTTGGTTTTGATGGTGTTCTGGATAAGTCATTTAAGTGGTCATCGTCTGTGATTTCTTGAGAGAGAATCTCGTCGCTTGTGGTTTCCACTACGCGAGCTTGTCTATTTGCTTTCGCTATTGGAGAAGAAATTAAAGATCTGGATGGTTCTGGAATTGGAAGTGCAAGAGTAGCACTAGAAGATGAAGTAGTCGAGTTGGAATTGGAATTGATTGTGCTGGTGGTTGTAGTACTTCCTGCACCAGAGCTTTTTATTGGTGATTGAGACCCTATCGGCTCCATATTGTGGAATTGATTGTCATTGTATTGATTAGGTGAAAGGATAAGCACATTCTTAGAAGTTGGTGGAGCTAGTTGTTGCTTTGGAGTAACTGCAATATTGGCCGGCGGTTCTAACTGGAGCACAGCTTTTGTACCTTCTGGGGCACTGGTGGGTGGTGGTGGGGTAGACACAAGAATTTCATTATATATTGACCTGTCAAGAATTGATTCAGTATCATGTGAGCTGCTTGAAGGTGTGGCAATAACATGGTTTTGTAGCTTTGAAGGAGAATGTGATTTATGTCTTAAAGAAGTTTCCTTTCTGATCCCTTGCTCTTCATCTTCGTCGGAATTTTGTACTTCTTCTATTGAAAAGTCATTATCTACCGCTTCCGTCTGTTTAAGTTGTTTATGGGTGAGACTTCCAACGTTGCTCAGAACATTCGTTGTTGTTGCGATATCTGTACTGATAAAAGATATAGGTGTTGAATCTTTCAGCTTATCTCTTGAATTTGGATCAAGCGGTGGAGTTCTAGGGGTTCCGTCAGTTATGGGTGGGGGTAAAGGCAAATTCTTATTCTTCAGCAATGCAGGTGATGGGGTTTTGAGTGTTTCAAAATCTGAAGTGCCACTTAAATTTGTGTGAAGGTAAGCTTGAATGAGGCTTTCACGATGAGAATCGACGGACCCACGGACATCTTCTTGTTGCTGTAAATTCTGCAACAATGTTTGGTGTTGTGGTTGGGGGTGTGCTTGTGAATTTTGTTCTTCTTCCTCTTCAAGCTGCAGTTGTTGTTGTTTCTGCTTTCCCATCAATGCCATCTTTTTCTTCTTTGCATCGTACTTCTTCTTTCTAGCCATTAACTTCTCGTGACATTCCATACAAAATAACCCTTTAGAGGTTCTTGCATAACGCAAGTCTTCAATCTTATTCTTACAACTTCTACATTTAAAACAATTTGAACAATAAGCTTGATCCCCAGTCAAAATAGCCAAATCATCAATTTTCCTTCCACATTGTTTACAATTATAGGAACAATTTGAACAGATTAAATTTCCATTACCCAATACGAGGAAATTTGAATTACAACCTAATGATATATTACATTTTGAACAGTTGAAACAATTTATATGCCACCTATCTTCACCAAGCTCATAAGCATGACCTTCATTAATCGGTTGGTTACACTTCTTGCAAATTTCTCTAGAATGGTTGCTGACGTTATCTGGTGCTATTAGAGAACCGTTATTTGAATCTGACGCATGAAATGGATTCGTATTAGGGGTACCGTGCGGCATTTCTACTTCTGTCATAATATTACGTGTATTTAATAATAATTAGCGATGGCCACTGTGTTTGACGTTGTTTGAATAATTTAGGAAATCGTGTTCTTCTTAAAATTTTGGGGGATGGGAGAGTGGAGCCCTGGGTCTTTATATATTATTTAGCGAGTGCGTTGTAGATTAGTCCCAATGATAATTCCAAGCCACACGTTGAGTTCAGATACGGGCAAAATCTATAAGGAAATGTATTTTTAATAAAAGTCAAAAAGAAAATCCAACCTGAAATGGGGGAAATGGTTTGTAAAAAAAAGGAAGAACGGGAAATGAATGTCAATATTATTATCTTCCTTTCTTGCCTTTGCTTCTAAGTAGGAAACTTTGGGAAAAATCGTCGTTTATTGTTTTTCTTAACTAAAATTTCAAAACTCAAAAAAAAAGTTTTTTTTATTTCTGAAACAAGTTTTTTTTTTATTTTTTAACTGAAAAAATAAAAATATTAAAATCTTTTTCTTTCATTCTTTCTCTATTATAATTTTTCTGTGCAGATAATAAATTATTTTTTTAAATGCGAAAATGTAATTTAACTTAATTAGGAAACGACAACTTTATATTTACAAAATAGTCAAGATTAAGATTTTATATTGTAGCTACACACATTACTTTAACTGGTAGAACCTTCGTATTTAGGAATAGTCCCTTTCTATCTAGATTGTAATTGACAATTACAGTTTAGAACATTTTAAATTTAGCCTACTGTGACATACTGTTTGTCGTTGGTGCCAACTTTTTTCAGCCTGCAAAGAATATAAATAGAATTTACGCGTTTTTAATTTCGATTTACGGGGTTATATACAGGAGATTTGTTAGTACTTGCTATTTATAGATCAACGAACATGTATCTACTTGAGTTGGCATCGACCTGCTATCTAAAGACATATTGTGCGTCATAACGTTGGCTAAACCCAATCCAGTGAGCGTGGATCATAATTGATATAATTATAGCCTGTCTGCCCGTCCTCTTCCCAACAGTAAAAGTGCATACTATTTATTCAGTAGAGCCAAGGGTCACAGCATTTAGTCAATGTTCAGTAATGCCTTGTGATCAGCATCATGCGTTCCTGGGGTTATGTAACCCGACATGTTACCGATTTCCAAAGTACTTGGGAACCATCAGTAGTTGCCAGGGAATGTATTTTTTTCTACTGTTTGTTTCATCATATCGGGGGGAAGAATGGAGAAATATGATGCATTCTGCTTTAAGTCTAGCGTTCTGTAGACGACTACCAAAAAGAAAGAGCATAGCCGAGGTTTGAATGTATATATACTTAATATAGTTAATCCACTGTTCAGCATTAACCAATGGTCAGTATGAAATACTGGCACAATACCCGAAGTGTTTCAGAATGTAAACATTCGCTCATGAAACTAAGCCTGAAACGCATGAAAAAAATGCGACGATTGAAAATAATTGCAAAAAATTGCATCAACCTCTCGATTTCTAGACGAGACCATCTGAACCGAAATTGGTCTAATTTAGAACTACGTTCATAAACTGCATATGTGAGAACCTCCGCAAGAAAGACCAAGAGATACTATTCAACCCGGAATGCGCAAAACGCTCCAGGTTGGAGGTGTGGCTAGTGACTCAACACAAGAAATTCCGTTGGAGCTACACGAAACTCAATGGCTGGTTACATGGTTGGTTCTGTGATAAATGATTATTCTGTAGTTAGTCAAAAAAAATCATGTCCAACATGGGTAGTCATTTACCATAGGTTCTCTCAAATTGTAAAAACTCTATCATTATATATTGAACTATACTACCAACGCATTCCTTTCTACATTGGTAGCATCTTGCTTATATATCCAATCTACTCTATCTATTTCCCTTAAAATTCCAAACAAAATACAAAAACAATTACAATTCCTCTGCAGTTAAATCCTTCTTAATCTTGAAAGGTTTCCCTCTCCAATCAATCTCATGGCCCCAAATTGCACTAATCCAAATTGGCAATGCCAAGACCTCTCTCAAAAACCAGATATACAACCAATCTATCACTTTACGGTCCTCGTCTGGTCGTTTTTGCAACCATTTGGGAACATATCCGATTAAATTCTGATCGTTGAATACATGCCCGACCAACGTGTTATACTGCACATAATCAGTCAAGCACCATATTACCATATGAAAAATGAACCAGGGCCAATAGAATCTACAATTGAAAAACAACGCACTTAGTCCGAATGTTCCATATAAACCACAAATAATAGATTCAGTAGTAGGTTCAATTAAGGTGGCTAATAAAACCATATATTTCCTTACTCTTAGCCATCTTACCCTTCTCATAATATAATCATTCAAAGTATTATCACTTCCACTCAAGGGTTGGACGACAACATCCCCCGTCAACCCGGTCCTACCAGCACAATTCTCCCATAAGGCAATTCCAATCATATTATCCTCCCCAATATATCTAGAAAAGAATTTCATCGAATGACCGGGTCCTAAAGATGAATAATACTTTGCGTCATTTTTCACATTCTGATCGGCAAAAAATGGACAAGGTTGTGATGGGATTAATTGAACGGATCGATCAAGATCTGATTTTCTATAAATGTTGGATTTCCCATTCACACAAGGGGCGACGGACATATTGTTTAATGCAACATAGAATTTCGAATGGGAGGTGTGGAGAAACATTTCATCTAGCTTGGCTCCGAGACTCTTAAAAAGATGTTTTCTTCTGGATATGATGGGGGAGGATGCTATTGGTGATGTCTCTTTGGAACTTGATGGTTCGGGTGGTGATGAATTTGGGCCACGTAATGGTGACGGTTTTCTTTGTATAGCGACTGATGATGCTAATGAAGATGAAGAATTTGAATTTGAATTTGAATTTGAACAGTAATCGGAATCATTTGATTGGACGGGTGTTAATCCATATTCCAAGTCTTCATTAGTTTTGAAATTATTTGGTTGCTTGTTGATACTTAAGGCTAATGGAACGTGATGGACTAGTTTGACTTTTCTGTTGCCACTACTTCCTAATTGTCTTCCATTATTTAAATTATATTTCATTGTGAGTATGGAATTCTTTAAAATGTTAGAACTGGCCCATACATTACTATCCATTATCCACAATATATCATATTTAGCTTGTGAAACACCTTTGGCTAAATTATTAACTTTGGGGTTTGGACCGAAATAATCATCACTATGACCAATATCATTGTTATAATTTTCACTTATTAAAATCTTAGCATCTATTGTGGGATACTTGGCAATGAGATGTTTTATGATGGGGATGGGTGTATCTTGGGGATTATCTATACAAAACAATATCTGAAGTTTATCTTTTGGATAATTTTGACAAAATGAAGATTCTAAACAACTTGATAATTCTGGATCAATCCCTTTTATAGGACGAATAATTGTCACACCCTCATATTCTTCCACGTTGTTGTTGTTGATTTCTTCTCCTCTAGTTTTATGAAGTTCCACCTCCCCTTGCATGTGGTTATGGTTATTCTCCCATAATTTTGATCTCTTTTTAAATTTAGATAGTATTTCAAAGAAGCCCAGGTATGAAATAATGAGTATCGCGAGATACCATATGAAACAAACCAAGCTGAACATTAATCTTGAATGACTTATATCTGCTAACATTTCTTTATACAGTAAGCGAAGGTGACATGCCACTTGGTTGACTAATAGCGAAAGAACTAGAAAAAAGGGGGGATAACTGTGTGCAAAGTAGGAGTTTGTTGATGCTGACAAAGTTTAATTTAAACTTAATGGTTGTAAAAAAATTTTGATGGAGTCAATGACAAGGTGACACAGAAGGAAAAAAATATTGGCACGGGCGAGTCCGGGTAATTGAGTTCATCGGCTGGAAAATTTTTCATTACGCCATCAAATACGCGTCGGTTGGGTCGGGGGGTTTTTTTCACAGCCTCTACAGGACAGAATAGGAAACGTTCCAACCATTCTTGATTTTTGGCACATGCCTTATTGTCTGCTAGGTACTATATAAAATATGAACAAGCTTAAGTGGTGTATATATAAGCAGGCTATAGTATCAAATATTGGATAGATTTACTTTATTGCTTAGAGACATTTCTTGAGAGTGTTAGCCGATATTGTACCATAAAATGGAAAAGTCGGATCATCTTGGGAAAGGAAATTGCAGAATTAAACAAGCTGGGCTTAAGAGACGTGTTTAATTCATACTGCGCCCACCTCATCTGGCCGATTTTTACAGGTTCATTGACATATAGGGCTCTCCTTTATCTAGAGTTTTCCCTTCCATTAGGATTTAGATCTGGAACTGGTGACTCCATCTGTCGCGCTTATTTTGCGTCAAAGTAGCAGAAGGTGCTGATAGCCAGGGAAGCTTTATGTGACTTCCAAAGCCATCATGCGATCTCCGTAGCATTCTACATAGTCTAACTGGAAACACATTCTGCTTTTCATCTCGACAGTAACGCTGCTCAAGGAAAAGTAGTGTTTGTTCTAAATTCAAGATAACTTTACCAGCCTTGGATGCCTTTGCAAATTTCAAATTGATGATGTTTTGGACGGAAAGTATTCGATCTCACTTTCGCTGGAGTAATCAGACAATTTCAAATTGACGAGGGCTTAGACGGAAAATATTCGATCTCTCTTTCACTGTAATAATCAGTAGATTAAAATATTGGGGTGCTCTGCACGTTCATCTGAAGATGATGTTGCCTCTATTAGTGAGGAAACTCACGAAAAATTTGGGCTTGAGTTTTTTTTTTTGGCAGCAATTGTACGAAAATTTTATATGAAGAAAAGTAAATCTCATCTGATTAAAGACATTTCTGGAGTATTGCGCTCTTATTGATATAATGTATGTTACTTTATCTTACAACGACTAGATCTCCCTAAGGGTTTTTGTTACCGTATTTTTCTTATCGAGCGTTGAACGTATCTACATCCTTTTTAATTTTAAATTAACTTCCCTAATTTGCCTTAATAATAAAAGCTTAAATCTATAACATGGACAATGGAAACGATTTCTGGATATCTCGGAGTCATTGTTCCTGAATTGAACTCCGAATTATATGCTGCAATTCGACAAAAAAATCAGATGATATATGCATATGTATACCCCACAAAATCTTATCATTGTATGAGCCTGTCCTATCAAAGCAGTTACTGATGATTTCACAAGATTCCATTTTGTTCGTCTCAAGAAGAACGAAGGTACACTTCTACACAATGATGTTTCGTTATTCAGCCAATTGCAAGGTTCGTTGAAATTTGTTGGGCAGCACAAAATGAGTTGGGACCAATTTATATGTCCATATTCATTGCTGCGTACTATCGCAGAGTTGGAATACTGGTCCTTGTTACGTTTCTTGTGACAGATTTTACTGCTTTCTTATCAAAATGTGGGGCTATGGTGAAAGAACTCCAGGTTTGAATCGGTTGTCGCAAAATTGAACGTTGTTTCCGCGGCTGTTTAATTTCATGTGGATCATGAAACCCAACTCTACGCCAATCTACATACTTGCGGTCCTTTCTGATACTTTGAACTAATTATACGTCCTTCTTGCAGGCTTAACGAGTCATCCTGCTCCTTTGTATAAATGTTGTAGTACTCTAATATACTTCGAAACAAAGAACATTAAATATACTGGTCTTTCATTAGCATTTCTTCTTATTATTCCTGTACAATCTAAACTCGAAAAATGCCTTGAATTACTTGGCAAAGGATATATCTAAACAATGAACATGGACTAATGTAAGGAGATGGATAAGAATGGTGGAGTTAAAAGAATGTGTTGTTAAGGGGTTACAAAAACATGGATCCGAACCTCGGAGAAGAAGAAGTCAAAAAAACTTAGAAAAAATATAAAAAAACTCCGAGGCTATCAAAATTTTCTTAGGGGGTGTGCGTAAGCAGATAAAAAAAAAACAGCCTGTGGGGTATTTTATTTCCTTCGAGTCCCAACGGTTTTTATGACATCTACAGAACATTATAGATTAAAGCATAAGATAAAAGAAAGTAAAGAGGGGTAGAGTTGACGTGAGATGTATGTGACATTGTGATGAGACTGACTTATGTGTAATTATAAAACAATAAAAGATTTACTATGAAAAATAATAAATTCCCATAATTTAACCGTGGTATAAAATTCTATGGTGGACCATTGCCTCGGATAACGCAGGAAAAATAAACTTAACTTAAAAAATTGATAGTAAGTCTATTACCCGGCCAACCCCCACAAAAAGAAAAAAGTTCCGAAATCAATTCTCTGGTTTTGTTGAAATCAACAATTATATAAACCAATGAAAATTTATTCAATTTTCTTTAATTTTCACTTTTTCAGTTTTTTTTTTTTTAATTTAATAACTTAATTCTTTGCACCCCCTTTTAAGGTTTAATTGATATTTATATAACTTTACATTTACTGTTTTTATTTTTCAATTTCTACTTTTTTCTTATTAAATTTATAATTTTAGAAACAAAAGTAGGTAAAATTTAAAACAGTTAATATCAAATAACCAGACAAGAAAGAGAATGAACAAACTTAGAATTCCACAAAGAATACTTCAACAAAACATTAAGAAAGCTATGCCATCTTTATCAAAGAATTTCACTACTTCAGCTATTGCTAAGGGTGATTTATACAAATTTCAATCCCAATTACCAAAATTACCAGTTCCTGCTTTACAAGAAACTGCTAATAAATATGTTAAATCAATTGAACCTTTGTTAACCACTCAACAATTAAATGAAACAATTGCTAAAGTAAATGATTTTATTAAACCAGGTGGTGTTGGTGAAACTTTACAAGCTAGATTAGAAACTTTTGCTAAAGATAAGGATAATTGGTTAGCTGAATTCTGGGATGATTGGTGTTATATGTCTTATAGAGACCCTGTTGTTCCATTTGTTTCTTATTTCTTTTCCCATAAGGATGTTAAGAATATCATTGGTCAAGATCAATTATTGAAAGCTTCTTTGATTGCTTATTATACTATTGAATTCTGGGAACAAGTTCAAAATGAAACTTTACCTGCTGAAATTATCAAGGGTAATCCATTCTGTATGAATGCTTTCAGATATATGTTCAATAATTCAAGAGTTCCTGCTGAATCTTGTGATATTACCAAAAAATACGATGGTGATGCTAATAAATACTTTATTGTCATTTACCAAAATAACTTTTACCGTGTTCCAACTCACAATGAACAAGGTCAAAAGTTATCCAAGGGTGAAATTTATGCTTACTTACAACAAGTTAAGAATGATTCTACTCCAAAGGGTGTCGGAATAGGTGTTTTAACTTCATTAAATAGAGATGAATACTTATCGGCCTACAACAATTTAATTAAATCTCCAATTAATGAAGCGTCATTAGAATCTATCTTTGCAGCATCATTTGTCATTTGTTTGGATTCTAATTATCCAATTACCATTGAAGAAAAATCCAAGAACTGCTGGCACGGTGATGGTACTAATAGATTCTATGATAAACCATTGGAATTCTTTATTAGTGCAAATGGTAATTCTGGTTTCTTGGGTGAACATTCCAAAATGGATGCCACTCCAACCGTCCAATTAAACAACACCATCTTGAAGAAGATTGACCAAACTAATCCAGAAGAATTAATTGCTGAAATTTCCACTGCTGCTCCAGTCGTTGGTAAAGCCGATCTTTTACCTTTTGACTTAAACCCAACCACCAGAGCCAACATTACCACTGCCAAGGCTAAATTCGACAAGACCATTTCTGAACATCATGAAGAAATCTTCCAACATTACGGATATGGTAAAGGACTCATCAAGAAATTCAAGGTCTCTCCAGATGCTTATGTTCAAATGATGATGCAATTAGCTTATTACAAATTAACCGGTAAAGTAAGACCAACCTATGAATCAGCCGCCACTCGTAAATTCCTCAAGGGTAGAACCGAAACTGGTCGTACTGTCTCCAATGAATCCAAGGCATTCGTCGAAACTTGGGCAAATCCTTCATCTACCATTGCTGACAAGGTTGCTACTTTCCAAGCTGCTTGTAAGCAACATGTTGGTTATTTATCCGCTGCTTCTGATGGTAAAGGTGTTGATCGTCATTTCTTGGGTTTGAAGAATATGCTTAAAGTTGATGAACCTGTTCCTGCCATGTTTACTGATCCAATCTTTACCTATTCTCAAACTTGGTATCTTTCAACTTCTCAAATCCCATCTGAACACTTCCAATCATGGGGTTTCTCTCAAGTTATCGATGATGGTTTTGGTTTAGCTTATTTGATTAATAATGATTGGATCCATGTGCATATTTCTTGTAAGAAGGGTAATGGATTAGATTCTTCTCATATGAAATGGTATCTTATTGAAAGTGCTAATGAAATGAAGGATGTCTTGAGTAAAGGATTATTGGACGCTGAACCAACACCAAAGGCTAAGTTGTAGATATTTATTATAGTTAGTTTTTATATTTGTTTGGAATATGATATATGCTATTTATTGAGGATTTGATTTATCTCTTTGTATCTCTTTTATCATTGTTCAATTCGACTCCCATTTATTTGGAGTGATACCCGACTTGGGATATTTGAAGCAGCTCACCAAGAGACACTGCAGGAGGCCTATTAATGTAGCATGCTTTCAAAGGGTTCCTGAAACTAGGTATTTTTCTTACAATATGGGAGAACTTTATATATTATACCTATACACACTTCATATACAAGCCTACAAAGTAAACAGCTGACTCTCTTGCAAGCAGCACATTTCATCTTCTTTTTACGGTGTTTTATTCGGTGCGTTGGATCTAGGATTTCCATACGGCGACCCGTGGCATAACGGCCGTCTCCGTCCGCACAAATGCTCGCTCCGGGTGAGCCGTCGCCACAGTGGGTGAAACCTCGGTTGTTAGCGTGTGCCCAATTAAGAGTAGTTTAGTTGCAATTTGGCGGTCGATGTTGAACAATGGCATAACTTTACGAATGGATGATAAATCCTATAAATATGAGGGCTAGGAAACTATGGCCAGCAAAAACATTTCTAAGTTTTCGACGAATCAGACTGAGGGAAGCAGATGACGAGTTTAAAGGATGGATTCAATATTACAAAACATACTTGGTAACTTCAATTTGTAAACGAACAAAAAGTTTTTAATAATGGGGGTTTTAGCGTTGTGCTTTCCTCCAAAGAACAGTTTTTATTATTTAATTATGTATAGAAATATTTAGTTTATTTTAATAAATATATGCTGTGTGTTGCAAGAAAAAAAAGGGTTTCAAGGACAGCATGCTGTAGCTTTACCTTCATAGACGTCTCTATTGTCCTGTATGCATAGTTCCATTCCTACATATCGCCTGAGGGGGCTGAATACAACAGTGGCTCATCCTATTGTTTCTAATTATAGAATCATAATATTTTCTGTTTTTTATGAAACCCCTTTGGCTTAAAATGATGGCTTTCACTTTTATCATTCATGTTATGGTTGCTCTGACTAGAAAGGACTTACAAACACTCTAGGAATTAGATCATCTGAAATATTAGGGTTGGGTTTCTCTTCAAATGGTGCAATTTGGTCATTTCTAGATTTCGGAAATATGAAAGATTTTCCATGACTCCTGTCTCGCTAAAAAAATGTAATTGTGCTTAAAAATCGGAAACAATACATCCAGATCTTAGATCTATATGGTTTTAGTTTTATTTTTTTTAATTCATATTTTCTTCCCGGAAGTAAAACACAAGGAAATCATGGCTTTTTATTCAGAGTGGAGATCTGGTCCATGTGAGATGGTGATACATACTGTATATCTGGGTGCAGTGATCGTTTTTCTTTTTCTGCAATTATGTTGGCACACACTTTCACTGATCCTTATCTGAAATTTTGGAAGTCTTGCAGTCATTCCAAGTTGCAACTTTACCTGCTTGATACGAGTTAGATTAACTAACAAGGTGGGTACACATTTCCTTTTTTTTGGCCACCAATAATTACATCATCATTATTTTTGAGGCGGAACTTGAATTAGCCATGTTCACGTGCTTCACTTTGCCGAGCTGCAGAATTCACATTTCCGTAAACACATGTCTAATCTCTACTCAACGATGTTACAAATCAAAGAATAACTCTAGATCCTTGGTTTTTATGACTGATCAAAAAGCTTGTTTTACTAGAGTATTTTAGTCATGGTAATACATATCCATCACACAAGACAACATAATTATTTTTTTGATCTCAAAATAGTTTTAACCGAGAAAATAGACAAAGCTAAAAAATAATTCAGGTACTAAAAATCCCATTAAAAAATTATTTGAATTTAGCCGATGCACAAATAATAAGGTTTAGATAAAAAAGATCAAACTCTAATTTTTCTTTCACAAAACCCAAACTGGTTAATGAGGTGTATAATAACACCCCAATGATATTGGAGGAGCTTACTATGTGAGGGCAATTGATCGTGGAGGAAAATGTTCTATATATGGTTTCATTAGTCTATTTCTTAATAACGATGTAGTGTTATTTTTTTCTGATAGTAGAGTTTTTATTATTTTTTATTCTGGTTGCTCGTCTAAAACTTACAAACATGAGGTTCCTAAAAAATATTATTGTCTTATTAAATAATTGTATGAAAATCATGTGGCTATGCAAGAAATGACTCCAAGAGATAAGCCAATTGATCAGAATAAAGTGGATTAGTAATTTAATCTTGGGTGCATTACGTATTTGATGACTAATGGAAATACCATTTTTTTTGCAATCACGTAATTCTTGCATGAAACCTCCTGCTTGTTTCTACTAATTCCTTAACTTTGCATCTGAAATTAAGGTTGTCTAATTCCACGTCAGCCTTCCCCGTACTTTAGTCTGAATTGGGAAAGCTTAATGTTCCGTGGAATTAATCAGTTCCCCCCAAAAAAAAGAAATTGAGAAAAGGTCAAAAACGAATGAAATGATTATGCATGCCATATGATATTCATTGTCTGGGTTGATGGATGTAATTGGTTGTAGTCCCAACTATGGTTTTAGATTGATTCGGTTCATCTTTCTGTTGTTAGTTGTCTTTCCAATTGCTGTCAGTTACAAACAATAAAGACAATTGACATTAAAATACAATTGTGTTTTGTAATTATAAACTCGTCAAACTTTCAATTTGATCTGATTGGCTGAGCTTCATACTGATACACATGTTAGCTAATGTTTTTATGTTTATTGTGTGAGCGGAATGGGGGAAAGTCGCGTTGCATAATTGAATCTGATCACCTTGACAACCGCTGGTCGTATTATTCATCCATTATCCGAAATTACAAATTTTAATAAAATACCCTAAAAAAATCTAAAAAAACGTGACTAAAAAAACTCTCTTGTGAGCCCTCGAAATACCAATTACAGACATATGTGCTTTGTGTTTAAATTTGACGAATTGATAGATATCATTACTGGAACTAGTACCTTAGAGATGTCAATATTTTTCTACTACTTCAGGAAAACTATAATTTGCAGGATCTTGTCTACCGAATTTGATGGGTGGGTATAATTGAGGAGTGTTTTCAAATTATACGGGGAACAAATCTTGCATATACATTCATGCGCATGCGAATGGGGTAAATTTGGAGAAGAAAAATGATTCCCGGAATAACGTGTGGATCTTTCGATAGGCAAGCTTTTTGATTGTTCGGTTCAGTCGTAAGGTGCTACAGGTAGGTACAATATGGACTCAACAAATTTGTGTCTTGGAAAAAAGAAGGTGCAATAAATGACTCTGAAGGATAAGAATATAATGGGTGGGGGGAGTGGAAAGGAATTAGGCTTTATTCAAATGTATGGAGCTTCACAAATTTCCACTTGATCATACAGGAGGAAGCATAATACATTAGAACACAAAAACAAACATTAATTCGTCACCCATTTGATGTCGGCACAATCGCGATTTTGACATCGACGGCATTCTGGGGGCTTTAGTGATTTTTCATTGTTCATGATAATGTGTGTAAGTATGTGAAGTCGCAACTGACAACAGCGGTTTGCAACGCTCTTTGTTCATCACGGAAAATCACACAATAGAATTGCCAACTTTAAATATTTTTAATAAAAATCTTAAATAAGTTTTCTTTAAATATTTACGTATTTTAAACGAAAAAGATATGAGAAGAAAATATTAAAACAGAAAATAAACTTTAAAATAAAAATTAACTTTTTAATTTAATTAATTAAAATTAATTTTTTAAAAAAAAAAATAATAATAATCTCATTTAATTTTTTTTTATTTGAATCAGCAAGTAGCAATAGCAACTACAAACTCTTCAATAGCCAATATGGTCCCTGAAATAAACTGAGATATGTATGTAAAATGAATAATATTACGGGGGCTGTTCTGTGCGAGTTGTTTGTACCACATATTTTTGGGAGAAATGCGTTTGGCGGGTATGCTTCCTTATTATTGCGAACTGAGACACAAAACTCAGGTAGACGAACTAAGACCCGTCTTGGGAAATTTCAAAAACAAAACAGAATTCTTCTCATTATTTTTTGATTAAGAACATTTCAAGATTGGAAAAAAGCCTACTTAAACAATTTTGATCATTTTTATAGACAGTAGGGACTGATAACCCTTATATTGCTTGTCCGTTTAGATACATAGCCCAAGTAGCAAAATTGATTTTACATGAAATCATGAATATTATTTTTTTATTTTTTATTTTTTTAAGAAAATTTGGATTTTTTATTTTATTATTTTTTTATTTTTTTAATTTTATTATTTTTTTTTTTTTTGGGAGATCGAAAGTGCGAGAGAGAGGTGGACAATAAAGAGGGATACATCTTATTGATCTGACGGGCAAATAAAAATGATAAAATAAAATCTCCCACACCCTTGTTTTTTTTTTATTTTTATAAATCTATATTTTACAATTTGAATTATCTTTTTTAATAGTAGTGTCCTTTCAACCCTTGCTTTGACTACCAACCCCCATTTAGCCAATACACGAATTAACTACTTGAGGCTATAATTAGAAAATCAGCTTTGACGATCCCATATCTGTTCAACACACGACTTTTTGAGATCAAAGGGTACTTGCTAAATATATCTTGGAATTACATACAATTTTTTACATCAAAATATATACAAGGGTGATTGACTATCCCTCTTCATGTCAGGAGTTGATCAATGTCTAATCGTAGTGAATATACAACTCATAAACGACAGAAGTCGTCAGCACTGAATATTGGCTATTACATACCACAAGAGCAACAACAACCAACAACCTCGTCAAATCGGTCAGATCAAAGCCATTCTGGTTATGCAGCCGAGCAATATTCAACATTTAAACATACACCAACTTTGCCACCGGTACCTTCATCATCATCAGCCCCACCGTCGGCAACATCTCACCACACCCATCTACCTAATGATGATCCGCCGACTTCACAATCATTGCATACTTCACCTTTGAAGAGGACAGCGTCGTCTGAATTGGACCCTGCAATGCGGGTAGCCTCCCCTCCAAGTGCATATTATTATCAACCGACTTCACATATATCTTATAATGATCCTTCTACCTTGCATCAACAACAAATACCCCAGCCATTATTTTCAACTGGTAATATGCCAATATCAAGCACTTTTGCATTTAATCCAACTCAACCATTAGCATCATCTTCTTCCAATTACGCGTCTCCGTTCGAATCCAATTTATATTCAAATTTCAAACTACCTGAATTCACATCCAATATGTCAACATCATCTGCACCTTCAACTTCATCATTGTCTGCCACAGGTGGTAAACAATCTTATCTCATTCCTTCTGGTTCTGCATCTGCTAACGCGTTGGCCCTAAAGCAACATCATCATCAACAACAACAACAGCAGCAACAGCAACAACAACATCTGAAGAATAATTTGTCGATATCATCCCATTTCAATCTAGTTAGCTTACATTCGCCACATCCATCAATTTCCGCAACAATTCCAGAAGAATCATTAAAGAAACCAATTCAATTAAGCACAGGATCGACTCCCAACTTAGGCAAAGATTCCAGTACTATTATAAATGATCTCTTGGTTAATTTGACTACTGTTGATGGATCGAGTATTAATAATTACTTATTATCAATTCTATATAAGTTGAATATGCCATTACCAATTGATGATTTTTATAATTGTTTATACAATCATGATAGATTACGATCTTTACTTGATATAAATTATCAAGAGAAACTAGACAAGACTTTGGTATCGACATCCAATATTGAACTTAGTATAAATTCAATTAATCAAATCTTAAATATCTTTAAAACTCCAAGTATATTATCAGAATATTTTCCTGATTTAGATGAAGAAGAAAATAAATTAATGAATATAAATTATCATGAATTATTAAGAACTTTTTTAGCTATTAAGATATTATATGATATTTTGATTCAATTGCCATTATCTGCTCAAGAAGATCCTCAGAATTATACAATCCCTAGATTATCCATATACAAAACTTATTTTATAATTTGTCAAAAGCTAATTTGCAACTATCCAAGTAATTCAAATACATTAAACGAACAACAGAAATTGATATTAGGTCAATCTAAACTAGGTAAATTGATTAAACTAGTATATCCGAACCTATTGATTAAAAGATTGGGAAGTAGAGGTGAATCCAAATATAATTATTTAGGTGTGGTATGGAATGAAAATATAATTAATGACAATATCAAGAAATTATGTGATGAAAATGAATTAAATGACTTAAATGATTTATTCAGTAGTGAAAACCTCAGACATTCAAATATTTCAAGAAGAGGAAGTCATAGAAGAACTTCATCAAAACATAAATCCATATCAGATGATACTTCACTTCTACAACCTACAATTCAATCTATGACCGCTGCTGCTAGACAACCAACACATATACCACCTTCCCTTCCACCGCCACCCATAACTAGATTCGAGAATCCAGTTATCCCACCCAGATTATCATTCGTAACTCCATTCCTTAAATTCCCGCCAGTTGAAGAATTCACGATATTGAATAAAGAAAATTGGTTCAATCAAATATTATATTCTACATATGCCAAATATCCTATATTCAATCAAGGTTTGATTCAACAGATATTCTTATCGAATGAAAACTTATTGACTAATTCAAGTTTGTTGAGCAATTTCTTCGATTCGTTGATCAAACCATTGTTAAATCAAGATATACCCAATTTAGACACATGTTTATATTTGGTTGTCATACTTGAAATCATGCCGGTTTTATTATTAATAGATTCAGATGTTGATATTAATTTGTTGAAGAATTTGAGATTAAATTTAGTTTTTTTGATTAATAATTTTAATTCAGAATTGAAGAAATTAAATACTGATAAGTTCCCATTATCCAATTCTACAATATTTGTGATTATGATAAAGAAGGTGATTAATTTAAGTGATTTATTAATTACTTTTATAAAATTATTAAATAATAAGAAATCAATGATGGCTCAAGATATTGAAAATTTCTTCAAACCAACCACCCGTGCCATTCAACAACAACAGCTAAAACATGAACAACTGGCTGGTTTGGATTCTTCAGAACAAGAAGGGTTTTTCAATTTTGGTAATTTCCAAGATTTCAGTTTTAGTTTTAGGAATGATATACTTTCAAACGATCTAGTATATTCCTTAATTGGATATAATTATGATCCAGTCACAAACAAACAACTAACTGGCTCGATCCCAATGACATACATAAATGAAGAAATCAACTTCCTTGATGAATTCTTCAGAGTTGACTTGTTAACATTTTTAAATTCATCTGCTCCCCAATCTCCTGTTGAATCCGAAGAATCAAAAGAAGGTCCAGTATTATCAGAGACTGAATTATCGAGATTAGTTCAATTATTCAAATTGATACATGAGAAGTTATTAGACTCGGTATATAAGACAAAATATCCAATTATGGTATATAACAACTACATTACTTATATTTTGAATGATATTCTCAAGTATATCTTCTTGAAACAACAACAACAGCTGCAATCATCTCATATGTCTGAAGAATCGAATGGGAATAACAATAGTAGTTTTGGAAATTGGTGGGTTTTCAATTCTTTTGTTCAAGAATATATGAGTTTATTAGGTGAAGTTGTGGGCTTACATGATTCAGTTTAGAAAGTTTAGAAAGGTGTTTTTTTATTTTATTTTAGAAAATGTTAAATGTATTGTGTTTTTTTGTTTTGTTAGCTTTTGTTAATTATTATTTGTTTAATATTTATTTGGTTTCCGTTTATGTTGTTTGTTTGTTTGTTTTTGCTGCTTGATATTATTTTCGTGCATTAATTATAATTATTACATTTGTTTTAATTCTTTCGGCCTAATACAAAATTTCATTTTATTTGAAGTATTTAGCATTCCTTTTATACCCTTTTATTAATAATCTTCTTATAAATATTACGCGCTTTTATGTTTGAAAGATATCACTGTAATTATGGTTTTCCTTTGATCTCAAAACTTGGTGGGTGCAAAAAAAATAGTTTCTCGAGACAATGGTTGCGAAGTCAAATTCACCAATTGTAAACAAAGAACCTACCGAACCGAAATGACATTACTTAGTAACCGAAATGCAATATGTAATAAGTTGCAAACCTCAGGGTTACTGAAAAATCTTTCATAAAAAATTGATGTAACAGACCTTATTTGTAGGAATGGTTTGGAAACTCGGTTGAATTGGCAACCATGCGTACTTCAGCTAAAACCGAAACCAGTCGGTTGGAAGCTGAGAAGCTTATGGCAGTGTTTTATTATGCAGTGAGTAAAGCGTGTTAATACAGCAGTAACAATTTGCGTCTTCCAAGTCCGATCGCTCCAGACTCCATGTCACAAAGAATAATTTGCAGGAGTTATCGGTAAAGTAATTTCAGCTAAGCACTAGAGCCATTCAAAATACAGGCTCGAACCCAAATAGGAATTCTTTTCACATATCTATGCCGCTAAAAACTACTAGGTTTATGAAATCCTGAAATAGGTTTTCCATATTTAGAAGAAGTATTTGCGCGTGGTTGTTTGTTTAATTCATCTTCGGAAACTATTTTGATTCCAAGTTGCATCTGTCTTTGTATGCAAATATGTTACAAAAATGTCATAAAATGAGATTTCATGGGGTTACTATTGTTTCCCGAACTTTCTAGCTCACAAATTTATTGACACCATTCTAAACGGCAGACACTTAATTGGATATTTGCCTTTTTACTTTTTAGCCATTTCGACCAGTTTGAGCAGCATGTCAATTCCAACTGTTTCCAACCCCACATGGCACCGCCGAAATGAAAAAATCCGGTCGGGATCACGTGACAGAAACGTTTGTCATATTTCCGGTCGATGGGCGCTTTGTGCGTCAATACCAAAATTTTTCCCCTACAATTAACATTCGATGAGATTCACATTGCATCATCTCCACCATTCATATCCTTCATAGAATTCTATAGACAACACTTAGAAAATGCATGGCCGTTCTCAGAATACTATAAAGCTAATAGCAGGAAATTCACATCCTGAATTATGTGACGCCATAGCCGCAAAACTCGGTATAACAGTTGCTAGAGTCAAAGCATTCCAATACACCAACCAAGAAACAGCCGTCGCCGTAGGAGAATCAGTACGTGATGAAGACGTCTATATAATCCAAACTGGATGTGGTGAAGATAGCATAAATGATTTCTTAATGGAATTGTTAATCACCATAAATGCCTGTCGTGTCGCCAGTGCCAGAAGAATCACGGCCGTGATCCCCACGTTCCCCTATGCTAGACAAGATAAGAAAGATAAATCTCGTGCTCCAATTACTGCCAAATTGATTGCTAATTTGTTACAAACTGCAGGATGTGATCATGTGATTACTATGGATTTGCATGCTTCTCAAATCCAAGGGTTTTTCCGTGCTCCTGTGGATAATTTATATGCTGAACCTTTGGTATTGAGATATATTAGGGAGCATTATGATAAGAATGAAATAATTATGGTTTCACCTGATGCTGGTGGTGCTAAGAGAGTAGCCTCATTAGCTGATAAATTAGATATCCAGTTTGCTTTAATCCATAAGGAAAGACAAAAAGCCAATGAAATCTCGAGAATGGTGTTAGTTGGGGATGTAACTGATAAAATTTGTTTGTTGATTGATGATATGGCAGACACTTGCGGTACTTTAACCAAGGCCGCGGATATCTTATTAGATCACAATGCTAAGAAAGTTGTATGTATGGTTACCCATGGTATATTTTCTGGTAATGCCATTGAACGATTAAACAAATCAAAATTGGATAAGGTCATATGTACAAATTCATTACCAATTCAAGAAAAGGTTGATCAATGTAAGAAATTAGAAGTGATGGATATTGCTCCAACTTTAGCAGAAGCAATTAGAAGATTGCATAATGGTGAAAGTGTTAGCTATTTATTTACCTACGTTCCCGAATAATTAATGTATATAATAAAAATAACAATAAAATCAAACTTGAAATCAAAACTTTTGTTGTTCAGCTTCAACCATAAACCAAACGACTCCAATGCTTAATTGGAAAGGATTCTCATCGAGAGAACCAACATTTTCTTCAGTAACTTTATGTTCAGTGATTTTCTTAACTCGTCCAATAATCCAATCTTTGTCCTTTACCAAACCTTGATCATGCACATATAAAAAGTAGTGAGGTGCCCCAATATTAAATGCTGCCCATGGTTGTTTCAGTGACTCCTCAACTGGCAGCTTATCACCATTGACCCGATCGATTCTAGTAGGCAAGAATAATACCAAGTCGTTTTCTTGAAACCCGTTCATTGTCAATTTGGAATTCAATTTATGCATCATCTTCTTTAATTCAGACTCTTTGATCTTGCTTTCTTTTGTTTGTCTCTTTGCAAATCCTTCAACGTCTCTAAATCTTTTCGTGATGGCATTCAAGAAGAATCGTGTTGTACTGGAGCCATCTTCCTGTAAAGATACATTATCTCTAAATTCAATAACTTTGACAAAGTGGTCAAACTTTGAATCTTGTTTAAACATCTTGTTGAAAGTAGAGATAAGTTCATTTGATTGTTCGAGGGATTTACTCTCTCCAGCTTCGCTGCTAAATGATTCAGCAGTTGCGGGAATAAGCGAGTTGATGGATGGTATATCTTCAATCCAATTCATAATCGCTTCAATATCATCCACGGCTTTTGAATTTGGATGATTCAATGATATTAAAGATTCATTTTCTTCCCCCTTTCTGGTACGCAAGCCCTTCACACGTCTTATCTTAAAGCAATCATTCTCTTTCACTAACAATAATCCCATCGACTCCAATACTAAACAATATTCAATGAAATACGCAAATATGCATTCGACCAATTTCTTAATGTCATTCATCAAATTAACAATCACATTATTTAAATCCACAATCAAACAATCGTATTTCTTTTGCTTACCACTTGTCAATTCCAATAAATCTTCATAATCTTCATGTAAATCGTCTAATTTGGTTTGAAGGTTCTTGATTTCAACATCTAGACTATGTCTTTCTTTGCTGAATTCAGATTCCTTTGAAGACATATTTGATAGCAATTCGTTCTTCATATGAATGGCATCATTCAATTCATTCCGAAGACTGACTATAGTTTTATTCAAGTCTGTTACCTCTTTTGATAAATTACTATTAGTCTCGGTGAAATTATTAATCTTATCTTGCAATTCACTAATTTGTCCATCCCTTTGATCAATCTTTTTATTCAAATTATCAAATTCCTTAGAATCTAATCTATGATCCAATTTAAATAATCTAAAATCTTCTTCCAACCTCAGATATTTCTTATCCCATTCTTCATGTTCTTGTATATGGTCCGATTTTAATCTGTCAATCTCACGACGTAATTCTTCAATTGTCTCATTCTTGGATTTATTTTCCCGCAACAATTCGTCATTCTTACTTGTCAATTCTGCATTTAATTTCTTGAGTCGAATATTGTCCAAATGTTTATCAATCCCCGAGGTATCTATTGTTCCATGGGACGAGGAAGATGACACATTATTCAGGATAACGTTATTCCCTGGCGTTTGTCCCAGAACCAGTCCCTTGCGTTCCAACAATAATGTAGGATTCATTTTCTGGGCAGATGGAGCTGGAGCAGGGGACAATTGCTTCTGTTCAATGATCATACTCATCCTATCTCCAGCGACACCATTCATACGACTCATCCCTCCAGTACCTCCAGTAGCACCACCATTCCTAGTCACTGGCCAACTCGTTATATTCTTGTATTGCTGTTGATGTAATAAGTTTTCCAACTTCTTGATACGGGATTTTAGACCCCTGACTAAATTCAAATCAATATCAAGATCTTCTTCATCATCTTCTTTGAGATCACCACCAGTCAAAATTTTCAGTTTTTCTTCATTGGAGATCGATGTGAATACAGAAAGTGATGAAACTAATTTCGTGATCTTTTTCATATTGTTGGTTGACTTCATCATATCTTTGAAATTCTTATTCAATAACTCGGGGAAGCTTTTACTTACCAGGGATTTCTCCAATAAGTTGATGTAGTTCACGATATCATCTCTCTCGATTTCTAGATCATATAAAATACTAAAATCAGACTGATGGGGTCCATGTACAGTCACATCAATATTAGGTAGTGATGTCGTAATGGGTTGTTCTTGATCTTTGGGGTTTAATAACATTATGAAATGTCCGAATTTTTTGATCCAAATACTCCTAAAGAGTTTTTCATGATCGATGATTGTTGATAATTGTTCAGAAACATTGTTGACTATTCCTTTGGAATAGAAATCATACCATTCAAATTGTCTTCTTTTTTCGATTAACAAAAATCCAAAAAGGAGGGGTAAATCAATAGTTAATGAAAGGTAATCCTCGTACTTTTTTACCTTATTGATAGTTTCATAGTTGATTACTTCCTCTGTAGTTGGCTTTTCACCCGCGTCCATTAAACTTCTAATATCAGACTTGACACTAACCATTGTCATTTGAAGATTAGCGATCTTATTAAATATTTGTAAACTGTTTTCAATTAACTTATCCTTAAATGCTCTTAATTCTTGAGCATAATTAAACAATTTGCTTGCACCTTCGAAGATCTTTCTGGAATATTCATCTTGGTGCAATTTATATATTCCTCTCAAATCAGCTTTGTTATCCGCGGAAAGTTTATGAATATCATTGGATATTGATTTGGTGGCTTGTTGGACATCATTGACTAACTCATTGACATTCACATCTTTAAAATGAGTGATGGAATCATTTCTTGACGTTTCGATAAATTTATCAACTGTCAATTTTTCTTCACCAGCCTGATTTATAAGTTCTCCCAAGTCATTGAACTTCTTAACAATCAAAGGTAAATTTTGTTCAATATATCTTGAACAATCATTCAATTGGTTATAGTTTAAGAAATCGACTATCTTAATTGGTTTATTGTGGATTTTAACTGTCGAAAATTGAGTTTGAAGTGTCTTATAATGGGCCTGCCATGATTTATGTAAAGTCTTAAAATTGATTAACTTGATATAGTTAAAATAGCTATTGAATTGTTTATCAATATCATTAATGAAATTGGTGCAGAATTGGAATATTAATGTTAATGATTTGAAAATGATGTTAATTTGTTTGATTAAATTGCGACAACTTTCGGCTAATTGATTACTGTCTTGGTTCAATGATTTGGCCCAATTAAGGTTCGTTTTTAAGTTACTTGTAAGTTGTTTCAAATTATTATTACCAACAAGGGAAGTCGTTAGAGGGGATACAGTTGGTGGGGTGGATGGTGTATCATGTTGCTTATCCATTGAATAACTTGCCAATATCATTAAGTCTGGATCATTGGCAAATAATCGTTTATCATACACAAAGATCTCATTGATTTCATTAATAAGGTTATAATTCAATTTAATTCCAAATGAAGTCAATAAGAATAAATTATCAGTAGATACATCTTCTTGATTGTTAACTAGTGATTGCAATAGGAAAGTCTTAAATTGTGATAAGTTATGGAACCTGACAGGTTTAGGTATTCTAAATGAGTAACCATTATGCGAATTGTATATTATCAAGTATGATATGTCGGTCATTGTCGCCATAGCTGCCAAGTTAAATGCTGGGGTATTACTTTAACTAGAAAGGAAAATGAATGGCAAATTAAATCAAGCTGTGGCGAATCGTAGTCATAAATTTATATAAAACACTCCGTGTAGATATATAATTCCTTTACCAAAATTGTATAAGGAAGCTTCTTATGACTCAAATGACTGGCTTAGTACCCCAAATATATTAATAGTTATGATTTAACAAGGTTGAAAAATTGTGGGGGGGTGACAAAGGTTTTAAGATTTATGATCCTTATAGGAAGGAAATTATTAAGTAGTCGTGTAACCTGACCAAAATTGTATTTCCGTACTCTCTCCCCGGATGACACTAACCATGTCAAAGTTTGTATAATACTTCTTCTTATGACTATAGTAGGACCTCTTGGATAATGATTCATGACTGACTGGTCTGTAGATATAGTTAGCACTGACCTTTTAAAAATATGTAGCCAGTAAATTCATCAGTATACTTATTGCTCATAGAGTTGCCAACTACCAATTCTGTCAGAACTAAGGTGACTTGGAATATTCCTTAAGGTGTAATTAACAAAGTAAGACATTTCCAATTGATGCTAAGGTACTCCTATATTGCAAGCAAGGAGAACCAGAGCATTAAGTAGAAGTTGTGGGAAAGGGGGAATTTGGTTGCAAAACTTGGTTTAGTAGGGTCGTGTATTTGGCTACAAATCAAAAACTTAATAAGCAGGCGGAAAATTCATTCCTGTATATAAGCTCGCTGGTTCTTCTTGTGCAATTTTACACTACTCTCTTTTGGTCCCTCTCTCCATTTCAAGTAAAGGAATCTTCAAACAACTGTGATAAGAAAGGTCAGGGCACTAAGAGTTATATACAATGTTGGACAGTTCATCCCTTGAGGTAATATCACGATTTAAGCAAGCTCTCTTATCTAAACAAGAACAAGAGAAACAACAAAAACAGCCATCATCACTGTCACAACACTCTCACCAACAAGAAGAACCATTAATCAAAGAATCATTGCCAACATATAATAGAGGATACAAACTAGATAATAGAGACAGCTCAGATAGTTCATACATTCTTAACCCGAAAGTGGTTGAATATGAAAATAAACAACATTTGGTCTTAACCAATGAAGCAATAGAACGAGGTAATAATAAAAATAAAAGAAGATGGATACAAACATTTATACCACCCCAAGATCGAGAACAACTGGAAGATGACCAATTCACTTCAGAAAGTGACGATGATAACGATTCATCGGATGATGAGCATCCACTTAAAAGATTAAAATTAACCGAAATTTTAGCTCCTTTGAATCATCCTTCTGAAATAATCACTCATCCAGCAATTGGAAAAACTTATAAACTGCCAGTTTTTAATAAATTAGCATTAGAATTGATTGAATTGATTGAAGTTGAACAAAATAATTTAAATTGGTTGAATAAATTATTACAAGTTTTGAATGGAGAAGATTGGTTTTATTTATTGGATGAAAATATTGGATTGAAAGAATATGATCATGGATTGGATGAAGAAAAGACAGCTGCTATACAAGCTAAATTGACAGCAGCTGCAGCTTCAGCGGCTGCTACTACCACAACTGAGGAAGCAAAAGCAAAGACGAAGTCGGCTACTCCTGTGTCAACTACCCAAGCTGTTGAAACTGCTAATTCATCCCAAACGAATACTGTCTCTCCAGCACCACCTCCAACTACTGCTAATGAAGACGAAGCTATCAACTCTGCAAAGAAGGATAGCACACCCGTAGTATCTTCGGCACCGACTGAAAAAGAGGCAACTGTTGGCTCGTCGGGTGCCGTAGAAGAACCTAAACAAGAAACCCCTGAGTCTGATACTGAATCCGTCACTGATCCCTTCTTTGCCCTTCCAGAAGCACTTCGTCGTTATGAATTATTTCAACAACAATTAACTGATCCTAATGATAAACTAGCCAACCTTAAAGAAGACTTGATTAATTATCTTCAAGTGAGCATCCAGAGACAACATGAATACATCAAAAATTTAACGAATTTAAGAAATGGTATTGTAAGAGCTGAAAGATTAAAGAAGGATTTATATAAATGGGGGAAAGAAATGCATGATAAAAAGAGTAGTTAGGTTTTTCATTGTTTCATCTTTTGTATTATAATTATTATATATATATATTACTAAAAAACACAATTTCTATATTACACATCATTTATTCGTCTTCATCGAATTTTGGAGCCAAGTAGAATCTTAAATAACCACCAACATCCAATTTATATTCGAATAAAGCAGGAGTTTTATCAGCTAATTTGATAGTAATAGTACCTGATAAATTAGTAGCTTTAATAATATCATTTAAATATTTCAAACCAAAAGTTAAATCAACTGGGTTATCCAAATGAACATTCACACTTTCTTCAGGTCTATCCATATCAGTGTATGGCTTTAAAACAACGGATCCAGATCCGGATTCACCTTCAGAAGAGAACTTAACAGAATCTTTAGTAACAACGATATTTAAAGATTCACTTAAATTTTTTAAATCACGAACAATTTTAGCAAATTCTGAACTTGGCATATTCACAACAGTATCATATTCCATATCATCAATCTTTAAAAATTCAGAATCAATATTCATCAATTTTAAAGTATATTCACTAATTCTATCTTTCTTCTTATCTTCAAAAACAGTTGTTACACTATCTGGAGAATCATCAGCCATTATAGTTAAATAATCTTCATTATTACCACATTTAATAATCTTGGAAAAGCTTTCTAAATCAATACCTAAAGTAACATCTCTATCACATCTATATTCAGAAAATGCAGTTTGACCAACTAATAAAGATACCAAAAGGACACGAGAATCATCAACAGCTTGGACAGTGATACCGTGTTCAGTACAATTGAAGTTACATAATTTGACACTATCTTTAATAGCATCAACAATCTTTTTTAATAATGTGGATTCGTCGAATTTACCTTCAAGCATTGTGTTTTATATTGTGTTTTTATAGGAATTGGTGTATAGGGTTAATGGAAAGGAAGAAAAGAAAGAAGCAATCGAAGTAAAATTTTTTGGGAGAGGAATTAATTAATGATTTTATAAATTTTCGTTTTCCTTCGGTGGAACAAAAAAATAAAATTTTACGCGTCTCTGATATATTTACGCGTTTTTCATAATTCATTCTTATGAGTTGAATTACAATTACATTGCGATGAGTCAGTATTAATTGGACTAGATCTGTATGGCGAAATCACTACTCATGTTATTTTCTTTTCTTGATGAAACTGCATGAATACTTCAAATGATAGTATTGATTTTTGTTACGATATCCCAGTGCAAACATCACCGTTGAAGTTCCCATTAGGCTCTCCCCAAATTGTCTACATCTTCATTATCATTGAACACCCAAGTCGCTTCTCTTCCCAATTTCTCTATCACCACCATGGAAGCTCCCCGCAGATTCCCCATTGCCACCTTTGAAACTTCCAACCTCTCCGTCCCTCTCCGTTGCCATAATTAATATCCTATACAAAATTCTACATAAAATACAATCTCCACCACTGAACTTCATATCAATTCTTCCTTCACCACCATTGAGATACCCACCAAGATGTCCATAAATGATTCGTCACCCCGATTCCACATCAAATTCTTTCCAAATTCTAGATCAAGTAAAACTTTCTTCCATTGAACCCAGATAAAATCCATTCACACAAACTAACCATTGGTCAGGTGGCTAATTCAGTATGAAGAATTAACCTGAGTCTTGAAATCCAATGAAGCTCTCTCCAAATTGTCTAGCTCCAACTTTTCATTTCCATGATTGGTTTATGATTTGATATAAGGATGGTTGAAATGTGGTTGTCTCAGAAAGAATGGAAGCTTTAATCCCCCAGATGACCAACCTAGATCAAGTCAGACCTTCTTCCCTAGAAATCAGATAAAAAGTCCATCACACACAAACCAACCATTGGTCAGGTGGCTAATTCAGTATGAAAGGATTAATTATACCGATCTAAGGAAATCCAATCAAAACTTTCTCCAAATTGTCTGGCACTGATATTTCTTCTTAGTTTTTTTGAATTCTTTTTGGGGATTTTTATGATAATGGATAGAAATTAACTTTTTAATGTGATAATAGTAGTATCATGCTTTGGTTCGGTGATAATGGAATAAGTCATTTTGATGGTCGTTGGAAGAAGTTGAAGTTTGCTTTTGTGGTTGTTGTTGTTTTTGTTTTCAAAATCAGTTGTTGTTGAGGATTTAAAATCGTGATAGGAAGAAAGATATTTGATAACTAGCCTCTAGGAGGTGCTTGGGTTGTGGGCGAAGGAGGACCAGTAGTATTGGGATGTAGCTTCAAGGAGTTTCAATTTCGTTTCAGTATTTTTGATTGATTTCATTTCTGTGGTTTAAATTGGTCTCTCTCATTTCCCCTAAATAGAATAATTCTTTGAACATTCAAAGATGCAATGGACTTTACTAGATTGATGAGATTAATGATATTGTCAATTGGATATATATTATTGTTAATTGGATATACATTATAAATTATTGGATTTCTTTGTGAAATGTAAAGGAAGAAAGAAGGATAAATTTAAATTGTAAATTTTTTTCGCAATCTTGGCGTCTAGGTATATTGCTGCAAATTTTCTACTGTAAGCATTCTATACAAACATAAACCACAAACTAAAAAAAAGGTCTAGACCCTTATCGGCCCTATCTTAATTGACATAGAAGGAGTTTACATATGTTTCTAAGTATATCTATTTGAAGTAATTCTGATTACACTCGGCAATGATTAAAACAATTGTTTTAGCAGACTTAATCTAACAGCCAAAGGTCTAGCAAACTTTGGAGGAGTACCAAGATTTCGATACTATGGGCTAATAAAAGTCAATAACTCATACAGTCTAATTGAAACTATGAGGTAAGGTAGAATGTTACCATACTCAGACACCTTCAGCCATCTGTTTTCACTTGGGTTACTTGGCAATGCTTATAGCTGATTGAATATGACACCATTCTCTCTTCGTAGCTTTTCCCATACCGCAATATATTCTGCTTCAGCACCCAGATAACGCGACGAATTGTTGGACAACACGTAGAGAAGGACTTCAGGTAGATCCGCTGATTTATTTGTCCACCATCTTTCTAACCGTCTCTTAGAATTTCAAACTGCGCTCTTCGGTGGTTGATATTTTGACCATGCTTGCAGGTCATCTGGACTCAGGAGGTTTCGCAGGACAAGAAAATGGAGTTTTGCAAACCAATTCTTTTCAGCGAGACAAGTTAATCCAACTCACTAGACTCAAGACTCCTCTAACCATTTAGATTGTTAATTGGGAGAGTCATATAACCTATTGGGGGCATATGCAACGCGGCTGCTTATCTATATCTTCCACGTGTGAATTGAACATTTTTTGTTTTGAAATTTTCTTCATGCCAACGGTACTTTCTCTATATGCTTTTGTCGCAGCAGATTAGGCAGCTGCAGCCCTCGCTTCATCATATTCGGTGAGTTGCTACTCTGACGCGTTCCAGGTATGGGTTACGTTCCCACATAGGGGATGAATGGTATTTCACAAAGAAACTGTTTCGTATATTCCAAAAAATATAATTATGTACATTTGAATGCTGATTTATACAATTGGTGGCAAAAATGCAATTCTTTTATGAGATCTTTCACTCAAAGGTAAAATCAATCTATAAGCATCATGAGTATTTAAATAATATCGATATAATCTCTTCGTTCTCAAGAAACCAAAACTTTCATATAAATTCAAAGCCCCTTGATTAATAACTTCAGTTTCTAACATCATTTCATCAACACCATCAATTTTCATATGTTCAATTGTTAATTTAACTAAATTTCTTGCAATTCCCATTTTTCGATATTGTGGATCTATTACTAACATACCAATATATCCTCTCATACGAACTTCTCGATGAGGTTCTAATTTAGATATTATAACTCCGATTATTATTTCTGAGTTTTGCTTTTTCACTGTATAACAATATTGAGGCCAATTGTTTAAGAAATACCAATAAACATAGATTGAATAAGGTTCTGATAAATGTTTTGATATCAATTGTGAGATTTGTTTGAATTCATCTTGATTATTGATGTCAAATTGATAATATGAAATATCATTGATTGTAGTTAGAAGTAGACTCATTTGACTATATGCTAATTGATAGTGTATATGCTATTAAAAAGGGTGTACAATATAGTTTATGGGTTGGTACACATTAGCGCATGAGAGAGGGATGGGTCTCCTGATGAATTTGGTTTTATTTTTTTTTTCATGATGTTACAACTGGTGAACGGTGTGAAAGTGAAACAATAATAACGTTGTATTTAGACACACACATATTTCCGTTAACCGTTAAATCACATGTTGTCATTTTGACACATGTGGGACCCTTTACTAAGAATCAAATCTTTTTTAGAATCAATTAATAAACAATTGAGAAACAGGATATGCAGTGAAGTGGGAGTTTAGAGTTGCAAGTCATGTGATACTGTCCCTCGGAAACGTTCGTCCAGTGAACATCCAATCTTCAATATTCAGGCGAGCGGATTTTAAAAAAAATTGTTAGCGAAGCGAGAACAACAGTAGCCCGGCGCCCTTCGGAATGATGCTATTACCAGCCAACAAAACGAACAAACAAAACGGTAGACATTGTACAATTAATTAAATGAGACCACATAAAAACATAACCCCGGTTTTCATTGGGTTTTTAAGAAAGGAAGCATGTCCCGAGAATGTATACTTGGTTAATTAATTAATTGAATTAATTTAAATATCCAATCAATTGATTATATTTTGTAACCAAAAAAAAAGGTTTAGATGTCGTCATAGAAATTATTGATTTGTAGCAATGTTGTATTACTCATGTAGTATGATGATGATGGAATGAAATTTGTGTTTGATTAGAATTTGTTAGAAGATAGCAAAAGAAAGAAAATGTAATCCCGGATGAATGTTGCCCTTTCGGAGTTTTTTCAAATTTTAATTTTGTACTACGAAATTATTTTTTCAAGTTTTACTTACACTGCTGATGGTTCTATTTAATAATAAAATAAATTTTCGAAAATGAGGAGGGAATTCCGTTGATCCTCTCTCTTCCCCCCTGTCTCTCATTCTCTTGGTTAGTTTATATAAATATCAATTGATATCCCCTTAACCTTTTTTCAAATATTTCAATTGAATTTTTTTTCTTCTTCTTTTCTCTTCTCTTCTTTCTCTATCCAATTAATATCCTTTTAATTAATTAATATTTTACAATGGCTCCTCCAGCAGTTTTATCCAAATCCGGTGTTATCTACGGTCAAGATGTCAAAGATTTATTTGACTATGCTCAAGCAAAAGGTTTCGCTATCCCAGCTATTAACGTCACCTCTTCTTCCACTGTTGTTGCTGCTTTAGAAGCTGCTAGAGACAACAAGTCCCCAATCATCTTACAAACTTCTCAAGGTGGTGCTGCTTATTTTGCTGGTAAGGGTGTTTCTAACACTGATCAAAAGGCCTCAATTGCTGGTTCTATTGCTGCTGCTCATTATATCAGATCCATTGCTCCAACTTATGGTATTCCAGTTGTTTTACATACTGATCATTGTGCTAAGAAATTATTACAATGGTTTGATGGTATGTTGGAAGCTGATGAAGAATTCTTTGCCAAGAATGGTACTCCATTATTTTCTTCTCATATGTTGGATCTTTCTGAAGAATCCGATGACGAAAATATTGCTACTTGTGTCAAGTATTTCCAAAGAATGGCCAAGATGAACCAATGGTTAGAAATGGAAATTGGTATCACTGGTGGTGAAGAAGATGGTGTTAACAATGAAAATGTTGACAAAGATGCTCTTTATACTTCTCCAGAAACCGTTTTCAAGGTTCATGAAGCTTTAGCTCCAATCTCTCCAAGTTTCTCCATTGCTGCTGCTTTTGGTAACGTTCATGGTGTTTACAAGCCAGGTAATGTTCAATTAAGACCATCTATTTTAGGTGATCACCAAAAGTATGCTCAAGCCAAGATTGGTTCTGCTTCTAAGCACCCATTATACTTGGTTTTCCATGGTGGTTCCGGTTCTACTCAAGAAGAATTTGACACTGCTATCAAGAATGGTGTTGTTAAGGTTAACTTAGATACCGATTGTCAATATGCTTACTTAGCTGGTATTAGAGATTATGTTGTTAAGAAGATTGATTACTTGAAGACTCAAGTTGGTAACCCAGAAGGTGAAGATAAACCAAACAAGAAATACTTTGACCCAAGAGTTTGGGTTAGAGAAGGTGAAAAGACTATGTCTGCTAGAATCGCTGAAGCTTTGGAAATCTTCCACACTAAGAACCAATTGTAAATGAAAAAATAAAAATAAAAATATATGAAGTACTTTTTAAATGGATATAGATTGTATGGTTATTTGTAATGACTAAAAATAAATAAATAGTTAATGTAATAAGTGATGTAGATCCCCGTTAGATCCTCTAATGAATCACCCTGCAGCAACATCTGATTTACGTGATGTGCTCGTTAATTCCATCTTCCAGTTCTTCTCAGGCCACGCTTCATAAGGCTTAAGTTCGTTTCTGAACTCGCTCTTCCGTCCGCTTTTAAGTCCTTCCTAGTAGAAACTGAGAGATATTTTCATTGCCTACCCCGGGGCTATCCTTTAAAATCAAACAGTCTCTCTTTTTATTAAAAACGCTCTAATGTACAACTAAATACAAGTATATAAATATATCCAATGCATGCTCCTCTCCTTTATACATCTCTTCCTTCGCCCCCTCTCTCAGTTTCCTCCATTACTACTACCATTACCCAGAATCACATTCTTAACATATTGATAATCCGGCATACTCGAATTCGGATCCATTCTCATTTTTTGAAATTTATCACCCACGATATAATTCGCCTTTAAATATTTCACAATACATCTATCTATACATTCAGTTTCACCTTTTGATAATTCTCCTTCTCCATAATGATGAACTAAACATTTTTCACTACATTTTTTCAATAATTTATTGAATGTATGGGCGGTGGCTGTGAATTGTATTTCTGCTAATTGGATTTTTTGGGGGTCGACTGTTGCGTATGAGTATTGACTTGTTTGTCCTAGGAAGAGCGACATCGTAATATGTTGTGTGTATATATGCTTATATAGGGAGTTGACTTACCTTAATGAATTGTGGTTGTGGAGATGTTGGAAAGATTTTTTTTTCCACTGAGTGACTGACCACCAGCAGAGCCAAACTGAGAAGAGATTGCTACTGTGTATGAAAATTTCACATACAAAACCTCCCACTCCTTCTTTCCCAACCCCCCACCACACATCAATTATAACACACACATTCATACACAATGCACGTATTATTAACCAACGACGACGGACCCCTCAACGACAACCACTGTCCCTACATGAAATACCTCGTCGACGAAATCACTACCAACACAAATTGGGACCTTTCAATCGTCATCCCCGACCAACAACGGTCTTGGATCGGAAAAGCCCATTTCGCGGGCAAGAAATTAGCCGCAAGTTATATCTATACCCAGCCATCCACTTCTCAACCCAATGATAAGATAAATTCCTACGAGGGACCATTTATGCGTCCTGAACCTAAGTATCATCAAAAGGAATGGCAAGAATGGTGTTTGATCAATAGTACCCCGGCTGCATGTGCTGATATTGGTATTCATCATCTCTATAGCCATTCGAAAAATAAGCCGGTTGATTTAGTCATCAGTGGGCCTAATTTTGGTAAGAATTCTAGTAATTTGTACATTTTGGCCAGTGGGACTGTTGGAGCGGCAATGGAGGCGGTCACGCATGGAGTGAAGGCGATTGCATTGAGTTATGCTTTTAATAATATGGATCATGATTATTGGATCCTAAAAGAGGCAGCTAAGATATCGGTGAAATTGATTGAAAAATTATATTTGGAGTTGAAGAAGAATGAAGAGATTGATATGTTTTCTATCAATGTTCCATTGGTTGATAGTTTGAAATTAGGCAGGACGAAGATTCATTATGCCCCGATTTTCAAGAATACTTGGAGGTCGATATATAGTCCCTTGCCGGAACCTAATCATAAAGGACAATTGGAATTTCTGTGGACTCCGGATTTTAAACAGGTTTATAAAGATGGATTGGAGGATTTTAGTCATAGTGATAGTAGAGTGTTGTTGGATGAGGGGATTAGTGTAACTCCTTTAAAGGCTGCTTTTAGGTTTATTGAACCGTTAAGTGGAGAAATTACTTTGACTGATGAGGAGGAAGAATCGGAAGAACAAGTTAATAGCAGTAGCAAAGAAAAGAATAACAAAACCTTTGCAATTACAATTCCTAAAGAATCATACATCTATGAACCATTAGTTTCCCCATTCAAGAAATTAGGATATACAATCACCCAAGCCCTTCCTTCTCCAACTTCCAAAACGAAAATCTTCCATTATGGAGAATATGAAGATATCGACTTAGATCGAATCCATGAAGATTCCAATTACTTTCTCCCATCATATATTTATAGAAAAGCATTAATCAGAAAACATTATCTTGCAAACACTGTACATCATTATGTCACCAAACATCCTGAATCGATTTTGAAAAGGGCTTTGCCGGAGAGTTATCAACTTGAAGTCGATTATGCTGAGTTTTTAGACGATGCATTGGATGATTCGTATGAATTGAGAGATGAGATTGAAGCAGGGGATAGGACTTGGATATTGAAGCCGAGTATGAGTGATAAAGGACAGGGGATTCGTATTTTTAAGACAATTGATCAATTGCAAGAGATTTTTAATTCATTTGAAGAAGAGAGTGATAATGAAGAGGAAGAGGATGAGAATAAGAATGGGATTATTTTATCTCAATTACGTCATTTTATTGTTCAGGAATATAAATCCAATCCACTATTATTAGAAAGTTATCAAAATAAGAAATTCCATTTACGTGTTTATATTGTATGTCAAGGAGATTTGAAAGTATATGTCTATAAGAATATTCTTACATTATTTGCAGATTCACCATATGAGATTCCTGAAGAAGATGAAAATGATGAAATTCCAATGAATGGACATTTAACCAATACATGTTTACAAGAAGATGAAAATCCTTTAGTTGTACCATTTTGGAAATTGAATGATATAACTGAAGAAAATAAGGCTGGGGTATTCAATCAAATTTGTGAAATTACTAAAGAATTATTTATTGCAGCTACAAGTGTTGATAAAATGAATTTTCAACCTTTGGAGAATGCCATTGAAATATTTGGTGTTGATTTCTTAATTAATCTGGATTATAAAGTTAATTTATTAGAAGTTAATTCGTATCCTGATTTTAAACAAACAGGTGATGATTTGAAAGAGATTATTTATGAATTGTTCGCCAGAGTAGCAGAAGAAGTTGTGGACCCAATGATTGAGGGTGTTGTTGAAGAGAAGGATGTTGAAGGTGATAGTAATTTGATCAAAGTATTAAGTCAATAGTGTTCTTTATAGACATTTAATATATTTAATAAAATAAATCAGTCTCGTTGTTTTAAGTAGATTTCACATAGTAACGCGGGTAATGTTGCACCTTTAGTAAACTACAGGTGTGGTGGCGTTGGTCGAGTGCGTTGGATTATGAGTGGTTGCAAAAAAAATTCTAAGTGGGTCGTGTAATATTGTACATTTATCCATTGGTACACTACCGGGTAAGGCATATAAACTTAAATCGTGGAGAATACCGTAAATGAGAGTGACTTGCTAACAAGGATGAGATGTAATAGATAGTAAAAGATTTATATACAAAGAGAGAGAAATAAATTCTTGATCTGCAATTGAGGTTCTAATTGACTAGTTTGATATGAGATCTATGTTTCTTAAAAGTGAAATATTATCTGAGCGTGGTTTTAAGGTTTTACATATTTGATCTGTACAATTACAGAGTAAGTAAATTTCATGTTGTCGAACAAAAAAAAAGGAGAAAAAAAATTTTCTCGCTCATTCTATTCTCTCTATTGTCTTGTGTCTCTCTTCCTCTTTCATTTTTTATTCCATCGACGATCGTTCGATCGATCAACCAGTGCCAAAAAAAAAAAACTTTTCTCACTAAATAGTTCGTGACTTACTACGGACAGCAGGGCGAATGAACCAGGCATAACTTTTTTTTTTTTTTTTTTGAAATTTCTTCTCTTTCTTTCCATTCCTTCTCTCTTCTTCTTCTCTTCTTTCTTCTTTAAGCATTTTATTATTCATTTAAGAAAATCATTTAAAAACAACACAACATTACTAGACCAAAACTACTTTGATAGTCTTTTATAATTGTATTATTTCTTTAAAACTAACAAAAACCATTACTTTGTGAATAAATCATTTTTTTTTTCTTTTTTTTTACAACAATTGAGAGTTTATAAAAAAAATTTTATTCATAAACATATTCCATAAACATCCCATCCCGTCCTCCATATCCAATATAATAATAAATAACAAATCATCATATATACATAATGTCAACACAACGAAAGGCATATAAGAATCAACTGAAAAGATTCAATAGTAATAAGGAAACTACTTCTCCAGAATTATCAAATTTGGTTGAAATGTTTCCTGATTGGGAACAAGATGAATTACAAAGTTTATTATCTGAACATCAAAATTCATTAGAAATCGTTATTGATTTAATTGTTAATAATAAAGTATCCAAATGGGAACCTATTAAAAAGGATAAACATAAAAAGAAGGAACACAACAAAGAAGATGAACTAACTTCTTCAATGACATCATCTACTTCAAGAGATTCTTCAAATTCAAATAAACCTTATAATAAATCAAGAGGCGGTGCTGCATCTTCTTCATCTAGACCTCCAAGAAAACCTTACAACAAAAGAGACAAACCTGCTGCATCTTCGTCTGCTCCAGCTACTGCCGGTTCTATAGCTTCTTCCGCATCCCCTGCCCCACAACAACAACAACAACAACAAGAGACTAACTCTTGGGCATCTGCTTTATCTAACGACAAGCCTGTATTGCATAAGGAAGAACCACAACAAGAGGAACAAGCACAAGAAGTTGAAGAACAAAATGAAGAACCTCAACAAGAAGAACAAGAACAACAACCAGAAGAAACTCAAGAAGAACAACCTGCTGAAGAACAAGAAGAATCAAAGGAAACTGCTGCACCAATAGAACCTAAACCTGTATTAAAACAAGCAGCTATTCCAGTACCAATGCATGGATCTTGGGCTGCTGCAATTGCTCCTCCAAAACCAAAACCAAAGGCTAGAGCTCCACCAAAGGAAAAGCCAGTCGAAGTCGCTCCTCCTGCTCCAGTTCAAGAAGAAGTAGAAGAAGTTGTTTCCGCACCAGTTGAACAAGAAGAAGAAGTTGCTCCAGTTCAAGAAGAAGTTGAACAACAAGAAGAAAAAGTAGAAGAACAACCAGCTGCTCCAGTTACTGCCCCAGAAGTTGTTGAACAACAAGTCCCAGTCGAAGCTGCTGTTGCCTCTTCTGCTCCAATTCAACCTCAAGTTGTTTTACCAACTACTCAACAACAACTCAACTCCGTCGGTATTTCTTTTGGTTCTTTAGCATTAGGTGATGATGAAACTACTGTTGAAGCACCAGCTGCTGCCCCAGTTGAACAAACCAAGGAAGAAGTTGAACAACAACAACAAGCTCAACAAGCCGCCCAACACCAAGCCCAACAACAACAACCTCAACAACAACAACGTTATGGATTATATAACCAACAACAACAAAATAGATATCAACAAAATGTTTACCAACAACAACAAGGTGGTTATAGTAAACAACAACAAGCACAACAAGTCCAACCATCTCAATACGATTACTACAGTCAATTTCAACAACAACAATACCCACAACAAGCTGCTCAAACCTTACCAGGTGCTCAGTTTGCTGGATATCCAGGTATTGATGCTTATAGTGCCTACAATCAACAAGTATTAGGTGGAGTTGCTTCTCCAGCCGCTTCTCATAGTGCTACTTATGGATATGGACAATTTGGTCAACAACAACAACCAGGACAACAACAACCAGGTCAATCTGGTCAACAAGGTCAAACTGCCACTGGTTCTTCTGCTGGTGCCGACTCTCAATCTCCAATTGCCAATCAAACTGCATTACAACAACAACAAGCTGCTGCTGCCGCTGCAGCCTTGCAGCAACAGCAACAAATGCCAACTCCATTTGGATATCCATACTACTACAACTATTACAACACTCCATATTTCGCTGCTGCTCAACAACAAGGTGCTCAAGGTGGTCAACAAGCCCAACAACCCCAACAACAACAAGCCGCTGCTGCTGGATATCAAACCGCTTCTCCACAACAAGCTAATCAACAAACTCAAAGCGCTGTAGCTGCTTCTGCTCAACAAGCCCAACAACCTCAACAACAAGGTCAGAACGGGTTCAGTTCAAGTGTTGGTGGTCAATACTACAACCCATCCCAATTCAATAACAGATATCCGGGATATAGTTATCCTCCACCACCACAAGAAGGTGAAGCACAACAACAAGGACAACAGCAACAAGCTGCTCAAGGACAACAACAGGCTGCTCAAGGACAAGCTGGACAAGCTGGACAACAACCTATTCCTCAACAACCTATGATGCCTCAATATGGTGCCTATCAACAATATCCCCAATATGGTTATCAAGATTCTGCACAATATCGTGCTTGGTATTAGAGATGATATGGGGGTGGTTCTTGATGTTTTAGATAATAAGAAGAACAACAACTATTATATTTAATTTCTTATTACTATTATTATTATTATTATTTTATTATTATTATTATCATGATGTTTTTTATTATTAATTATTATATTACTATTTTGTTGTTATATATAATCTTATATACTACTGGTGTGTTTTCTTTCTTTAGTTATGTGACATTTTTATAAATAGTAATAGGTATAACGTTTATACGATATTAATTTTTATATTGACACGTAGAATACCAATTGTAAGTATGTTAGAGAGAGTCAAAATCTGGGACTGGGCTACGGTGGTGTGGAGCTCTATATGCTTGGTCACCGTTTTTTGGTAGCTCCTCCTTCCTTTGGGAGACTTCACCAAGGATAAAACTATGTATTTGTGTAAATATCCCCATTCTGGAAAATTGAAAGAATATCCAGATTTGTGAACAAAGATTCGAAACTGTGGCTGGTTTTGGTAGATAGCGCATTATCGTGCATGTGGTATTTGAATATTTTTTGAATGTTTAATTGGACTATGGTTGCATAAGAAAAACTAAATTTAGAATAAATTTTGCAACCATATTTTTTTAAATAATTACCGAAAAATTATCTATTTATTATTTAACTAGATTATCAAAATAAGTCAATTATGAATACCAGGTCTTTCATACACGAAACTGTCGTCGATTTTTATAAAAAGGAATCCGTTTCAAAAACGCGATTCAGATAATTTCATGGGTATGATCCATACAGGAAGCCAGTCAGCAATACATTCCTTCTTTTTTTTTCACCGGAATGAAAGAATATGATGACATTTTGGAAGTTATTTTAAACCAAAAGGCGGTTCTCTGAGCTGTTGTTAATAGCGTTAGCAGGTTGTCTTCATAGCTTATACATATGAGTGTATATAAAACGTTTCATTTGTAAAAAAAAATTGACTAATTGTATGCCCCACCGTGCATCTTGGATGTTTCACCATTTCATGCTGGTTGAGGTGCTAATGTTGTCTGCCGATGACATTATCCCCAGATCTACGAAGTTGTCTTAGAAGAATCAATAGGAATTCGGGAAACTACATGACGGTTAGTAGTCGATGCGATGTATAATTCCTGGTACCGTTGACTATTCATTCAGTAGAAGTTTTTGGACCTGACAAACATTTACATATAGATTTATGGTATGAAATCCTGGAAAAGTAAGATGAGAAATGCTGTAGAGTAAATTCACTGGGCAATAATATTGAGATGCGGCTGGTTTGGTAAGGGCTTTGTAGCATGACCTTCCCAGCTAATTCTTGGATCCAAACCACTCTGAGAAAGACTATGTTCTTGGATAAAGTTGAAAAACGGTTCTAAAGTAATAGGTAGACCTACGAATATGCACTACTCCATTTGAAGTTAATATTTAGGATTTGTTTGGAAGTACCCATTTTCGTATGGTGGTCAAGATGATTTCGAATTTGTTTAACCACAAGTGCTACTATTGAGCCTGAACCTATAATTGATCCTGCGACTTCTACTGGATCAGAAACTTGAACAGTGGCTTTAATATAGCAATGTATTGTAAGCTAAACAAAGAGTCCGAAATAAACTTCTCATTATTCGGTGCTGAGAAGAACGGTGAATAAGATGCTGAAGAATCCAAACTTGCATTTTTTCCAAACTCGCTGCAAGAAGGGCACCTAACGTCATGCATCTGTCATTTTGAAGAAATGTCAGCTAATCATGTATGCACAATGGAACTACATTGATCATTTCTTAGATGATGGAATCTTAAAATAGAATTAAATTATGCTTTTTGCAGCTTTGTAAAGTACACAAAGGATTTCTATTAATAATCATATGCTCGAGTTTGTGTAGAACAATAATATCAATCAGAATCTTGATGATGTCCAAAAACCCCTAAATCTATAAAATGTGCTAATATGTATATGAATGCACCTGAAAACTGGGTCAATATAGTGGCTCGTTGGATGCTGCATGTTGGAAGAAATTACCAACGGGTGGTAATGCCGAGCAAATTGGTCCCTAAAAGAACAGACCCTAAAGTAAGGGGGAAATAGGTAAGCTATTTGTGTATTATCGAAGCCATAATATATGATATTTGGGAAGGCTGAAGCTCTATGCATTTTTATATTTCAGTGTTGAACGAACCCACTCACTCGCGCGACATTGGAGTTTCTTGGTATCATCCTTGGTCCTTGGTAGCCTAAGTTCTCCTATGCAAGGTTCTGTAGTCTTAATTACAAAGTCTTCCACATGAATTTATTTTCTAACTGAAATGCTGCTACTTTTAGAACAACTTTTGCGGAATTATTAAAATGATGGGACCAGAACTGCATGATTGATAAAGGTGAAGAAAGCTTATTCATTTGGTTATTCTAAACAATCAGTATGATCCCTAACTGGGCTAATTATTAGGCCATATTGTGAATCGGAATGACATACTCTATTTCATGATCTCTATTATAGTTTATCAATATAAATATAGTGTTCGTCTCAGGTTTATAAGATTTTGCAGATAAATTGTTTTGCTAAACTCTAACCATTATTAGAACTCAAAATGAGAAATTGCAAACTTTTTTTGCTTTTCTTATTATTCAACTCAATTTCATGTAATATTCCTATAGGGGAAACCGAGATTATAAGGGGGGGCGGAGATTATGAGATTACCCATGACATTATAGCTGGTAGATTGTCTCTTGTTGATGTTGACACAGTATACCTGCTTGGCATGAGTATTGACACCACTGGAAAACTCTTTTGTACAACTACATTGGCTACTGAACTCCTTTTCCAGTTATATAATGTGATAAACAATGGATTAATTCAGATAGATGCGTCTTATCCTCCTGGAATAGATGGTTATATATATTTTGACGGAATCCTCAACAAAGGTACAATAATGGTGAATTTCTCTGACATAACATATATGGAAATTATTCGGTCAGAAAATAAGGGTGTCTTGTTCCTTTCTGGAGTCAAAGGGGGATATATTTCTACTATTGCACAGGAGGTCTTTCCTAACCTTGGAGAGCTTTGTATTGAAAATCATGAAGTAGTCATATCGCCATCTTTCACCAATAAGAGAGATGAAGTCCCTGAGTTGGAAGGATGTGTTAGCTTGCTTGGTGATTCTATCCTTCATTTGACAGGTGTATCTTTCCACTCTACCATATGTTTAAGTGAGAAAGCTGTACTTTATATTCAACAACCAACTGAATATCCTTTGAAGATTGCTACCTTTGTAGGACAAAGTATTATTTACATGTACTTTCCTGATGGGCCCCTCGAACTCCATACTGAAGATCCAGGATTGTTTTATTTTTCTGATGATGCTGGATTTTATTATGGAGTGGATGTTGGAACTTCATACACTTTTGTCAAAAATGCTGAACGCCGTTGGTTTGTTATAAAACCAGGAGAAACCCCTGATGGAGTTCATGGCTGTCCTTGTAATTGCTTGGTAGATCCTGTAGAAGTTCCGGGAATCGAGCCTGAAATCTCAACACAAACCACCGAAGGTCGTACTGAAATTCTTACAATCACCACTGCTGATGGAAAATGGACCACTATCACATATACTCAAACGGAAGATCCGACAACTGAATCTTCAATTGAACCTGAAGATCCAACTGAAACTGAGCCTGAGGATCCAACTGAAACTGAGCCGGAGGATCCAACTGAAACTGAACCTGAAGATCCAACTGAAACTGAGCCTGAGGGCCCTCCTGAAACTGATTCTTCAACTGAGCATCAAGATCCAACTGAAACTGAATCTGAAGATCCGGCTGAATCTGATGCCTCGACCGATCCTGATACTTCAACTGAACCTACAATTGAATCTGTAAGTTCGACGGAATCTCTGCCATCATCTGAACCTGAAACCGACTACCAATCTTCAATGATTTCTTCGTCGGATCCTGAGACTTCAGGGTCTCCTCAAACTTCAGTGTCATCTTCATTGGATCCTGAAGATTCTACTGCATCTTCGGTAGATACTGAAGTTTCTGCCATTTCTGCACCAGAATCTTCGCTAGAAACTAAAGATTCATCAGAATATAGTTTCTCGACATTGCCACAGCCAGAGTCTGAATCTTCATCGAAGACGAGGTCAGAAAGACTCACACCAACTACACTTACTTCATCAACCACTGTTACCATTGGCACTTGTTCCATTCCTGATTCGACTATTTGTACAAAATCTACAATTTCAAGTGTCACTGTTCTTACAACTGAAATTACAATTACGAAACTCATAACTGTAACATCTGGATTCGCAACCTCTACTAGGGAGACAGTCATTGTTGTTCCTACTGTGGTGACTCAAACAATCACCATCACTACCGATGTTCCAATTTGTACTGACACGGTTGAAATCACTACTTCGACGTTTATTTCTTCAGAAAAGACGGGTTCTGGTTCAGGTACTTCAGGCACAGAGGGTCCAGATATCCCAACTACAATTTCTCCACCAATTGGATTAGCTAGAAGAAATATTGGAAATGGAATAATTGTAGGTTTGACTGTTCTTGCATGCTATGTATTTGTTGCTTAGTTGTACCAATGGATTGCTTGTTTTTTTATATAGCCATTTAATTGAAACATGAAAATTAAAAAAAAACAATAATTAAATACTTATGCAAGTTGCTTAATTTGTTGTTGTTATTATAATCAATGTTATAAGTTAGCTAGTACTATTCTAAGAGTTTTTTTAATTGATATTTGTAAAAATTATGACTTGCGCCAAGTTGTATTTGAACAAACCTCTTTTTATTACTTAAAAACATATATTTTTTGCTTGTACACTATATAAGACTATGTAAGTGGAATACATACGCCTCCTTGAGTAGATTTAGAGGGAAGACCCTAATGTCTTTAAGAAAACCCTTCATGGGTGTACTGCGTAATTGGCTATTACTCAACCTTACGTGAGAATCTCCAGAAATTCCCTGATTATACAGTCATTGTAAGGGTTTTCTTGGTAGGGTCCTTGGAGTATGAAGAAATCATCCGTTCCGTTGGTTGACTGTGTGTAGAACATATGAATATTTTTCGTTCAAACTGTACAATAACAAGAAATAGTCCATTCTTCAATCTTTTTGGTGTATTCCTATAATTAAAAACTGAGCATGTATTGCAAATCTGATGAATCGCTGATAAGGAACCTATTCCTGAAGTTTAGCTAAATCAATGAGCATTCGCACTGCCATGCAGCTCGATGTAGCATTATTTCATGCGGGTTCCGGTCAGTTGGAGATTGGATCTTGTCTGTGGAATGACACTATCCCTAGCCATGGAGATACAATAGGTGGATAGAAGGTAAAAAATTCTGATCCTTCGACCAGGTCATTCTTTTACTTCATGCATTGGATTGCATTTACTGTAAGGTCCTAAAATTCGGATAGATGCAAATTACGAATTCGGGAATATGTAAGACTAGAAAAGTTGTATTTGCATCATGTTTCTCAACGAATCCTTGGCAATATTATAATTCCTGCGGTGGGTTTGGAAGAGAATTTTAGCATTACGATCCCTGTACATAATAAATAACTTAGACAATTATACTGTTAGATTACGTAATTGCCAATGGTTAGGGATAGTCGATTGTGCTTGGCTTTCGGGTTTGGTACAAGGACCATTTTCCCACAGGGGAGTAAGAAGAATTATCAATTGTAAGAGTGACTAAATTCAATGGCTCATCTTGCCAGAATATTTTATTTCATAAACTTTGACAAAGACCTAGGGCGAGTATGCCTCAATGTTTATAAGCAAAGGAACATCCTGCAAATTATTTTTAATGCGCCAGTATGCATGGAAGTTTTCATAAAATCTTTTGCACTAACTAGGGCAACCCAGGGTTGCAAAAACATAATACATCGTATGCTTTTTTTGAGAAATAATGATGACCATTGAAGTTGAAAGCACAGTTAGGCTTATTAACCTTCACCTTGGTCATGTTTTATCAATATAAATACAGTCTTCATTTTCAGATTCTCAAGGTTTCCTTCTTGTGAATGTTGTCGCCAGCAATTGCAGCAATGAAAAATTACTTATTTTTGCTACTACTTTTATCGGTATTTCAATACACCTCGAGCGCTATCATTGTGGATGATGAACTTATTATAAGAGAAGAATCCCATTCCTCTGAAGGGTACGAAATCACTAGAACTGGCTCATTAATTATTGATAGTGTTTTCTCCCAGGTTGGAGACATTAACATTCAAGGGGCGGGAGGAAGCTTCTTGTATACAACTACTTTTGGTCTAGATTTTCAGCTTAAACTTTACGATTTGGTAAATTATGGATTAGTCCACATAGATACTGCTTCCTTTACCGGCGACCATGGGTCTATTGAACTATGCGGCATCACAAACCATGCTACCATGATAATGGATATCTTGTCCACGAATACTAGGATCCAATTTAAAAGTTTTGAAAATGATGGTACTTTCTTCCTTTCAGGAAACGGAAGGAGTATAATTGTGTTTTTGAGACAGACTGTCTTGCCTAATAATGGTTTGCTTTGTGTTAGAAATACTATTTTGCTGATACTGCGTTTGGTGTTGCAAACAAACAAAAGAGAGGAAGATTTAGATCTGGTCGAGGGATGCGTGAACTTGCTAGAAAATTCTCGGCTTGAATTAGTGGGAACCAATGCATACTCTATTGTATGTTTAAGTGAGAATTCTGTGCTTCATATTTTCCAACCAGTTCCTGCAAAAACTCCAATAATGATTGCTAACTTCGGAACAACCAATCGTATTCTTCTTTATTATTCCGGCTTTCCAGTTCCAAATTATGATACACCTGGTGTATTCTCGTTTGTTGATGAGATGGGAAATTTTTATGGTGTTGATGTTGGTTCTAGCTATACGGTTCAAGATTGGGGCTACGTGTACGATATAACCGGTACCTTGGACTCAGAGTCACCACATGAATGCCCTTGCATTTGCGATGAAGATCCACGGAGTACAATACCTGAAACTTCAACTGAACCGGAAACTTCAACTGAACTGGAAACTTCAACTGAACCGGAACCTACTATTGAATCGATTGAATCGACTGAATCCACTGATCCCAAGCCTGAATCATCAACTGAACCTGAAACTTCGATCGCGTCTGAAATTTCTACTACAGATGAAACGCTGGAACCTTCATCAAAATCCAAATCTTCAATAGAACCTGAAACTTCTGCTTTGCCTTCCACCGAAACTGAAACTTCATTATTGCCTTGGTCCTCACTTGAGACTTCTTCAAACCCTGAAACCGTACCTCCACCTGAATCCTCGAGTACATCTTCATTTAAGCCTCTTACAGTCCCATCGACAATCAAAGTCACGTCTACTACTGCTTGTATTACCACCAATTATACTCAAACCACAATGGTATGTACTACTGTAATTACAACTGAAACAGCTTGTAAAACCGTCGCAACTGTAAAATGTGGAACTACGTTCTGCACTACTGAGACTACGACAGATATTCCTACTTTGGTAACTAAAACTATCACTTTTACCACTGATATTCCCATTACTACTTATACGGTTGAGACGGCTAGTGTGACAGTTCCAAAAACAGATTCAGTTTCAAGTGGTACGGGAACAGAACGACCAGACATCCCAACAATGGCTTCTATACCTGTAGGATTGGCTAGAAGAAACTATGAAAATAGCTTAATTTCTGGTTTCACAATTCTTGTTTATTGGGTAGTTTTTGTTTAAATGTGGGGATAGTTTGTTTTCTTTACGTTTATGAGATTTAAACTAAAAATGAATACATATGTAAACTGTTTATATAGTTGTTTGTATATCTAATAGTATTTTTTGTAATTTTATTAGAACTATTCCAAATATTGAGTTTGTTGCCATCTCTAATTAAGTAAGATTGTAAGTGCACATGTCTCACTTTTGCAATTAGCGTTTTTTGGAAACTGTATCAAAATTATTTGTATATTATGAAAATGGGTCAATATGTATTATGCTTCAATCAGCTTATGTTCCATTATACCCCTTCAAACACGTTGCAGATTTAATATTCACTTAAAAAACCATCGTTCCATATTTCTCAACTTGTTCATCTGTTTTTTGTACTTAAATTATCAATCATGATTATATCAATTTTCTCAAAAAGTCTACGAAAAATACTTGAAAAATGTTTCTACATAAAAAAATAAGAAATCATAACTGTAGAATAGATATTGACAATTGCAAAAACTCCAAGAACACCTAAAGCATATCTAAAGAGGTCTCAATAGAGTTATTCCTACTGAATATTCAAATTATCGTGAATAGGATCCAAACAAAAGATGGTTGCAAAACTTTTTTTTTGCAACCCGCAAAATCAGGTCACATGAAAATCACACGTAAATCACGCTATAATCATGTGACCAAATTCTGCCCCTGGATAACCTGGAAATTTATCCAATTAAAACGTGGCAGAATAGTGCTGGCTAAGGGGGGAAAGATTCGAAAAGATGTAAAATGATCAATACAAAAGATATTAAGATGTAGTAACTTTGTAGATGTTTGTAATAATTAATTTGCATATTGAATTTTGTGAAGAAAAAGATTTCAATAAAAAAATGAATTATAAAATTGTTAGTATAGTAAATATTAAATGATTAAATAGTGAGTTTATAAGCTTATTATAGTTTTTGAATAAAACTGCAAGAGAAATTGCAAGTAAATAAAAAAAAACAGGGCGTGGCAATTTTATTTTTTAGTGAGGAGAAAAAAAAAAAAAAAAAGAACAAGAAAGAAAGAAAAGAAATTAGGAGTAGAGTGAGTAAATTTCATCACTAACAAAAATAAGCTTTATCGCTATGTAAATTTCATCCTTAATAGGGGATAAATATACTATAGTCACTCAAGTCACATACATTTTTTCCTCCCTTTGACTTTTTCGCACTATAAATATTTATATACAAATAAATCTCATAGTAAAATTTCTTTAACACTCATTTTTCCTTTAACCAAATAGTATTTGTTACTTAACTTTTAACCCATACTAAAAATTTAAGTATGTATTATCTCACACACACACTCACTCATACATAGTCAATACTATGTAACTATGAGTACACTACAAAATTAAAAAAATTGTCAATCCTCCTCCATTCCAATTACTTTCAAATGTCAAACTCCTTTTACTATCCAAATTCAATTCATATCAAAAGATACCCATCAAACAGTTGTTGTATAATCACTTTAATGATTAATTAGATAGGTTGCAAAAAAAAAAAAATCAAAATGAATTGAACAACAACAATTCTCAATTTAATCAAAAGTCAACCAAAGAGATGTTTTACATGGATGATTGAATAAGTTGTAATTGATGGTTTTCATTTGAAGTTTTTTTAACTTGATATGTGGTAAATTCTCAAATTTGAAAGTTTAGAGAAAATTGGGAGGAAATTCATTTGATACCCAAATTTTTTTTTTTTTTTTTTTAATAAGAGAAAAAAATTAAAATTATACACGGGAGGGGGGATTACCATTTTTTGTTTTTTTGAGTGCAACAGAAAAAAAAAGAAGAAGCAAATTAAAGAAAGCAAAAAAAAAATCAGACAGACAAAATCATTTTATACGACATACATTTTGAACGACATTAAATTATAAGGGCTGGCGTATTTATGTGCAGTACATACGCGTTTTTTCTAGAACAAACAAATTTTTGCAATTTTGTGGATTTGTTTATGTTTACTTATTCAAATTTAATTACACGCTATTTTTCCCACAATTCCACATAACGTTTCCCAAGGTTAGTTAATATATGTTGTGATTTTTCTGGTTTGACTTTTTTGTTTTCAACTGCTTACTTCTTTTCTTTTCCTTTTCCTTTTGGGTTTTTAAGTTTTATTTACTAACACACATAATAGACAATGGCTGCTGCAACTGAAAAGAGAAAGGCTTCTAGAAAGAAGAAGGATCCAGATGCTCCAAAGAGATCTTTATCCGCTTACATGTTCTTTGCTAACGAAAACAGAGATATCGTTAGAGCTGAAAACCCAGGTATTACTTTTGGTCAAGTTGGTAAAGTATTAGGTGAAAAATGGAAAGCTTTAACTTCTGATGAAAAGGTTCCTTATGAAACCAAAGCTGAAGCTGATAAGAAGAGATACGAAAAGGAAAAGGCTGAATATGCTAAAAAGAACGGTCAATAAACGTGCTGACGTTGACTGACCCTCCCACAATATTTAACATTATTGTGTCATCAAATGTCCTCCTTTTTTGTATAATATAATTTTATCTTATATGCTTCTTCTTTTGTATTGTTCTTTTCTATTATTATGTTTTGTATTACTTGTAATTTGAAATTGTGAAATTATTTCTTGAAAACTATTTGTTAATTGTAGCATTTCTTATTTGTACTTCATGTTCTATGACTATTTCAAGTTGTATATCCCTTACATCGAAGTGGATATGATGCATATGTTGTATTGTTATTACCTTGTTACTGACAGTTTATAAAGACAAACCCTGCAGTAGACCCTGTACTCTTACTTAAAATGTTCATTGAATATTCAAAAATTACTTCAAACAATTCCGCCAAGGTTTTACTTCTTGCTATCTGTTTCATCTCTAGTTCTGAATACATGTATTTCTTAGCCATCCCCCCAACCAAGCATTTTACTATTCAAATAAGATAGCAAGGTGAGACAAACTTAGTGTATCTTCTGGAGTAAGGCTCTCCCAACAAAATCTATCCTGAATGAAGAACCTATGAGCAATACGCAATCCCAGACAGTTTTGGTTCCATTATAAGATTTGTACAAACAGGAGTAGAAGATGTTGAATTGATTGGTTTAAAAAGGTTACGCTTGACTAAAAGATCCATAGAATTTGGGTTTTCACAGTCTAAGAGATATGCTTGTTTTTGCAATCATTTGATTCTTCTTGTCACAAAGCATCTACACCATTCATCAAGTTTTGCAAAGCTGAAAGAGGATAATCTCTGAAGTGCGAACAAGCTCTAGCTCCTGTTCAGTTTGTACAGAATTCTAGCTTTGAGTCCTTCCCAGATGGCCCATCACGACCATTGGACATCAGCTCCATCCCAAACGCTCTGTCACCGAAATTACAAACTCTATAAAATCTTACAAACTCCACCAGAGAATGCCACATCTTCCATCACCACCATTGACATTTCACTAACCCCCAGATCACCCATCATCACCATTGAAGCCCACATCAACTCCTTGCCAAACTCTCTGTCACCATAAATACAAACCTATATAAACTTCTACAATCACCACCACTGGACTCCAAATCAAAAAAATTCTCTTACCACCGTTGAAATACATATCAAAAGGTCCATAAATAATTCATCACCCAGACTCCACATCAATTTCTTCCCCACTACTCTATCAACATAATTGAATCAAAATCAACTTCTACCATCACCACCATTGAAATCTACATCAAATTCTGAATACCGCTTTTCTTGCCAATCCCAACCTAGATCAAATCCAACCTTCTTTCGTTGAATCAAGATAAAATCCATCACACAAACTAACCATTGGTCAAGTGGCTAATTCAGTATGAAGAATTATCCTGATCTTTGAAATCCAGTCAAGTCTTCTCCAAATTGTATCTCCACCAATTCTTCATCTTTATTGGAATCAACAATGGAGTTTTCACAAATGATTCATCATTATCTTTAAAATCTCATTAAATACTTTCCAAATTAAACCGTTTACCATTGAAATGAAAATCAAATTCTAAATCCCACTTCCAACCCAATTCCAACCTAGATTAAGTCAAACCTTCTTCCCTGCAATCAGAAAAACAATCCATCACACAAACTAGCCATTGGTCAGGTGGTTAATTCAGTATGAAAGGATTCTACACCGATCCATGAAATCCAGTATAACTCTCTCCAAATTGTCTAGGACCTGCTTCATCTCCATTTTCTTAATTCTTTTGTGATTTTATGGTTTAATATAATAATGATTACAAATTAACTTTCATTGGGATACTAGTAGCTTGGTTTGCTTCTAGTGGAGTAGTGATGTTGATCATATTTGGAATAAGTTTGATATTTGTTTTCGTAGTTGTTTTAAAGTTCAAAGTCAGTTTTAGTTAAGTATTTAGAATCCTGATGGCAAGAATGCTTCATAAGTAGATTCCACTAGGCGACTAATATCATGGGTTGTGGATAAGGAATGATGTTATTGGAATGTTGATTGTCATTGTAAGAAGTTTCACTTTCGTTTCTGTGGTTTAGCTTCATTTTTGCGGCAGCTCTTGCCCCAAACTGGTTTCATTTTCCCTCTAACAACTTCACGTCAAAAATTCATCTTGAACATTCAAAGAAGCAATGGAATTTTCTGGATTAAAGATATTGATTTTGAAAAAGGTGAGTACATTATTGAATTAGGTGGTTTCTTTGTGAAAAGTAAAGAAGAAAAGAAGGATAAATGAAGTTAAAATTTTTTTTCGCAACCTGGCGTCTAAATAATTGCTGCAAATTTTCCTGGATGTTCTGGAACAACACAAATAAAACAAAAAAAGATCTAGACCCCAATAGACCAATACAGACCAATTTTAGCTACGATAATTAAACATTAGTTGTAAAGAGACTATTTAGGAATGTTAATCTTCTTGTTGTAGATTTCTCTTTATGATATATGAATAATCACAAAAATTAATCCATGAAGTTCATTCAATTTGGAAAGATGATACTTCTAGATGATTTACCAATAGAGTAAAATATTTTGATGTGGTTTTCAATAGTGGCGAGGGATCATTTACGTATAATTTGATATGTGCTCCAAGACGAATTGATGGTGATATAATTTGGACAGCTTTATTCCTTTCAACAATGACTGGTGATGGTGAAAATTTTGTGGTTGTTGGATCGATCCAAATGGAGTGGATTCTGGTATATGTTCATTCTTTTGAATACACTCTTTTAAAAGCACCCAACAGCAGCGTATGAAACATTTTTAAATAGATTAATCACCAATCCCCAATCGTGAATGTGGCTTGTACTATTGTATACCACTTTCACAGAATAATCCAAGTGTTCCATTGGTATTGAATGAATCAACGAGCCACATTATCAATGGAACAATTGGAGTTTTCTGTAGATGTGTACGAGAGACCTTCAAGCGACACTCACAAAAAGTGGTTGATAATTACTCTATCACAGATTCTTGATAATAATTGTGCCCTTTTTCTTCGTTGGGTGTAGATGTCAATCACCCGTAAAACTGATATACTTCATCACTATTGTAGTTCCCAATATGAGAAGTCTCCAAATTGTTTCCAAAACACCAAATTTGAATATTTATCTTACGTACCCATCATCTCAAGCTTGCTGACTGGACTGATTCAGTCTTGTTGGTCTTTTAAGATTTCGTTATTACCAATTCCGTCTTGGTGGATAATAAAAGATTGCATTTTATTTGCAACAAAATTTTTTCTTACAATCAAATTTAAATTGATCCCTCAATTTTTTTTTTGGCAGCATTTTTAATTTGACTTATTAACTAATTTAGAAAAGTAAACAAATCAAGCAGGTCTTCTCTTATTTTGTCATTTCAAGATACAGAATTCTTACCGAGGTGATTGCACTGGTATATTGTCTGCCCTTGCATTTGTCTGTCAATAACAAACTTCGTTCTGAGAAAAGTCGTTTTGAGAACAGCAAGCCGCACTTGTTCTATAGCTTTTCTCCCTGGATTCCTTATTCTCAGTTAAAATGTACTCAACAGTATGCGTGGAAGTTCTATATAGTTAACTATATGAGACTTAGGTTGAATCATTTGCATCTTTTTAGAGAAATTTGAATGTTTCAAAATTGGGCTTATTATGAAGATACAAAAATTGATTGCAACACGTGAGTTTCACATATCGTCTCCCACTACATGACTCGGTCAGTCTCTTATCAGCTTAACTACTGTTGATCAGAAGGGGAAAAGATGATTTCTACTGGATATAGAGGCAACCAAACGATGATATTTTGCAGGGTATTTTATTTGTATGTGTGACAAGTCTAATTTGGGTAGGAGAGGGATCGGCGAGCTACAAAGCTGACCCCTAAGATTAAAGTATGACAAGATTCCCCGAGGCAGTTATAATCATAGATAGCTAAGTGATTGCGGTTAAGTTGGAGATAGAATAAAGGATTTTAGAAGTCACTTTCCAGCCGTAGGGTCCCGGTGGGATCCTTCACTTACAGGAGACCTGAGGCATTGAAACATAAATTGACGAAATTATATGAACCACAAATTCTGAATGAAAACTCAACAGAATGCTCAAGGACAATCTTAGACAGGCTGATAGACAGAGACCCAATCCCTTTACAAGCAACCTATTGTGGCTGGTTTTGCGTGCCGAATAGTTGCTAGTTTTCTGACCATTGTTGCTAAGGAAGGTGAAGAACGTTTTTTCGGACCTACTAACACCGAACAAATTTCAGATTTTTCAGGACTAAACCTTGCAACACTTCTTATCGAAGTCACACCCCCATCATACTCCAAATGTCATTACCACCCCCATACTACAACGACGATCCAAAGTCATTTGCCTATCCAACCATTCATAAACGTTGGCCAACAATCATTGAAGGAGCAATTGACGATGTGAAAGCCGCTCCAACTACTAAATACTCCTCCGAATCCCAAGCTAAGATCTTACAACAATTGCAGGATCTCTTAAAGGCATTCAAAAACGATGAAGTAGTTCGTGAATTCACCCAAGATGAAATCTTACTCAATCCCGACTTGATCCATTATAATAAAGCATTAATTGACTTACATATGGTTAAGAAAGTTACTTGGCAAACTGGTCCTTGGTTATATCTTGAATGTTATCTTTATCAATATATAAACAATTTCTTTTTGGAATCAGAATGGGATGATTTTGATATTTTTGAAAATTTAAAGACTAAAACTTTTAAACAATCCGAATCAGGTGTTTTGGAATTATGTAAACGTTATGAAAGTTTAGCTAATCAAATTAAAGATTTAGGAGAATCGGATGATACTCTCAAGTTATTATTTCATGAATTTTGTGATATTTCATTATGGGGGAATGCTACTGATTTGTCATTATTAGCTGGAAATGTGACTTTGGAAGATATAAAATCGGTTCAAGGTGCTGAAGTCCGTAAGAAGAATGAAGAAAAGATTTTAATTAATGATTTGGATCAAGCTTGGGAATGGTATGTTAATAAACGTCAAGGAAGTAGAGTTGATATTGTTTTGGATAATTCTGGATTTGAATTATTTGCTGATTTGATATTAGTTTTATTCTTATTGGATAGTAAATTATCAAAAGAAGTTCATTTACATTGTAAAGAAATTCCATGGTTTGTAAGTGATACCATGCCAAAGGATTTCCAAGATTTATTGAATCAATTGAAAGATTCAGAATTCTATCCAAATATTCATCAAGAACATCCAAGTGCAATTGAATTGGTTTATCAAGAAATTAAAAACTATTATGAATCAGGAAAGATTATTATTGATCATGATCCTTTCTGGACATTACATTATAATTATTGGGATATTCCTAAATTTGATCAACTTTATTCGAAATTATTAAAATCAGATTTAATTATTTTCAAAGGTGATTTAAATTATCGTAAATTAACTGGAGATTTACAATGGGATAAAACCACCCCATTCAAAACTGCCATTCAACAACTTGATGGATCAAAATTACCTATTCTTTCTTTGCGAACATGTAAAGCAGATGTTGTCGTTGGATTACCAGCCGGAATTAATGAGAAATTAATTGAGGAATATAAAAAGATGGGTAATGAAATTGGAGAATTCTGGAGTAGTTCAGGTAAATGGGCAGTTGTATCTTTCAACAATGGTGAGTAAGAGAGATCTTTATAGATATGTACAGCGATACTTTACGTTTTATAGATAGCTAATTCCATTTTTTTATAGTTTTTATTAAAATTACAAACACATACCTAGTATACAGACAGAATTACTACTACCCAATGAAGAACAAGAGCCACTTCTTATATATCACCTGCTTTTCTTGAATTACAAGCCACAATCTTAAACTTATCCACATTAATCTCAGTATCCACCGTAGCATTACTTCCACTATCAACACCACCACTACTTAAATCACTCAACTTAATCAAAACATTCTTAATAATAAACGTCCAAACATCATCACAAAACCTATAAGTATCCAAATCACCTTTGAATGTCAATTTCGATCTTGCAATATTCGTATCCCCCTTTAAATTGTCGGAAATTATTCGGTCGAAATTGTTAAGGATTCTATTGGCTAATTGTGGTTGGATTTTTTCGTCAGAGATTAGGGTATCTAATGCGTCGGTTAATGTGACTCCGACAGTTGATCTTCTATAGAGTTCATAATAGGCTGGTGCACTCATATTGTTAGTAATTCTTTGAAAGAGAAAGCTGACTTAGTAAGATTTGTAGAATGAAATTTGGAGACGGAAGAAAAATGGGCAAAACTGGTTGATAACGACATTTTGAAGATGTCGTGCAAAATGAGACATTTGTCAATACAATTTTTTTTCCACTTTAAATCGGCCGGCCATCAGAACAAGATCAGGCACCTTTGACAAGAGACAATCTATAGAGCAATATGGATCAATTGACGGTAGCAGAGAGATATAAGATTGCAATTCGATCATATCGAGAAATATCCGACTCCATCGAAAGAAAAGATTCTCCAACCTATCAATCTAAACTAGCATCCTTAATTCAAGAATTTACCCTCATTTTAAAAATCATTGACAATCTTTCATTATTCAGTGAAAATGAAACAATAGATGAAATAACCACAAACTACATCCCATTCCTCAATGTTCAATATTATATTGGTGACTTATACACCAGTTCATTAATGAACAAGAATGGAGAGATTGATATTGGCAATAAATTACCTAATTTAACTACGGCAAAAGATCACATAATCAATTATTTGATTGGATTATCAAATTATAAAATCCTAAATAAACCCCAATCAGATCTCGTCAACATCCTCAAACGAGACCCAAACACTACTGAACTCACAACTGTAAACCCTACAACCAGGCGACAAGAAAAGATTGAAAATTTCAAATATGAACGAGAATTGACCACCAAACTAAAAATCCTCGATGAATACTATTCTTCCAAAGATGATGAAAACAACGAATTCTCAAAACTAGATGAAGAAATCGTCCGTGAGATATTCATTGATCAAATCAGATTATACGCCCTAAAATCATTCAATTTACTCCAATCCATCTCAATGGAATCACAAGTCCTCAAATCCATGCCCGCCAAAACCCCTTCTTCCCAACAGCCATCATCACAAGTTCCAGAAGATAAGCGAGCACCCACCCGAGAGAACGATTATGGATTCACAACAAGATTAGAATCCTTACCTCAATCCACCACTAATAAAATCTCCGATTTCTTGTCGGGGTCAGGCAAGATCCTAAAACCATTCACCATCACTTCGGAGAGACAAAGGTTGAAGGATAAAGTCATGGGAACTGGACAAGTATTGCCTTCGATGACGGTGGAGGAATATTTGGATTATGAATTGAAGAATGGGAAGTTGATGAAGGATGAAGTGAAGGATAAACCCCAGGGTAGTGAGGATGAAGAAGAGCTTGATTCGGATGAGGAATTAGAGAAGAGGAGGTGGGATGATTGGAAGGATGAAAATCCAAAGGGGGCAGGAAATATGGGTGCGAATATAGGATAATAGATTGGTCTATGTATATATATTTATTCTTTATATATAGTAAAGTACAGATTTTATATTTAAGATATTAATAGTTCTTCACTTGAATCAGATAATTGTTTCAACCATTCAAGATATTCAATTTTTAATTCTTCAATCTTCACAATTCTATTACTATCACTTCCATGACTGATGATCCATTTATCATCATCTTCTTCAAACGTTTTCAAACAATTCAAAATAATCATATATAATTCCAAGACTTTTAATCTACACTTCAATAAATCTTCTCTATCTTCGCCCATAATCAAATCATCATCATTCTTTGAATGTTTAAACCTTTCAATAAACATATACAACGCCTCAATTGCACCTCTCTTATCCGCCAACAGATCTAAATCTTGTCCAACCCCAAACAATCTCCATGAATATAAATATTGATACAACTTCAATGAATTAACCAAATATCGTTCCTTACTTGCCAATTCCAACAAGATCGAATCAATCAATGAGAAATGATGACGATATAGGGTGTTGGGGTTTGGTGGACATATGATGGATAATTTCAGTTGAGAAACTAATTTGGAAATGAATTGTTGGAATAATTGTTTGAATTTTGGATGAGATACCGTGGATAAATTAGATAATGATTCATAAATTAGATCATATTTGGAAATGATTAATGATAATTCGAATACTTTTAGATAATATGTGGATATTATTTCGGTATGACTATTGGTAGATTTCAATATTTCGATAGCTTTATTTTCAAACTTTAATGCGATATTTATAAAATCATCATTGATTTGTTTATTATCCTTAGCGTCACAGTTGATACTTATATCCGGCATTTCATCTTCTGGAGGAGCTGATACAATTATAACATTCTGAGATGATGCAAGCTTACTTTGTGCTTGGGATAATTTACAAAGTGAATCGAAATATTCCGCCTCTCTCAACTTTTCATCTGGTTCTTGACTAAACACAGCATCTAAAAACACTTTAATACTATCATTATCACCATCACCATCACATAAAGTATATACCTTATTCTGTAATTCCAAATCATCTCTCAAGTCAACATATGGAGTATATGTTTCAAAAATCTCAAAAAACTCATCACAATCGCCATTTCTCAAAAATATCAATCCCATCAAGAATCGATCCACAATTCTAGCCTTATTCAATCGATTCAAGAAATATTTCTTCAAGAAAAGTCCTTCATCACGCTTGATTAGTTCAATACATACATCCACCACAAAACTGCACGATGATGATGATGATGTGTTGTGGGAAAGGAGAATATCATTATAGAAATAATCATAAGCTTCATTAAATCTTGCTTGACGGATAAATTTGTTTAATTTTGGATGTTTGGCAACTATTGAAGTCCAAAATAAGGAATTTTCAAGTTTTGATAATCCAATGGTTTCAATTCTGGCGTGGGATGAATTATCTTTGAAACAAGTGTCAAAAATTATGCTTGCTATGTTATAATTGTTCAAACTTTCGATGGTTTGGTTGATTAAACTGATGATATCTTCATTGGTTTCACAGATTAAGAATAATGAAACTAGATCTAATAATAAATCTTCATGTTTTGATTTGATGGCTTTAAATGTGTTCATTGCATTTAATTTTCTAAAACTTCCAATTTCATTCGTATAGAAAGCTTCTTCATCATCGACTAATTCATAGCCATTTTCATGATTTAAATTAATCAAAGATTTAATGATTTCTAAAATACCTGGGATATTTTCTAATTCAATCAAGATGGATTGAATTTCTTCATCTGTGAATCTGGAGCGAATATGGTTTTGAAATAATTCATTAACTTGTTCAGGTGTCACTGTTGACGTATTTAATAATTTTTCATGTAATCTATGATACGTCTTTGATGAAACAACAGTACGGAATTTATTCAAGATTGTCATTAATTGTGAATCAGCTGGAGTTAATTTATAATTAGCAAATGATTCATAATAATGTGATGGTCTGAAAACACCAAATCCATTCACTTGTAAACTTAATAACATTGATTGTTTATTGGTTAATGAAATTGCTAAAGATTCTTGAGATAATTTCTTAAATTCTTCACATAATAAATCTAATTTAAACCAAAATGATTTTTCATTCTCTTTTGTATTACATGATTGATTAATTGTTTCCATTACAACTTGTCTAATATCTTCTTGTTTATCTCCATCATATGGACCCAATTTCCAATGAGAACGAAGGATTTCAATCGAGGTTTCGATAATTAAACTATCATATCTGCCAGAATTAAAAATCTTTTGTTGGTAATATTCAATATCATGATATGGTGAAAGATCTTCTTCATCTTGAGAATGTTCAGGAAGTGATAAATTAATGGAAGTTATAGTGCCGTGATCAAAATTAATATTATAAGTAACAACCATAGATGAAGTATTTGATTTCCATAAAATATGATATTGTAACACATTGTCATTAAATTCAGTTTGGAAATCTTGAATAAACCAAAGAATATTTTGAAATGTTGAATCTTTAGCTGAGGCATCTGAATCTTTCGTTGATGATAATAAAGAATTTGGTATTTCTGGTTGGAACGTGAACTTATCCAATTGTTTTAATTCAATAGAATCTGAATAATCAATAATTTCCAATATTTTAAATACAAATCTACTCTTATTGGAATCAATCTTATCCGATGCTGCAGAATTGAAAAACAAAATGATATATTGTGTTCCATAAATTTCCAATAATTGTAAATGTTTAGTTGGAACCGATGTAATCCAATTATCATGATGATTATTTAAAACATCATTATCTAATTGTAATGGAGAAGTTATATTTTGATGAGATGATAAATTCCAAACTTTAATCATTTTACAAACTGTCAATGCAACAATAACATCATTCAGAATTTTCACGACATCAATAATTGAATTTGATGAGATTCCTTCCAAGATAATTTCTTGTTTTGGTTTGAAAAATCCACTGAAAAATCCTCCAAATGGTGGAAGTAAAGACGCGGTTGATTCTTGGAAATTATAAACGGTAAAATCTTGTAAAATTGTTGGTCTGGCAAAATGAATGAAACCACCATCTTTCAAAGATACAACTAAATTGTTAGTATCTAATGATTTAATATAAAATGGAGAGGATCTTAATTCAAATGAATAAGGAACTGATATGTGACCCCATTTATCAAAATGTAATAAATTAAGTTTTTTAACATTTGAAATAATAAAATCAGATAATGAAATCTTTAAATTTATAAATAAATAATTTGCATCAATTAAATCAATGATTAAATTACCATCTTCATGTTTATGATTATCATCTTGGAAATGTAAAGTAATACATTTATTTGATATAATTTTATGAGGTAATTGAATTTGAATATTTTGAAATTGAAAATTGAAATTATTTGATTGTGAAATAATTGGCGTTAAAATGATTGTTTTTAAATCATTAAGAACTTGAAAAGATATAAAATCAATTAATAATCCATATTTGGTTAAGTTGATTATATCACCACAGTTGGATAACATTTGTTGGAATTGTTCATTTGGTAAGAGTTTCTTGTTGGAACCAGTAGCAGCAGTACCATCTGAAGTAGAAGAAGTCTCTGGATATTTCAATGGTAAATGGACATAACGAGTGGGTAAATTGGAAGAGTATCCCACTATGTTAGAAGTGGAATATGACGTAGAATCCATAGTCATCTCTCTCTATCTCTTCCTATCTCTCTATTTCTATATCAATCAATGAAGTTGATCTGTCAATTGAAGGTTTGTTGATAATTTTCAAATTTGGTTGTTTTTTTTTACAACTTTTACAACCAAATTTGAAAAGAGAGAGAGAAGAAGAAGAGAGTCTATGAGAAATCTTTTTTCTTCTGTAAAGTGAATTTCTTCTCATTGCGCATTTTCAATCAATCAACTTCCCATGAGATATCAAGAGACTGACTATTAGTAATTCTTCTATCTATAGACAGTTCAGTATATATATCTATAGGTAAGGACTGATAGTAGTAGTAACAAGGGTATACAATGTCTTCTGTTGTTTATTATAAATTCTTTCATCAAAAGAACAAAAGTGTAATTCATTTCGATGGAACAGCAATAAGTGTATTTGATTTAAAGAGAGAAATAATTACTCAAAATCAATTAGGAACAGGTAATGATTTTAATCTACGTTTATATCATTCAGAACAACCTGATTTAGAATATGAATTGGATCAAGATGTCATACCGAGATCTAGTTACGTCATAGTCAGACGATCCCCCTCGACTTTAAAAGCTGGTAGATTTAATAATGCGTCACGATATGTGACTGGGAAACCAAGGATTAATAGAAAAGTAATAAGTAATGCCCCAGCAGCTGCTGCCCCAGGAGGAGGAGGAGCTCCACCAAGTGCTGGCGGTGGTGGTCCAATTGATGAGAATATTTCAGAAGAGGATAGGATCAAACTTATGTTTGAAAATCAATCCAATGCATGGGCACAAACACAAGATGAATTAGCCCATCATAAAATGGTGTATTATAAACATCAACCAAACACAGGAAACAAACAAGAAGATGCTCCACCACCAGGATATATCTGCTATAGATGTGGTAAGAAAGATCATTGGATTAAGAATTGTCCCACGAATAATGATCCAAATTTTGAAGGTAAAAAAGTCATGAGAACTACAGGGATTCCAAAATCTTATTTAAAAACAATTTCCAAAGAAGAATTAGAAAAGAAGGCAGATTCATTAACTACGAATGATAATGGAGATGTGGTTGATCATGAAGGGAATGCGATTTTGATTACAGATGAAGGGGAATATGCAATTGCATTGGCTGATAGTAAAACTTGGCTTAATTATCAAGAGAAATTACAAAATGCTCAACGGAAATCAAAATTGGAATTTGATCAGAAATTGATTTCATTAGTGGAACAAGATAAAAAGTTAGAATTCTGGGATCCATTATCTACAACTAAGAAAGTATTGGAACTGCCAATTGTAACAACTCCATGTTGTCCTAATTTATCTGATTGTAAAAAATTAAAAAATATAAATTATAATCAAGCTGAATTAGAAAGATTATTAATTGATAATGATTTCCATTGTCCTAATTGTGGGAAAGAAGATATATTTATTGATTCATTAATCCCAAATCAAGAATTAGAAAAATCATTACAAGAATATATTCAATCTAAAGAAGATGCCGGATTGAGAGATCCAACAAAAAGATCAGCTCAAGAATTAACAGAAGGTGAAAATGAAGGAGGACCAGACTTAAAGAAACAAAAGACCATCGCTACCATGAATGAATTCCCTCCACCAATTCCTCTTCCAGATAGTGGGATGTTCGTACCAGGAATGCCACCAATTCCATTTGGTATGCCCCCACCCCCAGGCATGCCCCCATTACCTATGGGAATGCCACCACCACCTCCTGGGATGTTTTTTCCTCCTGGGATGCCGCCGATCTTACCACATGGGATGCAACCGAATCAACAGCAGCAACAGCCACAATTTCCTGGAAATCAGCAGAAGTAGTAAATAGTTGCATTTGGTGAATAGTAAATAGTAGTTAGGTATTGTAGTAGTAATAAAAAACATTATGCAATAGTTACCCGGATTTTATTCTCCCTTTTTTTCTCGCAAAGCGAAAAAATTTTCATTCAAATAAATTTCTCGATGATGAATGAAAATTATTATTTAGTTACTCTTCTTCTTCTTCTCTTGTTAAGTTCCATAAGAAGCAAGACATAAGTTTCAATCACTTATGCAATTAGTTTCTTCTTTATCGAATGAAATGTATGTTTCTTATTTGTCGCTTTCAGTATTAACCGCATTTTGATTAATATCAACAAATTAACGGATGATCCAAATAATCAATTCAAACTAGAGTTTGTGACTTTTTAGAATGATCACAACATTATTATGCATGGCTTACTGATAATTTATTTAACTAAAATGAGGTTTTATACTGGTTTTACAAATGAGATGATTGGTTTTACTAACTGTTATTTCAATAGTAACTTAAGGGATTAGTTATTGTTCTTTGCTTTTAGAGAGTAAAATGGTTCAATGGTATGTTTTAGATGTTTTTACAATATCTATCTGTGGGGTTTTATATGATGACTTAACAAAAACAAAGCTGGAATTACTGGCTGAATCTCTATGATTGATAAGTTTTTGCAACGCTTCTGATTTATACAACCCTCACACAGATAGGTGATTATGTTCCCTACAACGAATGTAATAGTAATACTAACTTTCAATTAGAGTATGTTCATTTTTACGCTACTTCTTGTGTGTTTCTTGAATATTTTTTTTTCAAAATGAGGATTTATTGCACTGGGCACTGAATAAATTTATGAGTGACAATGCATTTTATGGTGGGCCTCAGAAACCCACCGTTACTGATTCTAGAAATTTAGAAACATGTTTTCTAATGTATGTGTAAACCATGAGTTACTAACATAGTCCCCATGTAGTAAGATGCTTTACTTGTTAAACTAATGTATGTGTACCTTTCAATGCTATTAGATAATCTTTCCTCATTGCATAGTGATGATCTCCTTAGATGACGAGTCAGAACTCGGGATTCCCGTTGATGACAACACTTTTTTAATACCATTCATGCAAATCTGATTTTTGCCATAATGTGGAAATGATGTCTTATTACCACAGAATATCATGGTTTACTAACTAATTATTAATAGAGATATTACCCGCTGCTATACTTTTGCTATTCAGCTAACAATAGGATTTTTAGGCACCTCATCAGATTGAATAGAGAGTAAGCTTTGGATTTGTATATATTGAAAGCAGTTTTTTAAAAAGATGAGATTGAAAAAAATAGACAAGCATATGTCTGAATTCTTTAAAGAAGAGAAACTTTTTCATGTCTGATTAAAAAACACAGCAACAGTATGATTAGATCAATGAGCTAGCTATTTCAATTGATGAATGTTTAAAAGCCTATTGTTTTGGCTTTAATTGGTTTATGAAGATTCAAATGACCATACCCTATTATAATGAGAAAAACATACTCCTGTTGTTTTCTTATGTTTAGAAGTTAATGATGACTTCACCACATTTATCACGACGGTCTACTGCGTTTGGGGAATTGTTAATCTCCAAACCTTGATGACAAAATAGGCCTTGACCGGCCGTGGTTCCTGAATATCTTCTTGACTTAGAAAACAGAGTTTTTTTTTCACATTTACTTTTAGGAAGGGTGATTTGAATCTTCATAAGAGTTGGGTTTAAAGAGTATGTATGTATATTGTTTTGTTACTGGAAAGAAGAAAGGGTGAAAGTATACTTTTGAATGATGACTATTAGTTTACTTGAGTAGTACACTGTGAAACTCCAAAATAATATAATTCGATTTGCATGTCAGTCTGATTCTTTCTTTTACCTCTTGTTGTATACTTACTCCCTTTCTTTCTTTGTTGGATACATAAGAGTGTGGTTTACTAATTGTTTAGAATATAGAATAAGTTGTGTATAATTATCAATGTACAGATCTAAAGATCTTAAATCAAATATCAGTGCACTTGTAGTCCAACTTCGAGAAACCTTTTCTTCAATCCACTCTCTCGCTTCTTCAAGTTATATACTTTCCAACTCCAATGTACTTTCTAACCCAATATCCATTTCGTCGATTTTGCAAGTGTTTGCCACCTCGTTGGCCCAGGGCGAAGAAGTCTATTTTTTTGACCCTCTTACTCCTGTGGCGCTTCTCTCTTTATTTTTTTGGTTGACTCCGTTCCGGTGATCGCAAGCCACCATCAAATGATGTGTACATTCAAAACAATAAAGACAATAATTCAACAAGATTCACTCTTTTACATAGATACAATACTATCTATAGTTTCAACAGGCAATGCACATGAATTTACATTCTAAGAGAGAATCACAAAAGGAGAATTCACCTCCATCATACGAGAACTCAGTCTCATCTTCAACATCATCAATACCATCATCACCACAACTTACAACTTCATCCAAAAGTAAAATCCCACCCATACTAAGAAGAAAGAGTAGTTTAACACCTACCACCAGCAGTTCAGAAACACAAAAGAAAAGAAATGTGCCATATCAACCTTCAGTAGAACAAAAACGCCATATTGAAAAGATAACAAGTTCACAACTGGAACCATTATCTTCTGTACCCAGTAGAACTCAAACTGAATATTTCGATGTATTGCCTTCTTTCCAAATGTTTCAATCTATTCTTAAACGAGATACTAATCAATTCTCAGAAGATCTACACACATCCCCGCCTCCTCTATATGGAGAAGTAACAAGCAGAGGAGGATCACAACCTAGTATATCTAGCGCTATGGAAGAAGTTACTCGACGAGTGAGTGAATATGAATTGGCCGAAGAACATGAACGAGCAGCCACACAGAGGTTTTTATTTGAAGAAGAGCTAGTCGAGGATCCAGAATTGTTACGAACGGACGTGGCAACACCACATAATGCCAGTGTCGATAATCAGAATGTGGCAGTCACTCATGATATTTATGGAAACTCCCCACTTGATAATATTGATCGATTACAAAAACTCCCCAGTTCACCAATTGATATCCAAATATATGTGACTAAACAAGTCCCCATCCCCCATGAACAAAATGAACTCGAAACCAGATTGAAAGAATACACCAGTGGAGATTTCGTGAATGGATATATCGTCGTCACCAACACTTCTGACAAACCTGTCGAATTCGGTCTATTCACCGTCTCCCTAGAAGGAACAATCAAAGCCACTGAACGAAACTTAAATCTTGTGGGATTGGATTTCTTACATAAATATAATCGAATCCTTATGAAAAAATTCCTCAAAATGTACGATCTTAATGCTTCTTATGGATATACCCAAGTTCCTAATTCCGCCGGGATTGAATATGTTCCATATACGATGGATAATAGTGATGGATGTTATCTTGCTCTACCCACCGACCGAATCTTAGCCCCCAACACGAAATATAAGAAATTTTTCACATTTAGATTCCCCACTAAGTTGTTGGATACGGCATGTATAAATTCCCTCTTGCCGCATGTATTACCTCCGCCTTCACTTGGGGTTGATCGGACTTGTTTTCATAATCGAGGGGAGAATATTCATTTGAATAAAGCCTTAGGATATGGGTTTTTGAATATAAGAGGAACACCATTATTGACTAAGGATTATAGTTTTGAGGATATTAGTATTTCATATACTATTGAGGCGAAATTTATTGATAAAGTGAATTCCAAAGATCAAAAAGTTCCATTCTCATATCAAGAAATTAATGATCCTGAAGCGGATTCGGATTCGTTTGTGATATCGAAGAGTAGTCAATATTTTTTGAGATTTATACCGGATTTAAAAGAACAGTTTGAATATTATAGGAATGATTTCCGTCTGATGCTGGAGGATGGGATAGATAAGAGATTTTTAGCGGATTATTATAATTTATCAACATGGAGAAGTATTCATATGCAGAATTTTAAAATTGAACGAGAATTAGAAGAAAAGATGAACAGAGAGGAAATGAATAATGATCAAATAAAGCAAAAGAATTTGTCATCACAAGGGCCAGTCAGTAATTATCAGAATGAAAAGGCAAATTTGAAAGCTGACGATCAGGATCCTAATTCGAAATATAAGACTTTGGGTATGTTAGGCACCAAAATCCCCACTGAGATTTTTGGCAAGAAGAAGAAATTGATTTTATCTTCATTAGTCAAGATTGGACAACTGCATATGTATGTTAAAGTCCCCGACAAGGTCATCCCATACTCGTCTCCCAGATTATTAATGAAGTATAATAACGAAGAGGAAACCAAGGACCTTAGACCCGTTTCTTCCAATATGAAAGAAATCTATAATCGAGATGAAGGTGACCTTATCAATTCAGTTGATATTTCATTACATTTCCTTCCCAATGATTCAACAATAAAACCTCCCCAAATCAGTTCCATAGAAGCAAATGTTGTATTTTGGACATATTATACTGAATACCCATTACCTTTTGAATTAGGTTATGATTTCTTCTATACGAATCCTCAAGGTGATGATAAGTTAATAAATGACCCTGCAGAAATTACTCGAATTAATTTACAAACCCTAAAAGATCAAGTTGCCAATTATATCACATTTTTAAAATTGAATGAATTGTATGTTTCACGAGATTCTTACCTTTATTTGAAATCAATTAAATCATTAGGAGTGAAAAAGGATACCGTGAAGGAATATTTCAAGACCATTAGCCCGGTAACACATTCCGATTTACTTAATAATGAAGCAGGATGGAAATGTGAACAATTACCCAATAAGAAATTCAAATGGTGTAAAGATTTTAGTGTTCCCTTGCAAGCGATTAATAAACATAATGTTACTTTATTACCTAGTTTCCAAAGTTGTCTTGTGGGTAGACTTTATTGTTTACAGATTGTGGTTAAGTATAAAGGAACTGGACATGAGAATGAGTTTGCTGATAATATTGTTAAATTAGATGTTCCAATGTTTGTAGGATAGTTATATACTGGTTGTGGACTGCATATAGATACAATGAAATAAAATTTCATGCAACGACGATGAGTCATTCCCAAATAGGTAATTCAAATTTTGAAAATTTCTGTTAGCCGCGATTCGCTATCTTCCAGAATTCAAAAGAAAAATTTTCTTCTTGTCCTCTTCCCACCACTTTTTATTCTTTCCTCTTCTTCTATTCATATAGACAATTCAATAGACACAAATGTTATCTGCATTCAAAACAAGTCATACGTCGTTCGCTAAACGTTTCTTAGCCACCGCCGCTAAATCATTCACTGACAATAAGAAACAACTAGACAGAGCAACACTTACCATCAAGGATGGACCAGTATTTAGTGGGTATTCCTTCGGTGCCAACAAAAATGTCAGTGGTGAAGCCGTCTTCACTACTTCTTTGGTAGGATATCCTGAATCCATGACCGATCCATCATACAAGGGACAAATCTTATGTTTCACCCAACCTTTGATTGGTAATTATGGTGTACCTTCATCTTCACAAAAGGATCATTTCAATTTATTGAAATACATGGAATCTCCCCTGGTTCAATGTATTGGTATTGTAGTTGCCGATGCCGCCTTGGAATATTCCCATTGGACTGCCGTTGAATCTTTACAACAATGGTGTCAACGTTCTGGAGTTGCTGCCATTACCGGGGTAGATACCAGACAATTAGTTTCATATCTTAGAGAAAGGGGTTCTTCATTAGGTAGAATAACCATTGGAGAAGAATATGATGCCGATCAAGATGCTGCATTTGAAGACCCGGGTGCGGTGAATTTGGTACATAAAGTAAGTACCAAACAACCATTCCATATTAGTTGTCCACCTGAATATACTAAAAATATGCATATTGCTGTATTGGATTGTGGAGCAAAGGAAAATATTTTACGTTGTTTAGTTGAACGTGGTGCTTCATTAACTGTTTTCCCTTATGATTATCCTATTCATAAAGTTGCTAATAAATTCGATGGGATTTTCCTTTCAAATGGCCCAGGTGATCCAACTCATTGTTCAAGCACTGTTGAGCATTTGAAGCAAACAATGAAGACATATAAAGATTTGCCTATTTTTGGAATTTGTTTAGGACATCAATTATTGGCATTAGCTTCTGGTGCTAAAACAATTAAATTAAAATATGGTAATCGTGCCCATAATATCCCAGCATTAGATTTATCAACTGGTAAATGTCATATAACTTCTCAAAATCATGGATATGCAGTTGATGCAGAAACTTTGAATGCGGAATGGGAACCTTATTTCACTAATTTGAATGATTTGAGTAATGAAGGAATGATTCATAAACATCAACCTGTTTTCTCAGTACAGTTTCATCCAGAAGCAAAAGGTGGCCCATTAGATACTGGATTCTTGTTTGATAGATTCTTTAAGAATATCGAATATTATAAAGCTACTAATGGGTTGAATTTACCTAATGTTGATAACAGTTTATTAGTTGACATCTTACCAAAGGAAAGAGTTTTCTAAGCGGCACTCGAACTACCTATATACAATTTTTAGAAACATGTTAATTAATGAATATTCATAATATAAGAAATAGATTTAACTTCATGCTTGTAGATATAGCTGATTCTCTAACTACTCTCAACTATCGTTCTTCGATTAACCTCTTGAGCCAGCCGATTGATCTATTGAAAACTTTAGTTCCACTCTTAGTTCAGCCTTTGACATAGAAGATTGGATATCTATCCGATATGAACATTCCACTTGAAGACAGCACCAAATAATATTAACAAAAACACAGACTGTCTCTTCTGTCAAGTCAGGAAAAGAGCAGAAAATCCCTAAGAGATGACCTGATTATACACTGAAAACTTCCCTGTTCAAGCTTGACGACATTTTGCAATTCTTTTATACAAAAAACAAGGACATCTCACATAGGCCACATAACCATCGAAGTCTAGACCTCAATTGGCATTCTCTTAATTAATTAACAATGGATTAGTAAGACCGGGGTTTGATTATATCCGTCCAATTATGGGATCTGGTTGGTGGAGTTTGTAATTATGAATTTGTTGGATTCTCTTTGAAGGCTTAGCTATTCCTCCAATGAGATAGAATTGAAATAATCTACAACAATCAACTGAAACTATCTCAGAAAGATGTCATCTGATTAAATAAAATATTTGCAACCGTTTTGTCATCGTATGAATCCAGTGCATGTCGTGTATGTCGTTTAAAAGAGAAATTCCTTTAGGTCGTAATTCACTCCTAGTTAAGAAGCGATGTCGTATAGCTCGTTTAAGAAAATTTTCCAAGGAAACTTCGCTACTTTATTTGCAATGCAGCTTTATCACCTTACCAATCGTTTGTCCTTAATCGTTACCTTTATGTTGTCTCCCGTTTCTTATACTTTCGACGGCATGTTGGCCTGGAGGTGGACCTCTCCACTTCCTTTATTAAGATTTGGGTAACATTCACTCTAACTACAATTCCTTCCCTATACACCTACTAATTTATGTTGCTTATATGAGGTTTTTTGAATCATTGGCTGATGCATTTTTTTGTTCCTCTATTTGTATATCTGTTTATTATATTTCTGTATGTTATTATGTATAAGAACTAGAATAAATGGTATTCTCAGAAAAAAAAAAAAAANAAAAAAAAAAAAAAAAAAAAAAAAAAAAAAAAAAAAAAAAAAAAAAAAAAAAAAAAGGAAAATTGCGACCGAAAAATGAAAATAAAAAAAAAAGAAAACATCATACGATTTCTTAATCTCTTTTCATCCCACCCCATGGCCACTCACCTTATGTGCATTTAATAAGGTTATATACAGGAGATTGGTTCTGAAACTCTAACTGTGCCATTTTCTTTTCTTGACCTGATTAAATGATTCAACGGCTCCCCTAAACGAGATGCATAAACAACCTTTATAAATGTAATTCAATTTCCCATTTTCTTTTTGAAATTTTTTGCTTTCCTCCTCTTTCTTTTCACAACATTACGCCAACGAATAACAAGAATGTCTGCTATGGATCTTGTTCACCAGCTTACTAATTCCAACTCCTCACTTGCACATATAATTACCAACACGCTGATAGTCAATCATGCCTCATATTTCCAAATTTATGAACAATTACAACAACAAGCTATGATTGTTGATTCATTTGCATCCAATTTAAATATAATTGAAAAATTATGGGCTTCATGGTATATCTATATTGATAATGATATATTAGCTACTGGGTTATTATTTTTCATTGTTCATGAAATTGCATATTTCGGAAGATGTTTACCTTGGTTTATTATCGATAATATGGTTCCATCTCTTAGGAAATATAAAATCCAACCAACCAAGATTCCAACCATGCAAGAACAATGGGAATGTTGCAAAACGGTATTAAAACAACATTTCTTGGTTGAAGCACTTCCAATTTGGTTATTCCATCCACTTTGTTCTCAATTGAAAATTACATTTGATGTTCCATTCCCAGGTTGGAAAGTTATGGCTGCCCAAATTGCCTTTTTCTTCTTTGTTGAAGATTTATGGCATTATTCATTCCATAGATTATTCCATTTTGGATGGTTTTACAAGAACATTCATAAGGTCCACCATAGATATGCTGCCCCTTTTGGTCTTGCTGCTGAATATGCTCATCCTGCAGAAGTTATGGCTCTTGGTGTAGGTACTGTTGGATTCCCAATTTTGTATGCATATGTTGCCAAAACTTATCCTCAGTATGATTTACCTAGCTTACATCTTTTTACAATTACTTTATGGATTGTACTTAGATTATTCCAAGCAGTTGATTCCCATTCTGGATATGATTTCCCATGGTCATTGAATAAGTTTTTACCTATTTGGGCTGGTGCTGCTCATCATGATGAACATCATCATTATTTCATTGGAAATTATGCTAGTTCTTTTACTTGGTTTGATAAGATATTTGAAACTGAATGTGGTACTTTAGCTAAAAGAAGAAGAGAAAATAATGCAAAGGTTAAATCTGAAGAAAGTTACAAGAAAAAGATTTAATTTTAGGGACAGCCTTTGAATGTTAATTGAATGTGAAATGGAAGAGTAAGTAGGCGTATATAGATATGTTATTTTATTAATAAAAAATTATAGTTTTCTTAGATATTAAAGTGTACATAAACATGTTACTTTGTAGTTGTTGAAATTGTTTTCAAACCAATTTCTGGAAATTTGCAACCAAAAAATAAAAATAATAAACGAAAATAAAACCTGAAAATCAATTAATTATGAAGAATAATATAACTTGGTGCGACATTGGGGAAGCACCAGAAGAGGAAGATCAGATTATTGCTTACCATTCTTAGATAGCATGTACATGCTTGTATGCTTAAATCGCAGTATCTGTTTTTATAGCCTGTTGTTAAGGTACAATCCATTGTCAATCAAGTGATAATCAAGTTTACATTGTCAATGAAATATTAACCAAGTTGACGTTATTCACATTCTGGATGACCAATCACATATATACCAATCCATAGAACACATTATGCATTCCAGGGCTAAAAGATAAGTATTTCATTTTGTATTGTGAGCATTCTGATTTCCACGGTATGGTACATTGTAATATGATAGGTGAAGGTCAATAAATTTGCAACAGACATTAGGGCTAGAACCCTAATCAAACTGCACGTGTGGTAGTGCAGAAGGTTTTTTTCTGTGGTGAGAATTATTACAACCAAACATACATAATAGAGGATGAAATAATCTATATACAGGGATTTTTTCTGTCTCTCTCTATTAGTACTAACAAAATATTCTCACACTACTAGTAAGAACACCATAGTAACAAAATTTACTATGGGCAAAGACATTCTCACAGTCCTCCAAACAGTTTAGTGAAAAAAAATTTTTGGTAGAAAAACATTTTTGAAGTTTAATATCCTACCATATACATTTGGATATCACCAGTTTAAGAAAGTAAGTGAAGATCAACATATACATATATACAGAGAGGGTATGAAATGAATGAGCAATAAGAGAGAGAGAGAGGTATTATATACCAGGGAATGAAATAGAAGATATTCAAAGGAGAGAGAAACATCATAACCAAGAGAGATATTTTTCACTGCCAACATGAATTTTCAATGTCAACTACTACCATGAAATGACAGAAAGAATAGCATATAACAACGACTACAGAGTAACCTCACATGTTTAAACGAACTAAGGACATTACTGGGATGAGATAGTAAAGTCAATACGTTTAATGCAAAAATTTCGAGATGAGGGTCTATTTGGCAAAGCACACCAAGAACTATATTACACACGCATCACCAACTGTAACTCTTTCGTTTCAACAATTCATACCTATCAATAAGATCACGATAATATAGAACATTCATACTAACATCTACCTTTTTTAGAAATGTCTAGATTAAACGAATATCAAGTTATCGGTCGTCGTCTCCCAACTGAGTCCGTCCCAGAACCAAAGTTATTCCGTATGAGAATCTTTGCTCCAAACACCGTTGTTGCCAAGTCTCGTTACTGGTATTTCTTACAAAAATTACACAAGGTCAAATCCGCTTCTGGTGAAATTGTTTCCGTTAACGTTATTGCTGAAGCTAAACCAACCAAGGTTAAGACCTTCGGTATTTGGATCAGATACGAATCTAGATCTGGTATCCACAACATGTACAAGGAATACAGAGATGTTACCAGAGTTGGTGCTGTTGAAACCATGTATCAAGATTTAGCTGCTAGACACAGAGCTAGATTTAGAAACATCCACATTTTAAAGGTTGTTGAATTAGAAAAGACTGATGATGTCAAGAGACAATACGTTAAGCAATTCTTAGCTAAGGACTTAAAGTTCCCATTACCTCACAGAGTCCAAAAGTCCAAGAAGTTATTCCAAGCTCATGCCCCAACTACCTTCTACTAAGCATTTTAATGTTTAATATATAAAACACCCACCCCATTTATTCGTTTTCTGTAATTTAATACATATGGTTACGGTTAATCATTGGATATAATCTTAAAACTTATATATATATTTAATTAATATATGTGAAATCAAATAGTATTTTTGATTTGTAGTATTCACATATTGATCTGTTTCTACGTATTATTGTATGACTGCCTAGAGAAGCTTGCAGTATATCTCTATCAGCCATACCACCTTGGTCCAAGCAGTGAACGAGGCGGAATAGGGATCCTACGCTTCCTTGAGTTGTTACTCATTGACAAAATAGCTCATAGAGAAACGAACGGGAGGTTATTTCAAACTTCTCTTAGACAACGACATCCGAAAGTAGCTCATTATCAAGTATATTCATAAAACATCACAATCCCAGTATAAAGTTTGACCAGACACTCTCTGATTGTCCAACTACAGAATCCACAGTATTGAACAATGATAATGCGAGATTCCGCGGAAATGTTTGCAATTCTTACTCCACACAATTTCCTCTAAATCCGCTGAAAGAAAAAACTCAAAATTTTCAATTCTCTTTCCACTTCTTCTTTTCTTTCTTTTACTTCACCACCTCAGAATGTCATACGGAAGTAAAGCAGCTGAAAGATTAGCAAACGAAACAGTATTAATCACTGGTGCTTCAGCTGGTATCGGTGAAGCAACTGCCAAGGAATTGGCTTCAGCAGCCAACGGTAAACTTAAATTGATCTTAACTGCCAGAAGAAAGGATCGTTTAGATTCCGTCGCCAAACAACTCACGGAAACCTATCCCGACATCAAAGTCCACACCGCGGAACTTGATGTTTCCAAAACCGAAACAATTGCTCCATTACTTGAATCACTCCCTGAAGAATTCAAAGACATTGATATCTTAATCAACAATGCCGGTAAAGCACTTGGAAAAGATCAAATTGGAGATATTTTACAAGAAGATATCTTGGGTATGTTCCAAACCAATGTTCTCGGTTTAATTGCCTTAACCCAAGCCGTTATCCCTATCTTTAAGAAGAAAGACCATGGATCTATTGTCAATCTCGGTTCTATCGCCGGTCTTGATCCATATCCTGGTGGAGGTATCTATTGTCCTTCCAAAGCTGCCGTCAATTCCTTTTCTCATGTTTTGAGAAAGGAATTGATCAGTACTAGAATTAGAGTCTTGGAAGTTTGTCCCGGTGCGGTTGAGACTGAATTCTCATTGGTTAGATTCAAGGGTGATCCAGTTCAAGCTAAAGCCATCTATCAAGGTACTGAACCTTTGGCTGCTCAAGATATTGCTGAGGTTATTACTTTTGGGCTTACCAGAAGAGAAAATACTGTTATTGCTGAAACAGTTGTTTTCCCAAGTCATCAAGCTGGTGGTGGTAGTATTCATAGAAAGCAGTAGACTAGCTCATTTCAATTGAAGTTTCATAGTATTGCCTGGAACGGTGTAGATGACCTCTTTATACCCCCCTAACCATCGTAATATGTAGGAGAATGCCCAAATCGAAGTCAAAATTTAGCGGTCGTGTCGCTACCCATTTCCTCGGGTATCGATTTGACCCCACATGGAGCGAACGACCCTTTGTGGATATTTCTTGTCTCAAAATATTCACGTCTTCTTATATCCCTCCTTTCTTCATATCAATTCTTCCATCAGCAATGTCATTAGGTAAAAAAGCAGTTGAAAGATTAGCAAACAAAGCCATCCTTATCACCGGAGCCAGTAGTGGAATCGGTATGGCCACCGCCAAGGAATTCGCGGCCGCTTCCCAAGGACATATCAAATTAATCTTAGGTGCCCGTCGTCAACAACGTTTAATTGACCTTTCAAACCACTTAAAATCCCTCTATCCCGCCATTCAAATCCATACTTCCTTCTTAGATGTGACTGAAAAAGAATCAATTTTGTCATTTGTCAAAAACATCCCGCAAGATTTCGAACCAGATATTCTTATAAACAATTCTGGAAAAGCATTGGGAAAAGCCACAGTGGGGGAGATCGAAGATGAAGATATTCATGGAATGATGGATACGAATGTGGTTGGATTGATAGATATGACCCAAGCCGTCTTGCCTATATTCAAGCAGAAAAACCGCGGGATTATTTATAATGTAGGTAGTGTGGCTGGTGTTGATCTGTATGCTGGTGGATCTGTTTATTGTGCACTGAAAGCTGCTGTTAGATATTTCACCGATTCCTTAAGAAAGGAATTGATCAATACGAAAATTGGGGTGATGGAAATTGACCCAGGAGCGGTTTCTCTGACTGAGTTTAGTTTGACTAGGTTTAAGGGTGATCAAGGGGCCGCTGACGCGGTATATCTGGGGACTAATCCTTTGGTGGCTGACGATATTGCTGAGATTATTGTGTTTGGATGTTCCAGGAAGGAGAATACTGTAATGGCTCAGACGATTGTATATCCTCAACATCAAGCTTCTGCTAGTCTTATTCATAGAGAGGTTACAACTCCAGAGTAGGACTACTTTCGTTATCTAGATCTACAAAAGATATGAAAATTGTTTACCGCAACAAGGTGAAAATATATAATAATCTATATCTATATCTAAAGAATCTAAAAATACACAACAACCTAAAAACTCAACTGTTCTAAAGTCTTGGAAAGCTTCGCAGCTCCATCCACCGCATCATTGCTATCTATACTGATCTTAGCCCTATTAAGTTCCAACCCAGCCAATAACATACATGCTTTACAAATCTTATTCGAAGATAAATATCCACACTTTTCACACCTATTCCCATCCTTAAACTCTCCCTTCTTTCTCTTCAAAGAAACAGATCCATCCGGGTTCACTTCAGTCTCATCATCGGCCGCAGTAGCAGCCTTCTTCTTATTCTTATATTGAGTAGTCACCTTCTTCTTCTTGGGTGCCAACACCAAATGTTCACCACTATATATAATATCCATAATACAAGACGGTCTAATCGATTCCAAAGCCTTCAACAACTCCCTCGCCGTTCCTCTAAATGCCTCTGGAGCATATGTACATTCCGTCGAAAAATAATCCAATTTCTTATAATGAGCATACAACACAATCTCCTTCTGATAGCTATACTTGAAAGGTTTTGATCTCTTAATTGGTGATCCAGCAGACTGAGTCAAAATCGCACATGATTTTTCCAATCTGGCAACATCACCCCTCAAAAGGTTCATTAATACCGTTTCGGCCATATCGTCAGCATTATGACCCGTAACAACATGGTTTATACCCAATTTGGCCGCACCTCTATCCAACGCTTGTCTTCTTAATACACCACAATATGTACATGAGGATCTTATCCCTGCACAAGAAACGATTTCGTCCATTGTCCAGTCGTATAAATCTTTATAGGAGATGATTTCGAGGGGCATTTCATATTGTTTTTGATTTCTTTTGACGGTGGCTAGTGAATCATCTCGATATCCTTTAATACCTTCATCGATTGAAAGAAGGACTAATTCTAATCCGTAGTTATAACGTTCATTTAAGGTTTTGAGAACTGACGCGAGGACAGTGGAGTCCTTACCACCAGAAGCTCCGATAGCTACTCTATCTCCGGGTGCGAATAGGTTGGCATCGGTGATGGTGTGATGGATTTCGGTTTCAAATACGTTATAAAAACATTCTTTACATAATTTTTGAAGGTTTTTTGGTCTTTTCATAACTGCTTTACGAGAGTGACAGAGTTCACATAACGCAGTCACTTTGACTTTCTTAACCGGTTTATCTTCAGTCATGATTGTTGTTGTTTGGTGGGTGAATGATAAATCAAAAGATGTTGAAAAGAAAGTTGGAAAATCAAAAGAAATAATTTATTTGATTAGGGCGATGGTGCGGCTCTGACTCATATTTCCCCTTTAGGAGTGATCAAGTGTCAGAGCAGTTCAGAGATAACTCTACTGAATCATAATGCTGTTGATATATCCTAGATTCTACCATTGGCTTTTCCTACTATAACAGCTAGCCATGTGTTTCACCATACACACGAAGTTTACTTATTACTATTTGTATTAGATATATAAAGAATATAAAAAATAAAACTATAAAAACAATCAAAAGTGCACATTTTTTTCATCTCACTGTATCGAAACCCTATAAACAGACCCCTCAAACACCCGAGATGACTTCTTTCACCAAACATAAAATCAAAATGCAAAAACAACTACACAACCTCCCAATAATTCACAAAAAAGCTTTTCAGTCTCTCTATCTAAACAGTAGCTTGGAATTCATCATTGTTAGCATTAACATTGGCATATCTGAACTTATTATGTTCTTCTTGGATCAAATCTCTTTGTTGTTGTTGTTCCTGTTGTTGTTCCTGCTGTTGCTGTTGTTGTTGTGGGGATTGTCTCTTTCCATAACCGTTCGAAGAAGTCTTTTCATTCTTTTCGGAAAGGACATTAATCTTTTCCTTCATTACAATTGCCAATTCTTGTAATCTTGATCTTTGTGGGGTGAGGTCAGTTGGTGTGAAGTTGATGAATTGTTTAGATTCATCAAAGGATCCATTAATATCATTAGATTCGATCATTTTATCCAAGACTTCGGTGATGGCTTCAGGTGAAAGTTCAAAGATTTTGGATAATCTAGATATGGATAATTTTGAATAAACTGATTTAAAAGTAAAGATATAAGTTCTTAATCCTTCAATTTGTAATTGATTCTTCATCATTTTTAATAAATCATCGTTATCTGGGAATAATTTCCAAATCTTAATTGAAGATAATAAATTATAAGCTTTTGCCCAATTTCCTTTATGTAAAGCTATAGAAGCATGAACAATATGATCTTTAATACTTTCTGGAGGACCGGTGAAGAATTGCCTTTCATGGAATTCTAATTTACTCTTAAAAGATTTGATATTTGCTTTACGTTTTGAAGAATCCTTAGCAGAATGAGATGCAGCAGCTAAAGCAGGGATTTCTATTAATAAAGAACAAGTTGAATGAACACATTCCAATAATTCTAAATTGATATGTTGATGGAATGGTAATAATTTTTGCTTTTCAACCGTGGTTGCTTGACTTGGATATTTGGTTGAAAAACCTTGTCCTAATAATTCTTTTGCTCTTTGAGAATTAACAACTTCATTCAAAATCTTATGAGATTCTTCAATAGAACCGGATCTGAAAGCACTTAAACCTAATTGAACTAATGCTCTATTATATTGGACTTGTAAAGTAGAATCAGCATTGTTGATGTTATTATAAAATTGAGCATCCAAGAATAAATCTCTAGCCTTGGCATAATTGTTATTAACAGCATAATAATAAATGGAGAATAGTATAGCATGTTCACCATAAGCTACATTATCATGTTCTTGTAAGAAACCACTTAAACCATCTATTAATTCAGAAGGTGTAGAATTTTTAGTAATGATAGTTGAATCTTTGGCAATATCTTTCCAAGCTTCTTCTTCAATTGATTTAATCAATTGATCAGGCTTATAATAGATATGTTCTAATCTTCTCAATACAATTCTAGCCAATTGTTCAGAATCTAATCTTACATCTTCTGGAGTTATGGATTCGGAATAAGATTGACCTCTAACCACTAATTTATAAACAATGTGTTCGTCCTTCAATCTTTCGATATAATCAGTAGAATGAGGATCAGTACTTTGTAAACATTTAGTTAATTCATCATCTAATCTATCAATTGAAGAAATGATGGATCCAAACATGACTTTAACCCCTTGAGTATTTGGAGTTGGTTCAATATCAATATCATCAGTAACTTCACCTAATTCAGAAACTTGATAAGTATTAATATTAGTTTCTAACAAGTTTAATAATGAATTAAGATCTCTTTGATTCTTTTGCCACATTTCAACCGGCATAAAAGTTTGATTTGAACTAGCATCAAATCTAACTGATAATAAAGTTTGATAAATATTAATTAATTCAAAAACACCATCACCTAAATGCTGTTCTAATAATTCTTCTAAAATTTGAATTTGTTCATATTTATCAACATTCTTTTTACCACGACTTTCAAGAATTTGTTTCAAAGTAGCAAAAACAGGACTTAAATGTCTAACACCTTGGAATCCACCTTCTGCTCCTTCTTCACCAGTTCTATTAACTTCATGAGCTGGTTCAGCTTTCAATGGTTCATCATCTTGTTCAAAAAGTTCTGGTTTTTCCCTATATAAATCATAATGGAATTGGAATTCTTTAATTTGTTTTCTAACTCTTTGTCTAGTAGTATTAAAAGCTCTAGCTTCAGCTGCATTCATGGTCTTATCAGCCTTTTCATTCTCAGCAGTTGCATTAACATAATCTTCTAAACTTGCTAATAATGTAATAAAGAAATTTGGAGTACCAATATTTTGTTGATTTGCTCTTATTAAATAACGACCTAATTTATCAAATTCAGTTAAAACAAGAGTCCAATTATTACTTCTTTTGTTAACATTGATGACTTCAACTGATTCTTTCATATCATCTAATAATTTATCTTTGGCAGATTTAACTACTTTTTTACCTTCATCATCACTTTCAGATTCATCACTTTCACCACCAGCTCCTTTAAGAAATGATTTCTTCAAGAAATAAGCAGGACCGGATGGACGACCTTCTTCATCAGAACTACTTTCTTCATCTGATTCATCTTGGAATTCTAAATCGGAACTTTCTTCAAGTTCTTCTTCATCTGAGGATGAAAGTAATTCTTCTTCAGATGTACTTAATAAATCTTCTTCTTCAGATGATGAATCTGATGTGTACCCAGTTACGAAAAAACGTGACATATCCTTACTCTATGTTGTATATGGGTGGTAAAATGTCACTTAAAAAAGATCTATAAAAACTGATTACCCAATTATGTTTTAATACAACCAATTGGTTTCTCTTTGGGTGGTTGGTTGTATAAAATCAGAAGAAGGAATTTTTCACTTTTTTTCTTTGAGAAGAGAAAAAAATTTTATTCTTAAGGATTAGAATTACACATAGAAGTATGATAATTACACCGCATCACCAAGCACCACTATTTGCACCCATTTCAGACATAGGAACAACAACCCTTGCCTACGTCGTCGCCTACGGCTCCACCTAATTATCCAAACTATAACTCCTCACTCTCAGGAACTTAAAAGGTTTCTCATTCCTCAACGACAACAAACAAATCTCCCCCTCTCGATCATCATCATCACTCATCTTTTTCCTAACAGTATTATATCTAATCCAAGACAATTTCGCATGTTTATTTATCCCCCCTAAAGATTTCACCTGGAAATAATAATGAAACACACAATAATCTACCAGTCCATTCTCAATCACAATATGCACTTCGCCGGTGGTTGAAATCGTCCAATTGCCCAAATATATCTTCTGGCCCTCTTTTTGATGCTGTTGAGGGGTAGTATATACAGGTTTTCCCGACTCGGAAATGGTGTCAGGAATCCCTTGCAGAATGTTATGTTTCAGGAGATGAGGGATGACTTGATCTGGAGGAAGGATGGATAGGACTTTGATACAGGTTCCATCGGGGTAGAAACGGATATATCTATAATAGGTTATCATTCTGAATGGGGTGGTCCAACTATTGGAGAATTCATGACGGCCACCTTCGCTATAATAATTGACAACACTGATGTAGCAGCCGAGGAATTTTATGAAGGGGCGATTATGGAGCATGGATTTCCAGGAGGAATTGTATTGGGGGATTATTTTGAGTTGATCTTGGGGGATTGGGAGGTCGAGGTCCAGGTGGTGGTCTTGGCCAAGGGGGAGGTTGGATAGGTATTGTTTGTTTTCGTGATAGATTTGATTGGGATAGATGTTGTAACATAATTTTCTCCAAAGTGAAGAAGTTCCAAATCCAAGATAGGCGAATTTCTTACATGTGATTGACATTGAGAACCATGATTCAGGGGAATCTTGGATTAATATCCCAAGAATGTTTATCCAGATATCGTTTGGGAGGTGAACTAAGGGGGAAACTGGTTTAATTATGATTTCTTCATGATTATCTAATCCAATATTGGCAAACTTAATAGTTAAATAATCAGTTGTTTCATCAGAAGTATTGGTAGGATCGGGAGCATTTGCATCTATATTCCTAAAACTTTCTATTAATTTATCAACATTTATTAATTTAAGTTTTTCTTCATCAATTCTTTTGATGGTATTTTTACCTCTTTCTGATTTTAATTTATGAATTGCTTGAGGTAATCTTTGAGATCTATACAATGTATCTACTCGATCATTGATCTTGAATGCTTTTCTATAATATTCAACTGCATCGGACATCATCCCGGAAGCTTCTTTTTCTACTCCTTTTTCAAATAATGTGATTGCTTCATTATCTCTAGATGATAAACAGGTGGAAGTAGCAGCATTAGATGATTTGTTTGAGATTGCAATTGTACTCATAGTGTATTGTATGCTTGTGGTTGTGTATTGTTAGTTCTTGTTTCATATGTATGATAATTAGGCGGGGCCGGTTGTGTATCGGTAAGAGAAGATAAGAAGATTAATAATCATCTCAACCGTTTTTTTTCGTCCCCCAGAATTTCGGAAAAGAAGATGACAGTTCTCTGGGAACTAAGATTAACATTATCTCCTCATCCCCATACACAGTAATCATCTACAAGGTCAATTGTATCTAGACGGGCCATCAAACGAAGCTACATAGTATGAATTAATATAGGCTTAATAAATATGTATCTGATTTTTGTGTTAGTTTCAACTAGAAATGTAATTTCTTTCAACTAGGCTTGAGGTATAGGGGCAGCATGTCAAAGGAGTCAATACAACTTGTACGTATCATAGTCCCTATCCGGACAGAATATATAAAGTTAGACAGATAATAATATAAATAAAGTTGTCTACTTTACCCCAGGCTACAACCGCATTTTTTTGGAAGCCCTTAACATTTCATTTGATAGTTTAGTAGTAGGAATCATGATTTATGGTTATTAAATTGGAAGATGGGAAGTAACCTACATGATGATTGTACAGCTGGTGATACAGACTACGGTATAGTCCTTATACAATCTATCAGAGAGGATTAGTAGCTATATAGATATTTTAAGAGGAGAGTAACTTAAACTTTATAGACATTGGGGGGAGGTGGAGATCTTTATTAAAGTTGTCAGTTGCAACATATTGAATTAGATCTATTTAATGTTGTCAATTATTATCGTTTAATTAAACGTGACTGTTATAACATACGAAAGGGGTTAGGCTTATATATCTATTGTTAGAACTATATGTTGTATAGTTGTGTTATGTGATATTTATATTGTAACAAATGTTTCAGTTTTGCATCAACAGAAAGAAGACATTGCAAAGGAAAAATCTAAAAAAAAAAGAATCTAAAAATAGAAAATCTGCTTAATGGAGCCATGTGTCAAAAGCATTGTAACACCTGACCTTTTTATTAGTATTAGAATATCTAATCTATCTAGTTACTTAGTACTAGATAGTTACCAATTTACGTAAATAAGAATCTTAATTTAAATTAGTTACAGAAAAGTTTACATTCTCCATTCATTACAATTGAATAGTCGATTAAATCAATTAATTAATCGTATTTTTATTTTTCACATAAAACAATACAAATATAATAAAATATTAATAAAGTATTAAAAAATAAAAAATTTATTTATAACAACATTTTTCTTTTCATCATTCATTCATTCACTTACTTTTCTTATTAAAAGGGTTACATTTCTACTGTTATATTTAAAACTAAAAGAATTATCTAATAATCTACCACTACCCAAACATCACTACCACAGCAACACATACTTTGTTTTCTATCCAATAGAAATCTACATACAATACACGACTATTACTACTACTCCTAATCAACATCTTTCCATTGTTCTCAATTGATTTACTTATTTAATTTTACTACTCACGCGTTAGTCTTTACTACAGGAATATACAAACCTCCACATAATGATGAATACAACAAGGAATACTACTAATTATCCTACTGAAAAGAATACAACATCTCCATTACATACATTGGAAAAACAATTAGCAAGATCTAAATCTCAAATGAAATCATCTAATCTATCTCAATATCAACAACAACAACAGGCTCCCATTGAAAATCATGATCGTGAAAGTATTTATTCGTTCGAATCAGTAAGTACAACTGGAAGATTACTAGATCGTCTAGAATTAGATATGGATGATTTATATGACGATTCAGGTGATGATTCACCAGGAAGTTTTACAACTATTCCATCAACTGGTAGATTATTTAATCGATTAAGTTTAAATAATGGTAATAACAACAACAACTCACGATTACCCAGTGACACATCACTACTCATAAAAACCCAGATTGGACCAAGAAGCCCAATTATAAGACATCCACAAGCTCCATTTATTCAACAACCTCAACGACAACAACCTCATCTAAAACATGTCCCCATGAATCTTGTGTTCAAAAATATAAACACTTCAATCGATGTAGAAGCAGATATGGCATCTTTGAAACGAGTTACAACTGCAGGAACAGTCAACACTACAATTCCATTAAAAGAAGAAGATCATCAACAACAACAACAACTACCTTCATCCCTGGATGATGGTGGTTCTTCTGCATCTACCCCAACTTCATTAACACCCTCGGAAAAAACATTGGGTTCACCCATGAATACACCATCATCACCATCTCCACCAACTGCAGCAAATGCCAGTCATTCACCAGAATCATCATCCAAAACCCGCATAAAATCAGAAGAACAATTCATTAAACCACCACCACCACTCACAATAAGATCTCCATCTGCACCAATAGTCTCCACCAGTGAGCACAACACCCATCCAGAAAATCTCCGTCGTTTCAGTGCCGACAATGACCCCCCACAACAAGCACAACAACAACCCAATGAAGAAGCCCAAATCATCCAAGAAATCATCGATTCAAGACTAAAATTCATCCAACAACTCCGATCAGAATCAAATCACCGTGAAGCATCCTATCAACTCCAACGTATCGCCAATGAACCCTTCTATTCCACCCAAGCAATGTATTTATACGCCAAAGCCCTCAAAACCGGGTTAGGCGTCAAACAAAACTATAAACATGCTTTGAAATGGTTATGTAAATGCATCCTAATCACTACCATCACCACCAGTCCCACCGCTACCCTGGTAGTGAATTCGAAATTAACCAATCTTGATCCGGAAGAATTGGTTCTGTTTGTGATTCGACATCTTGAGAATACCAATGATGAGAAGGATGGATATCATAATGGAACACAACCCAATCAACTCGAATTAAGGTTTAAAAAATTATCAAAACCCCAAATCAAGGAATATGTGACTCTGTATAGGAATACTAGTGATATTTTAGCGGCGGCATATCATGAATTAGGGAGTTTTTTGATAAATGGTTGGGGAATTGATGTTTGGAAGGGAGTGGATGAGATGAACGGGATAAGGTGTTTACAAAAACTGGCATCGATGGGATATATTGGATCAATGATTCAATTGGGGGAAGTTTGGGGGAATAAAAGTAAATGGCATAAGAAGGATTTATATAAAGCTGCCAGGTGGTTAAGGATGAGTGAAGTATTTGGAGTTAGGTTGATTGGAAATAGTTGGATATATAAAGAGAAATATTTGAGTTAAGACTGGGATTTATATTTTATATAGATAATAATTTATATCAAGAGATTCTTATTTATAGTATACAATATTTGGTTGAGATTTGTAGATTCGATGATATATTTAGAATAGCATACGTATTATATTTAATGGATGTGGAGGATTTCCAATATCTAGAAAATACCTATTGTCATAAAATTCGATTACTCCGGGGAGTGAAACCCTAAGACAGACGCTACATTTTGTCGGAATCATGAAGTCATGCTTGATTGGCGGCAGGGAAACACCCATGTTCAGTCTGTGGAGGAACCCGAGCCATTGTGTATTGAAATACATGAGGCGAACGTAGTCCAATATAACTAAGCTAAGTAGACCTCGTTGGGAGAGAGTAGCGTAGAAGAGTATAATCTCAACCTAATGCAATTTTAACACCACTCTGAAACATTAGATTGAACTCTATGCCAAAGAAGGACCAAGCATGTAAATTTCATTTATGGGGAACCCTCGGCCGGGGTTGCTTTGTCATACGGCATTCTATTGTATTAGGGGGTTCCGAAGGCAAGGCGGAAAGGGGGCACGTAAGCACTCCATACACACTCGCTGATCCAAATGAATTCAAAGTTTATTGTGTAGACTTCAGGTATTTGAATAACCAAGTTTCAAGAAGGGGGGTGGGGGACGTGTCTTAATTTCATAATAGTAGTACGTTGGAATAGGACTTAAAAGCTTCTTTTGACGTCCCCATGCAAAATATGATTAAAGTTTTAAAGGGGTGTGAAGAGGGCGATAGGGGTCCGGAGGAGGTTAAGTGTGTCAATAGCGTGGTAGCCGGTAGGCTCACCACCCCTTAAACCATTCTTTTTGCAACCAAAGTTTTTCTCCTCATTTTTATCTTCTTTTTTGACAACCAAGAAGAAACACCACAGGAATCTATGAATCAACAAAACGCTGCCAAAAAGAATCTCTTGATTCTATTACTACCTACAAGAGCAGATTGCTCACAAACAAAGATTCAACTTATACTCAGTCTCAAAAGGTAAGATGCGGCAAATGCGTAAACGCAAAATTGATAAACAGTGTAATTCTACACCTACTAGAAATGGGAAGTAGTTGCTAATGGTAAATCTTTCAACAACTCTTGCCGATCCGACTTATCTCAAAGTAACTCAAATTAAACTCCAAACTACTTCGGGATGCGGCGGATAGGCTGAAATGAATGAAAGATTTACGATTTGCAAGTACTTCCCATTTCTTGATTTGTCTAGGTGTGTTGGTAGACTAGTTCAGCTCTTGGAGTAAATATGACTGAACTTTCTGTCAATGTGTATAAATTACCTTAACTAAACTTAGATAGAATTGATTGTTCTTCCTTAAATTGTAGTCAATTATTAGAACACCCTCCTGTGGACAATCAATTAATACTAAAACGAAGAGCCAATTGTAATACACTTTGGAAATTCACTTTAAAGATTCAAATTCCACATCCTCCTCGATATCTCCTACCAAAACATCAAATGATACTGAACGACAACAATCAAATGAAATTGTGAATCCTCACATAAATAGGGCATGTCAGGTTTTGGACATAGCTAAGGATGATAATATGCTTTGGAAAATTCTCGGTAATAGAGTAGCCAACTTGAAGGAATGTCTACTATTAGCAGCATGAATAACTCACACTTTACATAGGCCCGATACTATTATCTAGAATAAATACATAATGCTATTAGAGTTGCTCTATATCTAGCTGCACTACATACTACATATACTATTGATTAAAATGCCATATGCATATCGAATACTATCATCTCTCAATCCTATAAATAAATACACACACACAGTCTCTAATTACTGACCACTTTGTAAAACATACGTAATCGGTTTTGTCAGATTATACTTATTATAAATCTCCACAAACTCCATCACCACCCCATATAAAACCGCCGTCAATTCATTCAAATTCGAATATCCCCCCAATGGCAAATAATACCCCCCTTCACGAGGTCGAATATCCCCACGATAATCTCTTACATTATACCATTCCTGCACCTGTTTCAAATCAAGTGATTTCTTATACCATACCCCGGGGAACTTGGTGGCAATACTCAGGTCAAGAAACCCCGGTTTGGAATTCATGAAATATTGGAGGATTAATTGAGAATTCGCAATTGCTGACCGTTGTAATTCGATGATTTTCCGATCGAGTTCGCCGGTGTCGTTTTTCGTGAGATAGTGATTGATGACATCGTTTAGGATCGCATTGGTGCGTTTCAAGACTAATCCGCGGGTTTGATAGAGGATACAAGTTAGGATCTTGAGGAATTCGCCAATTATGGTAGAAGATTGGGAGGTGTGAAATTGTTTGATTCGGGAGATTAGGGATTCGATATCGGAGTCGAGGATTTTCCAGGATCGTTCACTAGGGAGAATTTGGGTGATTATTTTTGATCGTTCATCGTAGTCGGCTGAGATTAGACGGAGAATGATTGAATCGATTTCGATTAGGATGCTGAGGAATTCATCGCTGGTGGTTTCGGATTTTGATTTGGCGGATTTGGCGAGTTGGAGATAGTGAGATTTTTTATCTTGGAGAGTGAGTTTGATTTCTTCTCTTTGGGATTTTGATAATGGGGCAGTGGGGGTGGCAGGGATGGGTTTGATTATGTCTTCGATTGGAAGGTTCTGTTCTCGGTTGATTACATCCTGGGTGAGTTTTTTTAATCGTTCTCGTTTCTTTTGTTCCTCATATGATGATGTGGAGGTGTATTCTGGAGATAGGGTTCCTGCTCTTGAAGTACCTTGTTGTTTTAGTTTATTTTCAAGATTTTGTAATTGTTTTTCCTTCGTTCGTAATGATTCTTCTAATTCATTCAATGCTTGTTCTTTTTGTTTAAGTTCATTTTGTTTGATACTTATCTCCTTCATTCGTGCCTGCCACTGCTTATTATCTACTTCTTTCACTCTAGCAGTTTCACCTACTTCCTTTGATGGCTCCTTTACTCTTGCAGTACCCATTTCCTTTGGTGTCTCTCTTACTCTCGCAGTTTCACCCACTTCCTTTGACGACTCCTTTACTCTTGCAGTACCCATTTCCTTTGGTGTCTCTCTTACTCTCGCAGTTTCACCCACTTCCTTTGACGACTCCTTTACTCTTGCAGTACCCATTTCCTTTGGTGTCTCTCTTACTCTCGCAGTTTCACCCACTTCCTTTGACGACTCCTTTACTCTTGCAGTACCCATTTCCTTTGGTGTCTCTCTTACTCTCGCAGTTTCACCCACTTCCTTTGACGACTCCTTTACTCTTGCAGTACCCATTTCCTTTGGTGTCTCTCTTACTCTCGCAGTTTCACCCACTTCCTTTGATATCTCCCTCACTCGCACACTTTCACCCACCCCATCCACCTTCTTCAATTTCTCTTCCCCCCTCACATCCTCCTTCTTAGGCGACGTTGCTCCAATCAGTATCCCTAATCCATTCAATTTCACAGGACTACTCGGCTTCCCCTTAACCACTCCTCCTCCGCTTCCGCCCGCCCGGGCTGTTGCTGGGAAATTCCGTTTATATTTCATCTTATTATCAAATATCAACCTGACTAAAAACTTCGGTTTCTTGGTATCATCCATTTTATTTATCCATTTAATTGTCGTGCTTTTCATTCTTATATTCGTAAACTTTGACCCACCCGCTCCAGTGCCTCCAGGTGTAGATATGTTAGCTGGGGTGGATATGCCAGATGGGGTGGATATGCTAGGCATAGTCGGAATATTCGTGCTTGACCCAAATTGTGCCGGGAGCGTGGGTGATAGCATTGATAATGAAGATATATTCTCATCATCATCTGATGCTGAATGCTTTTTGATAAATGAAGTAGTTGAATGTTTTGATAATGGGATGGTATCAGAATCATCGTCATCACTTTCTCCTGAATATACATCTATGACATGCTGTTGCTCTTGTTGTTCTGGTGGGGATATTATTCGTTTTTTGGGATATGTCGGTTTCGGCACCGCTATATTCGTTGTGGTTGGCGTTCTTTCAGGCGATCGTTTCTCGTTGGGAATTGTGGAATCGGGTAATGTTGGGGATAGTATTGGTGGTAAGATTCCTGAATCTTGATAGGATGTGAATAAATCGTCTAAATTCCATTCTGGGGATTGTTTATTACTACTAGTATTAGTCAATTTAAGTAATGATGAATTTGGGGTGGATTGGGTCACGGTTGGGGTTGATGCTTTAGGATAGTTGATGTATGGACTTGAGGGTTTTGTTCTTCTCGGTTGGGTGCTATGTGGTCGTCTTGCTGTCGAGGAAGGTGAAGGTATGGTTGTGGTTGCTGGGGATAAGGTTTGTTGATGGTGGTGATGATGATGATGGTGTTGGTGATGTCGATCGGAATTGGTATTTGATGTGGTAGGAGTCCTGGCACCTCCACTGTTTGAGAATACAGACGATCTCATTATTTGTGTTCCCTGATGGAAATTGAAACGGAATGGTTGTTGGTTGTTGGTTGGTTGGTTGATTTTCAGTAGTGGGTGAAAAGCCTTAGTAAATTAGTTAGAAGAAATTTAGCACGGGAAAAAAAAATTGTTTGTGGGAATTCCGTACCACAGTACTAGTCTGATTCAAACGGCATTAAGTAGTACAAAAAGAGAGCTGATAGATAGAAAATATTGATACGTCATACAGCAGAGTGAGAGCCGAAATAACATGTTCCTCTGTTGAGTAAACACAACTAGTAGAGTTAATGTTACAATCATGATTTGCAGTATGACTATTGAGATGTATGGAACTAGAAATGCACAATCCTTTCTTTCGTCCCAGTAACAAAATTCAAACAATATCTGCAATCCATTCAATTCCCCCCATGGTTATAGAATTTAAAGTTAACTCAAAATTTTGTCCAAATTGTCTAGACAAAGATATTTTCAAACTTTATATTTGGAGAAGATTATAGATTTCTAAATAAATGTGGTTTAGTCTAATATAGGCTCACGTTTCTTTCTAACCATTATTCGTTTCGCTTAATACAATTTCCCCTTACATTCAGGGGTAGTTACAAACCAAAGTCAATAATAAATTAATATTTAAATTACTATGTTTGTTGCAAATTAACTTTGATTTATAAAAGTTGTCTGATTTGAAATTAAATAAAGAAACAATTTATATAAAAATATTTTTGCAACCATTAATTTGATTCATATGAGGTGAGTACAATAAAATTATATTGGACCTATACACAATTATGAAGTAATTAAGAGATTAATTTAAGACGGTCGTGTATTTTAGTTCAAATTAAGGTATATTAAAATTGTTGTTTCACATAATAAAATTTTTTTCTTGATTTCTTTTTTTTTTTTTTCCTAATCTTTCTTTCCTTTCTCCTATTTGTCCAACCAATCCTATTTGTATTACAACCCATATACCCTTTAGTGTACAAACGTATAATCTAGATACTACTACTACTACCACTCCTACTAACTAACTAACTAATCAGCATATATTACCAGACGGAAAAAACAACTGCGAAACCAACGCTAGCATAATAATCTTTCAATCTTTTCTCTCTCATTTTCATTCGTCCATTTTTTTTACGCCTCCCCTTAATAATCGAAACATTACAAATATGAATGAAGTTTATAATGAAGTACAACCTGCTAAATTAACAGGATCTAGATCATCTAAAAGAAGAAATAGCACCCATAGACAATCCCCATCTCCACAACCATCATCATCTTATCTCCCTTCACATGCTCATGAATCTTATACTCATGAACAAGCTACAGGGGGGAATAACTTGCCACGCACACGATCATCATCCACATCCTCAACTTCGATAACGCTGCCCACCACCACAACAGCCACCAATGAGCCATCATCATCGGCATCATCAAATTCATCCAATATACAAGACCTTACCCAATGGCCACCTACTTTACTGTATTTTGTAAATCGAAGTTTTGCAGAATCGAGAAAATTATCTGATCCTAAAAAACCCGAATTTACTCGTCAATTACAAAAAATTATTGAATTGGCAGTTGAAAAAAATATGATTTGGACAAATGATTGGACGAATCAAAAAGTTCCAATTTTACATGGCGGTGGTCCAATGTATTTAGCCTCTGATAGACCAAGACGTAGTTCTCATTCAAGATCTAGTAGTATTAATGATGGCGTAGCCACCACCACTACAGCAACAGCATCCGCGACCATTCCAAGATCCGTAAGTGACGCATCCAGAGCATCATCTATCCTGCTAAAACGTGCTGGTAGTGCCAACGAAGACTTTGATACCGAAGAAAAGAAACGTCAACGTTTAGAACGTTTCGAATCATCATCCCAAGTGAAAACCGCGACAACACAAATGAACGCGTCAGTTTCACAAGGAGGTGGATTTGTTGGTAGATGTACTGATTTAGAAAAACGATATCTTCGTTTAACATCCGAAGCTGATCCTGAAAGAGTTAGACCTCAATGGATTTTAGAACGATCCTTAAAGCATGTTACTCATAAATATCAAGAAACAAAACTGTATAATTATGTTATTGATCAATTAAAATCAATACGTCAAGATTTAACTGTTCAACATATCAAAAATGATTTTACTATTGTTGTTTATGAAACTAATGCCAGAATCTCATTAGAGAATGAAGATTTAAGTGAATATAATCAATGTCAATCACAATTAAAATATCTTTATTATTTAAGAAGAAGATCGGATGAAACTTTTAAAACAAGATTTTTTAGATGTGAAGTTGAATTTTTAATATATCGAATAATTTATATGATGATTACAAAAAAATATGAAGATGTTTATAAATTGAAATTAACAATTTTACAATCTTTTAGTAAATTTGATAAAACTAGAAGAGAACATATTCATTTTAAATTTATTGAATCATTATTTAAAATTAATGGATATATTTTATTAGGTAATTATATTGGAATATTTCAAGAAATTGCAAAATATAATTCAATTGATGATACAAAATTAGCTCGTAAATTATTTGAAAAGATTTTATTTAAAAGAATTAGAATTGAATCTTTGGTTACAATTTCAAAAAGTTATAGAATTGTCCCAATTGCATTATTAGTTGATAGTTTGGGGTTCGAAAATGAACAATCTTGTATTGAATTCTTAACTGAATATGAATTACAATCATATATATCAAAAGGTACCACGTTACAATTCACTCCTGAATGTAAACGTGATGTATTAAATATTTCCCAAACTCGAGAATTTAAAAAAGTGGATATAAAAGGGCAGATATAGTGGATCATCTCATACAATTGTACAGTTTTCTTGAGAGAGTAACACAAAACACATGCGGGTCAACACACAACATTTTCCATGATCAGTGATGAAGAACAAAGATATTAATGAGTTTTCAAAATCAGTTACATTTATTTGCATTTTGTATATTACTTATATAGCACCCCGTAAACACCTCTCTCTATATATAGCACACCCATCCATCTCTGTTTTTTTTTCTGTTTTTATGGTTTATATACATTAATCTAATGTTGGAGCAATCCCCATCATGGCAAAATTATACATATTCTCCAGATCAACATTATTCATATACCATTCAACCCTCTTTCTCAACCTTTCATCTCCAATTAACCCCTTCCTATCCCCATCTTCTTCCTCTCCTTCACCTAAATCAACTGGACCTTCTTTCCTCCCATCCAATTCATACAAATGTCCATCTCTCCCTTTGATAAAAGTAACAAAATGCAAACTAACCTCTTCTTCAGCACTCGGAGCCTCTGTCTGCCCTTGTGACCCATATTCTTCATCCAAATTAATACTCTCCTCCAATTCCTCCGCCAATCTAATCCGATGTCCGGGTCCTAACTCCTCAACCTTCTTAATAAATTCACTCATGATTGAATTCTGAACAATAAGATCGGCGGGAATGTTGGATAGGACATGCAATAACGCATACAATCCACACGCATTCCCGATCGTCTGCTTAAACCATTCCACCTGTTTGCCTGGGGGGATGGTGTGTTCTGGATCATGGGATTGGGATTCGGAAAGGGGGAATAAAAGGATGATTGCATATGTTGGTTGGGGGATATATGAGGATTGTTCGGGGTCGAGGGAGTAGATGTCGTGGAATTGGAGGAGGGGGGATAGACCGAGTTTTTGGGAGAGCTGGGTGAAGATTTGTGGGTTTGATTCGAGGGGGATGACTTGTTTTGGCATGATTATTAGACGGGTCGTTGTTTGTTTGATATGGATGGAGTGGATGATGATGGAGGGTGGATGGATTTGAGATTGCTGAATAATTCTCGGTGCGTTAGGACAAAATGGGAGAAAAAAATGCTGGAGTTTTTTTGCTGGGGGGAAGAGTTGGGAAGTTTTGCAACCAATAACCTTTAACAAACCAAATCTATGCAAACACCATCATTAAAGAGAAACAGATCCCATGAGCGTAACCTGATACTTTAACTTGGCCATGCGCGACACTCATAAGCTACTCTTGGGTTGAATCACAAGAAATATAATCCCATTGAAATTATACCAAGAAGTTCATTGGTGTCAATAATGAGAATGCCAAGTATCTTGGCTATTAGTCCAGGTTGCAATGTATCAATTTATTACATCAAAAGAGAAGTATGAACTTTTTCAAGGGTAGAGCCAATTGTTTTGAAATTCTAGAATGGCTAGAATGATTTCTATGTGGGTAAGGGACACTAACTAGAATAGACTGTGTATAGGGTAAAAAACAATAGTACCATTGCCAGGCGCGTTTTCTATTGAAACATATCAATCTTTCCATAGAGTTATAGAAGAGAAAGAAGTCTGTTAACATTCATATTGCCATTAACAAAGAAGTGTCCAAATGGTAGCCAGTTAAATCCAAGAGAAAAACACGTTCTAATTATTTATTTAATTCTTCATTGTTTAATTCACATGAGGGTCTTTTATAAATTTATTGCCGCACAACATTACACAACTACCACACGTAAAGTAACACCCACGCCGGATCAACGTTTTTTCTTCCGTTTTAAGGACTAAAAAAAATATTTATAAAGTTTATAAATTCTCATCACTTTAAATATTCATTCAAAACATTCCTACATTAGAGATACACACAGACCAGTTAGAGAAAGGGATGAGAGTATAGAAGATTTCAAGTTAGCCTTTTATACACAGATATACAAAGATACATTTCACTACTACAGAAGAACTCCCAGATCTGCAAACTATACGAGATCTCATCACCATGGCAGGCATATTCAATATGGATGGATATTCCGATGATCCAATATCCGAACTTACAACTCAACTAGACTCCTCCACATTATCCGTATCACCCAGAACATCTATAGGAACCATCAACAGCACCACCAGTAATAACAATATAAACTACCGACTTCTTCCAGATATAATCGAACCCCAGGCAGAAGACGAACATGACGATGGTGACATTCACACCCCGATGGACTATTTCCCTAGTGGTGGAATACCCATGCAACTGAATCAACGTCACCGAAGGAAATCATCAATCGCCAGTTCTTATGAAGTGAAGATCAGTTCTCCATATGCATATAGTAATCATCCTAATGGGATTGATATATATAAACCAAAACTATCCGATTTCGAACCGATAAAAGTCTTAGGACAAGGATCGTATGGGAAAGTCTTGCTAGTTAGGGAGAAATCTACCGGGAGATTATTTGCTCAAAAACAATTAAAAAAAGTTTCATTAATCATAAATGAATCCAACACGATTCATGAAAAAAATTATACTCGAACCTTGAATGAAAAAGAAATCTTATCAAAAGTTAACCATACAAATATTGTGAAATTATATTATACATTCCAAGATAATGATAAAGTATATCTTATATTAGAATATTTACAAGGAGGAGAATTATTTCATCATTTAGAACTTGAAAAATTCATGACTGAAAAAAATGCCGCCTTTTATATTGCCCAAATTATCCTCGCGATAAGATATTTACATCTAAACCTAAATGTCATCTATCGGGATCTAAAACCGGAGAATTGTATGTTGAATCAATTCGGATATCTCGTGCTCACCGATTTCGGACTCTCAAAAGTCGCTCTCGAAGATCAAAAGCGTCATTCCATAACCGGCACCGCCCAATACATGGCCCCCGAGGTCTTGGCTGGGGAAGAATATGACTATGCGGTAGATTGGTGGTCCCTTGGGTGTGTGGCGTTTGATTTATTAACCGGATCAGCCCCCTATACGGGTTCAAACCCCAAGAAAATCCTCGAAAAGATTAACAAGAAGGGCACGTTGAAATTTCCATTTTATTTAAGTAGTGATGCCAAAGATTTCTTAAAGAAATTATTAACGGTTGATCCCGATAAGAGATTGAATATTGATGAAGAATTTGAAACCAAAGTGAAGAAACATGCATTTTTTAAAAATATTGATTGGAAACAATTGGAAAATGCCGAAGAGAATGAGGTTATGCCTCCGATATTGCCGATAATTACTGATCCTGTATTGGCGGAGAATTTTGATAGTGAGTTTACGGAATTGGCATTTACTCCTCAGTTGAATAATAATTTGGGGAAGGATATTTTGAATATTAAGGGGTTCACTTATACGAATCCGAAGTTTCTTGATACATTCTCATAGAGTAGAATCTCGTTGAACGAGATGATAATCATGTAGATATATATAGACAGTGTATTAATATTTAATTATAATTTATCGAACAGAAATCTCGAAGCGTATGTAGATGATTATTCATTAAATGATTCTAAGCTAAATACAAATATACACACCCCACACCAAACCACACTCCAATCATCAGTTCACTCAAAACCGCAAACCTATAATCAAACCGATTCTCCCCAAAAAACAAATAATTATCCTTATACAATCTCCCAATCAATATCATCGCCACCAAATAATAATAATTCCTCAAATATCCAAACACCCCGAAAACAATCAATTCCCATATGAATTCATTCATCTCATTCAATCCCAATATCCAAGCATTCATATCCTCAATCAATTGTCCAAATCTCTTAAACACCGGATCTACTTTTATCCTCGAAGTTAATTGTCCAATGACAAAATTATAATTATATAAAATGAAATATCTAAATTTGATAAATCGATCAAGGTGGGGTTTGAATTCTGCCAATCCTCCAGTCTCTAAATTTGACGGAGAAGTTGTAAACTCAGAATTGTGGTGGAGATTATAGGTTGATAATCTATGTTTTAGTAATGGATATCGTTCTCCTTGAAATTGGGCAAGATTGTTGGTGGTTGTGGTTGAATCTTCTCCAATTGGTAATAATGGAGGTAATAACCACTTAAACCAGTTTATAAACTTGATTATTCTATTATTATGAGGAGTAGATGAAGTCGAGGGTGATATTGGAGTGGTTGAACTACTATGGGGATCTTCATGAGAATAATCTCCACCTGCTCCACCTCCAAATTCAATCTTGGTCCCGCCGGGTAATTTCAATTTAAAATTCCCACCTCCACCTCCACCAAAATGGGTTCCTTTTGTATTTATAGAAGATGTATCTTCATCTAAGTGATGATTTATATTTTCATAAGTTTCCTCTTGTTCAGGTTTGTTAATTTTGGTATATATCACCGTATCTGAACTATGTTGATCTTCTCTACCGAAATCTTCAAATGTTGCAATTGCAGTTGCTGTATTTAAATGATATGTATTTCTGGGGGACACTGAATATAATTTATCCACGAAATTTGAACATGATTGATAATCTTTGAGGGTATTTATTGTTGAAACGGTTTCTATACTTTTTGAAATATCCATGGGGGTTGCTTGAAATTTAGGTGATTCATGGGGTAGTAGATGTACATCTTGATTATTATTATTATTATTATGTAGATTAAATTCAATAGGTAATTTCTTACCAGTTAATTTCTTGGGTGGTGTTAATGAATTGGTTGAATATAACGTTTTTTGAGAATCATGAGTGCATATTGAATTTCTATTGGTACTTACTGTTGAATAATCGTCATCATCTAATATATTATTAATTAAGTATTGTATTTCTTGTTGATTATTATGATAATTATATTTATATTGATCTTGATATAACCATATATCATATAATTTTAAAAATTGATGATAAGTTGATTTATAGTTGTTTGGTGAATAATAATAAATTTGACTATTACTTAGATAGTACCCCAAAGATATGAAATAGATATTATATAAAGTAATATCATTTTGATATTTATAAACAATGATTAATAATTTAATTAATTCTTTGAAAATTGGATATAAAAATAAATCAAATAAATCCAATTTTGGTATAAAATGATTTGATTCTTTTATAATTGCATGAATGAAATAAATGATATAAGTAACAATTGATATTAAGATTCCAATTAATAAATCAACTATAAATTGATTACCAGCTGATGGTTGTTGTGGAATATAATGATATAATGATAACCATATTAATAATTGATATGATATTATAAATGCAATTATTGAATAATATGATTTATTATTCATTGCTATTATCACTTTACTTTACTCTCTCTGTAGTCCTATAGTAAGTAAGTAAGTAAGTAAGAGTAGTTGTGATGTTGTGTTAAATTCTTTGTGTATTGATTAGTTGGATAGTTGGTTGTAAAAAAAAGAATATAAGTAATGAAAGAAGTTTTTCTTTGTAATGCCTTCAAATTGAGATTCTTTTATAATAAAATAAAAATTATTCCGGAGTTTAATGAATTATATGCAGGATTATTACAAAGCAACTACCAATCTACCAATCTACATAACCACCACCATATAGGGAGTATATGTAACGCCATTAGTGTAAATAAGTCATTATTTCTTAATTTATCATTCAATAATTAAAGGCAATATCATACATAATCTACTAAAACATTTGCCTCTCTATCTCCTTCTCTCTTATTGTTGCAATTAAACTTTTTTTTTTATTAGAAAGGAGGGGTACTGGAATTTTTGAGTGTAAAATCTTTTTTTTCTACTGCTGCTGTTGGAAGTTGTGTGATTACTTATTAAATTAATATGCACTTACAAATATTTAAAGTTCTAGATTTAATTAAGAAGAGCTATAAACATCTCGTGATTCATTCATGTACTTTCCTCTCTCTGTTTCTTTATTGTCATTGGTTATAAAATCGATTCTAACTTAATTACTATGACCTCGTCAGATAGACGCCTGAAGAGTTTCAATTTGATATTTCGTATTGCAAATAAAACAGTACATACTTTCTCAAGATCATAGTCAAAATAAACTGTATTATTTACCATCCAAGAAGCACATAAGGTTTTTGATAATTTTATTAATTTCATCTATGTTCCTCTTCTATTCCATTTAAACAAACAAATCAAACAGGAATCATCAATACCCACAGCTGATTTTGTCCCTTCCCCCCTCATTTGACTCCGCAACGTGTTTAGTTTGACATGTGTTTTGAAACAGCACTAATTTGCATCAACCCGCGCGGCAACACCGCTACTTGTAGGTCCCGATTACATACTACAGTACAACTACCGATTCAATCTTAATGTCGGAAGCCTATTAATTTCACCCAGCTTCAATAAGCCCAATAATAAACTATATGGACATAGGCTCTCTCGTATTCCCATTCTATATGGTCGTATGACTTTTAGGTCTCCCTCCCCCACCAAGCAAAAAATAAAACTGCAACCTAAGTAATTTTCGCAGCCAAACACAACTAGTTTCAATCATGCCTCTTTGCTTTTGAAAATATACCTGAAGAGATCTACACAACGCAAGAAGGTACTAATTTTTAAATTCACATTTCAATTCATTAAACCTCTACATAAATATAAAACAGAAAAAAGTCTTAATATTCTAATAATCAGCCCTAATATAAACATTCAGTTTCAGCTGCACATAATCAAACAAAAACATTTCATCAATCAGATCACCATCCATCCCCAAATCATCCTCTCCCAACCCATATGAAGCAAGCAAAGAACTCTGTCTCCGTCTAGGCACTTGCAGTTGTTGGTGTTTTTTCTCTAAGTGAGAATCATGGATTAGGATCGGTTTATAGGGTCCATTCTTAAACACAATAAATAATTTAATATCCTGTTCTATTGATTTCAATTCGGGGATTTTGGTAAAGAGTTGATATTTTATGATTAGATTCAATTCATGAATGTTTCGTAATCGATCTTTTCGTAATTTGAACGAAATGGTATTATTCGGATTGGTATAATCATCATAGAATAATTTTATCTTTAATTCATTATTGACTTTTAGGGTGGTGGTTCTTGTCACACTTATATCGGTACTCTCTTTTTCATTATTTATGACTGGTGGCGGTCTCTGGATTTTTCTATCATATATGGAATCAACTGAGCTGGGTGGGGTTGGCATCTTTAATGAAGGATGTTCAATTGGGGTATGTACTCTGACAGGTGCTGCTGCTGCTGGTGCTGGTGCTGGTGCTGGTGCTGGTGCTGGAGATGAAAATATCGAATTGTTGGAAAAATCTGATGTAGTGGTGTTAAACGAATCGTCTAGCTCTCGATAGGACGGATAGTCTGGTTTTGTATTGGGTATGCGGCTGTCCTTATCCTTTTGGGATTTGTTGGGAGACTTTGGAGGAGACGCGGTTTTATTATTCTTTGATTTGAAAATTTTGGTGGAAAGTCTACGAAGCATTTTTTCAGTAAATGATTATCTATTTGGTGAAATATAACTAGAAATCTGAATCTAAATGAAAATACCGACTTATCTTGGGGTTTATAATGTAAAAATTTTTCTCCATATATTTGTGTACTATCTACTCAGATCTGGATGCAAGTTACTGTAAATCCGAAACACTTCAGACAATGGGTAGCTCAGACACTGACACAAAAAATAAACAAATAAATAAATAAATTAAATACACAGCCATCAATAAAAATTCACGCATAAAACAAGACACAAACTGATCTAATTAAATCCAAAACAAGGTACAAACTGATCTAATTAAATATAGGAGCAGAGAACAATAGGATATCAAACTCCACTACAAGAGACGATCTGAAACACAATAACTAAACGCGTTCCAGATCAGACTTAAATTAATACACACGCGCGTTGTCTCGTCTAAAGATGTATGTATTGGGTATTATATTAATACCATACTAAAACACAAACAAGAATGTTAGATCTCGTTACATCATCACAATGCATCCTAATTTCTCAACCACACATCGTAACAACCCTCCATGTTTCATATGTCAGCCCCACCACCCCCAACCACACCCTGTCGTAAATATATTCTTGTTTAATTTATGCAACAACAACAGAAAAATGCTTTGCCCTATCTAAGAATGTTCCGCATGATTCATAATCTTGCCTGAATTAAAATATATTGGACCATATGTATCTGCAACTTACTGTATTTAATTTAGCTGTAGTTTGAGCTCTGAGACAGTAATGGAGGGGGGTCGTAAAGATGAAGAGTCGAATACCAGATATCATCGTATCATTTGCTCGAATGGGGGACTATCTGCACTGGTGATTTTTGAGTGTCATGGACTGGTATTTCCATCTTGTTTTGGGAATGGCTGTGGATACCTTGCCCATGACTTTAGATTTTAAGCTTTCGAGAATATTCGAAGTAATATCATAAGCAAAAGTAATTTATGTATACATACCTCCACTCAATCAAATCACGTGTAAATTCTGATCAGCTCAAGAAAATTTCCATCAAAGCACAAGAAATACGAAAACCGACACAACGGTTGGTCACAAGAGGGACACCAACGACATAAGCTTTTTTTCTCCGCTTGGGAATATTTTTTCTCCTTGATGGTTACTATGACAACAAACAATAGAAAACAAACATAAAAAATAATTGCAATCAAATTTCCATAAAAAATAAAAACAAAAACAATAACAATAAAAAGTTCAATAAATCTTACATAAATTACTTGCATTGATCTATTTTAATTTAAAATTTTGATATTACAAACTATATGCCATACATATTATAATACTAATACAGAAAACAAATAAACAAACAAAACTGATCAGTTCTTATTTAGACTAAAACTAACTTTTGAATGACCTTTGATATACTCTAACAACTCCTCATCCTTCATGACTGTCTTTTTGTACCGACTCTCCTCTTGTTGATGTCCATTTTGGTGTTGAATTGGCTCCAACACATAATGGTCAATCAAATTATAATCCTTATAAATCTTATAAGAAAGTAATTTCTTCAAATATACAATGGAAATTAAATTACTTCTCTTAATTCTTAACATCACAATATCATCTTCTTTATTATTCAAGAAGAATTTCAATTTGATATAATCATTTTCACCAAGTTTTTCTCGATTACATTCATTCGGACTACAAGTCAACCTCTTCCTCTCGGGGAAACTTCTACCCACCGTCTGTGGGGTTGAAGGAACACTATGAAACCCACGTAATGATACATTTTCTTTCGGACTCGAGATCTTGAACAGATCAAGATTCGTAATTGACTTTGTTGAACAATGCATGAAATTCCCATTACTATTACTATTACCCATATTCATCACCAGCAGTCTAGCAGAAGGAACAAAAACGAACTCACTTGGCAGCTGCTGCCGTTCAATCAGAGAAAAGCTTCCATTATTAACCCGTACCACCGGCTTCACTTCCTTCTCGTCATCAGTATGAGAAAGGATTGATGAATCTTTAGTAGCAACCGAAGACGAAGACGTCCTGAAACTATCATCATGCTCACTACTAGAATCTTCTTCATGTTTAGATTCAGTCAAATCATCATCATCATCATCACCGTCATGATCATATCCATCAATCAAGGAGGAATAACTTTGTAATGTATATGCACTGCTTGAATGGGATAATTGCTTTTTGGTGTCTTGGTTGATATAAGTTGAATATTTGGAATTATGATCAATGTCGGAGATTTTTGAAATTGATTCATGGCGTTGATGGATGTCTTGGGTAGGTGGTAATGGAGCCGTAGTGGAGAATGTGGATCGAGCGGGTGAGACTAAATCTTCTAAATCTATTGAATTTGGGTAGAATGATGAGATTAAGGTATGATCATTGATGGTGGTTTCGGTATTGATGGAGGTTTGGAAAAATGGGCCACCGAAGATGAAATCATGGATTTTGTTGGATCGTTGAATTTCCTGGTGTTTGTGGATCAATTCTTGGAAATAGATATTTAAATCGGATTGAATCTTTCTTAAATCTGACATGAACTTATTGTCATATTTTAATTTAGATGAATGAGGGATGAAAAATAATGGTGGTGGGAGTTTGGGTAATGTTGAATGATTTTCCATGAGATTAAGATGTAGATTATAAAATTCATGATAACGTTTCCCAATATAGACAATCTCACAATTTGACATTTTTAATTCAACCAAATACCATAATTGTTTTTCAGTATTCTGTAAAACCCGAATAATCTTAGAATTGAGAGGATACACCTCAAGTTGAGCATCCTCCTTTACAGTATTAACTTCCGGATCATTCACCATTTCATTCAACCATTCCTGTGAGACTGGATTAATGGGATCATTAACCGAAATTTCCAAAAAAGAAGCAGGTACCAATCCAACTCTATCCTTCAGCTCTAAAGATTGTACTTTTACCCAACCATTCCCACATCTCTCTAACAACATTAAATATTCTTTTGGCAGTACACTCAATTCATATTTAGTCTCCGCCTGAAATTTAAATTTGGAAACCAAAACAACAACCAAATTATTAGGAGTCGCCTGCGACTCAAAATAGGCTGCGATTGGATTTTCAATTTGTGAATTTTGGCGTTGATGTTGGAATGATCTTCTTGGTTGTGAAGGGGATGGAAGTGGGCAGGGAGCCCGGAGTGGGCCTGAAATGGTTAAATGTTTCAAGTTTTTCTTTGATTTGAAATGTTTTGATCTGAACAAGCTTGTTGACATCTTGAATCAATTTCTTTTAGTATAGATCTGGTTCGTTTGTTTTTGGATCTTAATTGGAATATCGTCTAGCGTAAATCAGGTTTTGGAAAAAGATAAAGAAAGAACCGACTGGGGCGGGAAGTGTTTAATAAGTAAAGACCAAAAAAACAAACAGTGACACGAAATAGGGACTGCGATGGAGGTGAAATATAAGACAATTCTTAACGTAAATACCAATTGACTATCAAGGAAATTAAGTAAACAAATAGTTAAGGTTTTAAATAAACTTCTTGGACGAAATTTCCTTTTTGAAAAAAAAAAGAACCATCAAGAATAAAAAAATATTTTTTAAATATTTCTGTTAAAATTAAACTCGGCTAAACTTCGATCAGAAAAAAAATAAAAATAATTTTTTAGCTAAACATCTAAAATTATTTTTTAGATTACTCGGCGACTACGACTACCCCTATCAAAAACAATAAAACCATCCAATTAGGAAAATCACAATAGCGGTTTTACTTTTTCGAAATTTACCAATCATTTAGTAAATTTGGAGTTCGGTACTGATTAAAAATATGGCGATAGAGCCACCCCCTCACGTCTCAATGGCTTTACGAGGAGAGCAAGCTACTCGTAGATTCAGGCACTTGCCTATAACAACCTGACGTGTTCTTCTTTGCCGTCAGTTGATTAGAGATACATTATTACTAATGAATTATTCATTTTGAGTTTTTGTTCAGTAATATGAAAAGGTTAAATTGAAAATTGCATCATAAATGCAATGAGATGTGTATCCAACAATAGAGAAAACAGAATGTCCACTATTATGCAGCGTCCTTCTCTAAGGCGGTATCAAATCAGTCTCCAATACTGCTTATGAGAGGGAAGGGACTAAATATGACTCTGATCTTTGTCGGGATTAGAACGATTATAATTTTGAAGAAGATGATAAGGGCAAAAAATCCGAAAAAAAATATTAACAAAGCCGCTATTTTTCGACGAGTGGGACCACTGAAACAAAATGTGGCTGCAAATGGGTTTACGAATAGCGTAAGACGATACCCTACGGGGAAAACTTTATCAGGATTTTAGCTTTTTGACAAGAGTGTTTCTTTTAGCTGGAAGAGAAAAGTGTCATTAGGGTTACAGAAGTGGGCTGTCATTGGATACTTTCTATTCTGGAAAAGTTTAAGATATGGAAAAACGAATGCATTATGACATAAAGCTTCCTGATTCCAAGGATTAGGTTTTGGATCCTTTTGTTTTTTCTCCAGAACCTAAATACTGAGTTTCTGGATACTTTAATTAAGAACTAAAAAAGGAACTATAGATGTCAAGGTTATAAATAAGTTTTCAGTTGTTCACTCAGTTATTTTCGTCATTTCAACTTCACTAGAATCTATTCGATGCAGTCGTCAAGTCAATCTCCACATAGAAGAAGAAGAATTTATAAAAGGATTTGTTCCAGAAATGTATGGAAGATTCATTCGATTTTGTGACAATTGTGTTTTAGAAGAGCATGCTCGATTCATCCCTTCATTCTTTCATCTTACAACCCCTGGGGCAATAACGAGCGTTTGCCGCACAAGATGTTATGTAAGGTATTACCTACATGCGCTGATTATTTGCAGTTAGCACTTTCAGATATTTGATCCTTGTTGCAAAGTACAACCGAAAGCTTCTAGAACATGTAATCATTCGAACTGTCCTTTTGTTAAGTAAGGGAAGTTTAATACACTAATTATATGTTGTACAATTACAATACTACAGAAAACTTTCATATGCAAACAGAATATAAATAAATACAATTCAAACAAATACAATTAAAATGTTCTTAAAATCAACTTGTCATTTTCCTTCAAGAATTCAGTAAAATTGAATCTATCATCTTCGAGATTTATAAACTCAGAAGTGTTTGGCAATTTTATGAACATATCAGTAAAATACATTCTCCTTCTTACAAGTCTTTTCAAATCTTCAGTAGACTTTATTTCTTTTTTGATAAATTTTACAGCAATGATGTCATTATCCTGATTTGACACCTTACATTTAATATACAGAACCTTATCATCATTGATCTTGAAACTAGAAGATTCCGAAACTGGAGTTGAAGCCATGCCTTCTAGCTTCCTATTCAAATCCGTCTGTAAATCCCTTACTCTTGTCGAACCATTGCTTAGGGATCGTTTGATAGTTCGAGTTGGCGAAGTGTGACTAGATCCAAGCGAAGAAGATATAGTAGTACTCCTCTTCAATCCTCCTTCATTTGGGAAAGCAGGATTGGAAATAGAAATCGGAGATGCCAACGTCTTAGAGCCATCCTTCTGCGAATGCTTCTGAGGACTTCCTCTTAAGGAAAACTCAGAGTTACTTCTGACAATCAGACCAATTTTCTGGGGTTCTGCAGTACTCAGACCTGGAAGTAAGGTCAGTAGGAACTTATGCTTACTTGCCGAATTTTCAACCGATCCTTTCAGGCGGTTGAATTTATCTCCTGGGTTCGGATTCCCCCAATGTGGACTTATTCGAATTCGAGAAGCTTGTTCATGGTTGTTATACATATTTTTTGAAGCTTTTCTTACTGGAGTTGTTACTGCTGGAGCCTCCGATGCCAGCTCTTCTTCTGGTATCTTCAACGATTTCCTATATTCCTCTACCACGTTAATAGACTCTGGAAGGATTTTCTCATTGATCTCAGTATCAGTAAAATCCAGTACATCATTCTCGGTATCGACTTTAAATCCTGGTAGTGACCCATATTCAACCTCTAGCCATGCCATTAATTGAGGACACATCCTGTAGTATTTATTCAAGATGAGTTTATTTATATATATGTTCAAAGAATTACACCTTTTCAACATTTCGGTGATTTCATGGGCATTCTGATTTTCCGAAATAGGAATTGGTTCAGGTAATTTTGGCAAATGAAGAGCATCTTTATGTTCCTCGGGTGGTTTAGTTCTGTTGGCAAATGCCGATAAGTTGATATGTAAATTATAAAAATCTTGATAATACCTACAGAGGAATCTTTTTGAATGATCGGAATAAGCAACGTCTAGTCTATACCAATACTTCCCCTTATAAGACAAAAAGTTTGAAATCGAGGCATGAACCGGGAAAGGCTTGTTGTTTATAGTAAGGAATTGTGTGGTAGACTTATTCAACTGTACATCAAGGAAATCGTTGTCGTCAAATATATTGGGAGGTTGTCCTCTCAACCAACTTAAGGTTAAAGGATGAGTGGGGTCATTAATAGCAATATCAACATACGAAGACGGGATTAAACCTGGCTCATGAACCCTTTCCATGAATTTTACCAAAATCCACCCATTTCCTATCCTGTCTACTAACTTCAATAACATTCCCTTGTTCACGGATAATTCATCATGCCTTTCGGCTTTGAAGTCATACTTAACGATCACAATAACATTTGCCTTGAGTGTTGAACTTTGTTCCTGAATATTGGGATTGGAAATTTTTAATGGGCCCAGAGGTTGGTTATGAAATGAAAATAGTCGATGTTTTGGAGATAAATCAATGTCTCTAGCGATCTCTTTGTCGTCTGACACAGTCGCCGACTTATGAAAGGAAAATAGTTTGGATTTGGCCATTTATTTGAGTGAGAGTGAAGAAAGAAAAGACCGTAATTCAAAAATCAATTTTAAAACAACCCAAGTAATTAATACAGAAAATGGGTTCAAAGTGGTGTGAAAAAGAAATATTTCCTTAAAAGGGTAAAAGCTGGGCGAATTACTTAATCCGTTTTATAGAGAAATTGAAGTTCTACTCCCACTACTTATAAAACCAGTTGGTGACACTTTCACTCTGGCTTATGACCACCCTAGGATAATGTCTTCTGTATAGAATACAGCTAGTAGTAAACACTACACGCTCCTTTCTTCAAGCCAATAGCTTGGGACTCCAGATTCTCGTTTATTTTTTTGTTGGTCTATGTTTACGATTCGTGAAAAAAATATTTTATTTTTTACTGTGAGTTTAATTCGATTCTATGGGCATTATTTGCATTTGCATGCACATAATTTGTTAGAGGTATGATTCTATTTTAGGACAATAAATGAGAAATTGGATTAAGGTTATTTAAGTTTCCTATTCCCATCAGTTCATTCAGTTAACTCCGTTCCGTAATAGCACGTGTTTAAGATTCATCATTATTAATTTTTTCAAACCTGAAACATTTCAGAGAAGTGGTGTGATCTCCAAATTCGCTGGAGAGACGATTTTACCCAATTAGAATAATGAAGGAATCTAGGTATTTCGTTTTACATTGGAATTGTGAGTTCTCAGTTTGTCATTGACCACCTGATGTTTTGGAATAGAGGATTAGGAGTGTGAACTAATTAAATTATTTTTAATACTTAAGGATACGGATTTCCCTACGGGATTGAGTTTTGGATTTTTATTAAGAGAGATTTAATATGAACATAAATTTAACAAGATCAGAATTATAACAACTTTTAATTATTAATATAATCAAAGAATAACACAGTTAGCTCTTCAGCAATTATTTCAGTCTCAGATATCTTTAACTAGTCTAAATAACTATATACTAATTTCATATTCGACCCCCGGTCTGTTCTATAACTTTCAACTTGCGCTTCCACTGCCACAACGGTTTAGAATCGTATTTTATCTTTTCAACTTAACTTTACGAGGTTAGTAAGATCCATTTATACGACGACAGGTATCTCACTAACATAATTTCAAACCATGTGCATGTACATGGACTAAAAATAAGGGCTTCGACCTTGATTTAAAACCTTAAACTATAGGTAGAATAACTAGTCAGTGAAATCTAGATTGCGGTTTCTAAGAACGGGATTTCGGAAAATCTTGAACAATAAGGTCATTTCCGAAACACAAAGAGAAATTGTAAGTTAAAAAAATAATGGATTCCTTCGCCACAATTATTTCGTCGAAAGTTAAATAAATAGTTTAAAAAGTCGCCTCATATTACGGAAATCAAATGATTACTTCGGATATACCGCAAAAAGTTTTGATAGCCTAATATCACCAAACAAAGAGTGAGAAACAAATGGAAATTTATACCAATAAGATTGTTCAAACTCTATAGTCCAGCTTGAATGTACTGGGAGAGTAGGCAATTCAAGAATGTTCCTTCTGAAGATTATTTGCTCCAGTAGCCTCAAGTAGCGACTTAATTACCCCGCTTAAACCATTGCTTTATATTTTCATAATTCGCAAATCGATTCTAAGGAGCAGCTGACACATACAAAGGACCCTTATACCATAGATGTGAAATAATGTGTAAAATAATTGAAAACTAGAAAGTTTCTATTTATAAAGTAATTTGTATCCATCACGCGAACCAGATTCTGAATAGAAGAAATCCTAACCTGGATTTTAATAATGATGGGTGTTTCTCGACGTTACTCTCCTTCCGGCCATTTGTGCTTAACTAAACAGAAGTAAATTAGTCTTGCTGGTATTCCGGAAGTACAATATGTATTGAAGAAATAAAAGAAGAAAACATTAAATAAAAATTGTCTGATTAAAATTTTTTTTTGAACCTCATCTCGGAACACACTGAATTCTTTTTGGTGGTGGCCGGGTTTTTTTGATCCATGTACACGACTTGGTTGCAAAATTTACCTTTGCTTAGGGCTACACAAAAGAGCTGATATACGGAGAGTTTGGGGAATTAAAGAAGAACGCCTTCGGTCCACGTTGTAGTTTTCTAAAAAGAATCTGACAATATTTTATAACACAAGCTACTTTTGGCTACCTTGTCTTCCGTAAGCAAATAATTGCTAGTTGCGCAACGTGTTTAACATGAAAGACAAGAATGAAATATGCATAGGAATGTTTGGCCACTCTTGGCTATGCTGTAGACCCTGTACCATCGGGCTTAGTACTCCTAAACCCTGTATTGTTTGCATCAAAAATGTATTTTTTGATCATGGCTATTCGGAATCTATTTATAACACTATTATTTTTTTTAATCCTTTCTCACCATGATGCAAGGATACACAAGATCTTTTCAATTTACGATAAAGAAGAATCAATCAATTGCTTCCAATGACGTATTGCGCGTTTATTATATGTAACGGTCTGTAATATCTAGGCAAGAGCATTGTTTTAGACATGTAGATGAGAATAAAAAAAATAAATCATGCCATCTTTTATTTAAGTTCTGGAAGACTCAAAAGTAAGACGAACCAAGGGCCTCTTTGTTATGTAGCAGGAAGGCCGTTTCTATTGTCTGAATTATGCCAAGAATAGAAGATACTTGTAAAAATATGGGTATTTGAGAGGATGCCGGCATCTCCATATTCTAATCCAACCGCCTGTTAAAGCTGAGGTAAAACAATGGGTAAAAGCAAAACAATTGCAATTAGCCGGCCCGATATCTCACGAATAGCCGTAATACACCTAGACTCAAGGCACAGCATCACCGTAAAAAAGTCGATGAGGTATATTGCGCTCCTCTAATAGGTTGCGTGAACAGAGAGTTAACTGGTTTCTTTAGGGTGTATTGAGTATTGAAATAAAGTTTTTATCCATTTTGTGTAAAAAAAAGCCACCATCATTTCTGTTCTTGGGCAAATTTCTCAGGCAAAAGTAAAACAGATAAGCAAGCAGAAATTATTTGAAAAGCAAGTATATGTTATCTTAAGCCAACTTGTTCGTCGTATCTTTTTGTATTTTGTCTTGTAATTTCATATGTCATTGTTTTTTTTGCCCCGATCAATGATTGTGTAACGAATTCTTCCCCATTGTAGCTTAGACAAAAAAAGTTTAAAACGTGCATTGTATATTTGCTAAAGTGTCGATCCTCTTGAATCCCGAGAATTATTAAACTTTTTCCACATAATGATGCAATGGATTTCCATTTTCAAGAAAATTCTTGTCTTCTTATTGTTTTTAAAAGATCAAAGTGTTTCAAAACTTTAATAAACTTCTCAGGCTATCTTTTGCCCCTCATTCAATGGACCCCTACTTGGGAAAAAATGATGCCTCGGTGTGCTTGAGAAGATTACAATTAGCGAGGCCAATTAGATTCAAGTTTACCGCTAAGCCTCCTATGCATTTCTGACCAATTTTGTATCACAAATTTATAACTATCGTTTGATCGTTCAACAATTGTTTTAAACAAAAAATTTTAGACTTTGGAAATTAAAATTCTAAATAGGGGGTGCATCCAACTTTAATATCGTTTTACCAATAGGAAATTTGGCTTAAAACACACCATGACCCTGATTAGCTAAGGACTAGCTATTTCTTGGGGATGAAAGAATTTCTTGGATGCGTGTGCGTAATTCTAATTAATCTTGATTTTGTTTTAAGTTTTGCTCATAAAAACAGAATCACAAAATGCGGTATTCAAAAAAAGACTGCAGTAAAGACAGCCAGCCTAATTGTAACGAGAAGTTTAGTTCAAAATTATAAGTTCGTGTCATATTGCCTTGATTTCTTGTTTTTCTAAAAGGTTTTCCAATTATTTCTTTGTTTAAATTGATTTTATTGTTATCAAAAAGAAACAAGTCTACGGGATCATAAAATCAAAGTCACGTTATTAAACTTCCGACAACGTTTTCTTTTTTCTTCAAAACTTGTAAGGCTTTTTGAATAACTAGCCACAGAGATTCTGAGACCAACTCAACAAGGTTTATTCTTGTTTAATAAATTGACATCAACTGATACCATCTGTCCGGATATTCGCATTTCCATATGAAAAAAAGAATTCTAAGCAATCTACAAATTCTAAGCAATCTTCCACTTATGATTATATACTTGTTTATCCATTTCTCCTATTGTCATCCTTTCAAGGTTTTTCTCGTCAATCAATAATTTGTGAATTACAAACAATTGTCTAGCTCTGTGCTATGAGCTTCCATTTCGTTTCACAGATCCATTCGCTTTAGCTAGAATTTTTCTTTTCTTTTTCTGAATGTATTGTTACAATACAAATACACCCAAAGTTTGTTTCCATTTCGAGGAATTTTAATTAAATTGGGTAATCAAAATCAAGGGAAACCCGTTTTTGTGACCCTGATATTATTTAAAACAATTTATAAAACACTAAAAAGAAAATAATAAAATATTTTTTTTGATTTCGTAAAACCTTAAACAATTAAATTATATTTTTTTTTGAAATCATTATGGGTCCTGAATAAGCGGAAAAAATATTTAATTTATTAGTAGATTTTTAAAAAAATATTTTGTACCTTAATAATAATTAGAGAATTGATTTTGGAGTAAAAAAATTTATTATTCTCAATATGCATTAAAAATAAACTTTACTCAACTGTATGTTGCAATTAATGTTTTTTACTCATTCTGCATATGGAAAAGAAAATTTTATTTTATTATTTTTCAGAAGCTTTGAATTTTCTTTAATTTTAAATAAAAAATTTAAAAATATGATTAGATCCCCCATTAGGGAGCGCAAGTAGGTTAAAGTCAAGTAATCCCATTTATATTTCAAGTAAAGTCTCCTCCCACTTTCATTTAGAAAAAGTTTCTTTCTTTGGGACATAGATATAACTATCTTTATACTTATTTATCATTTGTTAAATAAACCCTCCGCTTTTTATAAGTTTTTGACTATATATATCCTATCCTGAACTTGGAATCACTTAACTGGGTTTCAACGTTCAATTTCATTCGTTACTTTCCATATATCAAAGCTTACTTACTAAAACAGCTGCAAGCCAGTTCCTACATAATTTGAATTAGACATCTCGCTATTGCATTTCAATTAGTTGAATTTCTGATAACATATTAGGTCAATCTCCATTACTTACGTCACAAAATGATGGCTACTCCCGACACTGCCTCCCCCACCACATCATTCGAAACTGAGGACACAATTAGATTAAGTAGTTCTTTCGTTAGTACTGCTTCCCCCTCAGAAGATTCCATCGATATGAATGGAGTTTCTAGAACAAACATGAACCAGAGTGGGCATGTTTCTTCTCTTTATCCAGGATTCAACCCACCAGTTCTCAATCTGCAATGCAATGATACAACACAAAGCTTTTCCGACTACGAACGTTCTAGCATCTCATCTTCAACTACCGAACTTGCCGATGGACTTTATCCTGGAAATTCAATTCAAAGTGAGTTTCCTTTACCAAATTACTCAATTTTTTCCAATACTCAAGCAGCCACTTCTGTAGTGTCTTTACCATTGTACGAACCTCCAAGTCATTTTCAAGGTGCTAATCAACTATTTAAAATCAACATGGAATCTACTCCCGATTTAGGTACTTATTGGTCCAATCACGCTATTGAAACTACCAGAAATTTAGATCTTGGCAATTATTCATATGATTCTATTTCAGAATACAATAATTCCACTTTACCTGATTTAGTGGATACAAGTGCTGGAAGCTTATTAGCTGAACAAATTCGAGAAGGAGAATACCCCATCACTCCTAATTTAAGTGATGGATCTGTACCTCCGATATTCCCTGAGAACAATGGCTTACCACCTTCTTGTAAGTCATCGGCCATGTACTTTGCATTATCCCCAATGTCGGATGAAAACTTAGTGGTATCAATTCCGAAATCAAATGGTGGTATTCACAAAACACAAACCCCTTCTTTACAACGATTTGTTGCTACCAAGAATAACATCTCCCAATATCCTTTAAACAGTCCTGTACTGTACACAACTCCCACAATGGAGACTTCCCCACAGTTTAATTCACTATATACTAAATACAACGGATTTGATTTCCAACCTCCTCAGTCGCCATTCTCAACGTCAACCACTCCTCCTATTGTTAATGCTGGACAACAACTTCCCACAATGAACGTGTTTCATCATAAGAGTGATACTGAAGGACTTACCAACTATGCAAATGCGCGATACGAAAGACATAGTTGTTCTTCCTTACATCCGCCAAAGAAAAAGGGAATCATGAAACCAACCAAAGAAAGAAAGAAGTGTGATGCCAATATCCACAACAACAAGACATTAGACGATGGAAATATGTTATCATCCTCTCCGGTAAAGAAAAAGTATACTAGAAGACGCCTACTTCCCAGATCTAAGAATGGATGTTGGATCTGTAGAATCAAACACTTGAAGTGTGATGAAGTTAGGCCTGCCTGTGCCAGTTGCAATAAATTTGGTATTGAATGTGATTATTCTCCAGATAAACCCGAGTATGTCATTAACAAGGAATTAAAGAAACAGAAGTTAATTGAGATTACAATGACAAGAAAGAGAAATTGTAGTGGGTCAAGAAAGAAAGTATGATAAATACATTCAAAACACCATAATTCCAATTTTTAATTCATATTATTTTAAAGTGATCGCTTTCCTTTTTGGAAGTTGTATCACGTTTGCATTTTCCTTGATTTTCATTTTTACCATTTCATTCAGTTCATTTATATGTATATTGTCCTTCCATTTTTTCATAGAATAACGCATCAGCTAAAAGATTGCAGCTTATTCACAATCATACACAATAACATTTTTTTCGAAGCTTACATAAGGCATTTTTTCGTTGGTTGGTTTCTCTTTACTTGATACTATTACTGCTTTCTGTGACAATTATTTTCTCTTCTATATAATTTTGTATATCTTACCATGTTTCTTTATGTCTGTATAATCAATAGATAATTCCTTAAACTTACAGGCTTTTTTCTTACAATAATAACTCAAACTTTATTTTCGAACTTTGCGTAATACTCTAATACATAGGATAAAGAAATCTGACATCTAAAATCAGTCATTTCATCTAAGTGGTTTGTTACTTCTCCCAATTCGTCCACTTCTGATTCGTTTTCTTCACTTTCTTCACCTTTACTAAATTCTTCAAACCTTTTTTTAGGTTAAGATGCTGATGCACAATAAAGATCAATTCTGCGTTATGCACACTGTGGCCTTTCGATCCGTTGGTTGCCCTGGTGAACTTAACTTTCCTCGGGCGGAAATCGAAGCCCGTATAGGACCCTGTAAAAGGGCTTAAGGTACATGTAAATCTTAGTCTAGCGGGATATGCATTAGCGATACGCTTAAAGGAGGTACATGTAATACTAATAGGCGAGGATTTCCGCAACATCTGGAATTGGGATTTCAGAACTAGTGAGCAAGACTTTTCGATCACCATATTTATCTATATATTTGTACATAGGAAGGATATTATAGTTATAATAGCTTGTTGGCTATAAATATTGGATCTTAGCGCTTCCATATGGTTAAAGTGTGTTTGCATCATTGTCGCTTCTTACTGATTTAAACTCAATTTACATATTTTACGTATACTTAAGATGCCATTTGATCCAATTGGCTTGTTGCTGATCCCAATTTGTTCACATTTGTTTCAATTTCGTCACTTTTAAACTTTTTATTAACTTTTGCATCCAATTTTTTAGGTGCAGAAACTGACGAGCGGATCAATTTTGGATTATGCAAGCTGTGGTATTTAGATCCGTCGATTACAGATGGTGAACTTGATTTTCCTCGGGTTGAATTGGTTAGTCGCTAGTGACTTAAGGTAAACCTAACTTCTAGCGGAGTGCGCCTTAACGACGCCTTTTCAGGAGCTACTAATAGGAGAGGGCTTCGCCAATAGCTGGAATTGGGATTGCAGAACTAGTGAGTAAGACAATTAATACAATGACATGAGTTATCTATATTCTTATGTGCCAACTGGATATTACAGTTGCTAGGTTTATAATATCCAGTTGGCCATCAATACAGTCCGACCTCCGGGCTTCCATCTGATTTAAGTGTGTTTGCATCATTGTCGCTTCTTACTCTTACGACTTGTTTAATCTCAATTAACACTTGGTACGTACACATCCGATACTATTCCATTCAATAGGCTTCTTGTTTTCAATTTGGCCACGTCTGCTTCGTTTTTCTTTAGTTTTGAACTTTTACAAATTTATTTGTTGCTTATATTTAGATTTAGTTTCCGGTTTAAACTCGTCTAACTCATGATATGTATACATTAGATGCTATCCCACTCTTCGGATTTGTTGCTTCTGTCGACTTGTCCAATAGTTGGTGGCGTTTGACATATTTTACAGAATCCCTTACTTTTTTAACTCACTCTGCGACTGGATGGATATTTGTGCATCTAATTCATATTAATCAACTTGGCCTAATGTATTGGTCAACGCTCTTGTTTAACCTTTGGATTTTTCCAGCTTTGCCTTATAAAGTGAAGCATCTTCTTTATTTATCTGACGAGGTATCCACTTGCAGTGCTGAAGCAGTTCCTTAAGTGATCGCTGAATTTTGCCAAGCTATGTAATGAAGATATTCCGTGCCGGTGAGGGACAGGTAGACTGGGAAACTGACAATATAACAGACCATAATGATTTAAGATTGAGGAATAAATTCTATGGATCTCAACAATAAAGTCTCCTTCTATGAAACCATGCGTGGTAATTCTTTCCGAATGAAGTGGATGAAATTTGATACTCTCAGATAACTAAACATTTTCAATACTGGCTTCATATCCAGGGACGAGACCAGGGTTTCAGCTCTCTGACTTTAAGTATAATAGCATAGCTTGATATTCAGTCTAATTTGAAAAAGTATATCTTTCCATTTACCTTCATCTAGTTTTGATACTTCCCCACGTTTAGTTTCTCTCCTGTAAACACTAGTGCTAAATTGATAACGCATGAGGCTATCTGGAAAAGAAAACATACTCCAAAACGCCTGTAGATTTGTGCTCAGGGGAAGTCTTAGGGCTCACTCAACACAGGTACGTGTCTAGCCACTGTACTTCATTCCCAGGTATTTATTGGGTAGCCTTTTTTTTTTTGAGAAACGAGAAGTTGGTTTTAGAATGGAGTAAAGATAAACTTTCCTATTCAATCTTAGAAGTTTGTACATGTAGTTACTCCCTTGTTGGAAATCCCTCGATATACATCTCCTTCTCTTGATCTCTGGTTGCCTTCGTTAATTACATTTTATTACAAAGATGCTGAAGAAAACCGGATCAGATTTGTGTGGAAAAAGTTGCCTTCAATTGCTGCAAAAAAAAAAGAAGCAACTGGCTCTACCAAATGTACTCTACAGTAGAGAGGTAATTTCCTGTCTAAAACACCAACCGAGTAATAATGGTTTCAAATTTCTCCTCTTTTCCTAACAGGTTGACGGATTTTCAACTAGGAGATGCTCTATTCCCTCTGTTTCAAACATATTCCAATAATTTGAAAAAACAGCAACAATAAGAGAGAAGTTTTGTACCTAGATTCTTCATGCAGTAATTTATTTTTATTTTTCCACGAAATTTTTGCAACCAACGCAGGGCTGCATAACGGGTATACTTCCCCAAATCCCCGAAAGAATATATGCAAGAGCGGTTATATAAGTTTTAACTTTTATTCTTACTCTGAGGACCCCTCTGTGTAGTGGCTTATTTTATAGAATCTAAATACCTAAATTCATTCACAAAATGTACAATTACAGTTACTTATTTTTTTTCAGGTTTATTATGAGTATTTTTGGCAAAATTTCGCGAAATAAATGGTTTTTGCCAAGAGGAGTTACACTTTGCATATATTAGCGCTTTGCATTCGATAGAATTACTGGAATAGTCTCATTGTGTTCCTAGCGTGTCAGTTGAGATGTCAATTGTTTGACATTCCCCTCTATAACAGGAAAAATTAACGCCGCGCTGCAGCCAATTAGGAAGTAGAAACAGGTATGAATAGACTAAACATAACTGCTTGCTAGCCATTAGTGATCTTCGCTAATGATAACTGAAAAAAGATCGTACGATAAAAGTAGAAACTAGATAGCAACAATAAACTACACAACAACTCGCTAATGATAACTGAAAATGGTCGTTCGACAAAAGTAGAAACTAGATAGCAACAATAAAAGTACACAACAAGAAATGCAGAGCTAAACGAATTAAAAATATTAAATTTATGCTAAAAATGTCAAAAACAACAACAATATACAAGAAAAAAAGAATTATTCCCACTCACTAACTGATAATGCCTTACTTATAATCGTATGATCCCCATCATCTCTCAACCTTGCATTGCCACCCTCTTCAAGAATATTCTGAAATTGAACACGTTTATAATCCACCATAGTAACCATATCTCCACTAAACCCCACCCATGGTCCATCCAACGGATCGATTAAATACGGATAAGTATAATCCGTGAATTGTTCTCGTTCTTCGTCAATTGTAGATTTCCTTCTTCGAAGATTTCTTTCAATGTGATGACCATCGAGTAGGAATGATGATTCATCAATTGGACCACTTGTGGAAGATATCACATCCAGAGGCATATTGTCCTCGGTTTCACTATTTTCTTCACTATTAAACAGTTGATCATCATAGTCGAAGGCTTTATCGAAATCATAAGGGTTTAGGATTGCTCGAAGGGCGATGAAGGTGTTTAAGGGTACATAATACTTTTCGAAATTCCAACAAATGAATAATGTGACGAATATTAATGGTGAGCATAGGATTGATAAAAGGATGGCGGACTCTAATGCCAAGGTTCCACACATGAATAATTGAAAGATTACCAATCCTAGCATTACTCTTCTAAAAATCATAGGCCAGACTTTTCCTGTAGAATGAGGGGGATGAACAAAATTGTAGACTAATTGATATTTATAGACTAATAAACCCATGATGAAATATACTAATCCACAAGTTACAATTTTGGTTGATACGACGGAATAAATTAAGATAATCATGAATATAAGTATATGTTGAGGTAAATGAATTCCAAAATCAAATATCTGCGGGGTATAATAATAAGTTCTATAGTTTCTTGGAGTTCTAAGGAAAAGACTCTTGAATAATTTGCCTAATATATTCAAGATCAAAAAATCACTAATTTGTAATAATTTAACCGGGAACATCGTGAGTCCTTGTAATAAAATCAAGTCAACGTAAAATAATGCCATTCTCTTTAAAGAAGTTGCTAATTGATATGCAATCTTGGTTGTATCACTAATATATGACATATAATCCCAAAAGGTCCCAGCAGCCACATAGATTAAAAATAAGTTAAAAAATATAAAGAAGAAGTTCTTCAGTAATGTTGATAATTCGATGTCACTATTGGAAGAATATCCTTGATATTGGGAAAGCCATCTATAGAAATATGGAAACAGGAGATTCAAAATTGTGAATAATAATGGTGGTAAAATACCAGTAACGAATGTAGTTAACCATTTTGATTGTCCAATAAATTCTCCTGCTGCTGGCCAGAATTTACTAATTGTTTTCAAATCAAGTAAGGATGTTAAGGGAACAACCAAGAATATAATAAACCCATAACTTAATATTATCACCAATGTAATTAAATAAGATTTCAATAGTTTTTTATAGTATGTTAATTTAAAATTTTCCCAAATGATATCTTTTGGAGCTGGTGCTAAACTGACAATTAATTTATAAACACGAGGATCCAAAACCGTTTGTGCTGCCATTTGCGCTGATGCTACTGAATCCATAGTGATGAATGCAGATGTCACTTGTTTGAAATCTTTATATAACTTGACATCTATTGTTGATAAATTGCTATCAAATTTGTTTTGAATGGTTCTGATTTCTTCATCTAAGTCCATAAGTTCTTGAGAATATTGTTTTATTAATTTTTCAGCCCTTGGAATGTCTATTGGTCTACTTCTAAGTGGATTTACTGCGGGTGGTTTTTCATGGTTATAGATATCGATATCAAGTTCATATTGAGATGCATAAAGATATTCTAATTTGTCAAGCAATGCCTTTCTTTTGTCAAAAAGGATTTCAAGTGGTTCCCAATTATAAATTAATTTGACATCCATTACTTTTCCAATACCTAAATCTTCAATGAATTTCTTTAATCTATGTCTTTGTAATAATTTTTTAGGGATTCCATCTAATCGAATAGTTCTATCAGTTATTGAGTTTTGAGAAGCTAAATATTTCTGTCTTGTTCTTAATACACTATTGGTGAAATTGTATAAGTAATAAAATACAACAATGGAAAACACATATGTAAATATTGGATATACCCATAAGTATTTCGGGAAATCTTCACTAAATTCAGGAGGTTTACTCTCTTTAGAATTATGAATTGAAAGCATTGAAATATTATCTTTATCATAACTTCCAGTGAAATAATACCGTATTGGACTTAGTATACCAATAGCCATAATTGCCAAAGCCAAAAAGATCTTGATCCCCATTTTGAAGAAACTTAAAAACACATAAGCATCTAGACCAGAACATGAAAGGATTTCTTCATCACTAATACTATAAACAACTCTAATCCAACCAAATAAACTATTAGGTAATGGTTTCAATATATTAGTAGAATGAGTTCTTAGTGTTCTGACTGCATATATATGAGGCCATCTATATCTTAGTATGCAAAATAGAATGAATAGGAATATACCAGTAATTGTACAAATCACCAATTGTGTTGTAAAAACTCGTTGTGGACCAACAGAATGAATTGGATCTCCAGTATCGTCATCTCCTCTACTTAGTAGTGGTAGTACATACAGTACTATATATTCTAGTTCTTGCATCTAGCTGACAAGTGTGTTAAGATCGGATAAGGATAGGGAAAGGGGTAGTAAAGGTTGGCTTTGTAAGTTGATTTATTATTATTATGTGATTTGAGTTTACTCGTTTAAATTGCGCAGACAAAATAAAATATTAATTAATTAGGAGGTGATACAAAGACGCGAATTTTTGAGTTTTAATGACGAAGAGGTTTATTAAATATTGTTTAATTATAGTAATTCTCAAACGTTTATTGTATAGAAATGATTGTGTATTGTTGGAATTCATGTTGCCACACTTACTACTCCACTCGCTAGTTAATAAGCTTAAGTAACAGCATCCCTGCATTGTGAATTATTCAAAAGTAGGGCTATTAATTCACGTGATCTATTTTCTTTGGGGACTTCGTAGAGCAATTCATAAACAAACAAAAAAAGTTACGCACTACCAAATGTCGTGTGCAATTAGAATTTAGCTTTCAACGACATTTATCTTAATGTCGTGAGCTCCAATCAAAAAAGAAATCAAAGAACCAAAAGAAGAAAAAAAATTTTAGTTTTCAACAAAAAAAAAATCATTCAAAAATTCGTTGCAAAAAAAAAAAAAAAATATCAATCAATTTTTTACAACACCCTTTTTTAAGAATTCTATCTCGTTGGGTTTTTGACGTTAATACAACAACAGCAGACACACAGTCACATTAATCTAGACAAGAAAGTCATCTACTCTCTTGTTTTTGGAAAGGATTGAATTTAATCAAGTTTTTTTTATTTTAATTTTCAATCTTCACCTTCTTTTTTATTTTACAGGACATTCAGGGTGTTATTTTTTTTATAATAACTTTGGTTTCACATTTACGGGAAATTAATTCATATTTCGGTTGTTTTTAGAAAACTATTTGGTTGGGTAAAATATAAAGGATTATCGTTGTTCAATTCATCATAATCATAACTTTTAATATAGACAATAGTATAGATCTATCAAAAAGAAAGCAAGAAAAAAATGAGTGATATATATGTGGTTATTCATATTGTCACCACTTGTGATGATACAACAACTTATGTAACCAAAGATTCCACTGAATTAATTGAACTTTCTTGGGTTGTACTTGATGCAGAAACTTTAGACAATATTCATACAGATACAATCCTTGTACGTCCAGTTAATACTCCAATCACTCCATATTGTTCACGACTTCATAATATTTCTTGGGAACATGTTAGAAATGCTGGTTCATTTAAAGATGCAATTTCAAAATTTGATAAATATATTCAAGAGAGTATTATTTCTCAAGGTAAAGATTTCTCGTTGGTTACACTTGATGTTAGTACTTTAAGAGTTCAATTACCTCGTGAAGCAAGAGATAAAGGTGTAGTATTACCTCCATATTTACAACATCCAAGAGTATTTGATCTTCGTACTGAATATTCTAGATGGCAATCTACTCACCCAGAGTCATTATCATACACTGCATCTTCTTTATCAAATATAGTTACTGCATTGGAAGTTGAGATTGAAAATATCGAAGATTTTTTATCTGGTCCAAATTCTTCATCTTCCACTCCTCCACCTACACAACAACAGCAAATGAACTTTGATCAACAGCAACAACAACAGCAACCAGCGCAAACCATTTCAGGTGATCTGGAAACCAAGTCAAAGGGTGCCGCAATTTTATATTCGAAAATTGCCACACAATTAATTAGAAAATCAATGCCATTTGAAGAAAATCCAACTGTTTTCACAAAACCTTATGATTCAGCTCAGGATGTAAGAGCATTCTTAACCGAAAGATCTAAAATTCTTTATCTTTCAAACTTACCCAGCGATACTACCCAATCAGAATTAGAATCTTGGTTTACTCAATATGGAGGTAGACCAGTTGCATTTTGGACATTAAAGAATTTAGAAGACAATAACAAAAACAATAATCAAGCTAACCCAAACTATAGAAGAGGCATTTCTGGATTTGCAGTTTTTTCAACTCATGAAGAAGCAACAGAATCATTATCTATGAATGGTCGGGCATTAATTGATCGTATAATTGAAGTTCAACCATCTTCCACAAGAGTCTTGGATAAAGCTAATGATTTATTAACTCCATTCCCATCTTCTAAAAATAGACCAAGACCAGGCGATTGGACTTGTCCATCTTGTGGATTTTCAAACTTCCAAAGAAGAACTCATTGTTTTAGATGTTCATTCCCTGCGTCAAGTGCTGTGGCAATTCAAGAATCCATTTATTCTAATACTCCAAATTCTGCCAATGGTGGAAGTGGAGGTGGTAGTGGTGGTGGTGTTAATATTCGTCGTAATAATAGTCAACCTGGACAACATGGTGGTCAACAGCAACAGGATAAATTAAATGGCCATCATCCAGTTAATGCTGCAGCTTCTGTATTGAATCAAACTGGATATAACAACTATCACGACAATCAAGGAAGCCATGGTCAATTACAACAACAGCAACAACATCAAAACTATGGTAATCAAGGTAACTACTCTGGAAACCAAAACAACAACGCCGGAGGAAGTGGTAATACAGGCAACAGCAATCAAAACAACAATCCTCATGGAAACCGTTCCCACTATAACAATAGTGTCCCCTTCAGAGCTGGGGATTGGAAATGTGAACTCTGTGTTTATCACAACTTTGCCAAAAACTTGTTTTGTTTAAAATGTGGAGCTGCAAAACCAATCATGACTTCCAACACTCCACATCAAACGAACGCCATGCATTCTGTCAACTCCACCGCGGCTGCAATCGCCGCAGCTACTGCCAGTGGACAGCCTTTGAATTTGAATAGTGGGTTTATGGGATTACAGCAACCGCAACCACATCATGCCTATGGTGGTAGCCAAGCGAATGTTGGTCAAGGAGGACCTGGTCAAGGACAACAACAACAACAACAACGTCCTGGGGGAATGAGAACTAATTCATTGGGATCGTCGGGATATGTCAATCAACAGAAATTTCATTATAATCAATTACGTTCAAGCAGTAATAGTGGAACTCCAAACCAGATCTTATCTCAACAAATCCCCTTGTATCAACAACAACAGCAACAACAAGGACAAGCTCAGGGATATTCTCAATCAGTTGGGAATTCTCCAGGGTTATATCCGAAATATACCGGTGGATCATATCAACCACAACAACCACAGCAGAAAATGCCCGGATCTGCTCCTGGATCAGCTGGTGATGCGACAATGGGTAACTTCGCTTCTTTGAGTAATCAAATGAATACGTTGAGTTTGAACCATTGAGACGCTTTTTTTTTATTATTATATTTATATTCTTTTTTGGAAATTTGGACAGTTTACGTGTGTGTGTTTTTAAAAAGTTTTTGTGTTTTTCGTTTTATCTTGTGTTTTTAATATAGTTTGTTTGCGTTTGTGATGGTACCGCCGATAAAGAGTGAGAGAAAGTGGGTGTGAGTGTGTTTTATAAAGTCAGTTTTGGGTATTTTCGGAAAGGGGGTCCATATACTTATTTATATCGGGGAAAGATGGAGGTTTCTTGTAAGAGAGAAAATGTGTTAATTTGTATATTTATCATACGGTTTTATGTGTGTGACTTTTTTTTATATCATTAATATAATTATTATCATTTCTATATGTGTTTGTATGAGATATGCAACAGCTTATGGGAGGTCGGGCTGGTATAGCTCCAGATGCATGATAGTTTGCAATTTGTAAAATTAAAAAATAATATGCTGTTGGTAGCGCGAATAATTTTTCCTCAAGACACGTAATTTGAAAAATTTCAATTTCATAAACTCCTTAAAGAACCAGCTTGAGTAACTCTGTCTTGATACCTCCAAACAATTGTAACTAAATTCCAATTATGTCAGAAAACAAATATTCAGTAATTCTTCCAACATTTAACGAAAGAAGAAACTTACCAATCTTAATATATTTATTGGAGAAAACCTTCCGTGAGAATAAATTAGATTGGGAAGTTATTATCGTTGATGATAATTCCCCAGATGGAACTCAAGAAATTGCCAAAAAGTTAATTGACTTATATGGAGCAGACCATATCATATTAAGACCAAGACCAGGGAAATTAGGATTGGGTACTGCTTATGTCCATGGATTAAAATCTGTTAGTGGAAATTTTGTTCTTATTATGGATGCCGATTTCTCCCATCATCCAGAAGCAATTCCTGAATTTATAGCAAAGCAAAAATCCCAAGATTTCGATATTGTTACAGGAACAAGATATGCCGGCAATGGTGGGGTTTATGGTTGGGATTTTAAGAGAAAATTGATTTCAAGGGGGGCTAATTTCTTAGCTACTATTGTTTTAAGACCGCATGTATCTGATTTAACTGGGTCCTTTAGACTTTATAAGACTGATGTTTTGAAGAAGATTATCGAGGTAACTCAATCTAAAGGGTATGTCTTCCAGATGGAAATGATGGTTAGAGCAAGAGCTTTGGGATTCACTGTTGGCGAAGTGCCAATTAGTTTTGTTGATAGATTGTATGGGGAATCTAAATTAGGTGGGGATGAAATTGTTCAATATGCTAAAGGTGTATGGAGTTTATTTACCAGTGTTTAATATAACTTACTTTTCTTAATAAATATACGAACTATATTAGTAAAGCCACTGTTAATTACTTCGAGTCAATCGGTGAGGCTTTAAAATATCAAGGGATTAACACAAATTCATTCATAAAAACTATACAATAGGCTACAAATACAATCTCTAACGACATATTCATTCACCAAGTCAAACACATCTATTTAACTTTTCAACCTCCCTGATTTCTTCGAATAAGCTGGACATACACATTTTATCGATTTCTTCTAATGACCCGCCCCCACAAAGAAGACGCTCACTTGGATCTAGTGTGATCTCTCTCTAATATTCTTCATCAATATCACTGTCGCTCTCGTTGTAGCCGAGATGATATGCAGCTTCAATTATTCCCATCTGTGCTGTCAACCAGGCAATTTGTTTTTTTCAACTCCAGTACCACCCACCCTGCTGTCTCGGGACTTATTCCAGGCTTTATGATCTCACAAAACTTCTCCATCTTTAATAGATCAGTAGGTGTTGGAACGAGCTCAGTATAAAAATCTTTAGGTGGTGGAACATCCAGAAGACAATCCCAAGTTTCAACATACCTGTCCCAGAACTTCTGATACCATCCTTTAGAAAACTTTGGCAGATCTTTAAGATGAATATCTGGTCGACCTGACCTATAGATATAGCTGGCAATATCTCTTATTTGGACGTCAGTTAGTTTTTCATGGTCCCCGACATAAATTCCAAGAGACCATTCTTGGACAGGATTGAGGAGTCTTTTACTACTATAACTGCGTTTTGCAACATTGTTTCTTGGTTTTGTACCCGTTGTCATTATTTGTTTTCGTAGGCTTGACAAACTAGAATAAACAATCGAACCATTTCTGGAGTCTTCTTTAGGTAAATAAATACATCCCAAAGAGCTCCTCGTTGATATGAAGAGATCAATAAATATGTAGGGTGCATTAAAACGTAACACAGCTTAGAGTCGTGTCGGGTGCAAAGCGACCTATGTTGAGAAATCATTTGAAATTGGTCACATTGAAATTTTACTTGCAAATTCTACACATATACTATAAACACTCTTACTTCCTATTCATTCGTTGAATAACCCAAGATTGGTCACTTAAAATTCAGGTACCTTAAACCTCATTTTGCAATCTTCAGGAAGAGGTGGAAGTCCCTTAGCCTTACGTTCCTCTTTGATTGCTTTAAGCTGTGCATGGATCTCAGCTCCTGACATACAAATTGAGCCAGGCTCTGGAATGAGCTCAATAACCTCTTCGTCACTGTCGTCAGAGTCTAACGCATCAAGGAGTCGAGATCGCTTTGCTTCCATTATCCCCCTTTCCACCGTAAACATAGTGATTTGCTTTTTTAATTCCAGTACTAGCTTCTCTGCCATCTCTGGACTCATGTTTGGTTGGATTGACTCACAAAGCGTGTTCATTTTTGGCAAATCTGTAGGTGTTTCAACATGATCGAGGTCAGCATTCTGGGAGGCGGTTTCTGAGCCTGGTTCGGAGTCCATCTTTGCATACCTGCTCTTGAACCCATTGTACCATTGATCAGTAAATGTTGGAATATCGCTAATAGGCTCACTTTGATTTCCAGCCCTATATGCCCTTGCAATAACCTTTAAGCGCTGCTTTTGGGATAAAGTTTTTCCCTCGGGATCGTTTTCAAGATATTCACCAATATACCATTCTTGTAAAGGTGCGAGAGGCTTTCTCCTGTCGGGGTTGGGTTTCGCAGCTTTTGCTGTAGGTTTTTTAGCAACTCTGGTCGCGGTATGACGTCTTAAGGTGGCCATTGTGCTGGTTGTTGGGAATAAATAAGAATAAATTTTCAAAATGTAAACATTCGAAACGCGTCTCGTTTTATCCCCAACTATTTTTTGGTTGAATAGGCTCACTGTAGGGCGTAAGTTTTTTTGATCAAACTTTTTTATTGTAATTTTCTTTACAATAACGGAACTAATCTTAATCTTCAAACGTGGGGCTGTGAGTATTCGGGCGCTTGTTCACCTAATCGGCAAACAAGTATGTTCTTTATTGAATACATTGGCTTTCCCTTAGATGTTCGCCACCAATTGTTGGACTTACACTTCCGAAAGAATATCTACGTTAGAGCCATAAATAACAAATAATAAGTCATATTTCCTATATACTATTTAACAATCTAGCTTCGTACTCCCTCACTGTGATGGATTAGAGCTGGCCAGCTACTTTTTTTTGTTTTCGGCAGCTTTGGCAGCGATACGTGCATAATTCATTTCCAGTATCTTTTGCCAAATTTCCGCACCTGTCCTAAAGGCTTTGCCAGGCTCCGCAGGAATGGGTATATCCTCTTCATTATTGCTCTCTTGGGATGACCAATCATCTTCTTCTTCTTCACTAGCACCGTCGCTCATGTATTTCTCCCAAGCTTGTCTCTCAAGTTCTAAGCGCATCGACCTATCCTCGTCATCGTCATCTTCACCCAGATATGGCTCGGTTTCCAGTTCGTGCTCAGTGGGGACTCGACCTGAAGAAAGCTCTTTGATATACTGGGCTCGCTCCTCTCTCCGTTTTTGGTCTTCGAGGAGTCGATCAATATCTGCTTGTAAAATCCCCTTTTCAACAGTCAACTGAGTAATTTGTTCTTTTAATTCCAGAACTACTTTTACTACGGTTTCTGGACTCATACCTGGTTTGATATGTTTGCAAAACTTGTCCATTTTGACTAAATCAGTAGGTGTTCTAATAGCATCCGGGCTAAAATCCATAGTGAGCTGGGGACAGGCTACATAACGATCTTCTTCCATTTTGTAAAACCTTTTCTTGAATCCACTATACCATCCATCTGAGAATTTTGGAATCTCATCAGGAGACGCATCTGGATAGGCTGCCTTATATGCGTTTCTAATTACTTGGAGACGTTCCTGTTTGTCGAGACTTTCGCCTTCAGGATTATTTGTTAAGTAATCACCAATATACCATTCTTGTAAAGGAGTGAAGACCTTTGTTCTTTTGTGGTCGCGTTTCACAACTTTGGTAGCTGCTTCCTTAGGAGCCCTTGCCATGGTAGTACTCCTTGTATAATGACTTTGAAGTTGGTTGTACAAAAAAGTTATCAAAACAAAATTTTTATATAAATTACCTCACCGACCCCCTTATCATGTAAACAATCCAAACGCGTCGTTTGTCCGAGCACGTGACTATTTGAAAAAAATGGAAATCTTGAATAAATTTTACGCTTCAATTTTTTTTGCTGGTTCTACACTTCTATAATTCATCATCATCATCAATATAAGTAAGCCAGAGAGTATGGGGAAAGATACATATTTAAAGAAAGTTCTAGGTGAAAAATGTTTCACTAGGCTCCAATCATCCAAAGTATTAATGGTCGGAGCAGGAGGTATTGGCTGTGAATTATTAAAAAACCTAATCTTAACCGGATATCATGAAATTCATATTGTTGATTTAGATACCATTACATTATCAAACTTAAATAGACAATTCTTATTTCGTAAAGAAGACATCGACAAATCCAAAGCATTAACCGTGTGTAAAGCTGTCCAATCATTCAATTACTTAGGTGCGAAACTCATACCTCATCATGGTAATATCATGGACACGACTCAATTCCCGATTGATTGGTGGAATCAATTTAGTTATATCTATAATGCATTAGATAATATAGAAGCAAGGAGATATGTAAACAAAATGGCGTTATTCTTGAAGAAACCATTAATGGAAAGTGGGACTACTGGATATGAGGGCCAAATCCAACCAATTTATCCATATTATAGTGAATGCTTCGATTGTCAAACGAAAGTAACCCCAAAGACATTCCCAGTGTGTACTATTAGATCAACCCCTTCACAACCGGTACATTGTATTACGTGGGCTAAGGAATTTTTATTCCATCAATTGTTTGATGAAGCTGAACATGATTCGAATTTGAATAATAGTGAACAAATCAAACAAGAGGCTGAAGATGAAGCTGAGATTGAAAATTTGGCAAAGGAGGCGAATGAATTGATTGAATTGAGAAAATTGATTCGTAGTGCTGATTCAGCGACTTTCATTAATGAAGTTCTTGTGAAGATATTTAAGGTTGATATTGAAAGATTATTATTAATTGAAACATTATGGAAGACGAGAAAGAGACCAATTCCACTTGATATTGGTGCATATAACAACGATTTGAACACTATGTTGGCAGATGACCTGAATGAGAGTGTTTTGAATGCAGATACCAAAGTGTGGACCATTTTGGAAAACATTTACGCATTATACAAATCCGGAGAACTGTTACAAAATAGGATCAAGTCAGGTAAAGAAGCATTTGTGGCATTTGATAAAGATGATGAAGATACTATGATCTTTGTAGCTTCTGCGTCTAATTTAAGATCTTCGATATTTGGAATTGAAGAAAAACCAAAATTCGATATTAAAGAAATTGCCGGAAATATTATTCCAGCAATTGCAACAACCAATGCAATCATTTCGGGATTTTCTTGTTTGGCAGGTACGAAATATTATCAAAATGAACAACATGATCCTCAGAGTCATGATTTTGGAGATATAATGAAGAAATCATCCACCATTTTCGTCAGTATAAAGCCAAATAGATATACTATATCTGCCTCATTAGTACCTCCAAATGAAAAATGTGCCAGTGATTCATTAGTTTCCAGAGGTGTATTTGAAGTTTCAACCGAACATTTTAATCATTGCACATTAGATTGTTTTCTTGATCATTTAGTTGAGAAATTTGGATATTCAAAAGATGATATTTCTATTCAAGTTGGGAAATCTAAATTAGTTTATGATATTGATTTTGATGATTATTTAAATGCCAAGCTTTCGGAAGTACCTGGATTTAAGAATGGAGAAATTATTTTGATTCAAGATGATGGTGGCGAATTAGAAAATTTAGAATTGTATTTGAATGTAAAGGATAATATTGAAACTAAATTTCCTGAATTGGTATTGAGACCAAAGAAACATATTCATGAAGAGGAGGAGGACGAAGCTGAGCCAGAAATGCTGGAAAAGGAGCCAGCCTCAGATGTAAATGGGACCGAGGATGGGTCAATGGTTGTCGTTATCGATGATGACGAAGAAATTGAAGTAGTAGAAGAGAATGGGGACATTATTGAAATTGAAGAGCCCATGTTAAAGAAACGAAGGATTGAGTAGGATATGGAGTTGTAAACTGTGATGTTAGCTAGGTGTAGAAGATTGCTTTAGCGATTGCAAAAATTTTGTATTTATAGTGTTCGATTACGTAATCGAGAAAATTGTGACACAAAAAATTTCTATTTTTTTCCTTGCCTTTCGGTCGTTTGCCTCATGAAACGACTTCACACATTCACACTTTGCTTTACACACGAACACACAAAGTTTCATTTAGGGTTTTCTTCTTTTTGGAGTTTAATCTCAATTGAATTTGTTTCAAGGAATTATAAATTACAAATAAGAACAATTAAATAAAGGAAAATGTCTTGGAATGCTTATACTGATAACTTAGTTGCTACTGGAAAGATTGACAAGGCTTCATTATATTCAAGAGCTGGTGATGCATTATGGGCAGAATCAGGTGCATTTGGATTACAACAAAATGAAATCACCGAAATTGCCAAAGGATTCGATGAAGCTTCCGGTTTACAAGAACATGGATTACATGCTGCTGGACAAAAGTATTTCTTATTAAGAGCTGATGAAAGATCTATCTATGGGAAACATGAAGCTGAAGGGCTTGTTGCTGTTAGAACAAAGCAAGCAATTTTAGTTGCACATTATCCATCTGGTGTTCAAGCTGGAGAAGCTACTACTGTTGTTGAAAAATTGGCGGATTATTTAATTAGTGTTGGTTACTAGATATCAAATTTTAATATATACACAAGGCCATATACATTCATCTAGGTGTGTATTTGCCAGATACCGGGAATTCTAATAAATATAAAATTTTTACTTTATTTTTGAAGTCAATTGTAGAGATTACAGAAGTGATATGACATTATAATGTCATTTTTTGAACTCAATTGCATATCAAGTTCAAATTTAATTGTTATTTATCTCTTTGACCATTGATAATCAGCCTTTTCAATATTCTTCGTCTATTCTCTTGGTAGTGTCTTAAAATTTTCAATGGGGCTCTATACAGGAACAACGGATATTACCCTAAAAAAATTTTATTAGTTAATAAATTATTTTTTTTATCTTTATACCGAAATGATGGATGGGGAGAAGATTCTTTAAAATAAATTAAAGATCACTCCACTAAATCAGAGCTGTAAACCTCCTTTTGAATTTATAAGAGGCATTTCCTCATTTTTGGTTAAACTAGTCTTTACATCCTAACTCAAGTGTTTTATAGACCTACATTACAGATTGCTGTTTTTTATTTGAGTAAGAATTTTTCAAAATAGGCCGATACCGGAAATCCCTAGAAGTTAGAAGTAGTCATTACAAGTAATCACCCCCTGATACCCAACTAATATTTCTATCAAAGTCATAAATATCACAAACCAAGTTATATATCCAACATGAAACAATTTCCAGCTAGTGGGCTATTTGTTATAGCTCCTATTTTATACATAGCCAGTGAATTAGTAGTCACCCGATTTTCCAAAACAACTACGAAAACGATTACAAATGGAAGTGGTAGTACTTCTTCCTTCTTTAGTGCTTCATATAATCATAATGCATATAGATCAAGTTGGATACAAAGTCATTATTTTGAAAACTCATCAACGAAATAGAGATTAGGAGAATCTATCTATACCTTGAAAGTTAAGAATCGTTGATATTTACTATTAATATATTTTTACGTCTGGCTGGTTTCCGATTTAGAATTATAATTATATAGATCAACATGGGCCAGTAAGGAAACACCACGCATTTACATACATTCCCAGTAACATAATCATTAAATACCCAAGGATATGATAGGATAGCCTTGGGAATATACGACACTCGTTTTAGTTTGAACATTTAATATGTTCTATACTGCTTATTTATTATATTTGAAAACTGGTGAGGTTATTGTCACCCAGTTTATCATCACGTACCATCGATATGGTCAAATATCCATGCTTTAATGTTTTGCATTCTATAGATACTACTATAGTTTAATTATTTATAAATGAAATCAAATTCTGCATATAATCTCAATCACGTGATTTTCAATTGTAGTGTAAAAATTTTCATTCTAAAAAGTTTTATTGGCTGAAATAATTCTCAAACATTTTTTCTTTAACTTTCCTTTAAAATTTCAATCTCTACAAAACATCACACTCTCACATATTAATATCCAACCCTTTTTCCTTTTTGAAGTAACAACATCCATTGACATAATTACATACACAAACAAATAGATATGTTCACCAGAGTAAGACCAACCACCACTGCTCGTTCAATAACACAAACTTTTAGAAGATTCAATTCTTCTCATTCTAATCATACACCAGAACCAGAAACCACATTTGAAATTACAATCACCAAAATCTTTGGTGTAGCAGCAGTATTAGGTGGATATTTCTACTATAACAGCAATAATAAATCTGATAAACCATTCTTAAACCTCAAATTATTCGAACAAGAAGCATCGGGAGAACGTAATCATTTAAGAAATGAACATATGGCAAAAAGAAGAAAAATGGGATTCATTAAAGAATTCGCTAAAGATAAAGGTGGTATAGGTCAAAAACAATATGCAAGAATGGCTCGTGAACGTCAACCATTCCCAACTGTTTTGATTCCTGCAGCTAGTCCATATGGAAAATATGGTGAACAATTTGGTGCAGGTATTCATCTTGATAAATTGGGTCCAAGAAAAGCTAGACCTAGATTATATGCCCCAATTGATCCATATGCTCAATAGAGTTATTATTAGTATAGGGGGTTTGAACTATGTATAGTAAAAAGAAAGAAAGGATATAAATTAGTTTGCTTTGTTGTATTTTTGTTTTGTTGATGATCCATAAGGATCAGATTGTTGTTGTTGTGGACGTTTTGGTCTTTTAGTTTTGCATTGTTTTCCTTGGAGTTTTGAATATATATGATTGTTTATATTTCTAAGAACAAGAGAAAACACATAGGAGCAGTAAGATGTTTTGGGGGAAGGTTTTATCTGAATTGGTTATTTGGTTCAATATACAAAGGATTGCCCACCCCATTTATATCATTTGCTTTATTCAATTTTTTATTATTGTATTCTTTTCTATTTATTAACAATTAATTAACGAAAACTATTTTTTTGGAACAACTGACTGTAATTATATATGAAGCGAAATCGGTAGTTGTTCGTATATGAAGCTATACTATTGTTTATGCATGTAGAAACCGGGTCCAGATTGATATCTGACTTCTTTGATCACGTGCTGAAATTTCCTATTTTGGATGCGCTTGTCGGGAACGAATCTACCTATTCCATAAACCTATTCCATAAACCTCCCCACACCACACAATGGACAACTAAAAACGCCGACAAGTTTAGCGGAGCCATATGTAACCCCTTCTGGTAATAATTACCTCTAGCTATCCCCCCGACCACTCAATAAGAAAGCCGTCCTAATTTCGTTTATCCAGACTTTTTATTCAAATATTTCAAGTTTATATAAACCACAGTAATTCCCGGACCCATTTCCCGTCCCAAGTATAAAATCTCCCCCATAATCCCCTCGACCTCCAAATTTTTTTTCTTTCCCACTTTTGATTCCCATGATTTTCAAATCACCAATCTTTAAACAATCCCTTACTCAATTCAGATCAATTTCGTCCAGTTCCATTAGAAGAATGTCTACCGAATACAACGTCATCGTCTACGACAAGCCAAACACCGACAGATCAAAAGTCAGACCTCAACACGTCGCAGACATCCCCGCCAATGTCCCAAACCCAATCAGATCTGCGGGAGCTATTTATAAAGATGAAGCAAAGACACAATTTGCCGGTAGTGCTTTTCATTTAGTCGCTAATTCAAGAGAAGAGATTATTGAATTTTTGAAGAAGGATGTTTATTATCGTGAAGGGATTTGGGATATTGATAATGTGGTTATTAATCCAATTGGTGTGGCTGTTAGATTGCCAAAGAAAATGGATGGTGTTGACGCTGTTCATTATAAAATTTAGATAAACTAGTTGTTAGAGCTTAATTTATAGTTTAAAATCTACAAGTATGAATATAAAATATAAAACTTCGTATAATAACTAATAAAACTAGAGAGAATAAAAAAGAGCTGTAAATTTAACTAAACAAAAAATTTTTCGAGAGAGGACCACCCCTTCTAACTGTATAAGTCATCATCTTCTTCCACATTACCAAAAGCAGCACCTCCAGTAGATCCATCAGCTGCACCTCCAGCAGCACCATCAGCAGCAGCACCATCTTCTGCGAATCTAAAGTTGGCAAATTGTCCTCTAGATGCTTGTAATTGTTGAGCATATGCATCATAACGACGTAAATCAGCATCTGAAACCGATCTCTTTGCAGTCTTCATAGCTTCTTCGAAATGAGCTCTGGTGATAAATGGAACTGGATCCTCTTCTTCTTCTTCCTCACCTTCAGTCTTCATATCAACATCTTCATTCTTAACTGCACCTGCAGTAGCACCTTCTTTTTCTTCCTTGGCTTTACTTATTCTTAATTGAGCTTCAATAGAATCCTTAATGGCAAACTTAGCCGATCTTTGTACGATATAAGATAAATCAGCCCCTGAGAATCCATGAGTAATCTTAGCAATCTCACCTAAATCTAATCCAGGTTCCAAAGGAGTATTTCTCAATTGTGCCTTCAAAATCGATAATCTGGCCGGTTCATCAGGTAATGGGACATAAATCAATTGATCCAATCTACCCGGTCTCAACAATGCTGGATCGATTTGATCTGGTCTATTGGTGGCACCAATCACAAACACATTCTTTTTGGCATTCATACCGTCCATTTCGGTTAATAATTGATTCACAACACGATCAGAAGCTCCACCGGCATCACCATGAGATCCACCTCTTGCCTTGGCAATAGAATCTAATTCATCTAAAAAGATCACGGTAGGTGCCGCAGCACGGGCTTTATCGAAAATATCTCTAATATTAGATTCAGATTCTCCATACCACATACTTAATAATTCTGGACCCTTGACGGAAATGAAATTAGCAGAGACTTCAGTGGCAACAGCTTTTGCTAAAAGAGTTTTACCAGTACCTGGAGGTCCAAAGAATAAAACCCCTTTGGTTGGAGCCAATCCGAATTTTTGATATTGATCTGGATGTAAGACTGGATATTCGACAGTTTCTTTTAATTCATTCTTAATATTATCTAAACCACCAATATCATCCCAAGTGACATTAACATTTTCAACCACGGTTTCACGTAATGCAGAAGGATTAGAATTACCTAATGCGAATCTAAAATTATCCATTGTAACTCCAAGAGAATTCAAAACTTCGGCATCGATAGTTTCTTCTTCTAAATCAATAAGATCCATCTTTTCTCTAATTTGTTGCATGGCAGCTTCTGAACATAATGAAGCAACATCAGCTCCCACGAACCCATGAGATTCGGCAGCAATGGCTTCTAAATCTACATCATCGGCTAATTTCATATTTTTGGTATGAATTCTTAAGATTTCTAATCTACCTTCAGCATCAGGTACACCAATATCGATTTCTCGATCAAATCTACCAAATCTTCTTAAAGCAGTATCAATAGAATTTGGTCTATTAGTGGCGGCAATGACAACAACGTTAGATCTGGCCTTCATACCATCCATAAGGGTTAATAATTGAGAAACGACTCTTCTTTCAACTTCACCATTGGTTTTATCTCTCTTTGGAGCAATTGAATCAATTTCATCAATGAAAATAATTGCAGGAGAATTCTTTTCTGCTTCTTCAAATGCTTTTCTTAAGTTAGATTCAGATTCACCCGCCATTTTCGACATAATTTCAGGACCATTGATTAAAAAGAAAAATGCCCCAGTTTCATTAGCGACAGCTCTTGCCATTACGGTTTTACCAGTCCCTGGTGGACCATACATCAAAATCCCTCTTGGAGGTTTAATACCAATTGATTTAAATAATTGAGGATGTCTTAATGGTAATTCAACTAATTCTCTAATTTGAGCCAATTGTTTTTTACAACCACCAATATCATCATAACCGACATCATTAAGATTATTTTCTTCATCTTCACGATTAATTGGTTCACCTTCACAATGAATAATAGTATCTTGAGCAACAATGGCAATTTCTTCAGGATCGACTTCAACAACTTTGAATTCAACTTGTCTCATCCCACCTCTAACTGTAAATAAATCACCCTTTCTAACTGGTCTGTAAGCTTCTACAAAATATGGTTTTAAATAAACATCAAATAATGATCCACTAACACCTTCAATTGTATCAGCAATAGGCAAGACTGAGATTCTATTAGCATATTTAATATCAGGACATGGATGGACGGTAATAATATCACCTAATCTAACTCTTAAATTATTACGAACACATCTATTAACTCTAGCAACACCATTTTCCATATCATCATCAGCTAAAACAATCAAAACGGTATCTTTTCTTTTTTTACCTTTGACTAAAACAGTATCACCTCTAAATAATTGTAATAATTCCATGGTGGCTGAAGACATGGTGATAACTGAATTATCATCATTGGTGGCGTCGTCGACAATAAGGGCGTTGTCCTTTTTCTTTCTTCTTAAGATTGCGGTTGCGGTTGCGTCATCGGTTTGATGGGCACCGGAGGCATCGAAATGTGGTTTATGATCTTCTTCACCAGTCATATTTGAGTGTGTTTAATACTTTCTGGTTTTATATAGGTGGAAGAAGGAGAAAGAGAAAGAAAGAAATAATTGTTGGAAAAATCGAAATTTCAACAAACAAAAAAACAGGGTGGAAACAATTGAATGGTAAAAATAATAAATAATCATGTGGAAGAACAAAAGAACATTCTAGAAATAAATTTATACAAACATCTACTAACTTACTAGAAGATAAGTTGATAGAATATAGATAAATAGACATATGTTTAGTAAGAGATTGGGCTTAATAATCACATCAGCAGCTTCAAAGGGAGACAACCACTTATTCTTTGAAGGTGGCAACATTTTTGGATCTCAAAGTTTTATATACAGGATATTTTTTTGCCACCGTCGTTCCCTACTATTGATTTTGATCTATAGTTGGTACCTATGGGAAGATCCAATTTTTCAAGATATCCGTTTCTACGAAAGTATACCTCTTGTAATAAGCTACAGAACGGTCTTGATAACTAGCATCTCGCCATTTGATGTGTATTCTCTCCCATTCTCGATGTCAAATTGGTTGGTGGGGTGTCAGCCTTGGGCAACTGAGTTCCCACCCCCCAACGAGTTAACCCACCTTCTACTGAACTTCCAGTCCCGTAATCTCTAATTCGCCAATGACTTATTAAAAGGGTTCAATCTGGTAACTTAGTATGTATACATTGACTTATTAAGCGGATCTATATTCCGTGGATATATTTCTCCATGTACAATATGATAAGAATCCTTTGTAACAAAAGTACACGACCTTGTCTCTAATCTCCACCAAAAAGTTTTTCACTACCAATTCTCCTATTTCTCTATCTCCACACTTTCTTTTCAATTCAACAATTGGAATTGTACTTCTTATTTTATTGACTAAAATCCAATCAATTGACTATCCAATATGGCCTCCAATGCATCTTGTATCTTTTGTAAAATAATCAAAGGAGAAATCCCTTGTTTTAAATTACTCGAAACCTCAACCACATTATCTTTCTTAGATATCCAACCAACTGCCCATGGACACGTTCTTGTGATTCCAAAATATCACGCCGCTAGATTTCACAATATCCCTGATGAATATTTAACTGACACTTTACCTATGATTAAAAAATTGACTAAAGTATTAAGATTAGACGAAGATCATGGACTTGATGGAGAAGGATATAATATTTTACAAAATAATGGGAAAATTGCCCATCAAGAGATTGATCATGTTCATTTTCATTTGATTCCTAAGAAGGATGCGAAGACTGGGTTGAGTATGAGTTGGCCTGCTCAACCTACTGATTTTGATGCTTTGGGGAAGTTGCATAAGGAATTACTTGCTGAATTGGAAGCTGACCAAGAAGAGAAGTTGTAGTTAATGGGTGTTTTTTGTTCATTAATTTATATACTTTTCGATAAAAAAACTATATATATATATCTAATATATGATCGTTATTATTATTATTATTATGAGCAATCACTCTTATAAGATAATCCCACCTATTAACCCACCAAAATATCCCACAACATAACTAGTAAAGAATGTTAAAGTAGTTGCCCCAAATGGGAAATAACTAACCGAATAATATAAAACCGCCAATATTTCAATCACACTAGAAATAACAGTAGCAATCACACTCTTTAAAACCACAGCCGAATATAAAGTCAACAATATCGATGAAAAGAATATAGTCGTAAACAATATCCGATCACGAGATAATAAATGTCGAATATATGTAGTTGGACCTTGTAAGACCCCAAATGATAATACAAACAATACTGACCCCCCAGTCCATAATAATGCAAATTTCCGAGGTCGTAAAGCTAATACCGGAAACATAAAAAAACATAATACAAAACATAAGACCGAAGCACCTAAACAACAGGCAAATCCAATCATTTTTTCTAATCGACTTAATTGAAACCAAGATGGTTCTTCTTGAACAGCACTGGATGATCCAAGTTCTTGGACTGATGTGGGTAGTTTACTATATAGACTATTTGCCCCTGTTTTTACATAATCGGTCCATTCTGATAGTATTGGTTGACCAGGCGTGGTTGATGATGTTGTACCTGTTCTGCTAGACCTTTCATTCCAGTTTCTAAACAGCTGTCGAAATACGCTTTCTGAATCTGTAGTTGCCATAATGATATATTATGTGTGTGTAGTTGGGTTTGATGGGTATGGGCTGGTTAAAGAAACTGTTTTAGGCTATTAACAAGTAAAAATTGTGTGGCGGGCGTTGTTCACATCGTTATCACAAGCGAAAAGAAAAAAATCACTTTTTTTTTTTGGGATGGGTGAGCTACCAGTTGAGTACTTGAATTTGTTGCAATCATCATTCAACAAATTGATTGGTAACCACTACTTGGTAATCAACAATAATTAAATATTAAATGACTCTTATGTCACTTTGGTGACATGTTTATCAAATCAGAAATCTAATTACACGGAAGAGTAGGTTAAAAATAGATTCTCAATCTTTTCTAGTTACTAATTTATTGAATAGACAACTAACAAGGAATGTTTTATGGAATTATATTGCCAAAAAAGATTGAAAATCATTATTAAGTGGATGACTTTTCTCAATGGTTGCTGAGGCTACACGTAGAAGATATGCTCTACTATGTCAATTCGGGGTCGTTGATTGTTACTTGGGATAGAATGTAATAAGTTTATAGCTGAAATAGCCAAGTATAGTTAAAATTGTGGTTGTATATTTCCTTCTAAATGCGGGTAACGTTTTACAAAGGTTAGAGTAGAACAATGATATTTATACGAATACTGAAATTCCAATTGTTTTCAATTGGTTGCGTCATAGATTGTATTATTAATAAAAAATATTTCAAAATCTTAACTACGGAATTAAAATAAAGTTTTCCCTACCACACTAACCGTTCACCATACATCCAGCCCAGCCCATCCCCAGCCATTTTCTTACGTAATAAAAATTTTAATTGTTCTCTGCGACTCCAAAGTTTGGATTTAATTTCCCCCGAAGAAATTTGCTTTTAAAATATTTTTACCTTTAAAATATTTCTTTATTTCGTTCTTTCATTCTATTTATAAGATATCACAAAGCTAATACTACAACAACTAAGTGCATTACTTTGTTTACCACTTACAACGGACATTCTAGAAATAGATTCTTACTTTCTTTCTCACCCCCCGTGATCTTTTTTTTTTCTTGCTTAATTAAAAAAAGCACCAAGACAAAAAAAAAAGAAGAAAGTTAACCAACCAACCTAAAAAGCAAACTTATTACAAACCATTACACATTTACACACTTTTAATATAAATACTTATACATCCATCAATCTAATCAATCAATCAATCAATCAATCGAATATCATCACCAGCCCGATCTTTCTGATTATTAAAAAATAAAAAAAACTATGGATGATTATTTGAAGGACAGTCCATCGGATTATAGTACAACAAATATTCCTTCAAATACTGCTTCACCACCAAATTATAAATATATTAATACTTCGTATGATACATCTCTGACTGCAAGTCAACCACAGCAACAACAGCAACAGCAACAGCAACAACAGAGCAATCCATACAATTATTCATTTGATACAATTACTTCTAATAATAATACCACCCACGACTTTTCATTAAATCTAAATTATAGTGGATTTAATAATAATAATAACACTAACAATACAACTGACAATACATCAATGGCCAATACAAATAATAATTCAGCATTCAATTCAAATACTCAACTTGCTTCAGGTGATTATCTAAGTCCAACTGGATTCTCGTTTAATCCGGGGTCTGATACAAATACTTATGCTGGTTCAGATCCTAGTTCACTTCCCAATGAGGAACAATTTTTAGATGATGTAGATACAATCGGATTTTCTCATACTGTATTAGGACCTCAGTTACAAGCTGGTAGACCTCAGAGTGCTTCTCCTCAACTTCCATTATCTCCGCAACAACAATATACAGGAACTTCAAATACTCTTGATGAAATAATGTCCCCACCAAATAATGGATATGATAATTCAACTACTACATCAACATTTTTAAATCCTCAATATTTTTCTCCGCCTACTAGAGGAGGTGGTTATAATCCTTTGAATTCAATTGCAGAAGGTGAATTAGCATCTTCATTTAATGATAATACTTTCAGCCCTCAATATTCAAGAAAAGGAAGTATATCAGGTTATAATCCCCAACCTAATGCTCCAGACCTACTATCAGGATCATACTTATCCCCACAATATAACCCACCCTACACATCTCCGCCAAATTATAACAATGACACCTATTTAAATTCCCCTCCACAATCACATCTGCAATATCTCCCCAGAATAAACATGAGTTCATCCATCCCCGTCAAGGCAGAATATTGGAACGCCCTCTCCCCACCACCACAACAAGCTATCCTAAGTAGTTCAGTCCCCAGTTCAAGCACCGGCGGCGTGCCCACTTCTCCCAGTGGAATCTCTCGAGAATCAGTCCCCACCAAACAATTATCCAAAGAAGAAAAATTAAAACGAAGACGCGAATTCCATAACGCAGTCGAAAGAAGAAGAAGAGACCTAATTAAAGAAAGAATAAAAGAATTAGGCGTGATTGTCCCTCCATCATTATTAAACCCCCAATTATGTGCCGTACAAACCTTACAAAGGAAATCGGGGAGTGGGAATATGAATGCCGGGGATTTGACCGATTTGATAAATAATATAAAAGTAAAAGAAACCAAGCCTAATAAATCGACGATATTGAATCGGGCTGTGGATTATATTGAACATTTGAATTATGTTTTAAATCAGCAGGATAAAACGAGACTGGAATTGCAGGCTAGGATTGAGATGTTGGAGAAGGATTTGAATGATCCGACGGCGAGCAGTAGTAGTGCTGGTGGTGGGATTGATCAGGTTGCATATGATGAATACACGACTTTGACTACTACTAGTGGAGGTGGAGGCGGTGGTGATTATTCACAGTATCAGCTGCTGCTGCTGTCACAGCAGCCGATATTTGGAACACAGTATAGTACTGAAGGAATTAAATCGGAGAGAGATTATAATCCAGATGAATTTTTTGTTGATATTGTGAATACTGGTAATCAGTAGGACCTGATTTGTTATACCCATAAGTTATAGATTTTTATTGGAGAGATTTTGACCCTAGTTGAAGGAGGAGAGATGAAGTTGTATGAAATAATGGTTCAGTACTAATTTTGTTTTGTGATTGCCTTTGTTATGTTTTATTATTATCCTCTAAGAGACTTTATTAATGTTTTTGTTAATTTTAGATTATCTTTTTTATATTATATAATTATATCTAATTGTTTTTTAAGTAAATATGTATTTTTATCAATGTAATATCCTATTAAACACTAATTTAATCATATAATTAATTATTTATAAAAGAGAATAATTTAAATATTCTTTAAAACTAGCAACAACCCCATCATCATCCTCAGCATCCATAAACTTATTCAAACTCTGTTTTCTATCCTCCTCATTCAAAAACCACTTCATCTTCTTCTCAAACTCAACATCATCCTCACTCTTCCCACCCTCCTCTCCACCTTCATCAATATCCATCCCATCAGTCAATGGTAAAGGACGATATAATTCCCGATCCACACCTACAAAATCATCCCCCCTGTTCGAATCCAAAAATATCCCATATCCACTCCCTCCTCTTCCTCCAGCACCAGCACTGCCCGGAAAAGTTCCAAACAACTTCTGATAAAAATTCAACTTCTTATCGCTACCCCCATTACCACTACTACTTCCACCAGTTGGACTCCCTCCAGTATTCGTGCTGATTTTCTTCACCATTTCATACAACTTCCCAACCCGTGGTCGTCTTCTCGTTGTCGCATTCGACGAGGTGGGACTCTGGAATAATTGAGAACTTCTTCGATATGCCACACTTCCCATTGTCGAAGTCCTCCATTTTTTTTGTTTTTTGTTGGGGTAGCCATCATCATCATGGGTGTCGATGGAAGAATTGGTGGCCGGGGAGGCGGGATAGGAGGACGTTGTTTCTCGAGTGGCTGGTGTGACCGGGGCGCGTCGGGATGGGAGATATGTTGATTTTTTGTGGGTGGGAGTAGATTGGGGTCGGATTTCGGGACTGCTGATTGATGCTAGGAGACTTTCCCGAGAGGAGTTATTATTGTTTGGGGTGGATGGGCGGTTGGGATGTCTGGATTTTTGAGGTAATGGTGAATTGGAGTTTGAATGTGATGGGGACGGTTGGACCAGGGGGTCGGTATAGTTCGAATTACTATTATTATTCGCTCCACCACCGCCAATCAGAAATACATTCTTATACGAACTTTTAGAATCGGTGCTATTGGTAGGTTTATGTTTTGATTCATTTCTTGTCGAATCACCCGCTGTTGCTCGTCCAAGAATATCATTAAAGAATCTTGTCATTTCCAATTCTTGTGCTTGTACTTGTACCTGTTGTTGTTGACTATGTTGTTCTTGTTGTTGAAAGGCTGATGAAGATGATAATAAAACGGGAGAATGAATATTATCTTGTCTCTTTCCTCGAGACATTTCTCCTACTTTATCTAAATATTGTAATTCCCTTACATCCCCTTCTTCTTCTCCACCTTCCTCTTCTTGTTCTGAATTTGTTATGCTGCTTGAAGTGGTCGCCGCATTGGTATTGTTGGAAGGTATAATAAAATTATTTGCAGCCAGTACTGTTTGTTCGTGCAATCTTTTTTCTCCAATTACAGGTGAGTCTAGATTCTCTTCTTCATCTACCAGGAATGGCCCTGCTAGTTTAGGTTCATCTATTTGGGATAGTTGTGTTGGCTCTTCTGCTTCTGGTTCATCTAGATTCGGTTCTGGGAGTTGGGTTGGTGACGGTGGGGATTTGGGAAGTGAGAATAAACGAGGACTAGGTAATTGTAATTTTTCTTGTGTTTGAATACCGTTAGTTATGATTCTTTCATTATCTACTTGATGAATAGTTATTTCTGAACCATGTATGCGATACGTATCTGAACTTTCTGAAAGGCTTTCCGAATTCACCTTTTCTAAGTTATTAGAAACTGGGACTATATTTAATTTCAGAAATTCATCTTCAATCCTAAATTCCAATTCATCAACTTCATAATTCCTATTTGGACCCATCTCAGACTTCTCATTATAGTTTCCAAATATGTGATTTTTCTGATCTGGCGAAATCATAATAGCCGACCCAGTTGGATCTAATGCAATGATTGATTTCGTCGGACTTTCAAAACATTCATTCAGATCAATATTTCTTGATGTTGTCGTTTGTTCACGTGATGATGAACTTCCATAATAACTAGAAGCCAGGGGACTTATTGGAGGCGTTACACACGTAGCCACTGTGACTCCCTTGTTTTTCTTTCGTAAATATCTATCAAAACTATCCGTTGATGTACTCTTCATTGGTGTTGATTTCGAAGGCAGGGAAGCATTTTCAGAAGATGATGAAACTTCATTTATAATCTCCAAACAATCCATTTTTGACACTCGAAGACACATTACAGGTAGATGCGGTTGTGGTTCTTGACCATCCTTAAATTCTGGGAATATTTCCATCATCGATATTAATGGTGATTTGAAAGTAGTGGCGATGGAGGAGATATTGTGACCATTTACAAAATCAAAATAATGCCCATGGTGTTCTTCTTCATCATCAGAATTTAAATTAAGCGGAATTTCATCACATTCCTGCTTGTTGATGGGAAATATGTTCCCCGGGATAAAGTTTAATGCGTTATTGTGATTCATGAAACTTTAATTTGCGTAGTGAAAATCGTTTCTATAAAAGAGATGTTGTTGCTGGTTTCAAAAGAGAATTGGATATAATTTTTCACATTCCAAATACACGCGTTCTAGACGGAGTTGTATATAAAGCCCAGTTAAGATTTATTGTATCTTTCTTCAGTATGACGAGACCATCGCTCACTGTCCATTGTAAAAGTTTAATTAATTTTTAATTTTTGGTGATAACAATGGTTGCGAGAAAGAGATGGCTTTTACATAACATTATTTTTAAGGTTCTGAGGCTTGATCCCCCGGTCCTCATTGAAGACGTTACATTGGAGTTTAAAATGTTGTGGCTTCATCTTTGGCTGTTTATATAAATCATATCTTATTAGACGGTTAATGCATGAGTATGTTGTGTCAAGTCAACAGCTGCAAGAGAATGAAATTGCAAAAAATATTTATGAAATTGTGCATAAAGGAAAAATAAAAATATGCATAGCGGGAATATAATTAAAAATAATTTATTTACCATAATTTCTTCATATCCGTAGACATTCCGAGAAAGCTCTAATATGAGCCTTTAAGGGAAAGCTTCCCCAATCTAGAGAATGAGATAAGTCAGAATTGCAAATATTAAATTATAGTCTTAACCTCCAAATGGCTGTATTTTCTATACATGATAATACAAACAATCTATTTTACTTTCTTTGCTTCTTCTTAATCTTTTCAATTAAAGAATTAACATTATCAGAATTACTAACATCATCAATCTTACGTTTAGATGACTTAGATTCATTCTTCTTAGATGGTTTACTCTTTGCTCTGTTTGAACGTTCTTGTAAAATCTTCTTCATAGTTGCAGTCTTCTTAAAATCACTACTAGTTGGATCAATTGCATAATCATGACTTTCAAATATTTCATTAAATCTTGGATCATTCAAATTAGCAACAAAATTATCTTGAACCATTTCTTCATCAATATTCTTCTTCTTTTTACCCTTCTTCTTGTTCTTTTGTTTTTCTGATTTTATCACATCCTTCATATTGAAATGTTCTGGATTATGCTTTTGATCTTCACCATCTTCATCCATTAATACCAATTCAAGTTCTGCTTTAGATTTCTCATCCATTTGAGGAACTTGCTTCTTCTTATTCTTCTTACCAGATTTATCCTTTGGTTTAGACTCCTCCACCTTCTTCTTTTCTTCAGCTTGAGTTTCTTTGAATTTGGCTAATCTACGTTTACGACGTTCCTTTTCCTTTCTTCTATACGCATCGATAGTCGATTCTTCTTCCTTTTCTTCCTCTTCATTATTATTCTCATCCTTCAATCCTGGATCAAATGTAATTTCCATATCGACATCGTCGTCATCACTACCCACATCTCTTCCAAACCCTTTGGCTCCAAACGTATCACCCAACAAATTCTTATATTTATCCTTCAAAGAAGAATCCTTTTCTTCATTGTCATTTTCATCACTATCACTTGCCAAATATGCCTTAAAATCATTCTCATCAATTTCCTTCTGAGAAAGTGGTCTTGAACTTAAAGTAAGTCTTTCCTTTGGAGTTTCATCCCAAGTTAATTTCACTTTCGAATGTTGTAATGCATCAGTAACAAATGTAGAATCTGGTCTGTAGGAAGATGGAATCTTGTTACATACATCCTTGGGGTCATCTTCACTGAAATCCATATCTTCGGGTATGTATCTTAAATCAAATATATTTGCCGTGGATTCATATTCGGTACCATCACAATTTATGTAGATATTTCTGGCGGTTTCAACTGAATCACATTTCACCACGGCGTAATAATATCTTAATCTTTGTAATTGATAACGACGTAATGCTTTACTGTCATAATCTTCCTTCCCATCATCTTCTTGATATAATTTTCTAGTCACCTTTTCCAATTCTTCAGGATTATTAATATCGATATCTGAACCAAGATCAGAATCGGAGTCTTCTTCTTGTTGTTGCTTTTTGTTCTTTTTGGAAGATTTGAATAAATCTTTAGGAGGACCTTCGATTTCTTCTCTTTGCATTCTTTCCTTACCGAATTCCGAAGGATAGATGGATACTGATTTGATTTGTCCACCTTTAGGTACAAAGGAAATAAAAGTTGCCATTAAATCAACTGCACGAATATTATCCCAATCCATATTCACAACTGCAAAAGAAGTAGTAGGTTCTGTTTCTTCTGGTTTGCCGTCTTCTAATTCGATTTCTGATTCTTCTTCGTCTGATTCTTCAAAGTTGACAGATGAGTCAGATGACGATGCTTCGGATTCAGATTCAGAATCAGAAGAAGAGGATCCGAGACCTTCACCTCTTGCTCGATCAAATTCGGCTTCTTCTTCTTTTAACTTTTTAGTAAGTGCTTTCAACTCATCATCATCCTCTTCTTCTTCGCTTTCACTTTGTTCTTCCTTTTCTTCTCCTTCATCAGAGCTCACACTCTCATCATCACCTTCAGACCCTTCCTCCTCTTCTTCTTCTACTTCTTCCTCACTTTCATGCTCATAAAACTTATCAAGACCAGCTGACTCATCTTTCTTGTTGATCTTTCTTCCATATCTATCAATCTTGGCTTTTTTACCACTGGCTCCAACACTTAATTTTTCAAGTTCTTTTTTACTAAATCTTTCATCTACTTTAACTTTAAATTTTTTTAAATTAGGTAATCTGAATCTTGGATCGTTGTGCACAGATTTGAACCTTGAGTCGGTTGTGATTGGTTGAGAGGGCTGATCTCCCTTCTTATCTCCTTTTGCCATGACTGTTGTTGTTGGATATAGCTTCTACAATCAAGCTTGATATTGAAAAACTAAAATTAAAATTAAAAAAAAAAAAGAATTCTAAAGAAGATCATCGCGAGAATTGAATTAAAAAATATTTTTTTTTATTGCTGCAAATAACTAACGAACTACATTGACCCACCTTGTCCATGATTTCCAACCAATCCAGCCATTTCCAAAAATGCTCTCTCCTCTCCCAAACTTCTGATATTAACACTCTGTCTAGCTTCAGCCTGTTTATTCTCCCATTCCCATTGTAATCTCTGTTCTTCCAATTCTTTACTCGATCCAATTCCCCAGACTTCCAAATCACTAATCACAAACCTATCCTCATAATCCTGATCTCTGATCACTGGATGTTGAGACCGTTCGAAATATGTAGAGGAAGTATTGGAGGAAGTCAGATTGGAGACCAAGTGTCTAAACACCGCGAATTCGAGATTGGCATCAATAGTCAAAGAAACATCTCCGGGGAAATATCGACGGGTGGTGTCGTTTTTGCATATCGGTTGATTATTCCCAAATCCTAATCCCATTCCTACATTGTTGAAATAGATCAGTTGTCCATTTAGGGCGGCATTGTGAACACTTTTAAACACATCAGCATGGGGTTTTACAGATATGATTACTGATTTCTCATCACCGAAATTATTCTTATTTGAATGTTTCCAAGGTGAGTTAATGAGGACAGCGTAGGTGATCTTATCATTCTCGCTTTGCCATTCACGTAGTGGATTTTCCAGCTTTAAGAAATATCCAGGATATTCGGACTGCAATTTATGATATCGACTATTAGTTGTCATTGTTTTCATCTTGAGTCGTTTCCCACTGACGATGACTAATGTCGGTGCTTGCCATTTAAAGATTTTCGATTCTAGGGATCGGATTGAAAATCCAGCGTCTGAGCCGGCGAAGAGTTTGACTATGTTTTGAGGGGTGATTTGGATAGGACTGTTTATTCCTTTTAGGATGGCTGAGATGTAGGAAACAAAAGGGATTGAAACTAGTTTCGATTCCTTGAATTCTGGAATTGGCTTCTCTCTTCTGGGTTGAGTTTGTTCGTGGGTGATTAATGGAGATGGAGGTGGAGACTTGGCTGCTTTCGTGAATGTTGATATGATACTCAAACCCATTAAATTATATAAATTGGATTCAATAAACCCAGGCAAAATCAATGAAATCCCTTCACTAAACTTTTCATACGAGATAAATGTATTCTCCAAGTCATGCAAACTCAAATCAATCTTCAAATACTTCAACAAATAAAAAGAGTACAATTCAAATTTATCCCAGTATACAACATTCTCAGATATTTGTTTAATCATAACCTCATGATTTTGTTTATTTATAGAATTTAGCAACAACATGAATGCTAGAATTTGATGTAATCTCCCGGCCGACAAAGCTACTTCTTCTATACCCTCAAATTCTTTACCATTACACATGTCACTCCAACATATTTTTCTGGATTTTAGTTCCGGGGGATCTTCTGGCTCTATGTCCATTAATACTCTGATTTTATGCATTACTTCCTCGTCCTCAATCTTGGAAGTTCCATTGGGAATCAACTCTTTGGTGTCAGCTTGACTTTTATTATCCCCCTTTTCTTCCTGATCCTTCTTCACCATGGCCACTTCTTCCAGTGAATTCTGTTCCTTACTGTTGTTCAGCTTGACCGACAACGGTAAGGCCAATGACATATAAAACAATCTCAAAAAATTATCATCCATAAGATTTTTATGCCTCCCACTAAAGAAAATAACCGAAATCACAAACTCCTGCAAAGTAAGCTTTTCATCAACTATGTCCTTATTATAATCACCAAGGAATGGGAATTGTCCTATCACTTTCATACTATCATACAAAATCGTCACAACACTTTCAAGTTTCTCATCATTTTGCGACAAATTCAATTTTAATAATTTCCCTAGTTCAGATTTCGATATTTCTATACTGGATTGAAATGCATCTGGATCATCTTCCAGTATCCCCAATGCTTGTTTTAGGAATGAGATTTCAATTGGTTTTAGGAGGGTGACGCATCTAGTATAAAAAAATTGATGGATCTGGAGATGAGTGAATGATTCGTGAGGATGGATTGATGCTCGAATTGAGACATTGGATTCCGAACTTATCATATGACCCATTGTGGATGATTGGAAGTGGTTTTTATGAAGGAAATAGGATTGGTCTAAAAGAGATCAAAAAGAAGGGGAAATTATTAACTGAGGCTAAGTGATCATGTTTATGTACCTGGGGATTGACCTGCAAAAAAATAGGTACAAAAACGAGAGTGTGCGGCATTTCCTCTTTGGGATTATACGAGATTTACTATTACAGTATGATTTAAACTCATGATTCAGTTCAGATCTACTGTCTAGGTGGATTTAATTTTGAAAGACAAGCCTTGAACTTCGAAGAGATCATGGTGTCTATATGAGTGGACTATTTATAGATTAGAGAAAATGAAACTGAAACGTCCCACATGACGTCCTTTACTAGCCATTCTTTCCTAGAGAATTGTCCTGAAGATCCAACTCTCTCAAGTAGCATCCCCCGTCGGCCCTATCATTCTATGAGTAATTATTAAATTATTAAATTATGTAAATTATACAAATGCTACTTTTCATTCCTCAGCTTTCGGAAAATCAATATTGAGCCAACCATCTAATCAAAAACTCCTTTGATCTCAATTCCAAATCCAATACTGCTTTCTTCACCTCCCCAATCATCCCGGTACTACCCAATATTTCCTCTTCTTCTTCATCCACGTTATGTTGAACCACGCCCTCCCCGGAAGTATTACTAATTTCACTAATATGTTGTTTCAAAAGTAATCTTGTGAATGAAACCATAACCAATGTAAAATAAAACCTAACCACAGTAATAACAACAGTAGTACTGAATGTAATAAACAATTCTCTAGTCTGAGATGCTGATTGTCTAGATAAATCGTCATCAACAGTATCTCTTCTTGCATTAATTGTAGCATCAGTATCTTCGACATAAAACCAATAATAAGTGAAATACAAAGTATATAAACAACCAATCCCCGTATCCAAAATATAAATCAAAGTAGCCAAAGATAATTTTCGAACATTTCTGGGTTTATTCTTTAAATTAATTAATGCCATGGCATAAAATGGTAATATGAGTAATGCTATCATATTATATAACCATTGTAAGAAATTAATAGGATGTCCGGTTAATAATGATAAGATACCATATAACCCACTGGCTTTGTTTAGGATGGCTATACCGAGTATAATTTCAACTCCAATGAATAATGGAAGTACTCCAAGGAATTTCTATGGGAAGTGTTTGTTAGTAGATGAAACGTCAGTCTGAAGGGTAATTAGAAGGGTAAGTACATACTTGTGGTAACACATTAACCAATACTCTATTGAATGCCATGCTTGTTTTATTATTGTATCAGACAGAAGAAGAAGAACTTAGAATAAGCTCAGTTGTGTGTTGTGTGTCAGAGATAGATGTGAGTAATTAGTACGGGAAACCGTTGAATAATTTTTTTCTTCCCTCGCGACTAATTGATTTGCTACCATTCGGCTCATCTAGCCCGCAGAATGAAGATAAAAAAAAAACTTCGCTAAAGATCATCTCATCTAGATCTACCTTTCTATCACCACCCACAACCCATCATGTCAACTGAAGAACTAACTAGACAGATAGAGGATACAGGTATCTACAGTTCATCCGATGAGACAACCGACTCAGACTCAGAAGATGAAACCTTCGCCAATAATAATAAATCATCCAGAACTTCCCATCCACAAATTGCACCCAAAACCCTTACTGAAAAAGAAGATATCGTCACCAAATATGCCGACAAGATCAAATTAGATCCAGTAAAGAAAGGTCCTAAAATAACCAAAGATAGAGCTAATCGAGCCACAGTAGAGCAAGTATTGGACCCACGTACATTACGATTCTTAGCTAAGATTATCAACAAGGGGATAATCTCCCGTATTAATGGATGTATCAGTACAGGAAAAGAAGCCAATGTCTATCATGGAGATAATGAGGATCCGGAATACACCCGAGAATATGCAGTTAAGATTTACAAAACATCCATCTTGGTTTTCAAAGATCGTGAAAGATACGTGGATGGGGAATTTAGATTTAGAAATACCAAAAATCAAAGCAATCCGAGAAAAATGGTTAAAGTATGGGCTGAAAAGGAATTTCGTAACTTGAAAAGATTATATATCAATGGGATTCCATGTCCTGAACCGGTCGAATTAAGGTCCCATGTCCTCGTAATGGAATATCTCACCAAGGGTAAGGGAGAACCTTCACCCAAATTAAAGGATCATCCATTTAAAGATGTAGATGAGATTGTTTATTATTATCATCAGATGCTATTCTATATGAGAAGAATGTATCAAGTGTGTAGATTGGTGCATGCTGATTTAAGTGAATATAATTCTATTGTTCATCAGGATAAATTATATATTATTGATGTTTCACAATCGGTTGAACCTGAACATCCAATGGCTTTGGATTTTTTAAGAATGGATATTAAGAATGTGAATGATTTTTTCAGTAGGAAGAAAATAAATGTATATCCCGAAAGATTAATATTTAAATATATAACTGAAGACAATCATGCTTTGGGGATTAATGATAATAGTGATGAGGAATTACTGAGATATTTGGAAGGATTACCATTGAAGACGGGAGATAATGATGAAGATGAATTACAGGATGAAATTTTTAGATCATTGCATTTGGTTAGGTCATTGAATAATTTGGATGAAAGAGATTTCCAAAAGTTTTCGGAAGGTAAAGTTGATACTATGAAGGATTTGGTAGCTCAGAATGAGTATGAAGAGGAAGAAGAAGATGAAGATGAAAGCTCAGAAGATGAAAGCGACGATGACTCATCTGACTATTCTGGAAGTGAGGATGAAGAAGAAGAGGACGAAGAAGGTAGTCATAAGAAGAAAAAGGAATGGGTAGATCGTGAAAAGGAACTTAAGGGTAAGAAACATGAAGATAAAGATGATAAGAAAGCAAGAAAGGAAGCAGCAAAATTAGCTAAACAAGAAAAGAGAAAGACAAAGATGAAGAAACATATTAAGAAGAAGATCATTAATAAAAGAAAGACTGCGAAGTAGACACTTCATTGAAGTTCATAAGAGTATATAGGTTGTTTATAGATACATATGGTAGCTCGAAAAGTAGGTAGTCGTGTAATTCGACACAAAATATTTTGAACACGCGAATTTCTTTCTCGCTTTGGTTGGGATTTTTTTTCACCAGTGTAAAATCAATAACCACACCCAATAGGAATACGGCAAGGAGTGTTGCAATACCCATATCCCTGTAAGAAACGTGTACAAACCAGAAAAGAAAAGATGATGGTGAATATAACCAGTAAATGCCTATTAGCATTATTAGCATTATTCCATATAACTAGTGCATTACATTTTTATGTTAAAACTGGAGAAACGAAATGTTTTTATGAAGAATTACCAGAAAACACTTTAGTTGTTGGTAAGATTGATGCTTATGAAAGAGAAGAAAATAGTAACGAATATGTTAAGAGTGCAAATTTAAAAGTTCAAATCACCGTTGAAGTATGTTCCTCTTTACTAATTTCAAACAACAAAGGAAAACTTATACTAACATCCATTATCTAGGAAACATTTGATGATGATCATAGAGTTGTTGATCAAAAATCATCTCCAAATGGAGACTTCACATTCACATCCTTAGATTCAGGAGAACATAAATTCTGTTTAACTCCAGTCTATACTGACAAGACTCATGGTAAAGTTCATCGTATCTTTTTCGATGTTGCTCAAGGTTCTGCTCATGATTATGTTGATTCAAAATCTACTAAATCTGTAGATGAATTAACTAGAAAGGTTCAAAAGTTATATGAACAATTAGATAGAATTCATTGGGAACAAGAAACTATGAGACAAAGAGAAGCTGATTTTAGAGATCAATCAGAATCAACCAATTCTAAGGTTGTTAAGTGGACTATTGTTCAATTGGTGGTTTTGATTGGAACTTGTGTTTACCAAATGCGTCATTTGAAGAGTTTCTTTGTTAAACAAAAGATTGTTTAAGTTCTTTACAATTGTCCTAGCTTCGGTATGAATTACTTTTGTATGTAGTGTTCTATACTTTGCGAGAAAATGAAAAATGAAACCTAAATAGATAATTTGTAATTCGCTTGATTATACTCTCTTGTAGTCATATGTGGTTATTCTCTAACGAGGTTACCCTCCGAATTGGGTTATTTCACTCTGTGTCAAAAAATTTCATACGTACGGCAAATGATGTCACAAACTTCCACAATAAAAAAATAAATTTCGCATCTCTCATCCCACTCATCATCATCATCCTACTTCTTTTCCCATCTCCAGCACCATATCATGTCAGACCAGTCAAAAGAAGACCTCCTTGCTTGTATCCGTGAACTAGAACTAGAAAACTCTCGACTCAAAACAACCACAGTCCCCCCAACCCCAGTTGAAACCACCTATCCCCAAATCGATGAGCATTTTTCACTAGATGAATATAAACGATATGGACGACAAATGATCGTTCCCCAATTTGGCAGTCTTCCATCCCAAATCAAACTCAAAGACTCCAAAATCCTAATCGTCGGTGCCGGAGGACTCGGCTGTCCCGCATTGTTATACCTCTCCGCCGCGGGAATAGGAACGATCGGGATCATAGATGATGATATTGTCGATATCTCAAATCTCCATCGACAAGTCTTGCATACGTCAGACATGACGGGGGTGCATAAATGTGAATCAGCCCGGAGATATATCGCCAAACTAAACCCCCATGTCAAAGTGGAAACGTATCCTTTCAGATTAGATAATGATAATGCGTTTGAAATTGTTGGGAAATATGATTTGGTTTTGGATTGTACTGATCATCCCGCGATTCGATATTTGATAAATGACGTTTCTGTGATCTTGGGGAAGACGATCATAAGTGGATCGGGGTTGAAATCGGATGGACAATTATCGATCCTAAATTTCCAGAATCAAGGGCCGTGTTATAGATGTTTTTATCCACAGCCACCATCTCCTGATTCTGTTACTTCGTGTTCAGATGGAGGGGTGATTGGACCCGCGATTGGGATTGTGGGGGTTATGATGGCCATGGAGACGATCAAGGTCTTGACTGGTTTCTATACCGCTGAGAATTTTAATCCTTTCCTTTCGATATATTCAGGATATCCACAACAACAAATCAGGGTATTTAAGATGAGAAAAAGACAAGCTGGATGTGTTGTATGTGGGAACACTCCGAGTGTGACTAGAGACTTAATTCAGAGCAATGTGATTAATTATGATGTTTTTTGTGGAAAGGCGGTACAGAAACCTATAGCTCCTGAATATAGAATCCTTCCAAAGGAATATCAATCTAAGGTAAACAGGGAACATGTCTTGATAGATGTTAGACCCAAGGAACAATTCGCTATTACTAGTTTACCTAATGCGATTAATATTGAATGGGATCCGATCTTTAGAAAAGCCGATCATATTGAAGAACTTATTCCCCATGTTTCCAAAGATGATCCAATATATGTTGTTTGTCGATTTGGAAATGATTCTCAATTAGCAGCTCAGAAATTGCTAGATCAGGGATATACCAACGTCAAAGATATTATTGGGGGTATTAATAGATGGAGTGAAGAAGTTGATAATAAAATACCAAAATATTAAAACATTATATAGAAATACAAATAGAAATAATAATAATACAAATTCTTTATAAACCCTTAGGATCTAATCTTTCTACAATCAACAATCCCGAAATAGTACCTGCAGCATAAACAGAACTTCCAATCACATTTTCATTCCATCCCAAGGCCGATATCGCCACCTCTGGGGGCATAAACGAAGGAGTCATCGGTGATTCAACATCACAACTCTCATATCCAGCCCTCAACACAAACGACCCCGCCTTCACCTCTCCTGCTTCTGTTCCCTCCGCCAATTCCAATTTCCATAACTTCAACGGAACAAGTACTTTACTAGTAATCTTCCCTCCCTGTAAATGTCTTCTCGCAAAATTCAACACCACAATATCCCCATTGGCAAACCCAGTTAGGTTCAAAGGATGTCCCAATCTCTCACCTAGGACATTACAACTCACACTCGCAGACGCTTTAAGCAACCCCAGAGCAGTCTCTTGTGGCACTCTTATAAAACTATATCCCGTTGCATCATGGGATGGAGTGACGCCAAAACAACGTAATGCGTGATTGTAGGAAGGTGGGGTGGTTGATTTGGAAACGAGGGGGGAGCAGAAACATTGCGTGGGGTCGGTGTAGTCATATGCCATGCATTGCGTTGAAGCGGAATTTATCACGATGAGATATTCGCCAGGTGCATAGTTGGCGGCGAGGATGGAGGTGATTGGTGCATCGGAGAAGCGGGTTCGGTAGGAGGGGAGGGTTGGGTTGGTGTCGGTGGAGTAGTGGGGGTGGAAGGGAAGGATGAATTCGGAGATGTAGCCGTCGACACAACCTATTATGATTTTATCGATGCTTAGGAAATCAAAGCAGGTAATGTTGGAATTTGGATCAGATTTGGTTCGTTTGGTGGAATATGTCAGGGTGTAAGTATATGATGATTTGTTCACTATATTATATTTGGAGGGTAAAGATTTGTTGATTTTGAAGAGATGAACATCCCCATCTGTGAATGCACCAACAAGAACTCCTAATGTGTTTCCAGTAGTATGAAATGGAGCCCATTTTAAATCAGAAACCGCACCCATAGTGGTAGTTATCAAAACATTCTCCAACAGAAATTCATTCTCTTTAACATCATATTTCCAGATCTGTATACACGAATTTATACCTCTTTCATTGGAAGATTTACTATACATGCTCAATTCAGGATTGTTTATACTATCCAGTATCCCCTTAGGGTTATTGATCACACCAATTGCTAAATAGCTCACCCCAGATTCATCATCAAGCGGATTAGGAAGCCATTTAAGTGCCGTAACTTGTCCACCTGGACTAACTATCTTTGCTTTCCTCTTTGCAAACTCCATCAAATCAGTAACATTCTCATCCAATTTCAAATCAAGTTCTCCCCCATCCCCATTAATAATCTTCAACCCAATTTCATTATGAAACCTAGATTGAAAATATCCCTCATCAACCAGCTTAAGATCCAACTCATTTAAATTCAATTGAGATTCTTCAATGGTTGGCAATTCGTTAAGGAAGTTATCTTCAGTAGTATATTTTTTCACTTTTGCTTCATTGACATAAAATAAGAATCTTTCCCAATCAGTTTTATAATTTTTAATTAATTCAAAATATGATTCATCAGTACCGAAATAATGTTTGAATCGATTTCTATAAGAAGAATCTCTTCCTGTTTTCCAATAAACTTGTTGAGGTGGCATTGCAACCGATGACTTCTATTGGTTTGTTTACTTTCTAACAGTGGTGATGAGATTTTTTTGTTGGGTGGTGTTCGAACCCCATTGAGATGCGAAAAGAAGAAAAACAAAAACAATACAAAACCCACAAACTTATTATTCATAGGAACCTCATTAGGGCTACAACACTTGGGAAAGCAAAAGAACAAAATGGAACAGACACCTGAGCAATCGCCACCCCCATCAACCAGTTTAGGTCCATCATTAAGTCCGAAACATAAAAAGAGAAAACCAGTGGCTTTAGTAGAAGATGATTTCTTTTCCCTTAGTTCATCAATGTCAGATATAAGAAAACATAAGAAGAAACATAAGAAACATAAGAAGCAAGGTAAAGATGCTTCATTCTCAGCTAGCCCAACAATATCTGACCAACGCCTGTTTTCAACAGGAGAAATGTCACTGCCTCTGTCTTTCAATGTTCCTGGTAATGATGATATTAAATCGATACCTGCACTGGCAGATATTCATTCGACCTCATTGACAAAGAATTCTGATAGTATAGCCACCGTTGTGGATGAAGATCTAGAAGTAATTGAAGTTGTAGAGGTTGGAAGAGCATCAAATGCAAGTATAATAATAGATGATGAAAATCCATTTGATCAAGTTGAAGCAAGCGTACCAATACGACATAATTCAAGTAAAGACGATGACGATTTGGATTTCGATTTTGATTATCTCGATTCTACCATACCCAAAACAACAACAGCCACAGCCACCACCTCCACCTCCACTACGAAAACCACTACAACAACAGAGTCAGGTCCACCTGACAAATATGACTTCTCCGATGCCAACGAGAAAAAACGACGCTATATCATCCGTATCACCTCCAAACTCCCCCTTCCCTCCGACTTCGCCACCCCCATTGAATTTGGAACCAAAGGACTCAAGAAATTCGATAAGATTCATAAATCAATCCTATCCCATTTTCGCACCATATTCGCCCCCCAATTAGAATCATTTTATTTAGATCGATATTCAACTGAATTAACTAATTTAGTCTGGATTGAAGGAAAAACATTAATTCAACCATTTTATACCCCAAAAACATTTCGAATTCCCCCACCTGCTAGTTTTAATCATTTGATTGATGATGTGAATGCGATGGAACCTACTATTGTCAGTTGTTTGTTGATACCCAGGGAGAATAGTTTGCTGTTTTTGGGAATATATCCTGAATTCCAGCCGAATGCTGGGGTGGCGGATTTGGAGGATCAACTTGATGAAGATCAGGTGGAGCCGGTTATAGAGATGAGTTATCATGCTTCCAGTGATGATGATGATGAGGAGGAGGAGGATGAGGATGACGTCGAAGTGACCGCAATAGACGTTGGTGAAGACAATGATGAGGAGGAGGGTTTCTTTGTTATTGGATTAAAGGGGAAAGATAATAAAAGAATTGAAGTAAAAGTATCACCTGAAACTAAATTACGTAATTTATTATTACATTATTTGAAAAAGAAAGAAATTGATGAAAGTACAATATCTTTATCACTGGCTAAACTTATTTTTGATGATGAAGAAATGAATTTAGATGATTTGGTTAAAGATACTGAACTTGAACAAGATTTTGAAATTCAAGTTGTACTTTGATTCGTTGGCTTGTGTGTGTGGTGGGTGTCATTGTCTAATACACGAGCAATGAAAGGTTCAAAAGTTGGCATAGTAATGGCTTAGAAGAGCTGAGCATGTGATGATGACTAATAAAGACAGTGATAGATGTAGATAGAAAATAGAGATAATATATAGATGACTCAAATTCTACACAGAACTTCCCACAGTAGATGGACAAAAGCAGTCATTTGCAATAATTCTCATCCTTTAAATAGGTCTTCTCTACTAATCTATCCCAAGAGCAATACATCTCAATACTAATTGCTCGTTTCTATAAATACATTTTTGAGTAACTTCGTCAATTCGTCAACATTAGCCTCATTGTTGGTTGTGAACCAAGAACAATATAATAATAAGAAAAAAAAAGGTTGCAAAATCGTAACTAACCGGGGCCGGAGCGGTTAAAACCAGAAACCCTTTGGCATCAAGACAGCAATCTACCAACTATCTACCAACTACTACAAGATTAGTTGCAATAGATACTCGGTAGCATTAGAAATAATATCCAGTGCCATTTTTGTCCCGAATAGCTGTAATCACAGAACTTTACCTCCACCAAATCCATATCAAACTTCAGCATTTGTTTTGTAACTTTAGAAACCCTGTTGCGGAAGCAGCGAGATGTAAGATTATGTAGGGCTTTGAGGGGTTCTAGTTCTGACGGAGGGGGAGGTTCCACAATACATAATTAAACAGAATTTTATCATTAACAATTATAAAGCAACTTAAACTTCAATTCATATAATTAGTACATCAGTTGGGGGGATTTAGAAGTTGTTAGAATTGTTTGTATAATTTAAGAATTAACATTTCGATTTATTGGTTCTGGGCTCCGTTGAAAGAAAGCTTAAATTATTTAATAATTATTATTTATTTGAATCGGTGTTTCAAAAACTATAATTCATTGGTTCACCCCCTTACAAAAAGGCGATTGTCAGAACAGCATTTGTAGTTAACATGTTACAGAACAATATGACATATACACATATTGAAACTAATGAGAGAAAAGGTGTAAATAAACTGGTTAATAATTTTTAATGATGTTTTACATTTTGAAATAAAACAATAAATATATTCTTGACGAATGCTTCTTAATGCATAAACATCGTTGGTTTTATTTGTTAAATTAAAAATTGACTTGACCACCCCATCATTAATCACTATCATCGTACCAGCTGGTAAATGATCAAATTCTTTAAATTTATTTCATACTTTCTTTTTCTCTCTTCAAACTAATCAATTCAATCCAATCAGTTAAAGGTGTTTATTTGTTTGTTGTTGATTGCTGTTTGTGTACCTTAATTCATCACACAATAACAATCTTTGTTTCACTTTTTTTTACAACCAAAAAATTATTAATTATAAACTTAATAAATTAATTTATTTTGATTTCGTTTAAATAAATAAATAAATTCTTGACTTATTAATTCAAAAAACTTTTTTATACTTTTTTAGATCAATTCCTCCAATTGATCCCAAGTGATTGTTGTTTATTAATATATTCATCCTTCTGAGTAGACTCAGACTAAATCCCCCTCCTCATATTATCAATAGACGTTTAAATGTCAAGCATATTCTCCAAATCAATTGACTGGGAAATATCATCACTTACTAATAGCATTGATTTTTCCGATACCGAATCTTTATCAACCAGTACAACCACCACCCCCAATTCCAACTTTAATATCTTAAGTCCCACTCTGGCTACTATATTAGAAACTACCCATGGTAACCACCTGCAACAATATGAAAAAAATCAACATGTTAAAGTCCTATGTCGATTCCGACCTCCCTCTCCCTTTGAAAATAGAAAAGGTAAATCAATAGTTGATTTCCCCAATACTGAAACTGTCACATTCAAATCAAGAGATTCTATTAATAATTTTGTATTTGATCGAGTCTTTCAACCAGATTCTTCACAATTGGATATCTACCAATTCTCAATCTCGGAAACGGTGGATGATTTATTGAATGGTTATAATGGTACTGTATTGGCATATGGCCAGACTGGTTCAGGGAAATCATATACTATGCTTGGAGACATTGATAGTCCGGAAGAACGAGGGATCATACCTCGAATTGCTAGTGAATTGTTTAAATATATTGAACAAGAAGGTGACGAAGCGGTAATGGAATATACCCTTGCTGTCTCATTTATGGAGATTTATATGGAGAAGATAAAAGATTTAATAAATGTTAACAATAATAATCATAATGATTCCGTCGAATCATTACAAATTCATGAAGATAAACGAAACGGAATATATGTCAAGGGACTTTCACAAGCATTTGTCAGTAGCGAAGATGAACTCTTGGATATCTTAGCTAATGGATTAAAATATCGGTCAACATCTTCCACCAATATGAATCTTGAAAGTTCTCGTTCTCATACCATTTTCCAAATCAAACTCATTCAAAAACATATTACTACTGAAGTCATCAGACGTTCTCATCTCTTTTTGGTCGATCTCGCTGGTTCCGAAAAAGTCGACAAAACAGGTGCCCAGGGACAAACTTTAGAAGAAGCCAAAAAGATAAATTCATCCTTATCAGCTCTTGGAAATGTTATTAACGCATTAACTGACGAAAAGTCGACCCATATCCCATATCGTGATTCTAAACTTACAAGAATCTTACAAGAATCATTAGGAGGGAACTCGCGAACATCATTAATCATTAATTGTTCCCCTTCGTCTTTAAATGACCTTGAAACTTTATCAACCTTACGATTCGGAATGCGGGCTAAGAAAATCAAAAATGAAGCATGTGTCAATACCGAATTGGGAGAAAAAGGATTAAAAGAACGTATTGCCCAATTAGAAAAGATAAACGTACACAATCGAGAATATATCCAACAATTAGAAACTGAAATTGCATATTTACGTTCCGATAATGCTATCCATTCCGCCAGTAATACCAACCGACAAAGAATTCCCCGTCGTGTTAGGTCAATCAATAGTATGGCTTCAACGGCTTCATTGGGCTCAACAGCAACATTCCAATATCCGGGGGCATTAACATTATCATCCACACCATCTCGATTACCAGTCCTTTCATCCAGCACCCTCTCCACCATCTCAATAGAACCCCGACAACAGCATATGGTGGTGGCCAATGGTTCATCACCTAATTTACAAACCATGAATGAAGAATTAGATCGTCGAGATAAAAAAATCGAAGAATTGGAAAATACAATCCTAAACCTCAAAATGACCAATCTTAAATCTTCCCACCAAGAAGAATCAAAATTATTTTCACTTGAAAATACCCTACATACAATTGGAAACAAACTTGCCGAAGTCGAGTTGATAAATATAAACCTTCGAAAACATTTATTAATCAGTGAGAAGATTATTGAAAGTCGGGATAATAAGATAAATAAATTAAAAGTTGCCCTTCGGGAACAACAAGGAACAATTGGGAGGGAGTCGAAGGTGTTTAGGGATAAATTGGAACTTATTGGCCGGAATTTGGAAGAGTTGAGAAAGGATAGATTGGAGGAGCTTAAATTTAGGAGAGAAAGTATGCTTTCTATGACTAGTGGCAGTGTGAATGGTAATAAGATTAATGAAAGTCTGGAAAGCGTTGCCAAGAATGATAGCAATGATACCCATTCTGATAATCAGACACAACAAAACAGTCCTATTAAGAACACCAAATTCAACGACAAGAAAAAGAGCATCGAAAGTAAGAACTACGAAGGAGATGCCGAACACGAAGACGAAGACGACGCTAGCGACATTTCAGAAATCCATCCCGACCCCGAACTTCTAGACGACCACCCTGCATCCCCCGTCAAATCCATCAAATCCATCACATCCATCCAACAACAACTCAGTCCAGAACTGAATTATACCCCAAAAGCAAAATCAATCCAACTGTTCGAACTGGAAAAATGGGGATTTGCCATGAATCAATCCCGACGTCTCCCCCCACCACCTCCAAGAAATGCCGCCACTAATCAAGCTTCAATCGATGAATTAGAAGCCGATATTATCAATTTCGAGCTGGAATATGTCACCATTCGTGATTTTTTGAATGAAAGTCGTCAGAAAGGATTAGCAGGGGATCATCCTCATCATTCATTGGCATTGGATCGGATCGATACGTCGCTGACGGCGGAGATGTTTGGCGGAAATGGTGAGTTTGAAAAAGGGACGGCGGAACAGGTGGTTATGAAGGGGAAGAGAAAGAAGACTCCGTCGTTTGGATTGAATTTAAAGATTGTTAAACCGTTGAGAGGTGGAAATTCTTCTCATTGAATGGATATTTATGAGATTATTATTTTTTGCATTTTTTTTGTAAAGTAAGTTAATTATTAGATCAAGCTTTTTATTCCTGTTTTTTTATAGTGTGATATAGAGTAATTTTAAGTTATATTTATAAGGCCACATCAACAGTATTAGGATCGAGAACCAATTACTATGATTCCACATGAAAGATAGCAAGATTCTAGAATGGAATGATGAAATAGGAAAGATTCCCGAAGGGTCTAAAAAAAGAGTGCGTCATGTGAGAATAACGGACGGAAGAACGAGTCGAAAGTATAGCCGATAGAATACTTCTAGTTGCAGATTAAATTTGTGGTATTCTTTTGTAGTCATTTCAAAGCCCAGTTGTATCTAAAAATAAACTCAATATAAAGACGCGTGGTGTAGTACGGTACTCGGAAAATGTCACAGAAATTGTCATTTTCCGTGGTTTATAAGTGTGATTGTTTTTGTTGCAAAAACACCACATCAGCATTCTGTCAATTTCAACGCTTTAACACAGTTATTCTATTGAGAGACATATTCTATTGTAATGATTTAATGATTGTCTCTCGGCATCTAGTTTCTCCATTGAAGTATCGGGATGTTCCCGTGGTGGCTGTGTTCCTCCTAGTCCTGCATATTACAAATGCTTATTAAACAGCAATGACTTTGTAGCTTTGATGCATATTTGGACTTCTTGTAGTTAATGAAATAAACTTTTAATGATCTGGGTGTTTGAATAATGTTTCAAGTAGGGGTTTTGATTAATGAGTAAGTTGGTATTTCAAACCGAGAGTTGGCAGCACACCAATTGTGGGAAATGAAAAATTTTTAGTTATTAGCGAAAAAATAATGCCACTCTAAAAAAAATAAAAAAATAATTAATAGACGCGTCTTATATTTATTCCTAATTAAGCTAAACAAGCAAGCTATTTATAATACCTTCCTCAAGACCAGGGGATTGTATTAAGATAAAAGATAAGCTTGGTTGTATTCAACAAGCCATGCATTCGATGAATAGAAGTTTATAATATAGCATAGCTGGTTTGCACTAAGCAAACGCAACACGTCTAAAGAGCAAGTTAAGGAATCATCTCTTGATTTTGTGTTATGATAAATTTTTCATTTGTGTTTGTTATGTTTGTTTGGTATCCAACTGATTACTAGGGTACTCTGAAACACGAATGACATCTATATTATTATTACACACACTATATTTTAATAATCCAACGAGTACAAAGAAGAAAAGAAAATAGATCTTGTTAAGTGTGCAAGAGAAGAAATTTATTAGTTCTGCATGGAATTGCATTAAGACTTAGGCTTTAATGAAATGAGTTTCTTATAGTGGAGGGGAATAAGTCAAATTTATATGAAGTCTATTGTAATGAGTTTAATCCAAGGGGAAGTCTGTCTTTGTTTTAGCATATGTCCATTTTTCAATTTAATTATAATTTTAAAGTTGGGCGAATGAGGAAGTTATATTACATATTATTTTGTAAATTGAGGATAAATTTATTTTTTATTTTAATTTTTAAGATTATTTTTTTTATTTTATTTTATTTTCTTATTTTTTTATTTTATATTTTTCTGTTAATAATTTACTTCTTCCGTTTTTTTTTTTACTCAGTATTTAATAATAAAGTTTTTTTTATTTAAGGGAGATTCAAAGTTTTATCTTTTGATTTTCAATTTGCTCTCTCTCAAATTCAATTTATAGCCGCCCACTTCCTCCACTTTCGTTTTTTTAAAAGAAGAAGAAGAGAGATTATTACTGGGTGTGAGACAGAAAGAGACAGACAATAGTAGAGTAGAGAGACCTTCGTTAAGAACATTATTTCCAAACTTCATTTTTTTCAACGTACATAATTCACTGGGGAAACGGGCAAGGCCGATAAAGAATATAATACTCCAACCCCCCTTCTTATTTCAACAAACGTTTGGAATATCATAAATAATACTTTGATTGATAAAGTTATTATTTCTCGGTTGCATCGAGATTTGGAGCTAAAATAAAGGATTTTTCAAAAACGGGGTTCCCCATCCATATTAATAGACATTCGCAACTGTAACATTTTTCACCACAGCCTTGTGAATTTAGAATACTATGGACAAGTATTTGATGAGTTCTCCAACTCAGTTATCACAACCATTTGAACTAAATAGCGAGGTTTCAGGAAACGGGTCTCGCCATTCAACTGTACCGGGGATGGTTGAAGATATTTACGCTGATTCCATGCACCATCACCGCCCTAATCATAATCAGCAGCACCACCACCACCATGATAACTTTGGTCAACATTCGCAGTCACAAGATTCAACATATTTAAGAAACGATGACTTAGACACGATGACAGAAGGAGAAATAGTACCAGTATCTACCAATCTTCCTCATAATAAGTATTTTCATATTCCTGAAGACTCATTAAATTTCAATTCATTAACTCATTTAGATTCCATTAATACCAACTTATTAGAATCTACTCCATCGCAAAATAATAGATATAGTCACTCGAGAAACATTTCACTTGACGATTCATTTGATTTCCGGGACTTACCAGATATAGGATCCAGGAGAACATACAACCATCAATCGACATTATCAACATCTTCCATATTATCAGTCAATCAAAACCCTCCATCATTTCCAATCCCTCCTAATCCCAACACTTACAATAATGGTGCAGAATCGATCTCCTCTAATACAGTTTATTCGTTCGATTCAATCCCCCAACTCACGTCTTCTGTATCGAATCAATCCTTGGCTGATTCACCAAATTCCCTCCGCTCAAAACAACAACCAGCCCATTCCATCACACAATCGATTTCAGTCGTTCCAACTACCAATACCACTATGGCAACACCTCGCCGAACAGGAAGACCAAAATCATTATCTATCTCAAGTTCAAATCTATATGCAACTCCATCAAGAGGCGGGTTAAATAATCCACTATCACCCGTAAACCTTGCCACGGCTGCCTTGAATAAGATTACAAAAACTCCGTATTCTTCCAAATCCAAAACCCACAGCCGTTCGCGGTCACGGGCTTCGGTAGATATTCCAACCCTTGTGAAATCTAGTTCGTCGTCGTCGGCATATAGTCTAAACCCCTTCTATTCGTCATCACAATTTGTGTCGCCTATAGTGGATCGTACATTAAATGATGACGTGGACGACGATGTGACATTATTAACTCCGTCAGGTAACAGAGGTGGCGGTGGGGATATGAATGGAAGTATGGGATATAACAATCCAGCCTATTTCAGTCCTATTAAATATAAGCAAGAATTTTCTAATGGAGCAACACCTTTGGATATTGAAAGTCAAGAAGATGATGCATTGAAAGAAATAAGGAAAGCTAAATCATTTTCAAATCTTTCTGGAAACCCAAATTCAATTAGGAGATCATCTAGGATGAATAATAATGGTTCACAATTTGGACATTGGAAATCTGCTAGTGGAAGCTTTTCTGTAAATGGACATGGTAATGGTAGCGGGAGTGCAAGTAGTGCTGGATCATTTGCTGAAGATTTATCCATTCGACTTGAAAACCAAATTAATCAACCACCACAATTGAAAAACGAACCTACAAGTGGAGTCGTGTACAATGCCACTCTTAATGTCGCAACTACAGTTCCGGGTGGTGAAGTGGATTACTATGACCAACAAAATATTAAGACTGAAGACAATAGTCGAATTGATCTTTTGCTGCCACATCAATTCAATCATGCGTCAACAACCACATTTGCGCCAAATGGTAAGAATTTAACCAAGAGTTTGAGTCAGAGTGCTGCTACAAGATCATATCCTGCTTCAATCGATTTAGCTGCCATAGCTTCAGGGGCATCAGACGTGTCTCCTGTCAATGGTGGACTTCTTCCTCCAATGGCAACATTTACAGTTTCGCCCCAGAACGACCACGAGAAAGAAAAGGAACAACAGCAAAACGAACACAAATCAAGTAAGGGAGAAATCAAAAGGAGTGACTCATTTGAAGAGATGGATGATGATGGAACAGTAACATTCCCAATTCCAGACAATCTCCAAATCACAATTCCTGTAGTCAGAAATAATCGATCTAAAGATAAACAAAATGAAACTTCAGCTGATTTATCAAAGAAGAAACATCGTTGTCCAATATGTGATTGTCGATTTCAACGACCAGAACATGTCAAAAGACATATCAAGAGTCATTCAGCTGAGAAACCTTTCCTGTGTGAGGAAATTGGGTGTGGGAAGAGGTTTAATAGGAAAGATAATTTAAAAGCGCATCTTAAAAAGATACATGGAAAATTCTTGTGATGTGGTCGAAAAATAAAGCACTTTTTTCCATAATGAAACTGGATCTGATAGTGCTGCAATAGGGATCTACGAATGATAAAGGGAGGGGACGTTATTTTAGGATATATAAACATTCAGTATATTAGTATGTATTAGACGATAAATATAGAGATATTATTCAATTTGTTGATCTGACAACTTCATCGATAGCTCTACAGAAATAATCAACATTCTCTTCGTTCAATCCGGCAATGTTAACACGTCCAATGTTTGTAGAGTAAACATTATGCTTAGAAATTAATCTATCATTTTGAGCTGGGGTTAATCCACTATACCAAAACAACCCAGTTTGTTTAACAACATTTGTCCAGTCACCTGGAGTACCCAACTTAGTTAACTTTTCCAACACCAATTGTCTAACAGTTTTCAATCTTCTGGTAATTTCAGCAACATCTTCATTCCATACCTTATATAATTCTTGGTCTTCAAAAATAGTTGCAGCCAATCTTGCACCATATGCAGGGGCAAATGAACACTCTTGTCTAAATAACGCAGTTAATGTAGATTGAGCATTCATGACATACTCCTTATCTTGAACAACCACATGGGTACAACCAACTCTTTCACTGTATAATCCCATATTCTTAGAAAAGGATTCACAAACAACAAATTCCATTCCTTGTTTGTAGAAATGTCTAATTGGCCAAGCATCGACATCCTTGTCACCGGAACTGAAACCTTGATAGGCGGTATCCAATAATGGTAACAAATCACGATCTTTCATGATTTCAACAATCTCAATCCATTGTTCTTGGGTGAAATCAGCCCCGGTTGGGTTATGACAACAAGTTTGGAACAAGAAAATTGTCTTGGCAGGTGCCGTCTTTAATGCCTTTCTTACACTTTCAAAATCAACCGATTTAGAAGATTCATCATAATGTCTATAAGTGGATACAGTCCCACCGATACATTGAATCATAGGAATGTAGTTTGACCAAGAAGGTTCTCCAACATAGTATTGTGTATAGCCTGCTTCTCTGTATAACAAAAGTGCCATATGAATAGCTCCAGTTCCGGAAATGGTTTGAAGCGAAGCGATTTTACCTTCACTAGCAATCTCCTCTCCAAAGATGACACGTTGGGCACCTTTAGTGAATGCTGGAATACCGGACATGTTGGTATAATTGTGGCCAGGGTCGTTGGCATGGAGATGTTTCTTGGCCTTAGCGATGGAGGGGAAGAGATATGATCCTCCGTTTGGATCTTTGTAAACCCCGATAGAAACATCGATCTTTTGTGGGTTTGGGTCGGCGGCATAGAGGTTCATGGTTTTGATAATTGGGTCTGGTTCTTCTCTAACCAATTTGGAGAACTTAGTTTGGACAGTCATGGTTTGGATATTTCTATGTCTTTGCTATAATAAAAATGATAGTTGATTACAGAAATCAGTTTCCAAGAATAAAAAGACAAGAAAAAGTGGAGAGGAAGAGACTGACCTACTTATAGTTAAGAATAATAATGCATATTGTGTATTCTTTGTGTGTGTGAGTCAGTCAGCCTTCAGTCCATAAGGCAACAATAAAATTTTTCAAATTTAATGCCGATACAGGAAGGGAAAAAATATTTTTTAGTTGATTTCGGTGGGGCGCACTTTGACCCCGAAAGCTCTTTTACCGTCAATAGCCGCTTCTGAGGAGAGTCAATATTGATACTGACTAATCAAAACCATTCGCTAGCTCTCTCTTTCAAACGGAGAAAAGGATGCATGTAGAATACTTTGAAGTTATTAGGAAATTACAGGAAGCCATCAAATCCGTAAATCGGAAACAGAGAGACCTGAGATAACTGACCAGCCAGATTGCAGAGAAATTTTGTCATGGCATTGCTCAAAAAATCCAAAATGACTGCAAAATTTTGTGAAGGATATTTACTCTTTTCCACGAAACCGATTCATCTACAAAACAAGTGTGTATTCGAAACTCGAATAGCGCTCTCTAATTCTCCGACATATAATTGTGATGAAGTTTCTGAAAATGATTTCGACCTTCTTCGAAAGAGAGTGATTGACTTAATTCTTTTTCTTCTTTATGGATTCGTCTTGACAAAGCTTCACACTTCAAACTTCCTGTAGTTCCCCAAATTTAACTAGGGGTCAAACTTGCCTCCAACAATGGGGAAAATTGGGTTATAAGTTTGATTTAGGTTATTGTCAACTCGCATTGGAAACCTCTTCAAAAAGAACAGTTCGTTAATTGAAAACATTTCCGAACAATTCTTGCACCCACTTACACAACCACCTCTCTTATCGGGATCCAGCTAGCAGCTCTTGTAATGCATGCCAAATCACCTTGCATATATCCGCTATTCATATGCACATCACTTGTGGCTAATGGATGTTGCTTTGTAACTGATAAGAAGACGAATTTGTTGCATTTTTTTCATGCACAATTTGCCACAATCTTCTTGTTTTGTTACCATTCACTTGCATTATCACCGAGCTTTAGAATGTCGTTTTCTGGAAAGGGCGCTTTTGCTTGTGGTCAAATTGCAGCCAGTTTTTGCAAATTTTATCAAAAACTGTGCGACAACAAATGGTTACACAAAATTCAACACAGTAAGCTGCAACATACTTTTATGAACTGATGGTTCCATATGAGTCGGTTTATAAATTTATTGTTAAAACGTAGGTCTCTTTTTAGCAGAGAAGAGGCGGACACTGGTGAAGACTTTCTCTATATTCTATAAATTCTAGTTCTACAATCTACTACCTTACATATAACCAGGAATAGTAATGACCTTCTTGCACAATTCGACCAATCTACTCACTTCCTTTTCCTCCTCCACTAAATCATAGTCTTGGAATACCGAAATAGTTATGCCAGCTACATATCTGGAATTATTTAAAAGTATTTTGTATTGTGGGGTTTCTTTATTTTCATCCGTTGTCTCTAATTGTGGAACTAATTGTTCCCAAAGTTCACAGTATGGAACTAAATATTCTTGTATAAATTGATCAAGATTCCCTGAATATGCTGAATCGACCAATTCCTGGATGGAGGCTTTGGATAATTCTTGATGAAAAATCCCCAATGCTTTCAATTTTTCAAGGATATGATTTATACCCATTGCTGCGTTGGTTGATAAGGGTCTTACTGCTGCCTTGATCAACTCACGATTGAGTGACGCAGATTTATTTCCAAACCCATTCAAGACCACTTCCAGCAAGATTAAGTACTTTATTTCCAAAACTTTCTGGTTATCTTCTCCAAATTCAAATACAACATCCCATAAATCATCCAAGCCCACTTTTGAATTCACCACCTCCAGAATTCCGAGTCGTGTAAGCTTCTTCAAGAAATTCAAATACAAAGCAGCAACCTCTTGGTAGTATTTCTCATTATCGATTACAACTTTGGTTAAAGCTCTCGATTGTTCTTTGTACGTGAATATTCTCGAGGCTCGGGTTTCATCTAATAAGTTAGTCATCATGTGAATTGCCTGTACCTGAACGACGTCGGTTATCTTAAAATTCTCCATAAAGACATCAACTATTTTAGTTGAATTTCCAAAACTCTCGATAATTCTTCCATTTATGTCTTGGAAGGAATTCACATCGTGAACAAAATTCCCAATCACAATGCAACAAGCCGCAAACACATATGAATCCGTGGTATTTTTAAGATAACCAACAGCCGTGTCAAATGAGGTTTCGTCACTCAATTCACTGGCCATTGCGAATAGTTTTCTCTTAAGCTTTACTTTATTGGATAAAGATTCAGGTATAATCGGTATTAAATCAATGATGCGGACAAAAGTTGAGTTGTCAGGTTTGTTGAATTCACAAATATCAACTAGGTGTTCCCAGATCTCTTCATCTAGGTCATCTTCAAGGGTATCCCAATGAGATGTTAGGTATACAAGTATATCTGGGGATTTCTTTATAAAATCGTAATCCATTTCGTTCAATCTTTGATTGTTCCGGAATAACTCTAATGCAAATTCAAACAAAATTGATAAATTGGCAAGATTGTCTGTACTTAATAGTTTATAAATATTCTCTTGGATATTTATGGAATGGAAATACTGAAAGTACTGTTCAGTATGATCAGTATCGTATATGAATTGTGATAGTAAAATAGCTATCCTTTCCGATTTTGGATCACTACCATCCACCAAATTATTTTTAATAATCTCCCAAAATTGACCAACTTCTTGCACATCATCCTGAGTATAGAAGTCTCTATTATAGTCATTACTGGCCAATAAGTTTATGATCACACGAAGTATTTCCAAAAGGATGTCATCATTTTCTGATTGGAATAATCGATTGAATTGAGCCAATAAAGATAATAAATTTTCTTGAATTAGTTCAGATGATCTGTTTGTTTCTTCGCGTAGATAATCACCCAAGGTCTTCAAAGAAATCAACACGTCGGTCGATGACTTCACTTGTTCTATAACTTGTTCCATCCTTGAGTTAATTCAGGTGAAGAATACTAACCATCTAGTGGCAGTAAATTGGAAATTTGACAAATGTGAAAATTGTGTTTCGCACGAAACGTTCCTGCATATTTCACTTCCTCGAATCTATGGCAGACTGTGACAGAACTAATTTGGAACCCCTACAATGAAGCTTCCTTCTTTTCAGGAAAAGATTCCTCGGTGCAACTTTTGGATATAATTTTAGTTAGATGTTCACTATTGATAATGTTGGAAAGGGTCTCTCAGTTAAAATGACTCCAGGTCTTAAATATTTAAATTATTTTACTAAATATATTGAACTATACTTTGAATAGAAACAAATAAGCATATCGAAAACCCCTCCCCAAATTTTAAGTTTTTTATGTTTTCACAGCCTTAGACATTTATTGATTATAATTAAATTTAAAGAAAGTTTAAAGGAGACAGAAAACAATCCTTGTTTTGAGAAATGCAGTTAATCAGGTAGATACGCTAAGGATGCTGCCATCAAGGATCGAAGAGCCCCAGAACAACAGTTCTCCAGCTTTAATTGGGTTACCGGACGAGATATTGCTTCAGGTATTGGGATATTTGAATCAAATAGACGCTATTCAATTAAGTTTGACATGTATGCGGTTCAAAGAAGTAACCCGCCAACGGTTATACAAGGTGATACATGTGTACAATAAAGGAAGAGCCCGTATTCCAAAAGACTATTATTCAGCTCACTATACTAACTCTACGCAAATGAGCTGGAATACATTTTCAAGGATGATTGGAGATGAAAGTGTTACTCCTTTATGTAAGATTGTATCCTTCCAGAATGATCATAATTTAGACGTCGCGAATTTGGAGATTCTAGCCTCGGTATTGGAGCTGTGCGTATTTGTAATTTACAGAATTGCGCAGCTGTCTGTTCAGCGTTGGATCTTAAAGCAGAAGGACCCTTCTCGAGTTCACACACATTATATTTCCAGTCCAACCAAACACTACATGGAAGACGACGGAAGAATTCATGTCAAGCATTTGACCATAGTTGATTCAGATGAGATTAGTTTGGAAAAGGAATTGCGTAAATATGACAACTTGAGCTCACTTTACATCAAATACTTGCGAGATGATACCGAATTACAGCGGATTTCTGTAAGAAAGTTAAAGCTCCTCAAACCAACAGTAGAGGAAATGAGTCAAGTTTTTAAATGTTTTGATGTTGGAATTATCACCCTGCTAGACCTCGCCGTCGCTCTGGATGATATTGTTGCGCTTGCTCCCCGATTCAAAAGTCTTCGTACATTGAAAATTAAAAAGTCCTCTGAAATATTGGTTGATTTCGCTATTTGTTTACCTGAGAATTCATTAATGTATTTAGCTATTCCGAACACTAGGCTGCATTCCATGAATAGTATGTTATTGTGTCACCGTTTGTCGCTCAGAGAGATAATATGCGGATTTCAAGTCGACTTTCTCTTTTGCGGAGAAATCTCCAAAGTGAAGAGAAAGTTTGGTTTCTTGAAAATGGAGCTTTGGCAATATCCAAACTTGCAATACGTTCGTTTCGATGCAGTAGCTTTGAAAGCTGTTCATGATGAAAAAGACATCGGCAGACATTTTTCTCCGGTTAAATTTCATGATTAAGGGCCATATATGTATATGAGCTCATTTAAATATGTTTATGAATGTTGAAGTTAGAATTTTTTTTGGTGTTTAATTATATCGAAATATATTTATTTTCTTATGAATCTGATGGTTGCAAATTGATGAAAATGCAACCATAATTGCGCCAATGATTTATTTTTCGACGCAACGTCCCATGCCAGTAAAGATTAGATGAAAAATAAACGTGCGACAATTATTCCCCCCCCCCTGCTGGTCGTTTGTTACCCATTAACTTTATTATCTCAGATACTAGAATTCCATTCTTTCACCCACGTTTCTCTTACTTTTTACCATAGGCCAGCAACTTTATTGTTCAATTCCATCCCCCACGTTTCGCTTACACATCAAATCAGTTCCCTAATTGTGCCATACACGCACAGACCAAATTAGATCTAACGGGCTTGATCTTACCATTATCATACATACACGCACAGTAGAGTAGAAGGTTATATAATAATAATTTTCTATTAATTTAATTTTAATTACTCATATCTATACATTATTCAAAACAATTGGTTTTAATCTATATATTACAGTTCAAAAACCTTCTCACCCTTCTTTAATCCCATAATAAATCTTACATCAATACATAAACTCAAACTATGCAACATTGGTAACAAATTCAATAAATCACGATCACTATGATCATTAATCCAACCCTCTATGCCTACAGCATTGTCTTCGTGTAATGCATAACTGATTGGACTATTATCCAAAATCAATACATTCTTCAATTCTTCGTCCTTGACGAATTTAGATAAATCTTTAATATATCCCACTCCGGGTCTGTATGTACAATCGTTTCTATAGTATCTCTTGGTGAATATCTTGGGCGGAATCCAATTTGGATCAGATTTATCTCGTTTTGTCGTGCGATCAAGAATATCTCCTTCTAGCCAGTTTATGATTGGATCGGCGTATTCCTTGACACTGGCGGTGAAGATTTGGAGTTCGAACCATTTTGAGGCTTCAGAAAGGAAATAATCGCAATAAGGACGTTTATGGACATAGTAAAGGGAACTAATGTTATTAAGTTTGATTTCTATTTGTTTGGAATGTGATGCGGCACTGAATGATCTAGGTGAGCCAGGGGATAATGAATGGATTAAGGTTTCATCAAGGTCAAGAATGAGGATCTTTTTGTTTCGTTTTTTGTCGGGGTTCCTTGAGAGAGGATATAGTCTTTGTGGTGGTGGTATAAGATATTTGGAAAATTCACTTGGTGATTTCAAACTATTTGATATGAGGTTTTCTTTACTTAATATTTCTGTTTTTTCGTCATAATCATTAGATTCATTTTGGCTTGTAGATTTTGATGATTCAGTTACACGTGGGGATGGTTTGGCCCTGGTAACCAATTCATCATCTTCATCTTCGTCCTCTTCATCTGCTATAGGTGCATCCGGTGCTCCAATAGTAGGCAGCTTGGAGTCTGAATCGCCTATGCCCAATTGCTTTAGTACTAATCTCAATGGGAATGTTACCACGAAATAAATAAAAATGGTAGGTTTTATAATTAAATAATTGGGAAAGAAATATATGATATCCCAAAGTCCAAGAAGAAATGAATAAAGAAATGGTATTGGAGGTTGTGGTATATCATCACTTTCTATTTCATCTGCTTCTTTACCTGTTGATAAATCGGTAGCATTATTAGAGTCTTGTGTCAAATTGATTGAGCCATCTGAGTCCTCGACTTCTTCTTCATCTTCATCTTGTTGAGTCTCTGTGGTGACTTCTATATCTTGACCATACTTGTCATCTGATATATCGGCATCTATCACTGGAGGTATATCGTATCCAAAGTTGGTTGGGATGATATTATCTATAGAACTGACTAATACCTTTATTGAGTTCATATTTTTCTTAGGTGGGGCAAATGTTGAATGCAAGGAAGGTGTATAAATGAATGAAAGTACCTGGTAGTTGTTGATATACAGTTTACGCCTGTTGGTTGGTACCTGATAGGCAATGTGGGGGGAGGGGGGCTAGGTAGATGTGGGAATAAGTGGAAGTGTGTGTGTGTGTGAATTGTATAGTTTCTTTGTTTCGTAAGTTCGGTGGAAGATCTATTGTTTCCCTGTGACTTTCTAAAATGACAAAAATGTGAGCGTTTTTCTGAAAAGAAGTAAGGGGGTTGTGGGCAGCAGTAGTGGGGACTGACTTGGGTTATGCAAATGAAACTATATTTAAAGGAAGTTTTATAAAAGTATTTAATGAAAATTATCAAATGAAAAAAGAAGAGAAAGTATAAAAGTAGAAGAAGAGAAATGACAAGAAATGCTATTTTTAATATTTAGTATTATTCTAAAATGAATTTTAGTGTACCGATTAAAGCGAAATAATGTCGTATAGTTTTTTTTCTTGTTATGTTGTAATATGGTGATGATCGTTCATTTGATCGATGGATGATGGGTGATCCGCCTCTCAATTTGTTGTTGTAAATAATGTCGCATCGTATACATCACTAACAAAAAAAATTGTTGGAAATGTCGTTCTCATTGAATGTTGTATCTAAAATATTAACCAAAATAGCAAAGGAAAAATAATGTTGGGTGCAAATAGTCTTCATCTTAAACCAGCATTTATGGCGAATTATATGCAACAACGGCAATACTGGCCGGGGCTTTCTTAAAGAAGATACAAGCACTTACTTAACCCCCCCCCCCCCAGTTTTAGCCCCAGAAAGGGTTATAAGCAAGGATGAACTATCCAAGTGGTTGAGTTATGTTTGTTCCCATGCTAAAGTCCGAGATCTGGTCCATTGTTTGACATTGTTGCCAACCAAATATATCAGATTTGATTCGGCTAGCATTCTTCAAGTAAATATGATACAGAGTTACTTAGTTGAAGATTTTTCTTTCATCTACTATACATAAGGAAGTAGGCTTACTAAGCCCATCTCTCCTCCCAACAACATCACGCAAGGCAGCTGTTTCGAATTTTTGTTGGCTCTGTCCGGAAAATAATTCGCTTTGCCCCAAAAAAAAACTCCGTTCATTTTGTGTTCCTAAATCAGTTACCTTTCTTCTTGACTGGGGTAAAGGGGGTTATTCAAAGTCTCTATTTAGTTCTGTTTGTGACATTCGATTGCAAATGAAGTATGCTGATGAGTATCATATGATTTTTAGATTCCAAGCTTCGCCTAGTAATATTTTTCATAATTAGGGCAATTATAACCAAAAGTGGAATGTACTTAGTGCGCGTCATGACGTACAAGAAAAAGAAGATCTTCTGGTAACATTTGATTATGCAGAATCTAACATATCCTCTCGCCTCGCTATCGGGTATCATTGACCCCCTCCCCCCTTCTCCAATAGGCATAAAACTCTTGAAAATTTAATCTATATATTTTTATATACTTTCGAAGTCATCTATACGTTTTGATTAGTGGTCGTCACTCTTGTCATTAGTTTTAGTAGCATTATTTATAAAGTTCTGAAACATGGTGGTTATATATGAAGCATTACTAACCCCACCTCTGTCGTTCAATATTGAGTTTGTTAATTTCTTTAAAGGCACAAGATTCCCAGCTTGTTCTTCATCTTCCTCCTCTTCCTCAGCCTCATAATCCTCGTCTTCATAACCACTATTCTCTCCTGTCATTTGTTCATCGATCCCAAAATTATTCAGCAAATTAGTCTTTACCAATTTCATCACATTTGCATCAAAGTTATGTTCCTCTTCTTCTTGTTTATTCTCACTGTCTTCATCATCCTCTTCCTCGGGTTTGATGAGCTTCAACTGATTAGTATTATAACTCTTGCAATATTTACATTTTAACCCAAGGACATGATATGGCGCATTGGACTTCCCTTTACAGTCATTACAACTTATGATACACCTCCATGAATTATATGGCGGTGGTAATGGATTTTGATTAACTTCTTGATCCAATAATCTAAACTGCGTTTCCACATTCACGATTGTTTTCTTACATATTGGACATTTATAACTATGTTTAATCAATTCGTCATAACAATGTTGATGGATCGAATGACCACATTTCATAAATACAACTTTTTGAACCGAGGTGAACAAGTATTCATTACAGATCATACAGTTACAATGAGTGGTATTGGTAACACATTTATGCTTGTCCCGTAAATCAATAGAAAGACAAATATTACACGTATCACAATGGAAATAATCCTTCTCTAAACCAAGCCCAAGTCGACATATTCCGCACTTATCACAGTGATAAATTTCTTTAGTTGGGTCATTATCATAAAGAACACATTTGAGGCAGAAATAATTAGCGAGTTCTTGTTCACAGTTGACACAATAGTTGGTATCAGGAACTTGTGGGGTGTTGCAATGCATACATAGAATATGCTTGACTTCATTTCGGATTAATTTATGATCTGTAATTTGGGCATCGTGACAAAATCGACATGGATACCATTTGAGACAAGTTGGACATTCGATTTTGCAATTTCTTTGATAGTGTGAACATCCTAGGACGGTGTTGAAGGGGGCATCGTGATATGACGGGATTTGATCTTGTTCGGTGAGAATAACTTCGTCTTCATCTTCTTCTTGTGCTTCTGTTTCTACTTCATCTTCTTCTTCGACCATTTCAGAATCACTCATTTGATCATCTTCTTCAGCAAGGTTTTCTAGGGTTGCAGGAGGATCATTAATTACCAACTTTTGTTTCTTTAACGGTGATAACAACGGTTTGTTTTCCTGCGAAAGCTTTTCATTTATATATTTATAATAATTCCCCATCATTAATTTCGTCACTAATTTATTCTTGTCATTTTGATCTATACCATCCAAATTTTGAATCCTTTGAATTCTTTTCCTTAAAACCTCTTCTTTATCCAAAAAATCAGAAACACAATTCAATTCGGTCAAATCTTTAACCTCATCAACCGTCAACCCATCAATATCACTAGTCTGTGAAGCAGTGCTATCAACCTCACTATCTCCAATATTTCTCCATCTTCTATATCTCCTAGTTCTCATTATGGGGATATCTGGCTTCACAATTTCATTGATCAAAGGCTGACTCTTATTCACAATCCCACCGACTCCACCAGGCTCGGTAATCTCTTCATTCTCATCTTCATAGTTTTCATCTTTATGATAATCATCCTCATATTCACTCTCATCCTCTGCTGGAAGAAAGATCGTTTGGTGAATAATGTCAGTCAACGGTTGTAATCTATCAATAGCAGTTGTGATGTTTACTCCCAAGTTCAAGTCATGCAAGAATTTGTTCATCTGAATACGTGTCGAAAGCACCGTTTTAATCGAATCAACTATCCTCACCTCATCATCTCTTTCGGTAGCCTTATCTCGTTTAATATAATAGTTGGAATAATTTGATACATAGTTGGAAAATTCTTTTGAGAAATCTTGAATCTTTGAAAGTTCAAGACTGGGCATGTTGGGCAATGAAAATGCGTTAGGTATGTTTGGTAATGAGAATCCATTGGGCATATTAGGCATGTTTGGTAATGAGAATCCATTGGGCATGTTGGGTAATGAAAAACTGTTGGGAATATTTGGTAATGTAAAGTTCTCTCTAGAAAGATATGATGCAAAATAATTAAGGTTTAATAAACCTATCTGATCTAGTTCCTCTGCTAATAGGTCTTCAGATGATGAGGTGTCAGACTCATCATTTGAGATATCTTGCTGGATTGGCAGAGTGTCTGGGTTTGTATTTGATGCGGCTGGTAGTAGGGGACGGTGAGATATATGTTTCTCTTTGAAGGCTGTCATGACTGGTGTATAAAAATCTATAATATGCCAAACCGAGATGCTGGATTGGAAATGCGTGATATCACTATTCTATTAAATTATCCTCTTGCCAACAAGAACCTGTTACACTATGCTATACCTCTAAATCGTTCAACTTGTGAGTCGTTTACTGTAGAGTACGGAAAGTTCCGGTAGAAAAGAAAAATGGGGCTGGAGGGTCTTTGGGGTGTTGGGCTTTTTTCCCGTGGTACGGGCATCGTGTGAAACTTTTGAATTGAGCTCTCCGTACCACGGAATATTCAAAGGCAATTATATAACGCACCAATACAGCATGTCGGTACAATCAGCTACAGAGGTGCCTAAGGATATTAAAGTTCCTCCAAAGGATATTAAGGAAACGGTGGATAAGACTGTAGCTTATGTCAATAAGAATGGAAAATCATTTGAACAAAGATTATTAGCAAACAATACTGCCAACAAGTTTGATTTTATATTAGAAGACAATGAATATCACTCATATTATAAGTGGAAGTTGAACACATCACAGGATTCAGCTCCGTTAAATATAGAGCCGGACGGAAGCAATGAGATTAAAATTGAAAAGCCTCGAGAGTTGCCCTTTTTGGTGGACTTACCTTCCGTCATCTCTTCGCGAGATTTGGATATCATTAAAACCACAGCTTTATACATCGCCCATAATGGTATAGACAGGATACCCAAGTTGTTGCAACATGAAGAGAAACGGAACAACCGAGCTCAATTCGAGTTCTTAAATAAATCACATTCATTGCATCCTTTATTCATGTCATTTGTAACACAATATCAACTATTGATCAAACTATATAACAACGATCCCGAAACCCAACCAATTCGAGAATCCCTAAATATCAATAATAAGTTCGATATCTTAACTCAGGCATATGATAGAGCTCAATATATCAAGCAAAACAAAGTGAAGGAAAAGAAAGAACAAGAATCGCAAGAACAGAAACAACGACATTTTGCCCTGATAGATTGGCAGGATTTCGTCCTTGTTGGACAAGTTGAATTCGATGCCATTGATGAAGTTAAGGAATTGAGTATACCTTTAAAGAGACTGGATTTACTCAGTAGATCTCTAGAAGCAAGAAGTAAGGATGTTGTATTGCCAAAATCAGACGCGCCTAGACCCCAAGCCAAGGAAGAGAGCGAGCCCCAAAAGGAACAAGAGGAAAAAGCCGGTGAACCACAAACTGTGCCTGTGCAGCAGGCACCTAAAGGTGTTCTCAAGGGTATGAAGATAAAAGAAGCGGGTGCCTCACGATTGAAGAAGAGATCATCTCCAATGGCAGACACTATTAAATGTCCAATTACTGGAAAGCTTATACCTGAAGCAGACTTTGATACCCATATTAAGACTCTATTAAGGGATCCTCGATATAAGCAAGAACAGGAGAATTATATTAAGAAGAATTTTAAGTATGCTTCGAATATCACAACTGATCAAGTATATGAGAATATTAAAAGATTAATGAAGAAGAGGGGTGGTGGGGAAGAACGAAATGGGAATAAAAGGTTGCAGTCGTAGTTTTTTAGTCGTATTTTATAGATAATCATAACGGTAGCGTTGCTTCAAGTAATGGTTTACGAACAAGAGTGAAACTTTTGCGTGCGAAATGAGTAGTCGTATGAACTTTTTCCAGTAAAACAAACTATTCTGGATCTGACATAAGCTAGGTCAGCTGGTCTCAGGAGAATCTCTTTTAACTACGATGAATCTTTAAGCTAAAGTCCTTCAATTCCAAATTATACCGTTAATTTTTTTATATTAAAATTATAAAAATAATTATATATGAATAAGAATAAAAACACAAGGGGGCAAGGATGTAACTATACAATGTTTAAAGGGTTTCAAGTCACAGGGAAAACTTAAGCCTTTAAGGATTCAGCTCTCTTCTTCTTGATTTCAGCCTTTTCTTCCTTACGTTCGTGTAATCTCTTAGCCAATAATTGAGCGTATTCAGCAGCAGCTTCTCTTTGTTGTTGAGCGTTCTTGATCTTTTGGGCCTTTAAAGCTCTCTTTCTTTGTAAAGTTTGTGGGGTAACTAATCTTTGGATCTTTGGAGCCTTAGTGTAAGTCTTGTCACCCTTGGTAACTTCACGTCTAACAACGAATTCTCTGACATCATCTTCCTTGGTTAAACCGAAGAATTTTCTGATGTTGTTAGCTCTCTTTGGACCTAATCTCTTTGGAGTGGTGGAGTCAGTTAAACCGGCAATTTCGTTGTCACCTTGCTTAACAATAGCTAAAGCTAAGACGGATAAATCTTGACCAACGATACAACCTCTGACGGACTTTCTCTTACGTTCACCAGTTCTTCTTGGTCTGTAACAAGAGTGACCCTTGGCTAATAATAACTTAACTCTGGTTGGGTGCATAACACCTTGTTTCATTGGGAAACCTTGTTTGTCGTTACCACCAGTGATCTTGAAGATGTAACCCTTGAATTCATCACCAACAGAGTCACCTTCGACTTCTTGGCCCATTCTCTTTTCGTAGAAGACACGTAATTTGTGTTCATCATCAATTTCGATACATTTTTGGGTACCGTTGGCTGGATAAGAGATGTTTAACTAAAAATAAAAAATGTTAGTACTATGTTCGTCGATGTATATCAATCCCCCTATGTACTCTTTTCATATTTCTAGGAATCAAGATCTATGTGGTGGTTTGGTAATGTGAATATTTCATGATACTTGATGCGTTGCATAAATTTTTCAAATCTCGATGGAAATTTTCTCGACTTGATATTATATGTTTCAAATGCAGACGAATTCTGCAAATAACTTCAATCGTGTTCACTTGATTGTCTATATCCTTCTGAACCCTGTAGAGTTTCTTCGTGTCGATCGTGTGATGGTAGATTCAATAAAAATTTTCAAGTATATATGTCACTGATAAATTCTTCAAATGTAGTTGTTCTAATCCTATTATTTGTCCATTTCTATCCTTCGAGATATTCCTGCTACGTAGTGGGGTTGATCTATTCTGTTTAATGCCCACATACCTTCATATTGGTCTATGGTTATAGGTTTCTTAAGCCGTTGAATTATAGAAGTGAAAGAAAGATTTTTTTAGTAAGACCTGAAAGAGAAGATAAAAATTTTGGTAAGACAAAATGGGACTGTACAATACAAAATTCACCGAAGGGTTTGAAAAAAAAATTGTTAGTTACTTATTGAAGTTTGGATGTAACTATTGTCTTTTCTGTAGTAAGATGAGACTTTTACCATAGAGAGAATGAAATGTTCACGCAGTAAACATTTTTTCGCTTGAGATCACGTGACAACTAGAAAAAAAATTATGAAAGTAATTGGCACGTGCAGTTGTATCTCTAGGGTTGAAGCCCTAAAGCAACCAGATCTCACTTCGTTGGTGGGGACCAGACTAGTTTCCATTAGGTATAGGCGATTTCCATAAAAATGATTCATATTGAGATCTATGATTGAACAGCTTTCACTCAGGATACGAATTGAACTTCAGCAGAGATGTAAGATCGCTGTCTGTGAAACTTGTTTTACAGTTTATATGGAGTGGAAACAAGATCCACGAAATGTTGTTTTTTTTGCAACCAATTTTCAGAGTAAATCATATTTAATACATTAAATGAAACTATTAAAAGAAATCTATCAACTTAAAACAAAATACAACAAAAAAGTTATATACAATATACATATACAAACGACGACTATTTAACCCTTCCAAGCGGGTTACTTGTTTGCCTTACTTTCTACAGCACTGTCTGCTGTTGTCGGGTTGGTTCCTCCATCTTCATGCTGTCGTCCACTACCACTACCACCTTGGGAACTTGGAGGGTGAGGGTTATATGTTACCGGTGATACATTTCCGTCATTTCTTAGCTTGGGAAATGATGTAGACGTGGTAGTTAATGGCATCATAAAATATTGGGGCATATGTGTTGTCGGCGTTGTCCCAGAAGGCCAGTCCTGGGGTGCGAGGAAGTTTGATGGCGATGGAAATGGGAACATATCATTGACGTATCTTGAAGGTAATCCTGATATTGGTGTTTGCTCACCCATATTGAGTTGTCCTACCGATATCCCTGTGGCAGGTGGTGCTCGAAATCTTGCTGCTGCAGAATCGGGTTGATTGGTCTGAATAGGAGGAGGTTGTTGTGGGCCCTGCTGTTGGCTCTGTTGTTGTTGCGGTGGATTAAATACGGGGGTCGGTAGGATATTGCTGATGTATGCGCTTGTTGTTGGACTCAGGGCATGTAAGGAGGCATAATACGAACTTGCGTTGGCTACATTCGGCAATCCGGGTCCGCTTGCACTCGCTGGTGATGATGTTTGCGATTTGGTGTGGATTGGTAAAGGTAATGTGGGTTTCTTACTCTCAGGGGAACGGAATGACGAATATCCTGCAAATTTGGGGGTCACTGCCCCAGGTGCTCCATTACGGGTGGTTGGTTCGTTGTCTGTTGGGATATTGCCACTCTGACCATTCTTCGATGTCCTTTGATCGTCTCGCGATGTGGTTTGGTCATCGGCAGTCATAGTCCTTCCAGTATCATCTGCGCTTCTGTCGTCGGTATTGTTACCATTTGTTTGTTTCTTGGCGGTGTTTCCCTTGGAATCACTCGGAATCTGAACTCTCAAGACTGGTCTTTGAGAAGATCCTTCATCTCGTTTAATGCTCACTGAATTCTTCTTCTTATTCTTATCATCCATCAGAAAATTATGGGGATTATTGAAAGTGGGCATATTAGTAATTGACAAATGATCCTGACTCAGAGATCTTGGATTCCTCAATCTAACTTGTGGGACAACTTTTTGGCGTTTCAATTCTGGTCCTTCATAGTCAGATTCATCTTCATCTTCTTCGTCTTCTTCTTCTATGTTAGACATTGGTAATCCTACTACTGCCCCTGATTTCTTGGTCAAGGGTTCTCTCAAAAACTTCTTTTTCTTGTAACTAGAATAGTTTTCATGAGATTTTGATTCATGAGGTCTCTTGTTTGACTTTATGATCTTCTGATAATTCTTAATTAAGTCAGCCGTATCAACTGTGGAAAATTCAAATATCTTGTTGTTATTACCCACGATAATAACAGCCAAATCTACTTGGCATAAAACAGCCAATTCATGCGCTTTCTTAAATAAACCAGCCTTTCGTTTGACGAATGTAACTGTTCGATTCCTTTCGTCAGTTAAGGGTTCTATTTCAATCTTTCTTCTTCCCATCGTGCGATAATTTTAAATGCGTAAATATAGGATGTGATCAGTGATTTGTAATGGATCGGTGCCAATAAAGTTATTAAGGATTGTATACACAAGGATCGGGAGTGGTTCAAATATTTGGTGATAGTATTTGGATGGATTCCCTTTGCTAGATTCTGATTGAGTGGTTCAATGGGCGAAATGTGAATAAAAGTAGAAGAATTTAATAATTTTTAATTTTACTTTTTATTTTACTTTTTTATTTTTAGATGACGTTTTCTGAGTTTTTTCTTAAGCGCATGGGATGCAGAGCTGCTAACTTCAATTAAGTGCTTGTGTCTTAGATATTTCTCAGTAATGCTTTAGTCTAGAATACCTTCTCAAACTCAAGAATCTGATCTCTCACCTTCGTGTGCTAGCGTTTATATAATTATTGGTTGAAAATGAATTCGTTCGTTTACTCCTGCTTATTGTCCGTTGCAGGGAGAAACAAGGGGGGATTTACACATTCTCTATTTAGAGCGACTGGCATATGAAGCTTTCTGCACAGTTAAAAGCAAAGTGACTTCGTTGCATCTAGACAATCACTTTTGCATATTAGTAGGCTTGAGTGATCAATCAAGAGTTGACGAGAGGTATCTACTGAAGAACAACACTCTTCTCAAATTGTCTTCAAGGGATGGTGATTTTGTTCCCTATGACGTAATCGATTTGGGTATTCCCAATGTCTTAGTTAGTGACCAAGATCCTCAACAGCACAGAGATATTTCGGATCGCATACAGTTAGAGAAGCATGGATTCCATATGTATAGTTCCATAGTTTGTTTTGACCAGCTTTGGAAACCGTTTTATTATCAAAACTATAAACAAAGATTGTTTCTAAAAATAGAATCAAATCGCCAGGTTTTTTCTTCGTTTCTGCAATCGAAAAAAAAAAATCTTGTTTTTTTGGTTCCTTCAATTTACGTATGATAGATTAGCGAATTAACCATGGGCTAACTAAAATGTGTTAACCCTTCTTTTATTGTCTCTGTTCAAAAAAATAATTTAAACTAAAATTTTGCTAAAGACATCTACTATATTCCAAAGTTATTACATAGCCAATTTATAGTTTCTATCTGTCGATGGCGACGGAAATACGCCTAAATCATCAAGCGATGCAATAATGCTCCCCAGATTTTGTTTTGAAACCAAAAAAATTTTGACTTGGCTTAACGGTTGCAAAACTTTTAACAGCCAAATTCTTTGCATAGAGAAGTTACTTCTTGTTTATCTTTCTATTCCTGTCGATGGAAGCTGAGGAGCAAATCCTTGGGAGCTTTCTTGGCTGTTATTCAACAAAATAACTGCAGTATTTTCATTCTTTGATTTTCTTGGCTCTCAGCCCCATGTTTAGTTCTAAGAGTTTGGCATATGTTGCTTAAAACTAGCCGTAGTAGTTGTAAGATGGTTCTTAGTACATTGAAGTGAGATCTTTATTCGCATAACGTTCTTTCTATTCAAGGTGGTAACCAATTAAATTCATAATAACTATCTAGGTTTCTCTATATTATCAATACTAATCTTAAAGCAACTGATGAGTTTAGCGAATATCTTAATTACATGTATGTTTGGTCATTTTCCAAAGCGGAACTCTTACATTTCATGGCTCTATTAGTCAATACTAAATTGGTTGGAGGCTTCTCATTCGATATAACTTACTCTCTTTTGAGTTTCCTTCTCATTAGATAATAAGCAGGTTTAATCACTTTACCGCTTCTCAAAACTTTATCCCTGGGCGAACCCTTGGTCAAAGAATAACCTAAACTTGTGTACCATTGGTGGGCCCTTGAATTTTCGGCAAACACAGTTAGAGAAGTTCCTTGTAGATGCTTATATAGCGGATTGTGTGAAGAATGTAGAAGCACACAAAAGTCATGAAATTGTTTGATTAAGGAACTTCCACGGCCCATGCCTTTGAATGCCTCGGATATGTGAATTTCATACAAGTACAAAACTAATTTGTCCTCATCGTCTAAACAAACTTTGAACGCAAGAAACCCAACCAAGTCATCCGAGGCTTTTTCTGTAAACCATACCACTGCTAATCCCGGTTCTGTCAATTCGAATTCCTTTTCCAGCTTCCAGTCTTCCCCTTTATGACGGATGTATAATTCGCCTAGTCCTTCTTCTATCAAATCACAAAACTGCTCCAATTGTTCATCAGGGAGGTCTTCTCCTAGGAGGCAGTGAGACTCGAATCCATCAAGTTCAAATTCTTTCTTCAGTTCCTGTACCAAATTATCCCCTATATGATCCATCAATATAGCATTCCTCTCGTCGAATTCTTGAAGTTCTTCTCCATTTATTCTACACTTGATCTTCATCTTTAGTACGATACAATAAAGGTCAGTAAGTGAAAAAATTTTAGACGCGTCGCGCAGAAATCTATTGTAGTGGCGGGGGATTAAAAAAAGCAAGGAAAATAAAACAAACATTGGATGACAACTTTCATCTTAAACAAGCAGTAAATGAACACTTGCATCAATCCCAATATGACTAGTTCATCATTCTCAAATAATAATGAGGTTCAACCTGACTCAACTCCAAAGCATGAGCTTACATATATAAACCCGTGCACCGTATATGATTACCCGTCCAGTCCAATAGATCAGCCCCAACCTAGCCCTCTAAAGTCATCCCCAAGAAATGTCCTCGATGATCTTCATCAAATCCAACAAGACAGATCAAATAGGCGGCTAAATCCTTTATCATCATCTCCTACTAGAGAGAAATACACTGGTGACACGGCACGATGCCTGGTTGTACGAGCACGTGTTACTTCTTTAAATCGTACTCAATGTTTCAATAATCGTAATAAGCATAACAAGATGCGTGAAGTACGAGATCAAAATCGTCAAGATAAGGTATTGACTAAAAGGGAGAAGTCATTCTCTGATCAGTGTAATAATGATTGGGCAGATCACTATGAACATGAATTCGATGATATAATGGGAGGTGTGGATGTTGACCAATTAATAGAAGAAGAGCAAGACGCCAGTGCAGACTATTTGGCAGATCAGTTGGAAAAAGAATTGGATGAACTAGAGTTGGAAGAGGAGCTAGAAATGATCGAGTTGATGCTGAAATTGGAATTGGAAAACAAACTGGAGTAGCCTTTTGAGTATTTGAGAAGCGGGCCTTTTCTGTAGATACCATATAGATGAACTTGTATGAGTAGTGAATATATGTAACGTATTGTTTAGCTGATACTACTAGCAGAAGTTGGGTATCTGGAACACTAGTTAGTAGCTGTTCTTAAACCTCGTGACTAGTGGCTGAAGTGGGAATCATGTAGCAACAAACTACTAGCCTCTTTTTTTTCACAAAAAATGGTTCAAACTTTATTAAATTATAAAAAGTTAACCTTATATACACTCATATATACGGAATAAAGCAAACCTGCTAAAAAGCGCAAAATTGTAACCTTACATTAAAAATGCATTTGACCTTTTGGTGAGAAAATAAGATCAATTTAATAATTCGAGATCCAAATAAGGTTTTCTTGTTTCTGTGACACAAAAGCGTGACATAATCTTACGTTCAAAGGATTCCTCGGAAACATTTAAATGGCAAGGTGCTTTCCTGCATTTTAGTAAAAAATGGGGAGAGTTTCAGTCTCAAGTAATTAAAATGTTCGAATCAATATCCTTCCTTTAGATGATATATAAAGGGATCGTACGTCCGTTCTCGTCAATGATCAGGTCAGTCCTTTAAATTTTTGATCATGAAAAATGCAACTCAAACAATGCGCTCCAGAGTTTAATTTTTTTTTTCTTGGTGTGTCTTATTTTGACGTCAACAATGATGAGGCAGGTTTCAAACCAAACAAAGAAATTCTTCAACAAAACAAAAAAATAATCGTGATCAATGAAAACTATAAATATACAACAATTTCTCTTTTTACATTTTGATGAAATAACTTTAACTTCTTCTTCATCTTCAAGATAAGAAACTTACTATCGCTTAAATATAAAAAAGTTCACAAATTTAAATAATGTCCAAATCAGAACTAGAAAGAAAAACCTCATCGGAAGAGAAGGAAGAACAAATTCCACAACAACTGCCTTCCGAACAATCCATTACGACTGAACCCAGTCTGTCAAGTCCCATGGAAGCTAGTCCACAAAGAACAGTAAATGATGAAAACCATTTAGCAGTCGAAGTCCCAAAGTATGATGAGAACTCACATTCGGACTCAGAGTCCGAAATGACATATTCCAGTGGATACGATAGCGGAAAGTATAACGAGTGTGGTATGTTTTGCATCGACTGTCTCACATGTTTCGGAGCTTTGGATTTCTGTTTACCAAATGGTGGTGAAGGCTGCTTGTCCAATACGGTCACTTTCATCGGAAACATCTTCCTTGGTTGTTGTAAACGTTAGGCCCTTGTTAAAGCTACGTGTGCCAGTTGTATATTATATATAGAGATATTATAGAAATTTAATAACTTATTTATTTTGATCTATCGGGAGTTGGTGTCATTTTCCGGGTGAGGCAGTACTGGAGGCAATGAGAATACGTTGAGTTGAACTAAGCTTTTCAATACCAAACGAGCTTGCCGCTTAGAAACCCTCTCCAGATCCAACTTGTCTCGCATCTTCATGAGAACCATAAACAATGACCTTAATAGGTTTCCTTGCAGTTTGAAACTTTGATAAGTACTAATAATATTAATTTGTAAAATGTTGGTAGCGCTTCTGTGTGGCTTTTTTTTAAGAGCCCTGTTCAGTTTCGCAATCCAAAATCATAAAGTTAAACTTTTTTGCAACACAATTAAAACTTAGCCGCTAATCATCAAAATCAGATTCTTAATTAATCCAATAAACAACTATTACATCAGTCTGAATCCTTCTTGAAAATGAGTTTCAGCGGATACCCTAAAGCGATTGAAGAATCCCAAAGTAACATAGAAGGTTATGACAGTTCAATTAGGTCCACAAAACGATCGGCGACAATATCAGATTTCCATGGTTTTGCTTCAGGAACAGTTGATGAAGATGACGACGATGACGACGATGATGAAAATAGACTGAGGGTTCTGCCCCGATTGACTAAAGTGAAAGCTTTCAAAGTTACCAGATCAAGATCACTAAATCATTTTTCATTAGCTCCTACAATCCTAAGAAGAGTTGGGGAACCAGAAGTTCCTCAAACAGACTCCACTACTAATACAAAAGAGATCCACAAACCATACATCAAAAATACAATCGATGATCATAATGCAGAACCCCCCACATCAGATATGACTAGCTCAGTTGATCATTCACTTCCAAATTACTACTTAAATTCAGCACCAAGTGGTATTAATGGAACATTGTTCTCAAGCTCAGCTCCCAACTCTACAGCAAAGGAAGCACCAACCACTTCAAATGATGCTAAAGTTACAAAATCAAGAAATTCAACTGTAATCTTTACTAAGAAAAGATCCACTGATTCAGATTTTCATCTAAATGAGATATCCCCCATTTCAAATGAGGGTACTTCGCGTTTAATGAAGGGAGTTTTTGATAAGGTTATTAAAGAAGAGGATGAAAATACCCAAAACACTATGAGGAGCACTAGAAGTCATAGTCAATCTACTGTTTTACATCCTTCTTTTTCTGGAAGGATTACCAAGTCAATCTTCCATGAGGAATTACAGGATACATTGAAGAAAGGTGATGTGACAATCAGCAAGAATTCTAGTTCTAGTTCTGATGATAAAAAAGCATCACCACCAGGATCTTCCGCTTCCTCCAAACTTAAACAACCATTTTTTGATAGAAAACGGTCATTTGCAGTTTTTATTGTTTTAGTTGGGTTAGTTTTAGTATTACTTGGAGGTTTTATCCCGGCAATCGTTGTCTTATCCAGAGGTACAAAATTTGCAGTTAATAAATACTTCTCAAATCCAAGCAACTTGCCCTTATTGAGTGAATTATCAGAAAAATATTTACCAAAGCCTCCAAAAAATCGTCCTGAAGCTTTCATTCCCAGAATCAATTCGGCAGAAGGTTTAAATGATGCCATCAAAACTGACAAAGAAGTCTTAAATCTCATGAATATGGTTTCCAATGTGTTATTCCATGGAATAACTTACTCACCTCGTGGTTCATTGGAATCAGAATGTGGTTTTAACAGAAGGGATGCTATGTTGGATTTAGCAAAATTATCTACAGTCACTACAAGGATTAGAACCTATGGAACGCAATGTAATCAAACAGAAATACTTTTGGATGCTATTCAACATATGAATCTTAATATGACCATAGCTATGGGTGTTTGGATTGGTGCTGATAATAAAGCAAATAAACAACAAATGGATACCATGAAGAAAATAATTGCAAGACTTGCTGATCCACTGAGATTAATAAATTCCATCTATATTGGAAATGAAGTATTATTTAGACAAGACAAATCTAAACATGAATTGATTGACTATATAAAAGATGCCAAAGATTTTCTTAAAATGTTACATATTGAGGATATTCCTGTTGGAACTGCTGAAGTTGGGTCACTTATAGATATGGAGCTTGTTGAAGTATGTGATGTTGTGGGTGCCAATATTCATCCATTTTTCGGTGGTATTTCAGTAGAAGAGGCACCTGCTTGGGTATGGCAATTTTTGAATTATCAACTTGATCCAATGAGTAGACCAGTTTCAACACCAATTGTTATTACTGAAGTTGGATGGCCAAGTGGTGGTGGTCGATATGGCAAAGCAGTCGCTAGTAAGGCTTCATTGCAGTTTTTCATAAGTGATTTCTTGTGCAATTTCAGAGATAGAGGAATAGAATATTATTTCTTTGAAGCTTTTGATGAACCTTGGAAAGAGGTTTTCAATGAACGTGATCAAAATTGGGAACCACAATGGGGTGTATTCAATGCTGACAGACTGAATAAATTTCCCATGCAAAATATTGGTTGTTTATAATAATAGGTTCATTTTTTTTCGTCTGCGACTGTGAAAAAAATGGCTGCAAAAAAATCCTTAACATAGGTTTTGAATGGTAATAGACGTAATTTTCTGAGTTGTAGATTAGTGCTAGATTCTCTATTCATAATGTACTAAATAAATATTATTGTTAATTTGATGCGTTTATGGTTTTCTTTCTTTAGATATTGGGTTAAAGATTTTTTGAAAAAATTGGAAGCATTTTAAGAAAAAAAATAGCAAACATGAGGAAATTATTTTTCTTTGGCTGAGGTTTATCATTAATACCAATCCGATGCTTTGCCTTCAGGAAGACTATGAAGTTACTTTTGATGTGATTCAGACTTGCATATCCAAAGTTATTTAACTTTTAAGATGATTTTAGGTGCTACCAGGTGTATTAACAATGTCAGGGACTCATGTAATTTCGAAAAAAAAATCTTGGAAAAAGGCAACTTGTCCGAGTGGTTAAGGAGAAAGATTAGAAATCTTTTGGGCTTTGCCCGCGCAGGTTCGAGTCCTGCAGTTGTCGTTATTTTTTATTTTTTTTTTGAATTCTATCTAAATTAATCTATCTAACTATCTAAAGTCTATGGAAACTGTCCTTTTCTAAGTCCGATATAACCTTCTGGTGCTTGCGAAATATCTTTCCAAACATCCGGCAAATGTCCACCTTCAATACCTTGTTCACTTACCAAATTCCCCCACCAGTTAAGACTAAGCTGTGGATACTGAACGGTAAAGAAGATCAATAATGCACTGGTTGCAACACCGGCCGAAAGTGCACTTGTTAAAATATAATTGTATTTCTCCCACCAAAGCAAATAATTCCTCTTTATTTCATACATGAAAATATATGAAAGATAAAGTCCACCAGTGTAATACAGGAGGTTATAAGGTGCAAAATCTAAGAAACCTCCAATGATGACAGTGGGTTGGAAATATCTTGTTAATCTTGATGGACCATGTCTTTTAAACAATACACATGGAATGACTAGCAATGCTCCGAATAAAAAGCACCATTTCAATATTGGATAAAGCCCACTAAAGACTTTTGCAGGTCCTATTTCTCCGTATTGAATACTTGAGAAGAAGTATGTGTTTGCTCCTGGACATTTCAATTTATATTTTTGAAGGGGGTCGCAGATATCGGGGATGCTATTCAATTGCCAATTTGCAATAGTTAAAGAAACTGCGATATTGAGTAAAGTGGAAAGAATCTGACCTTTGAATATGGCTCTTGGCGGAACTTTGGAATAGTGGGCCAATTTTTGATCGGTTATATAATTACTAGCTTGACTATCAATGTTATATCCATAACTCTTCAAAGTGATCAATGCAATGCCTGAGTTAGGAATCAAATATCCAACAATCAATTCAACTAAAACATTCAACCCAAAAGTAAATCCAGTTACTGAAGCAATGGAAGTAATTGGAATCAAAAAGATAAAATTTATGAATATGGTAAAGAAAATCCCCCATACTGGAGTTTCAGTTGGATAAAACATAGCCACAGATACGGCAAATACTGTACTGACTAGTAAAATAGTAAGGAACCACCAGTCTGGAACATCATCGTAACTTGACATCATCTTACAATGAGGATCTTCCGAATACCTTCCATACATGTTGTAATTTCCATGATCTCTAAGCTTAAATGCATCTCTAATGGAATGCCAAACATTAACAAAACTTGCTTTCATCGATTGCCATTCAGTTGAAAAATGATATAGGATAGCAAAAGGGTATAGACAAAAATAAGCTCCATATAATACGAGGTTTGCTGCTGAGAAATAAGGTGGACCAACCTCATTATACTTATCATGATCAAACAAGTTTTTATCATCCAAGATATCGTGCACGTCATATACTTTCCCTTTATTATTGAATAATCGGTTCGAATTTATTGGTAAGAAACTTGTCCACTGGTGATTGGTATAGTAAACCACCAAAATGACGATAAAACCCAAAAATGTTCCAATATATCTGTTGACATAGGTGTAGAATGGAATTGTTAAACATCCGCCAGCTGAAAGGATGTTCCAATCAAATGATGGAATTGGATTTAAACCCAATCCCATGAATGAACCCGTCACATTCACAAGATGAATCAGAGATGGGTTAAACCAGGTTGGCCAATTGAATTGCGAAAATGCGGTAAATAAATATGCAGGAATCCAATTATAAATAAAACTGCAAGCAAACACAATCATGAAGAATGAATATCTGGAGATTGCCCAACCATGGACTACATTATTAACGTCTTCATCCATTAATGCCTTATTAAGTGCAATAGTAGGTAAAATTGTTGGCCAAAGGGCTTTGCTGGGATAGACACAAACTTTCTTCATAATCAAGGCAAACCCAAACCCAAGGAATTGTGTGGAAATAGTCAATAACAACTGGAATGTCAATGAAACCCATTTAAGCCCATAGAATCTATCAAGCTTCATGACAAAGATGTTATAGATCAGATATGGAGTTCCGGCAGAACACAGATAAATAATCGTACTCAACATCATTTCCTTATATGTCCATGGTCCCGGGTTTAAGTCCACCAGAAATCTACCTATACGAATGACCTTCTTAGGCATAAATTTTTCCCAAAGTCTGCCACTTGGTAATAACAATATCTGAATTGTATGTGAACTTAACGAAATGCTCGGCATTCTATGAATAAAGAAACTATTGATAATGGAACCAATGAAGGTCCAGAATAGTCCAATGGAATATGCACGAAATGTGTCAACTGGTGTTGTTGGGTCGTCGAATGGTTCGGTAATAGCTCGAATTTCCGGATAGGGGGAATGATAATGAATTAGTGCTGCTTCCAAACGAATCTGAAGTGGCCAATCAACTATATGTAAATAAGTTTTGTTTCTAAACGTATCCACAAACTTATCTTCTATTTCATGTTTTGTTTCTAAAGTGGCAGCATTATCAGGAATCATCAGTACTAATCTTTCTAATAAATGATAATCTTCTTGTAAGAAATTAACATCACCTTTATGTTCTGCCAATGCTTCTCTTACTATTTCAATTGCATCTGGAACTGATAATTCGTCTATTTTCATAAGCATATATTCCGATTCTCTTGATAGTTCAATAGAAGACACCGGGAATTCTGTTCCATATTTATCATCACTGATAGCACCTAATCGTAAAAGAATAAGTTGTAGTTGAGAATCCGTAAAGTCCCATCGTTGCTTTGAAGTTGAAGAGTCAAACTCAGGTTCTTCTTGCTTAGGATATGAGCTAAGCTCTATATACTCAGCAGTATCTTGAACCATAACTGTTGTATAGCTCTAATAAAAGAAGAATAAAACATATAAAACTTTCATTCAAATTTTGACAACCAAATACGAGCTGCTATGGACAAAACATTTTTTTTTTTCATATGCTCGGTCTGGCTTACTCACACTCTCCACAATTCGATCTTCTTCGAATTTGACATGAAATTGACATGTTCTATTTGGAAAATGAAGCATATCAAAATCTTCTGCTACTTTCTAGAAGCATACAAGAACGAGGCTATGAAATCAAACTTCTTGCTGCCTTGACAAGATAACGAAAAAGAAATAAAGTGGTTTGTTCTCCCATGTTGCAGCGGTGATTAAAATAATCTCCTTTCCGATTGGTTTGTGCCAAGCCTTGTTATCCCACGGAACACTCTAGCACAACTTTAATTGATTATTTGCATTGAATTGTCCAGTTCTAACGACACTCTGATATCTATTAATCCGATTCTCTTATACTGGGCGCATTTGCGGAGTTTTTCTAGTACCGTTGGTCACATGAATTTTCCCCTGGACAAAGACAATAGTGAAAAAGCCTCATTTTGAACAATAAATTCTAGAACCAATTCGGGGATAATACAACAATCGAAACATCGAAACACCGAAAAAACGTAAACAGATACCGCCGCCCCTTTATGAGTCATCAACCCTTTGAATCGGATTTTATTCCTAAATGGAACAAGGTCCGACATTTCTCCAACCTTTCTCGTTGAAAAAGGACTTGCAACCAACTGCCCTCATTGTTTTTCAAGGAGGGGAGTTATTTTGCAACCGAAATACCGCATAGTGTCCGAACCACGTTGAATTAAGGACAATGGATGGCAAAGTAGAGTCAGTCATATGTTTTCAAAACATTGAGATATGGATTAAGGGTGCTAAAAGATGAATGGGAAGGGTTTCAAAGGCAGAAAACTCAACTATAAATAAGGGAGAATAGTTCCCAGAATTGCGATCTACAATCTAGGAAGTATCAGAAATATATCAAACAATGTATATCATCAACGTTATAATAGCCACGCTTTATTTGCTCAGTTTCACTGCTGCTCTCCCGACTGAAGCTTTGGATAAGAGGGTATATGAATATAATCAAAACCAAGTCCCACCAGAACATCCTGCGGTGTCTGGTTATGATCCATTAGCTTCGTTAGGTCCATTGCTGGTCCCAGAATCCTCTTCTCAGGTTGTCATTACTACATCGGCTGCTTCAAAGGGAAAAAATGCAGCTAGTTCTACAGGCAAAGTTTCCTCATTTACTTTATTGTTGACCTTTGCAACTTCTAGTGCATTCATTTTGTTAACTTGTCTTTAAGGAAATGAGAAGTTCCTTTATGAATTTTATGGTGTTTAATAGTAAGGTCATTATTTGCTCGGATTGGTGTTTTAGAGGTCACATTTTCCGAATTATTGTCTAAAATGTGATCCATCAAAGATTTACTTCCGCTTTGACTTGGTTTTCCTTTGTTTTTTTGTTATCTAGAAGTCCATTATTAACTTAAAAGTCAGTTATCACTTTGCTGGTGCTTTATAATAAGGTCATTATAAGCGAATTTTAATTGGTGTTCAACAAAACTTGATTTCCCGAGGCTGCTTTATATTTTTAGATAATCTAACCTTTCAGAATCCAAAAATATTTAAATATAACGAACTTTGACATGACAAAGATCTTAGCCCGGGGGTTGATTATCATTAGGCGTTATATGGCATCAAAGGGTTCAAACTTGCATAGGTTATACTATATTTTATATACGTCTATTCTAGAACAATGACAATATGCACAAAGCCCCCAGATGCTTTTATGTCTACTTGTTATTTTGAAAAAGCTTTTTTAAAAAATTCAATTGAATAATTAATTACACAACGCTCGTGTGAGCTTCATTTAATAGTTTGTTTTTTTTAGAGTTTTTGTGACATGTAATCTTCTTGAGAATAAATTTTTTTACTTTTAGCTCGTACGAGTAGAATTGAAAAACAAATCTTCTTGAAGATACTTTTTATAGGTCAATGACTTTAATAGTTCGATGTTTAATAATACGCGTTTTATAATCTGCACTAAGACTGTTCTATTGTTGTTCTATTGTTGTTCTATAAAATTTAGTTGCTAATTCCCGAGGAATTCAGGCAATTGAAAAATTTTTGAAACGATTTTGATGTCGTGTGCAACAAATGATTTATTTTTTAAGATATTGATATTTTTTATGCAGTACTGTACAGGTTATATCCCAATTAAGGTTCTAACATTATCCGTTTGGTGAAAACCACAGCGCCATACATTTTTATTTCAAGTTCCCTTTTATTAAAAATTGTTTATATAGGACATTACCCCCATCTCTAATTTCCGATTAAATATAATGGTTTCTTGATTTCTCTTGTTCTTTTTTCTTCTTTTCTTTAAGAGTAATTATCAAGAAAATATGAAGTTCCAATCCTTAGCCGTATTATCCATCGCTGCCACCGCTTTAGCTATCAATCTTGAACAAGTTAGACTTGTCAATGATGATGAATTGGTCATCCAAGATGCTCAATTTGGTTATCCAGCTATCGTTAACTTAAAGGAACAAGATGCTGAAGTTGAAAACGACTCTGACAGTTCCGATGATGAATTCGAAGCAGAACAAACTAAGAAGACTACCGTTTCCTCTACTACTACTACTTCTCACAAGGAAAAGAAGACTATTACTGTTACTTCTTCTACTGCTAAGGCTTCCACTACTACCACCTCTAGCAAGACTACTTCCACCAAGAAGAAGGACCATTCTTCTTCTTCTTCTACTAAGTCCAAGTCTCACACTGCTTCAATTACGAAGACTAACGGTGCTGACTCTGTTGCCATGGCTGTTGGTGGTCCAATTGCTCTTGCTTTAGGTTTATTATTATAAGCCTGTATAGAATATTAAATATTATTTATGAAGTTTATAATTAAGATTAATACATAATGTTTTTTGTGGACGTTGCAAGGAATAGATTTTCATGCATTAGTCCCAGTTTACACTGGAGATGAAGAGATGCCACAAAAAAATATAGCAGACATATTTTATTAACAATGTTGCAAGACAATAATGGTAGCCCACGTTTTCTCATCCTTAAATGGATTCTATAATTAATCCTAAATTATTATTAGAGATATTTTTTATTGTCAATTTTTAGTGCAAAAAATATTTAATTATTTAATTATAACGCAAAAAAGAAGAAAATTTTCAGAAGTAATCCAGAGCGATTGTAACTGGGCAATATTCTCACTTTGACAGCACCGATTCTTCTTAACTGACCCAAGTGTCACGAAAGTTAGCCAACTGCATTTGTTAAAGAAATGGAGGATTATAGAAAAAAAATTAGATTGTACACAAAAAAACACATCAAGAAGAACGAACCCACCTCTCAAGAGTTTACCCAACAAGTTAAACGACTCCGAGGAATTACCCAAAAGTAAGCATCGATTGAAGCATCCGATGCCTGCTCTGCACAGTGGATAATAACTCAGAGACGATTGAAAAGAAAGAGCAATGATTTCACGAGCAGGTTGAAAAGAAAGACCAGTCTTTATCTTCCACTCGACAACCTTTTATTGAAAACTTTGAAAGACAGGTAGCTACACATTGAGCTTTCAGGAAAGAAAACCCAAAATGACATATGAGGGGTATAATTCTTCGTTGATCGTATACCCAGGGCTTCTTTCGAAACTTGTTTTCTTTCTATTGGAGAGTTGAAATGAAATCCTAACAACTGTTTGGGGAAGATTATAATTAACCTTTCTGAAATTGGTATCAATGGAAGTGGGATTTCTCGCAGAATATATTCCTCGATTCATACGGTGCTTGAGCACTAATTGTAATGAAAAATCAAAAAATAGGTTGATGTACATAGTGGTGAGTTATGTCGTACAAATTCCGGGCCGTTAATGTCGTAGCAAAATACGAATGTCGTGATTGGAAATTATGATTCATTTTTCAATTTCGTTTCCGTAGGTCCACAATCCAACGAAAATTTTTCTTTATCTCCACTATATATTTCTCAAGCCCTCCATCTTTCTTTTTGCAACTTAGAAGCTTTTTACATTCACCTCCGCCCCACACATAGATAGAATGATGATGATGTTAAAAAGACCACAGGGTCTCTTGAGACAATTTGTCAGATTCAAGAATGGTTCTACTTCTGCTTTAGCTTATAAAACCTTACATCGTAATCAAAAGAGACCACCTTTACCAACTTTGGAAACTCCAAGTTATTCAGCTGAAACTGCCATTACTTCTATTTTATATGAAACTCCAGTTCCATCCAAGGCTCCAAGAAAGCAACACGTTTTAAACTGTTTGGTTCAAAATGAACCAGGTGTGTTATCACTTGTTTCCGGTACTTTGGCTGCAAGAGGATTCAATATTGACTCTTTAGTTGTTTGTAATACTGAAGTCAAGGATTTGTCACGTATGACTGTTGTTTTGAGAGGACAAGATGGTGTTGTTGAACAAGCCAGAAGACAAATTGAAGATTTAGTCCCAGTATATGCAGTTTTAGATTATACTAATGCTGAAATTATCAAGAGAGAATTATTATTAGCTAGAATTTCATTATTAGGTCCTGAATATTTCCAAGAATTGATTGCTGCACATCAATTACATGTTGACGATGCTTCAGCAATTCCAGATTTAGCTGCATGTGACTCAGCATACCATCCAAGCAACTTGGCTCCATCAGAAGCTCTTAGACAAAAGCATCTTCATTTAGACCATATTTCTGCCCTTACTGATCAATTTAAGGGTAGAGTGCTCGATATTTCTGATAGAAACGTTGTTGTTGAATTGTGTGCCAAGCCATCTAGAGTTTCTGCTTTTATTACATTATTGCAACCATTTGGTATTTTGGAATTGGCCAGATCTGGTATGATGGCCTTACCTAGAACTCCATTAGAACAACATCATGAAGAAGAAGAAACCTCAAATGCAGCTGATATTGTTGATGCATCTCAATTACCACCTGGTTAAAGAAAAAAATTAAGAGAGAAACAATGTGTGTATATATAAATATGTGAATATAACCGTTTTTACTATTATGATTATTTTTTACAAGCTTTACTCTTATTATTAATTATTATTATTATTCAAATATCCCCGTTACAAATAAATCCGTTTAAAAAGAGTCGAGAAATCTTGGGGAGAAAGTCAAGAATTTTTTGTATTTTCAAAGGCCATGAAAAAACTTGGTATTGGACAAGAAGTCTACGACAGTGTGATAGCGTCATACCACAAAGCCCGTATTTTTTTCTTCTTCCTTGGAAAGATTGATATTGGCTCTATAGATAAGCTTTGTCTAGTTTATTCTGTTTGAACTTTTCTTATAAAAGTAAACAATGGTAAGTAGATTGAAAAATGTGTCAAAAATAAAAATGGTGGGTGGGGGGGGGGACGGATACGTCGGTCGGTTGGACCGTGGGGGAGACTTCTCGTTTTAAATGGAACAAAAATTATAAAGCCGTCAGTCGAAAATAGAACAAAAAATTAAAATGCCTTTCGGTCGAATCCAAGACAATTTTTCAATTTCTTGCCGTTTGAGGTTCCATTTTTTTTCTTCTTCTTTTACTTTCTTGTACTACTAGCTTTTTCCCAATAGATAAGAACAAACCACAACAACATCACATCTTACCATTACAACACCCACTGAATTTTAATTTTCTTGAAGGGGGTGAAAGATTATTTTTTTAACCAGAAGGAGTAAGAACCAAAGAGAGAGTGAGCTTATGGGCTAAGAATAATTTAATTAATTAGAAAGTGTTTATTAATATTTCATTTTACTCGAACCACCACCACCAAGTCAACTCGACCTAAAACCACAACAGAAAAAAAATAATAAATAGAAATAGAAACTTATCAGCATACCCCAGTTAATAGAATTTTTTTTTAAATTTATTTATTAGATTTCTTCCTATTATGTCAAATTCAATAAAGACTGAAACGGATGGAAAACCTTCTAATTCCAATATGAACCAACAGCAACAGCAGCAGAATAATCAACGAATACCTATGCAGAACCAGCAACCAAACCATTTGCAACATCTAACCCCTCAAGGACCTTTGCACCGACCCGTCCCTCCACCGCAGCCTCAACCAATGCAATTCCAACACGGAGGATACTATCCCGTCCCTAATATGGCCTTCCCTCAAGGATTACCACCTCCAAACGCAGTCCATTATTATGAATCGGGCCCACCTCCTGGCTTTTATCCAAGTCAGACTCCCCCCAACAGCGGAGTTCTTCCTCCGCGCACGGGTCCAATTTCTGCAACTGCTCCAGCAAACCATATTACCACCCAACATACACCCACTCAACTCCCACCAACATCATTGAACACAAACGGACAAGTACTGTCAATGCACCGTCCTCAACAATTCGCACATTCACATTTTATTTCTCCCCCACAGTCTTCGCAACAACAACAACCGGTGCCCCCACCACCACCTACTATACAGGTATCAAACTCCCAACTGCTGAGTCATGCTTACACTCCATCAAATGCATCTGAAAGTAGCCGGAAACGTTCACATCTGGGCCCACCACCTTCAAGAGCCACCACGACATATCCCCGAAAACGTGCATTGACGGCATGTGATATGTGTCGATTAAAAAAGATCAAGTGTGATAATGTCCGTCCTCGATGTGGATCATGTGTCAAAAATGGGAATTCGAATTGTCATTATCGGACTGATGATCAACAAAAGGATTATTCTAGTTATGATCCAGCATCATTGAATATATTAACGAAATTGGATGTAATATTGAAAGATATCAAGAGTATTAAAGCACATGCTGGATTGGATAATGAACCAAAACCGAGGTTTCAATTTGATAAATGTATTTGGGATATGTCTGTTACTTCAATCTTTAAATGGAGATCATTCTTAAAAGAGTTGGACGATTCACCTAAGGATATTGAAAGAATTCAACATAAATTACTCGATGATTATGATAAACATAAATATCCCGCTGGATGGAATGAGAGTTTACATGATAGATTTGTGAATATAAATAGTTTGGAAAGGTTTTTATCTAATTGTTTTTCAGATGTGATTAATTCATTCTTTGTGAATTGTTATTCCAAAATACCCGTTATTGATACATTTGAATTCTTTGATATACTTGAACGATATCAATATTTTCAATCAAAACTTCCAAATTGTTCATTTCTTAAATTATTGGAAATTGTAAAGGATGAAACTCAAGCTACTTTACCTCCGGAAATTGTCAAAATTTATGAAGAAAACAAGATCCAAATCGATTATAATAGTATACGACAGTTCTACAGAATGATCCGGGCGATTCCATTGATATTAGTAGTATGTGCCATTGGAGTTATAAGTACACCGGTCGAATTAGAAAATTTGTCAAATTATGCAAACTCGAAGGAAGAAGCCAACTCATTGAAGATTGGATGTATTGACTCAAGCACTGCATTTGAAGGTGTCCCAAAATCATTTCCTCGAGAAAGAGTTCAAATAGCATCGAAGTTAGTCAGCTATACTGAATTGTTAACTATTGCATTCCCATTTCTTCTACAACCAAATACCTTACTCACGGTACAATACTATCTTCTATTAAGTCAATATCTGCTCTATATCATGTCGCCCCTATTGGCATATCGACAAATCACTACCGCTAGTCAGCATATGATGTATTTCCTTAAGAAAACCAACGATGAAGAACTTAGTCAAACCAAACGTGAAAGTATTGATCGGTTATTCTGGAGTTGTTTAAAATTAGAATGTGAACTCAGTGTTGAATTGTCACCATTTGTACCTCTTTCAGGTATAACGCAAACCGAGCAACCTTCTTCATTCCCCAAGATTCCTGATCCATTATCGGAAGAATTGAGGACTCAGTATAAGGATATTGTCGTAAGATTGGCTCAGAAATATGATGATGAATATACATGGTATTATTTCTTAACTGAAATTGCTGTCCGAAAAGTCGATAATAAAATGTTTGATGAAATATATTCCCTTGAGAATAGTTTGAAACATGTATGGGATCTGGATGAATTTTCACAAGAATCAGCCTGGATGTTATTCATAAAATATTTAAATCAATATAATGGGATCATAAATTCCCTTTCCCCCGAGATTAGAAATTTTATCCTCCAGGAAACAGAAGTAGAACAAATCTTTAAAAGCATGAAAAAGAAATTCGAAAAAAGGACACTGGCAAGTACAGTCATGAGTGAAAGTGAAGACTTTTCTTCACTTGATGATTTCATAATCGATGATGATATTCTCCTAAGAACACAATCTGAATGTATCATGTTCATCAAAACCCGAGTATTGACTTCAAAGCTCCTCTTGTTCCGACCATTAGTTTATCTATTCCTAGAAGATCGAATCCCATTAACTGAATTAATCGATGCCGCTATTTCTGTCATACCACAAACACAATCCAATTTCCAAGTTGGCAGTTTTAGTTCCTTCGATACCCCCGGTGCTTCATCCACATCTGCATTGTCTGATAATCTAGGCGAGGTGGATTTCGAAATTGGGTTTTTCAATCTAATCCAAGCTCCACAGTTTTATCAAAAACAATACCCCGATGAGGATTTTTCCGACGAGATAGAATATATAACCAAAGAAAAACCCAGTGAAGATAATACACCCCTCGGACCCGGGACCGCTCCTAGTCCTGGTGACGAAGAAGATCAAACTGAACCTACATTTAGGATCAAGAATATGACGCTGGCAAAAGCTCGAATCTTACGAATTTTTGTTCAGAATTTAATCTCATTACCAAAATTAAATCTCCCGCGATTGGGTGCACATCGACATCCAGGACTGTGGTATTATTTACGGAATTTATTCATTGCTAATATTTTTCAATTCTTGATATATAAGAAATTACAAGAAATGTTGGCAAAAGCGGAAAATGACCCTCAGATTAAGTTGTATTTATCCAAACGACAACAACAAGAAACTTCTGCGAAAGATTTATCACCAGGGAGTGCAAATAGTAGTGGTAATAGTAGTAATAGTAATTTGTCTCCTCAGGATATATTTGGAATGTTGAATGGGATTGTGAGTAAGGAGAGTTTGGTAGCTGGGTTTGAACATTCGGTTATATTATTTGGATATTGGAAGGATGAAATACCTGATTGTGAAATCTATCAGAATTATATTAAGAGAGTATTGAAACTATTGTAATAATTTTTTTTTTATTGACTGCGAAAAAAGGGCTGAGAAAATTACGAGGATTGGTTAGATTTTTTAGATGGTTTTGATAAGCAATGATTGAAGGAAATTAATATGAGCACATACATAAATAGACTTTCTATTATAGGCTTTGGATGTAATAATTTGTAATATTATTTTAAGAAAACTTTTATTTGCATCTATTTGCATCTATTGGTACATATTCTCCATCTCCACCGGACCCTTCCAAAATTGTTCTCTCTAGACGATGGCTCAACCAACCAAATTTATACCGGTTCCCATAGGCTCTAATCCATTATATCCATCTAGGTATACTCTCGCTTAGAAACGTGGCAAGGGTCAACCTTTCCAATAGCCCACAATTTTATTTGTGACAGCCGGAGAAAGGGATTTATGTTGCAGGATTTTTTTTTTATCTAAAAAATCAATTCGGAATAATTACACATTGGATATTCCGAAGTCGCATATGTGATTTTTGAAAATTTTATGACCCATATATTAAAATTCGTATTATATCTTTTTAGCAACTTTAATCAACGGCTCCTTTACATTCCTTTCAAGCGGTGATTTCTATTCAACTAGATATTATTGAACAATATATCTGTCCTTATAATATACACTAGGTGTTCTGTTTTGTGAAGTTAAGAAGAGATTTGTGCAAGATTTACAACGAAATTGCTCAGAGCAATATTTGGGATCCATAAATATGCCACAAGAACCTATAGATAAAGACTGGCGAAACTGTGACTATGAAATCAAAGAACAAGACAGATATCTCCCCATCGCAAACGGTATGTGTCCCCTAATAATACCCACACCCTAGCCAGAACTAACACAAATTTATAGTTGGAAGAGTAATGAAACTGGCCTTGCCTGAACATGCCAAACTCTCAAAAGAATCCAAAGAATGTATCCAAGAATGTGTATCGGAATTCATATCATTCGTGACCAGTCAAGCGGCTGATAAATGTAAATTAGAAAAACGAAAAACATTAAATGGTGAAGATATTTTATGGGCCATGTATACTTTAGGATTTGAGAATTATTCTGAATTACTCAAGATATATCTAGCCAAATATCGACAAGTATGTATACATTCACATATGTTTGTTATGGGGTTTAATGTACTAACGATAATGACTAGCATGAATTGGAAGAATCAATAAGAAAACCACCAAAGAAAAAACCAAGCAAGAAACCACGAAAGGAAAGATATCTGGAAACAGAACCCGACGAAGAAGAAGACGAAGATAATGAATCATTATTAGTACCTGCTCAAAACCCCCAACAACCACAATATTATACCACTCAAGATGAAGAAATGTATACCGATGAAAACTATACCAGTGAAGGAATATCCCCAACATTGCCGTATCCTCCTCCAACTCAACCCATCCCAACAGGAGTATACCATCCAGAAGTCCCAACTCGATCTTATGCAGAATATGAATCCCAATTCCCTAATCCAGAAACTGCATATATCGATCAAGACAATATAGCCAACCTTAGATCCAAAATTGAAGCTCCAGGAACCGACTATGTGGATTATTTGAACCCGAATCTATCTTCGGTCAGTCAATCTTCCGTCATACAACAACTGTCGACGATCTTGCCTAGATTGAGCAATAGTATTGAATATTTATTAGCTGGTCCTTCTGATCTGTTGCAGGAACAACAAAGACAGATTCAGCAGGATGTGCTTGGGAATGGTGGAGGAGGGAGTACTGGGAGCTCGGAATCGAATCTTATGGATCAATATGTGAATCGGTTGTGAAGGGAAGGGTAAGTTATATAGAGGTTTGTATGAAACAGTAGTAGCGTTAATTATAATTTATGTTTGTTTTGCGTGTATGTATGTATTAGTTTGCAGCATGTCTCTGTATGTTAGTTGAGATCTTGTAGTTGCAACCAGTCGGGTCTAGATCTCCACCTATTATTCACAATTTAGTGGCATAATTTATTTGCGCGTTATTGTATCAACTCTGCATAAATTGTCACATTGTCCAATTGTCCAATTTGTACCTTTATGCAAGGCTATATAAACCAAAAGACTAATTTGAATTGTAATATTTGGAACAATTAATCGCGTTTTCTACAATATGAAAATTTCAATTGCTTTTCCCAATTGGGAAATATTCGAATGGGCCGCAAAAATTTTTTTCGTTGTACAAAATTTAGTGGTTCCTACTTTAACGAAATAGCCTACATCTCCTTACTCAATCTATCGTCAGAGAATAAGAACAGTAGAGTTGTCAATCTCCGAAATATAAAGCCACTAGCTAATTTACACAAAGGAGGAAATGTTGTCTTGACCATATAAATGGAAGAATGATCTTGTGTCGAAATCTAGTATTTTCCCAACCGTATAGGCACAGGGCTTCTTTGTTAATTTTATAGATTTATTATGCCAATTCGCTAATCTCGTATTCTTCTCTTCTGGACTAAATATTAGCGCCGCCCCACTATCAGAAAAAGAAGATACAGCTTTTACTTGGTATTAATCCGCAACTCCACGGAGAGTGTGGAGAAAGCAAAGGGTATACTGTTAATGACTTACTGCAACTGTAAGTTCATGTTGAGAATTGACTCTATATGCAAATCTATGCAAGGTTAATCCAGTTCTCACAATATACCAAGATTGAAAAAAAAAAAAAAAAATTGACAAGCTGGATATTTTGTTAATCGGGAAAACTTGCAATTCCTCTTTTAATTGAATTAATTCAATTCTATAACTGTACGCAAGTATAACCTCGGGTGTCTAGCATCGCACAGTAAGAGACAAACAGCTTGCATTGGAAAGGAGTTAGAATTGTTCAAAGTAATAATTAATTAAAAAATAATCTCGCAAAACACGACTGTACATAAATATTGATTTTCATTGTTCTGCAATGTACAATATGTATAGAACAATGGTAAAGTTACATTAAACTTGTAAAAATTATTTTAAAAATATTTTTAATTTAAAAAACCAGCAAAAATATAAAAACAGCAGAAAAAGTCTCTTTCTTTTCTCAAAAGTGCGACACCCACCACCACTACCACTACCACTACCAATACCACCGCTACCAGCAGAAGGAAAAAAAAAACGTTCTAACAAAAATAAAAATTAAATTTAACAAAACATTTTTCTTCTTTAGGTTTTTAAGTTTCACTTTTTATTAAAAATATTTTAACTACTACCACCCCCCCTACCCAACCCCCAGTTAACTAAATACAAACTACTAGCTATTTATCCAACCTTACGAAAACGGAATAATAATTATTTTCATTTTAAGAAACAGTCTGAAGAGAATAACCAGAAAGTAATAATCAGATAAATTACTTTTTTGCATATCAATTAAACTTATCAAGTACACACCCTCCAAACTACCAAAAGGTAATACATAAGTTAAACATTAAACTAAACACTCGGTGAAAAAGCCCATCCCAATTATTATTTTTTGAACAACAACTCATAACATCGAGAAAAACTTGGTAGTTCTTATTTAAGCCCAAACTACAAAAGACACTATAAACAGACAATATGATAAAATCATTTCGAAAACATAGAAAACTGTCAGAAGCAGTTTCGCCAAAACGTTCTATTCGAGTAGCAGGTACTCATCCATCAGATGGTGATGCAATATTACAATCCCCTAAAAAAGTAATCAAAGCATTATATGATTATACACCCCAAGGTCCAGGAGAATTAGGATTCAAAAAAGGGGATTTCTTCCATGTTTTAAATGAAGCCGATGATGAAGATCATAGAGAAGCCCTTGAGAATGGTTGGTATGAAGCCACTAATCCCGCTACTCAGGCCAAAGGAATGGTTCCTATAAGTTATTTCGAAGTTTTTGGAAGACTGAGACCAATAATAAACACTCCTGTAAGTCCAACAAAGAGTCAACGTAGTAATAGTCATGCTAGTAGTACTGCTAATAGTAGTGTTCGGCCTTCATTTTCTACTAGTGGAGGTGGTACTGGAGCAGGAATAGGTACAGGTCCAGGACTGCGAAATTCAAGTCAAACTTTATATGCTGTTACATTATATGAATTCAACGCTGAACGAGAAGATGAATTGGATATTAGTCCAGGAGAGAATTTGATAATTTGTGCCCATCATGAATATGAATGGTTTATTGCAAAGCCTATTAATCGATTAGGTGGCCCCGGATTAGTTCCAGTATCATATGTTCGAATTATAGATTTATTAAACCCAAACAGTGCAACCCCAAATACTATTGATACAACTAATCATGATGATGTAGTCCGGGCAATTAATTCATTCAAAATACCCACTGTTGAACAATGGAAGGATCAAACTGCCAAATATCAAGCATCTACAATTCCGTTGGGTTCCATATCTGGAAATCAACCATTGGTATCTTCACAGAATTCACAATATTTCGATGGGAATAACGCAAATAGGAATACATATGGATCAATGGGTTCTTCGGTCAGTTCGACCCAATCAGCAGTGGTGGAAGCAAGTGTTGATTCATATCAATTGGATAATGGTCGTTATCAATATTTGATAACTGCAAGATTAGCAAATGGGAAAATTAGATATTTATATCGTTATTATCAAGATTTTTATGATTTACAAGTTCGATTACTTGAATTATTCCCATTTGAAGCTGGGAAAATCGAGAATTCAAAAAGAATTATCCCATCTATTCCAGGTCCATTGATTAATGTGAATGATTCAATATCGAAATTAAGACGAGAGAAATTGGATTATTATTTACGTAATTTAATTGCATTACCTGCTCATATTTCAAGATCTGAAGAAGTATTAAGATTATTTGAAGTGTTGGATAATGGATTTGATAAAGAGATTGAATCGCTAAACAACAACAATAATAATAACAATAATCGAGTTCTGAAACCTATAAGTCAAAAGTCCACATCTCATAATGATAGATTATCACAATATTCAAATTTAAATCCATATCCTCGAGTATCTGATCCAACCAGTAATTCAGCTGAATCAGGATTATTAAACCGAGGATCAAATGAAAGTTCAACCACAAATATGACCGCTCATGACCAACTTGAAACAACTACAGCAGCAAAACAATCAAAGATAAAAGTTAAATTTTATTATGAAGATGATATTTTTGTATTGCTATTACCGACAATGTTAAGATTACAAGATTTAAAAACTAAATTACATAAGAGATTAGAATTGGATGATGTTCAACAACATAGCTTTGATGAACCTAAACAACCTGAAGCTATTCGATTATATTTAAAGAATGATTATGATGATTTTGCGGTTGAGAATAATATAAGTGATTATAAATTTAGTGATGTTCAAAAGATGAAATTAGCAGAATTTGAAGTTGATAATGATGAGAAATTTCATAGAATATTATATGAGAAGTGCAAGATGGTTATATTAGTTGATTAGGCCCGTCATACTACCTAACAGAGACAAAGAGACAGACGAGTGTGTTATAATGTTTTATATTATAAATTTGTATATGTTGTTATTTTGGTTATTGTTATTATTGTTGCTTATTTTTGCTACTATTATTAATTGTTTTTGGTTATTTGTTATATTTTCATGAGTGTTATTAGTCTACGGTGTATTGTGTTTGTATTACTATTACTTTCTTACTTCTTTCTTTCTTCTACATCTTTATTTAGATTTTATAAAGGACCGTTTGTTTTTATTATAATTATTATAAATGACTATTTTAGTAAGTATTTCTTTACAAAAGACGCGTAGATCTACGTGATCCAGGGAGTAGATTTAAAGTTATAAAAAGTTTAAAGTTACCCAATGTAAAATAAAGTTAAAATGAAATTAATTAGTGTTTTCCCCCTCGACTTTAATTGCCCTGGGTCAAGGAAATAGATTTGCCTGAAAATCATATTTTTTTTCTTAGAATTAATTTATTTATGCTGCTGCCAAATTAATATCAATAAACATCACGCAAACCAGTGAACCGTAACCCATCCAAAGCCAATATATATACAAAAATGGCAAAGAAGAGGCCATTACCAACACCGGGAAATGGTGATCCCAAACGACCCAAATCGATATTCCTGAAATTAACAGGATTCTTTAATCTGACAGCAACAACCACAACACCATCAACAACCATCTCAATTCCACGCAATGACTTACAAGATGATTCAAGTTCTGACGAAGAAGCACCGGTTGAATTTCAAGAAGAACAGGAATCTGAAATACAATATAATTCATATTTGGAGAATATACAATCAGATTATAATACTACCATTATCTCTCCACAACATCAACGAGCATCTCAGGCGAGTGAGTCGATTTTGAAAAATATAAATATTCAACAGGAGTTAGATATGATTAACTCAGATAGTCAGGAAGATGTGTTTGAAGAAGCTAGGGAATATGAAAGCCAACTAGTGGATCAGAATGTGCCTTCCCGATTTCAGACTCCACGTGAAGATGTACCAGCACAATTTGAGACTCCTCGCGAGGATCTACCAGCACGAACTCAGACTCCTCATGAGGATGTACCAGCACGATTTCAGACTCCTCACGAGGATATACCAGCACAATTTCAGACTCCTAGTGAGGATGTACCAGCACCATTTCAGACTCCTCGTGAAGATGTCCCACAAGAACATACAACAGAATTGGACATTATCCTTGATAGAGAAATCGCGTCTCTAGGAGCCAGTCCGGTAAATTCAAGTCAAGAGAGTCTTATAGAGATTTCAAAAGACGAATTAACTATTGATGAAATTGAGAAATTCAACAAACTACATTCCAGACATGAAGATACTCCAAGAAGAAGAAATTCTCAGCTCCAATCACCTCGAAAAACTATCGAGTCACCAATCTTGGATAGAAACAACGTAGCACCAATAACACAACCACATTCTCCTCAACAACGAACAAACTACTACATTTCTCCCGCTGCCAAATCTAAAAGTCCAATAAATCATGGTCCACTTTCGATATCTACTCCAGTACGAAAACATCCAGGCGGGGCATATCCCCAATCACTGCCACTAGGTGCCAAGTCATCAAGACAACATTCCCAACCGCCAACACAAACTCCAAATAAACCAATTCCATTTCCGTCACCATCCCGAATTCAGGTTATGGAAAGCATACCACAAGCACAACCAAGTCCACCAATACAACAGATTTCATCACCACGACCATCTTCTTCGCGAGTTGAGAGTCTGACGAGGATAACAGAGGTGGAGGAGGAGGGGACGAAGAAGAGGCTGAGAAGTGCGACTGAAGAAGCACAACCGAAGTTGTCATTTAGGGAATTGTTGAAGAGGAGGAAGATGACCGAGAAGCAGACTAAGGCCAAGGAAAAGGAGAAAGAGAAGGAGAAGGAAAAGGAGAAGGAGAAGGAAAAGGAGAAAGAGAAGGAGAAGGAAAAGGAGAAAGAGAAGGAAAAAGAAAAGGAAGATGAGAAGGAAATGGAAACGGAGAAGGAAATGGAGAAGGAAAAGGAGAAAGAGAAGGAGAAGGAGAAGGAACAAGAGAAGGAGAAGGAAATAGAGAAGGAAAAGGAAAAGGATAAGGAACAGGAGAAGGAGAAGGAAATAGAGAAGGAGAAGGAAATAGAGAAGGGGAAGACAAAAGCAGTAGAAGAGTCTGAACAAATTATAGCGGAGGAGACACACGAGAGAACAATAGTGGAAAGATCCGAGAGAATTGAAGTCGAGAAACCATCATTACAAACAGAAGTTCTGCAGGAGGAGGAGCGAAATGCAAGAAATGAATCAGAAATCGAACAGACAGAAGAGGGTGAGAACGAGCCAGAAGCTAACGAGACGAGAAATGTTGCGTCACAGATGTCTATTGGAAATATCATAAACGATGATTCACAAGTCCCAACCCCTGCAGAATTAGTCGAAGCTGCCCAAGTAGAGAGTAGAAGAATTGATTTATCTACATTATTAAGACCTTCAGAACCTGAACCTGTAGTAGAAGCAGACGTCGGAGGAAATGTGCTACATCAACCAGAAAATGTGAATGAAATCGAGGAACCACCTAGAGAGAATGAAACAACCAATGCTGGGTCTGCTGAGATTACCACTCCTACTTTGTCATTGAATCATATTGTTAATGGGACGGAAAGTAGGAATTCTGTGGTTTTAGAATATGCATTAAGTAGTCTGCAACCTGAATATATATCAGGAGATGCCAGTCAGCATCAGTCGGAACTGGAAAAAATAGAGATGTCAGCGGAGCAAAATGGCACAAATTTGACCAAGGAAAGACAGGAGGTGGAAGATGTAGGCATAGAGGCGAGGCGTCGCGTAGGTCCTTCATTACCTTTAGAAACTAGTCAAGAAATTGCTCCTGAGCCATTGCATGAACAGCAACAACAACAACAAGAAGAAGAAGAAGCAACTGTCCAACCCCAAGAACAACAGGAAGAAATCACAACACAGACCACACCCACTCAACCGCTTCTGACACTCACCCAAGACCAATCCACAACACCACTGCTCACAAATAATACTTCCCAACCACAACCACAACAACAAAATCTGGGTCAAATCACACCTGAAGATCCAAACATCGAAATCCTTGATGTAGGAGTATTATTAAAACGTCCATCTCCAGTTCCTTATTCACCTAATTGTAAACATAAACTGAAATCAAGGGTTTACTCACGAGTACCTAAGGCAAGAATAAGAATGTCGAGGAATGCATTACGAATAATGAATAGTTCAGATGAAGAAGATGATGATGACGGTGTTGAGGAAGTGTTTCAAGTGGTTGAACAGCCGCATGAAGGAAATGGGGAAGCTGAAGATGGTTCGGGGAGTGAAGGACCTGATAGAGGTGATGAGAGGGGGCCTGATGACGATGGCGGAGATGGTGGAGATGATGATGAAGTCCAGGAGTCGGAGCTGGGTAGTAGTCAAATACATAGAAGAAATACCGGAAGGGATGAAAGACTGCGCGTGGTACCTGTTATTTCCGAGGAAGAGGAGACGGAGGAACCACAAGAATCGACAAGGCAAGAAAATGAAGAACACGGAAATGCACCTGAAGAGATTATTGACGAAGGAGGAGATCAGGCTGAAACTAATGGAGATACAAGAAAAGAAAGCGTCGAGCCAGAGCAAAGAAGAGACGAGTCAGATTTATTTATTGAAGATAGTGACAGTGAATTCCTTGGCGAAATGGATCGATATTCAAACAACCGAAATCCTGTAATGCACGTCCCCATGTCATCATATGATATGGATGGGAAACGAAAAGATTCTGTTATTTCCGAAACTGACGACACGGTGTCCCAAAGACGAGAAAATTTGGGTCCGATACTGAATCATAATATCCTAAATCTACTTGTGGATATGGATCATTTAGAAGATGATGTGATTGTGGTGACACAAAGTAGTGAAATTCAAAGAAATGCCGAAGATGAGATTAAAAAACATGTGAGTGTAAACAACCAATCGACTCAAGAAGTAGGATCGACAGAAAAATCACAACTGTTGTCACAACCTACGAATGGTAATAGTTCGACTGTGATTGAAGGAAGTACGGATTCATATAATCAACTAATATTAGCTCCTGCTCGTGTATCAGGACACATTAGTTCTGCATCACAACAAATCTCCACAAGTGAAGATCCCATACAAGATAGCGCATCCTTCGGTACGAATGGTTCTCAATTAAAGCTACGTTCGAATCTATTGACGGCAGTCGTTAACGATTCTGAGACTTCTGATAGTCCTTTGTCATCGCTTGATTACGATTCCTTGAAATTCAAAATTCCTGATTTTATTCCGAAGAGTAGATATGGATGTCAAGAAAAGGAAACTAGGAATATTGAAAATGTGTTGAATGGAATTCCTGCACTACAACTTCATGATAGTGGAAGGGAGACTTCAGCGGTTGATCAAGTCACGGCGCTTCAAGTCAATTATCAAGGCTCACTTGCAAGATTACCTGCGATGCCGGAAACCGTGACATATGATCAAATCCGAACTGATCTAGTGAACCCCAGCAGCGCGTCTAGTTCCTGGTCTGCTGGTAATTCTCAGGAAGTTTATGATGAACAATTTGGTGATCAGCAACTAACAAAACTCGAAATGGCATTGACCCGTATATTTTTGCCGCCTCTTGATGAAGATGTCAGACAGGAAAATAAAGACGACACAGAATCAAACGAACCAACAAGACAGAATCCAAAACAAGGGGATTATAGGAATCTCGTAGACAATTTAGAAAAGGTTCCAAAAAATAAGAAGAATAAAGCAAAAGCGGCGAAAAAGAGGAAAGAACGACGATTAATGAGAAATTTTAACTCGGGGAGAGATTGGTACGCTGATTATGATGATGATGTCCAACAAGCTCGGATTAATTTTTTTAAGCCGGTGGAAACAGCAATTATAAATCCGTATGTTTCTTCGACTAGTATGAAAATCAATTCACTGTCATTTGACGCTGTGGATATTGACAAGACGTCTGGCCACCAGAATGGACAAGGCAATGGTCATGATAGGGAGCAAATGAATCAAGCTCGTGAAGAAGAAGATATCGACATCGGCCGTGGTGAGTTTGGAAATATACCCTCGAGACAATTAATTCTTTCTGAAGATCTTAGCAGTTTCGCTCCGCCGGAATTCGTCTTAGTTAAGCATCCCTCGCCAACTAAATGGAACTATGTGGGCCCATATAGGATTGTGAAACAATTGGTAGATGATTATTATGTCTTACGACTTCTCCCAGATTCTCCGGTTCACAATCCAGTGAAGGGGTATATGTTGATGAAATATAATCCAAAAATTTGGGATTGGACCGATGCTGGAGAAGGAAAGATCGAGTATTTGAAAGCAAATATATCGAAAATAGAGAGACTATTATGTGTGTATTTGGATCATACTGGCTTAATTATTTTTAAATGTTGCGATCCAGTACATGCACACAAAATTAGATTGGAATGGTTGGATAGTGACCCAGATTTAAAGTTGCAGTTACTTAATGGGTGTCGCGAAATGCTAGTAGCCCTGCTTAAACCTCCAGATGGATCCGTCTCCCCAAAACCAAATGGCTAACGATTTGGAGCGCTGGTTTCTTTTGAATTCTGGAGAAGGGTTTTGCTAGCAAAACACTTAGAGTCAAATAGAAGATTTGATGTATGTAATAGTATAATGTTTAGATGTTTAGATAATTGACAATGTTGACCTAAGAGATGTAGATATTTGATGTAGTTAACAATGGCCCATTTTATTCGTCCTATCGGACTGTGTCTAAGATTGTGGGTGAGGGGATTGTTCTAGAAACAATGGGATTTGATTTTTCTGTGCCACGAAAAATTGTTGCTCCTCGGGAATTGATCGCGCAATTATATTTTACGCCCGAGATGCTTTTGATTAATCATCATTTTCTTCTAGTTCTTCTAGTTCTTAAAGTTCTTATCTCGAAACCAATTGACTATGATTTCCCAAAGATATTCATTAACCCATTACTACCACTCAGCCAAAACCTTGGCAACAGGAAATTTCCCTGTAGTTGTCAATCTTTATGTCGATTATAATTGTCCCTACTCGGCCAAGATCTTCCCCAAATTTTATAACACCGTAATTCCAAAATTAAATGAAAAATATCCTGGAAGATTTCAATTTGTATATGTCAATGTTATCCAACCATGGCATACTAATTCCAACCTTGTCAATGAATTCGGTATCGCTTATGCTAAGTTATTACGTGAAAATGCCAATGATTCAGTTGATTCAAATCGCGCTTTTTGGGAATTATCCAGAGTTTTATTTGAAAAGATTGAATCCTTTTATGACACTTCCAATATTCAATTAACTAGAAATGAAATCTACGAACAGATCTATGACGTTGTTTCTAAAGAATTGGAATTGGTTTTCCCTAGAGAACAAATCTTGGAACAATTGGTAATTAAATCATCTGAAACCCCAAGTAATGAAGGAAATGCAACTGCTACTGACGTGAAATATTTCACAGGATATTTGAGAGGTGTTGGTGTTCATGTCACTCCTTCTGTTAGTGTTAATGGTATTGTCAGTGATGCTATCTCTAGTGGTACCCCTGAAGACGAATTAATTCAAATCTTCGAAGGGGCGTTATAGTGTAATTACTTTAACAAAAAATTAGTAATATTTGTTTGATCTATATAGCTAATATACATTTAAAAGTTTCTCGCCTCAAGGACTAATCTTCATCTTCTTCCATATCTTCTTCAACATCATTATGAGCATCTTCTCCATCCGAATCAGAATCATCTTCCAATCCACCAGCTTCAACAGTCATAACTTCTTCTTCAAATTGTCCTTGATACTTTCTTGCAATTCTAGAAGCTCTATTCAAATTATTAGCTTCTTCTCTAGCTTTAACTTGTAATGCCTTCAATTCATCCCTAAACGCATTTCTAACCGCATGATTTGAAAAAGTATCCCACATCTTCAAAGCACCACTTACACCACCAATAGTTAAATTACCAGCCACTTCAATATCTCCAGCATATGCAGTAGTCAAAACGTTCCCAAGTCCGAAATCTCTCGATAAGATCATAGAAGGGCCTTTTCCAGCTGCAGTAGGACATTTCCAAAGCTTAACAACTTTTTCACCCATAGCACTAGTGACGATCATCCCCGGAATATGACTGTTGACACCAAGTGAAGAAATCCCAGCATCATGTGCATGTAAAGTCCACAAAGGCTTGTCATCATTTCTAATATCATAAGCATAAATATTCCCATTATCTGTCCCTGCGTAAAAAATTTCTGGAGTTGATGGGTGCGCCCAACTGACATTTTCGACTTCTTCTCCAGGTCCGACTTTGTAGTTTTTGGAACTTTGGGAGTTTTCGGAGATTCTGACATCGGTTAATCCGACAGTGGAGTCATATCCCCCAGTTAATAAGATTGATGCTTCAGCGTGGTGCCATTGGGATGATGAGACGGTTTTATGGTTATGAATGGTGTTGAATGAACGTACGGCAGTTCCGGAGTTTAAATCCCATAATTTGACTGTCTTGTCAGCAGATGTGGATGCTAATACAGCACGATGTATTTTATTATGTGATAATGATAATACTGCATCTGTATGATGAGTGGTGATATGTTGAGATGAAGACTTCTTTTTCTTTTTATTCTTCTTCTTTTGCAATGCAACAAATGAGTTTTTATCAGGTTCTCCCAATATTAAATCAGGGAATGCTTTATCAACATAATCCAAATTCCAGATTTCAATTTGTGGGTCAAATGTACCAATAGCGGCGAAATTACCAATATTTTGCGCTGATGTTTCAGATTGACCTGGTTTATAATTGATCCATTCTACACATAACGGGAATGCAGGCAACATGATATCATGATGGACGTATAAACTTGAACCTCTTATGAGCCCATTAGCTACATCTGGATCAAGTTTATCTCCTTCCTCTTCTTCGGCACCAGTAGGTGCTCCAGCACCATCATCATAAATATACACATCCAAATAAGAAATGTCATCTTCGGTTCTAGTAGCTAAGACTAAATTATCAGTTGGATATATTTGATTCTCCTTCTTTTCTTCTTGAAGATCGACTTCAGTAGGTAATGATAAATATGCATCTTCACCTTCTTCATGATATTTCGCATCAGAATTTGATAATCCTGGAAACATAGTTACTTGTTCACCTTCACTATCTCTTGCATCATCATCGTAACTTTCTAAATTATATTCCTTTAAGTCATCATCAATTTCAATCTGTTCTTTTAATGCATTTCCTTTGGTGCCTTCCTGTTCTTCTTGAGCTTCTGCGAGTCCTTGTTTGGCTTCGCTCAATTCGAGATTAGCCATGGCCGTGATTCTTTCCATTTCTTCATCGTTCAATTCATATTTCTCCGGGAATTCAGAAGCGAATCCTCTAGGGACCCAAGTACTTGAAGAGATCATTATTAGTTCTATAAGTTGTATATATACAGTGATGTATTAAAAAGATTAAAGTGAGAGATGAGCAGCGCCAGAAATTTTTCATTTAAAATCAGAAAAAAAAAAAATAATTAAATTAATCTGCAAATTATCTGTAAACTGTAATACCAGTTAAACTGTAAAAGTATAACGTGCAATATGATATCTGACTTATAACAAGACAACACCAATACCACTGGTTTGATCTTCGGAAACAACCTTAGTCTCTGGATCTATACCACCATGCATAGGAAATGTTCTATAGTTAAACAAATAGTAATTCAAGTATCCATCTCCACTACCAAACTTATTATCTTTTAAGAAATAAGTATTATCTTGAGCAGTTAAACAATTGAAAACATCAACATTGAATTCTTTTGCTGTGATTAAAGCATCAGTCATTAATGTGTTTAATCTTGGTTTATATTTCTCTGGAGTGTCAAATGAATCGGTAGCATAGTAGAATAAATATGCAATACCTAATTCATCATGATGAGTATTATCCAATACAGTAAATGGTAACAAATAATATGAAAAGAAATCAGTAATATTTCCATTGGAATCCTCAACCACATAAGATTTTATGACATTTGAAGTGTTGTCAGTATCACCCAACATCCAATGCTTGAATTCTTCTTCAGTAAATTGTTGAACAATATCAAATCTTGCTTGATATTTATATAATAATTCCAAAACTGGTTTGACATCTTTTAATTCCATTGGTCTTAAACCAGTAATCTTAGGTTGATTAGGTAAAGCATAATGGGCAATCATACCTGCTTTAGTTTGGTTTGTAGGTAAATGACTAAAACCAACATCATGAAGTTTTGACCAATTTATTGGTCTATGTTGATATCTACATTGTGCCAAAGGAGTTGGTAAAACAGTACCACCAGTATATAAAGCTTGCCAAATATTTTGTTTATTAACACGACGAGTTATTTCTTTAATCATGACTGGAGCCAATCTTTTATTTCTCAATTTCTTATGAATGCATAAGAAGTTGATTTCAACTGAATCAATTACTTTATTTGATTTATTTAATTTGATAGTACATGGAGTAGCAGCAATAAAAGCAACCAATTTCCCAGTTTCTTTAACCCTAACACCAGTATGCCATTCTTTACGCCATCCAGGTGGTTTAAGTGCCCATTTAAAGAATTCATGGGAATATTTGAATCTAAAAGTAGCATCAGAATCTTCGACATAATGATCATATAATAACTTATATAATTCATCCAATTGTCCATCATCTTCAATGTCAATAGTACACCATTCAAAATCCTTAATCAAAGGTAATGGCTTATCTGGAATATCTTCTGGGGTTTTAGTACTGTCAATTGGACCTTCAGATACGACTTGTTCATCTAAACGTGGAACAGGTTGAGTTTTCCAGAACTTATAATCTTTCATTTCTTTCTGTTGAGAGGGAGTTAATTCTTTACCCAAAGCTAAAAGTTGGAGTAATTGTTCTATAGAGTTTGGAGTGGCATCAGCATCCTTCTTCTCCACTTGCTTCTTCTCGTCTTCTTTGCCTGACATTGTACCTTGTTGGGAGGAGAATTGATCGACGTTTTATAATGAATAATGGTGGCAGTCGCCGAATTTTTATTTTTTTCTTTTCTTGTGCCTCGCGCCCTTCGATTTGCTTCTCGTTCCAGACCGTTCTATTTTCTGGTACGATGAATGGTTCCGTCTTTTCTCCGTAGACTTAGATTAAGCAAGTTAAACTAATCATACCAGTTAACAGATAAACTACACAAGATGGTTCTTAAGAATTCTAAATGGGACAAGAAAGCAAAATACAAATATATGAAAAAGCACGGAATAGCTCCATCCAAGCCAACACCCATGGCCTCCGAAACCTCGCATTCCAAATGGTCATCCAAGAAACAAATAGATTCAAATGAGCCAACACTAGAAGATTCTGAAGATGAATGGGATTCCGATGTTGATGAAGCATTGATAAACCATTTCTATCCCCAATTGGCAGATTCATCTGGGGAATTATCACTTGAACAGAAGATCAAGATTAAGAAACAGATCTTACAAGAATTGGAAGAGAACAATGAGGGTGCCGAAGAAGAAGGAGAGGGCGTTGAAGGAGAAGAATTGGATGGGATATACCTTGGATCAAAGGAGAATCAAGATCAGGAAATGCAGAGTCAAAAGACAGAAAAGTTCAACTTGGAAGAATTTATGTTAAATATTGAAAACAAACCCAAAAAGACTAGAAAACTATTAAGTAATAAGATGTCTGACAATTTCCTAGAAGAGTATGGTTTGTCAAGCTATTCCGATATAACTAAACAAACGGATGATTATAATGATATGTATTTTAAAAAACTTAAGAATCGGAATATTGAACAAATTTCCGCGGCTGAACTTGACGGGTTTGTGATTGGAGAGAGTAGTTTGAATGATAATAGGAAGCCCGCCGAGTCTAAAGGGGCACATGTGAGATATTTGACGGAAGAAGAAAAGAAACAGGATGAAGCTAGGAATGAATTGGTAAAACAACAGAAATTCTATAATGAAATCAAAACTAAGTTTGATTCAGATAAGAAAGTGATAATGAAGAGGAAAGTAATTGAGATTAATAATTTCAATGCAGATGATGAATCTCAGATGGATGCATTGAATAAGAAATTAGCTCAGACGGATATTGCCAGTGGGAATATAGATGATGATATTGACTATCTTTTGGGTATTGATAAGAATCAAAAGAGTCAACCGGAGGATAATCCTAAGAAGGTTGGTGAAGATTTTGATTCATTCTTTAATGAAGTCACTAGTAAAGAGGATAAGAAATCTAACGTGAAGTCAGAGAAACCAAAGTTTCAATTTGATAAACAAGAAGATGAAGATTTCTTGAATGGATTGTTAAAGTAAGTTCCCACCTAGTTTAATGCAAATATATGCCAATATACTTGCTAAACATATCTATATGGCTGCCACCTAAAAAGGCGACCGAATTACCCGGATGGTAAACATCAAATCCAGGAATGGCTACGAGTGTAGATCCAGAAGGAACGTACGACTTGGAAGCATAGCACAGATGGAAGAATTACCACCGACCGCGAGAACTCCACATCAAACAATTCAATGGGATAGGCATGCAATGATCCACAAGCAAGGTGATCAAAAAGTGATTATTAGAGGTTTCTATTAGAATTAAAACGAATTTATAGTTAACTAGTTAATAAAACAATAATTAAATAATAAAACAAATGAAATAGCAGAATCAACCAATAACATTATCTAATACCAACGGAAAACTGGGACCCCCTGCCCCTCTGGAAAACATTCAAAGTCTAGATTAAACCAAGCCTTCTTCCCGGAAATCAGATAAAAGTTCACCATTGTCAAAGTGAATAATTTAGACTGAATAGAAAGTTCCTTCGTTTTTTTTTTTTTTTTGATTTTCATGTCTGCAGCCATGAAGGGAGAAATGCATTTACGCACGAGTTAACAGTGTGGGACTCGACCTTTCGGTAATACCCACTAAAACTCCCTTGAAATCCCCCTGTATCCCAAAAAATAGCCCCCAGTACCCATAATATCCATCATAGTAATTAACCGTTGCCCAAGCGGAAAATTCAAATGAATGGAAAGTGCAATGCACCAGTATGTCCCAAAAAATAGCCCCCAGTACCCATAATATCCACCATGGTAATTAACCGTTGCCCAAGCGGATAATTCGAATGAATGGAAAGTGCAAAGCACCAATAATCCCAAAAATTAGCCCCCAGTACCCATAATATCCATCATAGTAATTAACCGTTGCCCAAGCGGAAAATTCAAATGAGTGGAAAGTGCAATGCACCAGTATACCCAATAATAGCCCCCAGTACCCGTAATAACCCACAGAAACCCATAATAGCCCCCAGTACCCATAATATCCATCATAGTAATTAACCGTTGCCCAAGCGGATAATTCAAATGAATGGAAAGTGCAAAGCACCAATAATCCCAAAAATTAGCCCCCAGTACCCATAATATTCCTCATAGTAATTAACAGTTGCCCACGCGGATAATTCAAATGAATGGAAAGTTTAATCCACCCAGGTCAACAATCTAGATTAAGTCAAGTCTTCTTCCCTGAAATCAGACAAAAAAATCCATCACACAAACTAGCCGCTAGCTAGTCGACTAATTCAGTATGAAAGGATTTAACCGATTCGAGAAATCCAGCCCAACCCTCTCCAAATTGCATCATCCCTGATTCCACATCTGCGTGTTGATTTTCAAGAATGATCTTTTATGTTCTGATATGATGGCGGTTGTGGATTTGATTTAATAACAATGATTAATGGAATATGGAACAGATTGAGGGATAATTAATTGGATTTTGTTTTGGAAATGCTTCAATGATGATGATAAACAGGACAATGGACATTAATTGATTGTATGAATAGGATGAATAATGAATGTGGTTGAATTTGACTTAACATGCTTGTGAAAAGTAAAGAAGAAAAGAAGAGGATTCTAATTTTTTGCTTTTGCAATCTATTTGTGTTGCAAATTTGGAACAACAACAAAAAAAAAAGAATCTAGACATTAAGACATATAGAAACATTTACAAAAAAATCACACAGGAGATTGTAAACTCCATATTAACTTATAAGCTACTTGCAAATATACCTTCAGGGAACCAGGCAAGAGGCGCCGGGATGGATCAAAAATGACTGCGAATACCTATTTCTATTGTATTCTAATAGAATAGTTATGTATATCTTGTATTTAAACCTACAAAATGGTGTGGACGAGGCCATTATTGACATTAATTTACAGCGAGCCAACACTTCAACTTCCATCCTCTTCTTCTCTAATTTATGCAAATTTACTTTTTTATTAAATCCGAAATAGAAAATACTATACTATACTTACACCCACCTCTCTCTACACAAATAAAAATCACCGAAATATAAATCAATTCGTTAACATAGAAACCCTTCTAAGCCCATTCAGGTTTATTATGATAATCATTGGTATTATTTCTACTTCCACCACCTCTACTTCCACTACCTCCTCTCCAATTCCCACCTCTATATCCCCCACCTCTACCACCTCTACCTCTATATCCACCTCTACCACCACGATATCCACCCCTTCCTCGTCTATGCAACGAACTTTCACCAAACGTATCCAAATTCAAATTCTTCTCCTCCGCCCATCTCATACTATTCCGTTCTTCAGTCGATGACGAAATATTGTCAAAAAATGATGCCAGTTTGTTGTAGCCGGTATGTTCCAATTCACGTTCTTGTTCTAATTCCTTCAGGAATTTGGCATTTGCTTGTTCGAAATCGAATTCTTCAGTTGGGATGTCTGGTCCTTTATGTTTCGCAGAATCGGCGGAACCACGACGAGCTTGGGGGTGATGGTGATGGTGACGTGGGGAATGATGAGCTGTTGGTTCTGATCCTGGTTGGGCGTCGGCAACTTCTTCGGTGGTTGTTTTGGTTGGAGTTTCATCGCGTGGTTTTTCAGTTTTGGTTGGTTGTGGTTTTCCAGAAACTGGAGATTTTTCTGTTGCAGTTTCAGTTGGGACTGCTGCAGTTTGGCTTGGAACAGCAGCACCTGGACCTGGAGCAGCAGCCGGTTGAGCTGGGGCTGCAGCAGTGGTAGTAGTAGCTGGAGCACTCTGTGGAATTGATCCAGTAGGACCAGCACTAACGGGAGGAGCAGCGGTTTGCGGCATAGTAGGAGGAGCATAATATCCAGCAGTTGGTCCCTCTGGCTTAACTTGATCAACAGGTATATCCAAAACCGACAAATCCTTAACATCAGACCCTCTAAAAACAACATAATCATAAATATCATTCCCTGGAGGCACTTCCAAATTTGGATTTCCTTGTGCAGCTAATCTACCTTCAGTACCAAACATACGAACTGATTTAAGGGCAACGGTTGCATCTTCGGCATTGATATTATCTAATAAACCAACATAACGTAATCCTTTGTTAGAAATCAATGAGATGGTCTTACCGATGTAATTTGACATAGTTAAGTTACCCTCCCTTGTTAATTTGATTGGAATAAACTTGAGCTTCAACCAACTTTTGCCGTTTCTATGTTTGAAATTTTGAGGATTTTGGGATTTCGATTGAACAAATTTTCAAAAGTAAGACATTGCGTAACACGACATTATGCGACATTGAATATGGCCAATTTTTGATCATCAAAACCAAAACCAGAAAATCTTTTGAGTCAACGAATTGACATATCATTTGAATACAAAGACAAGAAACACAAGTATCATGAGTGACGATCCATTGAGAGACTTCACTAATATTCCACTGGATGGAGTTGACCCAGAAGAACAACAACAAGAAGAACAAGCACAAGAAGCACAACAGCAACCAGAAGACCCATCATCTGAACCAGAAACCACCACACCATCCATTAAAAAAGAACCACAAGATGCATTAAATGAAGAAAACTACGACGATGAAGATGAAGAAGATGATAATATCTATAGTTCTATCAGATCACATAAATTAGAACTGGGAGAAGGTAAAGAAATCACCAAGAAGAAGATTGTAAGAAAGGCAAAGAAATCAACTCCTGAAGTTCCAACTTCAAGAGAAACATCCAGACCAGCCGTCTCCAGACCAGAAAGAAGCAACAGCGAGGATGACAGTAATGCAGAGTTTGGATCCAGAGACACCAACATTCACTCTGATCCACAAATGAGAAAACGAATGTTGTTGGAAGAAAAAATGAATGCAGCCATCAGTTCTAAATCCACCAGAAGAAGAAAAGCCGACGAAGATGATCTTGAAAGAATGCAAGATGATAAAATCGATCATTTAAAAGACTTAATGATAAAAGCTGCCAATTTAGATGTTGAAAAAAATTCTCAAGGACAAATCGCAACTGAGAAATTAAAATTATTAAGAGATGTGACTGATATTTTACTGCGTGCAGATTTAGCAATTTCAATCTTGGATAATAATCTATTAGAAGCAGTTAGATTATGGTTAGAACCATTGCCTGATGCAAGTATGCCCGCTTATCAAATCCAAAAGGAATTAATCTATGCATTGGAAAAATTACCAATTAAGACTGATCATTTAATCGCATCAAATATTGGGAAAGTATTAGTCTTTTATCAACGTTCCAAACGTACCGAACCCGCATTAAAGAAAATCGTAGATAGATTAATTGGTGATTGGACTCGACCAATCTTAAACAAATCAGATTCTTATAAAGATCGTTCAATTCAATTTCATGAATATGCAAAAAGTCGATTCTCAAATCAATTGGCAAGTGCAAGAAGTGGTAATAAACGTAATCAAGAAGCAAAGACATTATATGAACAAAATGCCGAAAGAAGAAAGAGGGCAGCTATTCCAAGTGCTAGAACTGCGGCTTATAAGATTGCCCCTAGGGTTGATGTTAGTTTGTTGAGAAGACAACAATCTAGATCTGCGGGTAATGATGAAAGATTTAAGAGGATTAATCAAAAGTTGACTCTGATGAGTGTTAAGAAGAAGATTTCTAAGAAAGGTGGTCCTTCTATTGAAGGTAGAGGGTTAGGTATTTAGGATGTCTCTCTCTTGTAGTTTTGTAGTTTTAAATGTACGTTTAATAGATAAGACAACTTCTCTTGTAGAAACGTTCGGTGATGTCACTTGAAATTCTGGGAGTTCGTAAAATTCTAAAAATTACAGATCCACAATTCATTCGATAATTAATTAGAAAAAAGAGAAGAACCACATGTCTAATCCCCTTGTGAAAATCAAAAGGACCAACACAGTAGTTGGTAGAACGGAATCCTCTTGTAGTTTGATATTAAATATTTGAAAAATGTACATTGAATTTCCTTCGTAAAATTAAAACTATAAATCCCACTCTGTTTGTTTAAATATTTATCTCTTTCATATTCAAAATCCTCTTTTCAAAACTCTTCTGAAACTTAATAATTATTTATTTCTATGTTGTGTTATATGGGAATAATGAAAAAAATATAAACATATAAGTAGTAATGGCAGTAGTAGTGAAAAATCTATGATCTTGGTTTTTCCTTCTTTTCCTTCCATAAAGCTAATAAAGAAACACCAGAAACCTTAACAACCTTGAATCTAACCCCTGGAATATCACCCTTAGCTTTACCTCTTCTACCGAAACCTGCTAATAAAACTTCATCATTTTCATCAACAAAATTTAAACAACCATCATTTGGAACGAAAGCAGTAACCTTCTTACCATTCTTGATTAATTGAACTCTGACACACTTTCTAATAGCGGAGTTTGGTTGTTTGGATTCAATACCAATCTTTTCTAATACAATACCTTTGGCATGAGATGAACCACCAAATGGTGATGATTTGAAGGCAGTACCTAATAATCTGGCCTTGTAAGCTTGATCAGCCCATCTGTTGTTACGACGGTGAACTCTTAATTTTCTAGCAGAGTTAAGACCTCTTGGTTTACCTTTACCCATATTGAAATGTTTGTCTTTCGTTAACTAAGAAGAAAGAAAATTAAATGAAAATTGTATGAAAATTTTTTTTTCTATGAGAAAAGTGGAATTCGGTAGTAAGATTTTGGTGATTGAATTGGGTGATGATTGTTAGGGGACAAAAGGGGAGAGTGAGCGTAACTTCTGAGAGAGACATAGACGCACGTGATCTCACCCACTGTAAAATTTGTTAGCAAGAGAAAAAAGAAAAATATGTGCGTGTACTTGGGTCAAACACTTTATATTGATGAATGGATGTAAGTGTGTATAATACAATCACGTGTAGCTTTTTTGACAAGGGCAGTAGCCCTAATCGCTAACAAAATCTAAAGATTCTAATTTCTAGTTCATTCTCTGTAGAGTGGTGACCTGCTGCAAAATCGCGAAATCAATTGTTTAAACTACAAAGGTACAATCAAATTTTACAAATATGTTTATAATATCAATAATTACAAAAGGGAATAAATAACTAAAACTATAAAGTTAACTTACGTCTGGAACCTGCCTTATTACCTTTAATTAAAGCCAATAAAAATAAAAACAACATATCAATTTGATCTTTAAACATAAACAATAACCCTTGCACGAAAACTCCCTTTAATAATTGAGGTGCAATACCTTTATATAACCCTCTGAATTTCTCAGTATGCCATAAATGAGCCAAAGCTTGAGTGAAATGATCAAATTTGATATCTTCTTCATCAACTTCTTCTTCTTCTTCACCTTCTTTCTTTGGTTTTGGAGTTGATTTCTTTTGTAACATTGCCTTGGAGACAATTAAAGGTTGAGTAGCTAAAGTAGCCATTGATTTAGCCAATACACCAATTGAAAAACTTTCCAATGGGTTTAAGAATTGTTTAGTCCCAAATAATAATAATTTCAATCTTTCATAAGATCCATAAGTAATTGAAGGATTTATACATAAAACCATGGAAACTCTTAATCCTCTCCATAAACCAGTAACACCATCTTGGGCCAAGATTTCTTTAATCAATTGTAATAATGTTCTATGATGTTTATCAGTTTGTTGTTGAGTTGTAATCACCCCAATTGGCATGGTAAACAATTGTGAAATTGCTGCAGCGACAGCACCTAATAATAATTCCATAAATGTTGAAGGTTTATGATTGGGGATATGTTTATATAAATTGGCATAAACTTTCTTAACTAATGAATACCAATAAAAATATGCAAAATTTTGTACTGCTGATCCCCAAACAGTGGTAAATAATCCATGATACCAACCCAAAACACCCTTTTTGGCATATATTTTCTTTAAAACATCTATGGTGTTTTTATATTTTAATTCTTGATCTTTGGTCATGGTTTGTTGATATACTGAATCATCTAAATCTGATTCAGATGGTGGAGTGGGGATTCCGGATTCATCTTTAGATTTTCTCTTAGGCGCCTTCTTTTTAACTTGAGTTTGAATTAAGACTTTACTTAAATCTAATGGATATACGAAGGTGTTTGCAATAGCTGATGCTAATGCACCAGAAGCTGCTTTTTCTAATGGAGTTAATGACATTTATGATTGCTGTAATATGAACCGAATAAAAAATTAATAAATAAAGATAATTAAGTTAGTTGGTTGGGAAATGAATAATTCTTGAATAAGTTACAAGAGGATGTTAAAGTAGTTTTATAGTTTTAGAGTATTTAATTTGCGGAAAGAAGTGGGAGTGGGTGAAATTTATATGTTTAGGAATTCTGGTGAAGATAAGCTCGGATAAATCAAAAATTTGATGGGGAAATAAAAAAATTAATAAATTAAAAAAATAATTTTTTTGCAATTCAATTTAAAAAACGCAACAGCAACAACAAAGATTTTACAACCGATATATCAAGAGGAATACAAGGGGAATTTATAAAGAGTGTTATATTTATCTATTTGTGTTTATATGTATATATACAAGAAACATCTGAAATCAAATAACTTCCAATTGGTTGAATAATGCAATCGGCTTATTAATTATTAGGTACAAGGGCCCGAGGTAACAAATTGATTAAATTATTTTTTATCGGCAAGTGGCTCAAATTGGAAAAACCACAATAATTTAAACCGAGGGAATAGAAAATGGAAACGTTATCCCGCTAAGATCCACCACCAAAAAAAAACAATTCCCCTCCATCTTACCCCCACAGAAAAATCCATTCTACAATATTTAGTATAACCTTATAATGCCGAGTTACATAAAACATCCTTCTCTCCACATTGTGTATTCTACTTCCAAATAGTAACTTCTCGATCAACACCACAAGAAATTAATCTTTCATTAAAATCTTGATTAAAATAAGTTATAAATTCTTTAATTTTACCTTGATGAGCATCAGATATAATTATTAATTTATCATTCAATAAATCAACACCTCTTATAATTCCATCATCACCCATTATCCAAATCCCATTATTTTTAGGATGATTGGGACTGTTTGGATTAATTAATCTCCAGGCTATTATTGGTTGGGAATATTTATCTTGGGGTGATAATGTATTTATATTTTTGATAATTTGATTTCTCATGATGGGTGGCTCGTCTTGATTATCTTTTTGTATTTGATCAATTTCTTTTAATGAAACAATTATTAATCTCATATAAGGTTCATGAGAAGTTGCAATTGCAATCATGGGGATTGTATTATGGATATATTGAATTGTTATAAATCTTGGTGAAAAACTTGATGAAGTAAATTCAGCATCATTTAATGATATCTTGTATAATAATTTCAATTGATTATCTTCTTTGGTGGTGGTATAAACGTCCAACAAAGTATTTTCTAATTTCCCTAATACTATAACCAATTGATTTTCATAATTAATAACATCTAAACAAGTTCCTTGTTGAGTTAATTTAATTTCTGATAAGATTGTAAACTGTTTATCTTCCAATTTAATCAATCGTAAATAATAATCCCAACCTAAAGTAATTATATAATCAACATTATTAAACTTAATATATTTCGCATCAACAATTAGTCTAGTATGTGCCGGAAACTCACTAATAATATTCAATTCATATTCATCTTTCAATTCACTCAAATAAAACATTCCATTCATACCAACAAACAATAATAACCCACCATCTAATGGAATAATCTTCTTAATAACCACGGGGAATTTCGTATGATGAATAAATAAATTCCCCCCTTCTTCAAGTACATATACTTTACAACTACTAGTACTTAAATATACCAATCCATTAGAATAACTTGAACTAATCACTAATCCATCAAGATCAATTAATTTCTCCCGATGAATAGGACTTGGACTTATCCAATGACGGAATTGATTCTTAATAATCTCAACTATTTGATCATCCTTATATCCATCATCTAATTTTATTTGTGATTCGAATTGGGTTGGGAGGAGATTATTATAATTGATACGATCTTTGATTATTTGGGTTAATGATTCATCGATTAATTTATGAGGTTCTATGGGGGATCCATGTTCTGATTCGAATTGTTTTAATGTTTCTGGATAGTTGTTTTCTTGTAAGAAATGGGCTATGAGTTTATGAACATCGGTTGTTATATGATTTGATGACATACTGTGGGTTGGATTTGGGATGAGTCTATAAAGAAGTAGATATCAGACGATATTTTATTGTCTCATTTTTTTCCTCTGGTTCTCTATGGGGTACAACCTTCCCTATTGTTGTTGTTATTGCCTTGTGATTTTCTACAATCAACTTACAAATTTCTAAGTCGAGTTTCAGCTGGTGGCTTCTAATTTATATTTTGGTTTTCAGGGTTTGGTTGCAATATCAACACAATTATCAAGCGATGGTTAAATTTTGTAAGAGATATATGTGAGAGCTATGTTAATAGCCTTGAGATATGAGAATATATATGAAGATTACATTATTGATTGATCAAACAGTCTAATCGAATTCTAATTCGTTAATTTAGTATAATCTCTAGAAAATCCAAAAATTCTAATTTAGCTTTAGAAGAATAAGTTCAATTGCAAAGTAAATGGGTTAAGTTAATTTTGGGTTAAAATTATAAAATAAATTAAAATTTTCAGAATTATTTATTTGGGGTGAAAAAAAAAATTACACATAAACAGTTTAGATTTAATCTACGAGGAATGGTCACTCATACTGGTAAGGGTATTTGATAGGAGAACTTAACAATATCCTAAAAACAAAACTTACCTTGTATCGTATCTATCTCTATCTTCAATTACAACTTGTATTAACCAACTCTTATACTCTTTTTCTTCGTATCTTATTAATCTCATGTGTAACTTCTCATAATCCTAATTACATACAAAGTACAATTTCAGTCTCTTTCTTTCATTCTCCCTTAATTTTTTTTCTGTTGTCATTTTTTTTAATTATTTCAACACAATTCCAACCTTTTCTTTCTTTCCAACATTTAAAACAAGATAATACAATAACAACACACACATACTGGATTTATTCTTTAATAAGAGTAACAAAATACCAACGTATAGCCAACACAAACTTTACACTGCCCTATTTGCATTATATACGTACATATTATGGATTGGTATAATAATAGATCAAAAAGAAGTTCAATATCAACAGGCGCACCATCTTATTCCCCAGCATCTTACGGCATAATGTCAACCACAACATCAGGCACAACATCATCTTCTTCAAAACATCCAACAGGAGGAGGACCGCATTCCCCATTCTCTCAACAACGAGCACAATTTCAATCATCATCATCAAGTGCAAACCAAATACCACAACTTATAAAAACCGGTATGATGCCCAGTGGGTCAACCCCAACCTCAACCACAAATAATAATTTATTAAGTACACCCCCAATACCCACATCCACATCCCCTTCCTTGATGACAACTAGTAATACCACCCCATTAGAAAGAAATTCCTATTATTTTAGTCAATATCCTTTATTTGCTACCGATTGGACTTGTTTATCAGGTACTGATATTGATTGTATTGCTTTGGGAACATATAAAGAAGGATTTACAAATAAACTTGAGATTGTTCATGGGGTGAGTTATGAACATGAATATAATCGTCGAGTTGCTGCCGCAGCTGCTGCGGCTGGTATATCTGGGGGTTCAGCCGCATCGGGGTCAATGTCAACTACTTCATCTTCGATAAATAATGATATTATGGATAATGTGTCATCCCCGGGAGGAACATTGATATCTCAAGATATGTCATATATAGGCACTGGTCAACAACACTACTTTGACGATGATATAGTTGAAGGGTTTTATTTTCAACGAGTTGCCGATATTTCAATTGATTATCCTGTAACTCATCTCCAATGGGATCCACAAATGTTAAAAAATGGTGGTGGTACCAATGGAGGGGAAAGATTGGCAGCATCAAGTGAAGTATTACGATTATATAAATTGAATCAAGATGAAGAAACGGAGAAATATTCATTAGTACAAACTCATACATTAGCCAATAATACCACTAGTAGTTGTACATCAAGTGCCAATTCCCTTTCCATGTCATCATCATCCCAAAAACCCTCCACCACCGAAGACGTCAACACCTATCCCCCAGTCACATCATTCGATTGGAACAAGATTGATCCAAATATATTAATCACCTCCAGTGTCGACACAACCTGTACAGTATGGGACCTTCATCGATCCCACCCTCGCGATGATCTAACCGATACCGCCACCGTTAAGACCCAATTAATAGCCCATGATTCAGAAGTATTCGACGTTAAATTCATTCATAAATCAACCAACGTCTTTGCATCAGTAGGTAACGATGGTTCAATGCGAGTATTCGATCTCCGATCCCTAGAACACTCCACTATCATCTATGAACCCCCCGCCTTATCCACCACCACAAGCACATCCACCACCAATACTTCCTCAAATTGGAACTCGAAAGCGTTAATCAGTCTTTCGACCTCCAATATCGACCAACATCATCTCGCTACCATTGGGATCAATTCCAACCAGGTCATAATCATCGACATGAGAATGCCAGGGTTGCCAGTCGTGACACTAGATGGATCCTTGGGGGGGATAAATCATGCCCTGATAAATCTGATTAAATATCATCCGAGTTCGAATTATTTATTGACGGGTGGTGATGATTGTCAGGCCTTGGTGTGGGATTGTAATCTGTTGAAAAGTGCCACTACACCCACGACAACAACTGCGACTCCGACGAATAATGATGCTAGTAATAATGGGAGTAGTAGTGGTGGTGGGTCGATTATTGATATGCCGGTGTTGGCTTATGAAGAGGATTTGGAGGTGAATAATGTATGTTGGAGAGGTGAGAGAGGGGATTGGATGGGGGTGGTTAGTGGGAAAGGATTTCAAGCTGTGCTGATATAAGCATGAGTTATAGTTTAGCATAAGTAGATACTCTTTTACGTTGTATTAATAAAAATAATTACAGTATACAAGATTACATTAATGGATTATTGTGATTTTAATTAAAAAAAAATTCTTTTCATTATACTATAAGCTAAAAATAAAATATATACTACTACGACATCACAAGGAAGTTGTGGTTGCTTATTTCTTAGCAGCCTTTTGAGCAGCCTTGGTAACCTTACCAGCCTTGTCAGACTTTTCAACAGACTTGATAACACCGACAGCAACAGTTTGTCTCATATCTCTGACAGCGAATCTACCTAATGGTGGGTAATCAGTGAAAGCTTCAACACACATTGGTTTGGTTGGAACCATCTTAACAATAGCAGCATCACCAGATTTAACGAATTTAGGACCTTCTTCTATTTTCTTACCAGTTCTTCTGTCAATCTTTTCAATTAAAGTGTCAAACTTACAAGCAATATGAGCAGTGTGACAATCCAAGACTGGAGAGTAACCAGCAGAGATTTGACCTGGATGGTTCAAGACAATAACTTGAGCATTGAAAGAATCACAACCCTTTGGTGGATCGTTCTTGGAGTCACCACAAACGTTACCTCTTCTGATTTCCTTAACGGAAACATTCTTAACATTGAAACCAACATTGTCACCTGGAACACCTTCAACTAATTGTTCATGATGCATTTCAACAGACTTGACTTCAGTGGTAACACCAGCTGGGGCGAAAGTAACAACCATACCGGCCTTGATGATACCAGTTTCAACTCTACCGACTGGCACAGTACCAATACCACCAATCTTGTAGACATCTTGTAATGGTAATCTTAATGGCTTGTCAGTTGGTCTTGAAGGTGGTTCAATAGCATCAATAGCTTCTAATAAAGTCTTACCAGTGGACTTACCAGCCTTGGTTTCCTTTTCCCAACCCTTGTACCATGGACAGTTTGGAGATGGTTCAATCATGTTATCACCATTCCAACCAGAGATTGGAACGAATGGAACACTCTTTGGGTTGTAACCAACCTTCTTGACGAAGTTAGAGGTTTCCTTGATAATTTCTTCGAATCTGTTCTTGTCCCATTTAACGGAATCCATCTTGTTAACAGCAACAATTAATTGCTTAACACCTAAGGTGTAAGCTAATAAAGCGTGTTCTCTGGTTTGACCATCCTTAGAAATACCAGCTTCGAATTCACCAGTACCACCAGCAATAATCAAAATAGCACAATCAGCTTGAGAAGTACCAGTAATCATATTCTTGATGAAATCTCTGTGACCTGGAGCATCAATAACGGTAACGTGGTATTTTGGAGTTTCGAACTTCCATAAAGCGATATCAATGGTGATACCTCTTTCTCTTTCAGCCTTTAATTTATCTAAGACCCAAGCGTACTTGAAAGAACCCTTACCTAATTCAGCGGCTTCCTTTTCAAACTTTTCAATGGTTCTCTTATCAATACCACCACACTTGTAAATTAAGTGACCGGTGGTAGTAGACTTACCAGAATCGACGTGACCAATAACAACGACGTTAACGTGAGTTTTTTCTTTACCCATTTTGATTAATGTATGATACAGAAGGAAGAAGAAGAAGAAGAAGAAGAGAAAGAGAAAAGAAAAAGAGGAAAATAAATTTTACATTTTTCATGATGTGTTCTAAATTTTTGAAATGCAGAGCGAAAATTTTCATCCACCAGCCAAAAAATAAAAAATGATTTTTTTTTTTTTCGTTCTATGAGCTTCTCTCTCTCTCTCTAAGAAACTGTAAGCCAAAATGGTAATAATTATTTTGTTTGTTTATTTCCTCTCATCCCTTTTAAAATTTATTTTTTACAGTGCGCATTTCATTAAAATGAATTGTTTAATTTTTTAATTATCATATACGTGCACTAAATTTAATTGATCTTTAGGGCTACAACCCTACTACATATTTCTAATTACACAAAACTATTTACTGCAAACTTTCTTGCAACCAATTTTATTTTTGTTTACCTTTTTCTTCTCTTTCTAAGATTACGAGTTTCTTCTTGTGCTTGTTCCCTTTCTTCCAACTTTTTTAAGAATGCTTCTTCATTTCTTAATGATTCTGCATCTTGATATCCTATTTGTGATAAGAATGGATCTTCGTCAATATTACTAACATCATTATCTAAATTATCTCTATTATTATCTTCACGAGCGATTTTATTAGTCATGGATTCTGTATGTTCACGACCAACTAGTCTTCCATACTTTTGTTTCAGTCTACCTTTTCTTGGCGATGGTAATTTAACTAGACTATCATTATCATCTTCTGAAGATTTCTTCCTGTTGGGGATCCCCTGATCAGCTGGAATATCTTGAGTATCTGTTTCTCCTGTTGGTTCACTTAAATTATTAACATATTCTAATAAAGACTTCGGTTTGCTATAATTATCAGGTGCAAATATACACCATTGTAAATCTAGAATATCTGGCATAACCACCGTATTTGAATTTTGCAGCAATTCTAAAATTTCCCAAAGATATGCCAATGAAACAATTGGAATTTTCCATTTTTTTGCAGCATTTATTTTATTTTTGGAAGAAATCAATGAAACAGAAGATGAGGAACCTGATTGATATGTCGGACAATTGATGATATCTTTATGTTTATACTTGAAAAGATTTGGTGAATTCTTAATTAACCCCGGTTTAAATAAATTAATATTCAATACTAATAAATCTCTTTCCGATGTTAATGATTCACAAAATTCAAAATTTAAGAATTGAATGAGTTTTTCAATATGTAGTTGTTCAATTCCGGTGAAACCTGAAATACAAATCTTGAATGGTTTATTTGATTTCTTTAATCCTTTCATTGGAAAACACCATCTGTCAGTCATGACTTTTTTATAATACATCGATCTCTCCACAAACCATTCTGTTACGATTTTGACAAGTCCATTGGCAATCTTCAGCTTGATTCCGTGAGGTAAGATACTTAACATCAGTTTTGATTGTGATCCCTTCAGCGCAGGTATCACGATATGTGTAATTGAATCATCATCACTATCAGTAGTCAATTCACCCAGCAAATTCTCAATTGCCTTCGTTAGTATACTGGACTCACGTGAAGTAAATCCCACTAACATAAAACTGAACCCTAAAAACAATTGATTAACTTTATCTTGTTTCTCACTTTCTTTGGAGATTGCTATACTAACGGCAGAACTTGTTCTGTTTGCATTCTCGTCATCACTGTTGGCATCATCATCCCAGGTTTTATCGGGTATTAGTTTATTAGTGTTCTTTTTAGTATGTTCAATAATAGAATTCCATATTTGGACACCATTTTTCTTTTTCGTTATCTTTCTAGAAACTTCCACTTCAGTGGGAGAAGCAGTTGTTGATGCTGTTAATAATGACCGTTTAGCTTGTTCCATATTTCTCTTTTGATTCACAACTAAGTCCCAGACTTTGCAACCATCACGATAAACTTCATCTGGATCATTCTTGATTAAATAATCTTCAAAGCGCATGGCCCCCCCTCGAATAATGCTATCATAAATCCAAATTGGATGTATAATTGGCATTTTCCGATTAACTGCTTCTGTATATCTATTCCCTCTTCTTTCGGTAGTTATAAAACAAGCATCTCCATGGGTTAAGTTCTCCGAAACGATTCCACCATTTTGTTTCACTAGGGCCATCAAATTCCTAGGATTAAAATATTCATTACTAACTTTATGTCTAAACTCACAAGAATCAATTAAATTTGACACTTCTGATGAAGATAAATCCAATCTTCCAAAACAAACTTGTAGACCTGAAAATATGGGTAAGATATAGTTATCAATATTTAAATTTTCCAGTCCATCTTCTTCTCCATCAATCCAATATTTATGTAATTTAGCAATTGATTCCGGGGCAATGAATTCCATTCTAACTCGATATCGAATACAGAAATTGTATTTACTGGTATATCGTTCGGACACAACTAAGTAATGCACATCACTCATTAGATCGCTATAGTACGTTCCTCCTAATGCTTCAACTTTCTCTTCTAATTCTCTTCGTTCTTCTAGTTCAGTTCCTGTAAAACAAAACGTTTTGCCAGAAAGTGGTTTTCGTGTTGTCATGCTTTTTGTTTTCTTTGTGGTAATATGTGATATTAGAAATCTAAGGTATTCTGACGCGTGTATGAAGTATATATAATTATATCATGAGGATATGAGTAGTGTATTGCTCTATCGATGAGTTGTATTAGAATTTATTTGAGTCGCGGTACTAGCGATGTTTTGGCTTCCTGTTCCAGATCAAACTCAGAAAAATCAACAATCTCACGCGACGAGAAGATGCGACGTGAAATTTCTGATCCGACACCAAATTGTTGACATATTAAGATTTGACTGTATAACTGAAAAACTTCCTTTAGTAAGACCCGATCATCATTGAATGACACAGGGAGTACTGATAAAACATGAAAAACTCTTCTTAATTTCCTTATTACTCAAGTTCGGGAATCTTTAGTGTATATCCGGTCAACAAGCAATTTCAGCCGTTTTCACAGCACTCCGCAAAGATTACAATTATTCTTAATAGAGAAGTACTCCTACTAGCAAACTAACCACAAAACTCACACTACCCCAGTCTAATTTAGTCATATTGATGCGAGACAGCATATAGGTCTATCTAAATTGTGCAGTGCATGTTTCCGTAGCTTATTGTTCCTCGGACCAAGTTTTTTTTCTTCGGTTAAAGTCTCACTCCCGCATTTTTTTTGCTTCTAGACTAACGGTTGTGGTGTGACAGATAGTGCATCCCCACACAGGCAACATTTCCGAGCTTAAATCCATTAGCCCCACCAAACATTTTGAAAAATTATATAAATCCGCTGATATCCACTCCCAAATCTTTCATAACAGAAAAACGACTTAACGTGTCAAAAGATAGAAAATCAACATGCCTTTGACCCCAGCTACTTCAAGTTACTATCAATATACCCTCAAAGTTGAGGATGCTGCTAACCCTCGTGCCCCGGGCTCAGTCGTACTTAAAGAACCAAGTTCACTTGTTGAAGATTACCAACTTAAAGTTGCCTATAGAAAATATGTTACAACTAAGACTATACCACATAGAGCTAAAAGAATAAATTTCCTTTTCCTTCATGGAAATGGGATGAATAAAGGATTGTGGCATTATCATATTGATCAATTATATACCATGTATTCCCTTATTCCGGATATGTATATCGATACAGTAATAGCTGCTGATCATGCCAATATGGGAGATTCAGCATATGCCAACAGGGACAAATTAGGACAAGTATGTGATTGGAATGATTTGGTAAAGGATTATATTATGATTACTAAAATTCATGAACGGGAGGCATTTTTACATCCGGATGCATTTAATGTTATTGTGGGACATTCTATGGGAGGATTCTTGACTATTCAACTTACTGCTAATGAACCTAACCTTTTCCAATGTTCGGTTCTTGTTAATCCTGTTTGTGCCAATACTCCGGAAGCTAATGATTCTTTTATTGCTCTACAAAGAAATTGGTATGATAGGGGGTTTGTCAAGTATAATTTCGATATCCCACCGGGCAAGAACTGGTATGATGAAGTATATGATCATTTCACTACGAAATCATTTTATAAAATGTTTGATCCCGTTGTTTTGAAGAATATGGTTGAGGATGAAATTCCAGAAGGATATCAACGTGATAAATATTATGAAACGGTTTTATTAAAACATGACGGGAATAACGATTACATCTCCTATTACAATCAATACTTCTCCATTCCAGTAACTTATTCTTGTAAACTTGTTCATTCTCAGGGTTGGTTTCAGAATAGTCCTCTGTTCCTAGAAAGATCAGATACTATTAAACAAATCGTCGATGAAAGGCTTCATTCAGCTCAACTTCAAGTATTACATGGACACGCTCACAATATGCATGCTCAATCTCCAAATGTGATTCTTAGTTATATCAATGAATTTGTTGTTGAAACTTATAAGAACAATCAAAAACCAAATGATTATGATTATTTGAAACAATTTGGACCTGATTATAAGAAGATCTTATTTGAAAATAGAATGAAAGAATTCTTAGGTGATAGAAAGATTCATAGTAAGTTATAGACGTATAAACAATTGCAACATATTTTTATTTTCAATCAGTTTTCGGAATATTCTCTTGACTCTTAACTGTGAATGGATGTTTTCACTAAGATATACGTGTCCATGACCTCTGTGTAGACCTATTGCATATGGTTAGTTTTTGCATAAGATCATAAATGAACCCTGCTTTTCCCGTGCCATTGTGTAGTAGAGCGCTTCTTGATAAAATATCACCATTTCTTCTATCAAGATGTTCTTGGTTCCACATTATTAAAGCAAAATCTAAAAATAGTACAAGACGAACTAACTAGCCATAAGTCAAACTGGTTATGAGTACCCGTTCTTACTCTTTTAAGACATCTCTCATCATCACTCCTGAATTTGCATCCGGTCTTTCCAAAGCAATCTGGAAGTTGAAATTCTTTTTTGCGGGGTCCGAGAAGATCACCGAGCACTAAGTCGGTCTTTAAAAAGCTTTCGGTGTTACTGAAAAAGAATTCCAAACTCAGATCACATCTTCTATTGTTCTGAAATTGGATGCACATCGATGAAACACGTCTTTCTTTCTTTATCAGGATCATATAGCACAAGCCCCTAGTTTTGATCAGAAGCTTTAACTCGATAAATCACGTTTTCCTTAACATCTAAATTCATTAGACAACCAATTCTCAAAACAATGGTTGCAATCACTCGATCCAAGAAAACAACGACAGCCACGACCGCGAAGAAGCTAAGAGCGGGAGTCACGGAACACGAGACAATACAAGTTGTACAATCAAAGATTTCTAAGAATGTGACGTCAAAAAGACAACCCACTACCAAGAAGCTTTCCAAAGTCACAAAAACCAAACTGAGCCTCGAAGACCTCTTAGCTCATGTCGAAATCCCCAAGGATTTATCCCTCCCTCAACCATTCATTGACTACCATACTTCCGACTTCATTGATGGTTTACAACATGTCTTAAAGATTGACCCGACTTTATATCCTGCTGTGATTCATAAGACGTTCCCCAGATTTGCAAAAGACAGAACAGATGGCGACAAGGAGGTAGACACGATTCATAGATATTGGTTTGCACTCATTTCTTCAGTCATTTCTCAACAAGTCAGTGGTCACGCGGCCCAGGCGATTTCTCAAAGATTTCGGGAATTGTTTAAGGATGAAGACCCAACTCCTGGAAAAACTCTACAGTTGTCTCCTGAAGAATTAAGAGGGGCAGGATTGTCGAATCAAAAAGTGAATTATGTGATTAGTATCAGTCAGGCGTTCAATAATCCTAATTGTCCACTAACTCATTTGGATTTCTATACGAAATCTTCATTGGATGAAATAATTAAAGAATTGGTGAAATTGAAAGGGATTGGAATTTGGTCAGCTAAGATGTTTGCTATTTTCTGTAATCCACTTTACCTACACAAACGACTCCTACTAAACCCATAACGATCTCCCTTGGCACGATATTTGAATAAGAGACCAGAGGTATTACAGACGGTTAAAAGTGAGTGTATTGACGATGAAGAGATTCAAGTGATGTTGAAGAAGAAGGCTAAGTTTGCGAAGAATGATTCAAAGAGAAATTGGGTTCCTGTTCATGATGAATATGTGAAATTTGCGGCGAAGAGATTTGCACCTTATAGAAGTGTTTTTATGTTGGTTTTATGGAGATTGGGGTCTACAAATATTGAAATATTGGAGAATCTCAATGAATAAGCTTACAGTTACCAAATAACAGAGAAGTGTAAATATAAATAAAAAGAAAACTATATAAATAGAACACATACGTGTTATCCAAAAACAACAATTATAATAAAGATTGCAAAATACGAACAGGGTATAGGAATACTCCAAGCCTTATTTTCTTCTTCTCCTCCGATTTTAATAACTTTAGGAGAACGTTTTGCATCTTTCAATTTATTCAATTCTTGTTCAATTTCTCCTAATCCATAATCAAGATTTTTCATCTTTAAGAATTGTAAATCTTTCGGATTGAATCCCTGTTCATTTACCAAATATTTTATAAATTCTTCAATATCAATCTCAATTTCATTATTGTTATTATTAATATTTGCATTCCGATTACTGTACTTTTTGGTAATACCATTGTTCGTAACTTGTGGTTCATCTTGAGCAATTAGTTGTATCCATCTTTTTAAATCATTTGGATCACTTGCAGTATCTTCATAACTCTTGATAGTTGTTCTTAATTTTGGATGTTCTGCCTTTTCTTCTATATTCAAAGCATTTACTTTTTGATGACTTTGTTGGAATAAAAGGAATTCTTTAATCCATGACTTTTTAGAATGAACCTTTGGAGAATCTGAGCTGGTTGGAGGTAAGGATGAATCGGTGGAACTTTCTTCATTGTCAGTTTCTTCCTCAGAATGATCGCTCTTGTCAAATCGTTCATCCTCCTTTTCTTCTGGGGTTCCTTTTTCACCTTGTTTAATTGACATTGGCTTAATTTCATTTCTGAAATGTTTCATAAGTCGAACTCTTTTTTTATCTTTTGCTGGTCTGGCAGGTATAAACGATTCTCTAATTGATTGTTGATGTGCATTGACTGGAATCTCTAAAGTTTCTTGTAATTCAGGAGTAGGAACATAATGCTTGAATGATGATTTCACGTATTGAATTGGATTTTCGATTTCTTTGTCATTAAGGACCAAATCAAAGGAATTAGATGGGATAGCCAGTAGAAATAGAAGGACAAATAGGTGAAGCAGTAGGAATGATAAGTTCATAGCTAATTCTTTATCAGTACTGTACAGCACAAGTTGTGATGTTTGAATAATAGATCTGATAGAAGTGATTGATCAATAGTTGTTTTCCAAGTTGTTGTCATATAAACTGCTTTTTCTTCCTGAATCATTAACTGGTAACTTTTTTTTTGCAGCCACAAATGAAAAAACAGATTTAGAAAGGCGAATTGAAAATTCTTGAGTTCATATTAGAATCAAATCTATAGTAGTTTTATACTTGGCACGGAGTAACGTCTAACGTTCTACACTTTGAGATGTCGGCGGGTTCAAAATTTGATAGTTGGTACTGTTTGTTACTGTTTGTCACATTGGAAATTGGTAATCTCTTGCAGCAACCGTGAATCTTCAATTGGTTGCAAAATACATAGTTAGAGAATTTGTATATTCTTTTGAAGAACGAGCAGCATTTAAGTTAAATTGTATTTGGACAACGAGTTCCTTCTTCTGAGAAATTTCGTTGTCAATCAATATCAATTGTGGTCACTCTTCTATGACTATAATGAAAATGGCATTTCGGATGCTTCCGTTTCATCAAATCAAATTTAGAGTATTCACTCTAGTGAGTTTCTCTATTCGTCGTAATGTCTTACTGTATTAACCATCCTCGAGCACTAAGCTGATGCTTCTCGGTTATTACGCATAGCGAAGGAAAGGTTCCTCCTTCTTCATTTCCCCGTTTAGGGTAATTGACTCATGGATGCTGATAGAAATCTTCCTACATGAAATTCTTCAACCGATATTCCCGAAACTTCTAATGGCCGCAAACTGTCACGACCTCCTTGATAAGATCATCCCATTTAGGATTATGGTTATATCCCACTATAAATGTACAAAATTGGGAGCCCCTAAGTTCTTAGATAGTTCGGCCTGCATATGCCTCGTGCGTTTATTCAATTTAGCACACTCTGGAATCAGTAGTTTCAATGGTGAATGGAGCATTTTGTTTGATTTTAAAATGCAATCTAAGTTGAAACTATCGTCTAATTAAGAAAACACTGGGATCAAACCCCTCGGCAATTATAAAACAATGAAGTGCTAACAATAGAACTGCGTTCCCAGGGGTAATTTCAGTTGAAAAAAAAATCCATAATTAGTTGAGTTCAACCGATAAGGTCATCGCTCTAATTCACTTCATTGCTATCTTTAGAAGAATTTAATGCTATTTATAGGTTACCTCTTACTACACTTCCAAATGTTAAACCTCTTCGGTTTTTGAATTTAAACTTGTGGTTATTCAAATAGTTTAAAAATAGTGAAAAACTCCTCCTTTCCAAAAAAAGTTTAAAGTTTTGTACGACGTGTAATTCTGTTACGTTACTTCGCTTAACAAAAATTAATTTTTTTTTTGCCTCGAGATTTTCCACGACTATCTAAAAATCTCGGTAGGTCTAATAATAATAATAATAATAATACTAGGGCAACCACGACCCTTTTGACAATTGAACATAATTTGATAGGAACATTAGAAAGCTGGTAGATTTTTAGCTTAAGTCATCCTCTTTATTATTAAAAATAATCCAGATTTTATCATTTTCATTTACTTTTTACACGCTTGCAGAATTAAAAAAGTATACAAGGGTAAAAATCTCCAGGCGTTCCAAGTATCGTACGTTCGAAAATCGGCACCATGACTTGTATAATGTTTATAATTAGGATTCCTTCCCAAAGTGATAAAGAATTTGAATTTAATCCAACTTCGTTTCATTTGAATAAACGATACTGTCATATTTGTACCAACAATGACCCTGGCATATCTGGACAGCATGTCGCAACCATCAATTTCATCATCAAGCAGAAGATAAAGGTCAAGTAGGGAAGTACGTCGTTCTGCGTTAAGCCGCGTACTATTATCAACCGACAATTTATTATCTATGGATGAAAAATTTATCAAGAGATCCCTGAAGCGAGTTCCCAATGGGTTGTTGCCCCTTTTTTCTAATGTTTCAAATGAAGTTGCTGGTTCAAAGACTTCATTATCTCGCTCCAGTTCAGTTTCCTCAGAAGCATATTATTTTCCCAACGGAGAGGTGTTTCGGCCAAGAAGTTCTCCAAAGAAAAGAAATCGTCCAAGCAAAATCGTCGATCCAATCAACATGGACAAAATTCCAAATGGTGTTGTTGCTGAAGGAAGTACCAGTCCTACCAGTACATTGAAAAATGATGTGTCTCGACAGTTAGGTAGTCCCACTGCTGGTGATAGAAATTCAATCTCCTCTTCGTATCAATGTGATAAGATTCAAAGTAAACAACAAGAATTGTCTGTAAAGTTACGAAATATGAAATTAGATACATCTACAAACATTGATTTGCAGCAAGAAAAAATTCCTATTCAACCGATTGAAAACTATCAAAACCTTAGTTCTTCCAACTTAAAGAATGGTATGGCAAAATTACAACCTAATAACACTTTAAAGACGTCAGAAGAAGCTCTTCAAGTACCATCCGAGGGCTCTGGTGAGATTTCAAATACATCAAGTTTTAGTAGTTATACTTCCAATGAATTAAGAAATGGTTCTTCATCGAGCCTAACACAAGAGAAAAGATCTGAGACTCCTGTAAGTTACTATTTACTGTGGTGTGGATATCACCTGGGGTTCGTTTGATTTGTTACAAAGGAACGTGTGAGAAGCATGTCAAGTGAGTTACATAAGGATTTTATGTTAACAATAGTGGATGATTCAACAAATGAATCATTAAATCCTGGTGAATCCCCATTTTCGGAATTTGATGAGTTTGTCACCCCATCAGCAACTCCTACAAATGAATCATTTATAAAGAGAATTACTCCAACTGATGAATCCTTCACTAGATTACATGCTCAGCCTACTAGAAGTACAAGTATTGCTACTATGTCAACATTACCTGAACCTACTATAGATACAGAATCCTTTGTTTTACAATATTTTGATGACAGTCCGGTTGGAGATTCAACATTTCCCAAAGAACAAGAGGATGTGATTGATGATTACGCTAATGTTAGTCCAAAGCAGAACGTTCCAAATGTAGCACCACGAGCAGTACCATCTTCAAAGATAATAACCATTGATTCAGAACATTCAATCGTTCTCCAGCAGCCAAGAATAAATGAACGTCGCGCGTCGATCCCAAAGGACCCAGCCAAGAGAACTTCACGATATGATCAAGGCGTGACCAGCGAAGAAATTAACAATTTAATAAATGACACTCAACAGGAAGTTCCGCCAAGAAGAGATGTTAGGGTTTATTCCTCATGTACTACCTCGGATATATCATTAAGAACGGGATCGCTGGATACTCAAATAGCTAGAACACGGAGTTCATTGACCGAGGCATCGAAATCGAGATCAACAAGTCAATTGGTGGAGGAACCAGTAACACCCCCATTGTCACCTATGCCACCTCCTCCGATTGAAAAATCACCAAATATGAAAGTGAGAAAGAAGAAGAGAAGAAGAAGAAAACCAAAAGTTGAAGATCGTGAGCTTGATATCCAAGTTCAAAGTTCATATGATTTCATTAATGAGGTCAAAGAAGGTATGGTTCCTGGTAACAATCCCGTGGATTCTGCATCGCTGTTTGGATCGATTGATTGTTCGCTGTATGGTTCTCTGGTAGGTTCTCTGGGTTATACACTCCCCGGTTCTCTGTTAGCATCACCAGTCAGTGGGAGTACAAGAGAGTTGAAATCGAAATATAGTGAATTGCCAGAAAGGAAGGATGATCAATTCAAAGAACAAATGAAAACTATGCAAAGAAAAAATAGTCAGGATTTACCACAACCATCAATAAAATTAGATGAACTTGAATCACCAACAAATACTATTCTGCCAATATCACCAAGTGTCGAATCAATCAACTTAAGTGAAGGAGCGCGTTTTACAAAACATGTACTGAAATCTATACCGAATATCAAACCAACACATATTGCAAGTGAGACAGTGGGTCAGCTGGAGAATAACATTGTCAGTTGATTAGCACTAAAAAGGTTCCAGTATTTGCCCGGTCAATAATTGTTTCTAGTGCATTCAAATTCTTCCGTGCCAGTTACATCAATGCTTGAATATACAAAGAAACCAGAGGCTCCTATCAAGCTTAAACCAATGAGTCAAGTCAGAGCCGAATTACAGAAAACTCCTCACAGGAATGGCAAACCGCAATTTCCACCTGAACCATATATCAAGAAACCAATGATTGACGCAGTTCCTAAATCAATATCGACATCAACTCCAATAAAGTCAGGAAATATTCAACCTAAACCAAGACGTCTTTCACCTGTACTGGCAAGATCAAACGTTCCTCAAAGAAATAGGGAATCTCCATTACCACCTGTTAATGGCAGTCAACCAGGTAAGAACCCTCAAAGGATGCCATTACCTAAACCAGCCAGACAAGTATCTAGCTCATCAAGTACTTCCACTTCCACTTCCACTCCTCCAAAAACATTCAAACTGGTCTTTAAAAGATTTGTCAGTTTCCATTCACGTAATAGTAATCAAGATCAAGATTTATCAACCGAAGCTCATGAGAAATTTAATACACAAAGAAAGACATTAGAAACTGATCTGGTTGTACCTGAATTATTCTCCCAACCGCAGGCGGTAAGTAATAGAATGTCAGTGTTGAGTAATATTTCATTACATTTGGGTGAATTGCCGACATTTGAGCCGGAGAAGTCGTTGTTGGATGATATGTTGGAGACATTTGTACCTGAAGAGGATGCGGAGACTTTTATGTATGGTGGTAGTGAAGAAAATAAGACTGAAGTGAAGAAGAAGGAGAAGGGGTCTAAACCATTGAGTAATTTGAGAATTGAAACTAAGTTAGAAGATTTGAACAACGGTAAAAATGAAGATGAGAAAAAGGAGGAAGATAAGACATCGAAAGAGGAAATTGTGAAGGAACTACCTATTGTGAAGGAACTCCCAATTGTGAAGGAACCACCAATTGTGAAGGAACTACCAGTTGTGAAGGAACTACCAGTTGTGAAGGAACTATCAATTGTGGAAACTGAAACGGAAGAGTTGTCGAAAGAGGTACCAAAGAAAGATAGGCTGTCAAAAGAAAGTTTAGTAAAGAAGGAAAATGGTAATGGTCAGGTGGTGAATCCTACAGAATCAGGGGATAATGAATCTCAGAAATCAAACACTAGTGAAATTCAAAGACTAGTCCAACAAAGCTATCAAAATGCCAATTTCCCATCCGCTAATGATTCTGGCTATTGGGATGTAACAAGCCTGCCAGCTGGTCGTCCTATTAGTACTGAAAGTTTATCATCAGATCTCAATGAAACTATACTTGATTTAGAAGCAGATGAGGAAGATGTTAATATGGTGATTGATAATCGAGAATTACATTATCTTTTTAATATCCTTCCAGAACAACAACGTCGGAACCTACCTTCTCATCTTCGATACATTAGGCAATTTCTGGATTTTAAGTCGGTGGAGATTAATATTAAGAAATTTGATGATTTGAGTAATACTGAAATTGACAAGAAACGTCCCAGTCCACCGATCTTAAAGCGAGATGCATATAGGAATAGCAAATCAACTAGTTCGTTTGAAAGACAAAAGAAGGTGAATTTTTCGAATAAGATTGATATTAGTGAAACTTTTGCTCCTGATTTTTATTCAAGGTTCAATCAAGAATTAACTCAAACGATGTTAATGGATTCAAAAGAAGAATTGAATAAGATTAAAGAAGAATTGAATGCTTATAAGTGTAATGAAATGTTGGTCCATGAAAGTTCTCTGGATAATACTCATTTCTTTTATTAGATTGCTAACGATTGCTTGTTTATCTTTATGTAGTAATAAAATTAGAATTTAATTGCTTGATATCATTAATCCTACTTACTCCTACCCTTCCAATATATATATTATCCTATACAACTCCATTGAATTAACCTGGGATCATATTTCCAATTTGTCCGATCCCGAAAATCATCCGTTATGATATAGTCTATAATCCCATTAACTAATTTATATCCTAATTCCTCTCCTACTAAACCTTTTTGTTTAATTACCGATAAATAATACTGTACGTCGAATACCTGATCTTTTGCGCTTTTGAGTCTATTCAAACATTTCTTTATATGTTCATATAAATAATGTAGATTACTCAGTCTAACGTTTTGTGATTTGGAAGTTGAGATAAGTTTGTAATTTTTTTGTAAATTATGTCTAATCCTTTGGAAAACCACCGTCCGTGACTCTTCAAATGATAGTGGATGGGTTTTGACTGGCAAGTGAATAGACGCAAGTTGCAAACTTGTTAAATCTGTTAATAGTTCAGATATGTTACGATCATGAAAAAGTTGTGCAAGCTTGAAAGGTTTGAATTCTTTCAGGATTATCCATTTGATGATTGCGAATGTTAGTTGGAACTCAGTGATGATTTTGACTGTTTTATCATTTACTTGTACGACAATAGGTTCATCGTCAGTTTCATCACCGGTATCATCCAGGTGTTCAATCGCTCCGGAATTCCTGGCTAGGTTTATACTATCCTCAATCACAGATACGGGTTGCTCTTCCTGAGAGCTAAGTATTAGTTCCCTTCTAGCCTCTCTTCTTTTCAATTCTGCAGGTTCAAAAGTAAAATGAACATTCTGATTCGTGACAACATTATTAGGTTCAAATATCCAAGGTTCCTCTAATTTCTTCCTATATTCAATCTTCTCTCTCCAAGATTGTACTTCAACATGGAAATCTCTCTTTCGACCAATTACTTCAACCCTATCCGCATGAATCTCTCTCTGTCGATAATTCATAATCCTTCCCTCAACTCGTATAATCCTTCCATAATTCTGATCAAATTTCAATCCAGCCGCCAAATAATCATTCTCAATAATCTTAACGCCAATACTCAGATTCCTTTCATTTGAACAATCATCAATGGTAATCAAAATAAAATTCCTCCCAGAATCCCCTTCAAAATCTCGATATATCTCACCAATAATCCTTCCCGTGATGCTCACTTTATTAACCGGGTAATTATTAATAATAACCACATTTCTCAAATGATGAGCTGCTTGGAAATAGATCAACAATTCAACACCTGAACTTAACTACAGCCAATATTCATTACCTTAACCTAACACATAAGTTGGTGAACGATGGAATAATTCTGGAACGTAGAATGTTTTGTTTTGCCAACGTAATGCAATATGGTTTTCTCCTGGGCCCCAGTCGATATTATTGGTTGGTGCTGTTGTATCTGTCATATCTGTTTCATTTCCTGATATGAAATGGGATGCTAGATCGTATTGGGTAGTTTAATACGCGTGGTTGTATAAAGAGAAGGTGTGGTATGTTTTGATTAAGTTTAGTACGGGCGGTGCGAATCTGTTTTGATCTGTTGAACGAAAACAATAGAACGGGATGACAGTAAAAAAAAATATCCAAGCTCATCTCGTTTTAGATTTTTCAATTCACATCAATTCACCATTTCAAAACGAGGTAACTAATTAGAATTATACTATGGCATTATTTCAAGTTAAAGGTTGGGACCTTAAGGAAGAGAAGATAGCTCTCGGGGGAGCCAGCACAAAGAAGAAGAAGTCCAAAAAGGAAAGAAAGCATAAAGAAACTCCAGCAGTTTGACTTTGCCTTTTTGGTGGTTTCTCTTTTATACTGCTAATACTACTACAAATAGAAGATATCCAACAAGAAATCCAGCAAGAAACTCAAGAAGAAAAGCTTCGTAATAAAGAACATAAACCAGAATCCAAAAAACCAAAAAAGGAAAAGAAGGAAAAGAAATCTAAACCAGCTCACCCCGAACCAGAACCACAATCAGCACCAGCTCCAGCTCCACCAGCTCCAGCTGCTCCAATAGCAACCACTACCAATTGGTGTGGGGAAGTTGTTTTTTACTACCGGTTTGAAAGACCTAGGGCTAAGTCTACCTTCAATGAACAACTCTATACCACAACTTCCGAATCCGCCTTAAAATTAATTCAAGACCAACCATCCTTATTCGATGAATATCATCAAGGATTCAGATCACAAGTCCAATCATGGCCCGAAAATCCCGTGGACGTGTTTGTCGACCAAATCAAAACCCGAGCATCTACTCGTCCCGTGAATGCCCCAGGTGGATTACCCGGCTTACAAGCCAACAAAAAAGTTGTGATTGCCGATATGGGATGTGGAGAAGCACAACTAGCATTAGATGTTGGGAAATTTGTTAAAGAATATGCCAAGAAGAATAAAGGTCGTAAACCGATTAGGAATGGTGGTGCTAGGAATTTAGAGATTGAAGTACATAGTTTTGATTTAAAGAAATATAATGATCGGATTACGGTGGCGGATATTAAGAATGTACCTTTAGCTGATGGATCATGTACGATTGTTATCTTTTGTCTTGCGTTGATGGGAACTAATTTCTTGGATTTTATTGAAGAGGCATATAGAATCTTGGCACCTAGAGGTGAATTATGGATTGCGGAAATTAAATCGAGATTTTCTGAAAGTAGTGGTGGTAGTGGTGGTGAGAATAAGAATAAGAATTCGGAGAATGTTGGACAAGAGTTTGTTGATGCTTTGAAATTATGTGGGTTTTTCCATAAGAATACTGATAATAGTAATAAAATGTTTACAAGATTTGAATTTTTTAAACCTCCACTTCTATATTAAGTTCTTTCTTTTCGATTTAATCTTTCTTTCTTCTTTAAATAACTCGAAGAAGATGATAAGGAGAAGTTTGAAAATAAACGTGCGCAAAAGCCTGAAGGTGAATGGTTATTAAAGCCATGTATTTACAAGAGAAGATGAGGTGAGGGAATATCTAATTGGGGAGGCATTTACGAAGGTTTGTAATTTTTTATAAATAAATAATGGATTAAATTTAAATTTTAAAGTGTCAAGAACTTTTTCTTAGCTTCTAGAATAAATCAAAAACTAGTCTCCAAGAAGACCCAAGATCCGCTCTTAAAGGGCTAGCCCTAGTTAGCGCGGTGTAGCGACCCTCTATCAATTAGTTTCAACAGTAGTTGATCTAAAACAAGACCCGTGTTAAAACACCATCAATGTATACATCTGAGATGATGCTGAATTGTTTGAAAGTTAAATCTCAAACATAGATCGTCATTGAAAAGCATAAAAAATGCTTCACCTGAGGGTTTAGAAGTATCATTCAAAACGAATTTAACATGACCAAGAAAAGTAATCTGAAACCTCCTTGAAAACATGACACATTTTAAAAAGTCTTAGTATCAATATGGGTCATTGACTCTTTGTCATGTGCATGGGCTTTCTAATTTTCATGTAAGCACATGACGTTGTAGCATAGATAGATCCAATGTTCGAATTACAAATGTATTATTTATACTTACGATGTCGTGTATGGATAAATATAGGCGTAGTAATACACTCTGTTTAAAACTCGCAGGGTATGAAAAAGCCAGTTCTTGTAAAATAAAGCCAATCAACGTCAACAAGGTCTTTAACTTCTTGGCAAAAAGCGTCATTTTTGCTTTGATTACAATTTTACAATGTGTATTTCGCATATAGACCGGTTAAATAAGGCCTTTTAGTAAAGTGTACTATTTTTGAGAACATGGACAACAATAGATATTTTATAAATTCTTACTTAGGCGATAACCGTTAGATGCCATTAACTGGTAAACGGTTATGATTATTTTATTTTTTTCTTCTTATTATTCTTCATAGTTGTACTTTTCATTGAATATCATTACCTTACAACTATGTCATGTCATTGTGTCCCCCGTCCTCCATATCTTCAATTGGCTTCTGGAATTATACAAACAATACCCTAGCCAGCAAAGATCAATATGAAATTTTGCTCGTACGAGTTGTTGCTGTTTCTTGAAGAACAAACATAGCAAGCAAGCGAACTTTTGTGTATTGGCAGCCTAAAGAAAAAAACAATACACGTGATTACTTAATTGGGATGTACGTCAAGCCATTCTCATAATTTTTAATTTTAATTTTTCGCCTCTAACCATCGAACACGCCACTTGAAAACTTTAAAGTTTATTTTTTATTTTTTTTTTGCTTCTGTCAATTTTTAAATTTTTAAATTTTTTGCAGCAAAATTGTAACCAGCATTTCTTTTTTCCTAATAAGAGAAATTACACCAGCCACTCCCCCATATGACTTGCAAAAAGTAATTATATATCCAAACACAAACTTAATTTTATTATTGGAAAATTCTTGAATAATTTAATATGATGATGATTGCCAATCCCCCAGACACACTGCCTCCTCTCATATATATAAAAGACAAAGGAAGTATTAAAAAATTAAAGTAATTTTGACTTTTTTTCTTTCTTACTCTCTCTCTCTCTCTCTATTAGATTAATCAATTTCCATTTATATAAGAGTTAAGTTATATATATATATACAAATGTCAGATTATTATCAACCTCCACTATTATTTAGACAAAATGCAATCAGAAGATTCCAACCTAGTCTCCCGACTATAGAAAGTGTGTGCAATATAAATTCATTGACATCAGATTCATCAACATCTGCGACATCATACACAACATCACAATTATTTCATTCAATTGCTGCATCCAATTCTTCAACTCCAAGGTCTAGTTGGTTATTACATCCAGATACTTCTAAAGATACCCAAGTATTAAATAAATCATGTTCATTAAATCGAGTTAATGTTAAATCCAATTATTGGAAAATTCCTGATAATGATATGAATTTAACTTCAATGGCTGTAAATACCGACCAACAACCATTTAAAGATTCAACTACACTTGCTATTGCTTCTGGAAATAATACTTCCAATTTATTTATTTATCAATTGAATTTATTCAAACATCATTTAATTCATCATACTACAATCACATTACCTAATATTCATACTATGAGATGGGTACCTAATAATAGTAATTATTTAATAACTGGTAATAATAAAGGATATGCCCATTTAGTCTCAATACCCAATAATATCAACAGCGATGAAGAAGAAGAAGAAGCTGCTGAAATCTGTAAACGATTCAATCATAGAAAACATCTCAAAAATCATTCCGAAAGATATAGTACTTCCCCAATCAAAAAACTTGAATTCTACAATCAAGAAAATAACCTACTTTCAATCTTTAATAATCATTTATATCATTGGGATATAAAAGATTGCACCAGTCAATCCAAACCCACCCCATTATCAATTGCAAACATCCCCGGAATTCAAGATTTCGATATCATCCCCAATCACCCCTCCTCATCAACAATTGCAATCTCGGGGAAATTTGGAGTTTCATTATTTGATTTACGCATGGGGAAATTCAATATCCCAATGGGGTCTTCAGAATTGTCATATCGTGAATTATCCTCCAATATAATAAAATGGAACCCCAATAACGAATACGTATTCGCCTCGGGACATGGAGATGGAATTGTTCGATTATGGGATATTAGAAAACAAGAAAGTTATGCCAGTTTACAAGGTCATAATGATTATGAAATTAAGAATATCCAATGGGATAATAATGGAGATTTATTTACTGGTGGTAGAGATGGAAATATAATTCATTGGGATTTAACATCTGATAATAACAAGGTGAATTCTGATAATTTTACAAAATGTGGATTAAGAGAAGGGTTTAATAGTGTGAAATTTAATCCTGAAACTAATACTTTGGAAGAAACTTTAAGTCAACGTCAATGTGGGACTGTATTACCAGCATCAAATACCAATATTGTGGATATGGCTTCGGTGAGACATAATGGTGAGGTTAAAGTATTATCAATTGATGGTTCTTCATTCTTGGGAGTACATTCTAAGATTACTGAAGCTGTTGATATCAGGATCAGTTCTGAAAAGGTTTATTACACTGAAGAAGATGTTAGAGACTTATTGTTATCCTCTCAAGATGCTTTGGACATTAGCTCAAGATCTGGTTCTGATGAAAGCTTGGTTATTGAACCATTATCAGTTGCTTATAAATCGAGTCCATTGGCTTCTCCAGCTGTAAGTTCTAGTGATACGTTGGTCACTTCTTCAAGTTTGGTAGAACAACATAAACAACACAATGATGATGCTAGTGTAATTGACATTGATGAAGATGAATTTGAACCGAAACATACAATAATAGATGTTGATGACGACGATAATGATTTCCAATTCTTTAATACTTCCAGTCCAATGGCTCGTTCATTTTCAACGGAAGAATCACCATCTCCAAATACATCATCAATTAATGATTCAGCAGAATCGATATCTACAATGGCTACAGAAGTTGCAGAAGAAGAAGAAGAAGAACATATATCAGGAATGAAGCCTTCGCTTAGTTTTAATGTAACGGATTTCTTCAGTTCTTTGGTAAGTACTGAAGGTCCAATTACATTCCCTCAATCTTTACAACTATAAAATATAAAAAAAATTAACTGCTATTTTGCTTGTGTATTATGACTAATGTCTCTTTCTTACGTATTATTATTGCTATTATTATTATTATCTTGGATTTAAATAGTTCCTCTAGTTAGTTAGTTAGATATAATTACTTATTTACTAATTAATACACCGTTATGAAACGAATCATTATTAGCTTAGCCCATAAACAAATGACAATCAACTGAGAGATTAAAATGTGTGGATGTAGTCAGATGATCACACTTTGCGGTAATTATTTGCGCTTTTTTCCGTTGTAGTTGTTGTTGTACAAAATCAGAGGCGGAGTTTGTGTCTCTGTTTTTTATTTTTAGTAAATTTTTACTTATTAATCTCAGTAGAACAAAATTCCCAGTCGTTCCGTTTATAGCCACAAATCAGATCTTTTTTTTCTCGTACTGATATTAAAATTCATTCATTCCTGTCATTTTTTTTTTATACTGGGCTGTCTCGGCACGAGAACTTATTTTAGTACCACTACAGTTTGGTTCTCATTCTCTATTATCTATTCTCAACAGCAGTCATACAGAGTGTATAATTGGGTGCTGCATTGGATAAGTGCATGACTGTGAAGATGGGACCACGTTCTATTGTTTTGTCGTAGTAATTTTTTGTCTTTGGTATTATGAGCCTGGTTCTAAAAATGATCTCTGGGTCGTTCCGTTGTGATTTTCTTTTTCATACGAAGTAGTTTCGTTTCTAATTACACAATGAGAAATTGATTTGACTCACGCACCAGAAAAAAAAACAACACAATTCACCAAACAAGAGACAGAAAGCAAAAAAAAACTTCTGTCTTTCTAATTGTTTTCTCTCCCCCTTTCTTGGAGTCATTCAGTTTGTTTGTAATCATTTTAATATAACCACTTGGTTTAAATACAAATAGAACATACATCATCCATTGTAAAGGGTAACCAGACATACACATTAAGACCATATTGATTGTGTTTAACGAGTTCCCCTTTTTCTCTGTGCATAATTGAAAAGAAAGAAAGAAGAAAAATAGGCAACACGGTCATTTTCAACAACACAACTAATCAAACCACCACCCAGTATACAGGTTGACCATATTATAGATAACAGGCAATAGTTACACTCAGCCAAATCATTCAAAAAAAAGCCAGTTTTTAAATTGCATTAGATGGTATCTTCATCGCAATCAGCTTCCAATAGAAGCAGCATCCCCATAAATGTTAAAGTTGTTGCTGCCGAAGCACTTTATAAACGAGATGTTTTCCGTCAACCAGATCCCTTTGCAGTCATAACAGTAGATGGATCACAAACAAAAACTACAAAAGCAGCTAAGAAAACGCTTAATCCTTATTGGAATGAACAATTTAATTTTCAAGCTTTAGAAGATTCAATATTAGTGATTCAAGTATTTGATCAAAAGAAATTCAAAAAGAAAGATCAAGGTTTTTTGGGAGTTGTAAATGTTAGAATTGGTGATGTTATTGATTTGTCATTACCTACTTCTGAAGAAACTATAACTAGAGATTTAAAAAAATCAAATGAAAGTTTAGCAGTAAGTGGGAAAATCATTGTCGTTATATCTCATACAAGACCAACCACCACCGCCACCAACACTGCCACAAGTATTCCATCGGCTAATTCAAGATATAATGGAAGTGCCCCAGTTAATGGCGCCCCTATTCGTACTGCAGCCGCGGCTGCTCCAAGCGCCGGTCTTGCCCCACCCACTGCTTCTGCTGCTTCTGCTTCTCCTACTGCTCCGGGAATTAATAGACAATATTCCTCTTTTGAAGATCAATATGGAAGATTACCAGCCGGTTGGGAACGTAGAACTGATAATTTCGGAAGAACATATTATGTTGATCATAATTCCAGAACTACAACTTGGCAAAGACCTACATTGGATCAAACAGAACTAGAAAGAGGACAACAGAGACAATCGGAAACTGAAGCTGAAAGAAGACAACATCGTGGAAGAACCTTACCTGGAGAAACCCCAAGTTCACCTTCATTAATTGGTGGTGTTGCTGGTACTGGAACAACTGTAACCGCTGGAAATGTGACTGTGACTGCCACAGGTCCAAATCAACCAGTTAGTCCTGCCGCCGCAGTCTCGATGGCATCTTCAGGTGCAACCACTACCGGATTGGGTGAATTACCTTCTGGATGGGAACAACGGTTCACTAATGAAGGTCGACCATATTTCGTTGATCATAATACTAGAACCACGACATGGGTAGATCCAAGAAGACAACAATATATCCGGACATTTGGACCAAATACCACGATCCAACAACAACCTGTAAGTCAATTAGGTCCATTACCTTCTGGTTGGGAAATGAGATTAACCAATACTGCGCGTGTTTATTTTGTTGATCATAATACAAAGACTACAACTTGGGATGATCCAAGATTACCTTCAAGTTTGGATCAAAATGTTCCACAATATAAACGTGATTTTAGAAGAAAGGTGATATATTTCCGGTCTCAGCCGGCATTAAGAATCTTACCGGGACAATGTCATATTAAGGTTAGGAGAGATCATATATTTGAAGATTCTTATCAAGAGATTATGAGACAGACTCCCGAGGATTTAAAGAAGAGATTAATGATTAAATTTGATGGAGAAGAAGGATTGGATTATGGAGGAGTTTCTCGTGAATTTTTCTTTTTGTTATCTCATGATATGTTTAATCCATTTTATTGTTTATTTGAATATTCTTCCCATGATAATTATACATTACAAATCAATCCTAATTCGGGGATTAATCCTGAACATTTGAATTATTTCAAATTTATTGGTCGTGTTGTAGGATTAGGTGTTTTCCATAGAAGATTCTTGGATGCTTTCTTTGTTGGAGCATTATATAAAATGATGTTACATAAAAAAGTTGTGTTACAAGATATGGAAGGAGTTGATGCTGAATTTTATCGATCATTAAAATGGATATTAGATAATGATATTACTGATATTTTGGATTTAACCTTCTCGGCAGAAGATGAACGATTTGGAGAAATTGTTGAAGTTGATTTAAAACCCGATGGAAGAAATATTGAAGTCACCGAAGAAAATAAACATGAATATGTTGAATATATTACTGAATGGAAGATTAGTAAACGAGTCGAAGAACAATTCAAAGCATTCATTGACGGATTCAATGAATTGATTCCACAAGATTTAGTCAATGTATTTGATGAACGTGAATTAGAATTATTGATTGGTGGGTTAGCCGAGATTGATATTGAAGATTGGAAAAAACATACCGATTATAGGGGATATCAAGAAAGTGATCAAGTTATTCAATGGTTTTGGAAATGTATTAAAGAATGGGATTCGGAACAAAAAGCAAGATTATTACAATTCACTACTGGGACTTCAAGAATTCCAGTTAATGGGTTTAAAGATTTACAAGGTTCGGATGGTCCAAGAAGATTTACAATTGAAAAAGCGGGTGAAGCTAATCAATTACCTAAATCTCATACATGTTTTAATAGGGTTGATTTACCTCCGTATGTTGATTATGAGAGTTTGAGACAGAACAACTGAAACCGCCACCTCCTTTGACAACCAAAACCAGTTCTTATCTCCCTCTCTGAGAAGGGGTGTTGTTTTTTGCATATAATGGAATGAAGAGAGAAAGAGAGAGGTGGTTATGGGGTTTTTTTTATGTTATACTTTTTATTGTATTTTTTTGCGTTTTTTATAATTATTAAATATTAATAATAATATCAAGATAGTAATTATATATGATCAGCAAAACAAACTAATTGATAATTATTGTAGGAAATTTGATGGAAAATACTTCATTGTATTTGAATATTTCGAATTTGGAAGATTGGGTGTAACAGTGAGTTTGCTATGTAGTAACATTATGTGGCAAATCTCTACACATTAACTACAATCTGATCAAGTTGGTTACTGCAATATAACGAGAGACTCCATTAAAAGGAATTGAATCCATTTTGTGATAAATTATGTTTAAATAAACAGAATCCCTGGGTTGTGGACAGTGTTCCTCACCGAAGGTTCGATTTCACCGTATTTGGACTCCTCTAAAATGGTTAGGTTATTTATTATTATTATGTCATATATTTATTTTGACATCATCAGTATTGGTTGCATATTGTGAGAACTTTTGTGTAACATAACAGTTTTCTATTACATACACAAAAAGATCTTTCTAGAATTGCTGCAAAAATCACAAAATCCTTCCACCCCGGAAAAACCAACAAAATAAAATCATGGGATCAATTTTTATTTTGATTCAATGAATCAATCAGACACTTTATTCTTCCTACTATGTGTACTGCAGGCATTTAACAAAGAAAGAGACATTTTTGAGTTAATAATTACATAACATGTAAAAATTCTACAATTAGACATTATTTAATAATGATCTGTAGTAGTGCTTACTGTACATGCAAAATTTCCTAAAGAAATAAAAATTCCCCTCATTAAAAAAACTTATTGACGTAAAAAAATAATTTATTTTTAAAGTCATCATGCAGGTTAATATTAGAATTGCAAATTATATTATCAAGAGAAGATAAAGGCTCCCCCACAATTTGTAAAAAAAATGTCTAATTTATAAGATCTTTCATGCTGTAAATAGAGATAGTAAGTAAGTACTTAACACTTGCCCCCCCTTCAATTATATTCCCACGACAAATGGCGTGACTTTTGGGTCCAACTCGTTCTAGAGTCGTAGTAAATGGCTTAGTAATCTCGGTGGCTCTGGTTCAAGGATTGGCAGGAGACTCTCCACTGTGTATATAAAATATCATTCGAGTTATGGCGATAAATTGAATACAGGAAATTTTAATATTTAATCACGTTTTATAAACAATCTTTTTATTCTCCACATTTCTTTCTTAATAACTTTATTTAATTATTATAATAATATAAATAGTGACTTATATATCCCCTTTGACTCATTTTCTGAAATTTTGTATTCTCTTTCTGTTTCTTTATTAATTCTTGTTTATATTCCCAGCAAGTATATTTAAAAGAATTACATAACTAAACAAATTAATTAAACATGCCAGACTTATTTGACGGATTTTTCACCAAATTAGGCACCAAGCTTAATGGAGGTAAATCAGTCCAACATTATGGAGGTGCGTCACAAGTGAATACCGGGAAATTTTATAATTATTATTCATCCCCCACGAATAATAATTATTGGTTACCCAGAGATCAATTACAACAACAGCAACAACAGGATGTGGTTATTCCGGTTGATAAAGCTAGATCAAGCAGTATTACTTCGATGAATGATGAAGAAAGTGGGAAGACTAGTAGAATTGGAAGTGTTTCTGAATAAATGATTTATGAGATAATTGAATGGAACCGGAGTTCTTTCTGTTAGCTTATATATAGGGTTGTATAGGGTTGTATATTTTTTTGTAAAATGGATTATGGTAATATATAAGATATATTTTAAATTATAAATCTCGAGAGAGAGAATATGATCTCGTATATCAACTCCGAAGTGACTCGTCACCTAGTCACTATTAATAGCAAGTGGTCCATGACGATCATGTATGTATTTCTATTACCGTACATGTATAATAATATAATTATATATAATATAAAAGAATGAAATGTAAAAGTGTAGAAGAACTGAAAAATTAATAATACGTCACATTTTTGTATTAACTACCGAAACAAGGTCTAATCATAACAACAACAACAACAATAACAAAGCCAACCTAAAAAACAACCTCTATCTTTTCGCCTTTTTGATCTACATAGGCTTACGTTAAGGGGTAGTAGAGCATGACCATAGTAGGGACCGTTTTGTGAATATACATGCGAGGTGTATCCATATGCCCCACCACCGCCTGAATACATCTGTTGCAGTTGCTGTTGTTGTTGATGAGGATTCATGAATTTTTGATTTCTGGAGTCTTGTTGAATCGATTGATAATTCAGATATTTCTTGATTCTTCCTGATGTTGTCAAGGAATTATTATTCATATCATTGCTACTTCTTAATAATGGCAGTTTATCCCTTGGTGATTGTTTATTATTGTTCGGTTGTTGTTGATTTAATTGATGGACGTTATTTTCTCGATCTCTCAGTCTTCTAGGATGAGGATTGCCATATCCATGCAAATTAGTCTTTTTATTCAATGCTGCATCCCAACCTCTTCCATTATTTAAATCCATCCAATCATAATGGCCATCGGCAGTTTCTCCGATTGATATCAATGCTTTATCCATTAGATTATATAAATATTTATAATCGGGAGTTTCATCAAATTTTAAATTGCGGACATAGGTTAAATATTGAGCAAATTGTATGGGGAATCCATAACATAATTCATTTATTGATGTGGTTTGCTTTTTAAGTCCGATTTTTTCATATTTTTGTTTATTCGTGGGTGCTTTTAATCCTTGCCATGGTAATGATCCTCTTAAGAAATACATAAATACATGACCTAAACTTTCTAAATCATCTCTTCTCAGTTGTTCTCTACCTAAATGAGTATTTATTGACATATATCTTGCTGTTCCACTCAAGGCTTTCTTTTCTCGATATGGGATATGAACTTTTGTTTTTGGATCTCGATATTGTTTTGCCATTCCAAAATCAACAATATGTATATCATTAGCTTCATTAGTCCCTGGTCTACCTATTAAAAAATTATCGGGTTTAATATCTCGATAGATTAAATTATGTTCATGAATAATTTCAACACGTTGAATCATTTGTTTAGCAACTTGTATAACCGTCTTGATTGAGAATTTCCGATTACACCAATCAAATAAATCTTCTAAAGAAGGGCCTAATAAATCAATAATCAATATTGAATGTACCCCTTCTTGACCAAAGAAATATGCATGAGGTATCCCTTGAGAACCATTTAATATTTTATATGAACGATATTCATCTCTTAATTGGGGTGCATCACATTTTCTTGGTTCAAATTTAATGGCAACTTGTTGATTATTTAAGACATTAATGCCTTCAAATATTATACCAAATGATCCTTCACCAATTTTTTTACCAACTTTATTTACCTGAGGATAATTAGGACTACTTAAACTAACGCGGTACCAAGGTAACTCAACTATATATACGTGTTTCTATTATTATTATAGTGTAGGTTGCTAGTTGTTGTAATCTACTTATATCCCTTTTGCTAAATTCGGAAAAGCAATTAGGGTTTGCGTAGTTTGTTGTTGTAAATTTGTTTATATAGACAATGCTGAAGTTATAATATAAATCAATCTGAAAATAAATGCAGGATGATGATGATTAAGTGTCTAGTAGTATGATTCTATATATATATAAGTAGTATATACTAAACTAATGTAGTAAATCTTGTAAACAAGTGAATATTTGTAAAATTAAATTAAAGTAATAAAAAGTAATTTAATAATTTTTATGATTAAAAAAAAACCTGGTGAAAAAAAATCAACTCTTTTTTTCTCTGCTTTGAAATTCATCTTCTTCATCTTCTTTGAATGATTCTACTGCTATTGCAATTTCTCCCCTAAGAAAATTTTTCATTCTTTAAGAGAAATTAAGAGAAAAAGGGTTATGAAAAATAAGTAAAAGATATAATTATATAAAGGAGGGGGGGGATGGTTACCTTTAAGTTCACGTGTGTCAATTGCGATGACAACTAATTACTATTTATTCCAACAACATCATTAAGATCATATTGATATTAGTTGTTGTTGTGAAATGATTGTCAATAATTATAAATATGGGCTTAGGTATTGTATAGTCACAAGTGGTATCAATCCCCCCCATACTAAAAATTATTTAAGGCATTTTATTTCTTTACATTGTAGAGAAGAAAAAAAAAGCTTAGTTTACCATTCTCTCTTTGGCTATATCGTACACCCCCAGTTTAAGTTATCCTTATCATTCACCCCACCTATCACTACCACGACCTTTCTCTCTTAACCTTATCAATATCCCCCCTCCCCTACCTCTACTTCATAGTATTGCTATGTTTATTTATAGCATTCTATAATAAGTTTATAAAACTTGGCATAGAATTTTTTTTCACTCCACTACTCACTGTCTGTTTAGTTAAAAAATATTCATTTCTTGTGATTCGTGTACCTTAAAATATTTGATCTAACAGTAAACCCTCCAAGAACTATATGGAAGATTTATTTCACATTCTCTTTTATGACAATTATGAAACATGCCAAGAAGATCCATGGCTATTGGATATTCAACCATCCGTCTTATACTTTTTTAAGTTTTGATAGCATGTAAACTCTCCACTTTTTTTGAATGGTGGCAAAAGTACAACCTAAACTGGGGATGGCTAAAAAAAAATCGGAATTCGATTCCGAATTTCATGCTTTAATCCCAGAATAATCCTGCTCCTAGAACTCTACCTGTATATATAAATATATCTCACTTACTATTATACACTCTAAAGTAAATAATAAACTGGTGTGTGTATTTTTGTATATATATCTTATCAATGACAGTTTACTAAATAATTGTTAGAGATAATACCCCTTTTTGACGTGCTTTGCATTCTTCTATCTAGATTACAGACTTCGAACGGATAATGATACCCGATTCTGCTGTTAGTTCCTACGTCGCTCAGCATGAATGTACATGCATATCGGATTTTATGATTATCGATGTTTTTACGCTGGCGTCCCCTCCATTTAATAAACGTTTCCCATGTTATTCAACATTTCTAAATACTTTCAGTTTGGTGATATTATTATGGAGTGATACAGATAGAAGGATATGACTATTAATAGGCTGATATATTCCTATTTTATTGTTATATTTCATCGAATTTGGGAAAAATGACACATTTCTTCTCTTCATTAATGGCTGCAAAATTTCGCGTACCACAACAACAGATAAAAAAGAAACCACCACTGTTTGTTTTTTGAGCTTTGATCTTCATATCCACGAATGCATCTTGGAAATTCTATGGGTATACCTTTCTTCGTTATCTACAATAGGCTCAAATTCGATAACGCTTGTATTGACGAACAGAAGTAACATAAACAAAACAAACAACCATTTTGTTACGTTATCACCGACACAAACTAACTTGATATAGCCTTAAGCGCTATCACCGACACTAACTAACTTAATGTTGCGTTTAACTAATTGGACCGACATACAAAATAACCAAATTTACTAATACTCGGCTATACTATTGCTACTATATGTACTTGCTCATAATATCAATAGAAAATTTAAATTCACAAAAATGAAATAAAATTCGAGCAATTGCTAAGGATTGGACTATAAAAGGCAGTTCAGAAATCCTCAAACTTAAAACAACTTTCAATCACATACATTATAAGCACAATATCAAAATCATAAAATGTACTTCTGATAGCAATGATCAATTGAACCTATTCTCAAACCCAAGGTATGAAATCAAAAACGAACAAAGATTGCTTATACAGAAAATATATTCAAGCCTAAATTGGTCAGATATTGATGTTCGTATCTCCATGAAAGGAAGCCAATGCTACATACATCCACAAAGTTTATCGTTCCCGTTGAGGACTGAGTTGCGAAGTATTATTCCCACTTCTTCTCCCATTCCTAAAAATCATTCACTGAATTTCATTTGTCGATCTTGTTAATCTGACGTTTTGCTGATATGTATATGTATGGATGTATGTATTAAGTGGTAAACATTCCCCTGGTTATTGTTGAGTGTTTTTCAGAAGTATTCAATAATTTACTGGCATATGGCGATTAAAGAACCAAATCCGCTGCGCTGGTACTTGATGCAAACATCTAGGAGGATAGATGTGGGTATGCAGACAGCAAGCGGGTGGTCTCCTTAATAGCTATATGATTAGTAGATTTGAATACTTAGAAGAAATCCTCAATTAATAATAATATTAGGAAATTATTTTGGATGAGATTTCTTGGTTGTACTACACTTGTTTGATTGTGATGGATATTTTGAGTAATTCTGGTAGAATACATTTTGCAATAATGTCGTTTTAGTAGGATAAGAGATTGAAGGTGAAGGACCCAACGCGTGAACTTATTGCTTGGTTCAAATACTGTTGACGTTTAACTAGGTGAAAGATGCGAATCCAAAATATTGACCTAAAGATCTGTCACGTTGGGTAGGCTGAGCTTGATTTTCAGAATTCTTCGAAGTATACTTACATATATTCATGACAACTAATCGAAATTTAATCCAGCATGGTATTAAATAAAATTTCGCATTGAGAATCGCTTTAAAGAATTCGCATATCAAGCTCAAATTATTCAAGCTGATACATAGCCTTGTTTGATATTTTGGAAAGAGCATCTGCCATTACATTCTGAGGCTACCTAGCTTGGCATCATCAAGTTGTTTTAGTGAATACTAACCGAGTCACGATTCCAAGTTAATGATGTTATTGACATTCTTTATCTATTCTAGAATGATTATCAACTTAGAATCTACACACCTTTCAGTGAATCAAGACAAGAGCACCACTGCAAATTCTCCATTGTCCTTAGAGAAAATCAAATATAGTTTGATAATTCAGCTGGTGTAACTGCGTTGTCTGAGGATCTGTTAGCTTCCCTACGTTAGGGTTATTTGTTCTGTTCGGAATATCTTGTGAGGTTGCGTAATCTATGCTTGCCTGAAAACTGTGAAGTTATTGTTGGGCCAACTATTTCAACTATACGCCAGTTTTTTTAACAATGATTGTACAGAACTAGAAATATATGTATAGAAGTGTGTGGATATTCAACTGAGTGGCTTTCCACCGTCTTGTACCTACAAACTTTCTTCATATGGGTAGGGAACCCGTCAGACTAGGGGTCATGTAAATATGATAATGTATTCTCTAAATATTCGTATACTTGGGAAAATCACCGCTGAAACTCTATGAAATTCCTAATACGCCAAGCTGTGATTAATATAAATTGAATAACTAATCCAAACCTACATCATTGCTTAGAATAAGATCTGTCCTGGTTTAAGCAGTATCCTCCCTCACTTTTCATTTCATGTCTAAGAAATTTGCCGCACCATTCTCTATCTCTCGCATAAAAAAAATTAATTCCACAACCCAAAAACTCGGACTATCCCCTGTCTCTCTTTCTCAACAAACTCCCCCATCCCATGTTCACCCCCAACCAAATAGTCTACGCCTATCATGGCCCCTTAATCTATGAAGCCAAAATCCTAAAAATCCGTCGTGCCCAAGATTCATATATCCTAACCCCCCTTTTGTAAGTTCTCTGTATAAGGGTTTTAGGTTTTAAGTTATAACTATTTACCCAAGGACAATCGGTTTATTTTTTACATTATCAAGGATGGAATCATAAATGGGATGAATGGGTTGGTGTGGATCGGATATTGGAGTTTAATGATGAGAATAAGGTTAAGAAATTGGAATTGGATCAGATTAGTAATAAACGAAGAAAAATCAGATCGGCCACTCCTAGTAGTGGGAGTGGGAAGGATGGAGGTGGTGGTGGGAGTGGGAAGGAAGGTAGTAGTGCGAGTACTGGTAGTAGTGGTGGGAAGTCAGGTGGTGGTAGTGGTCAACCTCCGACTAAGAAACAGAAGCTTAAGAAACCGATATTTAATCTTGCATTCCCTGATTCATTGAAATATTTATTGGTTAATGATTGGGAATATATTACTAAAGATAGGAAATTAGTTTCATTACCTAGTCCTCATCCAATATCACAAATCTTACAAGATTATAAGAGTTATAGAACCAATAAATTATCATCAAATCAATTGAATGTCTTATTAGAAATCTTAACTGGGTTAGAATTATATTTTAATAAATCATTAAAATTATTATTATTATATAAATATGAAAATTTACAATATTTGAATTTTTTAAAGAGTGGTGTTATAAATGAACAAGAAGAAGACAAGTGTCAAAGTAAAGTATATGGATTTGAACATTTATTAAGATTATTAATATCATTCCCCGGGTTAATTAGTCAAACAAGTATGGATTGTATAAGTATTAATGTCTTGATGCTGGAAATTGAAGAATTATTATTATTTTTACTGGAAAGAATACTGACATATCTGAATAATTATGATTTTAGTAGTCCTCAATATGATAGTTTATCAAGAGCTTAGAATAGATAGTTGTGTAGTTTTAATGTAATATTAATATGATTGATTCTTATCGGTCTGAAGGTGAGTCCGACAATTCCATTTACCATTTCTAGGACAAGACAGATCATTCTTGAAGTTGTTGAAACTGGTTGAAAGGCTTTTAACGGATTCAAAGATAGTACGGTCTTAATCTAGATATAGTGTGGTCAATCAGTTGGATGTAGTGCGTGCAACTCGTCCACACAAGCACCCGATATCTCTACAATAAATACTCAAAAGAAAGGGGGATTCATTTATTTCATCAAATAATTTTTTTCATAATAATCATAATAACTAGAAAGAAGTAGATAGTAGTAAACATTTATATAAAAATCTAAGTAATATGTACAGCAAAAGACAACCCAGTTAGTTACCATTTTGAAGCAAAATCACAGATTTTCAAGTCATTTCAATAATAGTTTCATTAAAAACATAACTTCATAACAAAAAGGAAAAAGAAGTAGCAATATGACACACATGGGGTCACATTTATAAAATTGGAATAGCTTGATAGTCAATTTCAACTAAAGCAGATTCATTACTACAAGTAACTGACATTTCCAATTTCCAATGTCTATGAAATTTATCTTCTTCTTCCTTAGAAAATCCATGATCAGATTCATCTCTAAATTTCCAAGTTAATTTATCAGGAGTTTCAACAATATCAGCTTTTGCAAAATTCAATTCATAACCACAACATTTTTCTAAATCTTTAAATAAATGTTTTTCAATATGTTGTTGTAAATGACGTCTAAATTTTTTAGAATTTTTATTAGTAGTAGGTTTAATCTTTTCTAAATTATTTGAACATTCCTTCATTACAAATGGAGGATAATAATTTAATCTACCATGGAAATAATCAAAATCATTATCCCAAGTTTCATCACGGACAAAAGCTTCAAATTGTTCCAATTCATCAAATTCACGAACTGGAGGTGGAGCTAAAACTTGCTTCATACCAGATGGTTCATCAGCAGATTCAATTGAAGTGATTGAAGAAGCTCTTGATTTAGGGACTTCTTGTAAATGTTCCAATGGATGGATGGTTTCTAAATCTAATGGTAAAGATTGAGATTTAGACTTTTTCTTACCGCCCGCCATGATTCTGAATAAGTTGTTAAGTTAAAAAAGTTGAGTTTATATGTAAATCAATTTGATTTGTGTTTTGGTTGCAAAAAATATATATACAAGTTTACTTTGTGTAGTGTATATATATTTCGTTTCTTATATCAATTAAAGTTGTGATACTTGAAGGTGAAGAAAGAAGGAAAGAAGAAGAAGAAGAAAAGGAAAATGAAAAAGTTGGAAATTCAATCGAGGGATCTTTTGAATCTATTTATAGTTTTTCAAAAACCTCGAAGGCAAATAAAATCCTCCCCCTAAATTTTATGGGGTGAAGGAAGAATTAGGAGGAGGGGGGGGGTGGGAAAGTGTTTTGCGTAAAGTGTAATTATGGAAAGAGAGAAAAATGACTGCAAAAAATTAGACACAACTAAACACTCCACATTATTCACTTTTTACAGGTTATAACATGAAACTTACATGTTACAATAGTAAAAAATGGGGAGACATTTTTTTTCGGCTTCTAGGAAATTACAGGTTACACGTCATTCTACATTTACAAATTCTTTCCCACCTCCTCCTATTAAGTTTCTTTTTTTTGGTTTTGCATATTTTTGATTTAGTTTTAAAGATGAATGATTCAAAGTTGATTCATTTGAATCATCGTTGAAAAATTATTGAAAATTTGTTTGTACTGTTTAATATTGGTGCCTTGGGATGTTGATTTTTTTGATTTTACAGTTTATGATTTTGAATGAACTGATAGTGTGAGTGTTGCTCAGCCTAAAGAAAAAAAAAAGGGGGTTGGGTTACAGTCATGCGCACAAATCAAAGTGGAGTGACTTTTTTTTTAAAATAATCCGAAATAGTTCCGATTTCAAAACACCCAGCAATAAACAATAATTAATTAACACACAAATCTACGCTTGTTCACGAAATTTATGGAGTTATTCGGAATATCTCGTCATTACCGATGTGTATGTGATCGTCTTCCCATACGATGGAAATAATTAGGTCGCGTGTTTCTGATTGACGGTGTTTATAGATCAGATGATTTTTATTTATTCGTTCTATATTATGATGTAATACAAAGTGTTCAAGTGCAAACTAATAAGCGCTTTGACCAGTCAATATAACCACAGGAACGGTAGTAAGACTAATGTTTATTTATCTAAATCGGCTTTCAAGCATACCGGCTAGTTTAGGGATTGTTTGATTTATACAAAACATCTCCAGTTATCCAAATCAGTATATTCCCATATCCGTCCACCAATATCTACGCCTCCTCTTCCCCCCTTTCTCTCTTATCTCCTACAGTATTAGTTAAGAAAATGTCCCCTTTGTTTGAATTGTGGGGAGCCAAAAGACAAGACAATATTGAAACAAACAAGTAACTTAAAACGAGAAGAGAAATTTTACCCCAAGTTTCAGATTTTGCGACTTCATCCCAAAAAAAATACGACACTACGACATTCAATGTCACAACAACATGTCTCAAAGATTGACGACATTAATGTTTGGCAGGTTTTTTTTCCAACGTCTATATCAAAATCGATGATATAAAATTTCAATCCCAACCCATCCCATCCACATATATATATACATCAAAGGCAGCACAATAAAATGAATACAAACAATCCAGGCTTATGGGGAGTGTATAATGGTCCCCAACCACCCAAAAAAAACCTCTACGAAATGGATCAACAAGAACAAGCCGAAGAAGGGGCCCGACAAATGATTGGTCTCATGCAATCCTGCCCCGGTAAAACAGTCATGGCAGGTGTAAGTGGGTTTGCATTAGGGGGATTTTTCGGATTATTCATGGCCTCAATGGCATATGATACACCAATAGGTACTGGAGCAGTACAACATATTTCCGATTTACCATTTAAACAACAAATGAAATTACAATTTACTGATATGGCAAAAAGATCATATAGTTCAGCTAAGAATTTTGGATATATTGGGATGGTATATTCTGGAGTTGAATGTTGTGTGGAGAGTTTGAGGGCTAAACATGATATATATAATGGTGTTAGTGCTGGGTGTATAACTGGGGCTGGGTTGGCTATTAAGGCGGGTCCTCAGGCGGCATTGGTTGGGTGTGCGGGTTTTGCTGCTTTTAGTTTGGCGATTGATATGTATTTGAATAGTGAAGCTGCTGCTCCTCCAAAGAATGATTATGATTTGTAGGGGAGAAGGGAGAGACATAACGTTATTTATCTATTAAGCTTGTATATATATTAATGAATAGTAATAATACAAAGGGAATAAAAAAAGAGACAATGGTATGTCCTACGGAACGGTTCAATACGCATGAAGGAACACCACTTATGTTAGTAAAAAGTACAGCAATAATAAAACACACGTGAATAATAATAATAATATAATAATAATACATATTGTCATTTTTGTTTCAATGAACAATTTCAGGAAGAAAGGGAATACTCATACAAAGTCGTGTATGGTTAATGAAATATATGATTTCCAGTGATAAAACAATGTAACACTGTGCAGGGAAGGGGGTGGGTGGTCACTCTAATCATAATGATCTTCTGAATCTATACGATAATATGCAATCAATGTAAGTATAAAATACAACAACCCAAGAATTAATATTCCAATAATTGGATATTTAAAATATGTCAACAATCCAATTTTCAAACTATCAATAATCAACCACAACCGATTTCCTTTAGTCATAACTTCATCTTCTTCTCTTTCTTCTCCTTCTCCTTCTCTTTCTCGTTCTTCTCCTTCTATAAATTTAACCTGCCGATTTTGAGATTCTCGCTTTATCCTCTCCAACTCCACCTCCCATTCATTAGTCCCTTCCCCAATCTTCTCCTTTCCAATCTCCTCCTCCTCATCATGCAAAAGAATCTCATTATAAATCTCTTCTTTCTTCTTTTCCAACACCAACAATTGTTGTTCGGCAAATTGGTTATGTAGTTATGATGAACAGTTAACAACTATTAGTAAGAACTAGTTATGTCGTTTTTGTAAAAATTTAAGTCTTGAATCAATACTCCCCCCAGCAGAACTTCTAATCAATCTATGTGGTCTAATAATATTTGATAATATTGATTTTTCAATCCTTCCATTGGATTGAAATCCGGTATTGGTAGTGGTTTTTGAAGATGATGGAGGGATTGGTTCTATTGACGTATTTGAATAATTGAATTCTTCATGTTCTTGCTCTTGTTCCTCTTCGCTTTGNATTGACGTATTTGAATAATTGAATTCTTCATGTTCTTGCTCTTGTTCCTCTTCGCTTTGGTATTGCTGTTGTTGTTGTTGTTGTTCGGTTTGATATGAGGGTAATCGTTCTTGGGTATATGAAGGATTTGTGGAATATGTTCGATTTCCATATATTGGTCCCTTATATCGTTGTCGTATGCGTGGGTAGTGTAATGGTGCCGGTTCTGCCTGTTGTGGTTCCGGTGTCGGTTGCCTTTCAGGTTCAGGTTCAGGTTCTGGGTGTGATGCTAGCGCTATCAGTTGTTGCGATTGTGGTAGTATTGGTAGTTGTGGTTGTGGTTGATTTTGAAGTCGTATTTCTGTGTATCTCTGTGATAGTTGTTCTCCAATTGTTGATCGTGGTATATACTGTGGTTCTTGTGATTGTTCCGGTACTAGGTATTGTTGCCGTTGCGTTTGTTGCTGGGGATGTTGCTGCTGTTGTTGCTGTCGGTGTTGCAATGATAGTAACGGTAGTGGCTTACCAAGATTGAATTTTTGTTTTTCCTTTTTCATTATATCATGATATGAAATAGAATCTTTGGGGAATGTTTAAATTCGGTGGATAAAATGGGGAGATTCTATTAATGAAAGTGTGAGTGTGAGTGTTTGAATACGTTGTAATTGAATAGTGTATATTATGGGGGGGAAGTATCGGTTACTTCCGGTTTGTGTTGGGGGGTTGTGTCTATAAGAAGATTGTAATATCGGTGTAATTTTAATATATAAACGTCCTAATTAAACTACTACCTTTCTACTTTTTCAAACAAAAACAAATACAAAACAATTTTTCTTTTTTCTCTTTTCGTTGTTGTTGATTTTTTTTTTTACAAAAATGGTTCAAACTTTATTTTTAAGACAAACTATATATACACTCCTACATATAGAAATAAAGAAAACCAGCAGACATGTTGTTTGTTTAAGAATTACATAGTTCTGCGACATTGCGACATGAAAGTCGCATCTTTCCAATTTGCCGAATTTGAGTTGAGTTAATTTGTTGGTTATTATGCTAAGTCTTAAGTTAGTGATATTATTACTTTTGAGTAACTAATGAGTTTTAACACTTTTCTAGATATTTTATTAGTTTTAACGTTTATATTTAAAGAGTTGAGATTACATGTGGTAATCCTGCACATAAAATATTTGTAAAGTGCGATCTTTCAGGGGCTACGGCCTCCCTGAAATGGTATTTATTTGAGGGCAAATTCCGTCAAGGAATTTGCTCAAGAGCTTTGTAGAAGTAACGCTTATAATGAGTAGAATCTATACTGACGGCGAAGCCCGTATTTTATCTCCGAGCTATATACCAAATTTACGTTAGAAGTATTTAGAACTTTTATTGGGGAAAATAACGTAAGTTTTGAATTTGCAATGTTATTGATTCGTTTTAAATGTAAATTCTAGTTCTAAATATCAAGAATTTACATTTAAAACGAATCAATAACATTGCAAATTCAAAAGTAATAAGTTTAATCTCTGATTAGACTAGATTACAAGTGGTAAATCAAGTACTTCGACCATAAAGTAACTTACGTTATTTTCCCCAATATCAGCACCATTATAATATGCCATCAAAGAGCGAAGAATTAAGTATAAGGCTTTCCCTTCGCGACTGAATATTCACATTTAAAGTTTTTTCGGGAATTGTGTGACAAATGCTTCAATAAATTTGTACCAGCTGCTCTCAGTTGTGTTAATTTCAATTTCTA